CCCTAACCCTAACCCTAAAAACCCCCTAACCCTAACCCTAACCCTAAGGATAGGAACCTAAGGAGGGAGCTAGTATTACGAACACGGTAGAGAAGTTACGGGATTTTACTATTAGGAGGAGTATATAAGCTAATTGGACCGGAGGAGTCTAAGCTTAGGGTACTCGACGCTCGCTCGCTTTCGAGTAGCGAGTACTCGACGCTTAACGGCCGTCGAGTAACAAGTACTCGCCGTAGCTACTCGAGCGAGTAGGACGTAGACGGGTATATAGGAACTAAGAATACCTCTAGTATTCTTGTATTTAACTTATGTTACAATCTTACTAAAAGGTCTATAACCAATTAGGCTTAAGTTAGTATCCTTACCTTTATTTAATCGTTACTTAACTCTCTACAGAAGTATAATTAACCTTAATTACGTAAGACTACCTTATAGGATTATAATACTAAACTAATCTAACTAATTAGGTTAGCTATTTTATTATACTAGGTATAATACTAATTAGCTAGCCTTAGGTACTACTAATTAGTTTACTTCTTCTCTACGGGGTAATCCTATAATATTAAGGTCCTCCGGATTCTATAGTAACTAGTAAAAGCGAAATAACGTTCTTACCGGAATAACGTACTTTTCTAGGATATGTTAAAAGTGTAGGTTATTATTTACTTCTAATAACGCTAATTGCGTATAGGGCCGTGTCTTTCCCTACGACCCTTATAGAGTTATTCCCCTCGCTCGTAGTACTTAGCTCTCCTCCGAGCCTCGGCCGAGTCTAGATCTTCCCTAGTACAACTTCAACCTTAAGCTCTCACGATAAGTTTATCGACTTTCGCACACGGGCGCAACGATGAACTCGGTCCGCAACATCGCCCGTCTCAATGAGACCGAACTCAAAAATGTCACTCCCTCCAACGCATCTTGGCACACCGATTACCGCGACACCGCCTACATTCACTTCGGCGGCGTGCCCTTTGAGCTTAGTGAAGGCGACGTCCTCACCATCTTCTCACAGTATGGCAACCCGAAGCACATCAACCTCGCCCGCGACAAGGACACCGGCAAAAGCAGAGGCTTCGGCTGGCTGAAGTACGAAGATCAGCGCAGCACCGACCTGGCAGTCGACAACCTCAGCGGGGCGAGCGTGCTGGGCCGGACGCTCAGTGTGGATCATGCGCGCTACAAGCTGAAGGAGGGAGAGCGAGAAACAGTGGGCGATGACGCCGAAGAAGAGGACGCGACCGATGGGGAGGGTGAAGGCAGGAGGAAGCGGAGTAAGACAGAAAGTGAGTGAGGACGAGCGGCCGATGGTCAAGGAGGAGGTGGAGCTGGCAAAGCTCATGAGGGAACATGATGACGATGATCCTATGAAGGCATATCTGGTGGAGCAGAAGAAGGCGGAGGTGGAAGAAGCGCTCAAAGCGGTGGCCATTCCGAAGCCGCGAAAGAGGAGCAGGGAGGGAAAGAAGGAGCACAAGCATCCCCATCGGCACGGATCGCGGCGGGAGTCAGAGGACAGACAGGCCGCAGAAGAGAAGAACGGAGATCGACCTCACCACCGAGGAGAAGCCGGGAGGCGGGACAGGCGTAGCCCGCCTTAGATCTCGCAGTTGCCAGACTGAACACAAGCTGCTAACTGTGCACTTCTTGGAAACAATGAAGGGCTCCCGGATCGATGGAACCGGGAATCATTCAGACGACAGATTTCGCATAATCAGTGCATATCTCGGGCTGTCTGACGTGGAACTGGTCATTCGGAAATAAAGTCATATAACGGCTAACGATTCACCGTGGCTAAAAGTCCTTGGTTATCTCAATGGAAGAAAGAGCGACTCTACCCGCCCAGCTGCCGCCTAGGTTCTATCCACATGGCAACGGAAGCCTGATGCTCGTCGCGAACGCGCAGTCCATGTGCTCGCGGCTTGTCATGCTGCAACAGCCACGAGTGTACATCCCGATGCGACGGTCGCACCTTCGATTTGATGCATTGCACTTCAACACTTGACGATGGCTCCTGAATGCGGATCAATGCGAGTGCTGTTGCAAGTCAGAAACCTTGAGAATTACCGTCAAGAAAGCCGAAAGCATCAGAGTAGAAGTCGTAGTTGAAAGCCATTGGTCCAGGATCAAATATCGAGTTGTCCAGTATGTCATTATTCCAGCCGAAGAAGTCCTCGCCGGGAATTATGTTTGACGGGTCTGTTGCAGCATTACCAACAGCCTGAGGAGTGGTTTCTCCGATACCCGCATTGGCTGCTCCGTGCAAAGATGATGGAGGTACGTGTGAGCTCATAGGCGCTGAAGTGCCTGATCCCAGTGGCATCATACCATCGCGGTGATCAAGAGTCTGTTCAGACCCGTCAGGTAACCCATGAAGTCCCTGAAGGTTGCTGTGCGCCACACGCGGAGAGCGCTGGGACCCCGGGGTCGGTCTTGACATATTCACTGGCCTACCGTATGAACGACGACCCAGGTCCTTGCAGCCATTCTGAGGCGTCACACCTCCCAAAGGCTTCAGCGGACTGCGGGCCGATGCTGCGAGGAAGTCGGGGGTCGGTGCATCTGCGTTCACCGGAATGGTTATCCCAGCTTTGCGTGTCACAGAGGCAAGGAAATCGAGCGCAGCATCCGCTGAAGCATATATCCCCGCAAGCGATTGCAAGACCTGAAGGCTTTGGCAGAGACGAAAGGTGCTAGCATCTCGGACGTCCTCATCGCTTGAGTTGATGTCCAGCATATGAGATAGGCAAGCCGCCACGAGTGCGGTAACACCAAGCAGTCCCAGGAAGCGGACCTGGTCATGCCGCAACATGCTCTGTGATAGTTTCGTGAGGCTCCGTGCAGCGTCTTTGACCTTCGTCTTTGATGACCTCTGCGGGTTATGCATCCCTTCACTGGCATTTGTGGGTGGCTGTAGTGCTTGCGCGCGATGCAAAACGTTCATGACTGTGAGATAAGCCATATTCAGCATGGCCCAATGCACTTCAGAGCAGACGTTGGACTCATCCTTCGCAGCAGGCGAGCAAGTCCTTCCTACTTTCTCCTCCAGTGCTTGGCTCCACTCGTCTAACTCAGCGTCGCAGTTGCCCAGCTCTGCCGTGCGGCCGGTACTGCGTCTCGGCACTACCATCATGGTGTGTGGGATGTCAGTTTGCGCAGTAAGGGTGCTGTATTGGGATGACACCACGCGGCCAATGCAAACGCCCAGCCTTGCTAGCTGTACGCACATCAGGGCAGTGGAGTGACGTTCTCCCTTGCTTGGTATGATTGACTGCAGCTGCTCGGTGCCCTCTTCCATCTTCAGATCGTCAAAGTCGTTCACCGATAGCATAGCTACGTCAAACTCGTGATCTTGAATTCGCATGGGCCGACGAGTCCCGAGCGCGATCATCCGGTCGCGGATATACAGACTCCACCACAGCCTTCTTCGGAAGCGTTTCGTGCTTTCGTTCATGACCCTCTGAGTGGGCTCACGGTGCAGTCCCATGCTACGGGCAGAGTCATACGCCAGCCCGGTCCAGTGCCAAGTGTGCCTGCGCTCGTCCCAGCGGCTGTACCACGAGCTCATGAGTAGCAATGATTGAAGTACTGCAGCGCTATCGGATTCAACATCAAACTCGTACAGGAGTCTCGCACGATGGAAGAAGACCTGGCGAGCCTGCTTCGTCGATTCGAACCCAAGCCGGTGAATCGTGGGCAGTGGGAGGGAGTGCACGCCGGCGAACATGACGGCTTGGAACAGCAGAAGGCTGATATGGCCGTCCACCTGGTCGTTCAAGACTGCGCTTATGAACGTTCGGTAGTCCAGCATTGGCATGAAAGGGTGAACGCTGAACATGTAGCCACGCAAGATCTCCGCCCACATGTCAGGCTCCGGCAACGAGAATGCTCCCTTTCGAGCGAGAAACTCCACATCCTCGATGGGAAGTCGCGAAGGCAGCGCAGCGACGAAATTCGGGAGCTGCCTCCTCCCGTCCGGACTTCGCTGGTGCTGTGATTGCTGAAGAGGAGCGTTCGGCTGCTTCTCTGGATTTATGGCGGTCTCGGGTGTGAGCAGCCCATCTAAGATGTCGGTCGATCCGTTGTCTGCAAGACCTCTACTGAGAATGCCTTCGGCGTGGTCATGGTCCTCTCCAGGACGATCGATATCTTGGTCAAATGTCACACACGCGGGCACACAGCCGTCGCCTTCTGACCCGGTGGAAGGAGCTGCGGGCTCGTGGTCTAGCCAGCCATTCCTCCTCGATGCACTTGGGCTCGACTCGCCCGTCCTCTGCTGCGGAGGGGGCGAAGGAGACCGGACGGTCTGGCTGTCGGAGGGCGCTTGACGGTTGTGGCCAACCTTGCCCCTGCGGCTGGCCAAAGTGACGCATTCCACTTGGTCCAGTTTGCAATTGGTACACGGAGTCCCGTTCACCACGACGTCGCATCTCACTTTGCGGTTCCTGCAGGCCAAACAGGCTTGTCCTGAGCGGTGCTTGACAACTCGCTCGCCTTCGCCAGAATCATTGGTCGGCTTCTTGCGTTTGCGGGCAGTCGCTGATGTCTGTGCAACAGACTCAGTTCTTTCAGTACGCTGCATGTCCAATGGCCGATATGCACAGGTGTTTCAACAAGCCGGGAACAGATAAAAATGATAGCCGCGGGGGAAGGGTAAGTGCACGTGGAGGTGGAGAAATGAAGAGAGTTTATTGCGGGGAAGGTGGTTGTTGTTCGGGAATGGTTTAACGGCTGTCAACACAGCACCTAGCTACGAATGATCACGCAGATTGGACGTAAAGTTCGGATCAACACAGAGAACGGTCTGGTTCATGGCTATCAGAAGTCCACCCCTACATCGTCCTTCTCCTCCCATGCCCACTGCTTGAACTTCTCCGGCACTTGTATATGCTTCGCGCGGATGTAGTCCGTGAAGCCTTTGCCTCTGTTGTCCAACAACGTCGAGCTGCTCACGCCACGACCCAAAATGCCGTATATCACAAAGTGCACCGCGTAGATTCCGGGAAACTCCACACGCTCGATCCGGAACTCTTCCTTCCAGTCCCGCCCGACCAGCTCCTTCATCTTCTCCAGCGTCAGGAAGCTCCGCAGCCATTCCCATACTTCCGGCCGGTCGGTGAACAAGCCCATGTTGACGTTCGGTCCCTTGTCTCCTGATCTTCCGATCACAATGTTTCCCAGAGGCATCGTCACGGTCGAGCCGAAGGAATCAAGTGGAACAGGGTTCGCAGTGTCGTAGCTGTCTCGCTCCCCAAACTCTTCATAGGCGGGTGGATGGCCAGAAGGAATAGACTGTGCTTGTTTGTCGCCTTTGTTGAGGAAGTGTACTGCTTCCTCCAGCTCGTCTTGTGGCATGATGCACGGGTAGTACACGTAAAACGACTTGGGGTCTGCTGTCCGCATGTCTTGTGCCCAGTGGAGTCCCTGCATGAACCGTCAGCAGGCGATTGTATAGACTGTTTGATTCGGCCCACCGAAGGCTTCTGCTGTGTATTATCAGCAAGCAAAAGTTTGAGGGCGGACAGCGGCTCTGGTGTCTTCGCCTGCGCGAAGATCCGCGAGTAGGTCGTGCTCTCGAACATGCTCCGTGGGTTCTCCCTCGCGTTGCCGATGTTTTGAAACTCCAAAATGTCAAAGGAACCAAGCAGGCCCATGTCCTTCAATCTGTCTCTGATCTGTATCTCGTACAACTTATGTTTCCTGTTGTTCGAGTAACCCGCAAAGTTGGCCAAATTCTGCGCCTCGTAGCCTCCCTGGAAGAAGATGGCCAGCTTGGTCGTGGGCGGCGGCGGGCGCCCCTTGATGCCGGAAAGGCGGACACGGTCTTTGCCAACCTCCTTGATCTGAGCGTCGTCAAGAAGTGCTTTGACGTCGCTGTTGAGGTAGACGTTGCCCTGGATCTCGTACAGAAGCTGGCATTTAATGGTCTCTTCAGTTACCTGGCCACCAGTACCTTCATGCTTGGTAATAACGCAGGTACCATCTTGTGCAATCTCCGCGATCGGGAATCCAGAATCAATGTAGGTTTCCAACGGGAAGCGATTGAAACCGGAGAAGTTGGACCCCGAAGCGTACGCAGAACATTCGATGATGTGCCCAGCGAGGAACGCTCCTGCTATACGATCGTAGTCTGTGTCCTGCCAGCCATACCACCACCATGCTGCGGCAATGACTGGCGATGCATCAGCCACACGGCCGCAGATGATAATGTCCGCGCCATTCTCAAGGCCCTTCACAATCGCTCGAGCTCCAATGTATGCAGTGCCAGCCAGCACTTGCTCGGCTGTGAATTTTGCGTCCTCGTGGTTTTTGCCGCTCATATCCTGCCAGCTTTGAGGCATCTTGTTTGTCTCTTTGAGTGAAGACCTCACCCGACTGACGATATTGTCGCCAGATACATATGCCACGTTCAAGTCGTAGCCCTTCTCGTCGATAAGCTCCTGGCAGCGCTTGGCCATGTTCTGCGGGCCAAGTCCACCACCGTTGATTACGACTTTGATGCCCTTTTCTGCAATAACGTCCATGGTCTGCTGGAGACCTTGCCAGGCATTCTTCTTGAAACCCTCTCCCGTTCCAGCCTCCATGGCGGCCGCTTCCTGTGCAATGTTGTTCTCCGCCAGCCAGTCGCCTTTTCAGGGTGTCAGTACATATCATGCAGGGCTGACAGAGCTACACACCAGTGATGAAGTCAATGTCACCCATGGTCGCTTGCTTGCGGAACTGCCATGGTGCTTCCATCTGGCCTCCGGCAACATTGGCAACGCGGACAGGACGAGTTCCGCGCTCGCCTTGAGGGTTACGCTCTTTCATGGCGGGCATGGTTGCTTGGTTGTTTCTCAGGAATCACAGCTAACAGCTGAAAGAAAGCAGAAAGTCGATGAGATGCTGTCACCTACATCCAAGTCGTAGCAATGGATTAGCCTTCTAACTTGAGGTGAGTATCGGTACGCTGATCCACCCCGCTGCAAGCTCTTGACCCGTCGGACCATCATGTCCATGTCATGCTGAATGTGTCGCTGGTAAGGCGAGGGTTGTATTACCGAGCCAGAGCATGGACATGGGACACGCGTGTCGACGCGATGGCTCGTCGGTCATCAACAAGCTGTCTCGGCCATCACCACGCCCGGAGAGCACGGATGCACCACTGCGGCCCTCGGTCTCGCGGCTATACGTAGTACGGCAATCTCCTTCTTGACCTCACAACATGCACCAGCGACGGCGGCTTCGGGGGTTTCTCCTACAAGCGATGGTCAATACCATGGTACCGCGGTAGATGCCAGTTGATATGAGGGGAATGAAAAAAACGTACATACTTTCCCATTGTCGATGTAGACGACATCTCTCTTCATTTTCTTATTGCTCCCTAGAGTCCCAAAATGTCGTTCGCAGATCTGCCAAAGTTCGATGACCTCGAGGACAAGAAGCGCTACTGGCCAGCAAAACCCAATAGCAAAGATGAAGGGCTCGGTATGCTAAGGTATCTAACGCCGAAGCATGTTGCACAGGTTGTCAAAGACGAAGTGAAGACTGGCGAACGAGTGTGTTTTGAACCACATCAACAGCGAGTTGGAGACCGCTAACATTTGCAGGTGTGTCTCAACTGGGAGATGACCAGGCTTGAGACTCCAGGTCAGTAACTGTCTATCGTCTTATCTTGCCATGACTTACAGCATCATCAGGATTCAATCGCTTCCCATGCGAGCACGAAATTGTGCCGATCCCGAACTATGAAGGCATCGCTTGGGACGACATCTGGCGCTTCAATCCGCAAGCCTCCTCGCAGTGGGACGGTTTCCGCCACTACAGCACTCAAATGGCCGACGGAACCCGCCGATGGTATGGTGGTACCACCAGCGACGAGATCACGAAAGGTGACAGCGGCCGAATTGGTGTCGGTCACTGGGCGCAGGATGGCATCGCTGCACGAGGCGTCTTCATTGACTATGTTTCCTACCAGGAGAAGAAAGGTGAGTGTAGGCAGTTGTCATTATTGGCTTCAGCATTGCTGACGACAATCCGCTTTCTATCCGCAGGCATGGAAGTCAACGGCATGAACGGCCATGCAGTTACTCTCGAAGAAGTTAAAGAAATTGCCGCTGAATGTAACATTGAGTTCAAACCTGGCGACATCTTGTTCATGCGCATCGGTTTCACCAAGACCTGGGAATCTCTCAATATGGACCAGAAGATGGAATACCGCACAGCGACCCAGGCCCACAAGCACAAGCATACGGGCTTGATCCAAAGTGAAGCTGTAGCCCGTTTCATGTGGGACAACCACATCGTAGCGGTTGCAGGCGACGGGGTATGCTATGCTCCCCAATTCCATCCCCCATCATTCATTTGCTGACATCTCTCCCTCACAGGTCAGCTTTGAAGTACGCCCAAACAGAGATAACGAATGGTCAATGCACAACTACTGTCTCGCCGGCTGGGGTGTGCCTATCGGCGAGATGTTCGATATGGAAAGGTTGGCGGAGCTATGCAAGAAGTTGAACAGATGGACGTTCTTTGTCACTTCCAGCCCGCTGAACCATCCTCAGGCCGTGTCGTCGCCACCGAACATAATGGCACTCTTCTGATTCTACGTAGCTAAACAAAACATCTTGATCGTCCATTAAGCCGGTAAGACTTCCCGTCACAACCACAGGTAAAAGAGGCTGGTTGATAGCCACGATACTGTGTTTCGTGTATGTTTTGTCTTGTTCAACAGCTGCAGTACGCTCGGTTGTGTTTGCTGACGACATGTACCCTGACATCGATCGCGCATACGTCAGAAGCCGCAGAGTTCGGTCGGCAATGCAAGGTAGTGTCCTCAAGGTTGAGAGCTCTTCGGCTACCAGAATTAGCGTGGAGTACTGCGTACACTTGCAACCTATATGGGCTTCAACTGAGCTGCGTATGAGGTTCAGCAAGTAGTACTTTGTTCCTTGACTGGAAGTCTTCCCGAACGACGATCAATGAAATGCCTGGCATCGTGCGAGCAACCGTTCGCTACAACGTTCCAGACCTCTCTGTTCCTCCAGAGGACCGCGGACTCTTTTCTGGACCGGCACACAAGTACGGAGAGGACGTTGAGGTCGACTTGTACGATCCTGCCACTGTACCAGAGATCGTCCAGGGCCCAGAAGGTCTAGACATACAGGGGTTCACATACGTGAAACATAGATCTGCTCTCAACACAGATGAGTGGTTGATGGGCAGCAACGTTGAGGACATCTACGTCCCCGAGATTCAAGACCTGGTTCGTCAAGTCACTGGTGCCAGGAACGTCATTGTCAACCATCTGGGCATCCGAAAGCGTTTGACGGCCAATAATAACGACCCAACGTTCTATCGCAAGAAGGGCGACAAGCATGACGATGCAGTGAAAAAGCTCACTGAACAAGACCGACCGTGGGGTGAGTGAGGATTCCCTCTCAAATCTACCGGCTTTTAGGGATAAATGCTGACCATCAGGTTGTAGTCAACGGTAGGCAAGACGCAGGTCTTGAGCCAGCGCGCTTCGCACACTGTGATTACACCTTGCAGGGTCTAAAGCGTACCGCGAGACATTGCCGCAGAGACATTGCTGCAGCTGCTCAAGAAGCACTTGATGCTGAAGACAAGCAGACAGTACCCAAACGCTATGCGGCGTATTCTGTCTGGCGTCCGATCAAACCGGTTGAACGGGATCCTTTGGCAGTAGCTGACTGGCGTACGACAAGTGCGGAAACCCTGGTACCCATTGAGTATCGAGCCACCAGTAATGTTTTGGAGAGCGGCGAGTACATGCTTGAGCAGGTCACGCAGTCTCCGAAAGCCAAAGACTCAGGTCAGAAGTGGTACTGCAAGACGGATCAAACCCCCGACGATGTCCTGATTCTCAAGTTCGCCGACACTGCATCTGAGCGAGACCTGAAGATGGCAGCAGGTTGTGTTCACTGCTCGCCGGTGTTGGATGGTGTGGGTGATGATGTGGAACCGAGGATGAGTGTTGAGGCGCGGGTGATGGCGTTCTGGTGATTTTTGTACAGATACAATAAGTCAGGCACACTCGCCTTCAAGACGACCCTTTTCCGTGCATATCAATTAAAGTTCAAGACTATCCTCTATCTAGATTTGTTTGTCAACCGCCGCCTCGAACGAAGACTCCTGCAGCCATGCTGTGATCGTTGTTGGTAGCATCGTGGAAGCGAAGATTTCAATCACCTCGAATTGAGAGAAGGTCATCCGAAAGACGTAATGGCAGACGCAGGAGGTTACTCCCGTCGAGTGTTTCGAAGGCTACAGAGCCTAGACAATGTGAAGCAAGCGGGTGTAGTGGCCGAATGCATGATTAGTCAGGCTGTCCGCATGCTCGTGCGCAACGCTGTTATTTGAGTTGCTCCACGCAAATGAGCTCAGTACACATATCGGTATAGTGGAGAGGCGTCTCCCATCTCGAGAAGTTGCTCTGTTCTTACAGTCAGCCAAGGAAGCTGTAATGTTTTGGAAATGCGCCTACCTTCGGTGTACTTCTCCCTAATTTCCTCCTCTGAGTATTGGTCTCGTTTGTGGTTTTCGCGTTTGAGCGTGAAGCGTAGGAAAAGTGCGGAGGCTATCGCTATAGAGATGAAAGCCATGCAGAGGCCATATCCTGTCCAGTATCGGGGTGCCTCTTTGGCAAGGAAGATGTTACTGCCAACTATTCCACCAGCGTTTGCAAGCCTGTCATGCGAAGGATCATAAGGTCAGCGATGCTTTGTCCACATGAGATTCTCCAGCAGCACTCACGTGAGAGACAGCCCCAAGCCGGCGGCACGTTTCGAGCTCGGTGCAAGGTTGTTGGCTGCCCAGGAGACGACGGTGATCACTCCTGGGTAGCAGCCTGCAGTGACTGGGAAAAGGAAGGCATAGGTGAGACCTGGGAGCCTGGCCTGAGGAGTGGCCAGCAGGCCGATGAAGCCGATGGCAGCAGCGGTGTACGGGAAGACCACGAACGGCCACCGAGTCTTGTATTTATCGGCCAGTATTGCGCAAACCACGGTGGAGATCAGAGCGCCTGATTGAGTAGCAAAGTAAGCCTTCCTACTCGAACATACCATGCCGGTGGGCTTACCAGCGTAGATTGGCACTGTCAGCAGTTGGGCTTCAGCAGCGGTGTAACCAAGGTAGGTGATAATCTGGGGAGCTGTGAAGGTCATTGCCTGCTTATAGTTAGCCTTCATCAACTCGTGTGTGGCCTGAAGGGGGCTCATTCACATAGTTTGGAATCGTCGAGCCCCAGTAGACAAGCACAGTGAACCAGATCTTCCAGTCAGTTAATGCAGCGATCAAGTACTTGAGCTGGAATTTCTCTGTAGAAGCCACTCGCCCCTCACGTGTGCCCGAGTCTTGATCCAGACGACGTCGCAAGAACTGCTTCTCTCGTTGGTTGAGCCATCCGGCACTTTCGGGCGAGTCAGGCAGGATGAAGAAGACGGCGATCCCAGTCAGGACCGACAAGGCTCCTTCTAGGACTGTGTTTTCGTTAGCCAAAAGTTCATGTGAGGAGAGGTTGGCATAGTTTACTGAAGATCCACTGCCAACCTGCTACACCTCCAAGACCATCCATCTTGCTGATACCGAATGCAAGAAGCCCAGAGAATGCTCCGGCGAGAGAGGCTGAACAGTAGAAGATCCCAACTCGAGTCTGGACCTCAAAGCGACAGTACCTAGATCGATCAGCACTTCAAGCTTGTAAGAGTGCTGTATAGTGGTCTCACCACGCTGACACAAGGTACGTGGCAGCTGGGAAGAAGCCTGCTTCGGTGAGGCCCAACAACAAGCGGACAGTTAGTAGGCCACCATAGCTGTCGATTGCTCCTGTGCATGTGGTGACCTGCGGCAAGCCATTGTCAGCCCGTATTATTTCTTGGGCGGAATCTCGAACCCACAGTTCCCCATGCAACAACCAAACACCCAATCCATCGAGAAGGGCGCAGGACTTTCAAGGCGACGTTCGCCGGAATCTCAAACAAGCAGTACGGGATGAAGAAAACCTTGATGCTGATTAGCCTGCGACCCAAGAGGAAGACGGCACTCCAGGTACGACTTACAGTCGCCGAAAGATTGTACTGCGGGCCAGTTAGGGCCAGATCGTCAGCCAGACCGGCCACTTTGGCATTGCCCAGATTGGATCGATCGAGGAACGCAAGAAGGTAAAGGAACGAAAGGACTGGAAGAAGCCTCCAGTCGACTTTCCTCAACACCTTCGACGTCTCGATGTCTGCGAACTCGTCCAGGACGCCCATCTCCTCAACCGCCGCCGCACGCTCATGGTGGACATGATCTTCTTTGCCTGTCTCGCTATGGCCGTGGCCTTCGGAGGAGAGCTTCATGGTTTTGTCAAGTAACGAAGCAAAAAGGCGAAGCGGACGGATGGTAAGCAACACGTCGGTGTGAGGATGAGATGAGGTACCAGTGCTGCAGATCTGGTGCGAAGTCCATGACTATCAAGTCATTGCCACGTGGGTCGATCCTTGTCTGCGGCGATCAAGTCCCGTGTGGAGATACCACTTGAGGAGAAGTTGGGGTAGTCGGCGCCATGCCAATGTCGCCAATGTCGTCTCCATGAAGCTTGGTGCGCCATAGATGCGAACGAAGAAATTGCACTGAGTGGTTGCCTCGGGAAAGAGTTCAGAACACCTCGGGCTTAACAGCAAATCTTGCCAAGCAAAGAGGCAACATGCTGTCGGCAGTAAAAGTAACCCCCTCGGTCACAGTGGGCCGTGTGAGAGATCTTCTCACACATGATGAGAGCCTGCCGACCAGGTTGACGTGGGCTTTTTGCGAACAATCGAGTCTCGGAGAAGACTGCCAATGCGCTTGGCTGGCCGCTTTCACTGTCACCTGCTTGAGAGTACTGCAGGCGCACCAGACAAATAAATCTGTTGCAGAGGGTCTATCCAACGACTCTCCGAAGCGGCAAGCTGTCGACAGTGAAGCGGTCCACTAGTTCAGAGTTGGCCCGATAAATAATCTTCTCGGAGACAGTGATCGCCGGCCGACGAGAGTGATGTGGCCTTTCGGATCGCAACCTCGTCTCGGAGAAGAGGCAGAAGACCGCCAGATGTTCCCGGTGGCTCCTTTCACGATCTCTTGCTTGTTTGGTAAGAGAGCCATCCATGTAAGATCCCTTCTAGTTGCCGCACATCGAAAAGCAGGAGGTCTGAATAGACTTTAAGCTCATTGCAGCCCTCAATGGCCCCCAAAACTCGTCGGCGAGGTACTGTTAGCGATCGTGGACTTGGAAACTTACATGGGGAACACTGGCAGAGGATGTGTTGCATGCTTTGCATTCAGCGAGCTACGCACAGCATCATCTGCCACCTCATATCGTACAGCCAGTTGCTTTGGCAGACCGGATGGACTTCGCCTCCTAACGTTGGCCATCGTGCTCCCGCCACAGGCACACAGCCATGTACTCACTCCATGCAAGATAGCAAAAGCGGCCCAGCAAGATAGTCTCCCACAGTGGCATCACCGTCCAGCCGGCTTACAGCACCTCCTCTCACATGCGAACGCGGAGCAGGTAGCGCAAGCGGACTTGAGCAACATCGTAGCAGATGTACTCGTTGTACTGAAGATAAGCGCCCAAAGCGCCGGTGTCGTCGGGCTTCTCGGTGGTATCGGGCTATCAAGCAGGTAAGTGATTGTTGCATGACTTTCGAAGAACAGCTGCATACCATCTTCACGCCTGCAAGCGACCGGTGCAAGCATTTCGCATCCTTCCAGGCCTTTGGCGCTGTCTGGCCTCGACCCCACGTCGAATGCAGTCCCTTCTCCTTGGCCGTCGTACCTGCATCATATTGTGCATTGTCGAGCACTTGCATCGGATCGCCGAGCTCGGCCTCACAGAGTAGTAACAGGGCATGGCCTCCAGAGATCCCAGGAACGCAGTAGTTGGCAGACTTCGACGACATGTCTGCGAGATAAATGCCCTTATCGAACCTGCAGGGGTCAGTCGGTTTCCGAACATGTGCACTGTGCAGGCTGTGACTTACATGTACCCACTGAGAGGCGCCTCAGGCGGAGCAATACGCAACCCCTGCCCAAGAATGCCGCCGTAATTGGTGGCCCTGGAGCCGTGCCTGATCAACGTTAGCAATGTCTTCGAAAAAACTGCAGTCGGCGTGGAAGCTCACCACAACAGCCTCCGGTCACTTGACACCTTCGAGAATTGACTTTTCAAGAAGCGGTCTTCCTCGTCGGCTCGCTGTATACGGAAGATGTCGAGGACATGGTAGTTGACCGTATGTGTGAACCCACACGTCTTGAGAAGATACTCGCTGACGCCGGAGAATTCTGCACTGTCCGGCTCGAGCGCTGTCATCTCCTGCATCCCCAGACCCTTGAAGCGTGAGTCAAGCGGGTGAACATCGCGGTCACCTTTGTCTTTGATGATGGCATCCGCTTCCTTGAGATCCGTCAAGCTCTCCAGCAGCTCAATCTCCCGCTTCAGCAGCTCCATGGTCCGAATGACTGGAGGTCGGTTGCGGCCGAACGAGTGTGGGATGGTTGAGTAGTACAGGTTGGACAGATGCTCTGTAGCCTCAGCGACCGACAAGTCGTAGTTGCCAGCTTTCGAAGAGTCGTCAAGAAGATCAGCGAGCTCCTTAAGCGCCTGATATCCGCGACTGATCGTGGGCTTGCTGAGCTTGCCGAGTGGTAACTTCTCCGAGTCGTAGTTCAGAGCTGCCATGGTGGCTTCGAAGTACTCCTGGTTGAAGATGAGCTCCATGAGTGATTTGACCGGCGAGTCCAACGTGCACTTGGGTGGGGAGTAGCCGTTGCGTTCAGCGCCACCCTTTGCGGCCGGCTCATCGTCGTTGTCACTTTCAGGGTCGTAGCTGCGTTCCACAAAGACGTACTTGTTCGGCTTGGGCTTCTCCTGGCGGTCGTCCCACTTCAAGCCGGACTTGTCTTTGAACTTTTTGTCGAAGTTCTTCAGCGCATCTTCCAGGCTTCCGTTCCCGAGCATGGCGTTCTGGCCGCGTTCGCCGACACGGCCCCATCGAGTCCATGTCCGGTAGGTGCTGCTGCTGTGAAGGAGCTGTGCAGACGTCAGCATCTGCCAAACAGCATTTAAGAGGAAGAGCTCACCTGAATGCGGTAGAACTTGTTGTTGTTGCCGCTGGCGTTGGTTTGATTCAGCGAGGCATCGTAAATGATCCCATCGTCGCCCACGTAGACTCGGTACGATGTTGGACAGCCTTCATCGAGTGGAACTTGACGAGACCCAGGTTTGGCGACCTGAGCCTCCTTGAACTGCGGTGCGGGCTTGGAAGACTTCTTGTCTGTCTGCTGCTCTGCCTCTGCGTTGTCGGCGCTGGCGTCATCGTCGATTGGCTCGGCTTTAGCTTTGGCCCTGCCGCCCCTTTTTGGCTGCTTTCTCTGCGGCGCGTCGTCGTCCGCTACAGGAGACGCCGCTCTCTTCTTGGCTCTCTTCGGCGGCATCTTGTCACGATACCTCAGGTCGTTGTGGCATGTAGTGAGAGTGGCACAATATTGTCGGAGAGGAGGAAGAAGGGTGAACGGCAAGGAGTGAGGTCAACGATGGGAAAGGCAGGCAGCGCAGGCAAGAGCGTCCGTGCACGTCGTTGCCGCCTGAAGATGTGCGACCGCGACCTCACGTGTATACAGTAACAACGCTCGCTCTCCCACAGCATTCGCATCCTTGATCTTCTTATCGCTCGTTCAGCATGGCATCCGCAGCGGAGATCCTACGTCTGCCTCCCGAGCTGGTGCTTCGAGTGTCCTCCTACCTCACCACTACTGAGCTGGGATCGTTACGCGCGACATGCAAACAGATTGAAGCACACATATTCGACAGCTTTGCGAGAGAGTTCTTCACCAAACGCCAGTTCATGATCGAACAGGTCAGTCTGGAGGCGCTGGTTGGTATTGCAAACCACAAGACGCTGGCTCCGTATCTCCAAGGTAAGCTTGAAATGCAGTACATCCCATCTCTCTGTCGATGTGCTGTGTACTGACCTTCCTGGAGAGGTGATCATTGGCCTCGAGGCCTTCGACGTCAGCGTCTCTGGCCACTCCATCCGTCTCCGTCCGAACAACCAACGAGACATGACCGGACTTGTCTGCGGCGATGTGCTTCTCGCCACCGGGCACGCCAGAGATCTGCTGATCAACGCCTTTTCCAAACTTCCAAACCTGCGAATCGTGGGACTGCGCGACTACGACGGCAAGGATCGTCTGAGGGATGGTGAACACGCTGTGTGGAGGAGCTACGGCTGGTCCCATGGTCTTGTCAAGACCGACATTCATCAACTGGCTACATTGCCATCTTGCCACATCATGGCCTTTCATGACGCCGACACCATCTTTCCGACGATACTGCACTCACTTGCCAAAGCAGGATGTCGTCCGCTCAACATCGAAGTCTTCCTGCGCCAGAGACGGCTGCAAGACAGATCGTTCAACGTCCTGGCATCGTACATGCAGCCAAAAGTTCAGCCGCTACTGGCTGGTTTGCGAGTACTTCTCTTGAGCTTACACATCCCTCGGAATCACGAGAGCTATCCCTACTTTCCAGCCTCTGCCACAGACGACGACCGCAGTGCACCACATGGCTTGCTTCGGCATCTGCTACGCCATACGCCTTCTCTCGAGCATCTACGATTGAACTTCCACTCGGACCAGTACAGTGGAGATGAGTTCTTGTCGTGGCTGGGGGAACCGCCTCAGCCATCATCTACCATCTCAAGCTCACTCCATCTTCCTCGCCTGAACAAACTCGAGGTGGGTGTTGTCAAGGCCGAGCCCCAGACGCTTGCAAGACTCTTCACCAAATTCCCACTGTCGTCTCTATCACTCTTCAAGGTGTCTCTTCTGGCTCGGCACCCGCCGAAACCCGATGCAGACGGAGACCTGTGGAAAGAACTCCTGCATGAGCTGAGCAGATCCCTCTGGAAACCACTCGACTTCAAATCCCTAATGATTGGATTTCCATCTGAAAGACAGCATACCACGAATGCTCCTCATTCTGCCCACTCGGAGTGGGTGATGTTTGCGAACAAAGTAACGACAGATCAGAATGGAGAGAAACATTTCGAAGATTTCCAGTCCAAGGTGGAATACCGTAAGCATTTCGGGAGTGATGTGCGTCTATGGTTGAAGGACCTTGCTTCGCGAACGTGCTCCTACAAGGTACATGTGCAGAAGCCCGAAGAGTCTGTGAGTGAAGACGGTTCGGATTCGGAAGTGGGTAGCGGGGGTGATGAAAGCGATGATGACACGGAAGTGGATGGCGAGATCGTGGTGATTGAGGACGACGATGACAACGACGAGGACAACGACAACGACCAATGATGATGATGATGTTAATGACATGGGCAGTGTCAAGTACATTGCTGGCACATGAGCGGACTGACGAGACTTCTGCTACCTTTGCCTTCTTTGGGCAGACGGGTTCGTGCAATAACCGTAGACGGCAGATTGCTTCTCCTTGCAGGACTGGCTCGAAACGATGTTATCAATCTTCTCATGTGTGCCATGTACCTTTTCTCACTCCAGCTTGAATGTTTGATGTAAGCACGTGACGTAGATAGTAAAGTCTTGGCGCTGGTGCTTGCTATAGAACGTCCATAACAGCAACATAACTTTTCTCAAATTGTGTCTTTTCGCACCTGTCAATTCTCCCGCCAATCGCGCCTTGCTCTACCCCCGACCCTCACCCACCGCGATCCTTTCCACAGCACACCCACTTTCACGACAGCTTGAGAACGACAAGATGGGGGAGTCAAGGTAGATCAGCACCAGGCACACAGCACATTGAATTCAACATGCGCTGACCACCCGCCCACGCAGGCAAGAGCTTCTGTCCTGGCTCAACAGCCTCCTCCAACTCAACATGACCAAGATTGAGCAGTGCGGTACCGGGTACGACCCCTCCAGCACCCCTCATCCACCCCACCCTGGCTGACATCCTCCTCCCAGCGCCGCCCTCTGCCAAGTCTACGACAGCATCTTCCTCGACCTCCCCATGTCGCGCGTCAAGTTCGATGCGAAGAACGAATACGCCTACCTCGAGAACTTCAAGATCCTCAGCAACACCTTCCGCAAACACCAGGTCGACCACCCGATCCCCGTGCAGGACCTGATCAAGTGCAAGATGCAAGACAACCTGCAGTTTCTACAGTGGACGAAGCAGTACTGGGACCAGTACTACCCCGGCGGCGACTATGACGCAGTTGCGCGGAGGAGAGGTGCAGGGCCTGGCGCGACACCGGCAATGGCACCTGCGCACGGCGGCGCAAGCGCGAGGACAAGCGGGATGGGAGCGTCGAGAAGTCGGCCAGGCGGTGGGTCTGGAGCAGCGGCGCCGCGGACGACGAGTAGGCAGACGGGCGGAATCGGCGGTGGAGCGAGCTCCGCGCTACAGCAAAAGAACGCGGAGTTGATGGAAACGGTGCAGGGATTGGAGAGGGAGAGGGACTTCTACTTCAGCAAACTACGTGACATCGAGTTGATCATCCAGCAAGCCATGGAGGAGCCGGCGATCGAGGAGCATGAGGACAGCATCCTGAAGCAGATCCAGACGATCCTGTACAGCACCGAGGTGAGTAAAGTTAAGCAAGATGTGAATCAGACACGCTGACGCATCGTGCAGGAGGGCTTTGAGATCCCACAGGAAGCAGAAGCCGGCGAGGCCGCGGGCGAGGAAGAGACCTTTTAGAGCTGGTCCGCACGCATTGGACGCAAGGGGAGTGAGCGAGCATTGCAGTTGCTTTCAGAGATACCACCACCGCCTTTGGGGATTCCAGCGTCGTTCGGAGGGTGCCGGTGAAGCCTAACACGATAATACATGAGACATGGGAGAGTACGTGAGACGGAAGAACGAGGCCAAGAAACCGCATGTCTGGACTTGAACTGGCGGAATGATGTTACGAACTTCGGGCCTGCAGACATCATAGCAGCCGCTGCCTCAAAAGCAGTACTATGACCGACGGCTTGTTCGATTAGCAAGCAAGCGACTCCACCTCCCTTCCAATCGACTCAGTCGTCCTCGCTCTCCTCTCCGTCTTCTTCATCGTCATCATGCTCATCCCTTCTCGGCCTCCCACGTTTCTTCTTCTCGCCATTCGCCTGCGGGGCTTTTCGCGCCGCCCCTTCTCCCAGTCCTCGACTCCTCGCTATCCTCCTCTCCAGCTCCTTCTGCTCATCGTTTCCATCCTCATGGTTATAGACAGCTTTCACCAAACCCTCCACACCTTTCTCACCCACCTCGACCTTTGCTCGTGGTCCAACGATCCAGGACACATCTTCTTCCCCGTTGCCAGCATTCTCTCTGACCTTCAACACGTACCCATCCTTCTCCATCCGCTTCATCAGCTTCTCCGTCTTCTCATACCCGTCCACGGGCGTTGCGTCCTCCAGTCCTAACCTCCGCAAATAACGGTCCATCTTCGCGTCCGGTAGCTGACCGCCCGAGAGCAGAATGAGGGAGACAAGCATGGTGTAGACGGAAGTGTATTTGCCTTCTTCGGCGCTTGTGGGCGCGGCGACGGGGGGAAGGATATCGGGGTCTCTGCGGAAGCGGGCTGGCAGGATGGAGACCAGCACCCAGCTGGTGGGTGCTTTCGAGGCTTGCGATTGAGACTTTTGGGCCGCTGTGGTGGGAGTTGATCAGCACAGCCACATGTGATACGGTAGTGTAGATATGAGCGTACCTCGCTTCTGCTGCAGCGTTATCTTCTCCTTCCCGGGCAACTCCACCATCTCCATCCCAAAGACCATCCTCAGCTGGTGCTGGGCGGTGTTGAACACGGTTTTGAACGTCTTTGCGCCATTGCCGCTTCCAAGCACCTTCTCGCCTATATCACCACGGCGGATGGGCTTTCGGTTGTATTCGCACGCCAACGCAAAGCGGACGAGGTTCTTGACCATCTGGTCCTCGTTGTCGCGGCCATTACGGTTTCGTCCGCCATCAGAAGCATACCCGTCGTCTTCTGGAGGCGTGACACGTCGTCGTTGAGTTGCGGGTTCGGGAGAGGAAGCGGGCGAGTCGGGGTCGGATGGAGGCGCTTCTTCCTGGTCGGCCTGTTAGCTGGAGTGTTGGGGGATAAATGTGTGGGTGGGTGCGGACTGCGCGTCGCTTTCTTGGTCGTTCAGGAGGCATGTCTACTGCTCACTACGTCCTGGGTTTTGAATGTCTTTTTGCAACCGAGATCATGAGATGGTGACGCGTTCGTTCACGCGTAAAGTGCGCGTTGGAGGGTGAAGTCACAGCGCAGCGCTCTGACCACCGCTGAGAACCATCTTCACATGAATTCAAGTGCGCCGCCAAAACATCCGATACTGTCTCTGATGAAAGAGTTGGAGATACGGGAGAAATGTACATGCAGCGTAGATTGTATCACTATCACACGTTCCGCCCGTCCTTGTCTATATGGAAACTCCAGCTACCGTATGGCCTTTGACCAACAGCTCAACCCCAAAAATGCCATACCATACACATGCATCAGTTCCTTGCATTGCTTGAATGCGTCGCCACTCCCTTTCCGATACTCTCTGCCTACGAAGAGTGTCTGCCTCCGTTGGTGCCGTGACTCGGATGCGCTTCCATGTGAGCCTTGAAGAATGGCCTACGTCGTCCCGACGCTGGATCCAGCTGCATGCTATAGTCGAATCTCGGAGTGTCCATCAAGCGCAATCGACCGACCGTAGACACCGGCGATGAAACCTGAGAAGGGTGAGGGACGGCACCCGGATATGGCAATTTCGCCGGAGCGCGCGCAGACCAGGAGGTGGGCTGGTAGCTGTCGTGAGGCGCTGGTGGATGATGGTGCGCTGTCGCGAGGACATCAAAGGACAATACCATCAACCGACCAGAGTCACTTCGCCTTCTTCTTGAATGCACCATCGAGTGTGCTCTGGCTTCGCTCCCGCTTCTCACCCGTCTTCGCCGGCGAGCCTCCGTCTTGCTTCTTCGCCCCCCTTTTCTGTGGCGACGCATGCGTTTCCTCCGTCCCATCAGCATCCTCAAACGTCATCATTCCGCCAGGCCCGCCCTGCTTCCCCTCCGTAGGCCCCTCAGCGTTATCTGCGAAAGCCTGCTTCCACGTCCCATCGAGCACCTTTGGATCATTTCCGTACAATCCGACCGCATAAGCGTTTTTCATTCCGTCCAAGCAGATATCGCGTTGAGTTGGGAAGTCGAACATGGGTTTGGGATACACAGCCAGTCCATCTTTCTCGGTCTCCTGTCCATCTCCTGCAACGAACACACCCGCCTTCTTTTGGTCCTGGATAGGAGCTTTGTGCGGCTCGTAGATATACTTCTTCGGCATGTTTTCCAGCTCCGGCACGAACTTGCGAACATAATTACCCTCCGGATCCCACTTCTTTCCAAACGCAATCGGGCTGTAACACCGATAGAACTGACTGAAGAAGGCGGTACAGCTCAGCCATTGCCAGTTCCCGATATTGCAAGCCGCCTCATGGTCTATCAGCAGTTCCTCAAACACTTCTGCTCCGCGCTCCCAGCTGATGTATGCTCCACCGCGCGTCAGAAAGCAAGCCACGGAGTGTCGCGCCAGATGGTGGATCCAGCCTTCGGAGCGAAGTTGACGCATAATGGCGTCGATCCAGGGAAAACCAGTCTTACCATGTGCCCATCTTTCCAGCCACTTGACCTTCTCCTCGTCGTCAACTTCGTACCCACCCGTGATGAGCTGGGTGTTCACATCAACCTTGCTCGGGAGATGCCAAGGGATGAAGCGGCAGTGGGAGTTGTTGTACGTCTGTCCGAAACTGTAACTCAACACGGCTTGTGCAGCAAAGTACATGTCGCGGAAGAGCAGTTGGCCTGTCAAGCTGGTCGGTGGCTCGGAAACGGGCTTCTTTGCTTTACGTCGCTCCTCAACAACCCGCAGGACGTTATGGTAGAAGTGGCGGCAGCTAAGGGCACCGAAGTGGAGATAGGGAGAGGTGAGGCAGGTCGATTGCGGCTCGAAGGCTGCTGGTGAGGTCTTCGGCTTCTCGAATGTGCCGGTGTACTCTTCATCGGCGAGTAATCCATCGAGCATATCCAGGACAACGCTCTCACCACCCTTGTGAGGTGTGGTCGCTGGCTTCATGCCGAGCTCTTCTAGACTGGGTACGGCGAAGTCATTTTTGGGACCTGCGATGCCAGAGGCGTACGAGCTTTCTTCGCCATCGCGGAACTGCTCGTTCATGTCTGAGCCGGCGTTAGGCTTTGTCTGCTCAATGTCCAGGCTGGTCTCTCCAGGATCGGGTAAGCTCTTCGGAGTATCAATCGGGGCCGCCACGTCTCCCACCTTTGCGCCAGCTGCCTGCAGCTGGCCTATACTCATGGTGGGCTTGCCATTGTTTGCCTTGACAACCTCATCACTATCCCACAGTGTCCTCCCGGACTTGACAATCACCTCCACGCCCGCCTTTTTCGCCTGCTCCATAACCTGCGCATCTCTCTGCCGCCCGTACGCATCGGTGTCTTTCTCGAAGACCAGGTGCGAGATCTTCCACGCCTTGAACAGCTTTGGCAGCAGCGTGACAGCTGGTTCGCGGAGCACGAACAGTTTGCTCTTCTTATTGAGCTTCGTGATACTCTGGGACAGGTCGTTCTGACAGTCGATTAGGAACTGGAAGCGATTGGGTCCGACTCGAGAGTGGTAGACGTAATGGCTGTCCCAGCACCAGATGGGATAGAGCACTTCCGGCTTCAGGTCGAGAGCCGCTTTAAATGCTGGGGAGTCATGAAGGCGGAGGTCGGTACGAAACCAGTACAGCACTCGCGGTTTGCCCATTCTTGCTTGTTCCTCGTTGAGGGCGTGTTGTAGGAAGACGAGCCGGGAGAGGAGATGAAGAAGACGGAGCTGAAGACCTTCGCTTACCTGCAACAATCATGCGTGCCATTGAACCTTCGCGCCTACTGGCCGTTGCTGCAGAGGAGATCCTGGAGAGCTTGTCCTGTTCCTGGCACTGATGATGCATTCTTCTGCATCGCCAAGAGATCTGTGAGATCGATTTAGAGATGCGTCCTGGTCCAATCGTCCTGGCCTGAACATTCCATGTCAGTGGTTATGTACCTGCGAACTCCTCGAGGTGTCAGCGGCAAGGCCATTGTAAAGGGCCATATGAGGCTCCCTTCACGTCAAGAGCCGGCGGCGTTCTTGTTCTTCTTCCAGAGACGGGTGAAAGCACCTGAAGTCGTTGTCCGGTCAATGGGGTGGTGCGTCGTGAGTATAGAATGACCTGATTCACATTCATCTCGTGTGATCAATCTGCAATCACATGTCAGTCCAAGTTCACGAGGCGCTGCATGACGAGGTTACACAGGCAAGCGAAACAGACTTGTCATTGTTTCGAACTTTCCTCACAACCTGCCTTCTCTCTCACCAGGAACCTGGACGGGTTTTTCCACAAGCACACTATCTTCTTCCCCAAACCTTCCGTCAATCCATAGCACTCACTAGCCGATCATGGCAGGCACTTCGAGGATGGACCGCCTTGTGAAGGTGCTGGGAGGCGAAGAGAATCTGCCACCCAAGAAGCCTCAAGCACAAGCGAGTGCACCAAGTAACACGAACGTCAACCCCACGGAAGACGTCGCAGACCCGTCATCAAACACGAAGACTCAAGACGGCGAGGACAGCGCGGTCGAGTGGTGGAATCTGCAACCCCAACTCCATCTCCACGAGCCTGATCCAACCGCACCTGGCCCGGCCACAACACCAACGACCCCTCACATGGCAGACGGCGACTCCCACTACAACTTCGATCCTCGCAGAGGTGAGCCAGCTCCACTGGGCATGGGATACTGTCCCTTCGCAGCCGTCGTCAAGTACCCGTACAAGTTCGTCAAGGCCGACCTGAGGCAGCCCCTGGCCACCGCCTTCTTCGACGCAAGCAAGATCTGGAACCGTGAGTGGGATCTGTAAGTGGCATTCACTTTACTGCATGTCTGAAGGACGGCATTGACGTTCCATATGCATCCAAGCTTTCACTGACCTCACTTCAGCCACTACATCTGGTCCGAACACTACCCCACCGCTAAACCCGTGCTCTTCATCCCGAAGTACCAGCTGCAAGGACTTCTAGACGACATCAACCACGCCTTCCCAAACGCTCACCTCAAGATCACTGACGAGCTGCGTGAGGACGGCCTGGTCATCAGCTTCGACGACATCGACCTCCGCCACCTCAGACCAGTCGTTTTGGGCCATTCGACCAGCCGCGACCAAATCGACTACTGGACTGACCATCTTCCACTGCCAGAGTCAGTCTCCGAAGACATGGGTAGCCGCACGCACGAGGCCTTCCGGGCGAAGATGGAGCTGGCGCAGGAGATCGCGAAGAACAAGTCCAAGGCGGCCAAGAAGAAGCGTCAAGAAGAAGTCGTGATCAAGCGCCAGGGCATGGCTCGGGAGATGAAGCGCGCTCAGAAGTACTTGGGCATGTGTCCAGGGCCTCAGTCAAGCGAGTCTCTCGAAGCTGATCTCGCGAACCTCTCCCTCTCACCCATCGACATTACAAACATCATGCCCTATCCCTTCGGTCAAGACGTCATCTTCATTGCCGTGGACCTCGAGGCCTACGAGCATTCATAACGTCAGATCACCGAGATTGGCATCGCCACCCTTGACACTCGCGACCTCAAGACCACCGCTCCCGGCCCAACTGGCACCGAATGGCAAAAGGCCATCCGCGCTCGCCACATCCGCGTTGCCGAGTACACATACCTCGTTAATAAGGATTTCGTCCAAGGCTGCCCTGACAAGTTTGAATTCGGCAGATCCGAGTTCGTGGGCTTAGACAAAGTGGTCCAGACAACCGCCTCCTGCTTCAAGTACCCCTACAGTGGCTCCCCACCTCCCGATGAAACGGAAGAGAAGCGCAACATCGTCCTCGTCGGCCACGACATCAGTCAAGACATCAAATACCTCCACTCCATCGGTTACAACCCCTACAACAGCAGCAGCGTCGTGGACACCCTGGACACGGCGACCATGTTCCGCGTCTGCAACAAGGACCCCAATGCGCGCGCCCTCGGCAGTATCCTCTACGAGTACGACCTTACGGGCTGGCACCTCCACAATGCGGGTAACGATGCGGTGTACACGTTGTGGGCTCTGCTGGCGATGTGCGTTACACAAAGCAGTCAGCGGGACTCTGATGACGCAGCGAAGCAGATGGAGGAGAAGCTGAAGCAGAGGACTGTGGAGGCGATCGAGCGTGCGAAGGAGAAGGTGGAAGATGATATGGAGGGCTGGGAGGAGGGTGGGGTGAATCTCGATGAGGAGAAGCCGATGTATGGGCCGAAGCGGCCGGGCGAGAAGGTGTTTTACACGAGTGGAGGGGCGATACTAGACGTCTGAAGGAGTGAGCTGGTGAGGTAAGAGCTGGCTGAGCGTTTAGGTGCTGGGCTGGCTGGTGATACCTCACCGAGCAGCAGAGGACGGGAGATTTCTTGCTGGCCTGACGGGCACATGGGCACATGGGCATGATTCAGAGCGTCTTCACTCTGAGGCATGTAGCTCACACTGGCTTCAGCATGGACATGGCTTCAGCATGAAGTGCAGAAGTAGACAGAGAGCCTTCAAGCTGCCGGTTGTTCAAAGATGCGAGTAGTTTCATACCCTACATTTTGAGCTGACAAGTGAATCTGAATTGCTCTCCTCTGCTGCCCATCTCACGTTGGGAATACGCCGGATGTCAAAGAACAAGCGCCCCCGTTACATATCTTGGATGGTCTCACACCCCGTACGTCCCAGACAGCTTGGAAGCCTTCTCCTCCTGATCCCAGGGCATGTTGTGCTGGCTTGGTGGACTGCGTGCGAGCCTTCTTGAGGACCGGTGCAGCAGCAACGAAGTCATCGTCTGATGCCTCCGGGGTCTCGCTTGTGGAGCGGCCTATTAATACCGTGAGCAACGCTATTGTCGTCCACGCTGGCAGATGTCTTACGCTTCGGCGGCATGGCGAATGGCTGTTTCGTGGGCTTGATTTCTTTTCACGCCACCTACCTGTGGTTTCCTGGTGAAGGTGAAGAGAAGTGGAGATGCTTTTACACGGTCGACGTGTCTCATTTCGCGTGAAGTACGAGCAAGCGCGGATCGGACGGGGTGGTCACGACTGCCCTCCCCAGTACCGTCAGGCGGAGGTCTTGTCTTGCCACGCCGGTCCTTGCCAGTCAAAACTCAAGAGCGATGAAGAGGCTGTCCGGATTCACGACATACTATCAAGCGATAGATTCGCGCCGCATGTCTTACGCTGTTTCGTCGTTGAGGTCGGTAGATTGTAGGGCTGCAGGGGTACTGATGTTGTTGGAGATGGCGTTAGACCTAAAGTGCCTCCGCCATAATGGTGTTGCCGTCCTAGTGTCTGGCTGTACACTTAGATCATCAGTACATCCAATGTGCCTCGCACTTTTGCGAGGGCGCCAATAGAAGTGACGACAGCAGCAGACGCAGCAGGTGGGCGGTGGTGTGGCGTAGTGCAGCCCGAGAGTCGCAGATCGGCTGGTCGCGAATGCGTGTTTCGGCCTTCCAAGAGTTCGACGACGTAGACATGCTTGGGACCTGTCCCAGATTCAGATTCAGATTCATATCCGCAGCGTCTTCCCTCATGTGTCGTCCAGCACACTCAAAGGCATAGCGATTGTGACCAGGCCGAACCTTGAAGGAGTAGTCATCATCAGCTACAGCAATGGCGTCGTCTCCACCCTCTCCACCACCACCCTGGAAACGGACTTCCTCTTTCTCCAGCGTCGCGCAGAGCGTTGCATCTGCCACCGAGGATTTTGTTCTGCACCGCGACCCTCCTCCTGGTTTCATTGCCGCCACAGCAGCAGCGACCGCACGAGCGCCGAGCGTCAAGGAGATCAGGAGTGGGCAGTTTGGGCAAGATGGCTGGAGCGCAGAGAGGTCGGCAAAACCAGGTCCAAGACGCAGGTCGAGTGGTTCGGGAGAGCGTCCTAATGTACGAGACTCGCGCTTCATCGAGCCTTTCGAGCCTTTGGCGGAGGAGCGGACACGAGTGAGCGCCGATGAGCGGACAAGCGAAGGACTACGGGCAGAGGACGGGAGACGGGATCACAGCAGCCACGCGGAAGCTCGAGCAGCTACACCGGCGAACATACCAGAGTCAAGACCTCTGACCAGCCCGGATAACGAGCGGACCGACCACGACAGAATAGAAGCCCCTGAACAACATGCGAACCCTAACTATCAAACACCACCAAAACTTCCGTGGACAACCTCCACGCTGATCGGCCTCAAAGCTTTCTGGAAATGGTTCCTCACGCCTTTTGGCTTCCTCGTCACTCTCTACGGCTTGAACGTGGTGGCATGGGGCGGCATGCTCTTCCTCCTGCTCTGCGGCGCTGCGCCAGCCATGTGCTGGGCTCCCGTCCACACTGCAGAGAACCAACGGCATATGTCGCCCGCTGCTGCTCTCGATTTGCCTGGACCTTACTACCACAATTGCAACGACATCAATAGCCCACGTCGAGTGTGGATCGAGATTGACAGCCAGATTCTCAATGCCCTCTTCTGCGTCACCGGCTTCGGGCTGGTACCTTGGAGGTTCAGAGATCTCTACTACCTTCTTCGCTGGCGCCTCACCTCTTCGAAAAGTTCTAATAAGATGTATGGTCTGCGTGTCCTGGCTGGGATCCATCGAAGCTGGTTCCGCTTATCTGGCAGCCAGACGCTTGACTCCATTCCATCACAAGATTACCTCACCCACCTGCAGAAGACAGCAACCCCTGGGTCAGATCTTGAAGCCGCGCATTCTTCCCTGCCAGACGCCGATCCACGCCTACCCTTGCCACTCGCTAAAACTCCACCTCCACCACCGAGCGGCATTCGCGCCCCAGCGACAGCACCTTGGAAGCTCGACTTCTTCATCTGGTGTCAAGTCTGGAACACTTTCTTCCAGTGCTGCTTGTGTGGCTTCATGTGGGGAATGAATCGGTACGCTCGTCCGCCGTGGTCGACCGGACTGTTCGTGGCTTTGGCGTGTATCATTGCTGGCGTGGGCGGGTGGATGAGTTTCAAAGAAGGAAAGGCTGTCAAGAAGGTCGAGGGCGTGATGAGGAAGGACCAGGATGATGTGGCAGGGGAAGGGGAGGAGCTGAGAGAAGTCAGGACAAACGCGAGCGAGTACGAGAGTGTGCATCTACACGGACAGGCGAAGGACATTCTGAGGTCCATGGGGTAGCCAGGAGTAAGTAGGCTTCGTTGTATTCATAACGGCAAGCGGATTCATTCAAGAGGTATAGAGCCGATATCCGAATCTCCGACCATCAGCAGAATGCCTTCCAAATTCAGCATTTCTCTGCCTTGACCCACGACACTAAGGATGCAAAATGCTGATCATTGCAACCTTCATCCTTCTCGGCCGTACGAAGGCAACATCTGTTCATTCAAAGGAGGTACAGCTGCTCCAAATACTTCACTGTGAATGAACGAACTCACTACACGACAATGACAGGCATGCTACCATCTCGCACACTCACTTACAAGACAGTCGGCAGTCTGGATATCCTCCTCGACATCTATCTCGCCCCCAAAGTAACGAAAGCTCCTATACTTCTGTGGCTACACGGAGGCGGACTGCTGTAAGCGCCCCGTCATTCTCAAGTAGTCGCCTGGTAAGGCTAACAATTGCTTGCAGGCAAGGCCACCGCAGCCAACTACCACCTTACCTCCGCAGAGGAGTACAGCAGCAAGGATACACCTGCGTCTCCGCCGACTACCGTCTTGCCCCTCAAACAACCCTGCCGGACATCTTTAGGGACGTCAAGGACTGCATATCCTTCATTCGTTCTTCACTCCCAGCGCGCCTCGCCGAAGCTGGGCTCAAAAACGTAGTAGACGTCTCCCGTCTCGCAGTCAGCGGATCGAGCGCTGGTGGTTACCTCGCCCTCCTCGCAGGCCTGTACATCCAGCCGAAGCCACAGGTGGTAGTAGCTACCTATCCCATGACCGACCCGCTTGGACCTGCGTTCGCCATGCCGCAGCCTCCTCCAACAGGCTACAGCGTGCCTTCTGCAAAGGCCATGGCACCATACCTTGATCGCAGTGCTGAAGTCGTGGCGAACTGCGAGCCACCGGATCCGAGGATGGATTTGCCGCTGTACATGCTTTCGACCGGCAGAGCCCCGGAGCTCTTAGGTGTGCAAGACCCGGAGGTCGCGAAGCCGTGGAGAGTGTCGCGCAAAATTCACGAGCACAGATTACCGCCGACGTATGTGCTGCATGCTGATACCGACTCTGCTGTCGGCGTGGAGCAGGCGGATGAAGTGGTCGGAGCAGCAGTCGGCTGTGGGCTGGAGGTGGTGTATGAGAGGGTGCATGGGAAGGAGCATCTCTTCGACATGGCGCCGGAATATGAGAATGAGGACATGATGGGGTTTGTTATGAAACATCTGACATGATGCCCGCTCCGCCAGGTCCGATCCAGCTGGCTGGTGTGGGCGTTGCTACAGGGCGAAATACGCATTCCATCGAAGCATTCCTCTCCACCCTGATCGCCCGTACAGGTGTCCCTGGCACAGAACGCCTATCGCAGGTGAAACATAATGACGGCAATCTATTGCCAGCGCGCAGGTTTTTCTCATTGAGCCAGCATCACTTTTCCTTTTATGGGCCGCCCGTACGATAGAGAGCATTCCATCGTCGTTACCATCGTGACGTACGAGGCCATCGACATTGAGCAATCTTGGTTACGATCTCTCGGGAGCCCTGGCTCCCTGCGCTCGTTCACGCAACTGGCCGGCATTGTCGCTGCCAGGCTGTTGGGTGTGATGGGGGTGTTTTGAATGCCGACATCGTATGTAGCTGGGCCGCGCCAGCGAAGGGGGTACACCCAAGGTAAGTCCGGTCGTAGAACTGAACAGTGTCGCTCCGTTCGGCCCTCGAATACGGCATACTGGAAGCGCGCAACATGTCGCCACACTGGATGGATCCAGCAAGCCACGAAGCACAATCCGTCGTTGCTGAGCTGGACGGAACAGCAGCTCCCACGATGAGACTTCCCACCCCGGAAGAAGAAGGCCGGCGATCGCTCTCGCAGTCATCGACAAGCTCATCCAGCAGCCTGAAGAAGCCAATAGCAGTACCTCGCAAAGTGTCTGACGCCCTAGAAGCCAAAGGATTCGAAGTCGATAATACCGGAACAGTCAGATGGGCACCCGACAGCCTCACACATCCACGCCGGTGGTCACTAGTCCGGAAGTTATACGACACGGCCGTCATCTGCTTCCTGGAGTTCTTCGTCACTCTCATCTCGAACACTGGCTCCTCGGTAGCTCCACTGGCAGCGGATGAGCTTGGCTTGAGCCGGGAATGGTCGCTATTCTGCTTCACGACATTATACTTGCTGGGTCAAGCCATCGGAGGACTGATCTTCTCGCCCATAGCAGAGAGCTTCGGAGGCCGCACGATCTACCTCAGCTCCACGCTTGGGTACTCACTGTTCTGCATCGCCATGGTCACATGCCCAATCTTGCCAGTTGTCGTGCTGGGCAGGTTCATGACCGGACTTCTGTCGGCGATACCAGCGGTGGTAGCAGCAGGAAGTTTCGAGAACATGTGGGACATCACCACTCGAACGTTCGTCATCCATACCTGGATCGCTGGCGCAATCCTAGGTCTTTGCATCGGTCCGCCTGTCGCAACCTTCGTGGCCACGTCAAGTTTGAGATGGTAAGCTCCCGACGCCGATCGCGTCCAGCATAAGCTCACTTCTCAGGCCGTGGGTTTTCATCATCGCCGCAATCGTTGCGGGCGTCGCTGCAATCTTCTGCTTCGGCATGCAAGAGTCTCGACCATCGCAAGTCATACGCCAGCAGGTCAAAGCGATCGAGCGAGAGACCAGCTTCGACGGCTTGTCGCTGGAAGGAGAAGACTGCTTGCCGACCATGTCCAAGTTCATGCGGACATCTCTGTGGCTGCCTTTGCGACTCTTCTTCACTGAGCCGATCGTCTTTTTGACCTCCGTCATGGCGGCGACAGTTGTAGCTGTCGTCTACCTCTTTTCGGAAGCGGTCGGGACGGTTTATGTGGAAGGCTTCGGATTCACCAACCGACAAGCCTCCTTGACAAGTGGGTCAAGCACGTTCTCATGCGTGCATCCAAGTTAGTGGCTGACACCAGCTTTCAGTGCTCGCTATCGCCGTCGGCGTACTCTTCGCCTTCCTCCCGCGTATCTACGATTACCAAGTCATCGCACTTCGAAAGCGACAAGGCCGACCTCTCGAGCCAGAAGACAAGCTGTTTGGTTTTCTCGTCGCAGCGCCGATTCTTGCTGGAGGCCTCTGGTGGTTTGCATGGACGGTGCCACCCATGACCTCTGGCGTTTCAGCCTGGGTCTCCATCGCCTCTTTGGTCCTCATCGGCTTCAGCACGCAGGAGTTCGACAATCTCCTCTCGGGATACCTTTGCGATACCTACGCAACCTACGCAGCGTCCGCCAATGCACCAATGGCATTCCTGCGAGCTGTACTGTCAGGCACGTTTCCATTGTTCGGCCGACAGTTCTTTCATAAGCTGGGGACGAATAATGCGTTGTTCATATCAGCTGGAGTAGCTACGCTGTATTGTGGCATTGCGATAGTTTTCTCGTTGTACGGCAAGCGCGTACGGGAGAGAAGCTCGATTGCTGAGAAGATGTGGAGAGCGTCTTTGAGCAACGACAAGCTGGGTTTGTCGCAAGGGTCGATGTCTTCGAGGACGGATGTATCATGCTCAAGCAGTTTACCTTGCTGAGGTCCGCTGAGCTAGCATCATTCCAGTACTGCGTATCACAGTTTTGACTCTGGTACAGACTTGCTCTGAGCTTCTGCCTTCTCTGGCACCTGAAAGCCAAATACCTGCAAGAAGATTAGATCGCGAGGCGTCAGGCATCGCAAGTGAAGACTTGCAGCAACTGAACCTTTCCCAGATTCCACCAGAACATTGACAATGACAGGGACCTGGAATAATTCAGCAGAGTGGCGGCCGCTTGTGCAAGGAGTCTCACCCTCGCCTTAAAACCCTCTTCCGCCGCCCTTTGCAGCTCATCCGAAGTACGGACCAGATACCCTTTCCCTCCAACTGCGTCAGCGAGCATGTCATACCGTGTCTCGAACCGAAGACTCCAGCTGCGAAGTCCTTCGGCGCCACGACCATCAGCGGATGCTTTTTGCTGCGCTGCATACTCCTGCTGACTGTCTGCATGGCCATGATAGACTCCTCCGTTATTCATGACGAAGATAAGGCAGTCCTGTCCACATCTCGCCATCGTCTCGATCTCCATCCCAGAAAATCCCGTCGCCGAATCGCCAATCAAACCAACGATCTTCTTCCTGCCGGCCTTGCCTGAAGATGCTTCTGCACGCGGGCCATTGTACGCTTCCCACGCGGCGATAGCATACCCAAAGCCGACGCCCATTGTCCCATGGGTTCCAGCGTCGAGGCGCAGGCGTGGATATTCTTGATAGAACCATGCTCTCGAGGTGTCCATCGTGCGAGCGCCTTCCGAGACGTAGACGATGCCACCATCCGAGGGAGGGGAGACAGCGTCGAGAGTACTTCTTATGACGTGGAAGGCGTGTTCGAATTTCAGAGGCTCCGTCTTGAGCTGGGCTGCTTTCGCCAATTTCCCTTCGTTTTTCGCTTTCTCACTGGTAAGCAGTTGACGGAAATGTGACGATGCCGGGTATTGCCACCCTTGGAGGTGAGGAAGCAGCTTCTGCACGAAGGCAGTGATATCAGACACGACGCCGAGCTCTTCGTCACCGGCATTTTGTCCGATCACATCGGGATCAACATCAATCTGTATTGTTCGAGCATCCGCGTTCCACTTTGGAGCCTCGCCGAAGTGAAGTATCCAGTTCAGCTTGGCGCCGAAGACCAGGACAACATCCGCATGCCGCAGTGCAGTGGACCGAGCGGAGGATGAGTTGCAAGGGTGAGAATCCGGTACCACTCCTTTGCCCATGGGTGTTGGTAAAAATGGTATCTGTGTTAAGTCGACAAGCTTGCGCAGCACGTTCTCGGCGCGAGCGTACGAACTGCCTTTTCCTATAACCAGCAGTGGCGCGGATGCTGATCTCAGGGCCTCCGCAATCTTCACGACCTTTGCTTCGCTGGGAGACGGAACCGCTAGCTGGCTAATGACCTTCGGCAGGTCCACGGCGTGGCCGTCGAAAGTCCTCTGCAGAAAATCTGCCGGTAAGTCAACGAATCCTGTCCCTGGTCGACCTGACCAAGCCAATCTGTACGCATGGCGAATGGCTGACGGGATGCCTTCCAGCATTGGTGGACGCAAGGCCACTTTCACATGCGGTGACAGCATGGAAACGGCATCCAGCTCCTGGAAAGAACCCTTCCCTACCAGATAGCTCTCACATGATCCCGCCAGGAGTAGAAGAGGGAAGCAGTTGGCGCTGCTGTTGACCGCCTGTAGGACATTCTTCAGCTTGACGCTCCTTCCGTCTTCGGGCATAAAGGCTTACACCAGCGAGTGCATGAACAACGCCTGGTCCGCCGACAACAATACAGCACGCGGGCTTGCCGGTCAGGTACCCGTAGACAGTCGCAGCGTAAGAGGCCGCTTGTTCGTTTCGGAAGCCGATATATCTGATGCCATGATTGATGACTTGCTCCAGGACAGCCGTTACAGGATAGCCTATGGGAGAATCAATCAGTCAGTGATTTCAATCTATGATTGTGGAAGGAGGAATGTTACCTGTAAGGCCGAAGACCGTAGTGATACCCAGAGCCTCAATGCTTCTGGCGACAAGTTCAGCGCCCGTGATGCTCTCTGTCTTAGCCATTCTGTAGTTTCCTTGATGAGAACATGGTGATCTGAGTGCAGCTCGTTACTCCTGTAGCCAGGAACATGTAGAGCGGGGCCATTGTCGTGCAGGTGAGGTGGAGTGAGCAGACCTCGGCCTCGCTTTCAGACTTGAACAAACCCTACAGGAATCTGCGAATAATGAAGGTCTCCAGAAAGTCTGACGCGACACTGCTCACATCCAACTTACCGTGATCCACATGATCAGCCCTGATCGTCTCCAATACTGATTTGATGTCAATGTCCGCTCGAGCCGAGCTACGTTGAGAGACTCGATACAGACCGAAGCCTTCCCCTGTAGCACATCTTGTAGGTGATGGCCGGCGCAACAACGTTGTGGGGATGGGTTCCTCTTCGGAAGGGATAAAAGCTCGAAAACAAGACGTTGCTTAGCAGGCATGTCTAGCCATACCGCAAGCTGTTGCGATGGACTCGGTTCTCTGAGACTGCCTCCTTTGCAGCTATGAAACTTGTCATACATTTCCAAGTACTGCTGGTCGATTGCTGACTCTCGAGATCGAAAGCTTCCTGCGACTCACCTGCGCAATGCTGTCCGTCGTAAAGACGACTACAGATTCTCTTAACAACAAGCATTCTCGTCTGAGATATATATACCAACATTCACAAAACTTACAGCTTAATATTCCGCAGTAGAGAAGTCGTCATATCCTATGGCAGCTGGGTAACTAGAGTTCTCACACGTCTCCTCGCTTGCTGATGACTGCTGCTGCTTCATCAAATGGACCACAATTTTTCTCGTCTTGACCAGGCCAGCTGTCAGTGCAGAGCTTCGATTGTCCAGGCCAGTAGGTGATTGTGACGAATATTACTCGGTACTGCAAAAGGTCCAGTCGATGGTTTCAAACGACCTTGGACTCCATGTGGAGGTCGGATGCTCCCCCATGTGGACAAGTGATGTCGGAGACGTCAGACTGGCATCTGGATGAGGCCGACGCTGACATGCTCTGGCGTATCACGAACACAATGTTGCCCAAAGCCATGGAAAAAGAAGCCTGGCTTAGCACATGAGCTCTCGAACGCCGTAACCATTCCAGACCAGAACCCTTAGACGAAATGGTTCGACGCGGGTGTCTCTCATGTTGGCAGCAATTCCAGCAAGAAGATACTCTTGGACATCTGTTCGCCATGCATGTCGGTCAGGGTTGCGGACTGAGGACTTCAATGCCCTCCTTAGCAGTCTCGGTGACGGACGAGAGCTCACGCCTCTTCCTCGACTGGCACACTGTTGTGCGTGAGCAAATCTTCAAGGCTGCCTTCCGGCCGTGTTGGTGTCCGCAGCCTGTCAATGTCATGCCTGATGACTACGCCCGCACCTGGCAGATCCTGAAGGATCTGTCTATTGGATCCTCCGTCAGGTAGGGGTAATCTTGGAGTTTTTGGGCCTCGGTCGAAGAGCTAGAAGGCGTGGAAACCATCGTCACCCTCTCGTGAGGCTGACGAGATATCTGAATTGCATCGTTCTCGGAAGAGTGCGGTGGATGTCGAGGTGAGATTTGTGATCGGACGGCAGATGCACCTTCCTGAAGAGGAACGAGCGCCGTTGTGTCGTTCGCTGCAGCTGCAGTCACAAGCTCGGAGCCGCTCCACAGCTCTTAATATAGAACAGGCAAGAGCAACGATCCCCGCCACATTGCAGTGCGAAGAAGAGACAACACCGTCGCAGTCTCGAACCTGTGATTTCGTGATTGTGTATGAAATGGCAAGCACTGTAACAGGAATGAGTTGAGGTTGGATGTGTGGTGAAGTGGCCAGACCTGCTGTGCTGTGCTCGCGTGGGATCGAAGACTGAATTCTGGCTGCTTTGGTTTGGCCAATCATCTGCCGGCCGTGCGCTGCCCCAAAAATAGAGGTGCAGCTGTTTCAAATCGAGTCGTCCCTACCCTCTCATCGCATCTCTTTGCTGCCGTACAACGACAACACCACCACCGCGTCGACGACGACTGCGACCCTCCTCACCACCGGCGGCACTTTCCTTTGCGACTCCCCTTCGATTTCACCCGCGGCCAGTCCAGTGACTTTTCACCTTCGACCTTCAACCACACCTGCCTGCGAGATCCGGCGCTTTCTTTGTTCTCTCTGCCATTCAGCGCCGACAGCAGCACCAGCACCACATAAAAGTCACGAGGTCGCACGCGCGACTACATACGCAGCGTATCGCAGGAATATTCTCGCAAACCATCTCCACGCGCGTGAGGTTACAGTACGTGGTCGCCAGCCGGGCACGCAACGCGCAAGAACTCTTTGAGCGAGAAGGACACCAGTCTTACATTGGAATACTTGGACAGACGCAAATCAGCGATCCTACGACGGCCTGTTCTTGAGAGGCGTTGCCAGGCCGTTTTCCCAGTTCCTGGCTTCTTCAATCCCAAAGGTGAGTCGCCAAGCAATAAGACACCCCTCCCAGGCTTATACCGATCGCGTGCTCCGGCCTCGTCTCCACAGAGACTTGCAAGTGGCCGCGCATAGCAGCTCGACGTATTCAAAGTCACGAATGCTCATTGGTGTATAGATCTACTCAGAGAACTGGACAAGCGCTTGTTCGCGCGGCTGATTGGCCAGACCCAACTTCACCGGCTCGAATCGCCTCCCTGCTGTCAGCTGCCGGCGTCTATCTGCATGACATAGTAACCCACCGCCCACTCGCATTCTTTCTTGTCGTCCTGGAGTACATCCTTCTCACCATGTGGTGACGCGCTGCTGCTAAAAACGGCGGTCGCATCCTTGCCCATTGAACGACACTCCTTCAGCGCAAAGTCTTTGTTCCATCTAGCGCCCCGAGAGATCTGGGACCTCATCCACTGACAGTCCTTCCCGGCGGAGGCCATCCGGTACGTACCACTTCTCATTACTCTTCCCGATGCAGCAATCATCAAGTGGTTGGAGGCTCTATTGGCCACGGCCACATCCCCTGCTTGCTAGTCCGCGAGAAGCACTACAACAATCCAAGCGCTATTGCCTCCGGATGCACGTACTTTCGACTCAGCGAGGTCGCGGCCACTTCGCTGCATACCACTTCCCCTCTGTTGACTGACCGTTCTTGTTGTTGTTTGGCAAGGCTCTTGAGTCTTAGAACTCATGCTGACATGCCTTCTCCTAGATCATTTTTGGCTGCAAGACAGCGACATAGTAATACCAATCCAGCAGCATCGAAACGAATTTATGGCTGGCCGTGGCCTAAACGAAGTATGAACGAAGATCGATCAGACCCAAGTTCTTTCTCTTTTGGATCCGCGATCTCACCTACCCATCCACCAGCAAACATGAGCCATCCCCACGAACAACAGACGAAAGAACCGCCTTTGCCTTCGTCCTATGCGCATACGATCCTTAATCCATCCCCAGGTTTCGACGACCAGGTGTTCCGACGCTTCCACCATCACACCTTGAGCGATCTTACCACGGGCTCTTCTGAATCTTCTCCTACTACCACCATTTCGACAGTGGACGACTCAAGCGCGACAGAGCCATCTCCCGGCTCTTCACCTGAGTCTCCACCGCCCACCACGTTCACAGCTGGAATGCTACGACCACGAACCTCTGATGATAGCCGGCCATACTTCGAACTCCAGAAGCAGCAACCTCCGAAGAAGGGCCGCAACTTGAAGAATCTGGCTGTGAACACTTCGCGGAACACTGGACGAGCCACGTCTTCCACACCAAGCCTACCACTCGCAGCCACAGATGGCATTGCTCCTGTTGCATCGCCTACCTTTGTCAAGCCGCCCACGCCTCAGAAGCGGAAGCCGAGCAACTTAGGCCTCACTTTGTTGACGCCTGGAACCAGCAAAGCACCTCCCCAAGAGATCAAGCTCGCCATTCCACCCACACCGGCTGTTGGACGACCACAAACTCTGCGACATTTTCAGTCGTCACCCTCTCTTCCGCTTGTACCCCAGAGTATGGCAATCCCTCCCAACCCACGCGTCGTACCCACGCTCGAAACCATTTTATCTCCAGTCAGCATACCACCGCAGCAGTCGCCGGCTGGTGACGACGAGCAGAATTTCGATGTTCCTCTGTCGAAGGAGGAGAAGCCGGAAGCATATCCAGAAGGTCCCATCTGCGTCTATGAGCCTTACATCGATCTCTACCTCGAGCCAACAGCTGAGCAGTGCAGGCGGTACGATGTGGTGATGAATGTCGCGAGTGAGGTGCGAAATCCTCTGGTCGAGCAGCCGGTTGCAAAAGCAGAAGAACCGGAGATCCGTATAGACGGTGGGGGTGGCATACAGTTTGCACCCAGGCGCGACCGGCTCAATGGACAGCAAGAGGAGGCCAGTCCGAGGGCCACGGACAACTCACCAACGACACCCAAAGCCACGGCTCCCGACGACGCTGCTAGACCGAATACAATATCGACTGCATCGGACGCAAGAGAACCAGATTACATGCACATCAAATGGGAGCACAACAGCGACATCGTGCCTGACCTCCTGCGGCTGGTCAAACTTCTTGACGAGATGGTTCTTGCGCAGAAGAGGGTGCTCGTGCACTGCCAATGCGGTGTCAGTCGGTCTGCCAGCCTTGTTGTGGCGTACGGCCTGTACAAGAACCCTTCACTCAGCGTGCAGGAGGCATACGACATTGTCAAAAGGCGCAGCAAGTGGATTGGCCCGAACATGAACCTTATCATGCAGCTCCAGGAGTTCCGAACAAGCCTCCAGCGCGGTGGGCTGCTCTCCGCAGACCGTGGCCTCTCGCCCATAACCCCGAGCTCGGCCATCAGTGAGTGGGGCGGTCCGTTCTCGATGAGAAGCCCAAATGGCGATGCATCCATGTCGGCTGGTGTTGGACCTCTGTCCCCTTCGCAGACAGCAGAATCGCTTCCGATATCTTGCCCTGGTCCGTCTTCAGCTCCGTCAGCTTTCGCCTGGCCATTGAACAACTCTGCGCCGCCACCTCCAGGTCAGAGGGCTCGAGCAATTAGTGCTGTGAAGCCGGGATCTGCCTACGTGAACACCTCTGGCCGCGTGGTCCCCGTGGTACCTCTGCTGAAGGTCGTGGAGCCGGAAGTTCCAAACCAGAACGACTCTGCGCCAACAGAAACCCCCGATCTTGGTCACGACTCGGACTCCACGACACCGACCGAACATACTACTTCTCCGCGCACAGAAGAGTTCGCCATGACTCCTTTGCAGCCTTCACCAGATGTTGATCCAGCAGATAGCTTCGGACTGATGTCACCCTCCTCAACCGAATTTGCCTCGTCACCATTCGACCGGTCGGCATTGTTAGCACAGCTGGGCATGGGGTCGATGAACCCGGCAGACTCACCGCGACGAGCAGCGTCAATGAAAACCAGGCCTCGACCAGCGGAGCAGGCCAACAAGTCGCATCTCACGCAGCCAAATCGGCCACCAAGGCTACGCGGCAAGATCTCGTCTCCCAGCATTCGCGAGCAACAACAGCTTCAAAGCTGGCGAGCCGAATTGGAGGCCTCGCTGCCGCACAGGACGGCTCAGCCTCCCTCGGTCGAATGTATTGACGAGGCGTTGATGTCCCCACGAGCGACGGAATTCACACAGAACCCGTTCGCTATTTCCCTCGCCGTACCTCCAGCGCCGACTCCCGAAGAGAGACCTGGAGCCACCGACGCCGACCCCAGGAGTCCGGCTCAAAAGGGCGTTAGCCCCATCACGAGGAGCATCTTAGATGTGTTATGACACGAGCTCAAGCGGAGCGGCGTTGTGTTTTTATGTTGCTGCGTTCAAGCTAACCGTCGAGGTCTTTGCGACCTGACTTGGCGTTTATTGGGTGTGGAAAGGAAGCGCTGGAGATACCCATCGCTGATACTTTGGGCGGCTTTTGCGTGGCGTTCTAGGTAAAGGGCTGGGAGTGGGCAAAAGGTCACGAGCGCTGGGTGATGGGCATCATGAGCTACGCTGGCTCGTCGGGGAGATTGTAAGATAGGTCTTTGAGCTTTCGAGACTACATCTTAGACACCTTATCATCTTCGCACTTCTAGCTGTCGTCTCCCGATTATCATGTCTGCCTCACCTATCCGCGAATGCAGTACAATGGATGGTGTTGCTGCTATGACCACATGTCCGTAGCCTGTCCTGCCAGTACTCTGCTGCCCTCTGCACCACTCTCCCACCATCGAAGAAAAATCGAGTAGCAAACGCACAGCCACACGTCTTACCCAATCTGTGCAATGCGATCCAAGACATCGGCTCGTGGGCGTCTGTGGATCTGAGAGCAATGGTTGGTGGGGACGAAGTGGGTGCTCATCCGTCCCGGTTTTGAATCCCTGCCGATGTCGTCACGCTGCGCGTGTGGTTGTCGAACATTAACATTGTTGTGATTGTAGACAGACCTTTTTTCGCTGCGAGGGGTTGAAGTCGATATTGTGATGAGAAGCAGGCGATTGGTCTTCAGTACGGTTGTAAAAAGCCTACCGAACGTGACTGCAAGCAGGTCGTTCGGTGGAATAGAGGTGATTTGTTGCATGTGACTGTCGAGATCTAGAGCTCGAGAGATGCCTTCCTTTTGCGGCGTTTCCTGCTGTAGGACGAATGACCTCATGCAAAGGATGGCGCTGTAGAAAAGCCCGCAGGCGTCGCTATTCCAGTTCGCAAGTCCACCATCACACTCTGATTCTACTGAGATCACCCATTTGAACGGAAGTCAAAAGTCTCGGCCAGCACTCAAACTAGCCTTCAACCACACACGCACAACAAACCAGCCATGGCCGACTCACTCAAGAGCGCAGCAGGCGGTGCCTCCGACGCCGCCTCCTCTGGCGCCGACAAAGCCAGCTCAGCAACCGGCAGCGGCACCCAGGACTGGGAGGCCATGTCCGAAGAGCAGAAGAAGTCGACGTACGACGCTCTGCCAGCTGAAAAGAAGCAGGGACTGAGCTACTATGAATGGGTGATGCAGGGGTACCAGAACAAGAAGGAAAACTGGATGCCGTGGATTGAGGATATGTATCTGAGCTGGTTCACCAGCGACAACAAGGCGAGTTATGCCACCAAGGGTGAGTTGAAATGAGCTTCTGCCTGGGAAATGGAGACTGATTCGCTTTGCAGACGCGATGGACAAGTCCAAGGTGACCGGCGTCGACCAAGTCGACACGCTCCAGGACGGTGTGAACAACACTGTCGCCGGACAAGTCGGTCAAGGCGGGCTGCTGCAACCGGTCGGTGATGCCGTGTCCCAAGAAGGTGTCAACCGGGCGGAGCGTGGCGGCAAGGACGACTCTGGCAGCTACGCTGGCTCCTTGGGCAGCGGTGTTTCGTCTGCCGGCGGGTCGGTGATGAGTGGCGCGAAGAGTGCTGGGGGATACGTTGGGGGCATGTTTGGTGGCGGGCAGAAGGAAGAGAGTAAGTAAGGGAATTGAAGGGGTATATGAATGCGTCGGGGGGTAATGACTTGACGACACGGGATGAGTGATACCTGCCTAGGTCCTTTTGCTTGAGAATGATATCCAGTTTTCGTTCTGTACTTGGTTTTTCCCAAGCTGCAGGATGCCGGATGCTCGTGGGTCTCTTTCATATCGAGTTTCATAACATCTTGTCGTTGGGCAGCCCGGCCGAAACTAGGGTCGGGTGCATCTCGGCGGAGATGTGCTTGCGAAATCCCTTCTCATGCGCTTACTGCGCTGATTCGTGCGCGGCCAACGATAAGGTACCTACCTAGATTTCGCATCCTTTCACTCCTTCTGCCAATACAACGCGGCCTCCGACAACGGACTGAAACGCAATTTCTGCCATCGCCTCGGCTGACGTCGGAAGTGCATTGGCGTCTCAACACCCTTTTTTATGTACCTTATCAGATCTTCCTGTCACATATCAGATCGTGTCACCAACTTCGTGCCACGATGCCTATTATCCCCAGACTCTCCTCGTTCTTTAACAAAGGTCGTGAAAGCAACGACGTCTCCGAGCCGGAGGACCATCCGTCGCCGCCAGAAGACGGTCGCGAGAAGGGCCTCGCCGAAGAGCAAAACAAGGACATTTACTCCAGCGACGGCGAGAGCATATCTTCAGGACAGGATGGTGTCAAAAAGGCACAGGCGACGACGATTGTCTGGACGAGGAAGTCACTTGTCATTGCATATGCGCTGTGAGTCTGACCGATCGAGTGGAGCGCGCATTTTACGTGTGCTCTGGCTAACGAGCTCTGCAGAATCTTCCTCATCTTCTTTGTCAACTCGCTCGGCCAGCAGATCTCCAACAATGTCCTCAGATTTGTCACGAGTGATTTCAACCGGCACCCCCTCACCGCGACCACCAGCATCGTCTCCAGTCTTGTTGCTGGCGTGATCAAGCTGCCGATAGCTAAGATCATGGACATCTTCGGTCGCATCTATGGCTTCGGTCTGATGGTCTTCTGCGCAGTCGTTGGTACGTTCTCCCTCCAACATCATTGAACAGCTGGACGGCTCTGACCGGGTGATACTAGGCTTGATCATGATGGCCGCCTGCAACAGCGTCACCACCTACGCGGCAGCTCAAGTCTTTTACTGGGTTGGTATGAACGGCATCGCTTACGTTCTGGACGTCTTCATCGCCGACACATCTTCGCTCAAATGGCGAGGACTGATGCTCGCGTTCTCAACGAGTCCGTACATTGCTACCACATTCGCTGGTCCAGCCGCCGCGGCCAGATACATGGAAGGAGCCGGATGGCGATGGGTATACGGCACGTTTGCCATTGTCACTCCCGCCATGTGCGCGCCCTTCCTGTGGGTATTCTGGCGCAACCAGCAACTTGCGCGGAAGCAAGGTATCCTTGTCGACAGGCGAGAAGCAAGTGGACGGACTTGGTACCAGTCTCTGAAGTATTACTTCATCGAGTTCGATTGTAAGCTCTCATCCAACCCACCATAGTCTTTTCTTGTTCCTGACATACTACTACAGTCTTCGGCATGATCCTTATCATTGCCGGCTGGTCTCTCCTGCTCCTCCCATTCAGCCTTGCCTCTTCCTCCGCAAACGAATGGCAGTCCGCATCGATTATCGCCATGCTGGTGATCGGCTTCTGCTTGCTCGTCATCTTCGTCATCTGGGAGCGCTTCTTCGCTACAAAGTCCTTTTTACCATTCAAGCTTCTCACGGACCGCACAGTCATCGGATCTTGCCTCACAGCGGGGACCCTGTTCATCAGCTTCTACTGCTGGGACGTTTACTTCAGCTCCTACATGCAGGTTGTATTTGATCTCAGCATCGCAGATGCCGGCTACGTCTACAACATCTACAGCATCGGCTCCTGCTTCTGGAGTATCGTTGTCGGCCTTTTGATACCAGCGAGTGGGCGCTTCAAGTGGCTCGCCCTCTGCGCGATTCCACTGATGATCCTCGGAACTGGACTGATGATCCACTTCCGCCAGCCGCACCATTCGATCGGATACGTGATCATGTGCCAGATCTTCATCGCGTTCGCCGGCGGCACGATCGTCATATGCCAGCAGGTCGCCATCATGGCCGCTGTCGGGCCGGAGAACATCGCGGTCGCCCTGGCTTTGCAGTCACTCTTCACTGCCATTGGCGGCTCCATCGGACAGGCCATCAGCGGCGGCATCTGGACGAATACCCTTCTGGCGCAGTTGGAGCGGCATCTGCCCTCAGGTTTGAAGGATCAAGCTTCCGACATATATCTCGACATCAACGTACCGCTGGGCTATGCATGGGGCAGTCCAGGACGAGAGGGCACCATCGAGGCATATGCGGCTACGCAGCGGTACATGTGTATTGCAGCGACTGCCGTGCTAGCGTTGATGATTGTCTGGGTGATGATGTGGAGGAACTACTCCGTCCATGACTTCAAGAAGCCGAGGGGTGCGAAGATTATTTGACGACGTTGTCCGTGGATGTGGCGAGGAGGGGCATAATAATCTTTCACCTCTCTGCCTTCTCGTGATGGCGCAATCCAGACATATGCTCAGGATTGGTGTGCAGATAGAGTTACATCAAGTGTAGTTAGAGTTTCTGGCTCCAGATAGCGATCTCCCATCGTTCAATGTTCCACGTGCGAGTAGATCTCAATGCGCCCCTGCATTCCACTTCTTCATGAATCATGATTCTGTGATGTGCCGTCCGATGGAGCACGCGACACAATACCTCTCCCTACGTAGCACGCACGAAGGCAGGTGTAGCTTCAAGACGCGATATGGAGTACCGGACAGGAGGTCCGCAATCCGAGAAGGCTGTTGCTTCAACAACAGACATGGTCGTTTCGAGATTCTGCGGCTCAAAGAGGCGAGCCGATGATGCCGTGCCATCCCGAAGTAGTGTCTATACCACCCCTGCCTCAATATGGGCGGGGAAAGAGAAACTGAATCGCAGAGGCAGTCGGCAATTCGAGCCAAAGCTCACTACGATGTCCATATCATGACGAAAGTGTCCATTCGCTGCGCATTGAGAACCTCCACCTCCCCCCTTGAACCTTGGACTTTTGGAGCGTTGCATGCCATCTTGACTTCTGTAGCGGCAGTTTGAACAACCATGGGACCGTGCTGACATTGTAATAATGAGGGTTTCAACGTCCTCGATGGGGGATGAGGCGCGCTAGGATTGACGTCTCCGGAAAATCTCAAAATGCACCAAGGTTTGACGTGGAACATGGCGTGTTTGGCGGCCAGTCCGAGTTTGTTGACGATGCGGACCGCTGCGGTCGGGGGAAAGAAGTGTATCCTGACCACTTCGTCCCCTTCGTCTCGTTGCATGTCCATTGCTGCCATTGACTGCGAATCTCATGGCGTCGTCGGCATCGTCGGTTTCGTCTGAGGAGGATGTTTCGTTCTTCGATGCCATGGAGGCAGGAGAGGAAGCCAATCGGGTGGCTGGCGCTTCTCCAAGCGAGCGTCTGCAATTAAACACGTCAATCCCACTTCAAGGCGCGACCGTCGCAGCGAGAAGACGACCACAGACTGTCAACGGAGACCACCTCTCCACACGGCGCAATAGGTATTCACTACCCACTCCCATCCCCAGCGTGCCCATCATTCCACAGCACCTCCTCTCAACGGGCAAGAGAGCGACGTTGCAGCCGCGCGCCGCCAGATCCAGCGTCGCCAACAAGGAGTCGAGGTCGACCCTTCTCCGCCCATCGTCGCCTGTGCTACCTATACAGCGCCCTTCCACTTCCGGCGGCGAACACCAACGTCGAGACTCAGCGCGTGATTCACGCGGTCATCATGGCGGAATAACAAACACTGCCCCGCCGCCGAGACCCACCATTCTCACCACGCGTCGCAAGTCGTTTTCCACCATACCTGCGCATTCGCACGAAGATACGCTCGCGAAGCTGGAAACCGGTTCGACAAGGAGCGAGTTTAGCAAGATGAATCGCTTGAAGGCAAGGAAGAATGACGACTTGTTTCTCGAGTTGGCCAATGATCAGTCGGACTCTGACGGCGCGAGACCACCCAGTCGCGGCGAACGCGCGGCGAGTCGGATGTCTCAGGGAGGCAAAAGGTATTCGCTACCATACCAAGAGAGGAGGCTGCCCTTTTCCAACGACAACAGGCCGAAGACGAGCGGCTATGTGCTGGGAAACAGGGCACCTTCGCGACTAGGAACTTCAGGCTCAGATACGCAACGTCACGCAGAACGACACAGGAATCTATCCAGCCGCGCAGGGTACCAAACAGATGATGCTGCGTCGGGTTCAGCATTGTCGAGCTCAAATCGACGCCAGCGCTACACAACACTTCCTGAGCAATCTGCAAGCTCACCTGCGCGGCCTGCTGACCGTGTCAGATCTCCAGAACTGCCGCACTACGGGAGACGAAGACCTTCGTTCGGACCTGCACCATCAACAGCGCAAACAAATCGAGCAGGCCAGCAGAATGCGAAGCAACATGATTCCTTCAGCGAGTCGCCAGCAGAGAGTTCGGAGCCAAAGCAGTCAAACCCCGATTCTGCATCAGTAGACTCAGACACAGCTGACACCGTGTGGGATGAGCTTGATGACTTAAAATCACGAATCAAGAAGCTTGAGCTCACTGGCAAGATGCCGCCTACGTCTGCCGCTGCGGTATCAGGTGAGTCTAGCGAACGGCCCAGGACTGCGACTACGGCACCTACGACGATCGACTCCTCGCCGAAACACGATAAGCCGGAGAAGAAGCAGCAGTCTGAAAATGCGCCCGAGACTCAGATCAGCGAGTACGTCGTCGGCGGACCAAGTGTTGCGAGTATCCACCCGACGCTACATGGGGCGCTTGCGAAAGCGAAACCATTGCTCAGCGGCGCGCTGTATCGATCTCTGGAAGCAACAGCGGCCGATGCATTGCAACTCGCAGCCATGACCGGCAGCGCAGGACCGCAAGGCACGACCTTCTCCGCTGCAGCCATCATCAACGGTGTCACGGCATCGGACAGGCATGTACGCCGAAAAGCAGACACCATGTGTCGCAACCTCACCGACTTGTGTATTGCTCTATGCGAAGGAAAGCATGACGCACCAAGCGTCACTGCTTCTCCAGTCACGCTTGCCACGCCGTTATCCAACTCGCCGTCCCTGCGCTACCCTCGCAGCAGCCTAGGTCCTACGGATTCTCTTACAAGAGTCAATAGCCGTCCCATGAGTCGCCTCGAGGCTCGACGAACCAGCATTCTGGGCTCGCAAGCAGGCAGCATCGGCGCAAGCCCGATCGGTGGCGACGACGTTTCTGCATCTGAGCAGGAAACCACCCCTTCCATCAGCAGGAAAGACGATCAGCTGCGCATCCCTCGTCCGCAGAGCCGTCTCCAGCGCATCCGCCAACAGCACTACAATAACCAGGCCTCTGACGACGACGATCCCACCATCCGCCCACCCTCTCGAGCCATGACAGACATTGGTCGTTCCAAACCTTCCGGGCCACGCGAATACAGCACGCCCCAACGCTCGCCCAACTTACGCGACTCCCTCGTTGCTCGACGAGCGAATGCCAGCGCTTACGAGGGCAATCGTGAGCTGTCTCGTGTGGCTTCACTGAACTCTGAATCTGGCCGTACAAGGCGCTTCCTGGACCCTTCAACGCCACCAGTGCTGGAAGAAGAAGACGGCGGTGAAGGGCAGGAGTACCGGGCTGTGTCGACGCAGGCTTCGCGGAGGGTCATGTCGTTGAATAGGCATGCCCCTAGGAGCAGTGGGAGGGAGAGGGAAGGGAGGGTGGCAAGTCTGGCTGGGAGGAGAGCTGGGGTGGCGGTGGAGTGAGAGCGGCAACGAGGTGAGACGATCGATGTTGGACCTTCTCTCCTGGTCCATTGAATCGGCCAGTCCGCAGCAGCGCCGCATAGCTGTATGCGCATGCTTGCAATGGTGTACGAATATTCAAGTATGGCTTGTAAGTGGTGTGAAGCGGTTGGATGAGCATTGATACGAACAACTTAGAATTATTATGTTAGATTTTTCCACGGGTTCAAGTCCCTTCGCAAGTCAAAGAGTGCTTTCATCGGCATCAGCAGCAACTACGACATAGCTATCAATTTAATTGCGAGCCGTTTCCACGCCTCTTGGATTCACGTGCATCAGAGGTCGCATGCGAAGTCGTGCGACCGTAATTTGAGGACATATCGGGCAGGGGCAAATGAACCACAACCTTGCATCTTCCTTCCGTACATGTAGGTAACGTGGGACTGCAGTCACACTTCCGCTTCCACTTCGCACTACACGTCCATGTCCATTCACACAACATCACGATCAGTTCCCCTAAACATGGACAACACATCGAGGCCGGCTGAGGAACATGCCAACCACGCCGCCGCCTCCATGTCGAGCGAAGTGCCACCAGCAGTGACGGCATGCTTGGACATCATTGAACTGATGGAACACATCATCACGTACCTGCTACCTTCGGCCTTGATCACCTGCATGCGGGTTTCGCGGACTTGGGAACGAGTCATCACGGAGTCCAAGGCTGTCCGTCGAGCTGTTGTCGCGCATCCGATTCCACTAGGTTCGCGCAACTATTTTCCCCGGTACAGATTGATTGCAGACATAAGCTACATCCGATCTTTCGCAAAGACTACGAGGAAGCGGGACGTCTTAAATTCCTGATCCACGACCCGCGCAAGAGCCTTTCGGTTCGAAAACAAGATGAGGCCTTGCAAAGCTTTAAGCACTCCCCAGCAGCCTGGCCACCCTGCCGTGCTATGGGGATGTCAATATTCAACAAGTACGCTGACGATGGATGGGACTGCTCGGTACAGAACGTCAATGGGTTGACAGGTGGAGACTTGATAGAGGTAGCCGAAGTCTTGCTCAGCCAAAGGGGGCCGATGGGGATGGAAAAGTACTCTAAGTTGCTGAGGTGGCCCAATCTTGCTATCACCGAAGAGGACTACCGGTGTCCACCGACCAAAGTCGTCGGGTTCCTTGCTTGGTATAGGCAACGCCGGGCATGACGAGTCGAAAGGGGGGGAGGCTCCGTTCCTTTGGGATGGAACAAGCAAGCTGACGAGAGTTTCTCACGATTTTGCTGGGCGAGGGGATAGGTGGTGCGCAGACATGACAACCTGGTTTGCTTCTATGGCGGCATTCGAGGGGGTGTATAGAGGCAGAGACAAAAGTGAGGTCGCTCCGTACAGCAAGGCACATGTAGTCGCTCTCCACCCCACCCGAGCATCCCGGGCACTCCGCTATCAATCCCAGCAGCCTCCCCTGCCTCCCTGCATGAGACTACAATCCTACGTGGGCAAATGACTCTACATGCCATCCCTTCTCAAGCCACCCAAACTGTGGAATCACCATGCCTCCTCCAACTCCTCCGACAACAACAACCCGCCAACCGCCGATGACCCCCGCTCGTCGGCCGGCATGTCGTCCGCCTTTGTCTCCAAGTCCCGCCGTGTTCGCTTCGACCTGACTTTGAAGATCATTGACCTCAACAACGTCCCTTTGGTATCCGGCACGAGCTTCATAAAATGGCATCTACCCTCCTCGACTGCAGCGGAGCACCGCGGCCGCACGGAGAAATGCGCGATTCGGGATCACAGAGTCGCGTATGACTACGAGAAGCGCATCCCCGTACGCCTGACCGTGGGCAAAGATGGAATGCTGCAGGAATGCAGCGTGGACTTCGAAATCCTACAGGAGTACGGTGCTGGAGGGAGAGGGGAGCGGATCAGACTGGGCGACGTGAAGTTGAATCTGGCAGAGTACGTGGAAGCGAGCGAGACGCCTGCCTCGCCTGGGGCAGCGGGACCTGGACAGGGCGAGGAGGGAGTGGTGAGGAGGTACTTGATGCAGGAGAGCAAGATCAACAGTACACTGAAGCTGGGCATACACATGCGGCATGTGGAGGGGACGAGGGACTTCTATGCTCCTCCGCTTCGCACCGCGCCGGTGTTTGGTGGAATTGCGGGTATCATACACTCGTCCGAGCCTGCGGCCACCGCTCAACGCATGAATGTGAGCGGGGGTGTGGATGCTGCTGGCGCGAGTCCCGAGCTTGGTGCAGAAGGTCAGGATATGGCAGTACCGAACCTCAGCTCGAGGAACAAGGAGGTCGGGGAGATGCAGGACATGTACAGGCGTACGCTCGCCGCGTTCTGGGCTTCGCAGCCAGGTGAGCTGCGCGCGGACGAGTGCATTGAGGACATTTTCGCTGGAGGTGACGGATGGGGCAAGAATGGTCGGCCTGAGATTCCTGCTGGGAAGGCGGAGCGAAAGGAGGGCACGGCGGGTTTTGGGAGACGGAATAGTAGGGATCGCTCTGGAACTTCGACACCCAACCCGCAAGATGGCAGTGGTGGTGAGGCGCCGAAAATGGCCCAAGGGGGTGGAAGGGGGATAATGGGGAGGCATCACCACAAGCATGGCAAGAACAAGAACATGACGCGAAAGCAGCATGGTGAGGTGGAGGAGCAGGACTGTAGGGAGGACTTGATTAGCTGGAGGATTGGCGAGGCGGCTTACGCATGATGGCTGGAACGACCTTTGATGGGTTCAACGACGAGATATGATCTGATAGCATTAATGCTCAAGTCAAGGATGAATGAAATGCACATAGACAGCCAAGCTATCATCTGTCAAGGCCGTCGAAAGTACTGCATGACTCCCACACTGGAGGCCTTAGGAGCTCACAACGTGCACCTCCCGAGTTGGAGCACATTTTGCTTACCTGTCTCGGTACTATCCTCGTGAACCTTCACATACAACGACTCCAGGTGAAAGGCTCCATCCAACTGCTAGCTATAGATGACTTCAAAGCCCAACAGAGTCCGCATCGTCTGCATCTCCGACACACATGATAAAGCGCCTGGCGAAGGCTACACCTTACCGGCGGGGGACGTTCTAGTACATGCCGGAGACCTCACGAACGAAGGCACTTACAACGAGCTCAAGCGTGCTGCTGAATGGCTCGAGAAGGCAGACTTTGCGGTCAAGATTGTGGTTGCTGGTGTGCTTCATGCGTTCAATCAACTCGAGAACAAAGTGCTTGCTGATGTTGTCTGTCGTAGGGAACCATGATCTGTCTCTAGATCCTTCCAACAACGCCTCGGAGACTAAAGACATCGAACGCCAGAGATGCCGCGAGCTGACATCCTCCATCCCAAGAGCCACCTACCTCGAGCATTCCTCCGCTGTCATCCATCTCCCTGACAAGGACGTCAACTTCCGCATCTTCGGCTCCCCTTACTCACCACTACGTCCAGAATCAGGTCCCTTCACAGCCTTTCAGTACCGCGACGCAGAAGCAGAAGCGCTCTGGAACGCCACACTCACGGACACAGACGTTCTGATCACTCACACGCCTCCTGCTGGCATCTGCGACACCTCCCAGCACTTCCCTGACGGCGGCTGCCCGACCTTGAAGAAAGCTCTAGGAATGGTGAAGCCTGCGTTGCATATCTGCGGTCATTGCCATGAAGGTCGGGGAGCACAGGTGGTGCGGTGGGACGATGCTGATGAAGTTGAATGGGTGAAGGAATGGGAGGACCCTGGAGCTGGGAGTAAGAAAATGAGTCTGTTAGACTTGACGGGGAAGAAAGGTGGGACGTGGTTGGAGAGGGGCCGGGAGACGGCGGTGGTGAATGCAGCCATGGTGAGCAGAGATCGAGAAACAGGTAAGAGGAGGATCGGGAAACCGATTGTGGTTGATGTTGCGCTGTGATGTATTCTTGAGAGTATCGACACGCTGTACCATTTTGTCTGCTTCGAAGCGATCGAACTTTCTCGTGATCGATAGTGAGGTCGGTCAAGCCTTCTCCCGCCACGCCATAGAAGCAAGACGGAATCTGAAGTACTCTGGTCGTTCATCTGTTGCCTGCCAGCATTTAGAGGAGACTGCAATACCCAAGTCCTCGGATTCTTACCACCGGCCTCGGTCTGAGACCTATTTTGCGAGTCAGTTGATATGCTCGAGTTGCAAAGTTGGTTTTTGAAAGAGTCAGTCGCAATTTCTTCATGGACGGCAGAGAATGGACATGGATTGACCAGCAACTTTAGAGCTCTGGTCGTATCGGTCCAAAGCGCGGCATGGTTCCACAATGGCATCGAGCATCTGCGTGGCCATTTCCAAGTGGCAGGTGTTACGGATCAGAACGTCTATCATGGCCTACCTTGGCAGAAGGCTGTGCTGGTATTCCGACAGCACCGTGTGGCTGCGACGGGATCCTGTCTATCTGTCACTGCAGGTATCCATCAGCTCGCTCGTGGGTGGTGACTGACATCATCGATGTAGCCATTGGTGCTGCTTGGGAGCTCCTGCAAGTCGGATGGCTGAGTTGTCAATGCAGTGATACCCGATGTTGAAGAGACGAGATCTTTGATCGCTTTATCTTCTGCGATCCCTTGCTGACGTTCAAGCCGCTCAGCCGATTTGAGGCGGCCGATGTCGACCTTGCTGGTGGTGCAACGGTCAGATCAATTGTCTCACAGTGGTGTTGTTGGTTTATTGTTCGGTCCGCTCGCCCCTTCGAGGTCCGTCCCGCGGCGAGTGAAGGTTACGGCATCAGCTTGAAGGGTAGAGGTACCGAGCTAATGATTTGTCCATCGAAATGTGTCATCTGCGCAGCTGTTCGCTTGGTGGTTGGAAAGATGATCAGTCCATCACAAACACTGCTACTCACGATCAGCGTCGGAACACCTCTACAAAGAGAGGATGGGCACGGGTCCATATATTATAAGCGCCCGTGTCTCTTCGCGGTATCACAGCAGTGCGACCTGCTGACAGTGTTGCTGTCGACCTCTTCCAGACGGCCCGAGGAAGGCAGGCAAAAGCTTCCACAGCACAGCGTCGAGCTATTTTGGCAGAAGTTCGTACCTCGTGGGCGGCCACCTGAGGTGTGTTCTGGCGGAGCTCGAGCTGGGTCGATTGGACTGTGACTTCAGGCCGTAAGCGCTGCGACCGTTTTGGCGGCCGGTACGGTTGGTGATCTTGTCAGGACCTGAACTCTGATCCCGTGGTAGCACTGTGCCCTCGTTCGGTCCCTACATGTTGATTCTGTTATTCCATGCCAGTACTTGTAACAAGGTGGTGGTTGCACCCTCGCCTTTGTTGTCCCAATAGTGAATGTAGCCAATGGCGAGGAAGCCTTGGTTTCCAGAGCACTTATGCACGACTACTGCACGCTGGACCCAATCGCTTTGAGTAGTGATGAGGCATTTCGCGTGTCCAACCAAGATCTCGATTCTCGATTCCGCGGTAGTCGCTGCGGGTGGAGTTGAGTCTTGGGTAGAGTAGTAGAGTCGGGTTAGCTGCTCTGCGTTGCTGTCATGCCCACGCTGTGTGGTGCCGCCGTCACCGTCGCCATGTGCTACGGGCCCAAGCCTCATTCATTGTTGGAGCTGCTTCCCGCCCCTCTCTCCTGCGGCCGAGTTCAAGTAGTAGGCAGCCTTGTATGCTGTGTCTCCCGCAGTGCATCTTCCTTCCCCTCGTATCTTCACCACGCCTTGCCGACTGAATTGAGCAACGAACGCGAGACCGCAGAGTCGTAGAAATCACCTTTGCCGAAGCCATTGCTCAGCCCGTCGAGGACAAATAGTCAGCATCGCTTCTCACCGCAAATCGCTGCATTCCGAAGGGGTGACCTTGTCCCGGAGCTTTAGTCCACCGACACCGCCAGGCACCAAACTCTCGTGTCTACCACCTCCTTCTCGAACGAAACACCACACAGCAGACGACGATTACGCAGCAGCCACTCTCTCTCGACGTCGCCACAGTCGTCCCCCCTCCCCTGCCACTCGCCTTCCACCGCCTTCGATCAGCGTCACTGCCAAGCCTGTCGCCGGACGTAGCCGGGGCCAATCGAATTCGTCGCTCTCAACAGGCTCTTCTTCCGTTCGAGAGCGAGAAGTGCGGTGCACAACATTCCGAGGCGACCTCTCTCCCATCCCCATTGACATATCATCGCGGCGCAGCAGCGTCGACGCCTGCCGGTCCATCCTCACCAGCCTCGGGTAGAGGTGGCGACCGGTTCTGTCCTTTAGCGCACACCAAAACATTCACTCAGCACATGTATTACTTGATCTGACCGGAGCCTGCCTATGACTACGACTCCTACACTCTAATCTATTCTCATCCACCACCCTCACTGGTCCGCGGTGACGACTGCTGCTTACGCTACCACCCATCATGGACTCATTACCACCCGATCCCTATCTGGCTCTCGGAGTCGCAAAGGACGCGACCGCCGCTGCCATCAAGACACAGTACCGGAAGCTTGTTCTCAAGTGCCACCCCGACAAGGTGCAGGACGAGAGTCTGAAGCAGGAGGCTTCCGATCGCTTTCACAAAATCCAGACCGCCTATGAGATAATAGGCGATGAGGACCGGCGGTCGCGCTATGATGCGCAGTGCAAGCTGGCCGAGCTGAGGAAGGATGTGATGGAGAGGGGCGGTGGTGGCTCTCGGGGTGGTGTAGAGGTGAAGACGGCCGGCTATAAGATGCCTACGGACTCATCACGTGGTGGAGACTTTTATGCGAAAGGCCCGGATCGGTACACTCGAGTGTCGCCCCAGTATGAAGAGCGCCGGCCGAGTTACGTGCCCGAGGACTACTTCAACATGCCTAGAGCCACCTCGCGAAAGCACGACGAGTACGACCGGTCGTCGAAACGGCCTTCGCCAAAGGATGATAGACCGAAGGCTAAGACGTCCAGTCGAGAGGCGAAGGAGAGTGAGCGGTCGAGCAGGAAGGAGAAGAGTCGGCGCACAGACAAGGACGTGCGGAGAGATCGCGAGCGCAAATCCTCCTACACCCCCGTCGAGGAAGAAGACAGCGAGTACGACTCGTACGAGCGAAGGGCCAGGAAGATGCGTGATGAGGACGATCTTCTGCGGAAGGAGAGAGCGGCATATCAGGACATCATGCGCAAGCAGAAAGAAGAGGCAGAAAGTGGTGTCTACCAGTCTGAAAGGGCGAACAAGATGTTCAGCAATATGAGCTCTGCGACCGATCGCATAAGACAAGATCGAGCCATGCGGGACAGAGACAGCGTTGCCGACGCAGAGCTGCGACCACCTCCGGTCAGATATTCCTCATCCAAAGACAAAGTGAATGTGCTTCGCGGGGAGGAAGTCAGACCATCCATGGGCTCGCGCAAGGACTCTGGCCGGCCCAAATCATCAAGACACGACACTGGCAAGTCTTCCCGCCAGAAAGAGCGTGAGGCTGAGTACGTTGAAGAAGTGCGTGAACCCAGAAGGTCTGGAGCACGGGACGGGAAACAGCCTCCACCTTTCGTCCAGACCAAGTCCGCACCTGAAAACATTCGTCCAGGGTTCGACCGACAACGTTCATACTCGGTGCAAGAAGACTTTACTGAGCCTCCTATCCCGCATATCAAGCGCGCCGAAACATTCAACGGTGCAGCCGGCCGCGAGCCTCGTGGACGCAAGGAGGGCTCGAAGCTTCGACAAGAAGAGGCCTACATCACACCAGAACGGACTCCAGAGCCTGCTGATATTCGGAGTAGCAAACGAAACGATGGTTATGTGGACGACAATGAAGTGTTCACTGAAGTCCGAGAGCCGTCGGGTAACCGTCGCTACACCCGAAGTCCTTCCCCCATCAAGGAACGACAAAGGCCTGCTGCATCAAGACATGCTACTGCGCCAGTACCGCCACCAATGCCACGCACAACCAGTCACAGGTATGTCTATGGCGCCAGCGGTGAACAATCTGCTCGCCCGGAACCGGTCCGCCAGGGCAGCACCCGGCTCTTCGGGGAGATGGACCGGAAGTCACCAAAGCCTAGTCGAGCCTACTCGTACGCGCCGCCAGCAGAGAACATCAAGTATCGGAAAGACTACGACCACGCCGACGTCAAGTACAGCAACATGAGTACGGGCTACGACAGAAAATCCGACAAGCCTGGTTACAGTCGTGGCAACAGCGGTCGACAGGCAGTCTACGCATCGTAGGGAGGGGTTTCTCCTTACTCAACGTTATACCACAGCATGAGGAGTACGGGGCGGGAGTTGGCGGCGTGTACATTCACCACGAAGGCCTTTCATCAAAACGCCACAACCCAGCTTGACGCAACGCTGCTCCGGCGGTTCGCTATCATCATTCGCCACACAGTACAGACGGGATACGGATGTCTCAACACCAGCTTTCGGAGGGACATTTTACGAACCACTGCTTGACGGGCTTGGAAGGCTATGGTCGGTTCGGTGAGTGGTTTTCGGGTCGGGTTTATTGAGGGTTTTCCTTTGCGGGAGAGCAGGTGGACCTTCATCGACTAAATAGACTTCACAGTAACGACTATAATGATCACTAGCATTCGACATTCGGGTTTGCCTAACTCTTCTTCAGCTTTCGGTTTGTGCCCTCTTGTCTGCGGTGGAAGGAATGAACACTGGAGCTATGAGCTGCGTATGACATAAACCGGAACTTTGGCCGGACATAGAAGTGAGAAGAGCTCGAGGTACATAATTCAACTAATTTCTGGCACTTCTTCTCTTCTTTGCATGTCAACCAGAGTTGTCACACGTCTTTCTTGCCGTTCGACCTTCTCGCCAGTCCTAAACCCGACGGCACGTCCTTCCACCAATCCAACATTCACGAGCTAACGGTCAACCAGAGACATCCCACCTTCACACGAGTTCCACTCCACCGTCCAGCAACCACCATGGCCCAACCCGCTTCCAAGAAGCAACGCACCCACCCCACCTACGAACTCCTCTACCACCCCGGTATCCCCGGCCGCGGCGAACACGTCCGCCTCCTCCTCGAAGGCGCCGGCGTCCCCTATGTCGACACCGCCCGCGACCAGAAAGACGGCTACAGCACCGTCCAACAAATTTGCATGAACGGCGCTGCTGAGAGCACAGACGGCAATCCACCCACCTTCGCACCGCCGGGTTTGCGTGTGAGTGGAGCGGGCAAAGACGGCAAGAGCTTGGTCATAAGTCAGACGCCCAATATCCTCGCTTATCTGGGAGAGAAGACGGGAATGGATGGGGAAGGGGAGCAGGAGAAGTACTGGGTAGCGCAGGTCGCGCAGACGGCGCTGGATTTGAACAATGAGGTGCATGATACGCATCATCCGGTTGCAGTGATGAAGTACTATGAGGAGCAGAAGGAGGAGAGTTTGAAGAAGGCGGCGGATGTGCGTGAGAATAGGCTGCCGAAATTCTTTGGCTTCTTTACGAGGATGCTGGAGTGGAACGAGGGGAATGGTGGGAAGGGGAAGTATCTCATCGGGAGTAAGTTGACGTATGCGGATACTACGGTGTGGCAGGTGCTGGATGGGCTTTACTTCGCTTTTCCGAAGGAGATGGAGGTGCGGAAGAAGGAGTTCTCAGCGTTGTTGGACGATTTCTACAACAGTGTGAAGAGCGAGAAGGGCATCAAGGAGTACCTTGCGAGCGACAAGAGGTTCGAGTATTCGATGGGGATCTTCCGGAACTACCCTGAGCTGGATAGGCAGTGAGCTACCGTAGCGAAGACAAAAGTACAGCAATATTGCAGCAGCTACTTCCCATTCAGCCCATAACTCTGATCAAACTTGCGCCGTATGTGCATCTCCACCGTCTCCCCATCCACTTCACCGGGCTTGAACGGGTTTGTCGCCCTCAGATCTCCTTGGTAGAAGCAAGGCACGCTGTATCGATCTCCGTCCGCAGCATTGATGACCCGATGACGTGTGGAGGAGTACTCGCCGCCCGTCCATTTCTGGATCAAGTCGCCCATGTTGACTACAAACACATCCTCGACCGCCGGGACAGAAAGCCACTCATCGTCAGCGGCATGGTAGACTTCCAATCCGTGCTTTCCAGGCTGCTGGAGCAGGACTGTCAGAGTGCCAAAGTCGGTATGGGCACCGGCGCCGAATTGTCGTGTATCCTTTGATGAGTGGGGTGGGTAATGCAGTAGCTTCAAGTTCATGACTGGTTCGGCGGTCAAAGTCGTCAAGTTCTCGGTCTCATAGCCCAAGGCAAGAACGAGCATCTCCAGGAGGTGGTGGGTTAGGCGGAGCATGTGTTCGTAGTAGTCAGTCACCGGAGCATGGAAGGCCTGGTCAGGGAGGTCGGGCCATTGGTTTGGTCCGCGGAGGAAGCCGGCGCTCTCGGGAGGTATCTCGCGGCCGATGTAGAAGCCTTTTGGGACTATGAGTACTTTGGAAATTAACGGGACGCGGGGACACTCATCTCCTTGTCATCCGGCAATGCTTTCGAGTCGAGCACCTGCTCACCTATGCGTTCGTAGCCTCTGCCAGCGAGTCAGACGAAAGTAGCCGCATAGGAGATGACTGTTGGCTTGCCTTCGAGCTTGGTTGTTCTTGAGCGAGAGGGCATCCTTCTGCGCCTGCGGCAAGTCGAACAAGGTCTTGCAGCAGTCCAGCATGTTCCGTTGAGTGTCTGCGGGCACGCCATGGCCTGTGATCTGTAAGAAGCCGTAGGTCGAGCAGGCTGACTTGACTTGATCGATGACTTTGGCCTTGATTTCGGCGGACGAGTCGCTGTTCAGGTACGGGCTGATGTCGATGAGTGGGATCCCTTGTGGCGCCATTCTTACTAACACTACGAATTCCGAGAATATGAAGATGGATGGCAATGCGAAAGGTGCTGGGAGATGAAAAGATGCAGATGAAAGGTCATATACCTCCGCCTATCTTAGAAGCGGCGGCCAGCTGGTTACCTTGGTGTTGGAGATCACGCCCGACATATTGAGTCGTCATGCTGTTTGGACAGTACAGCCAATGTACTGCTAGTTTCCTGTATCATCTCGTTTTTTGTGACTTCCACAGGGAGTAGAGACGAAGAGGAAGGCGAAAGTGTGCATGTAGTCCGTGCGGTCATTACCTCCTACGTCAAGCCTCGAGGGCAGGGCATCATTGAATCTCGAGCCCGCAAATACATCTTCCAACATAGCATCTACTGTGAAGCTACTGGAAGAGTAGGAGTGCTTTTGCTTCACACAGACTCGCCATGATGGCCGCACCCACAAGATCAGCGATGCGCATCCTGTCACCTCGAATTCATAGCACCCGCCAAACCACCCCAAGCCCCATCACCCACCAGATCCGACGACTTTCCTCCCGCTACAGCAACCCAGCAAAACGAGGCTTCGCCGCAGCGCCTGCGCAGTCACCATCTTTCCTGGGGAGTGCCAGCGAAAATGCCGGCGAAGGCTCAGAACAGCTGCGCGACCCTCACAAAGCATGGGAGGCGAAGCGACAGTACCACCTTGGGCGCATGCGGTTTGCGGGCATGGGCTTACTACTGAGCATTGCTGGTCTAGCGCTGGTGATATCGAACATCGATCTGGACAGTCTGGAGCAAGCAGAGCAGAAGCGGAAGAGCGGGCAGCAGATGGACGCCCCAGACGACGCCAACGCCCAATTTCAAGGCAAAGAGGTGCATGTCATAGGCGCAGGAGATGGCAAGAGGATAGTAGCGCAGGGAGCTGGTGCAGACATCGAGCTTGTTGAGACGGGGACGAGCAGTGTACCGCATTTCCCGAAGACCATCTTCCTTCCCACAGACCCCAACTCGAAGAGCGCGGTAGCAGCGCAGCCCAACTCGCCTGGCAACCCAGGCAACATTGACAACCAAGAAGAGTATACTCTCGTCGGCCTCGGCATCCGCACGGTCATGTGGATCCAGGTCTACGTCGTGGGCTTCTACATCCGCAGCAAGGACATCAGCACACTACAAGAGAAGCTCATCCACTACGTCAACCCGATCGCCTCGACTTTAGTACCAGCAGAAAAGGAGGATCTACGGAAGAAGCTCGTGGACCCAGCCGCGAGCAGGGAGATCTGGACACAACTGATGGAGGTCCCCGGCATCAAGACCGCGTGGCGCGTCTCACCCACCCGCAACACAGATTTCAGCCATCTGCGAGACGGGTTCGTGACGGGCATCCAGAAGCGCACGCAGGAAGCGAAACAACTGGCTGGTTCGGCAGGACCTTCAGAATACGACGCCGAGGACTTTGGCAAGTCAATCCAAGACTTCAAGGGCATCTTCGCAGGAGGCAAGGCTCCCAAGGGCTCGATCTTGATCATGGCGCGGGATCGGGAGGGTGGACTCGACGTTCTGTACGAGCCGAAGCCGGAGGAGGGAAAGAGGAAAGAGATGGAGGTGCTAGGACGTGTGGAGGATGAGAGGATCAGTCGATTGATATGGCTGGGATATCTGGGTGGCGAGAAAGTCAGCTCGGAGGCGGCGAGGAAGGGGGTTGTGGAGGGATGTGTGGAGTTTGCCGGACGGCCTATTGGAAGTGCGGAGACAATGGTGGCGTAGGTGGAAGGAGGTGCTCCAAGGAGCTGTGTTACTATACTGCAGAGCAGAATTGGGCTTTCTCCGGTGGCATGCCAATAGCCTGAGGAAAGGCTGGCCAGCTCGGGTCTTGTAAATTGACCGTTCTCATGCATACCAGACTCCTCTGTACCACGTTCCCTGCACATCGTGAGCTTTTGACTGAGTGTTGAGTGTTCGACAGAGACGATAGACTAGCTTCCGCGTGACTACATGTACGGGATTAACTCTCACTCGAAACATCTCGCTCGCTGGTAGAGGGTCACATCATGGACAGCTATATATGTCAAGAGGCGGACAACAATAGCGCCCGTCTGGCTCGCAACCAACCCCTGCGTTCCTCGATCACCCTCGGCGGCCATCTCCGCATAACAAGTGGCAGTACAGCAGCATGAGGAAGAGACAGAGAAGGCAGCGTCACAAGGCCTACACCTTGGTGAACGAGAGCAGTCTCATCAAGCTCGCTATGCTCTATCTCAAGGTCGTCCAACAGTACGTTGCACAAATCTGTGGCATCGAAAGCATCTCCTGGCTCACACCAATTGCTTCCTCGTCAATCATTCGTCCTGCTTCTTGGGCTTGAATCTGCCGGTGAGATTGCTGAAGGTCTTCAGTATGGACGATGCTGCCGTGTCTGTTGCGTAAGAAGGGGTCAGGGACGGCGTCAGAGAAGGCGTCGGCGACGGGATCCTTCGTCCTGGTCCTGGTCCTGGAGAATTGACTTTGCCTGGACTGGAAGCTTTGGACAAAGTGGCACCGCCACGGCTGGATATGCCTCCTCTCAGGGTACCACCTCTTGACGAAGCACCCCTTCCCGTACCACCCATCACCGTACCACCGCTGGAAAGCACAGCGTCAGCGAGTTTCTCAGGTATGCGGACATGCGGCAAAGGGCCTCGAGACGTCGCGCGGCTCGATCGCGTCTCGAAGCAGCCCTTCAGACGCAGATGCTTACCTCGTTGTACCGCTCTTCCAACCTCTCGCAACCTGAAGCCTCGCTTCCCACCTCTGTGCAGCTTTCTCAACAGCCTCCGCCTTCGCAACCTCCGCCTTCGCACCCACCTCTGGCATCCTCATCAGGTCCACCACGAAGTCTTCGTTGCCCTACAGAAGAAACCCAAAAGATTAGCATCAGACACAAAGCTTTCACGAGAACAATCTCGCGACAAAGCCGACGACTTGCCCTACTCGTAGTCATGGCTGACTGAGAGATGGAAAGTGCTGACCCAGTATGCCTACGTCTCCATGGCCTTCCTGCCTGCTTCGCGCATCCTTTAAGACGTCTCGCTCTCACAGCCAGATTCCTCGCTCTCGGAGTCGGATTTCTCGCCGTCAGAGTTGTCGTCAATGATGCGACCCTCATCCACTTCGCTCGGCGCCGTCTCGTCGAGATGTGCCCGCAACTCGTCCAGCTTCGTTCGCAGCTTGCGAAGTACAGCTTGTCCTTTGCCGCTATCCGGTTTCGTGAGCATGTTCGCCGCGTGCCACACCCTCTCGGCCCTCCTATGGCATCTTTCCGTTGGATACCAGTTGTCCTCTGCAGAAACTATCAAGAGAAGGTTCCTCACGCGAGAATAGCGAGACAGAGTGTCGTCGGTAAGAGTGAGCCTCGCCTTCGCAATGCATCTACGCCTTCGTTAGCTTGGAATCATGTCGGTGGAGTGACTACTGACTTCTCGTAGTTGCCTTCGTTGAAATACCCGACAGCCACGTTGTATTGTTGCTTAAAGACAGTGATATCTCTGGCGCCAGACATAGTGCGATTGGGAGGTGTTGCACGATAACTTGAGGGTGGCAGATTCGTTCAGGTACTTTGCATGAAGTGCACGAGGACGATGGGGTCTTGATGAGTCGGCGCACGGCTGCATGAATTGGTACTTGAAGTCGCTGAGGCAGGCTGTAGTTCACTTTTCATGATTTTCTTGTACACTACACCCGTCTTGCCTCATAACACACATGGTCGTGAGTATTGATCCTGTGTTTCCAAGTAGTTCGACCTCCAGATGGGTTGATGAAGAGCAGCTCATGGTGAACTCGTGATTGACAGTGCTAATTGCAGACTGGAACGTCTGTATAGAACTAATACAGAGTTCCACTGCGATTTCTTCGACTTTGAAGACAACAAGGCAAAAGGCAATCCCAACGACCAGGCAAGAGAGGGCTCTCCTCATATGCAGTCGGCCAGAACCTGGAAGGGCCTTCGGGAACGGGAAATGTCGGAAGTCGGTTGTTGGGCACGCTAGTCGCATTTGGAAGAAGCCTTCTTGCTCTCTCCTAACTAAATTTTGCTTCCTTTCCTCTCTTCCATCACTAAACCACGTCTCCAAAATCTCCACTCACAATCACCTTCTCCTTCATCACATCTACCACAGAGCAACACCGCAACCATGTCGACGGAAAACAAGGGCGAGGTCAACGTGAGTACACACCCCCGAGCTGCGAGCGCGCAAAGGCTCTGCATCTACAGCTCCATAAACATCTGCTAATACGAGAAATTCTTCGGGACTCTAGCAAGGCGAGAAGTCGTTCAGTATGTCCTTCGACACAACGAGAAGAGCATGCGCATACCAGACACCGCCGCCTCGACCTCGATGGAGCTGCTAATGGGGTCTGCGGCGCGTGCGCTGGTTTTGCAGCTTGTCCAAGATCGTGCTTCTGGCATGTGAACACAGCTAACGACCATCGCAGTGGGGATGCCCGGCTTCGTGGTCGACTTCTTGAGTACGTACAAACACATCTCCCAGCAATTGTCGCCTCGCCAATGGCGCGCGGTCACCACCGAAGCTCCGCATGGCGGGCGATAAGAGCTGGAAGCTTGGAATTCAGCTGGATAACAACTGATTCAACGCAGTGGGTGGTGTCTCCGCCGCCGTCTCGAAGACCGCAGCCGCTCCCATCGAGCGTGTCAAGCTCCTCATCCAGAACCAGGTTCGTCTTTTCCCAATGGCTATCTCAATGCATCCGCGCTTCAGAGCCAGAAGGCTTTCGCCAAGCCGCCATCCGGCATTAACATACTGACCACCCTTCTACTCACAGGATGAGATGCTGAAGACTGGCCGTCTCGACCGCAAGTACGATGGCATCGTCGAGTGCTTCACCCGTACCGCGAAGAACGAGGGTGTCGTCTCGCTGTGGCGTGGCAACACGGCCAACGTCATCCGTTACTTCCCTACCCAGGCCCTCAACTTCGCCTTCCGCGACACCTACAAGTCGATGTTCGCGTACAAGAAGGAGCGTGACGGCTACGCGAAGTGGATGGCCGGCAACCTCGCCTCTGGTGGTGTAAGTTGAGACAACATATCTGCACGTGCGACATGAATGCTAACCCAGTGGTGACAGGCGGCCGGTGCCACTTCCCTGCTCTTCGTCTACTCTCTCGACTACGCCCGTACCCGTCTCGCCAACGACGCCAAGAACGCGAAGACCGGTGGTGAGCGCCAATTCAACGGCCTCGTCGACGTCTACAAGAAGACCCTCGCCTCGGATGGTATCGCTGGTCTCTACCGTGGTTTCGCTCCCTCCGTCACTGGTATCATCGTCTACCGTGGTCTCTATTTCGGCATGTACGACTCGATCAAGCCTGTCCTCCTCACCGGTACTCTCGAAGGCAACTTCCTCGCTTCCTTCTTGCTCGGCTGGGCTGTCACCACTGGTGCCGGTATCGCTTCCTACCCGCTCGACACCATCCGTCGTCGCATGATGATGACGTCTGGTGAGGTACGTATACCTCTAATCTTCCTTGAACCTTCAATGTGCTAACCAGAATCTTGCAGGCTGTCAAGTACAAGGGTACCATGGACGCCGGTCGCCAGATCGTCGCCAACGAGGGTGTCCGGTCGCTGTTCAAGGGTGCAGGTGCCAACATTCTCCGTGGTGTCGCCGGTGCCGGTGTGCTCTCCATCTACGACCAGGTGCAGCTCCTCATGTTCGGCAAGAAGTTCAAGGGTGGCTCTGGCTAAGCGCCAGCTCCGATCCTCAACAATACCCATACATCAAAAGCGTCTGCATGCCGGTGAAGATTGCAGAGACATTGTGCGATAGGCGAGGGGGCTACTGGAGGTGGAAGAGTTGCGTAGACTGTGGAAACGGAGGAAGTGTGCAAAGCTGGGTTTGAGGGAAGCGAAGGCATAGCATTGTGGTTGTTTCCTGAGCGCGACAATACGTGTACCTTTATCCGTCTGCTGGGCCTGGCACACTCCTCTTTATCCGTGTGTATTACATTGGGCGTATGTTCTTGCTGTTAACTATGGGAGTATAGAATTCCTTGGTCCTTACTTCTTTCTCCCTTTCACACCTCTTCAAGTTATGTTGAAACCAGTCGTCCTGGTGCTCCACGTGATCCGACAATTTCTCTAGAGCTTTAGATCTGACGTCAGATTCAATGCGAACCACCTGCAAGGGACGTGTTCCTGAGCACAAGGACAGCTTGCAAGTGCCCTCTTCTCTGTACTATTTTGCTGAAACCCCAAACATCCGTATCAACGTGCGAACCTCCCAAGATGCCTCCCATACCAGTTCACATCAACGACCCAATCGTGCCGACCAAAGCAGAAGGAGTGATACCGAAGACCGCAGAGCAGCAAGCCCCTCCCAGCAACAATACACCGACAACGACCACACAAAACCAGCCTTCAGCATACCCTCCAGCACACCCTGGCGCAGCCGCCGTGCCTGCGCCCACACCTTACGCAGCTCCACCACCTCCTGCACCTTCAAGAACACAGCCAGCCTCCAATGGCCCTCCCCCACCACAACCAGGCGCCGTGCCTATTCCGCCGAGTCAGCAAGCATCGAGCACACTTCCGCCGCCTCCAAGAGCGGGGGAGACACTACAACAACAGCCTCCTGCAACAACCATGCCCGCGCAGATGTCCATGCCTCCTCCCCAGCAGAACTTCGCGCCCACCCACACCACTTCTACAACCTCAGCAACTGGTCCTACAACCGTAAATCTAGGCCCTGTAGCCTCGCAAAGCCAGAACCTAGACACACATCCGCCCGGCTATCGGCAGGACACGCACGCGCAGGAGCTCACGTCAGCGCAGCGGGCGAGTCTGGAGCAAGAGGAGCGGAGGGAGAGTGTGCTTGGAGAAGGGGCGGGAGAGGCCGTGGGTGGAGTTTGGGGGACTGTGAAGGGTTGGGTGGGCGCGGCGGGTGAGGGGCTGAAGGATGCGGAGGAGAGGGTTTGGAAGGGTTTGGGGAATGGGGGCGGGAAGTAAGATGAGGAAACGACTGGGGAAGAGTATGATTGATGATACCGGGCGTTCTGCATTGGACTTGATTACTGGGTTTGGGTGTCATGAGATACGACTGGGTAAAGGTATGGGCATGGGCACAACGGCGTGGGCTGATCATGTAGCCACCATGAGGGACTGAAAGTATTGCCATAGGCCCGACAGAGCGATGGGTCTACTCGAGCGACTGCCTCTCTAACGGCACCCATTTGATCACGCCAGTCGTTGGGTCACAATTTACATATTCGAAGTTCGCCTCTTTCTCTTTCAGGATTGAGACCTCGTGCCTGGAGGCAGTCGTCCGTCAGCAGTCATCTCGAGACGTCGGTGCAGGTAAGGAAGAATATGCTCACCATGTCATGAACTTCTTGTCCGGCCCAAAGCGTTTCGCGTGCGCTATTGCTCCCGTGAAGATGGCTAGATGGGAGGGATGGGTGCTGGCCCATTGCTCGAGGTCTTGCCAGTTTCTGTGCTGGAGTCGCAGTCAGCGTTTGTTTACATTGCTGGTCGTGCTTTGCACGATACTCACGAAGCCAGCTCCACATGTTTCTCTTATCGGAGTACCTATCGGTGCACATCAGCTCTCTCTTCCTTCCATTTCCGATGAGCCTGGCTTACCCTTATCGTCCAGATTCTGCAGAAGCCGCAACCCGATCGTACCAGTCTCAGCCGGGTTGTCCCAGAGGTACTGCATGCCGTTCATGAGCTTCCTCTGCAACCCGTCTTCGCCCTCGTAAGCTTCTCGCTCGACATCATCACATTGCTCCCACCATTGGCCGCTTCCTGTCGACTCTCAGCAACCACCACTCGAAGGACAGAATGCCGCTTACGGATATGGCACATGTTGTCATAGTTCGTCCCGGTCAGATGCTCCCCGATTCCCTTCGGCACCTCCCTCGGCCCTGTCGTCTCATCAGGGGGTTGGAACAGATCGGTGGCAGACGCCGGCAGTCGATCTCTACCCGCTCCCCAGTAGGCGGTTAGGTTGTGCTCGGGAAACTCGGATCCCGGGACTTGCGAGATGCCTGGCTGGTGCAGAAGACTGGCGTAGTTTGTCTCGAGGCGGTCGATGGGCGTTACGAAGTGCTCGGTCCAGAGGCCCGTTGAGCTTTTCTCATCGCCTAGGTCGTCCCATATTTGCTTAAGATTGAGGGATTGTATCTTGCTGCTGAAGCGTTCGGCGTCAGTCCAGTATGCTACCCAGACTTTGGAATCGATGATGTCGAAGCCGTTGGTTACGCGGAAGGTATCGACTGCTGTAGGTCTGTCATTGGGATGGTCGAGCCATTGTTGAATCGATCTCTCTGCTCGAGATGCGGCATTGGTATTCTTGCTGTGGGATTGAACGCCAATGTAAAATGTGTAAGTGTCAGTTATGCCGTCCGGCATCTGCAATGTCCATCTTGGTACTGGAACTTTGTGGCCCTTTGGCCTTTTGAGAGGATACCGTCTGTCATCTTCTTGGATCGCCATGGTTGACCGCTGCGCTGATGTTTGGTGGAAGATCCCAAATGACGAACTCAGTACAGCAGTATGACAAGCTCTTCCAATTGTAGCAATGCCTCTCCTCGAACACCTTTGTGATGCTCTAGAACACAGCATTGAACGACAGCGCGATTATGGCAGTCAGGGAGCAGTACCGATTACCCCTCGTAGAAGTTTTGGCTTTTCACAGCAGCTTCCTGATGCTTAATCGACTCTGCATGAGGTGCCTGTATATCTATATTCTATCATTCCTCTCTATGTCCTGTCCCTCCGGCCACTGTTCTGTACCAGTCCAGATTACAGGATCCAACTACTCCAGGCACGTACACGAAGCAGCAGATCACTTCGCCCACAATCACTGCTCGGACCGACGTCGACCGTATACCATCGCAAGCCAATCTCAATCATCACGCTCGCTTAGGACGTTCAAGCCAGGCAAAGCGCTATCAATCGTTAGCAGATATATTCATCAACTTCAAGTATGCCGAATAACTCACCGACTTAGGTCTATCTGCAAACCGCTCCGACACCTCCAGCTCAACATCCTTTTTGAACACAAACCCATTCTTCACGTACAGCCCCTTCCCAAACACCGAGCTCTCAACCACAGTGTTCACCCCCATCTCGTCCGCTTTCTTCAGCCCCCACCCCACCAACGACCCGCCAGCGCCTTGCCTCTGGCTCGAAGGATCAATAGCCAGAATATCCAACGACACCACGTGGCCCTTGTTCCTTACAATCGCCGCCCTCCTTTCCTGCACGAAGCCATCTTGCAGCTCCTTCACATACTGATTCTCCAACGGGTCGTCCCAGTAATCCTTCCTTTCCCGATCCTGCTTCTCGAAGTCCGGAATCGTGCCGGTGTACACATTCCACTTGGCCATACCGATGATGTTGCCAGTGCTATCAACGGCTTTGAGGAAAGTGTTGTTAGGATCCGTGTTATTAATCTCCTTGAAGCGTTCGCCGCCTTGTTTTCTACCGGCTTCGGTCCAGTGGAGTGGCCAGCAGGCGTCGAAAAAGGGTTCGTTGTGCGCAAAAGCTAGGGAGCAGATCTCGAAGAGACGGTACATGTCTTCGTCTGAGGCTTCGTGGACTTGAGTTGCCATGATATCTCAGGTCTAAGATGAGATGCGTTCGTTTTCGAGCTTCGGTGGCGATGGTCGCGGCAATATTGTCTCTCTTGGTTTCCTGATGGACGGAGCCAGGCGTAACGAGGCAGTTGAAATTGAAGTGCTCTGCTTACTTCAAGTTGAGCTTCTGTGGATGTTGAGTCTGGGAAAACCACACCGCTTCAAGTGACTCAGGATGGTTTTGACGTCACTTCCTTTCTGGTTCACCCGTACTTCTATGTATATGCAAGGCTACCAGCGCATCCTGACTGCTATCAATAATGTCAGCGACGTGAGCTTCCTCGAATATGGGATTGAGGCGGCTCGTGGAAAGGTTGAAAGGACATAAGTCCGGGAAGTGGAGTGCTGTATTACTCAGCCTGGTCAGCCTCCATGTTTGCTTTCGTGTGCTGTAGTAAATCATCTGTCTCTGCTTAAAAACTATACTGACTATAAGCTATGGGTATCGAAGCTGAACATGCCATGCAAACAAGGGACCGAAACAATCTTCGCCGGAACTCTTCATATCTCTCCAGAACAGTAGCAGTCTTACAGTTGCTTGATTCAGGCGCGAACCCGGTCAAGGTAGGCTTGAATCCACTCCTCCGTACCATCCTCATACACCTTCTTTGCGGCCTCCTGTGGTATTGTCAGTTTGTCTCGCGCTCAAGGAGATTGCAACAAACTTACAAAGTCCATGTGATGTGTGTCGACCCACCAACAATCGCCGTAGGTGCAGTGGCCTCTCATACGGCAGTGATGGCCGAAAGTACAATCGATGTCTCTGCATTGCTCTCGTTGCGGGCATGTGCGAGATCTTGCTTTGTGCTTGAGTACCAGTAGCTCCCCAGGCGAGAGCTTAGGACCATGTTTGTAATCGCAGTACTCACCTGCTTCACCTGTGATATTTCAACGTTAGTCTACTACAACTCGACACTTCAGCGATTTAGCCGGCGTGAAGAAAGGGTAACATACAGACGCCAGTGAGGTGGTGAGAGTTGCAGTACTTCTTCCCGGTCTTGATCTGCTCCGCGAAACGCTTTTCGGCTCCAGCATCGGTACGCGGCAGCTCCGAGTCCAGGCGCTCATCATGAACATTGAGGAGAACGCAACGACGAGGCGCAGACTTCTTTGATGCGATGTTAATGGTCTTGCCGTTCGAAGCGCCCTTTGCACCCACTGCTGCCCACGTTCCCGCCCCAGATGATGCGGAGTCAGAAGATGGTGCCGGGCTTGCCGACCTGGGCACGAAAGGAGCACTGTTGGCGGAGATGGCAGGCTTCGGCACCGAGATGGAACGAGTTGGTGGCTGCACTGCTGGTGGCAATGGTGATGGAGTTGGTGTGTAACCATTTGTTGATGCAACGGTCTTCGCCGGCAGGTCCGCAGACCGGAACACGGACGGAAATCGGACCATGGGGAAACCCAGAGCCATGAACCCTGGTTCGGCCGGTCTGGTCTCGATGAGTGTAAGCCTTGAGGCATAGTTACGTCTGTAGTTCTCCAACACCACGAGGTAGCCGTTGTCGTGTGTTGGCCCAAAGAAAACATGCTTGCACTGCGCGTTTGGGAGAAACACACGCAGCGTCTCCCGGATCTTGTGGTCGGCTCTCTCCTTTCCCTGTCCGACATCGATAAAACTGAACAGCGGTTGAGCGGACCCAAAAGCTCTGGCAAAGGCGAAGACCTCGTTGGGGTTCATGACCAGCCCGCAAGAGTGTAACTTCGCAGCGATGCCCTGAAGATTGAGCACAACCTGAACAACGACGTTCCAGTCATCCACGGCGGCGTCGGGATAAGTGGCCTTCAAATGGTTCTTGATTTCGGCGTGGAGCTGGTAGGCCGCGTCTGAACCACCATCTCTGCCCCTAGCATAGAGATAGTCTGCAAACGGCGCACCATCGCCGTCGATTACAACAAGGACGAAAGAGTTAGAGCCCTGTTGAGGTCAACGTCCATCCTTAACCATACTGCAGTACAAATGACATACAGAAGCTTGCTTGAATTGGGTGAGCGCAGATTCGTTTTGGTTCGCCTTGCTCTGCCACATTCGACGCGACTCCACTTCGTTGTTGTAGTCGCTGAGGGTCTCCGCGTACTTCAGCTGGAGGGCCTCATACTTTCTCAAAACCTAACAGATCGTTGCGTCAGCACTGATCGGGTCATGAGAAGATCCACCGTGCGCAGCACAAGACTGTAGACTTCTTGGGAGCGCGCGGGCACGCCGTTATGATGCCTTTCTCGCGCGGTGAACCCACCTCCGTAACAAGGGCATTGCGTGCTCTGTCAGAAGCTTGAAAGCCGTCCAGCTGATCGTAGTAACTCTCAGAGCTGGCGCTGTGTCCGTTCATCGCGGTACGCCGGTCGAGGGGTTGTCAGTGATGGAAAGCAGAGGTTTACGGTCGCATTGTTGCACAGGAGAAAGTTGTACGTTTGCCAGGCCAGGAACCAGAATCGCCAGACCGCTCACCCTGCAGCTATGATCGTCCTGCAGCACGCTAGGCTAGACTAAGGTAGCTCGATCGCGCCGCAGCGCCACGTCGCGAACCTAAACGCGGTAAACTCTGTCTTCCTCACGACCAGGGCATGCCAGCGCTTCCTCTCTCTTTCAATCTCATACGTCGACCATCTGGTCTCTATGTTCTAAAGATTCGGGAAACACTTTACTGGACCGCCTGCCCAGTGATACACCTACTGCCCTTCCAGTTTCCATTGTCCATCCTGCTGCCCCAAGCCCTTTTTTTCACACGTCAGGCACCAAAAACCTGTTAATTATTGCCGACTCCCCTTCCGCCTGGTTCACTCATACTGGCATGCTCCTATGACACTAGAGGCCGAGATCACGAAGTGCAGCTGAATACTTCCCCCTGCCAGACCAGTATCTTGGGTGTTTGGGTTATCTTGCCCGTACCTCCATCGCCTCAACCCGAGACATTTCCACCGCAACTCATCCTTGTGACCACTGGCGCTGCCAGACACCATCGTGCTGCGACACGACGCATTCACATAGGGTCGCTCTTTCAACTGGTTGAGGGGCATCAATGGCGTAGACTTCCGGAGTGGCCGCGAGCACAGTGCAAGCACAAAACAGTAGTACAAGACCATATCAACGGGAGCAACAAAGCGCGGCATCAGCGATGGGATAAACGCGCTCGCTTCAGAGCGAGCTTGATTGAATCCCTTTCGCGCCTCTATAGCTCTACAACACTGTATGCTCAAATGTGTCTCGTCCTTCCGACCATCTTTGCTTGGGACTCTCTTCCAGCTTACTTCGTCAAGGTCTTCACAGAACCGACACAATCTCCCAATCATTCGGCCATGGCCATCTTGAAAAACTTTGCTTCGATCAGGATCAATGCTGGCTTGGCTGGCAGCGCTATGGCTTCTCCAAACCTGACGCATCAGAGGTCTCGATTCGTTCCCCGACAGTTCAGCAACTCTTCCACGCCAGCAGCCATGCCTTCGACTGCTACCACCGAGTCGCCGCCACCTGCGACGAGACCAGCGGCTGGCACTTTACGTTCGTAGTTGGGACCGTAGGCGTTTGTGCACCGGGACAACGTTCCTCGACACGATCAAAATCCGAGCTGATCATCATGCAGTTCAACGTCGGCGACGGATTGAGCAACCCAGACCCTGCCGAATTCCGGGACCTCTGGAATACTGCATGTTACAACGCCGGGTGCGATCCGACTCAACCACAGACAACAGCAGAATTCACGGGACCGACCGACGAGACTGGTGAATGGGTGATGTCAAAAGTACTCACCGATAAATTCACGCTGCAAGGAAACTTTGACGGTACGGACGCAAATAGCGACGAAATCGTCATTTGGATCCTGAATGGCATCAGCGCGGCGTTGATCGCTTCGAAACAATGCCAGCAGGTCTCAGCAGAAGACGGAGACTGCTCGGCAACTGGGCTCGGAGGCGGGCCTTGCTTTCGTACAGTCGCGCGGGTACCTTGTTGAAGGTCGAATGAATCTCGCCAACGACGAAGTAGCGACACTTGCACAATGTCCAGCTACATTCAAGCCACTGTGTATAATCCAGATTCCCTGATGGTGGCCCAGATCGAGATGTCGGCGTCGACAGAAGGAGGCGATTTCAACTGTAAGGCGATGGACACTGCTATTAATGCTGCTGTGTTGCCTTTCAGCGAAATACCTTTTGCAAGTGGAGCTATATCTACCATCGCGGGAACGACATGCGAGTGATGAGCTCTTTCTACACGACCGAGGGTTGGAGAGGAGTGATGTGGGGCCCGAAGAGGCGATAGAAGGTCTTCCTTTCAGCCTCCAGCAAAGACGCGATGTAGGGGAGGATGGGGGAACTGGCAGCACCCTTTCGGTGGTTTTAGACGTGCACAGAGTGTGTTAATGCAAGCAGACAGCAGATTGACTGATGACGTTGGTTGCTTTGAACGCAAATGCCTCTGTCATGCCTTCACGTATTGTCTGCCTGACATGTTGGGGAGGCGCAACGTTGCGAAGGTTTTGCTCTTGAGGAGGTGCTATGACTAAAAATAGTCCTGGAAGGATCAACTGACTCCCGTCTCGGACAAAACACACCTTCGTACTTTGACGCCCATCCAGGGCGTATGGAATCAATCCTGTACCCAACTTTGCCGCTGCAATCCATGAACATTGCGGCGTGCATGCAGACAGACATGCTCCATACTCAACACTAGGCGTCTCCATGCGCGACGGTAAGTCTGGTGGAATTGGAGCCTTCTGCAACCCTAGCCCCCAATCCTACAGCTGAAACCCTGCACCAAGACCGCAATGCACAGCCCTAGGAGAGGCCTAAGATCTTTTACACTTTATCTCTGCTTCCTCTGTGTTACTCTCCGATCTTGCAGTGCGACTTTCGCTGCGATGTGTGGTTTGTGACCCCAACTTGACTGGCCCTCGATATCGCGGGTGGTAGCACCTTTGGATACAGACGGTACAGAATCAGTGGTGGCCAGCATGAGGAGGCATGCTGTCGTTCTTTACGCGGCCAGCGCGTTGGGCCTCGCCGCTGCACGTACGTGACACTACAGCTTCAGAAGGTAACTTCTTAACAGTGGTCTACAGAAGATGATTGCTCTGCCCTTCTACCGGTCACAGACTTCCAAGGACTCTCGGCTCTTTCGCGCTGCGAAACAATCAGTGGTAGCCTCACTATCCAGAGCCTGACAACAACTGTATCTCCAGGCGCAACTCCACTAGTATACCTACCTCTCCAAGAGGTCCTCGGGAGCCTCGAGATCTCAGGTTTGGCGACAATCGACGAGGATGGCACACCAGGCCCGCTCTCCATCGGTCTTCCATCTCTCCAAACTGTGGACGATGATCTTACATTCAGCAACATGGCCCTGACCAGCATTCCGGATATCTCAAGGCTCTCCCGGACCAAGTCACTATCTTTCAGGAACGTATCGTTCGACGACAACGACGTCGAATATGGACCTGTGGCGTTCCGCAACATGGCGTTCGAAGGCTGCGCCGGTCTGAAGAAGATCGATGCAAGGCAGGCTCCAAACAGTCGCGATGTAGAGTCTACGGCAGTGATCGTAGCCACCGATAATGCGGACCTGAGGGATATTGATCTTCGGACGTACGACGATGTCAAGACAGACATTACCATCCAGAGGAATAACGAGGATATATATGTCAATCTGCACGACGTTGTCAACGCTTCCCTCAACCTGAACAAAGTGGCTTACTTCCACGCACACAATCTCAAGCACATCCAAGCTCCGGACAGCGGCGGTGTGCAGACCATCTCGGACAACACGATGGAGGAACTCAAGCTTCCCGACCTGCTCAGCATTGAAGACACAACACTCGGGATTTTGTCCAACGTACACCTCCGCTCTATCGACTTCAGCAATCTGGAAAACTTGTCCGTGGTCAACATCTCGAGCAATTACTGGCTTCGAGATATCAATCTGCAAGGCTTGCATACTATCGGGACACTCAACATATCTGGACCAATCGAGAGGTAGGTGTCGTTCGCTAGCCACTGACTGGTGGTGGACGAGGAACTGCTGGCTGACAGAGTCTAGTGTATCGATATACAATGCCGAGACTGTGCAGATCCTTGACCAAGTGAACATCGAGCCTGACGACGAGGCTGCCTGTGACTCTGTGCCTGAACTGCCTGGTAACTACGAGTGCGGCACGCCCAGCTCCGCGCCAGCAGCTCAAAGCCAGTCTTCTGACGATGGTGGGAACGATAACGGTAATGAAGGTGATAGCAATACTGACGACACCGACGACAACAACGAATCGAGCTCTGGCGGTGGCCTGTCTTCAAGTGCTAAGATAGGTATCGGAGTCGGCATTGGCCTTGGTGGCCTCCTGCTCCTACTCGCAGCCGCATTCTTCATCTTGCGCCGCCGGAAACGAAACCAGCGCCGATCGCGAAGCGCCGCTGCAGAGGGGTATTCCATGTCCAAGCGCACAGGTAGGGAGGCCTCACCGCCTCGCTATTCGAAGGTTCCTGCAGCTACCGAGTCCATGCCAGAGCCGACGCCTCCCACCCAGAGGCCCTTCTCTAGACAGTATACGGACTACTGGTCACAGCCAGAGCGGAGGGTGTCGACGCCAGACGGACATCACGAGTTGGAAGAGCAGCAAGGACCAAGGCATGAGATGGACGCGAGGAGCTTGCAGGACATGGAGCTCGAGGATGATGGAGAAGAGACTAGGAGTCTCCAAGACATCGAGAGGAGTCATCGGCACAGCGGTCTGTAAGGAGTGCAGTATTGTTTCCCGGCGATCTGAGCGTAGGCGTTGGTGTGTTGGGTAGGATGAGTCATGAATCAGGAAGTGCTTAAGAATTTGTTTCTGCATTTCGAGCTCACACTGTCGTAAGCTTGATTGCAGCTACATCAGGATGCTCGTCAAACATCTTCTTCACCTTCACATGCACCAACCCAATAGTGACACCATCCTCGCAGACAATCACGGGATCACTCAACGTGCTCGTCCGCCCCAGATACTCCTTCGTCTCATCCTTCTCCTCCCATATCGTCGCTTCAAGGGCGGTAGGAGGAGGCTGAGACAAGAGCATATCCGTTATACTCTTCCCTTGCCCGGTTATGGAGCGAAATGCAATAGCAGGGATGTCTTGCCGAGTGATGATGAGATATGCAACGTGCTTGTTGCCCGTGCTGTCGTAGCTGAGATGCCAGAACCGGAAGTGGTACCTTGCGAAAAGTGACTGGATTACAGGGTTGAGCTGGGGTGCACGGAGACAGGGAGCCGTGTAGTAGCTGTACAGCTGCCGTGCGCGTGTGGCGTTGGCGTTGGCGTTGATGTCCCACACGCGCGAGGTCCGATTGTCTGGTAGATGGAAGAGCGAACGTTGGAGTTTCTTTGATCCCAAGAGGCATTCATTCCAGCTGCGACTGACCCCCGAACATCGTAGGAGATGTAGTAGAACCGCCGCGTTGCCGTGCGTTCGTACCGATCTTGGGTCCTCTCTATCGGTAAGAGGGAGTAGACCGCAGAGCAGGAATATAAAGATGTGCTCGAGCAACTCGGGCGTTTGGAAGACTCGTTCCATTGATGACGCTTCTTGGTCTTTCATTTTGTTGGTTGATGTCCTCAACGGGTTGAACAAGGTGCCGGAGTGAGTGAAGTCCGCCCTTGCTTTGGAGCCTTGATGTACAATTTGTGAGAGTGGACGAGACTGGTCAATTGATGAACGTTGGGCCGTTCAATCGATCGTCTTTGAACCCGTTATCGCACTCCGTCTTGTTACCATGGTCCGCCGTTACAATTGTTTTGTCTGTCTTCATTCGATCCATACGTTCTTCTCCCCGCGGCCTCACTTGCGCTTCCCCACGTACGTCATCAACCTCAAAAGGTGCTGGAGTCACGGCTTGCATGTGACAGTCAACTCCATCAACACATCCCTGGCAACTCCTAGTGAAACTGAGTATATCATCTCTTGAATATACAAATTGAAGTGCATGGCCCTACGATGACCTCTTCCAGCCTCACCGAGGCCCAATGCGCCGCGCTCCTCGATGTCCTCATCCACGACGAAACCTATGCCGAGATCGAGGACTTCAAAACCCCGGGGGTGATCAAGCAGTACGGCCCTCCTTTCCAGGACTCTACCTCCACATCGAGAACTCCCGTGCTGCAGACACTAGTCTCCAAGTTCATCCTCACCCTCCCAGGCTTACGGGATGTCTCACACGACTTCTGGAGAGTGCGTGTGAAAGACCTCATTGAAGAGCTCAGCCAAGCGGAATTGAGTGAGAGCTATGACAAAGGCGTGCTGGGAATTAGAAAGACGCTTGCAACAGCCATAAGTGCTTTGATCGAATATCCAGCACGAGGGAGTCTGTTCGGGCTACCGAAGCGGGACGAGGAGCTGCAAAAGGCAGAGAAGGGTGGGTATGATATCAGCAAGCCGGAGGATGTGCTTAGGAGCTGGCAAGACTGCCTGCAAGCGCTCGTCTATGGCAATCTGGTGGATGAGCTATTCAGTCGGGCTGCTGAGACAGACGACCTCAAGAAGCATGGAGGTCTCGTCCAGGGGATGCATGAATTCGTTGTTGTGAAGTAGGTACGCATCCTCTGCGGCTGCTCATATGATGGAGATCGTTGCGCTGACTCTTGTTGCTGCAGCATTGCTTCGCTGATGCACTACACCCTTGTACTATCGCCAGAAGGACCGACTCTACTACGCATGATTGAAAACGTTCACCGCCTGATACCTTACGTTGTCGTTCGACAGACACTCAAGATTGGTAATGTGGCAACCATGATCAGCGCAATGATGAGGGTCATATTGGCCAAGGTCAGTGTTGCAAGTGTCACAAATTGGATCGGACTCAGCTCGGGTGCAGACGAAGGAATGAATCTGCTACAGCAGTGAGTATGGACCTGCAATAGATGTGACGCTATAGATGCTAACGGCTGGTGCAGAATCATGTCACAAGTGCTCTCCTGGGACAAACGGGACCTCAACTCCCGCGCGACAAAGATCGAGAAGGCCTCCAACGGACCACCGAAACCCGTAATTGCTGCTCTCAAAGACTGGATAGCGACTCGCAGCCGTGCCGAACACGAGGAAGCCAGGCGGCAGAGTCGGGATGGGAACATGTCTATCATTGCCGTTATTCTTTCTCTATCATCGTGCCCATCTGCGGACGACATCACCGAAGCTCAACATGCCGCCACCCTCGAGTACCTCAAGCTTCGATTGTCCATCCGGGACCGTGACGAGATCGTCCGCGTCCTCTGCCACCGGAATCCGGATCACTTGACTGCCATGATCCAAGACGCCGTCGCAGCATACACACCGATGATCCGACAAGTGCACGAAGCTGTCAACCTCGCTGATACCGTCTGGGACTTTGAACGCTTCACAACAGACATGCTAAAGATGAGCAAGCCGTCAGGTCCGAAGGGCCAGGAGAAGCCGCCGACAGTTGAGGACTATGTTGACCTGCTACATCGACACCAAAACAGCAGTCACAAGTTCCTGCATCAGGTTGCGAAGAACGGCAAGGAGGTGACCGGCTGGTGGCGAGACTGGGTCAACATGGTCATCAAACAGTTCCGCAGGCAGCAGGATAAGCCTCCCGAAACGAGTGCAGTGGTCGATCAGAAGATGAGCGGGACCAATCCACGAGAAAGAGTGCAAAAGTCCTTCGCAAACCTCTCCGAGGCCGACCAAAGCAAGGTCAAGAAAGAACTCGACGCCTACAAGCGTTATCTCGACGACCTGCACACCGCGTCTGCAACACGAATAACAGCCGTCATCAACCGCACGCGGTCCACTCCTTTTGGTCCCGGTGCTTATCTCGCGCGCTGGCAAAATCTTCTCGATGCCACAGCCATCACCCCGGGTACTGCTAAGGGACCAGTCAGGAAGGGCGCGAACAAGGGCGTACGAGAAGAAGGGCGGAAGGACATCGAAGGTAACGAGGCAGGCTTCGTGACGGAAGAGGAGGTCGAGAAGGCCGTCGATCGGACGACGTCGGATGCGCCGAGTGTGGAAGAGACTGTGAGGTTGCTGGGTCCGAGGTTTCGGGAGCTGCTTGCTGGTGGGTGAGCATTGGTTAGAGGTCGTGTGTGTTGGAGCGCGCAACCGGGGAGTCGTGTCATTATACTTCCACCTGGTACTTTTCTGCAATGAAGAAGGCCTACCGATGCTTGAGCGGTGTTGAAGGTCAAGCGGTGTTCACAGTGCGCAACTTCCTTGCAAGCCATTCTCTCGGTGGTTCCTTTGCCGCTTCAAGAAGTTCGGCGCTCCATGTGTTGTCTCCGTTCGCAAGAGACTCCGGAGCACAGTGGTATTGGCTTGACTTCGGGCTGGCGTCGGGTTAAGTCGATCTTTTTAACTGTTGTCTTGGCGCCTGGCTAGAGACGATCGAACAGGCCGGGGTCTGGGTAAAGATGACGGGTCCGTCTTTTTGATGAATAGTGATCAGCGACACGACTGCCCCTGCTCTGGTGAGGATCTAGACCGATCTAGACCTTGACACCACAAAGTGACATGCAAACCGCCGGCATATAACGGCATGCCGATCAGACTTATCCGTCTGGCGCGGCGTGCATGCCTGTCTCCCCATTTGTGGCGCGGTTTGACCTGGCCTGGCTGCTTTGCACACAGGGCTGAAGCCGGACGATCGCCATTTGCTACAGATCAGCGGCAGCTAACGGCTGTCTGCAAAGCTGCATGAAAAAAGACAACTGTTACACAGGATTCCAGCCACTTTGCATGCCGTCTGCACGATGCTGCCGTCAGGTGATAGGAGGAACGAGGAGACACCCAGATGGACCGGCAGACTTGCGTTGCCCCTCCTGAGGGTGAACGCGGCCAGTCCTCGAGTGGCCGTAAATAAGATGCACTGCCGTATAATCGGTGCTGGCCTATCCTTTGGGCATTTCTGACAAATGAATACATACCAATTCGGCCATGGCTAGAACTGCCCTCCTTCGCCAGATTGTAGGCCTTGTGACGCTAAAGTACCTTCTCTGTCTCTTCCTCATGCTGCTGTACTGCCGAGAGTGAAGGTGATCGAGGAAAGCAGGGATAGGTTGCGAGCGAGGCAGGCGCCACTGTTGTCCACCTCGTAGTATGCCTTATGTAGCTGTCCATTACGTGAGTCTCTTTAGCGAGTGATATGTGTAGAGTATGAGTTCCGGCACGGTAAAGTGATATCCGCAAAAGTAAGGTGAGTCCTCGATACAACAAGCGCGCCCGCCATGCCAAGAGAGCTCGGGAGCTTGTTCTATTAGCTGCCGACACCCTACGGCCCGCCGCCCGACAACACGAACCCTACTGTGGTTACTCACCTCAGAACGCACGTCGACCCAGGACCCTGCTCTGGCCGCGACGACATGCGTAGTCTCGACGATGCCAGAGTGGCATGGGACGAGCTGAGGCAGTACAAGCGTACCAAGGACCTGAAAGAGGCAGTCCGACTCGATGGCGACTCTTCCCTCGCCACGGCCGGCGGAAGGTCTGCGTGCTGGAAGGTGTTCCTCCTCTTCGACACCCTTGATACATCGTCGTGGATACGGACGCTATCATCAGCTCGCTCGGCGTACAACTCGCTCAAGTCACACTTTCTTCGCCACATCGAGAACCCAGACGAGCTGACATCGGGCTACGACCCTCTAAGTGGTGAAAGCGACGTAAGACATCCACATTCAATGCTCGTAGCCTCGTCTGACGGTAGCTAAGTCATGACAAGTCTTCACCGTGGACGCAACTGCACAAGGACGAGGAGCTTCGTGGCGAGATACTGCAGGACGTCGTCCGCTGCATGCCCGAGAATCTATATTTCCGCCAGCCGGATACTCAACGCGCCCTCACCGATATCCTGTTCGTCTTCTGCAAGCTCAACCCTGATGTTGGATATCGGCAAGGCATGCACGAGCTCCTGGCGCCTATCTTGTGGGCTGTCGAGAGGGACGCCATAGATCTGGGCCAGAGCAGCAAGGCATTGGGCGAGGATGCTGTCATCAAAACCATGTTCGACTCGGAGCACGTGGAGCACGACACCTTTGCCCTCTTTGGCCAAGTAATGCAGAGTGCCAAGGTGTTCTACGAGCAGACGACTTCGGACGGCAATGAAAATCCGATGGTCTCTCGCAGCCGCCGCATATTCAGTGACATGCTTCCGCAGGTGGACGAGAAGCTGGCCACACACCTGGCGCGCATTGACATTGTGCCACAGGTCTTTCTAATCAGATGGGTTCGGCTATTGTTTGGGCGCGAGTTCGCCTTCGACGAGATGCTCACCATGTGGGACGTCATCTTTGCCGAAGACCCATCACTTGAAGTCGTTGATCATATATGCATTGCTATGTTGCTGCGCATACGCTGGGACCTCATTGAGGCAGATTACAACGTAGCATTAACGCTGCTACTGCGGTATCCCGAGCCAGGGACACAACTTCCGGCACAGACTCTGGCTCTGGATGGCTTGTACTTGCGCGAACATATGGACTATCACAGCGGGAGCTATCTGGTGTCGAAGTACACTGGAAAACCATTGGAACAAGCCGGCCGACCTGTTACGCCTCCAGCATTGCAGCGCAACATCACAACTATGGCGGTAGCAACAAAGGCATCAGCCACATCGCCTACTCGATCTCCAGGTCCTAATCGAAACCTTGAGAGCGTCTTTCAGTCTACCGCACGCAACATATACGCCCGAGGAGAAAAGCTGGGCATCGGCAAAGTCGTCCGCAGTGCTGTTGATGAGGTCCATAAGAAGGCTCAAGAGATCAGAGACGCTCAAACTCCAGCAACACCGCCTCCGTCGTGGCGACAACGAGGCACTTCTCGGACCTCCCTCGGAGCTGAACCATTGCTCACAAGGGTGCAAACATTAGAGGTCCGGAGCAGACAGCTTGCCAAGCTCCTTGAAGGCGCCGTCAGCGAACTTTGGGAGTATCAAAGAGCAGCTTCAGAGAGCGCCATGACTGATGCTGAAGCTCAGAAGGCAGGTCTGGAGCAGCTAAGTGTTGCCATCGCGAAGGTGCAATTCATCCAGGTGTATCTTGACGACCCTGGCATGCCGTTGCCACAGGAGGCCGAAACTACGGGAGGCTCGCCCCAGGCCGCGAGTGAAGGTGCTTCGCAGGCTGTCGGTCCCGAGATTGAAGGAGTCGAATCGACTCCGGCTTACTCGCGAACAGGCACTCCTGTTGCTACTGCTGGCAGAACTGAAGCTATCGAAGGCCGAGGGTCGAATCTGGACGAAGCTCAACCACCCAAGTCGAGTGTAGAAGGCCTCCTGGATCCAGAATCGTTTGCAGATCCTTCCCTTACCGAGACAGGTGCTCCTGGATCGGTAAAGGTATCCCCGGAAATCGTTGTGCAAGAGGACAATGCGGCCTCAATCACGAGCGAGAAGCCTGACCAACCCAGCAACAAGGATCAGCAGCGCCCAACGCCGCTCTCTTCTGCTAGGCCTCGTCTCGAACAAAGCTCGCTTTCCTGGATGCTTGATCAGCAAGGCAGCAAATTACGACAGCCTTCGCCTTCCGCTTCTGGTCGGGAGCAGGCAAGGTTCAGAAGTTCACTATTTGGTACAGCTCGAGCGGACGACACGGTATCCGGCGACAGCAGCAGACGGGTGAGTGGCGAAATGATACGTGGACAACCGCTAGGTGAGCCGAATGTGCAAGAGGACGCAGGCTTCGACATGGGAAGTTTGCGGCACAGCAAAGGGAGGAAGACTTGATCGATCATCGTTCGTGAGCTTGCTCGTGCTGTGTCGGCAAGGTCATATTCGCGGACCAGTCAGGCTCACGTTGTACCGTCACCCGGCTCACATTGCCTCTTTGCGTTTCTGGTGCATCCCCACATCTCGCGGCTCAGGATAAATGCCCGACAGCGGTTTGCTGCACCAGCAACCAGCCCCTCCACCGCTGGCGGTCTGGGGGCTTGATTGGCTACAGTCTGCAGTAGTTTTCATCTCGGTCGGCAATGAGCAGGACTAGGAAATGCAGTTTCTCGATTAGCCAAAGTCTATCAGATGCTCGGGATGCAGCTCGATCGGTTTTGACGTGTTGCACCACATGTTGGGAGATAATGCAACTGTCCTGAATATCGAGAACGCGCATGGCCAGACCGCAGGGCGATCAGTCATGTGTAAAGTTCTTCATCGATCTCGAGACTTCTTGGGAATCCACTTACTCGGAGGCGGCAATAGTGCATAGTCTACCCCGATGCGGCAGTTGCGACAACGTTAGAATCTTCATCGTGTCGAAACTCTACCGTCCGCTAGCAACTGCGTGCTTTCTTGAGCAGTTACCCTCTTTGTCATGTCCAAACTCTCTTGCCAGCCTTGCCGTTGTTCGTGAGCCGTGGGGGTCATTGCAAGGTTGTTTCACCGTTGCACGCCAGACCGAGTCGCGGGGACCTCCACGACTGACATCACCCTGCCATCGACTGGACAGCCGCTGCCGATCTGAGCACGAAGATCGATGACCTGGGAGCTGGAAATCCTTGCGGTCTGCAGGCGTAGCGTGCCCTGCCGCAAAGACGAGAACTTGGAAGCGCAACTTCTGCGAACATTGATTTCTACTTGCCACTTCATCCGGGAACAGTGCCAGAAACATAGGGATTCAGAAGCGACCTCAGCCAACCGGTGAGGCTGAAAATTTCGGCACCACATGCGTTCTACAAATGTCACCTCCTAGCGACAAGCCCTCGCAAGAAGAGGGTCAAGACCAGACTTCGCAGAGTACTGGACAGCCCAGCCGCAACGCACCACTGGTCATCGTGTCCGAACGAGGTCGCCACAGCGATGAATCTCGCCGAATAGTCCGCGCACAGGCAGCTCGCGCCAGCGCAGCGCAGAGCAGAGTCACCAGAGCCCGCAATCGAGAGGAGCGTGAAGGCGTACCCAAGGATGGCCCTCTATCGCCTGGGAGCACTGCGCCGACCCCCTCAGCCGAGCCGATATCCCCTGAGGCCTCGAGCAACCCAGCTAGCCAACTGACCGAGCATCCGCTGATCAAATGGCTGGTTGGTCTGATGGACTTGTCTCCGGCTGGTCTGCTCAATAGCATACAGACCTTGACCCTCGTCGGCCCGGCAGCGGTGGGCGCGGTAACTTCCACAGTCGCCAGCGGAATAGGCGGTGTGCTGGGAGGGCTCAGCAGCCTGGCTGGTATGCAGAGCGAACCAGCACGTCCACAGCTACCGCAAGCAGTACCGCGAGGCTTCACCACTCTTCAGCAACGGATCCAGATCTCAGACACAGTCATCGTCCTGGTCAGTCGAACGTCATGCTTCGACTTTGGCAGTCCGGGTGTGGAGGAGCGGCTGCATCAATTGCTGTTCGATATCATCATCAGTCACGCCAAAGCTCTCCTGACACCTATACTGGTTCCTGGTCACGCCATCCAAGGACACCTCCGAATCGCCTGCACTTGCCTTACCATCTTCCAAGGCCAGCGAGCCAACGGATCGGTCTTTGCACACGATTCGAAATACCAAACTGGACTTGAGGCCGCATGGTCAGAAGCCACACTGCTCGACCTCAATGCACTTGCCGAACCAAAGTCTGCCGAAGCGTCACTGTGGGCGGTCTTCATTATCAGTGTCACCACTGGAGCAACAGCGAACTACTTCCACCAGCTCCTGCAAGGCTTGTTTCAGGACTTGCAGCTACGCTCTTGGTTTCAAGTACGGAATATTCTGCTTGACTTCATATACCCCGTCAGCTTTTTGGACGAGCCGTGCAAGTCGTACTTCGACAGTCTGCAGTCGATGCAGATTGGTGCAGCATAAGGGACTGCGATCTACACATTATTTTGAGTGGGGCGACTGGGATTTCTCAATGCGAGAGATGTCTTCACTGAGAATATCACTTCGTGTCGAGCATGGGCGAGAGCGATGCCTACACAAGGAGACATGGCGCTGGAACTCTATCTTTCTCAGACCATCAATTTGCAAACTTCGAGGACAGGCGTAAGATGAGTATGCACTGCCGTGGAGTTCAGGGAGCGGCCTTGCGTCTTGCGTCTTGCGTCAGATCTGGTTGTCCAGCGATCTACGGCACGACATCTATCTCTAAGATCTACTTGTATTTATGAGCCAAATCATTAGTTCATTCAAGTTTTCTTCTTCGCCGCCTCCTTCGCTTTCTTCTCACGCTTGCTCAACTCGGCTTCTATGCCAATGCCTCCGAACACAAGGCCTACACCAAGCCATTGCATACCTGTCAGGCTGTGGCCGAACCACACGACCGAGATGATCATGGTCAGCATCTTTCGGGTGACTGTGACAGTCACAAGTAGCAGGCTGCCGAATATCGACAAAGTCATGACTGTTCGCTGATTAGCAGACGGATGGACAAGAAAACAATTTTGACCTTACAGATGAAGACCTGTCCCATGGCGCCACACGCCGCAAAACCTAGAACGTCCCACCCGACTGTGGGATGTCGTCGGACGAACGTAAGTGCGTCCTGGAGCTCGCCTGCACCTTTTGGATCCACACCCAAGTAAGAAGCGAAGCCGGACTGAACCAGGAAGGGTGAAAGCAGCAGGAATGATGAGGTCAAGAAGGTCGACATGATGTTCAAGGCGCACATCATCTGCTGCCCAGTATATGGTCGGAAGCGGGCGTAGATGTCGTCTTGAGTTGAGTTGGTGAGACCATCGAACAGTAGGTTGATCCCGAGCAGCATGAGGCCGTACAAGCTATTGCCATCCCCGCCTTTCTTCTTCTTGCCGCCGGACTGATGCAGCGTGAAGATGGCGACGCCAGCTGTGACAAGAGCCACAACGGCGTACTTGTAGAACGGATACTTCTTCCGATAGAGTGTGACGTGCAGGAACATGACCGGGAGCAGTTTGCAGGATTTGGCCAGGATGAAGGTGATATAGTCAACGTGCTGGAGGCTGGCGTATCCGAATGGTGAGGACATGGCCGAGGTGACAGCGACGAGACCCAGTGCCCAGACAATGCCCTTGGATGGGAAGACTGGAAGATCGGTGGACGACTTGCGAGTGAACAGGATGTAGATGTAGCCAAGGAGTGCGGCGAACGTCGACTGGACGGTGTTCATGACGACGGGGTACTTGAAGATCTCTGGCTTCGACTCGGTGCCATAGTTGGTTGTGGTGATCCGTTCCTGGAGAACTCCCCATGTAAGGCTGGACAGCTGTAAGCATATTTCTGACTATGACGGACTGGGTTCATACAAAGAAGCATAAATGCCGCCTACACAAATAAGCAGACTGAGCGTGTTCGCAGACGACGTTGCTTCCGAAGTCTTCGTGATGCCGACATCATTCTTGCCGCTTATGGGCTTGTCGGCGGCTTTCTTTGGAAGCTTGCCATTTCCGTGGCGATGCTTTATATCGCCGTTGCTGGCCATTGGGAGGAAATTTGAATGAAAGTAGGTGATAGAACACCGAAAGAGAGGCAGCACGGAACGCTATCGCAGTGATAGACAGCTGCTTTACGCCTTCAGAAATACTTTCTCTGGCTGAAGGAGAGTTCGGATGCTAATGGATGACAAGATGGTTTTGATATGCACAAGTGTTCGAACTAGGGGTAAACGGGCTAAACCTAATTGGGCAGGGTATCTCAGAAGCACGTGCTTCCATTTTGGAACAACATGTTCTGCTCTGCTCTACCTGCTCCAGCATTGTCTACGTACATTACAAGTAGATTGCACACAATGATCTGTCCTGCGAAACAGTCTCGCTCGCTCCAATGGGCTTTCCACCTCGGTGTGCTTCTTGAGCCACGCCAGCAGTCAGCCGTCCGCACTGGTGTGGTGGATGCTGATGTTCATGCCGCACAATCGCCCTGCTGCCGTTAACAACTACATCTCAGTCGGCTTCTCGATCGCATGACGTATCATTTTCAACCGCTCGATAAGTACAGTAAAGGTGTCCAGAGCTGCTTCGCGCCCGTTGCCTCTAGAGAAACGCTTTCAAGAGCAATTCACGTCCGGTACGCAGGAGCTGGAGTCCTTCGATAGCTTGCTGGGGCACTTTTATCTCCCATTGCTCAGTCCGGGTTCATATGATCGCTGTGTGGCGACATCATGAGAAGCCGGATGGTCCCCTCATGCCAGAGTGCTTAATGATCATCCAGTTGTTCTGCTTCCTCTCCCACGAAAGCACCGCCACTGCTTCTCTGCCCAGTCCACCCTCCAGGCCAGAGATTTTATACCACAGGAACACCGTACCCCTGCCGCGACTGTCATCCACGTCAGAAGAGTGGTTCAAGATCTCGACTCGAAAGTTGGGCTGAGTCTCGAGGTGCTTCTTCAGATTCTGCTGGTGGTCGTCGCGGGTATTCGTTTTGGGCAATGCGTCGTGCTTACCCCGGAATGCCGGCGACATGTGTTGGACCACAAGTGGATGCATGTTGTCCCGCTGGTTCAAGGTGACCTCGAGGATTTGCTTGGATAGGTCTTCGAGATATTCCCCAGTAGCTCCTTTTGGGGGCGCGGTGCTGTCTCCCGTGGTGCTGTCTTCCGTGGTGCTGTCTTGCTTCTTGTCATTCTCAGCAGAGGACTCTGGCGGGGACGGCAGGCTACCCTGGCCTGATGTAGAGGCCATGATCGGTCGTATGTTATAGAACGTTACACAGTGAGTGAGAATATTCGTGCTTTGTAAGAGTCAAATTCGCCTCGTCTGGAGCAATGTTGGGTCGATTGACGCAGCCGCTCTCGTCGGAGCGTTGTACCTGATATACCCTGGTGAAAGGAAGCAAAATGTTTGTGTACATGTCATACGGCCTGATGGAAGACTGGAAGGTGTCACTCGACAGCAGACCTAATTTTAGGCCACACGAGCTGGCGCGTGGATGACAGCATTTATCGCACTCGTTCTTTGTCTCCTGCTCCGCCGTCTGACATGTCACGATGAAGAAGTCGCCGAGAGGTGCCATCTCACCGCACAGCACATCCATCGCATAGAAACACTCCAGCTCCGCTCCACCCAGTGCGCTACGGAGGTAATCTGCCATTGAGAGCGTCGGCGCCGGCAGTAGTTCGTCGAGCCGACGTCGTACGCTTGCCCAGTCAGGTCAGCCGGTGGCTTGCATTGAATGGCTCGCCGTGGATCTGCTGAACCTGGGCTGATGAGCCTTGGTGGTCCGGTGAGTCATTTTGAGTCGAGCAAACCGCCTACAAGAAGTAGCTCTGCTGAACCTCTCTTTTCTCCCTTCTTCCTACAACCTCCTCGACGGACTCCTCAGTCCCACATTGTTCCTCTCCGGCCTCTGAGAGCAGAGGCCCAGCTCAATCCCTTCTACACCTCTCCCAGATACCCCTTGGCCTCAGGTAGAGGCCGACACCCCCGTGCAAGAATGGATTCTGCCGCTGCCGCAACAGTTGTACCAAGCAGAAGGGCTCGAACAAGCCGCAGATTGTGGTGATTACTCTGGTTATTTGTTCAACGATTACGACTTTAGCGATACTTCTTTTGGGACCGGCGATATCTTCGACACTACTACCGACTTCCTCGACAATCCTGTTATGCCCACGGGCGTTGATCTGGCGCTGCCTCAGCATGGTGGTGGCGGCGTGATGTCCAGGTGGCATGCGATCAACGATCGTCTGCTGGCGACGGACAGCGGGAGTGACCAGCAGCTCTTCTTCGGCGACCATAACAGCACCCATGTTGCCACTGCCCCTGGCCCACTGCCTTCGACCCAGCCGCAAACTACGGGTACCCACCACATGACTGCTTCACCAATCGAATCTTCCAATGACGCTGGCTCTTCCACCAACTCTGGCAAAACTTCTCTCTCAAAGAAGCGATCCTACACACCTCCTTCCACCACCTCGCCACCAAAAAACGAGCGCGAGAACAAGCGCCAACGCAACACCGAAGCCGCACGACGGTACCGTCAGCGAAAGGTTGACCGAGTGTCGGAGCTTGAGGACGCCCTCGCCGTCATGACGAAGGCCAACGAGGACTTGAAGCTAAAGCTAGCAAGGTCTGAAGCCGAGGTGGATGTGCTGAGAGGGCTGGTGGCCAAGCGATAGGGTGCTGAATGTGGCGGTGGTCAGTCTGTGTCAGAGTTGTGAGAAGACTAATGCAAAATGCTCCTTCGAGCTTTTCGTTTCAGACGTCATCAAGACTGTTTGTGTTCATGACTGTTTCATTACAGCGAGTGAGATGTGACCGTTCATCATTGCATTCGTATCAACAGTCCAACCGCAAAGAGCTTGTTCTTACCTGCTGTCCTTCGCCGCTGTATGTCTTATCTAAATTCTCTTTCCTTCGCACGTTGGACAAACGTATCAACGACCGATCCGTCGAATGATCGCTCTGCGCTTTCTTGAGAATGTGAAGCAACAGGATCTCGTTTCCAACCTCCCACCAGGACTGAGGGACTTATACGCATGCCCGGATTCCTCCCCCAACGCTTCACTCAACCTGAGCAACAATGAGCCATCCCCCGTCACCAACGCGTATCAATCGGCCGTCCAATGGCATCTCACCTCTTCCTTCTCTTACATGTTCGACAGGCTCTCAGTCCTTACCTGTGAAGATCCTCGTCAGCAGGTCGATCTTTCCTGATTTTAAAAAGGCAAGGTACGCAGTTGTAGCGCTGGTCAGACGATGTCGACAACAAGTATTGATCAAGGACGTGTTCGGCGTCTCATCTCGGCAAAATATATGGTTGGGTTTAATCACAGCGTGGTTGGGGGCTCGTCGATTGACGGGTTGGAGAAGGGGGTATGGACTTACTGCAGCAACATGAAAGCGCAATGCTATCTTTCAATAGTGGAGAGGGCAGTCTATGGCAATGACTCGGTGATACAGAAACATAATCATACTGTAGAAGAGCTACTACTTCTCTCTTATACACAACTCCTCCGCGGACACCCACGGACATCCCAAGACCACCAAGACCACATGGACAATCGATCGAAAAGACTCATACCACATCGTAGCTACCGCTGCAAGACGCTGATACCACACAGTATGATGCATACATGCCTCCAACGGAGCGAAACCGAAACCCTTTAGTCAAGCAAGCAAGCCAAAGCGCCTTCCCATATAGTATACTGCTCCGCCAACACCTTGCTCAATCAATCAGTCAAAAGTCCTGTCCAGCGTCTGCTGCCACCTCATATCCAGCCGGTGTGACGACAAGTGAGCCATCCATGCTCGACAAACGCCTGCTCAACCCGGCAACCGAAGCGCCCTCTTGCTCATCATGACCCATCCACCATTGTAGCTTATGCCTTACGCTTCGGCTGAGCGAGAGCGTTCAGCCTAGCGCGACTGATCGTCGAAGCCTTCTTCTCCTTGGGAACCTCCTCTCCCTTCTTGGGCTTCACACCAAGCGTTGGACGGCGCGTAGACGGCTTCGTGGCTGGCTTCGCAGGCGATGGCTCACTGTGCTTCACACGTTTCGCCGGGCGGTCGGCTTCCTCCTCTGCAGCGTTCTCCTTGTCCGACGCCTCAACAATCTTCTCAGTATCCGCGGCGTTGTCGTTCTCGAAGTCGAACTTGCGCTTCTTGGCTGTGGTAGCTGGAGCGAGCATAGGGGCGGACGGGAGCTGAGGCTCGGCTGAGACGTGACGGATGGTAGACGAGCGCTTGCTGCTGGCAGCCGATGGAGGTGCGTTTGGCGACTGGCTGAAGATGATGTTTTGCTGGCCAGCACGGAAGGTGAAGTCGGCCGGCGTGGCTGTCTGACGGCGCTTCTGTGGCGAGACGGTCGGTGTGCTCATCTGAGAAGGCAGTTCCGGGTACAGTCCGGTTGGCTTAGGCGACTCCTCCGCTTCACGACCAGGCTTTGGCGATGGCGTCGGACCCTTCGACGGCGTGCTGCTCAACTCGCTCTGAGCACGTTCGTAACGAGCCTTGGTAGATGAGCTGAAGTCGACACGCTTCTGCAAGGAGGAAGTGACTCCTTCACCAGAACCCTTGCCTTGCTTGCTGGTGATCTTTGGTGGAGTAGCCAGGTGGGTGCCAGCGGCCACCTTCAAAGGATCGTCCGAATACATACGGTGGGGAGAGCGGAGGATTGACTTCATCGGAGAGGCACGGAGAAGGTTGAAGCGGCCCAGTAACTTGCTTCCAGTCGTTGGGATCTTCGTAGTCGCCTCCTCGGTCCGCTCGGTCGGCATGGTAATCTTCGCAGGCGTACGAGCGAGCAGGGGAGTAGCAGGAGCAGGCTTTTCTTTAGCCCCCTCTGAGCTGTGGTCCTTAGCCACTGACCCCTTCTTGGGCGACTGGGAGAGAAGAGCAGGATACGAGATTTGCGGTCCACTGGACTCGTTGCTGTCTGAGGACTTCTTGAGCAGAGAACCTTTGAGCGGGGAGCGCTGAAGAAGTGGACTGGCTGGCTGCTCGGCTTCCTGGGAGGCACCGGCAGTCGGGCGAGAGAAGAGGCATGCCTTTGATGGCGAGCGAGCCAGAAGTGGTGTGGATTGCGTGGTGTTATCCTGAAGCTCCGGCTTGGAGGGTGAGCGCACGAGCTGCGTGGACTGCGTGCTGTTGTCCTGGAGCTGCGGCTTCGAAGGTGAGCGCGTGAGTTGCGGTCCTGGGATTTTCGAGGTGTTGGTAGTCTTGACGCTCGCGTTGCGGGACAAGGAGGACTGTGTTGGTGAGGCTATGTTGGAGAAGTTGACATGCTTTGTGGCCTTGGCCGTTGCAGTTGGTGTAGACGGATTCGGTTTGTCGGACTGTTTGGACGATGGTCGTGCTATCGACACATCCTGGGCCTCGTATCTCTTAACGCGCTTAGCTGGCGACGAGCTATCATCGGGTGCACTCTTCTCCTCTTTCGATGTGCTTGAGGGTGCACCATGCGGGAGGAAAGTTGGCTTGGAAGAGGATCGTGGGAGCGAGAGTTGCTGCTGCTTGGGAAGAGGCTCATCAAGCTGAGCCTTCGACGGACTGCGCTTGAGAGACTTCACCGGGCTTGGTGTGGCCTGAACCTTTTGGCTCTCCGTCTGGACGCGAATTGGCGTGCCATTGGCGCTCGTCTTGTGAGTAGCTGCGCGCATTGCCGATGGATGTGAAGCAATCGAATCCATCTTCTTGAACTCTTCCAGATGTACTTCGCTGAAACGGCCCTTCTTCCCGCGCGGAGTCGCAATTCTCCTCCCAGCTGCCGCTGCATCCTCTGCGTTTGCACCACTAGCAATCATCTGCTCCCTGATCTTGGCAGCCTCTTCCCGCTTCTCACTCATCAGTTTCTTCGCGGCTGGACTCAGCTCGAGTGACTGCTCGCGCTGGAAGCTGAACTGGATTTTTGGCGAGTCCGCGGTTGGCTTTCGAGTGCTGGTGGACCGTGTAGGCGTGCCTTGGAGGGTCGCGATCCTGCTTGCGTGCTTCGGCGGCTCAGTGTGCGGCGCCATGTTTGCGAAGCCCAGCCAGCGCGCCTCTTCCATGGGCTTCGCAGTGCTTTGATGGTGCTTCTCGGGATGCATTTCCTCTGCTGTTGGTCTGATGGGTGTGTTGTGCTTAGGCGTGGTTGCTCCGAAATTCATGGGGATTTTCGTGGTCTGCTTCGACTCGTCGATTGAGCGTCGCGGCGCCGGGGAGGCAGAATTTGGGAATGCGCCTGGCATTTCATCATTCTCCTGCAGGGAGCTGAGCTTCGCAGGGACGGTGCGTGGCGTGTGAAGCGGCGCATCGTGGGAGAGGGAGACACGCTTGGGTGTTGACGAGTTCCGCCCGCGCAGACGCGCTGAGCTGCGGCGCGCCATGTCGACAGCCCGTGTTGGTATCGTGTGTTTCTGTTACTGAAGGCAAGCTGGATGAGGTCAAGCAGAGAAAGAGTTGCGATTGGCCGAGGGATGGTATGTAAGCTTGGTGGTCGCGCGGGTTCGTGCATTGAGGTGACGTGAAAGCCTTCAAGATTTCGAAGTCGTTTATTTGGCGCTAGCGAACGGGGCAACCAACAAACTCGTGGGACAGGTATGTCTTCTACATCACCACCTCTCAAGACTGGCAGGACAGGTTCCATGAACGAAATAGCAGCTCGGCTTCGATATGGTCTTGTTGTCCAACACCTTGTAGCCGGCCTGTTAAAAATCGTTCATCTACCATCTAGAGGACTGCTATGCCGCTCGGATCTTGAGATGATACAATACATCTCGCAGTCATGGAGAAAGACGACCTCCCGCAGTACACTCCAATTGATGAGCATGCAGTCTCACGAGATACGCGGCGGCGCCGTCTGAGACTCGTCAGATTAGTTGCTGTAGCACTCATTGCATACACCCTGTATCTATGCTCGATCAACTCATCTCATCTTGAGCGCCGCAAAACTCAAATCTTATCAACAGACAAGCTGCGGACCGATCATGCCATTTGCACAAAGCTACGAGCGGCTCCAGAGTCCGCGAAGGGCAGAAGGGAGCGCAATGCTCGCTACGTTGATGGCCATGGACCTGTCCTTATCCGTAATGCCACAGTATGGACCGGAGAGCCGAGCCCTGGAACATCATCAGAAGAGGCTCATTTCGGAAAGGGCTACTCTTGGATTCACGCAGACGTCCTTATGGAGCACGGCCTGATCAAGCGTGTAGAGGCAGGCATCTCCAGTTCAGATCTGCCAGACAACTGCACGATATACAACGCAGATGGCCGCCAACTGACCACCGGAATCGTGGACATGCATTCACATTCGACCGTGGACCCTCTGCCTGATCTACGAGGCTGGTCGGACGACAACGAACTGTCAGACGATATAACACCATACGTTCGCTCGCTAGATGCCATAAACCCGCTGGATCACCAGTTGCAGGTCATCAAGTCCGGCGGTGTCACGACCTCTCTCATCCTGCCAGGCTCGGGCAACAACATGGGTGGCGAGGCCTACGTGATCAAGCATGCCGTAGGCAAACACGATGGTCGCTCTGAGATCAGCGCTCAAGACATGCTCGCGGATCCTGACAAGACTTGGCGATACATGAAAATGGCCTGCGGAGAGAATGCAAAAGCTGTCTATGGCCGTGTCGGTCGTGACTTCGGACCATTCTCACGCATGGGAGAAGCGTGGTACTTCCGGCATGCTTTCGAGCAAGCATCTGCCCTTGTGCAGGCACAGGATGACTGGTGTGGCGCGGCGGACAAAGTGGGAGCAGAGAACATGGAAACCTATCTACCTCAAGACCTGCAGTGGGAGAGCTTAGGCGCTTTGCTGAGGGATCAAGTTCTGCTCAATGTGCACTGCTATACCATTCCGGACCTTGAAGCTTTTGTCCGGCACACGAACGAGTTCAAATTCAAAGTACAGGCTTTCCACCATGCGCACCAGACGTACCTTATTCCAGAGATCTTAAAGCGGGCATATGGTGGCATCCCGCCTGCTGCAGCGCTGTTCGCAGATAACATGTACTACAAAGCTGAAGCCTACATCGCTTCTGAGCAAGCTGGAAAGATTCTGTGGGAGAACGGCATCACGCCGGTCTATGTCAGCGATAACCCAGTGCTGAATGCTCAGCATGTGGTGTTCGAGGCTGCGAAGGCGTACAAGAATGGACTGCCGTACCACGTCGCGCTGGCTGGGGTGACGAGTGCTTCAGCTGAGCTGCTTGGTCTCGGAGATCGAATTGGGAAGATCAAGCCTGGGTACGATGCAGATGTCGTTGTCTGGGACTCTGACCCGTTGAGCGTGGGTGCTGCCCCAGTTCAAGTTTGGATAGATGGAACACCGCAGTTTGAAGATCCAGTGGAGTTGAACAAACCACGGAGCAAGCCATTGCAGGAGTTGGGTGTCGAGGATCCGGCTATGTCCCAAGCTGCTACTTCTGGCGCTCAACTTCATGGCTCGAAGTCGGACGGTACGCTTGCGAGATCAGACGAGAAGGACATCGTCTTCACCGGTATTTCCAAGATCATGATACAGGGCCATGAACAAATCTTCGACCAGGGCAACGCCACTCTTGTCTTGAAATCAGGAAAGGTGATTTGTACCGGTGACTGCACGGAAGAGCTGTCAGCCGCTGAAGCTCAAGGTATCAAAAAGGTTGTTCTACACAACGGACACATCGCACCACCACTAACAGCATTCGGCTCCTCCCTTGGCCTCGAAGAGATCACAGCTGAGCCCAGCACGACAGATGGCGACAATACAGACTCAACGATCAGCCGAGCAGTTGATGGGCTGACATTCGACACCAAGAACCTCGATGCCGCATACTCGCATGGCGTCACTCGAGCAATCACTCCACCCACATTTTGGTACGGAGGTCACAAGGGCATCAGCGCTGGCTTTCTAACCGGTGCTGCGCACGCTCTTGAAGAGAGAGCTGTGTGGCAGGACGAAGTAGCGCTGCACTATACGCTGACGAAGACGGAGAAGGCGCCTGCGCTGTCTGCAGCCGTAGGTCAGCTCAAGACGAAGCTGCTCAAAGCAATCAAGTCGAATGCTACAGACGTCTCAGGAGAATATTTATGGCTCCCCCGGGTAGTCGCAGGAGAAATGCCCCTCGCCATCACCGTCCACAGCGCCGACCTCATCGCCTCCCTCCTCCGCGTCAAAGCCGAAGTCGAGGCAGCCACTGACCACACCCTCCGTCTCATCATCATAGGCGGCGCAGAATCCCACCTCCTCGCCCCCTCTCTCGCCGCGACCAACACCTCCGTGCTCCTTGCCCCCTTCCTCGCCTTCTCCGAAACCTGGGACCAGCGGCGCTCCCTCACCGGCGCGCCCTTGACCAACGGCACCGCCATCGACGTCCTGCATTCTGCCGGCGTGAAAGTAGCGATCGGCACGACAGAAGATTGGCAGACGAGGGATTTGTATTTGGCGGCGGGGATTGCGTTTGCGAATGGGAATGGGAGGATCAGTGAGAGTGAGGCGTTGGGGTTCGTGAGTGGGAATGTCTATGAGATGTTGGGGGTGCAGGGGCCGAGGGGGTGGGAGGAGTTTGTGGTGTGTGAGGGGAGTCCGTTGGGGATTGAGGGGAGGGTGAGGGCGGTGGTTGATGGGAGGGGGTGGGTTAGTGTGTGGTCGTAGAATGTAGGAAGAGAAAGTGGTAAGTGACGATTGCAACGCCGTGCTTGCTCCTTCTCCTTGTTTTCACTCTTGCCTGCCTTTCGAGTTCCATCGCTCCTTCATACCGTTCTCACGGAACAACAGCACAGCCACTCACAATGGAAGTCGTTGCAACCACAGACTCTTCAACCGTCGCATCAGCAAAGACCACGTCACCACCACGCCGCCGCCCCAGCAAGATGCAAAAATGCTCACCGCTCCACCACCCTTCACCGCCCCCTTACCAAACCAAGCTCCGGTCGAAACGCACCTCCCACCCGGCTCCCAACCACCGCCCGCGCTTCCACCAGTCGTGCCTCGCCCCCTCTCCGACATCCGCGAACTCAGCGAACCCAGCTTCATCGACGCCGTCGTGCAGCGGGCTGGCAATACGAATCAGCAGACCCAGCATCAGCAGCAGCAGCATCAGCAGCAGCGCAGAACGAGCGCGACGCGATCGAGTTCGTTAAGGGGTAAGAGCTCGGTGAAGCGGTCGGGAAGTAGTGGTAGGACGGGCTATAGCCATATGGCTAGGAAACCTGTACCGACTCACGGTCACAGTCACGGCCAGGCGTTCGTACACGCCCACGCACGCGCGCACTCGGCAGACGCAGGCAGTTCGTCCTACTCGGACAGCACGCCCGAGAAATCCTCCCTCTACAGCATCCCGCACACCAGCGTCCCACCCCGCAGGAGTTCCAGCGCCACGCACATCCAGCAGCGCAGCCTGCGCGACCGAGACCGGAGTACCGGAGGCCACCACGGCAGGAAAGCTAGCTTACGCAGCATACCGCCTCAACATCATGGGCCTAGAGGAAGAGGCGATGCCTTCACCGTGCCGAACCACGGCCCCAGCCACTCCCCCGTCAAAGCCGCGAAGCAACGCCACGACGCCGTGCGCTCTGACGCTGCACGAAGAATGCCGAGTCGCACGTTCGTACGGACGACGGGGGAGATGGATATCGTCGCGTTCCCTGCTTCACGACATCCGCGGGTGAAACTGGAGTTACAGGTTTCCGCGCCACTGTTCGTCGGGGGCGGGAGTATCGAGGGGCAGGTGAAGATTACGGTTGATGAAAATGAGTGGATCAAATCGCGGAGGTCGCTGGGCTTGGGATCCTTGTCGGTGGATGTGGTGGGGTTTGAAGACCTGCCTGGGGGGCGGAAAGCGAGTTTCCTCGCCGTGGGGACGGAGGTGGTTGATGCGGCACACCCTCCGCCCTCGAACCTGGTGGAGCCGCCGAACCCGTTGGTGCCGGAGGAAAAGTTCTGGACGCTGCTGCCGTCGACGAGCGCGTTGCCGTTTATGGTCAGTTTGCCGCTGGACACCGGACCGCCGCCTTTCCAGTCGAAGAACGCGAGTGTGCGGTTCGTGCTGTGCGCGACGGCGTTGATTAGGGATGCCGGGAAGCATTATCGCGTGCGGACGTCGCAGGATGTACAGGTCATTTCCACATATGATCCGGAGAAGGCGTTGACGTCTCTACCGAGCCCGCTGACTGCGACGGATGAGCTGACGCTGCGGCATTTCGGGCGATGCGAGAGCGCGATCTTGACTGCTGCGCTGCATCGACAAGTCTGGGTCAGCGGGAGCAGTATCTTTGTTGATGTCCATCTCGCGAATAAATGCCACAAGGCGATCAAGAAGCTGGAGTTGAGCCTGGAGCGGGATATTCTCTGCTACAAGCACGCACCTGCTTCCACCCGGGAGAAGTCAGTCAGCCAGGCACGGATCTTCGAGAGCAATGAGCAAGCCGTGATTGCGCGGAAGACCGTAAAAGCTGGCCTGCAAGGCTGGAATGGTGTGGAGCCACATGACTCCGAAACGAAGACGTGGGAGCTGGAGTTGCCGCGCGGGCATGCGACAGTGCGATGTGGGAAGTACTTCGAGGTGCGGTTTTTCCTGAACGTGACGGCACCGTTGTCGAATTCGAAGTTTGTCTCGGTGCAGCTGCCGATCACGCTCATCCACATCAACTCGCTCGACGTTCTGCCCAACTCGGTCGCGCAGGTTGCGGCAGCGATCGAGGAGAAGCGAGCGCAGTCTCAGCATCATCGCACCAAGTCGAAGCCATGGGTGAGAGGCCATGCGCGACAACGTTCGGCTTCCTCGCCAGCCGAGTTGGTCGACCTCCAACGGCAACCGTCATGTTCGCAAGGCAGAGCCTTTGCTGCACCTAGGCAACAATCGGTTGACCGGCAGCGGGCGGTAAAAGCTGAGATAGACGACCTGAAGCAGACGCTGGACTCTTCGCCACGAAAGTTCGAGCCACAGCTGCGAGGGGCGGCGATCAAGAAGGTAGACAGCAAGATCAGCTTTCGCCATCTGAACCTAAGTGGGAAGGAGATCAGAGACCACAACCCCTTCACCGACATGGCCTTCAGAACTCCACCAACCACTAGCAGTGAGAGTCGTAACGACCGCAGCGTCCCGGAGAGAAAGCCCTCCACCCCTCTCGATCCGTCGAAACGGTTACAGAGCTTCAGCTCCATCCGCACCAAGAAGTCTACATCCTCAGTGCGGCGGAAGAATGACCACGCGGAGGTCAGCAAAGGTCGCCCGTACAACTTCACCGTCGTCCGACATCATCATCAGATCCAGCCGCATGCTCTCGGCCTTTCAAGCAGCAATGAGCAGCAACCCTTGCCCGAGCCAGCACCTTCAAAACCCACATCACGACCGGCAACAGGCCTATCCTTCCGAGAACGAATGGATCGAAGTCGGTTTGAAATAAAAGGTGTACGAAGGAAAGGCAGCGTGAAGAGCGTGAAGGAGAAGGGATTGGGGTTGTGGGAGCAGGTGAAGAATCGAGCAAAGGAGAAGGAGGGGTGGATATGACATAGGATGAATGATATGGTATTGCGTGTTGATGCCGTCTTGGGTAATGGGGAGACCTGGATCCAGGTAGAGCTTGAATGGTAATACTTCTTACCAGGCCACGTGCTGGAGTCTGTGTTTGTCTCGTGATCAGAAACGTGACGGCGCCAGTTCGGTGCCTCATCGTGCAACCAAGAGTCCAAGATCCTGTAGGAACGTGTCTCGACTCGACAAATTTGTGAGCGCAGTATGTTGCTGTATGCATATTGCAGCGAGTCAGCAGGAGCATGAATGTCGTGCATGTGAAGCCGAGACTCCGTTCGCATCCTCCGATCGATGTCGTCTGTTGGAGAGATTGTCAGCAGCGCACAGACTATCGCCGGAGCAGTCAGCGAAATTGACGTTGTCGACTTTGGGCGGTTGAGGCTCAAAAAGTGAGTGCGGAAGTACTATGTACCTGCGTCTCTAGCGGGCCAGAAGCAGGTATGCAGAAAGTGAGCTGTCATTCATGCACCCTCTGCGACAGATAGAGTGCAGCAGGACACCATCAGCCTGCACGTCGCACAGCGAGGGCGCGATCTGGCCGTCTGGTTCAATCTGCGCTGCCGAAATTGCCTTTGTCCTTAGTGCCATTGGCTCGGGGCTAGAGTGGTTGGTGGGAGAGAGATTATCGGCGGCCAACGTCCGACGGCCTCTGACCTCTTTCTTCGCACCTCTTGCGCTCGTCAGCGACAACACGACGGACAGTCAGCTGCGTGCGGCGCGACAGACACCGCAGCAGGAGGAGGATCATCGCCATCATTGCTACGCATGCAGAGCTGCTCCCCTGCCTATAGCACTCCCTGAGACTCCACCACAGCTGCTGTGCGAAGCATTTCCGCTCTTCCGTCACACTCATCACCACCTCCGACACTCCTTCGACATCCACCCACCGATTCCATCACCACCAGGACATTGTATGCGCCCATCTGCGCCATAGGAGCGCCCAACATCCCTTCGAACGATCATTAGCGACTTTGCCCTCCAGCGGCCTGCGGCACTGAGCGAACAGCACCACTAGTCGGCCTCTGGTCCGGCGTCCACTCGTTCATACAGCCATACCACACAGCCTGCGAGGACAGCCTGGTCATCCATCGCACACCATTCCATCGTCATCATACTGCCTACGCAAAGGACCATCACCGAAAGCGGGCAGGACTCGAGAATATCCCATTGCTGTCAGAGACAAAGCAAAAGCAGCCAGACTGCAGCGAGGAACTGTATATATACACCCACATCACTATCTCGAATGGACGACTCCACGGCACCACCACAGAAGAAGCGCCGGCTTTCGCCATCTTCATCAAGAACCACAATCACAGCTTCAGAGCCTTCGGCAACATTTGCGCATTCTGTCGAGCATCTGGAGCACCACCGACTCTCGTCCTCCATGTCACGGTTTAATCCTCATCACATCCAGGAAATTCACTTGCAAATTCAAGACCGGCCTGCTTATTCGGACAAAGATTATCACCATGGACTGCATCGTCGACAGCTGGGCACTGCGACGCTGGAAAGCATCATCACGACAGTGGACGCAGCTGGAAGCACCATTCTTTCGACTGTCACCAACCTCTTACCGACCGTGACACCCACAGCAACATCGACTACTCCCACGGACACGGCCGCAACCACTGCAGCTACTACCTCGGAGTCCCCAGATGGCATCATTGGGAGCGGCACAGACACAGCAGGGACGGGCGCCGAAGCCACGTCTACATCCGCCGACAGCAATAGTACGACGCCCACTCAAACCGGGTCTGGCACCTCGCAGACGGCCTCCGCTTCGACGCTCACAAACAGCAACAGTACGTCGAGCGAACCCGCGAGATCGGCCGCCCTACTAACCTCCAGCACAGCCAACGGCACAGCTACACATCGTCAGACAGATGGCTCTGGCACCGGTACTCGCACCACATCAAGAACATCTTTGAGGCCAGTCATCTTGGCAACATTGTCGAATGGCGATGTCCAAACCATCACTCGGTCTAACAAGCCATACATCACGACTCTCTCCAATGGCCAGCGGACGACCGTCTGCGACCGACAAGGCGACTGTCGCGTGTCGACCAAGAGCAACAACAACGACAATAACAACGATCGAACGACATACACACCTTCCTTCTCGTCAAGTAGTGCGGCGGCGCAAAACACAATCTCGTCGTCAGCCTTTGTTCCCGGGATCAACGTCGGACAAAGCACAACAGCAGCTCCAAGCTCGACCAGCTCAGCGAGCAGCAGCAGTAGCAGCAGCAGTAACAACGACGACTCGACACCACCAGCCGGCACAATCGCAGGCGGAGTGGTAGGCGGTGCCGCCGGCCTCGCAGTGATCCTCCTCATCGCCCTAGTCTTCCTCCGATGGTACAAGCGTCGACGACAACAGGGCCACCAAGCCCTTCCACCCTCCTCCGCCATGTCTCCCGCCGACGACGACCCCACCGTGTCTCGCAGTGGTGGCCCCGGCATGGCCGAACGAGCGGGTCTCATGCCCCTCGCAGCCGCCGTCCCCGCCCTCTTCCGCCATTCCAACCGCAGCTCCGAGGTCCCCTCCAGCGAACGCGGCTTCACACGCGTCTCTGGTCGCAAACTCCCTTCTCAATTCAGCGAAGGCATGAGCAGTCCCGGCTACGGCGCAGGAGGTATTGCCAGTCCTGGCTTCCCACACCCCGGCAGCGGACCCAGCAGTCCACCGCCCAATATGCCCCTCGCCCCGAACCGTGAACAGAACTTTAGCAGTCAGTCCTTCTACCGCGATAGTAATGGCTTCTACGGTGGTCCGGGGACGGGGGTGCAGGAATCGCCTCCAGATGGCCCAACACCCGAAAGTGAAGCCGGACCGATGGAGATTGCACTCTCCCCAGGCCCAAGGAGGACGCCGACGGTGCATACAGGTGGTCCGTACGTGATGAGTCCGAGCACTTCGGTGCCGGCGACCCCTGTGACCCCCACAGCGAGGGATAGGGCGGCGATGGGGATGCACAGTCCGACGGTGCCGACGATACCGCAGAGGAGCGGGACGCCGGCGAGCACGTATACCGATGAGAGGAGTAGTCGGTTTACTGAGGAGGTTTGAGGATGCACCGACTTCTTTGACGGCCGTTCTTTCATGACGGTCGGTGAATGATTGTAATGTTTTTGTATAGTGAGGTGTGGATCTTGATGAGGAAGAAAGAAAAGAGAAGGTCGTTGATGGGCCTGGAGGATCTAGATAGGAGAGATGGACAATGGAGAGGAAAGATTTTCAAAGTCAAAACGACTTCATTATTCACCACAACTCCTTTTCCACCTCTGCCGCTTTGCCTTGCGTGCCCTTGGGTATCTTAAAGCCTTGAGATCCAGAACTCCATCCACCTGCCCATGCATTACTTGTACAAATCAACAACAGTGAAGGAAGGCAGAGCAGATCAACCCTCCCGCCACTGCGTCCCGCACTCGACGCACTTGTAGATACTCGTCATCGGCTCGTCGGCGCTGCGCGTCTGCATCTGCTTGAAATACGCTTCTTTGCCGTCGCAGCGGTCGTTTGCGCAGTTCACTATACTCTTCATCAGCACCATCCCGCACCATCCAACAAACCAAAAGAAAAAGTAGTAAATAAGTAGTACTCACCACCCGTCCTCTCAACATTCCTCCAAGCCTCCTCCCCGCCCAACACATCCTCCACCTTGGTCGCCTCAAACTCCCTCCGATCATAATACTTCTTGTCGAGAACCATTTGGTACGGACACGTGCGGCATTCGAAGCGGTGCTGGTGGGCGAGGGAGAGGTCGTGCGGGGAGCAGTGGTGCGGGGGGGTGCGGGTGATGATGAGCATGTTGCTGCAGGAGGGGCAGAAGAGCATCATCTTTGCTGTTATTTTGGGCGTGGTTGGTGGGGAGAAGAGTTGGCATAGAAAGTGTGAGGTGCGATATGAGTCGGGATCGAAAATGTTCGGGCCGTGTAAGGGCCGGTGTGGTTGGTTGATTGGGCCTGGCGTCTCACTTCACTTTTCGCTTTCGCGGGTGACGACGACCTGCTGCTGCGGTCAAGACATCGGCATACCGAGCGAGAAGCTCTTGACTGTTGACATACTGGAGTCTGTTGAAAGATTCAAGCGCGCGACTTGAAAGAACACCTTCAGAAGCAAATTCTCAACCACATCCTGAGAAAGCAAACATCCGTATCTAGGCACCTACAAACAACCTCTCCCAACAAAAGAGCACCTACACAGCACCCACTCCAAGTCCTCTGATACTGCGACCATGCCCGACCCCACCGACGAATCCGGCGCCACCCCGCGCGAACTCCTCATCGAAGCCTCCCGCCGCAACAACACCTCCCTCCTCTCCGACCTGCTCAAAACTATGCCCTCCCCCTCCACCATCTCCACCTTCCTCAACACCACCACCGACGCCCTCGGCGCCTCCGCCCTGCACATAGCCGCGTCGTACGGCTCCTACGACGTGCTGGATCTGATACTAGATCAAGAGGGCGTCGAGATCGACGGGCCGGAGAAGAGGGATGGTGACACGCCGCTGCATAAGGCGGTAAGGTACGTGAACGGTTTACGGGATGAGGAGGTGGCGGAGGGGAAGGCGGTGGTGGAGATTCTGTTAGATGCCGGGTGTGATCCGCGGATACGGAATAAGGCGAAGCTTCGCCCGGTGGATTTGGTGGATCGAGGGAAGGTGGGCGTGAGGCAGGTGCTGCAGAAGGCGGAGATGGGGGTGATGGCCGGTGGGGATGTGGTGGATGAAGACGAGGATGATAGGCCGAATGGGCCGGGGAGTGAGAGTGATTAGGGATCGAGGCGCGAGGAGAGGGTGTCGGAGCTGGTCTTTGATGCTGCTGGGTAGGGGAGGCATAGGTTGAGGCTGGAGAGGTCGTGGACGGCGGCATGGGATGCCGTCTACGTCTGATGAGCTGCCGGAGCATGCGGTTTACAACGGTTCACGAACGCCAAAGGAGAGGATGGAGCCGCATGAGCGGTGTGTGCCGTCCTGAGGTCCATGCTGAGCTGCCAGCTTTGCTGAAGATGGATGAAGTAGCTGGAGTTGTGCATGTCCAGGTCGAGCTGCAGCGAAGATAGTACGTGCCAAAACACTGATTCAGTACAGGGCCTGTAGGCTAACAATGTCTAACAACATTGAAAGTTGAACTACGGGTTCTTGTTCTACTTTACTATATTGTCCTCGACGCTAGATAGTAAATAACAATCGTAGGCTGTAGGATAAATTGTTGTTTCGTTATGTGGCTGAGCTTCGCTAGTAGCTAGGTACTGTTCCTTACTCCAGGGCTCCCTAGATTTAGTCGACTGCTCGGATTTTCAATTATATCATCTATAAGCGTCAGGTCTGCTCTAAAGCAACTGTGTCAGAATTGCCGTATCTTACTCTCTTCCTCTACTGAGTTTTGAGTTGTTTGAGTAGGAGCTGCGGGTTTATAGCTCGTCAAGCAGTGGATTGCTTGGTTTGCAAATGGGCCATGACTAATACGGACCCTCTCGTTGCTCGCAACCGTTTTGCCTTACGCATTGGCTCGCTCGTTTGGACAAAATCCAAAAATTTTGTTTCAGGAAAGGTGATGCCTCGTGATGCCTCTACCATATCAACCCTACGCGCAATAACCGAAAGCAATGGCCTCAACGCAGCGAGAGTCGTCCGTTCTGTTCAAAAGGCCCACGCCTACAGACACACAAACGCCTGATCTTCCCATTACTTATTACAATGGCCGACCAACCAATATCCGAAAACAACCCATTCAAGGAGACCGATGATGTACAGCAAACAATTCTTCAACAGGCACAAGCTGCCGCAACAGCTCAAGTCGGTCCTCGACAGTCTACTAGCGACGACGCCCTCCTGCAAGAGATCGACTTGACCGTCCCTGATGCCTCTGAAGACGACACACCACCTCCTGCTTATGGCGACACCTATGGCGAGATCCGCAACGAGAAAGACGGCCTGGGCACCAGTGCCTCCGTCACCGACGACGGCCGCGTCAACATCCGCATTAACCAGCTCAACCGCCGGTTATCCCAAGTCTTCGTCCCTGCTCTACGCCAGCAACTCAACAGCGTGCAGGACAGCCAGCCGCCTCCTCCTCCCTACATCCCGCCTTCCCTGGGTGGCGAGGAAGGTGGTCTTCCACCCCCATGCTTGAACATCGTCATCCAAGTCGTCGGCTCACGTGGGGACGTACAGCCCTTCATCGCCTTGGGAAAGGTCTTGAAAGAAACCTACGGCCATCGCGTACGTCTGGCGACTCATCCCACCTTCAAGGACTTTGTGCAGGAGCATGGTCTGGAGTTCTTCAGCATCGGCGGCGATCCGTCCCGGCTGATGGCGTTTATGGTCAGGAATCCTGGTTTGATGCCGGGGTTTCGCAATCTATTTGCTGGAGATGTTGGGGGGCAGAGAAGAATGGTTGGCGAGTACATTCAGGGATGTTGGCGGTCTTGTTATGAGACTGGTGATGGAACGACTGAGCATGCTCTCCCTGAACCCTCTGGAACTGACGATGGCCCCGAGCCTGCAGCGAGACCTTTTGTTGCTGACTGCATCATCGCTAACCCTCCGAGTTTCGCTCACATCCATTGCGCGGAGAAGCTGGGAATTTCGCTGCATATCATGTTTACTATGGTGAGAACCTGATACCTTCTGTGTGCTCACAAACGAGCAAGACGTGCTAACCATCTCGATCTGTTGGACAGCCATACTCTCCCACGCAGGCCTTCCCCCATCCGCTCGCCAACATCCAATCCTCCAACGCCGACGCGCAACTCACCAACTATATAAGCTACGCCATGATCGAGATCCTCTCCTGGCAGGGCCTCGGCGACATCATCAACCGATTCCGCGCAAAGTGTCTCCGATTGGATCCGATTAGTCTACTCGCAGCCCCCGGAATGCTCCAGCGTCTCAAGATCCCTCATACCTACTGCTGGTCTCCGGCTCTGATACCGAAACCGAAAGACTGGGGCCCTCACATATCTATCGCCGGGTTTTCCCAGCTGAGCTCGGGCAACTACATCCCTGCCTCTGATTTACAGGCTTTCCTCGACGCTGGCCCACCGCCTGTTTATATCGGATTCGGCAGTATTGTCCTCGACGACCCTAATGCCTTGACGGAGCTCATATTCGAGGCAGTGGGGAAGACCGGTGGTCGGCGTGTCCTCCTCTCCAAAGGCTGGGGTGGCTTAGGCGCGGATGAGCTCCGTCGTGTACCGGAGGGAGTGTTTATGCTGGGAAATGTACCACATGACTGGCTTTTCCAGCACGTTTCGTGCGTCGTCCACCATGGCGGCGCAGGAACCACTGCAGCAGGGATTACCGCAGGTAGACCGACTCTGGTCGTCCCCTTCTTCGGCGACCAGCCTTTCTGGGGCGCCATGGTTGCGCGAGCAGGCGCGGGTCCCGAGCCAATTCCTTACAGGCAACTCATGGCGGACAAGCTATCCGATGCCATTGACTTCTGCTTGAGACCTGACAGTGTGGAGCGCGCCAAAGAACTCGCAAGTAAGATCGCAGCGGAGCGAGGTAGCGACACGGGTGCCCAGTCATTCCATCAACACCTCGAGGTAGACCGACTACGTTGCGCTCTTGCACCATCTCGAGCCGCTACGTGGCGCATCAAGCGGACCAATATCAATCTGAGCCCCTTTGCGGCATGTACTCTGGCGAATGCGGAGCTCGTGGACTTCCAGGATTTGAAGCTGTTCAGACCGCAAGAACATTACACCGATGAGGGCCCTTGGGATCCAATCTCCGGAGGGTTCGCGGAGCTGTGTAGGTCGTCCAGCAGCATATTGATGGGTCTAGCGGATGTTCCCTCAGAGACGTGGAAAGCGGTGCAGTCCTCGTCCAGCAAACAGCAATCTCAAGGATCATTCCCACCGAGAGGCGAGACCTCAAACACCAGCCGGAGACCGTCTCTGTCAATGTCGCCGGCGCAAAGTCAGACGAGCTTGACCACGCAGGAATCTCTTGCTCCGAGTCGGAAACCTTCCAAACTCTCTGTCCGCTCATCAGCTACATCGGCCATTGCATCAAGCTCCACGCGCCCCAAACAAATGAACACCAGCCAAATACGTTTCCGCAGACAGCACGAACCCACCCCCTACAACAACCGCGACATGCTCCGCCAGAGCAGCGCGCACTCGAGCAAAGGCCTTGGCCGGATGTTAAAGCCAATCGTGCAAGCGCCCATGACCTTCTCCACAACTTTCACCCAGGGCTGGCACAACATGCCCAAGATGTGGGGAGACGACACGGTGCGCCCGCAGGAACGCGTCAGCGATTTCAAGTCCGGCATCAGAGCTTTGGGCAGAGAGTTCGGTCTCGGCTACTACGACGCCATCACTGGTCTGTGGACTCAGCCCTGGAATGGGGCACAGAGAGAGGGCACGAGCGGCTTCTTTAAGGGGATGGGGAAGGGGATAGGTGGGTTCGTGACTAAGATGACTGCTGCGCACTTTGGGATTCTGAGCCATCCGCTGAAGGGCGTTTATAAGGAGGTGGAGAAGCTGTTTGGGAGTAATGTGCAGAGCTATATCGTCGTGTCGAGGGTGGCACAGGGGTATGAGGAGTGGTTGCAGAGTTCGGACGCGGAAAAGGGGGATGTGATTGAGAGGTGGAAGTTGATTCAGAAGTCCTTGAAGAAGAAGAAAGGGAATAATGATGAGGTGGTGCGGGATGTCCTGGAAGCACAGCAGAACCACGTGGAGGGCAGAGGTGCCCGCCACAAGGGCGAACGTACCGCGAGCTCCGCTCCGTCTGGCATCAGTGGGGATGCTGCATCCCGAGATCCGGAAAGCGCGATGCTCGCCATGGGTGGTCCTCCATTCTCTCCGCGCCCCGCCAGCACCGTCTCCAAGTCATCGCTCGAATCGGCCGACATCAACTCCACCACGCGACCATCGGACGAGCAGCCCTCAGAAGAAGACGCCGAAGAGGAACCCGGCGTCCTCCAAGCAATCCAACAAAACGTGTCCCAACTCCAGCACCAACGGCGAAAAGCAGCAGATAATCAGTCCGACCAGTAGGGATTGCGCCAGCCGATGGAGTCCAGCGAGGCTGACGAAGCTCAGCGGCATGCCAGCGAAGCACTGCGTTACGAACAACAGCTGGAGCGAGCGCTGGCGCAGAGTCTGCGGGACGCACAAAGGGGGGCCATAGCAACAACGACAGAGTAGGGAAGTCGTCTGATGATCCGGGCCATCTGGCCGGCACGACCCGCACCCAATTCCTCACTCAACAAGCAGCACAGCAAGGAGAGAAATCGACTCAAGAGAAGACGGAAGAGGAGATAGTACTGGAGTACGTCCGCGAGCAGAGTCTGCTGGAAGTAGCGCATCGCCAGGGCGAAAGCAGGAGGCGTGTCATGTTGACGAGGATCGAGAGCAGGATGAGGACTTGCTGAGGGCGTTGCAGTTGAGTATGTGAGGACGAGAGCACGAGGGGAAGGAAAGGTACGGGGAGGCTTCGCGGAGGTGGGTAATCTGGAATTTGCGATGTTGAGGTAGACCTTACCAAGCCATGCACGAAGTGATGAAGCCAGATCCGACGTGGCGGAGTGGCGAAGGGCTACGACCTTGACAGACACCACGATACAACCTATTGAACGACGACGACGACGACGAATTGTGCTCAGAGTATTCCATATGGCGAACGAGAAATCAATACCTGACTCCACGTTGAAAAATACCAGTACTCCATTCGGCTCGGCTTGAAAGGGGGAAGGGGTATCCGTATTTTTGCTTGCACGCACGCCCATGCTGAACCAGAATTCCCGCGAAACAAAGGAAATACCCAGCGATCGATAGCCCTTTTTTCCTCTGCCACATATATGCCATCATACACCCCCCCTTCCACCTCAAAAATGCAAATACCAGCTCTGCACGTCCCGTCACCACTCATCTCGTATCCAAGGTCCTCCACTCCGCGGCTCTCCAATCTGCGATCCATTGTCCATCTGCTCGGATGAACGTCTTCACCCGGTAGACGACTCCTTCCGCTCCGGCCTCGCCCTCCTCCCGCCCTTCAGCGACTTCATCCTGTTCAAGAACCCACCGCCCTGCGGCTTCTCCTCCTCGGTGCTCGTCCGCACGGCCGAATCCGCAGTCACGCTCCTAGTGAGACCATACGGTTTCGGGCTGCTCGGCGTCCGCGAACGAGACATATTCGCCGTCGGGCGCTCCTGCTCCGCGATCTTGATCTGTGTGCCTTTCTTGTCGAAGGCCGAGTCGTACTCGTTGTCGAAGGGGTTGATCTCGTTCTCTTTCGTGTATCGGGCGTGTGATGGTCCGCCAGCGCTGACGGCTTTGATGCGAGCGTCTGGAGTGGTGTCGTTGTAGCGAGCGTCGGGGCTGCGGACCTCGCCGTTGGGGCCACGGCGTTGGGAGGCAGACATCCCCCGACCGCGGAAGCGCTGGGCGAGGGACTTCTTGCGCTGCAGCCCCCCACCCATTTGCTCGCCTTGCCAAGTCGTCTGGTCTTCGGACTCACGGCGCTCGAGTGCGCGCTTGCTGGCGGGTGCGCCTTCCAGGAAAGTTGATGTGCCCAAGCCGTAGCTGGCGTCACCGTGGACCTGCTCGATGCGGTCGGTGGGGTTGACATACTGAGGCGCAGGTGCCACTTTGCGAGTTTGGCCGTAATCCTGGAAGCCTTCTTCGCCGCGTCCGTGGAATTTGTCGAGATCCAAGCGACTGTTCAATGGACCTGACCCACCCATGGCCATGTTCGCCGAGCCTACGGGGAAGGCCTCCATTGGTGCACGGCGGTCCCTTTTCGCATTCCTGTGTGGGTTGCAAGCATCGAATGGGCCATCGTGATGGAATACTGTGATCATTGTCAGCTTCACAGTTCTGTGTGCATGAGAACGAAGCGTGAGCACTCACATCCTTGTCCGTAAATCCCAGTCACATCAAGCTTGTCAATCAAGTCGAGGTTGCGCCCAGGCTTCGTACGACGGCCATTCTTGTCGCGCCCTTCGCGTTTATACCGCTCCTCACGCTCCTTCCTTCTTTCACGCCGCCTGCGCTCCTCGCTTTCAGTACGCGGTGGGCGGTCGGCGTCCTCTCTGCGGCGCTCGCGGCGGTCCATTCTCTCTTTCTCCATTACTGAGGTCTCGGAGGCCCGTCGTCGGTGCTCTGGTGCCCGTTTGTTGGGGCTGTCGGGACCTCTGGGTGGTCCGCGTGGAGTTGAGCGATCACGGCGGTCGTTCGGTCCTATGGGACGCCTTTGTTCTGGTTGACCTGGGCGTGGCGGTGGGAGGCGAGTTGGTGGTGTGTCTGAGAGAAATGTTTAGCATAAATGCGTGGGTTTTGAGTGTCATGTGCTTACCATTGGATGCCGACTTATCGAGCAGCGAAAGATCCTTCTGCAAGGTAGGAAAGTCAGCAAACATTCGATTGAACTTCGTGAAGCGGTCCATTCTTCGGCATCGTGAAGAGGAGTCTCTCGTGAACGGTTCCTGTGCTATTTGTGCTGATTTCAATCGTGCAAACGCCGCGGTAACACAAAGTCCCAAATGGCACGTTCGTATTCGTGTGCATGCATACGACAATCTCCGTGGCGCGCGCGCGCAGCATTGGACCGGCGGAACTTACAAATATGTCATCCGGTACATTCGGCTTGCCCTGGCTCTTCGAACCGCCGCGAGCGCCGTCGGCAGGGTCGAGAAAGGGGTTGTTGGACATGTTGGGCAGCGGGAATTCGGTCTGCCTCGCGGACGCGCTGTCGGGCGAAGGGGAAGCGGCGCTCAGACGATTGCGGAAGGGGTTGTTGGAGGAGAGATTCAAGTTGCCGGGCGAAGGTTGGCGTTGGGCTGTAGAAGAAAGAGTAAGTAGGGGCGGAGGCGAGGAGTTTTGTTATCGCGGGATCGGCGGGGGGTGAAACATGGAGGGTTGGGATTGGTCGGGACCAGCCTTACCAGGAACCGCGATGGCGGGTGCTGCCATTGTTCAATAACTCCGTCGTTGAATATGAGCTGTGCGAATGCAGTGCTGGGAGAGGGTGTCGGGGTGGTGGTGGCGGTGACGGAGGTGGGAGTGGAAGGAGGGGAAGGAGTCTTGATACCTCCTCTTTTGAGCCCGTCTCGCTCGGCTAAGGCTTGCGCGCACAGGGGAATGGAGAGCCGCGCGGCACGGAACGTGTAGGGGTCGGTGCTGCTGCCGGGCTGCTGAATGTTTCTGCTATAATCTTCTCGTGCGATCAATTCGTGTGGTGGTGGCGAGAAGAGAGAGTGTAGCAAACAGGAAAGTGAAGAAGAGTTGTTGTTGATCTTGCTTGCTCCTTCTGCCGTCCAAAACAGGGCAACGACCCGTGATCGACCAACTGGCTCCAACCCCTGTCCCGAGCCTCAACTCAATCTAAGAATCTTCCGGCCTCGCTGCTGACACACGTCTACTCCTGAACCACCTGCAACGACCAACTCGAGAAGGACCGCCAAACCCCGCCAAGACCCCGATTCTGGACCGCGATCACACCCTCAACATATCCCAACCTCCACCTCTCCAATAACCCCTCAGCCTGCTCGGGATTCGAGAAGCACCCCAAGCCATTTCCTCAAGCCACCTGACAACGTGCGCGCAGGGGTCTGCTCCACAGGCTTTTTTCGCGGTGTGGAGAAGGTTTGGTCCAGGCACAGCGCCAGCGCCAACGCCAACGCCAGCACGGGCAGCGGGCGTCTCTTCCCACGGTTAATCAAGCCATCCGACCACTTCGATCCACGTGCCATCGTCTTCACCCGAGCCGCGGCACGGAGATCGAAACGGGCGATATTCACATGCTGGCCAAGCCGACGACGACGACGACGACGTGAGCTGCAGCAACGATGGCAGCAGCGCAAACAAACGGCTCCGCCCCAACAACCACATCGCGCGACCCAAACTTCTACGCCGGCTACTCACGCTTCGAGATCGAACTCGAGGTAAACCCCCTCCCTTCAACAATCCTCTTCCACCCCACTGACGTACGATCCAGTTCGTCCAATCCCTCAGCAACCCCCAATACCTCAACTACCTCGCCTCGCAAAAGTACTTTGAGAGCGAGGAGTTCGTCGCCTACCTCGAGTACCTGCAGTACTGGCGCGAGCCGGAGTATCTGAAGTATTTGCAGTATCCCGGGCCGACGCTGAAGGTGCTGGAATTGTTGCAGGAGGAGAGGTTTCGGCGGGAGATTCTGATCCCGAGTGTGGCGGAAGCGATGGTGGCGGAGGGGTTTGAGGCGGCGACGAAGGGGCTGACGGGGTGATGGATCATGGTGGCAAGGAGGAAGGCAATTTACAAGGGTGTGGCATGGGGCTGCTGCTCGACCAAGGGGGTGATTGCTGACTGGCATACCTCTTTGAGGGGCTTGCGAACGTCCAGCATGCAGAGGAAAGTCACGAGCTGTTTCATCGGGACAGCAACACTGCAAACACAGCCCCGTCCGCTGCATCAAGAGAGCACCGGCGGAGGCAAACTCCGAGACTGACAGCTACTCCGCAACGTGAGCATGGAGCAGCACGTTGGCATGGCACAGGCTACACAGAGAAAGGATGGTGGGAGAGGTCCAGATTCTGAGCCGTCAAGGGCTTGTACATAGCCTGCTGGACTGCTTATAGCAAGACTAGGAACCACAGCTTTCAAAGGATTCTGCTATACTTGTCATCCGCCTCCGAGTCCAATTGTCAACAGTGTGCCGCCTCCAAGCTGAGGCCACCAAGCCCTCCCCATCTATCCATCTTGCTCACGCATGCATGCTGCTGCACTCGATCGATTCCGGCCTTGCGGGACCTTGCGCGCGGCGATTCGCGTAGCACTTCTTCCTGGTCCAGCTCTGCAATATCCTCGTGCGCGCTTCCTTTCACTACGCCGTCCTCAAAATCTTTATCATCCCGTCTTCCACCTTCAACAACGTCAATCCTCCACCGCCGGCGCAACCCCCACAGGCAACACCATCCTCTCCATACAATGCATCCTTACCCTCTCCGTCGGCAACCCCATCCCAATGCTCATGTAATGCAGCAGCGGCGGGTGGCCCTGGTACGAAGCGTACGAGTCGCGCTGGATGTTGGACGTCCACTCGTGCTTGGTGGTGTCGGCGTGTCCCGTGCCGATGTATTTGTTTTGGAGTTGCTCGAGTTGTTGTTGGGTGCGGAGTTTGTCGGCCTACGAATCAAGAGGGTGAGCGAGGATTGCGGTGGGGGAGCTTAGGGGGGGTCAAAGACTTACCATTTTTGAGAAGCAGTGTAGCGTTGATGTGTGGTCTGATCTTGTGGTGAAGCCGTGGTTGTGCAAGACGCATGTGAAGCTCTAGAAGAGGAAGTCACAAATCGCGGATGACTAAGATCTTAGTCAGCTACATCCATCATTGACGACATCACATGCTCTCCAACAAATGCCAATGGCACGAACACATATCCACCAAAATGTCCTCTCTCCTCTACTGGCAACATAAATCCCCCTTCGACAACGACTGGCGACCCCTCCCCGGCGGCAACCCAACAAAATACCTCGACAACTCCCCCCAATGGCTGGCCCGCACAGACATCGAAGCCGCAACCGTCGACACCGCGCCCTTCGTCGCCGGCGCAGGCGGTCTGGCACACATCTCCCAACTACACCAGATCGGCCTCTCAGCCCCCGCGTCCGTGTTCAGGAACGTCAAGACTATGATGGCGATGCATCGGACGGTTCTCTTCTTAACGCCGCTGGTTTTATTATGTCAAGCGGCGGGGCTGGAGTACCGCCAGGTCATCCCACGCTGGAGTCATGATCGCGAACGGCGGCGGGAGGAAGGAGAAGTGCGGAGGCATGTGGATGTCGGGATGGGGGTGGGGGGTGTGGGGTGGGTTTTGAGGATGTATGTGTTTAATCTGGGGAGGCGGTATTGGGCGCCGTTGGATGTGGTGATGGGAGGGGCGTTGGCGGATCTGATGCATAGGGAGTATTGTAAGGCGCATGGGTTGTGATGTAGACAGGATGTTTTGGGGTTGTATATATGATTAGATGTCCTCGTCAGCTACGGTGTTCGTCGAGGACGACGCCTCTTCGTTTTCGCAGGAAGAATGGGGTTGGCGGTCGAACGACTTCGTTGAACACACCCGTGCCATAGACGAGCAGGATGAAGCCGACGACTTGGAGCCATTTGAAGGTCTCCCAGCCGAGCCCGAGGCTGACGAGCCAGATGAAGAGCGTGCGGCAGGTGTCGATGGTGCTGCGCGCGGTCGCCGAGATGGAGCGGGTCACGCTGAGGCCGAAGAAGTTGAAGCCGCTGCGAGCTATTAGCAATGTACCGTGAGAGCAGAATGAATACTCACCCAATCGAGATCATAATTAGCAGCGAGCTGACAGCCACCGCGCGATTGGTGAAGACCTCGTAGAACGCTTCGCGGGCATTGAAGTATCCGGTCCCAATGGCTCCGTGCAGCACACCCATAGCAATCAGAGTGACGGTGAAGCCAAACACACCTTCCCAGCCAACAACCTGTATCGGGTCCATAGAGTACCTCTCCATGATGCTCTCCTCCAGCACAAATTGCGAAGCCGTGAAGATCTGCGCTCCAGCAATCATCAGAATCCCAATCACCGTCTGCGCTGCATTCGGGCCGTCCTCTGCCACTTCCACCACCACGTCTCTAACCAGCCGTAGAGATCTCGAGATCAGAACATCCTTGTCTCCTCCCGGCTGCGTATCACCAGGTAAATCAGGCTGCCCATCCTTCTTGTCCAGATACCCCGCTAACCCGACTATTGCCACACCCAGCACGACAATGAACAAGCTCGCCCACTTCCAAGCGCCCAAGTGTCGCTTCAGGAAGACAACGCTGAACAGTCCGACGAACAACACCAACGCTCCCCTCGTCATCTGGTATATCGACGCCGCGACGAACAGCAAACCCGCGTTCATCAGCGTCGTCCCGCAGATGTCGCAGATCGCAGGCATAGCCAACACCAGCACTTTCCACCCCGTCAACGGCTTCCGCTGTATCTCCCCTTCCTCGCCGTCGATGAACGGTTTCGCGACCGCATTGGTAGGGTCGACCAGTGTCTGTGACGAGCTGAGGTCCTGCTCTTCCTCTGATATCCGATCCTCCTCGCTATCCCGGCTGCTGACAGGCTGATACGCCGCTTCGCCAGCCCTCGACTGTCCACCGAAGCGTTGGAGCAGGAAGGACAGTAGCACCACCAGCCAGCATCCAGACTCGCCGACGAACATCTGGAGAGTTTGGATGACGGGCTGCTCGAAGGTCTTGGGGCGCGCGGTGTCGCAGTCGGCGACGCAGACCATGTCCTATACCACATTCGTAAGCTTCGTGACGCGCATGAGAGTGGTAGTAGGTGTAGATACCTGATACTTGGTGAGCAGCGTGTTGCATACTCCCGTCAGCAGCATGAAGCCGACGAGGACGGGGACGGTGGCCTTGGACGTCGCCATGTTGGGCGGGCGTGTCGCTCGAACACTCTGAGCTCGAGAGGTCTATGAGGTGTTGTGTACAAGGAGTTGTAGAGGCAGAGACAATGATGCATGTGATAAGGTGCAGGCGACTGCTATCAGCCGCCGCTGATTCAACTCCACATCCGGCCTTTGTTCTAGCAACCACCGAAACGACATCTGATCCAACAAAGCTTTGATGTTTCCATGGTTAATCGAATAACACTACCCCGTAATCAGCTACAGAATGGCATATGACAGGTGAGAGCCTTGTCGTGCTACTGCTCTTGAAATGGGTATAGCTCATCCCGTCTCTTTCGCAGCGTATCCGGTCAGCAGGCCACCATTCCTCCTACTGGATTTGTTCATGCTTCACAATGTAAGAGATACATTTATAGACAAGGTTACATAATGAACAATCACCCCCTCCCCCTCCCCTCAATCAATCTCGCCACCCTCGCAAACCCCTTCCCCCTCCCCATCTCCCCCGCCGTCCCCTCTATTCCATCCCAAACCCCTCTCCCCCTAACATCCACCCCCTCCTTCAACAGCAACCTTACAACCCCCTCATGCCCCCGATTCGCCGCCAAACACAATACCGTCGCTCCCTCCTCCGCCCGCGCCTCTACATCACACCCAGCCGCGATCAGAACCCCCATCACCTCCGTATGCCCCTTATGCGCCGCCCAATGCGCCGCTCCTAGCCCCTGTGCCTGTCGCGCTTCCATATCCGCGCCTGCGCGGAGGAGAGCTTGCACGCACGCAACACTGCCTGCGGCGGCGGCGGAGAGGAGGGGCGTGTTGCCCTCGTCGTCCCGAGCGTCGACGGGCGCGCCGCGTTCCAGCAGGAGCTCGACCATGGCACCCTGGGCCATGACGGCGGCTTGGTGCAGGAGGCCCATGCCGTTGGACTCGCTGCGCATCGACACCCTTGCGCCGCGACGGAGCAGGAGGCGCGCGCAGTCGATTTGTGCGGCTGTGACGGCGCAGAAGAGGGGCGTGGTGCCGTCTCTTCCAGAGAGAGGGTCGACCTGTTCAGCGTCTGCGTGCGCGAGGAGGGCAGAGAGAGATTCGAGGTGCCCGGACCATGCGGCGAGGTGGAGCGGAGTGTCGCCTGCGACGTCTTGGGCGGAGATGAGGGTGCCGGCGCGGATGAGAGGGGGGATGAGGGTGGAGTGGTTTAGGTGGGCGGCGAGGTGGAGTGGGGTGCGGAGGTGGGGGTCGAGGGGGATGTTGGGGTCGAGAGAAGGGGTAGCGAGGAGTTGTTGGAGGGTGGAGAGGGAGTTTGTTGTTATGGCTGCGTGGAGTTCGGATGCTGTTGCCGAGATGTTCGCATCCAAGGAGTCCGGTGGGCTGGGGATCTTTTGGTCGAGCTTGGAGTCTTGAAGGATGATGTTGGAGCTGGCGCTGGGTGGGGAGTACTCTGGAGGAGGCTCGATCCAGGCTTTCGTGTCCATCGCCGGGGTGAGGCCGGTGGGCACTGGTGGCGGCAGGAGGCTAGAACCGCTCGATGATTGACGCTTCAAGCTGACAATCATGTCGGCGTCGCACGGAGGTGTAGGCGGGAAAGTCGTCTTCCCATCCGCATGCTCCAGAAGGAAAGCCAGCGGCGGTCGTTGATCTCGCAACTGTTGGAGCACGGCGGTGAGCAGCTCATCCTTATGGGGACCTGAGTGGTCTGCGATGCCACGAGCGAAGAGGAGCGTCTCGTGGAGGCCGAGCAGCGTGGTATCCAAGCATGCAGATACAGCGGTGTTTTTGCCATCCTCGAGTCCGGCCAGCTGTTGCTGCAAGCGACAGAGGTTGGTCGTCAAGTTGGCCAGCTCGCTCAGCAACGTCGCTGTCGTCAGTCGGTCGCCGGTCGATACGAGATCGCTTGAACGCAGGCCTTGCGCGACATCCGAACACAATCTGACCAAGGTGGATAAGTGCTGTGCAGGCGGTGGTTTCTCTCCGTCGTCGTGCTGGACGATATGTCGCAAAGGGCTCTCTGCCACATAGATGCTGTCGACTGCTCGCCTCCGAACTGGCTTTGGCCTGGGTGGATCATGGTTGACTTTCGTGTCCGGTGATGGCTGATTCTTCCAGACCGCCGACAGGGCCAAGATGGAAAAGGCAACGCAGGCGACAGTGAAGCAAGTTGTTGGATTAAGGAATGTATGTTGTGCGTCCATGTCGACGGTGTCTAGCCGCTGGAGAGCTCATGCAAGTTGATTGAATTTGTGACTGAATGAGTGTATAGGCTGTGATTACTTCGCCGTGATCATAGTGAACGTTGATGGTTCATCATCAGTGTCGTTTGAACACCGTCGACAATCACATGCAACTGTTGTTGTTTACTCCCCGATTGTCGTCAGGCCGGATCCCTGTCCTCGCCCTCGCTTCGATGCTTGGCTTTTGCTTGAGCACACGGCATGACGTCCCGACACCACCCTCGACATTGACATGTGACAGTTGCGTTCGATATCGCAAGTTGGTGCCAGGCTTGCTGGAGTAATGCGCATTGCGGGAAGTTGTTGCGAAGCAGACGTCTTTGTAAGTCGAGTAGAGGCTCAGAGGCTTGAGCGGCTGCGTACGGCCGGGCGAGCTGCATCCTGCTGTTCCCTGCTTTCCAGCTATTCCTCCGCGGCGTCACTCGCATGAGTCTAGACGTACGTACCTTTAGTCTTGCCATTGAACTCTAGTAATTGATCCGACATTGAACGGCCAAGCCGGAGGACATGTCCAGTAAATACGTCTTCGATTCAACTTTAATCTCGTTCCATAAGACCACGATTCCACGACCCGCGACCTATCTTAGACACCATTGACGCTGACCACGACCACCTCCTCATCATGGCCGACCTCCACGAGGCACTGAAGAAGCTTTCGCCCACCACCTGGACCTCCACGCCCCACGACAACAATGGCGAACTCCCCACCTACCTCACCGACATCTTCACCGCCGCCGAGCTCCTTGTCAACAGCGTCCCTCCACCTCCCAACGGCAACTCCTTCGCCACCGCCCAACCCCAATTCACCACCCCCAACTCCGCCAAATCCTCCAAGGACGTCCACTCCTCTTCCGCCCGCCCCGCACCTCCAGACGCCGCCCACGCAGCGCTGCAGAAACAATGGGGCAAGCCGATGAAGTACTCGCAGAAAGACAACCCGCTCAACGTAGCCTTGTACAAAACCGCCGGGCACGACCGACATGGAGCCTGGTTCGCGCGGCATCAGGTCATGGAGGGTATTAGCTTTGGCAAGTTCGAGAAGGCGTTGAAGCGGGAGTTTCCTGAGACGTTGCTCGTGCAAGGACAGCCTGGAGCTGGCGCAAAGAGGGGGTTGAGTGCTGATCGGCGGGTGGAGAGAATAGATGCGGATGTGGATGGGGTGGGGAGGATGGAGGTGTACCAATTAAGTGCGCAGATGCCTCCGCCGGTCAGTCCGAGGGACTTCTTGACGTTGCTGTTGAGTACGGATAAGGGATTGACGGAGAAGAGCGGGGCGGAGCTGGATAGCGGGAAGAAGCATGTGCCAAGGAGTTATATGGTTGTCTCGAGACCGTTGGATCATCCGGACGCGCCGCCGAGGTCGAGCTTTGTACGAGGGCAGTATGAGTCTGTGGAGCTGATACGGGAGATTCCTTTGCACGTGTCGAAGTCGACGGCAGATTTGTCTAAAGATGGCGAGGTTGATCCAGAGTTGAATCCTGTGGAATGGATCATGATCACCAGAAGTGACCCAGCTGGAGGCGTCCCGCGATTCCTAGTCGACAGAGGGACACCAGGTGCTATGCTTACTGATGTGACGAAGTTCTTGGATTGGGCCTGCGCTTATGAGCAGGTTCCGGACCAAGACGAGGATCTGGAACTACAACTTACGAACTCGGCGAAGATGACGGAGGAGATGTACGCTCAGCAGACAGGAGTTGCTGCAGGCGAGAGGACTGCAGCAAAACCTACAGAAGCGCCTACTCCGCAAGTACAAGAACCTGCTCCACAACCCTCGGAGGAGACACCCCGTGAGACTCCCACTCCAGCCGTCGACGGCGCACCACAACCCGCACCCCAACCAACGGAGCCCGGCATGCTCTCCAACGTCATGCAATCCGTCGGAGCAGGAGCGACCAGCTACGCCCCAGCCCCCGTAGCCTCCTTCGTCAACCGCCAACTCGGCACCGACACTCCCTCCCAAGACCTCTCCGACGACGACACCTCCTCCACCTCCTCCGTCGACTCCTTCCTCTCGGCCCGCGAAATGCGCCGCCTCTCCACCGCCCCGGAAGCGCCTCCCCGCGCCTCCACCGAGAACCTCTCCATGCGCAGCGTCACCTCCTCTACTTCCTTATCCAACCGGGACAAGAAATCCATGACCCCCTACGAAAAAGACCTCCACCGCCTCACTCAGCAGCGCGAGAAACTCGACCAGAAACTCGCCAAAAAGCGCGAAGCCGAGGAGGAGAAACTCAAGTCCTCCGCGCAAAAAGAACAATCCGAACAGGACAAAGCTCGCGAACGAATGGAACGCGAGATGCGCAAGACCGAAGACCGTCATAGGAAAGAAATCGAAAAGCTCGAAGCGAAGCGCTCACGCCGCGCGCAGAAAGCCGAAGAGCGGAAGAAGAAAAGGGAAGAAGGGGATAAAATGTCCCTCGTCGCGCGCGAACGGGACGAAGCGAGGGGGCAGAGGGATTTTTTGAAACGGGAGAACGAGTTGTTACGGGAGCAGGTGGAGGGGCTGCAGAGGGAGAATAATGCGTTGGCTGGTAGGATGGGACGGATGCCGGGGGGTCCGGAAACATTAAAAGCGGTGCAGGACGAGGTGAATGCTGGCAGGAGTAGGAGCAGGAGTGGGACTGTGAGGAGTACTGGGAGTGGGGGGAGTGGGGGGAAGGGGGGGAGTGGAGGTTGAACGTGTGGATATGAGGGTATGTAGATATGGGTATATCATGAGACATGAAATCGTTACACAGCGTTATTCGCTCGTCCGCTGCTTCTGGCTCTTCTTCAACCCCTTCGGATTCATCAACCCCCTAACCTTCTTCCCCTTAACATCCCTCCCCTCCTCAATATTCAACAACGCCCTCTGCTTCATCTCCCCCACCACATTAAGCGCGTCCCTCACCACCCTGCCCTCCACACTCACGCCTTCTTCGGCATACTGCTGCATCTCTTGCCCCACTCTCCCTTCAATCGCCTGGACCAGTGCGACGTCCCTCTGCCCGACGAGACAGATACTCGTCCCCCTTCTCCCCGCCCGGGCTGTGCGGCCGACGCGGTGGATATACGTGTCCGGGTCGCGGGGGAGGTCGTAGTTTACTACCAGGCCTACGGACGGGATATCCAGTCCTCGACTCGCGACGTCGGTGGCGATGAGGATGCGCGCTGCGCGCGCGCGGAACCGGGCGAGGTTGTTCGTGCGGTCGGTGTGGGAGAGACCGGAATGCAGGCTTGTGACGCGGTGGTCGAGCAGGCGGAGCGTGTATTCTAGTAATGTGCAGGTGGATGTTTGGTTGCAGAAGATTATCACGTTCTTGTTGGCGTTGGACGGGGTGAGGAGGAGGATGTGCAGGTATTTCTCCTTATGGACGACGTTGACTAGTTGGTACGTCTGCGCGAGGGTCGCGGGGACGGCGAGGGCGGCGGTGTCGACTTCGGAGACGAAGACGGGGGACTGGTCGGCGGAGCGAGGCAGGTTCTCGAGCGCGCGCACTTCGGGGGTGATGGTGGCGGTGAAGAGGCAGGTTTGCCGTGTTGTGGGCGGGGGAAAGACGGAGAGGCAGGTCTCGAGGTCCGGGAGCATGCTGCCTTTTTCGCTGCTGGCGAGGAGACGGTCTGCTTCGTCGAGGACGACGGACTTGACTCGTCGTAAACCGCGGATTGTCTCTTCGCCCGAGTTGAGGATGTGGTCGGCTAGGCGGCCGGGCGTGGCTACGACGATGTGTGGGCGTCGTTCAAGCTCGATGGCTTGGGCGCGGGAGTCTGCTCCTCCTACTATCAGAGCACATCGTAGACCGCGTCGACTGCCTAGCGCGACCATCTGTTCGTGGATCTGGAGGGCGAGTTCGCGGGTGGGCGTGAGGATGACCGCAAAGACGGCGCTGGGGTCTTGGGCCCATTGTTGGAGGATGGGGATGGCGAAGGCGACTGTTTTACCGGAGCCGGTGCGCGAGCCGCCTATGCAGTCTCGGCCAGCGAGGATTTGGGGGATGCATGAGGTCTGGATGCGGGTGGGGTGTTTGATGGAGAGGTGGTGGAGGGAGGTGGTGAGCCATGGCTCCACTCCGAGGGCGGCGAAGGTGATGGGGGTGGTGGGTGTAGACTCGAGTATTGATGTTGGCGCTTCAGTGACTGGTTGTGCTGGGGGTTGTCGTTGCTGCTTCGTCTTGATGCGCGAGATGGGTTCAGTCGTGCCGTTCGACGTTGGAGGTGGTAACCGCTCGACAGGTGACGTCGCGCGAGATGATGCATTAGAGTCGCCAGAGTCGTCCGGATCAGACAGCCTTCTCCTCTTCGTCGGTCGCTCCATCGTTGTCGTGTGTGGTGTTCGAGAACGAGATCGTCGAGGAAGGGTATGCCACAAAATAAAGTGATGGGACGAAATCTTGGCTTTGCCGACATCTTTTCTGCTCCGCTCTTCTTCTACATCATTCCTATACCCACCAACACAAGAACAAACAATCGCAATGGGCCGCCCACGGAAGCGAGCGAAGCTGCTCTCAGATGAAGAAAGCGTTAGCGACGGCAACGTGCAGATCCAGACCGAGCCCGGACCTAGAAAGGCGACGAACGGCTTCAAGGTCAACGAAGCGTATGCCCGTCGCTTTGAGCACAACAAGAAGCGCGAGGAGAAGGACCGGTTGGAGGAGAAGTACGGCAAAAAGTCGCAGCCGAACGGACGGGCAGTGAATGGGGCGGAGGAAGAGGAAGATGAGGAAGAGTCGAGCTCAGATGAGTCCGAGGACGACGATGCCGAGCTCGCTACTCAGGACGTCGACGAGGAGATCATGGCGACGCTGAATGCGATTCGAAGTAAAGATCCGAAGGTGTATGATAAAGAAGTCAAGTTTTACAGGGAGTTTGACCCGGCGAGTGGGGAGATGAAGACGAAGCAAGAGAAGCCGATGTATTTGCAGGACTACCACAGACGCAATCTGCTAGAGGGGAAGGCTAATGGAGAGGACGAAGAAATGGAGGATGCGCCGCCACCGAGGACATACCAGCAGGAGCAAGATGACATGAAGAGGCAGCTGGTCGGGTCCATGCATGCTACTGCGGAGGGTGTCGACGAGGCGGACGAGAGCGATGAGGATGAGGAAGGTGGTTTCTTGGTTAAGAAGGAGAAGTCCAAACATGAAGATATGCCGACTGCTGCGAAGCGCCAGATCACGGACACGGATGTCGCAGAAGCGGACAAAGATCCAGAGACTTACTTGTCAAACTTCATGGCTGCACGCGCATGGCTGCCGACCGAGTCCTCCCAATGGCAGGCTTTCGACTCGGATGACAGCGAGGAGGAAAAGCGGGCCGATCAGTTCGAGGAAGCGTACAACATGCGCTTCGAGGATCCGAAGACTGCGAACGAAAAGCTGCAGTCGTTCGCTCGTGATGCTGGAAAGTATTCTGTCAGACGAGACGACAACAAGAGCTCACGTCAGCGTACACGAGAAAGGGAGCGGGAAAAGAAGGATGCTGCGAAGCGTGAGCGGGAAGAGGAGAAGGCGAGGCTGCGAAAGCTGAAGATTGAGGAGGCGGAGGAGAAGGTAAAGCGGATCAAAGAGGCTGCTGGCTTGTCAAAGGGCGACAAACTGGACTTTGACGAGTGGAAGGATGTTATTGAGGGAGACTTTGATGACGAGAGATGGGAGCAGGAGATGGAGAGGCGGTTCGGCGACAAGTACTACGCTGCGCAAGAAGATGGCGAGATGGAGGCAGGAAGTGACGAGGATGCGGCAGGAAAAAGGAAGCGAAAGGCACTGCATAAGCCGACATGGAACGATGACATCGATATCAAAGACCTCGTCCCAGAATTCGAGGACGAAGAGGGCAAGAAGCCCGAGTTCACTCTGTCAGACGACGAAGACGAAGAAGACGGCGGTGTCCCAGTCCAGCCAGACGATGTCGAAGAGCCCGACGAATCTCAACCCAAGTCTAAGCCCAAATCAAAGAAAGATCGCGCCAAGGACAAGGCAGACGCCAAACACAACGCGCGCCGCGAGCGCCGCTTGATCGAGAACCTCGTCGACGCCAACCTCCCCGTCACCGCCGCAGGCACCGCCGCGAACCCAACCGGCTCCTCCGCTCACCCCGCGCGCGACAACGCCGGCGTCCCCGGTTTCCGCTACCGCGAGACCTCACCCACGACTTTCGGCTTATCGGCACGAGACATCCTGTTCGCCGACGACGCGCAGCTGAACCAGTACGCCGGATTGAAGAAGCTGACGGCTTGGCGGGAGGATGACAAGAAGAAGCGGGATCGGAAGAGATTCTCGAAGAAGCAGCGGCTAAGGGAGTGGAGACGGGAGACTTTTGGGGATGTTGAGGGGCCGAGGTTGCCGGTAGGGACGAAGGAGGTGGGTGAGGATGTAGAAGGGAAGGGGGAGGGGGAGAAGAAGGGGAAGAAGAGGAAGAGGAGGGGGAAGGGGATGGGTGAGGTGAAGGCGTAAGAGGTGGGCGTCGTGGTTTGGCGGCCTTTGAGTGTCGTGGTTTGGCGGCCTTTGGGCGTCGTAAGGTGGTTGGACGATGAGTTTGTACGGCTAGCTGATGCTGTAGAAGTAGGCGCACAGCTGCGTTGCACTGCATGATGGTACATCCACTCCATCGTCACACATCTTCTCATTCACTGGTCCATACTGTTGTACCAACTAACGAGCGTTTCTTTTCTGAGAGAGTACAGCATTGTCATCCTCGTCCAGCCACCCAAGTGATTCATTCGTATAAGATTGTGAGCCCTGCGATGCGGGTAGTGACCTATTCTCCGATCGCGCAGGAGTTCTGTCCATCTTCCCCTTCATTCTCGAACGTCCACAGTAGTTGCGCACGTCGTGTCGTCCAGAGATGAGCTCTGATTGGATCCTCCCTCAGAGACGCTAGCGGATGTTTACCGGATAAGGTGGAATTTGTGTTCGTAGGCGAAAGTCTGTTGACTCGCGATTGCATGTTGGATGGTAGTTGCTGACGGACACCGCCTGAACCTGAACAGGGCCTAGAGTAAGACAGTGCAAACATTGATTTTAAGGAATAGCGAGACCTCATTCCTTTTTTTGCTTATTTATTCGTCCACGTCAGTCATACTTCCCTAACTTCTACACTTCCTCTTTCTCCCAAACAAGCTCCAGAAAAAGCGCAACAAACACCCTACACAACCTCTCACCAACATGTCCTCAAACAAAAGAGTCCCCGTCTGGCTAGACGTAGACACCGGCCACGACGACGCCTTCGCCCTGCTCCTCGCCACCCACCACCCTTCCGTCAACCTCCTTGGCATCAGCACCGTCTTCGGTAACGCCCCTTTGACGAAAACGACTTACAATACCCGCGCCATCCTCAAGGCGATTGGGAAGGAGTCTGTTCCTGTTTATGCTGGGGCTGGGGGACCTTATTGCCGAGCGGCAGCCCACGCTGTAAGTCCATATCTCATTCCAGGTTATTTATCAATGGCTTATGCTGACCTGGATTAGCCAGACATTCATGGAGAGAGCGGTTTGAATGGCACGACCTGTCTCCCCATCCCCGACGTCCCGGTACGAAACGACCGCACAGCCGTGCAAGCAATATACGACGCCCTCATCGCCACCCCAAAAGGAACAGCCTGGCTCGTCCCCACAGGCGCAATGACGAACATCGGGCTCTTATTCGCCACACACCCCTCCCTCACCTCGCACATCGCCGGCATCTCAGCCATGGGCGGCGCAATCGGGGGCGGTTTTACCGACGCCCCTATGGGGACGGTAAAGGGTGAGGGCGAGCGGTTCGGGAATATTACGCCGTATGCTGAGTTTAACGTCTACATTGACCCGGAGTCTGCGAAGGCTGTATTGGGGAATCAGGCGTTGGCGGCGAAGACGACGCTCGTGGTGTTGGATGTGACGCATAGGTTTCTCGCGAACGGGGAGGTGCAGAAGAGGATGTTGTGTGGGTTTGAGGATGGGGAGGAGGGCGAGGAGCCGTCGGTGGTGAGGAAGTTGTTTGTGGAGATCTTGACGTTCTTTGCAAAGACGTACGCAGACGTGTTTGGGATTACCGAGGGGCCGCCTGTGCACGATCCTCTGGCTGTAGTTGCAGCGTTCGCTCCGGCGCTGTTCCAGGACGGGGATGGGGAGCGGTATGAGGTCGATGTTGTGACGGATGGCGCTCACGGCGCGCAAGCTGTGGCGATGAAGTCGCAGTGCGGGAGGACTATTGCTACGCCTGTGCTGCCTGGAGAAGGGGGTGTGCGGATACCGAAGGATTTGGATTCTGATGCGGTATGGCGGATGATAGACGAGTGTTTGCGGGCTGCTGAGGAGAGTGCTGGATGAAGAGATGCTTTCTTAAGTGACGATCGGATTCTGAGAGCAAGGTGAAGATGATGGATGATAGGGACGAATACCGTGCGCTCCGTATTTGGCTTATCGCCGGAACGAAGAGGCCCAAGGTGACGTATTAGAAGAAGTGGGCGTCTCGATGATCCAGACGACAAGCGAACTATGCTTGAGAGCCTCTGGGTAGGCCATTGTTTAGCTGAGAAGACTGCGGGCGGAATAGGCGCACAGTATGGTTCCCCAAGAGAGCAGGAATAGCACCGCCTAGTCGGACGCTTGATAGCTGGTGATCGTGTTGCGGAGAGCCAGAACTTAACTGACTGCCACTCCTCTTGCCGTGTAGCCTGGCCCGGAAGCTGAACGATGGAAGCGATACTGGTACATGGGCTACTCTCAAGGGCCTCGGAGCAGCTCACGTTGGCGACACCGTCGACTTAGCTACCCATCACAACGCCACGCTAAAACCCAGCAACACCCGACGAGAAACCTAACTATGCAACTTTCCATTCATGAAATCGTTGGCATCGCCCTCCGTAATCTCCGACTCACTGCTCTCCGCCTGCGCGATGAGTCCGAGCCTGTTCTTCCTGATCAAGAACCACATCTCCCTGCCATCACCACCCAACTCCTCCTTCGCCAGCTTCTGCTTCAGCTCTTGCATCACGTCGTTGTACATGGCAGGGCGGTCGAGGTCGTTCATCTCTTCCCTCATCACTCGGATCGCTTCGACAGCCTTACCGTATCCGCTGTCGCCAAAAGAATGCTTGATCCAGTCGAAGATGATGTTCTTAAGCTGCTTCACCGCGTCCTGGACAGCTGCAAGGTCATCAGCACCTGTGGAAAGGAACTGCTTGAACTCCGGAATGGCGTTCTTTGGATCGATGCGTTTGGTATTGCGCTTCGGATCTGTCGCCAGCAGAGCACCGACGTCGAGATCTGAAAGCGGCTTCTCCTCCCGACCTTTACGGCCAAAGCGCTTCCCTCGGGCTTTGGGAGGGACTTTCTTCACGTCGGCGGCCTTGATGGCTCGGTCGAGCTGCTTGTGAGATTGCTTCACGAGCTCTGCTGGAGGGTGGGCGTAGCGGGTAAGGATCTCGTACGGCTCTGGCGGGTCGTCGTTCTGGTGCACGGCACGGTGCTTCGTCACTTGGTTGATGCGGTGGAGCATGGGCGAGTAGGTCTCGTCCAATGGAGCATACTCTGCTTCGTTGCCTTCATCGTCTTTGCCGAATGTAGAGAGGTCCATGCTGTCGACCAACGAGCTCATGGCGTCCTGCAGCTCGTCGCTTGGGAGATTGCGGTGCACTGATAGAGTCTTGCCACTGACGGTGACTACACGATCGAGAGGCGGAAACCTGTACGATCGGACGTCTTCTGCGAATGGCAGCTCAATATCGTAAAGGCACTCAAAGTCGGGCTCGATGTGAGGTGCCAAAAGCTGCAGTCTTGGGCCTTTGTTGTCTTTGGCAACCAGCCGAGCAACAGCGTACGACTCCAGCTCGTACAGTGAGTGGATGAGCGAGGACAAGGCCATTGTCGTTTTGTCTTCGTGCTTGGCGCCTACAATTAGATTCGATCGATCAATGTCCAGGTACCTCTCATACTTGTTCTTGTCCACGAAACCGACAATGTCAAAACTAGCAGTGGTCTCATAGTTCGTGACATTCTGGTCGCTCTCGCTGATGTGAACAGCTGTCCGGCCGTATTCGTAACCTTTGGACAGTTCGTCGTACTCGACATCCTTCTTGCCGCCTGCAGCATTCTCGTCCACGACCTGGTAGGTTCTGGCCTGTTTCACCCCAGCAAGGCCGTCGTTGGCACCAGCTTCACCATTGGGTAGCGTGGATGATGCCTGTGTAGGCTGTGTTGCTGCCATGTCTCCCCGCATCACGAACTTTGATGCTGTTGGGGGCTTTGCCTGCATGACCTTCGGATATCGCTCGACCGCAATCGTCAATGCCGTTTCGTACTCCGCTGGATTGCCAAGCGTCAAGGAGCCCTTGTATGAAGGCACTGGCTTCGTACTTCTCACTCGAGGGACTCCGAGCTCGTCGATCGCTTGTGCGAGAGTGCCGAAGGTGGCCGTGGCGCAGTCGTTGCACAGAGCCCGGAGGATCTCTTCATTGTCGGCTTTGGTGGAGTCCTTGTCTTCCTCCTTGAAGCCGTATTCGGGATCATCAAAGTCCACGCCGAGAACAACCAGCTCCATGTTGTCGGCATTCATCTTCGAGACGATCTGCGACAGGTCTTCGGCATCGATATTTCCCCTGGCGTCCGTGATGAGGACGATCTTCCGGGCGTACTGTAACTTCTTGCATTGCTTCACGATCATGCCAACAGCAATTGCAAGCGCACTGATGGCATCCCCGGCGTTTGTCGAGCTTACGACAAGGTTCTGAGCGAGAGTGCGAATGTGCGGCATCAAGACTTGCCCCAGTTCTTGCAAGACGCTGATGTGTTCGTAGCCTTCGGAGTCTTCCATCGCGTTGGAGGTGCCGTCTGTTCGCAGGCCGACCACACCGGCCAGGGCTGTCTTACGTCCGGTGGCGACAGTGCTGGTGATGCGGTCCCATACATATTCCAGAGCCCATTCGAGGTTGGTTTCTTTTCGGCCATGACTCCTCTCGCCCATCGTCAGACCGCAGTCCACGATGTACACGGTCGCTTCCTTGCCCGCCATGGCTGCTGACGTCGTTGGAGGTCGAGAAATTGCGCTCACATGTTTTGGTATGCATGAAGTCAAGACAAGGCAAACACGTGAAGCGCGCCGCGTTTTGAATGGTCCCAATCAGGCAACAGCCAGACGATCTAACCGCTTTGGGCCTCAAGCCTCGGTCTCAGTCGATGACGCCGTCCTTGAGATCCAAAGTCGTTCATTGCGCTGGATCTTTCAATCCTGTCTCTACCATATCAACAGTCTTTCACAATGCCTTCCCTCGCCTCCTTCACCGACCCCAAGGCCTACCACATCCTCAGCTATGGCACCCTCCTCGGCTCAACGTTCTTCCAAACGTTCATGGCAGGTCCCTTAGCCTACATGTGCCTACCCAAACCACAATTCTCGACCCTCCAGCAGAAGATCTTCCCACCTTTCTTCGCCTTGCAGACCGCTTTGCCTCTGCTCATGGCACTGACATGGCCGGGCGAGAAGATTGCAGGCGCAGCCGGAATGGGCGTGATGAGACAGAATACTGGGTGGAGAGGGTTGATGGAGGACAGTAATCTATGGACAGCATTAGTGCCGATTGGATTGATGTTTGGCACGTCGTTGTTGAATTTGGTGGTGTTGGGACCGGCGACGACGAAGGTTATGCGGGATAGGAAACATCAGGGTAAGATGGGTTGCTTTGAGTATGGTAGGAGGATGACTGCTGACCGCTTATACAGAGACAAGAGACGGCAAGAAATACTACGACCCTGGACCAAAGTCTGCAGAGATGCAAAGGATGAACTCGTCGTTTGCAAAGCTCCACGGCGCGAGCTCAATGGCGAATGTCGTTGGACTGGCTGCGATGCTGTTCTACGGTGTTGTTTTGGGAGAGATGTTATAGCATGATTGGCGCAGGAGTGATGTTGGCAGACGATGGCATACGTGTTGGTACGCTCTCCCTACCAGGCATCTAGAAGAACAACGCCGCGGTCAGTCGCCCGAAGCTCGGTCAGGAAACGGCGAGGAAAGCGCCACCCCGTCAATTGAGCTATCTTCTCCCGCATTGATCATTTCAGTCATCTTTCGTTTGGGTCTTCCCATACTCACGTCTTCATAGCTTTCTCATGGTCTCAAACCCATTCAGCCACCCTCACCAGGCCCAGCGATTTCATAGCCCATTTGCATCACACCGGTCCAGCCATGATCCATTGGCAGGTACTTGGCATAGGCTTGAGGTGTTTGCTGTGTCCACAATTATCTGAAGGCATCGCAGGTCTCATGTCCTTCGCAGTCGTTCTTCCGTCGTTATGGGTTGGTCTTTATGCAGCATCGGCAGAAAAGGCATTCGCGGAGGTCTCAATCGACCGGCCCCCCCGCAGATATCCTCTCGGTCATCTCCTTCGCATCCTGCGGTGTTGGCGAGCTGACACCAGTATCCTTCAGTCGCATCTCTGCCAGCATCTCCTGAACGCTTTTCTTCTCAGCGGTGGTAACATTCGAGTCCGAGTCCGGCAGACGCTCAATCTTGGGATCTCCCCGCTCCTTCTGCGCAGCTTCATCCTTCGCCAGCTTTACAACTGCCCACTTCTGATTCATGCTCGCCTGCCACTTGTCCTCGTCGCGTTCTCGTTTGATCGTCTTGCCGTACTTGTCACGGATTGTCCATTTCAGCTCCAGCGTGCGAGCCAACTCTTTGCTCTGCGGCTCCAGCAAGGTGACTTTCTCGATGCTATACCAGCCGTTGAATATGAAAGGACGCTCACTGCCCCGCTTGAGTCGATGGTAGAAGACGGCTACTGGAGGGGCAGTGGTGGCGCCTTCGCTTCTACTCCCCTGACTGGAGTCGTTCCTTTTGACATGCGGTCCCTCCGTCGATTTGCCGGACTCTTCTGCTGTTTTCACATTGGTATTTTCCACGCCAGACGCTTGCGGCAAAAGCTCCAGGCATGACTTGGTGTAGATTACATTCTCGGTCATCCACTGGGGATTGGCACCTTGGAACAGCAGCACAAACGCCAGCCGGCCAGGTTGTGCGGCAGAGTCGTCGTGCAACGTCTTCGAGTGACTGACGCGGTATTCCGGAGACTCGACCTGAGGGTGCCCCTCCGGCCAGAAATACTTCTCGATCTCCTCCACTGAAAAGGTCGTGGTGTGGTATCCCGGTGGCAGCTCAGGCTTCGAATTCTCCTTATTCTTGTTCTGGTCGCCATTGGTGTCCGTCGTGTTGGACTCGCTTACACGCTTCTTACGCATGTGAGGAGGTACGTACGCCATGCTTGCGAGTGGTTGAAGGTGTTGTTATGGAGTGAAAGCGAATGGAATGTCGAACGAAACAAACAGACTTGCCCCTCCACTCCCCGCGACGCGCTTTGACGCGGTCGCACGTGCCCCATGCAACCACTTCCAGGTTTCTTTCCATGTTCCAGTCTTCCCGACGCTGTTTTTCTCAACCTGTTCTCCTTGCTCGAAGTCATTGGAGATACCACACATGGAAGTACGGAGTGCTCATAGCCAGACCATTTGGATGAGAGCGACCACGGACTCACAGCTCTGGGTGGCAAGAGCAGCGTAGGTAGCTGCGTTCCATCACAACCCATATCCTTTCATTGACAACTTCTTCTTCTTGTTCTGCTGGCGTCCGACCATTCCTCTCACCTTCATGCAAGCACGCACGATGGCACCGAGAACCTTCACCTTGAACTTCATGGGGGACACGATGCTAGGACGTCTTATCGACCAGATGTTCCCTCAGCACGTCGATGAGCCTTCAGAAGCTCGTATAGCCCGGTCATTCCTCAACTCACACCCAGATCTAAATGAGTTCAATGAGAAGACGCCTTGGGGTAATACCCTCTCCTTACTACATTCCGCCGACCTCAACATCCTAAACCTCGAAACGTCCGCGACGACTCATCCCACGAAATGGCCCAACAAAGTCTTCAACTACCGCATGCATCCTGCCAATATCAATGCATTACAGGCAGCCCGAACCGACTACGCTGGTTTGGCGAACAACCACACTCTAGACTTCTCCGAGCCAGGACTGCTGGAAACGGTCCGTACGGTGAGAGACGCCGGCATAGCATATGCAGGCGCGGGCGAGACAACAGAGGAAGCAACACGACCTGCGGTGCTTCGTCTACCTAAGCAAGGGTCTGAAGAGGGATATGAAGCGCATATCTGGGCTGCTGCCGACCATCCGCAAGACTGGTTCAAGGTGCCCAACTTCCATTCTATCGACTACACCAAAGCAACGAGAGAGCGGCTGAAAAAGCTCCTCACCCGGACGACTGGGCACAAACCGGCGTTGAAGATCTTCTCCGTGCACTGGGGGCCGAACTATTCCTGGCAGCCGGCGCAGGAGATCCAGGGTATGGCGCATTTCCTGATTGACGAGTGTGGCATCGATATCATCCACGGCCACTCCTCGCATCATATTCAGGGCGTGGAGAAGTACAAGGGTAAACTCATCATCTACGGCTGCGGGGATTTTGTCGATGATTACGCGCTTGTACAAGAGTATCGGAATGATCTGAGCGGGATTTGGCGTGTGACGGTCAAGGAGACATCAGAAGGTGAAGCTGGAGAAGGCCTCAAGCTAGACAAGCTGCAGGTGTTCCCGACGAAGATCGATAAGTTCAGAGCCAGGAGACTGGAGAGCTCTGAGCCAGACTTCGACTTTGTGTGTGACAAGTTAGGATCGTTGAGCGCAGACATCGGGACGACAGTCGATCTTGAATCAGCGAAAAGGCGAGGGGATGGGTCTATCACTGTGCATCTCAGCTGAACTTCGACATGCGGCTCATCGTTATGCATTGTCTATGTATGTACATGCAGCGCTTGCGGACAGTGAGTTGCAGTTCACTTGCTCCCATACAACTCCCGCCACTCGTCCTCCAACATCGCCATCTCCACCATCTCCCAATATCGTCCATCATGCCACAAGAAATCCCTCTTCCTCCCTTCAACCTGGAACCCCAACCGCTCATACAACCTTATCGCTCCCTCATTATACTCAAACGCCGAGATAGCAACCCGATGCAAATTGCAATGTCGGAACCCAAAGTTTAACACCCATCTAATCGCCTCCGAGCCGTACCCTTTGCCTTGATAACCTCTCGCGATCGTAATTCCAATCTCACTCCGCCGGATATGAACGAACCGCGGGTCGTCTTTCATAAGATTGACGACGCCGATGGGGATGGGTTTGTTCGTCTTGTCGTCCGCCGCTAGGGTGGTGGGATCCGTGACGGGTGGTGGCAAGCAGACGACGGCGGACATGAGTTGCGAGGTGATCCATTCGCGGTAGTTTTTCGCGGATTCTTTGCCGTGCGGGGTGGGGATGAAGGGGGCGGCGTTCATGAAGGACTCGCCGTCGTTGGAGAGAGAGGAGAGGAAGGGCTCGTCTTCGACTTCGACGGCGCGGTAGATGAGGCGGTCGGAGCGCCAGGGGTGGGTCATTGTGGTGGTGGGAGAAGCGAAGTAGTTTTGTGAAAGTGCGGAAGGTTGGAGAGTAGGAAGTGTATATAAAGGTATGGAAAGAAGTGAAGTAGGGCAATGGGCGGCCGTCCTTACCTAGCTGAGTCACCGCCTGATAGTGTACGGGAGGAGCTGAAGAGTCTTGTGAGTTGATAGTGCGACGGTCTTGCGATAGGCACGATCCTGTATCGCCGTCGACAAAGTGGACGTACTAATGCTAGATATCGAAGAGTCGTCGCAAACGTGCCTGCCAAGGGAGTCTGCCTTCGCCAGGCGAGCCACGCAAGGCAAGCAAAGAACGTTGTGATTACACTGGCGGCACGCCTCCTCCATCGGGGAATCAGCTCGCGAGCAGAGCCTTCGAGCTTTCGTAGGCGGTCCACTGAAGCTGCCCTGGCTGGTTTTGAGCTGGAAGAGGGGAGGGTGGAGTCCATCCATCCATTACTGGACAAATACGACTTTCACCTGCGCAAGCGCCGCGATGGCGGTCCTAGCAGGCCGAAGATCGGCATGCCACGATGCTGTTGATGATGTTGTGGGGATTTGAAGTGTAAGAGCGACCTCATCTCCAAACTTTCCTTCGAGCTCGTATGCGTGTACGGGTAAACCTCGCTGGAGGTCTCGCGGTGGTCCGCGGGGCCAGCATGCAGTAGCAGGCCAATGTGACTGGGTTGTCGAGGGAGTCTGCATTGTAACACGCCTCTCGAGCCTCGGTATAGTCTCGCTGCTGCACTGGAGCGGCCGATATGCAAGTCAGACGGTGGGGTTGGGTGTGTATGATGCTTTGACGACCAGCGCTGATGCACCCCCGCACGCACGCGCTGGTTGTGTTGCATTCGAGGCGTCTCTGGCGTCCTGGACAATGGCTAGAACTGTCATCTTGCGCCTGGAGAGAACGTCGTATCTTCGTGGCTTGACCACCGACACCAGGCACCGTAGAGTTCTCCAGCGTGTCCAGATCGCTTTCGCTTGTGCGTATCGTACATACCGGCAACAAGTGGAGAGAGTGAAGATTCAGAATTAAGCTCCGTCGCTCAAGCAGCCATAGAATAAACAAGACGCCACCAGTGCGGAGTAGAATATCCCTGCAACAACATCAGCGCCAAGTCATCGAAGATCATAATCACCGGACCTGCTGGAAGTGGTATCGTGTCCACAGGCTTAACGCAAGGCACCGCTGCCGTTTGGTTCACATGTGCGACGAAGTGGAGAGTGGGGTGGTGTCTGCGGGGCGCCGGTCTGCATCTTGTGAAAGCACCGCATGACCTCGTAGAAAAGGTCCCATCTCCCCTTGCAACTTTCCCCTTCTCCTCTTCTCACCACTCATCTCTGGGAGTCGATTGAGCAGCCTCATCCATCCAGCATGGCGTTCTCCAAGGTCGCGCTGCTCGCAGCGTTGCCGTTCGCATTTGGACAATCCTCGAGTGTTGTGCCCGACCCAGCCTATTCCACGCCTCGAGGTACGCCTTTCCCGGACACCACCTACCCCAATGCCACTGTCCCATATGCCGTGGCCGGAGCGCAGAGCAACCAGACCTCTCCTCCCGAGTATCCCAGCCCATGGGGTGAAGGACTTGGTGACTGGGCAGATGCGTATGCTCAAGCGAAGGCATTCGTCTCCCAGCTTACCCTGACGGAGAAGGTCAACCTTACGACTGGTGTTGGGTGGGAAGGCGAGAAGTGTGTTGGCAACACTGGCTCCATCCCGCGTTTGGCATTCAAGGCGATGTGTTTGGAAGATTCTCCGCTTGGTGTTCGCTTCAAGGACTTCGCGTCCGCTTTTCCAGCTGGTGTGACTGTTGCTGCCACATGGGATCGTTCGCTCTTCTACACACGAGGCTATGACATGGGTGCAGAGCACCGTGAAAGCGGCGTTGACATCCAACTTGGACCAGTCGTGGGCCCAATTGGACGTGCTCCAGAGGGCGGCCGCAACTGGGAGGGTTTCTCACCTGACCCATATCTCTCCGGTATCGCCGTTGGTGAGACTGTGAAGGGTATGCAGGATGCTGGTATCATGGCTTGCACCAAGCACTACATCCTGAACGAGCAGGAGCACTTCCGTCAGCCATCTGACATCCCGGCATCGAGCAGCAACATCGATGACAGGACGATGCACGAGCTCTACTTGTGGCCGTTCGCGGATGCTGTCCGCGCCGGCACTGCATCGATCATGTGCAGCTACCAACAGATCAACAACAGCTACGGCTGCCAGAACTCTTACACGCTAAACTACCTGCTGAAGAATGAGCTTGGTTTCCAGGGTTTCGTCATGAGCGATTGGTCTGCGCAGCATTCTGGTGTCAGCTCTGCCCTCGCTGGACTTGACCAGACGATGCCAGGTGATCAGGCCTTCGACAGCGGCAACGCATTCTGGGGTGCCAACCTGACCATTGCTGTTCTCAACGGGACCGTCCCGCAGTGGCGTCTTGACGATATGGCCGTCCGTATCATGGCCGCCTATTACTACGTCGACAGGCCTGGCAACCAGGTCCCGGATGCACCAAACTTCAGCGCCTGGACTCAAGACACTTTCGGCTTCTCCCACTTCTACGCTTCAGAGGATTACACGCAGGTCAACTACCACGTCGACGTCCAGCAGGATCACTACGTCGACATCCGAAACATTGCTGCGAAGGGTACCGTTCTTCTCAAGAACACCGGTGGACTACCGCTCACCGGACAAGAGAAGCTTACTACAGTCTTTGGCTCTGATGCAGCTGAGAATGGATGGGGACCGAATGGTTGTCCAGACAGAGGGTGCGACAATGGTACTCTTGCCATGGGATGGGGATCCGGAACCGCCAACTTCCCATACCTCATCACTCCTCTTGAGGCCATCAAGGCTGAAGTACGCTCAAACCGTGGTGCATTCGAGGACGTCATTGACGACTACGCCTACACTCAAGCTAGTGCTCTTGCTCGCCGGGTCGCGCAGCCTGGTGTTGGTGGTGCTTGCATCGTCTTCGCAAACTCGGATGCCGGCGAGGGTTACATTGTGTACGACTACAACGAGGGTGACAGGAACAACTTGACTTTGTGGCACAACGCAGACACAATGATCCAGACTGTTACTGAGCAGTGCGACAACACTATTGTCGTAATGCACACCGTCGGTCCGGTTGTTGTCGATGCGTGGTACGACAACCCCAACGTCACGGCCATCGTCTGGGCTGGTATTCCAGGACAGGAGTCAGGCAATGCCATCACCGACATTCTTTACGGAAAGGTCAACCCAGGCGGCAAGTCTCCGTTCACATGGGGAGCTTCCCGCGGCGAATACGGTACCGACGTACTCTATGAGCCGAACGCTGGATCGTCTGCTCCTCAGGATAACTTCCAAGAGGGTGTATTCATCGACTACCGCGCCTTTGACCGCCTCGGCGAGACACCCATCTTCGAGTTCGGCTTCGGACTGTCGTACACCACCTTTGAGTACTCCGGCCTTCAAGTCCAGGCCAACAGCGTCGGTCAATACATGCCAACGAATGGCCAGACGCCAGCCGCGCCGACCTACGGCACTGTGAGCAACAGGACCGCCGACTACGTTTACCCGCCAGGCTTCGATCCGGTCGAGGCATACATCTACCCCTTCCTCAACAACTCCAACTTGCGCTCAGCCAGCATGGACCCGCAATACGCCATCAACTACACCTTCCCCGCCGACGGCTACGACAGCAGCCCGCAGCCCTACCTCGCAGCCGGCAGCAACGTCGCACCGGGCGGCAACGCGCAGCTCTACGACGTCATGTTCACCGTCTCCGCGACCATCACCAACACCGGCGACATCGTCGGCGACGAAGTGCCACAGCTCTACGTCAGCCTTGGCGGCCCGGAGAACCCAAGGGTGGTGCTGCGAGGCTTCGACCGCTTGACCATCCAGCCGGGCGCGAGCGAGACGTTTACGGCGCAGATCACGAGGAGGGATCTGAGTAACTGGGATACTTATTCACAGAACTGGTGAGCCGCTCATCCAATCTCTCAATCTCTCCGCCAACCCTGATCACGTGCTAACTTTTTATGACAGGGTCATCTCCAACGCGCCCAAGTTCGTCTACGTCGGCAGCTCTTCACGCAACCTTCCGCTTTCCCAGCGCCTTAACGTCGACGCTTGCTACGGTGGTGGCGCGCCTCCTGCTGCCAGTACTGCTGCTCCCGTCTCCGGGGCGCCCTCAGGTGCTGCTCCTTCGGGCGGAGTTGTCACTCAGATCTCAGTAAGTCTTCGCCATGCTTCTAGCTCAACACATAGCTGACGGCCCCTTGGGACGGGCAAGTCCAGGCACCTACCGGCGTGGTGACGCAGATCTCGGTAAGTCAAGATCGTTGGTGACACTGGAAAGGGCTAAATCTGTGTCTCGCTTGGATTTCTCCGGCCTTTTCCGGTGTCGCCCGCTTGCATGGAACACACTGAGGACACTGCTAACGCCAGGATGCGCAGGATGGACAGCCGCAGGCTCCTTCCGCCGCCCCGTCGATGTCGTCGCCGGTGCAGCAGATCTCGGTAAGTGTTGTTTAGCCCCAGGGGGGCATCCGAAGCTCATATGACACGATGCTGACCCTTTGATTGATAGGACGGACAAGTTCGGGCGTCCAGTACTGCTTGAGAGGGAGGCAGAGGAGGTGTGGTAATGATTTGATGACAAAAGAACGATTGCATGGAAGGAAGTTGAGATAGCCGATGTATATATCACAACGACATGAATACATGTCTCTGAGGCATTATCAGCCTACAACAGGTCACTTCTTCACGGCAGGGATTCTCGACATGCTATCGTAGTTGAGGGGTTGCATGCTTGGGAGTTTGATGTGCTTGAGAACAAGCCCCTTGATCTCATGGCCACGAACACGACACATGTCCATTTTGTGCAAACATTAGGCTGCACTCATCTTCTAGCGGAAGTACTCTTAGTGAAATACATCTAAGTGCCTTTGGTCTATCGGTTCTGGGGATAAGAGAGGACACGAGAAGAGCATACTGCAAGGTTCTCTAAGATGGTAGGGAAAGCATCAACCAACAGCAGGCTCGATGGTATGCATTCGGGTCACGGAGAAGGGGCAGAGTCAGATAGTCGTAATCATTCCACTCCATACACCATAAACAAATAACTCGTTATCGGGTATCTCAAACACAATCTCAAAAACACAATCAGTCTAGCTGCCAGTCCTCCTCCCCATGCCTCTCCACCAGCGCAGACTCCTCCCTCACCCACCCCTCAACCCGATCCGCCACCTCCCCCACTAACCGCTCATACCGCTCATCCACGAAAAACAACCCGCAATGCGCGCCCACTTCATCCACGTTCTCCATGAAAATGCGCACCCAGAGCGGGTCCCGCTCGCCGGAGGCGTCTTTCGGGGGGAGGGTGCAGAATTTGCGGTCGGACTTTTGTGCGCTGCCGGTGTCGGCTGCGGCGGCGGCGGTGGTGGTTGTGTTGGTTGTGGAGCGAGTTACTGGATCGGGGGATTGGTGGGGGGAAGGGGATGGGGAGGGAGAGCGGACGGGCGAGGTGCTTGGGAGACGTTGCATTTGCGGTGCGTCGTTTTCGTGTATGATTTCGTGGTCGTGGATGGGCATCATGGGTGGGTCGTCTACTGCTTCTTGCGAGTCCTGCTCGGGTGGTGGGTCAGGCTCGCCTCGTAGGCGCCGGCCTTCGGCTTCCATTCGTTGCCGTTCTTGCTCAAGGCGTAATTCCTCGCCTTGTTTTTGTGTCGTGGGTTTCTTCTTTTGCTGTTGCTGCTCCACTTTCAGTGCCGCGGCGAGTGCCTTTTGTTCTGCTTTCTGCGAATTCTTGATGGACCTTTCAGAGTCTTTCCGCTCCTTGCGACCGCGCTTCTCTTCAAGCTTGGCACGGTCTCGGATCGCTCTCTCGCGGTCTTTAACAGCTTTCTCGTATGCCTTTACGGCTCGTGTATGCTCTTTCTCAACCAGCTTGCGCGTGGCTGGGTCTTGGATGTAGGAGACATTGAGCGGAGGTGGAGCAGTTGGCTGCGGCGGTATGGTGGGCCAAGATGCGGTGGTAGATATTGTCGACGACGGTGAAAGGGCTGGCGGGTCTGGAGCATCGTGATACTCCGCATTCTTCCCATTATCGATGGTAAGCGACTCCGCCGCCTCCTGCCACGACTCATCTTCTGACCCAGGTATCTCAGGGACCTTCTTCACCACCCCGTCATCTGAGTGCTCTTCCAGCGAGATCCTTGGACTCGGCGACCTCGAAGAAGGTACGCCCGCCCCATCCTGCCTTCCTCTCCCCTCCACAGCCATCGAAGGCGTCAAGCTCGTCCGACTTGCATTCGACCCTGGCGAACTTTTCCGCTCCGGCGTCTTAGGCTTCTTTGGCCGTCCCGTACTCGCAGTATAGTAATTCACAAATCTTACTCTCGCGGGAGTCTGCGTACTCTTCGCAATCGACTTTCTCACATTCCCATCTTCCGCCTCCAACGCTCTGATCCTGCCATACCGCGCCTTCAGCTCGGGGTAGTTGGCCATAGCCCCGCCAAACTCCATATGCGACGTGACCAGCTGCTTCGTCGCTTTGAGTACATGCCCCGAGTGCTTGTTGACGAAGTGTAGCGCGTTTTGCCAGCCCTTTCGCATCGGTAGCACAACGTCGTTATCGAAGGAGGGGTTGTAGTTATGGTCAGACTGGGCCGGCTGCCACAAGGTATCCGTCCTCGTAGACATGGGTGATATCGGCGACATGGCACCGCTCGCCGTACTCGCTCCATCGTTCTGAAGTGCACCCATCTCTGGCGTCCACTTGTCCCCCGGCGCCTCCCCAGATATGAACATGCTCGCCAACCCACTCTTCACCACCCCCGGATGCATACCCAAGAACGGCACATCGAAGTTGATAGTCCCCAGTATGCGATGCTTGAACGGCCGATTCGCCGGCGGCGGCGCAGGCATCAGCGCGATCTCCGCGCTCAACAAACCCCCCATACTGTGTCCCAGCAACACCACATCCGTCGTCGGACTCTCATGCGGCTCCAGCCATTTGCTAAAATCATCCCTGGCAAAGGTGATATTCCGCTTGGAGCGATATCGCGGGTAGATTTTCGTGTGCACGACGTGCGTCTCGGCAAGCAGGACGGTGAGGAGGTGGTGCACGTGGGCGGGGAAGCTGCGGAAGCTGGTCTCGTTGCCCATGAAGCCGTGGATGTAGATGAGAAGGAGTCGGCGGCGTTCTTTCTGCTCGTTGGACTCGGAGGGTACGAGGGATTGGGTGGAGGAGGTGCGTTGGTCTTGTGTTGACCATGGGCCTTTGGACATGGCGTCGGAGGCTGCGATGGTGTCGTAGGAGGGCGGCGGTTCTGTGTACGGTGATAAGGGTGCGCCGCTGGAGCTCTGCCTGGGTGGGAGTGCTGGTGGTCGTCTGGCGCTCGAACTCGCCTCCATGTTGGTATCGTCACGCATTTCGATCATGTTGGCGGTGGAATTGTTGGCTTGTCACGGTCAATGACCGGACGCCAGTTAATGTATGCGACTACATGGGTGTGTTTGGGAAGGTCAAGTTGACAGCGAATCCCGACTATCCATGCACGTTCTGACGTACACCCTGCATTGGCTAGTATGGCTGTGCAGGCTCGCTTGCTTTCCGAAGCCAATGCCTCGTTTCTATCGCGATACTGTGGCAAGGACTCATAATGCACTCGAAACACGTCGACGCTGGACTGTATGTCATGCTACATGCTGCCGTATTGAAGCTAATTCGGTCGGGTCTGTCTCGCTGACGTGTTCTCACTTGCAACGAAGGCGACCAGCACCAATTCTCCACCCATCACATCTCCTTCGCCAACGCAATAGCACTCCTCATTCCTTATAAATCGTCGCCTGCCCCTTCGGACGATACTTATACCCCGGAAACTTGTTAAACAACGTCTGATCATACTTCCCAATGATCCCACATTTGAAACTCCCGGTGATCGGCTTGATCCATTTGTTGACGAGGTTGAGAATGGCAGACAGCTTGCCGAGCAACGGTGCAGCCCCATCAGGAATGACCGCCTGCACGACCTGAGCGTAGAAGCAGGCCGCGTTGCTCGTCTTCAAATTCAGCAGATCTGAAGAGTGATACACACCGCCAGTGATGTCGGACAAGTCGACGCCGACGTATGTATTGACGCCATTCGTGTTCCCACCAAGACGAAGAGTGCCGGGATAGGCTTGAAAGTTGATTGCGAGGTCCAGAAAGCCGTTCGGGATGCCATATGGCACGGACGAAGGACGACGGTACCAATTATCTGGAATCCGCTCCTGACCCTTGAGCCACTTGAAGTTCGGATAGTCGCCAGTAACGCCAAAGAATGCCTTGAACGTTTCGCCGTCGAGGTAGCCGTCTGGCTCGGCAGCGGAGTGGTTCGACATCAAGTTGATGACGAAGTTGTAAGCTACGGGTGCGACCAGTGTGGTTGAGAAAGGCGCGGCGAAGTAGTAAGGATTGTTGGCGATCGACTCCTGAACCTTCTTGAGGAAGTCTTGTGCGAAGCCGTCGAGAGTGTAGCGATCGTTGCCCAGGCCAGTGGCGTAGGCGCTTGCAAAACGAGTGACGTTGAGGCTGTGGGCGTCGCCGTTGTTGAGGTAGGCATCATTGCGGCCGATAGAGGTGTCGCCCTCGTAGATGTTGTGGCTGTAGGAGATGCCTTGGGAGTCTCCGAGAAGACCGCTCGTAAGTCCGCCTAGCAAGCCGGTTGGTGGGGGGCCGCCAATGGACCAGGTGCCGTCGAGTGGGTTGCCGTTCATGATTATGGCGTAGGCGGCCAGGAAGGCGGATAGTTCAGTGCTCATACCGAATGCAGCTCCGAGGCCGCTGACAGTCTCCGGGAGGGTGGTGACGCCTGCGGTATTCGTTAGATCCACCGCTGGGTGAAAAGGGGGTGAGAACCCACCAGAACGATCAAGGTAACCATGGTTCGCAGCAGCATTGAGTGCCGGGCATGGACCTACGAACCCGTCAGTATTGAAGGCCTCGATCAAAGGCGTTCTATCTCACCTCGGATCTGGTTTGAACGCGGCTTGGCATAGGCGTGCTCGCCCGTGGTGGAAACAAACTGCTCCTGAGCATTGAACACTCCGCATGGAGTTGGGCCACAGTTGGTGCGTGACTTGCTCAGGTCGAGGGCTGCGTAGATTGAAGGCAGCTCAAGAGCCTCAATGTCGGCGATGGCATTGAGGAGGTCGGCTGGGAAGGCAGAAGACAGACCGACGAGGGAAACGACAGCAAAGAGACTGAGCTTCATGGCTAGAATGAGACGTCCCCACGGAGACAAGCAGCAGGCGTGGAATGCAAGATTGTTGGAGCACGATCAAGGAGAGAAGTCGGAGAAGAAGAGCATACCGTTTTATGTGCACGCATTCTCACGTTTCACCAGCTTCTCCAAACCTCATGAGCACATTGACATGAGGAAGGTGCGAGGCAGCCAATGTGCAACTCGGATGAGCGATCACTGCACGCTCGAAGGCGTTTTCGTGCTGCCGGCACGTCGGCCTCCCGATGGAATGCAGAAAGGTCGACGAGAAGGGGACCGAACATTGCCATATCGGTGCCTGACGCTTCTAAGCTAGTGATGATCTGCATTTCCGGTACTACCCATGGCTGTAGCAATGCTGGGATGACAGCTGGTGGCTGGTTCTGGACCTCTGAATTGACATTTCGTAGTGATCACTTGGACGATGCGGGCTCACCATTCGAGCGAGCCATGTGCATCGACTGTTGTGCTTGGGCGTAGATACATGTATGCAGAAGGGAGCAATGGTCTGGTTAAGGTAGAACTACCTAGTGGCTGGGCAGTCGCAAACGGCAGCTGCTGCAGGTGCTTCCCCACCGGACTTATTGTCTGCTTATGCGATTCACCGAACAGCCAATTCGATTCAAGACACCAGACACCAAATGGCTTTCGATGTCGCCAAAAAAACCCCCCCAAAAGAGGAGTCTGAGGTGAGTGCCCAGATGATTGGAAATTCAACCAAAAAAGGAACTGTGAGATTTCAGCTAATCGAAGTACTTGATTGGCATTTGACCAAAAGATTGATCCAGGTAACTGAACCGCTTGATTAACATCTAACCAATTGGTGATTCGGCCCGGCTGGGAATCGAACCCAGCAAAGGGAATACCACTTACGCCGATGGCCTTGGCAGTCCGGAGCGTGATTACTAGACTGACATCAAGAAATAATGACACTACTCTCCTAACCTCTCCGGCCCATCGACCTCAGACAACAATCTCCCAACCTCTCCGGCCTTCGTCGACCCTAGACACCAATCCTCAGCCTTTCCGGCTCTCCGTCGACCTTAGACATCAATCTCCAGCCTCTCCTGGCCTCCATTGATCTCAGACATCAATCTCTAGCCTCTCCGAACCTCCGTCGACCTTGTAGTAGTATTTTAGAGTACACTTGACACGGTAGACCTAATACGGTAGACCTGACTCAGTATACCGGACATAGTAGACTTGACAAACTGGGGTGATCAAATAGAAGCCGATAGGCATTTGTAGCTGGCAGCACGGTCGGACGACAGAGCTATGGTTGAAAACCCGTGTCTCATCTCATGATGCAAAGGTCGATCTAACTTCTAGTCGTAAGCGACTGTCACGACGGTAGAGAACATGATGAGGGACTTACAGCTTTAGCTGATCGTAGTATCTTCTACGACCGTCCTCGCAGCGACAAGGAGAGCAGTTCTTGTTGCGGAGGACGTCGTCGTACTCCTCCTCCAGGTTACGCTCTCGGTATACCATACGACTACTGTCTTGAATTTGACAGACGTGCGGTGCCCGCGGCGTTATGTGTTCGGCGAAATGCGCGTCAATGGCGAACGCGAATGCGGCGCAACGGGTGATCTGTTGGTTGATAGATGAGACTCCGTATGTGAGGCGGGTTGAAACTCGGTATATGAGGTGCTGCGGTTTTCGTCGTAGACGTAAGGCTGGAGTTCGCGGATGGTAGAAGACCCGTTGGTGTCTGGTCCTTCGGCTAGGTCGTCTCGTTGACCATTCCGTCTGACCAGCCGTCTGGCTGGTGTTGTGGTCGAGGAGTTGGCCGTTGTAGAGTCGGCCGTCGTAGAGTTGGCGGCGAACGAACACTCAGATCTTGTCCTTGGAAACAGCTGTCAAGTCCAAGTGGTGTCTGGAAACTCCCGTCTAGAGCAGAACGACAATCTGACGTGCTATTCCAGCACCTTCCCACTGAATGGTGTTGGAATGGCAGCTGGCATCCCTACTCGATGCTGGTGATTCGAGGTTGACAATACCGAAGGGACAACTCCAGCAGTCGGCGATACTGGTGCCGACAATGGACCCAAAACTAGACCAGCTGCAGAAGTCACATTATAGCTCGATATGCTGATGGCCTTCGGACCGCGCGATCTCACCAGGGCGAGCTACTGCGAGCCGGAGTCTGCAACGTTACCGAGGATACGGTACGCTCTCCCGTTCTTCGATGCCATCCGTCGTTCGTCTGGCAGACTGCGTTCAGCGGTGATATGTTCATCACCAATGTCTCCCAACGGCAACGAAACGACAAAGGTTAAACAGGCGGCTCATACTCACGTTCGGAAGAGAACCAGGGAGAAGGGACTGCTCCAGCTGCGACTTCCTCCACTGCAGCCACTGAAACCGACACGGCTGATGCAGACCAGGTCGCAAAGGCTTTCGCATCGGTTGAGGAGATCACCAAAAGCGTGACAGGCAGCTCAGCCACCAAGCGTAAGTACAGGGACAAGAAGAGCGGCGTCACGGCCACCGGCCTAGTTGGCTTGAGCTTTTTGACTTGATTGATAAACCGGGACACACAACCAGCCGGGCCAGCTGGAGCTTCTTCTGCGGCGCCCGAGGACACTGCCATGGTAGAGGCGAACGACAGCGCAAAGCCTTCCACCACGGCCGAAGACATCACCAATGGCGTGGAGAGTGTGAGGGCATCACAGGCAGCAAGCGCAGGATGCAGAAAAGCGGCGGCTCGGCCGCCTGGTCGGCATGACCTGACCTCGGTGGTTTATACGACAACGACGACGAGTTGGAGCTGGCCAAGGAGCAAGACTGCGGACGACGACGGGTTGGAGCTGGCCAAGTAGCCAGACCGCGAACGTGCCAAAGAGGAAGATGAGCGCAAAGCTGCTGGAGAGATCGAGGAGAAGAGTAGCGGCGTCTCGGCCGACGGGTCGGCGTATCCTGTTTGTCTTGATAGACAACGCCTATGAAACAGAGCCTTCAGATCCGAGGAGTAGGACCGGGGTTGTGCCAGAGAGGTTGCGAAGGAGGAAGCAGAGGGCAAAGTTGCGGGGGAGATTGAGGAGAAGAAGAGCAACGTCGGCCGGAGAGGATGGCCAAGAGGAAGCAGGGGGTGGGGTTGCTAGGGAGATCGAGGGGAAGAAGAATGGCATCGCGGCCGATGGATTAGAGTTAAGTAGTTTGTTTGACCTTGATGGACAACGCTGACGATGCAGAGCCTCTCAATCAGGCGATCTTGCCAGCGGCGGGCCAAGGCGCCGAAGTCTGAAGGTTCGCGAGATCAATAGGGATACGGTACACCTTCCTCTTCGTCGATGCCAAGGGTCGTGAGGAAGTCGAGGAGCTGCGCGCGTGCTGCTGGTAATGATGAAGAGCTCTGATATCGGGATAGTGATGAACGATGCGGCGCAACTGCGAGCCGGCCTCCTGGCACGATCAGACCCCGAGGGCTCGGTAGAGACCGAGTATATGCTGGTGGCCACAGCTGGGCTCAAGTCGTGTTTGTAGCGGTCCGCGATGTATGCCTCTTCGGCCGCAGTACTGTCGTCCTACTCGGGCGTCTCGGTCTCAAAGAGTTTAATCGAGTTTCCGGCGACTCTGTGACTTGTCCAGCTGATCCAACGTCGGTACCATTCCAGTGCACCATGGCCAATGGCCAGATTTGCCACTTCTGGATCCCAGGCCTCATACACCCGGAGATAAGCACGACTTACAGTCTCCGCGACACCATCGCCTCCCATCGACACCGCGATGTCGTAGAGTAGCACTGTAAGGGATTCTTTCCTCCGTTCGGAAAACGATCACGGTCCACATTTGTCTCAAAGAGTCTCGTCTGCTCAGTACCTCCTCGAGCACTGATCCACGAAGGCAACAGGTAACATGATGAAAGCACGGGAAACATCAGCATCAAGGTCGGCGTGGCCTTTCCGGGCTCCTTGGCCTCAAGTCAAGGGAGGCCGCAAGGGCAAAAACACATGGTGGCCTCAGAATGCGACTACCATCCCGCCTTGAAAGTCATCCAGGATCCACAAGAGCTGGACGATCTCCTGGTGCCAGAGCTGAGCAGGACAAATTCAAAATCTACCTGGCAGGCATCAGTATCACTCGGGGACGCGGAGAATGCGCCCACATACGGCGCGAAGTTCCAGAGGCCTGTCCTGAGTCGTGACCGGTATCACCTGAGAACATATGTATGATCTTCACACACGCGCGGAGGATCCGCAAGAGATGGAGGACCTCCCGGTGGTGCCCGCACAGAAGAAGCAGATCTCCTGTACTCGGTCTGGATGATCCTTCTTGATGTGATCGGTCATTGCTGTGGATCGAACAGCAGTCTCTGCATAGTAAGACGCAGTACAGTGCCTTCTTCTCATACCCATATTTCTGGGATTTGTGCCGTCGCAACTTCGTCCGTGGCGCCCTGGTCTGGGTAACGAGTCGAAAATTTCCATTCAGCCGTGGAGCATGGTTGGCGAGGGTGGTGTTTGTGCGTGTGCTGCATCCTGCTTCCAGAAGTGATAAGGCAGACATGCGCAACCATGCCGAGGTGGTCGTGCCTGATATGGTACGCAATGGTTCCAGCTGTTCCTAGAAATGCCTTCGCGCGGCTCAGTTGTTTGAGTAAAGGAACGCAGAGCGAACGGAGTAGGTCTAAAGCATCCGCGACTGAACAGCCCAGACTCCAGAAGGAAGAGGCGTTCTGGGGGCACGTATTGTGGAAGCGCAGGCCGCGACAGCGCGGTGAAGGGTTTCTGAGTGAAGGGAGCAGGGAGCAGCGTCGCACAGGGGCTGGATGTGAGCAACAGCGGCTGGTGGAAGGAGTCGAACGGCGGGAGAGCAGATATATTTCCAACAACTCAATGCCCTTCCCATGGTAGCTGAGGACGACGATGAGAGGCGTAGGTCCCGGATGCTCGAATAAAGTAGCCGTTCGCGGGCATTACCACCTGACAACAAATTCTCCGACATCGTAATCAAATCCGGCGACCCCGAGTTCAAATGCCAGAAGGTTGTCCTCTCCTTCGCGTCTAGCTACTTTGCTAGCCTTTTCGACTCAGGCTTCGAAGAGAATACCAAGATGTAATCGAAATGAACCTGGAAGAGGACTCGCCAAGAGCTGTCGGCGCGATGTTGCGGTTTATCTACACGGTCGACTACGGCTCTATCCCCGACACGCATAGCGCATAGCGCGGAATCGACAGCAAAGTTCCACCTCGATGTCCACGCCGCTACCGATAAGTACGGCCTGCCGCGACTCGCTGAGAAGGCGCTTGCCAAGCTGGTTCAACACATCACGACCATCGATACGCCCGCGGCAGACAAGGCGGTCGCGGCTATCCTACGGTATATCTATACGTTCGAGTACGACTCTACCTATGACACCCAGAGCGCGGCATCGACAGCAAAGTACCACCTCGACGTCTACGCCGCTGCCAATCAGTACGGAGACGACGAGCACGGCACCACCGCATCCATATCTACGCCGCTGCCGATAAGTACGGAGACGGCGAGCACGGTATCGCCGCATCGACAGCAAAGTACCTCGACGCCTACGCCGCTGCCGATAAGTACGGCCTACCACGACTCGTTGAAGAGCTGGGTCAACACACCACGACCACCAATACGCCTGTCGTAGACGAGAAGGCAAACACAGATACCTACCCCATTCAGGCGACTTTTGTGGTACAAGGGTCACAAGGACTTCGATACGGTCATCGAGAAGACCTCCGAGCTGGTCAAGAAACAGCTCCCGGCGCTCATGCTAATCAAGGAATCTTCAGCGGGAGAAGACCCTGGCGACGGCGACTTTCAGGGCGGCAAGTCCACTCTGTTGTCCATGTGGACGAATTTCACATAGTAAAGTTCGACTCTTGCTCTCTCGTCAATCTGCCTGAGTGTAATGAGTAATCTTGTGATTCGTGTGTGAAACGTGTAAATGCCATGGGTACATGGAGTTGTGAATCAATCATGTAAGCGACAACGTGTTTGTGTTTGTGCGACTTCACCTCATCAGCTGAAGATCTATCACCCTTCACGTGCACCGCAAATTTCTGTCCTCTGCCACATCTTCTCTCAACCTCATACCCACCACTCTCAACCTACGCATCGCTTTCCTTCGTAACAACTTTGCCAGACCCACAACCACAATGGCTTCAGGCATCGAACACGACAGGAGCAGCCTCCCAGGTTTGCAGTCCACTAAGTCGGTCCAGCGGCTCGAGCAAATATCTGCGCTCAGGGGTCGAGGTATCGGTGAACACATCGCCCTTCCTCAGCTTGTGGTCTGCGGCGACCGGGCAGTCGGCAAAAGTTCAGTTTTCGAGGGTATCAGTGGCGTCCCTTTCCCGCGCGGCGCGGGCCTGTGTACCAAGTTCCCAACAGAAATCATCCTTGAGCACACGGAGGCCGCCGAGACGATCTCTGCAACCATCATTCCTCACGTCACTCGATCCGATGCCATAAAGACGAGACTACAAGCCTTCCAGCAGGAGATCGGTGATTTCAACGAGCTCTCCTCCGTCATTGCCAGCGCTGGTGCGCTCATGGGATTGCGCGGGTACGGTGGCAATGAGTGTGGACCGTCGTTCGTGGAGGATGTGTTACGCATCAAGGTCAGTGGGCGCACTGGCTTACACCTCAGTATCTTTGACCTCCCTGGGCTCATTGCATGCGCCAGCGAAGATCAATCTGAAAAGGACGTGGAGAGTGTGCACAGGCTTGTGGACTCGTATCTGGAGAACCCGCGCACCATCATTCTGGCGGTTGTACAGGCGAGCAACAGAATCGCGAACCAGAGCATCGTCCGCAAGTCGAAGCAGTACGATGTGGCGGGCCAGCGTACAGTGGGCATAATCACTCAGGCGGATCTCATCAACGTTGGGGCGGAAGTCGGGATTGCCACGCTAGCGAAGAACGAGGACACCACGAAGCTTTCACACGGCTTCTTTTTGGTGAAAAATCCTACGCCGGTGGAAATCGCGAGGGGTATCACCCTCCAGGAGAGATCTGCCAACGAGCTGGGCTTCTTCTCGTCGTCGCCATGGAAAGAACAGAGGCTTGACAGCTCTCGTGTGGGTATTTTGAACCTTCGATACTTCTGTGAGACCTTCTTCGACGAGCGCATTGAGCGGGAGCTTCCCAAGATCCGCGAGGAAATCAGAACTTTGATCAGGAAGACAGAGTCGGATCTCTCTCAGCTGCCGAAGGAGAGGCCTACTGTTGGCGATATGCGCACATATCTGTCCAGGCTCGCCATGCAGTTCCACGGTCTTGCCGACGCCGCTGTTAAGGGGGAGTATGACAACAAATACTCAGCGTTCTTCGCGTCGCAAGGAAAAGGGCCAGATCAGGCGAGGCTGCGTGCGCTCGTTCATGAAGGCAACAGCCTCTTCCAGCAATGCATGCACGAGTATGGCCAGACTTACAAGCGTAGCCAAGCGCTTGGCCCAGAGAACCAGCGTCAGTGGGCGAGCGCCAACACCAACGGAGAAGACATGGACGCGTTAATGGCGGATGGTTGGGAAGATGCGGTGCCTTCGCTCTCTGTGAGTGCTTTGCAGGATGAGCAGAAGTACGTGACCATGGGTGAGATGAGGGCATGGATCAAATCGACCTACGTGAAGAGCAAAGGGCGCGAACTACCTGGGAACTATGACCAAGTTCTCTTGACGGAGTTATACCATCAGCAGTCCAAGAAATGGTCCGACATCGCCGAAGCTCACCTGGGAGATACCATGAGCAACATCATCGCCTTCATCGACAAGACCATCTCCTACCTGAAGATGGAGCAGCACGTCGAAGCCGGCATCCGCGAAGGCCTCATGGGCGAACTTGAGAAGTGCGAGAAGCTTGCCGAAGACGAGTTGCGAAAGCTGTGCGCGGACGAGGCGCAGCAGCCCGTGGAGTGTGACCACTACCACTCCGATAAGGTGCAGAAGTCAGCGAATTCGACCATCATCGACATGGACGAGCAGGCCTGTACCGAAGCCCTGAACCGTCTGGAAGCGTACTACAAGGTATTTTGCTTGCCGACAGTTTGAACCTTTTCATATGTACTGACACGAGGATTTCAGATGGCTTTAGACACATTCGTCGACAATACGTGCAGGCAGGTCATTGAGCGCCATCTCCTCCGCACCCTACCATGCATCTTCTCGCCGCAGCGTGTTGCCGGGTACACCGACCAGGAGCTTGAGCGCCTTGCAGGCGAGAAGGCGGAGGTCGTGGAGAAGCGGAAGCAGTTGCACCAGCAGCTGGAGAACTTGAGGGCTGGTTTGAAGGATCTTTGTAACTGAGTCCTGGGGCAGCGAGCAGGGATTACGTTTACAATGAACGTTACGGCTGGCATTGAGGTAGGATGGGCTGAACCGGAATCGTGGACAAGCGTTGTGGCCAACCTTCTCGCGTGCATGGATGGCGGCCGAACTTGCAAATGAGCTGAGAGAAGCCTTTGGGCTGATCTCTGCCTACGAGAACTTGAGAGGAGATCGTGTATCAAGTAGATATTGTACCTCTACGCGAAGTCAAATGTCCTGGGTGCGTCGTTGCGAAAGCTGCAAGTGCTGTCATCTCCGCCGGAGGAAGGGCAGTCAAGGTCAGGAAGCAGGGAGTGTTACATCAAGATGTTGGTTACTCGCGGAAGAGACTGCCCCATATATCTACTCTTGAGTCCACTCGATACTGCCTACTCCTCAGTCCAGTAATTCTCTTCGCTCACCACTCCTCCGTCAAACTCAAACTTCCCCGTCTCCCTTGCCCTCCAATCCTCCACGCCTTGCGGCGTCTGCTTGATATACATCTTCGGGTCCTGCGTCATATTGAGGTAGAAAGGCTGCTCCAGATGATCAAACTCTCCATCCACCCACTCGATTCCAGCAGTCGAGATTCCCCAAGACTCCACCGTCTGTTTCGACGCTGACGGCAGCCTCAGCTTCATCGGACACTGGTACCACTGGGCGAAGTAGTCGATCGCCAACATGATCCGGTGATGATCGCTCGTATTGGGCATGCCTGTCTCGCACCTGTCAGAACGCACATCTCCAAGCAACGAGGGGGGCCACAAACCTGCGTGCCAGAGCCGAAGGTCTCGGAAGCAGATCGAACCTTTCTTCACCGTCGGCTGCACGGGTCGCCGTTCCTTCGCTCGCTTCTGGATGTAGTCCTTGCTGATCCAACCGCTCTCCTTGTGGGCTTGTTGATCATCTCGTTCGTAGCGATCGTGGGTGCCACACCACACCTCGGTCACGCCGTTGGATTCACTGGAGTCCTGGAGGTACGTGTTGATGACGATGCCAAACGGGATCGATGGGAAGCGGTGATTGACATCAGAGTGGACTGCCTGACGTCCTGTTGCTCCTGGGACAGCCACGTTGGCGTTGAGGAAGCGGATCTCCGGTTCAGGTCCAAGCACATTCTCAACCACTCGCATCATGTGCGGATTGGCGTAGACGTCCTTGTCCAGCCAGTCCGGCGTAACAGGGGGGATTTGGCTAACATTCTTGGTGGCGGCGCCTTGGTTCCACTGCATGAACTTCTTCTGGAGATAGGTCTCGTTCTCCTCGCACATCTTCTTGTACAAGTTGTCCACGAGCTCCTCGTCGATGGCGTTCTCCAGCACGACAAAGCCATCGCGGTGGAAGTATGTGAGCAGTTGTTGGATCGTTCCTGGGTTGGTCTTGCCGGAGATTCGTTCTTCGTCGGAGAGGCGGATGATGACTGGGTTGTCGCCATACTCTTCCACATCTGGGATTAGTCCGCCTTCCAGGTAGCTTGGCCTCTGGTCAGGCGGGAGAGTCTGCGCTGGAGCCATGGAGACGGTGCTGTGATAGATTCAGGATGTAGACTTCTTGGACTTCGATTTTGGGGAAATTCGAAAGCCGCCGGCAGGGTCGTTGAAGCCTCAAGATATTATCTTAGATGGAAGCGCGATGTCGGCCAACTCTGCTATTCCGCTTCTCGACAACACTGGCAGAAATTCGACACCAATACTCGTTGTGTCGTCACCTATCCGAGGTGCTGCGGTGGAGATGCGGCAGCTCGAGCTGTGTTGTCCTTCCTGCTTCTGAACAGATTACCCGGCGCATTTAGCCGGGCTTTTGGCAGGCAGGGTCGGCATCGTTCTTGACTTCACTTTCCGCATGTGGCATGGGGACATGTGCTCTCCAAGGCAGCCACGGACTGCTCCATCTCTTGATCCTTCCCATCTTCAGTCATCCGTAAACACCGCACCTGCACCGACAATCCGGCACAGGACAAACCTCATGCTTCCCAAACCAACTCCTCGCATGATCCGCATGAAACCCATGCCCACACAGCTTACAGAACGAGACAAGCTTCGCCATGATATCATCCATCTTACTCAACTCTCTCGCTCCTCCAACAGTAGAAGGATTCGACGTCCCCAGCCACATCTGACACAGTCCACAGCGAGGCATGTGTCTGCCGCAAGTAGGACACACCGTCCTAGCATTTGCAGGCGGCCCGGCGACCCTGACAGCGTTCGGCATCGGCGGTCCTGTGGTGGATGGTGGAGGCTGGCCGGTGAGGTATCTGCCGTCGTTTCTCGCGAGATTGCTTTGGCAATGCAGACAGCGAAGGGTGACTTGTGCTTCAGGCGGCTTGATCAAGCTGGTACCTTCCCTCGTCTTCGCCATACGATTGTGCTGGACGGTGAATTTGGTGCGTGGGATGAAACATTTCCAGGCTTGCATCTGCTCGAAGTACGTCTCCTTCCACATCTCCCATCTGACGTCGTCGACATACAGCGGGTTCGTGAATGCTGTCGCCAGCACTGCGGTTTGGAGGTCATTTGTTCGGGTGATGTAGGTCTGGAAGAGGTCCACAGCCTGCTCGCCTAGGCCGGTCAAAAGGATGCCTTCGAGATCTCCATTTCTGACAGCACGCGCGGTCTCGCTCTGAATGAAGCCGCTGAGTTCTGTGTCGTTGAGGTACTTGAGGCCCAAAGCAAGTCGGTAGCCGAGATGGAGGTAGTTCGTCTTCATCACGTCTCGCCAGTTGCCGGAAATCAAAAACGCAAGCAATGCCTTGAGCGCAGGATCATCAGTGTCTGCAGCCATCCATTGGCACATCTCCCGCTGCTCCTCGTTGATGTTGTCGGAAGCGAGAAGAGCTCCAAGCCCGATGTTCTGGATGGTCCGAGATCTGATCAGAGACCGCAACAGATTGAGAGCGATGTGTCCATAGTCGTGAAGCGCGGCTTGCACGATCGCCTGGTAGTACAGTCCTCGCTCGATGAGTTCCTGGCATTCAGCTTCAAGCGAGTCGACCGTGAACTTCCATCCGCAAGCTGCCAGGCAAAGCTGCCGGTGTTCGGGAAAGCTCGTCCGTTCGCCTTCGAAAGCGGGTATGTACTTCGCTCTGTTGAGGCCGACGATGGCGTTTCCAGGCTTGGCAGACGAAGCAGTCAGCCGTCGGAGTGGGTTAATTCCAGTATTCTCAGACCATAGGCCAGCTACGCCGATGAAACTGAGATCCAGACCGCCGTGCATCATGCCATCATTGGCTGCTTGATCTCTGAAGCGATTAACAATCTCCCAGAGACGCTCGAGCTGCCAGTTGCCGGCCACGATCTCCATGTTCTTGCGGCAGTCAAAAAGATAGCCCGAACGGCAGCGCTCGGCTGGAATTATAGAAAATGACAGCAAGCGTCCAATCTTCTGGGAGTCTCGGGGGACCACCGTTTGTTCTCCAGCATCGCCAACCCTCGCTGCTTCGCCATTGTAGTCCTGCGGACCAAAGTCTTCTGCGTTGTTGTCATTGCCAAACTCATAAGGCGCCTTCGGCTCGGTAGGCTCGTGGTGTAATCTGGGCTCTGAGATCGAGACGTCTCCAAACCCGATGCTGAGATGGCTACGAGCCGTGATACCTGCCAGCGGCATTGAGGCAGGAACGTGAAGAAGTTCCACGTCCCTGCTTGGCCGAAGAGCGAGCATGCTCTGCCCGTAGCTCGAACCGGAGTCGTTCCCAGCAACCCAGTCGTAAGCTATGATGCGCTTCTTGCTGTCTCTGCCATGCCGTGGATCATGCCAAAGTCTCTCCAGAACCTTCTTCTCGGAGACGTTTCCATTGCTCAACCGCTGCCTCCATGGCAGGAAGGGCTTGCTGACTGCGATCAAGCCGGCTTTGAAGAAGAGGAACTGCTGCGGAAAGACTTGGCGCGTCCACGCGGGGCAACTCCATCCTGATCCTCTCTCAATTCATGCATCTCCATGCTTGTCCTCCCGATGCAGTACCATTTGTTGTGGCGTGCGAGTCTTGAACTTACAATCGCGTTCAGTGCAATTGGAGTAAGGATGCTTTCGTCTCACATGATATTGTCGGTTCAAGATGTCTTTGCAAATCTCTCCGCAGAAAAAGCAGATGGCCTGCTCGCGGTCGGGATGATCCCTGTTGACGTGAGCGTTCATTACGTGCGCGCCATCAGCAGTCAGAGGACAGTAGGGACACTGCAGAATGTCCTCTTCTCGTCCCAGTGCAGATTTTGTGGTCGTATGCAGGCAGCCTCTGCCATCTTTGGCATCCTGCATGGCTTGGATGCCATGTCTTTGTACTCCGTGCGCTGCCAGCTCGTCTGGATCCATACTCGAAAATAGGCATTCATCCACAGGACATAACCTGAGAGGGTGATTCTGGCGGAAGTGGTGAACAGCTGTCTTATACACTACGCCGCAGATGAAGCAGACATCAGTCGGGAGTCCGGGATGCGCGGTCCTGGTATGATTCACAATGCCATGGCGGGTCGGTCGTGTCTCCGGGCAGTGAGGGCACCCAACGATGTTGTTGTGCTCTCTCTTCAAATGCACTTTGTGCTGTCTTGCGGTGTCCGATTGGAAACCACAGTAGCAGCATCGAAATAATCGTCCAGGTGTAGGAGCCTGCGAGAAAAGCCAAGGCGAGACCAGGATTGGCGATCGATCCGTCAAAGACCCGCCGGGGGGGAGAAGGACGGAGTCATCGGTAGTCTGTTTCTCACAGTTCGTGTCAGCCAAGGGAAGCAACAGTGTGCCCTGATGACGCTCACCTGAGCCGAGTTACCCAGAAGGGGAAACGCCCCAATGTGGGCGTGAAAGGAGCAGCGAAACAACAGCTCATTGCTCTCTCGCTGCGGAGCGCTACACCTGAGAAGGGACTCCATCTCCTCGGGCTCAATTCCTTCTCCGAGGCATACCATACACTTGCGAGCTTCGTCAAGCGAAAGATCGAAGGTCTTTCTTCCCGGTCCCGTGAGCCTACACGCCGCGATCGCATTCTGGAGCTGTGCGTTCGCCTTTGACATCACGGCATGGTCCAGCTTGAAGTAGCTTGCGAACATGCAAGCCATCAGGAAGCGTATGTGCATCTCGTCCTGCATCGGATAACAGGCCGGCTCACTCCAGAGTGTTGCCAAAGCCCTCGCATCGAACGTGGCCCATCCTACATTGATTGCTGCGTCCTGTGCGAACATATCTGGATGCCACTGTCGTTTCGTCTCGGCGACCATAACCACATGGACATCAAGATTCCGATACTCATCGCAGAGCATTTTCCAGGTGTCGTTATTGGTGGAGCTCCCGTCTACGTTGGATTGCAACAAGCACACCTCGAATCTGGTTTCCTGTTCCGAAGCCCAAACGTCCGCATTTTGGAGCAAAGTCTTGATTCGAACCGTTTCGGCTCTGAGACGACCATGCCTCAAATCAAGGGAGAACAAGACCTCCGCACTCGACGCACAATACACGTAGTCGGCCCAGGCGGGTTGAGGCTCGCCATCAAGAAGCATTTCGGACCATTCTGTGACCTTTTGGGGCTTCGCGTCGTTTTCCACAAACAGGTCTCCATGATTGGATTGAAACAAGGCCCAGAAGAGGTCCACCTGTTCCTCAGCGCGATCTTCCATATCCCGAAAGTCTTCTGCTTCCCAGGCAGGAGCGCTGTTGCGTACAATTGAGATGCACAGGCCAGGGTTATGGTCGAACAGCCTGTCAAAGATGGGTTCCCTGGTTCGCGGTGGCGCAAGAAGACTCATCTGAGTCTCCGAGTCAACCAGTCTCCCAGGGCCTTGACGGAGCAAGAACGACGAAACGGTGTCGTCGGTTGACCGCAGAGGTTGAAAAGTCGCTTCCGAAATGTCAAGTACGTTTCGAATCCTCATGCGAATTTCCGGCTCACCGAAGTCGAGCTCGCTGTCATGTTCTTCAGCAAGACGTTCGCACTTGTCCGAAACGTGCTCCGTTAGCTCGTCCAGCGTCCATTGGTGCGCCGGCTCTGTGAGCATAACATTGCAGAGCAACTGTCGCATGTCGATCTTCCAGATGGTCGCCACGTCTGTTGTTGATTCTTCTGCGTCCACTGCGGACGAGTCCTGGACCATCGCCGCGCTCGTATTGGGTGTTCCACCGTCGAGCCCAGACTCCAGCTGACCTTTACGACGCCTTGCTGTTGGCGCGCCACCACCGTCCATCTGACTACCCTTCTGGCTGACCTTCTGATTGACAACCGTACCCTTGGCCGGCCCTTTCTTGCTGGGTGGCCGCTGCGAGCTCCTCGTCCTGGTGTCCAAATACCGTTGCAAAGGCTCAAACGACAGCTCCGTGCCAATGACAGACCGGTACACCAGCTGTAACCCCTCGTACCGCAGCCGCATCGACAACGCCTCATCATCCTTCTTCTCATCCGGGATCGCGGCGACATCCTTCGATCTCGCCAGCAGCGTCGCCATGTACCAAGCAAAGAAACCACAATCCGAGTCGTTGTGTTGGGTCAAACACCTGATCTGCTGCGGCTCTCGCCATACGACATTCTGCCAATGTAGATGATCGCGGCGGGAGACGAGTTGTGCGAGGACCTTCACCTCAGCCGACATTTCATTGAATGCTCGTTTACCGCGAGACCGGTTCCAGCGTGGGTCGAGTACTTCAATCTTGCCGTCCGTTCGCTCTTCGTTCACGTGCATGTGCACCGTCACCCAGTGGTTGCCCGCAACGTTGTACAAGAACATGAGCTGCTCAGTCGCGACTGGCATGTTGGCCGCCGGGAAGAAGTTGAGGTACTCTTGGCGGTTGGGTGCAGCCCATGCATTCTCAGTAGCTTTGAGATACTGCTTGAGGTTTTCGACAATGTTGATTTCCTCAAAGTCGACCCTTGGCACGAAATACTGCGTCTCTAAGATGGGCGCAATGTACGATTTGAGCCCTTCTTCCTCGAAGACTTGATTGGACGCGGCTGCGAACACTTCCAGCAAGTTGTCGGTGGCCCAGCCATCTGACAGGGAATCAGGAAGGCTCTTGTCCGGTGGATGTACACCCAAAGCCTCTTCGGCCGAGATCGCTTCAATCTCAAATTCCTGCGGCAAAGGACAGCGTGTTCTCAATGGATACTCACGCCATACCTCGCCGTCGGTGACGGCTTGCTGTGGAACCGTTCTACTCACAGCCAATTCCAGGATTTCGAGGAGAGGTGCAGCAAACGGAGACGAGCCGCTCTCCTTCCTCTGCGTGAACAATCTCCTCAGCATTGCAACTGTGTGTTCTTGTTTGTCTGCCAATGCAATCATCTCAGCCAGGTATTGGTCCTTCTTCTTCTGCTTGTCCTCTTCTGTCTCTGTTTGAGGAGGCTCGCCCGGCTCTTCGTCTGCGAACTGGAAATAGGAGTCGTCGTATTCGAAATTGCCGCCGAAACCATCTTCGTGGTCAGACTCTTCATCTCCTCCCACTGAGGACTCTTGATCACTGTCCTTCTCGGGCGCTGGTGAGGCGATCGGAGCACCCTCGCCGTTCGAGAAACCGGTGCTTCCATCGGCTTGTCCGGTGGATCGTGCAGAAACAATGATGCATTCTTCGTCGCCAGACTCTTCTCCAGCAAAGGACTCCTTCTCATCGCCTTCGTCCTTGGAGACTCCGAGACCAACTCCTCCTTCAATGTCGTCGTCGTCTTCTTCCACGGGGATATCAAGGTTGGCAGCTTCCTCCTGGTCGACCTTGCCAGTACAAACTGTGGTCTCCGGCTGTTGTGAGACCGTCCGGCGCTTGGTAGTACCACCTTGCTGCTCCGAGAAGGCGGTGTCGATCAGCTTCCGCTTCGATGTGCCAACTAGAAGTCTCGAGTTGCAGCAGTCGCTTTCGTAATCGATAGTCCGGTGCGGAATGTCTTCATCCGACAACAGGGATTCGTTCCATCGAGCTTCGGCGGTCACCACATGTTGCTTGAGGTAAAACCTGGTCAGGCCGCGGATAATAACGCTGGCGTTGCGGCCATTCCTCCTGCGGTCTTCAGCGTGGGCCAGCCAGCCCTCGGATATATGCAGCGTGCCAGCTTGGACGTCTTCTTCCGGGCCGTGCTGGATACAGGCATCTTCCGCTTCCTCACAACCGTACAGGAAATGCGTCCTCAAGGTTGAGTGACAGCCCACGGCACACCATTTCTGCTCAACGCTCATGTCCTCTCCAGTGCATTGATCGACACAATACCCACAGGTGTCGCCATGGTCCGGGTCCCGGAACATCACATCTCGGGGATGGAGGCATTCGGTGCAAATGAAGTAGGCTTCCACGTCACGTCGCACGGGTCCGTCTGCTGCGGGTGTGATGGGCTCCGGGGTAGACTCCTGGGATGAACTGCCGTCGCTGGATATGCTGATTGCGTCTTCTCGAAGACCCAAGCCAGCCGACGAACCATCGTCTCCGGCTGTGGCGGCAGCACCTTCATTCGATTCCTCGAGAGGCCAGTAGATGCTGCTGGTGGTTACCGCTGGGCTCAGGTCCGGCCTATACCGGTCGACGTATGTCTCTTCAACTGCAACACTGTCGGGCTGCTCTGGAGTTTCCTGGCGCCACCTTGACCAGAAAGACTCCTCCCTCGGAGAAGCATCGACACCGTTTCCAGCATCGGTATCACCAGTCGTCTCTTCGGGATCCTGAGGCTCATACCACCAGTGTCGAGGAGGGTTGCTAGGCGCCATTCCAACACGATTCAGCGAAGAGGTGCTGGGATTGTACCTGGTGGTGCTTGGGGGATAAGAGGAAGCCGCTGGACGCAGCAACCTCGAGGGGGAGGGGGAAAGGGGGATAAAGAGGATACCGCTGGACGCAGTGACCTCGAAGAGGAGGGGAAGGGGGGGTAAAGAGGGAGCCGCTGGACGCAGCAACCTCGAGAGAACAGACTCGACGTAGGCCCGGAGGCGTCGAGGAACGCAGCGCGGCAAGGGAGACTCTATCTCGAAACGAAACGTCCCGAGAAGACGTGAGATATGAGCTCGTTGGGAGAAGAGAAGGGGAGTAGTAGCAGAGATGAAAGCCCGACATGAGGTCAGGCTTGTCTTGGCAGAAACTGTCGGTCGACTGTTCAACGCTCCCAGACAGCACTACCACTACTATCATGGTCTTGCAAACCTGTCTGTTTAGTTGAGATACTGATAAGACACGTTTTGCTCATCTTTGTCGCGTCCAGTCACCCTCTGTGCTATGCCTTGGTGTACAGGCACTTCCAGTTCGCTTTTTAGCGTGAAGCCAATTTCTCGTCTGTTCAACTGGGAAGGAGCGACACTCACCTGGTCAAATATCGCTCTTCGGTGCTTCAGAAGCTTGCGATACATGGCAACGGGTTTTTACGCAATCCTCACGGCGACAAGGCGTAAAGCCCAGGTTGTTCAGAAAGATATCAGTACATTATACCTGACTACTCGCTCCATCTAGCTTGTGACCACACTGTTCAAAGAGTTAGCAGCCGCCATACCAAAGTGTGCGAGCGCCGTTCAACTCACATTGGTCTCTCAAACGTCCACCATACCTGCCTCATCAACGGTCGTGTATGCTCTCCCCGCTCTCCAAAGCCTCCGAATTTGAGAAAACCGCGCATCAGTTGCTCCCATCCTGACGCCACAGACATCCCGTCCTTTAAGTGGCCACGTTCCGAAGTGCCCAGTGCACCCGATATAGCACAGCCACTGTTGACATCAACGCATTGTACGTTGAGCACCGTCCTCTTCTGTCGCCTTTGCCAGCGAGCTTCTCACCCCGTACCACCCCATCGACGACGGAACGGAATGGATAGCGGTGCTGGAAAGCTGTTGACACCCTCCACACGCACTCATGCCGACAGGCTCTGCAACTCTGTCCTGCTGTCTCGTTTTTTCCGCGTCCAGTGTAAGCCCACAGGAATTTGCCCATGACGGCACATTAGTGCTCTCCACAGGCATGTCCTCACCTCTTGGTGTACGGCCGAGCCCACTTCCGCGTGCTTGACAAAGGCGTCTTGCCCCAGCCCGCACAGCTCGTGCTCGTTGAGACCATGTCAAGCGGAGGAATGTTTACTCCAATAAAAGTCAGCTCTGTCGTCTCGGCCATGTTTCGACACTCCGGTGATTTCCTGATTCTCAGTGTTGCTTGTTCGGAATCACGACAGGCTTGTCGCGCGCGTCCAGACGGTGACAGAACGAACCCGGCGCAACCGAGGACAGGCCAGCAGTAGTGATAGCAGGCGCTTCGCGCGTATCTCAGGTTGTTTGGTTGCCAATTCCCATCTCATGCCACGGAGTCGCGAGAGCATACTGCTGGATAAACCGGTTCGCCTGCAAGTGTGTAGACACCCTGAGTGCATCATTTGGTGGTCTCGGCATCGCAGATCTGATATCTCCTCGTACAAGGATATGGAACGTAAAGTGCGTAATCATGCAAGGTCATGTTGTCTCTTTCGTGTGTTGCTTCTTCTTAGAAGGAGGCGGCGGCGGGGAGAGGGTGGGCCTCTATTTGTCACGTGCGTTCGTCTCATCCCGCCAAGATGAAAGTACCTCGAGCACTTCACTTCACCTCTCACATACCTCCTGCAATCACTTTAATCGAGCCACACGCCAGCGCATCCTGGAGAATAGATGCAGACAGAATCTCGAGAGATCCAGGAGCCCACTGACGACGAGGAGCCAACGCTCTGATGATCTGGTGTCTCAACAGCTTACACTGTGCGCGTAACTGTATCGACGATTTACGAGCCCAGCCATACGCTCTCAACTTTGGACAGCTGGTCTGGTCCTTTCGCCATTCTATTTCATGGCTGTTCCCGTAGTAGTGCTGGCCGGTGGAAGAGACGGATCAACGTGAAGGAGAAGGTCTGGTAGGATTGAAGAAGACGGAGGAGATTGGAAGAGACATGCAGTAGCAGCGACGCTACGGACACTTGATGCTATCTCTGGATACTGCAATCGTATGAAGAGACCGGGCATGTGTACATCAGCGGCCAAACCCGCGCACAAGACTTGATCCACCAGAGTTCTCTCCAGGTTGAGCAGCGGCACCATGGCCCCCTGGTGGACACTGTTCGAAAGAATGCGATACGCTGTGTGTTTCCACCTTTCACTGCTTCTGTCTGGTAAGATGAGGTCGGTGGATGTCGGCCAGATCCGGATCATGTGGCGACTTCAACGCTGCCTTGCTTGCTGGCGGGGATGCAGAAGCTTTTGCGATAGGTGTGGTGTCAAATCCGGGAGAGGTGTTGAAACTCGTCCAAGAGCATCGGTTGAGAGCTCCATGCGCATCGTCGGTTTCCGGGAAGACTGCTCTTGTCTAAGGTAGGTGGAGACTGGTATCTGAGAGTCTAGCTTCAAGTCTCAGTGAGTCGCTCGAGAACAAAGGAATGAGGTTCGTCCCACAACTTCCTGACGCGGTTGTTTCCTTGGCAATCGTTAGCGCGCCGCACGCGCGCTGCTGGCCACATCCAGCTTTTCGCGCTTCAGAACTCCTCCTTCTCTCCACCACCATCGTTACTTTACGATACCCGTGCTGCTTGCGCCCCACCCTTCGTTTGCACCCCCCGCCCCGGGTTGGGCGCCTTTCCGCCGTCGTTCTGTGGGCCCCCGGCGGTTCCCCCCCCCCCCCCCTCCTCCTTCGGAGTTGCTGCGTCCAGCAGCTTCTCCTTTCTCCCCCCCTCCTCTTCGAGGTTGCTGCGTCCAGCGGCTTCCTCTTTTCCCCCCTTCCCCCCTTCGAGGTCACTGCGTCCAGCGGTTTCCTCTTCAACCCCCTCAATGGCTTCGCACGGCGACAATTCCTCCTCCTCCGGCAGGGGTGGCAAAGGCGACAAGAAGGGCAAGAAGCCGGCTACTGGTTTCGCACTAGGACCTCAATCTCCGATGGCTGCTGCAAGCTGGCGTTCGGGCTGGGAGCCCACACCACCAGCCGCTCCAGCTGGAGCTTCTTCTACGGAGCCCAACGACACTGCCATGCTAGGGACGAACGACAGCACAAAGCCTCCCGCCACGGTCGAAGAGATCACCAGGGGCTTTGAGAGCGTGCAAACTACAAGCGACAAGCCCAAGGTGGATGACGTCGGCAACGACGGGATGGGAATTCCCAACACCGACAATCTCTACAGCAGCGATGAGGAGATGGACCCACCCAGACCGCAAGACCGCGAACGCGCCAAAGAGGATTCCAAAGAGGAAGCAGAGGGCAAAGTTGCTGACGAGGTCAACCGCGAGCAGCTCAAGCCTTTGCGAAAAGGCCAGCAAGTCTACAAGGCTAGCAAGCTTCCCGGTCAAGCAAAGGAGTTTCTCAACAACAGTCAGCTCTACCCACCACACACGGATGCAGTCCACGGCGTCTACCGCGGTCAATCCCAGCCGACCTTCGAGGAGACAAACACCAAGGAGGGCGCTAACATCGTGAAGGAGATGACGAATGTCATGAGTGTTCTCGACAGCAAAGGCAACCAGATCGCTGCCTTGGGTGCTTTCAGCGACGAATCCGTCACCGGAGGCAACAAGGACTCCACGAAGCAGAACTGCCTGAAAGTCAACTACTTCTGCCACAGTCAGGTGCCCCACGTCAAGCTGACTATCGACCGCGCGAAGGGAATGCAGCAGAAGACTGCGGACAAGGTCAAGGTCTACATCACAGCCAACAACCTCATGCGCCGTGTCGGTAACACTACTGGACAGCGGGATGCATCCATCGTCTGCAAGGTCATTCGGGATCCAAAGGAGATGAAGGACCTTCAGCATCCCGGTGCCAGAGCTGAGCAAGACGATGACAACGCTATCTGGCAGACGGAAGTATCAGTCGCGGCCTCGCAGGCGGCGGCTCCATATGGAGCGACGTTCATGAGGCCTGTCATGACTGGTATCACCGAGGAAGAGATTGTTGATCTTCGTCGGCGCGCAGAGCAAGTTGTCCGGGAAACCAACAAGGAATTCGACCATCACGCGCTCACGCCGGCCGAATGGATGATCTGGGGCTTGTTGAAGTACAACAACTTCCACTTCATGCGCCGCTGGTACCGGAGGGAAGCAGAGTTGCAGGTCGCCGACAAGTTCGCAAAATACTTCATGGGCGCCATGATTGACTGCGCTACGACCGGCAACTGGCCTCACTACGTCCGCCAGGCTGCGATGCAAGGCACGACAATCTCGAGCCCCAACTTCAGGATTGGTCAAACGGTCCCGCCGCGAGACATCGTCGACAAGTGGCGAGTAACGGTCAATGAGAAGGGGGAGGTCTCAGGTGTCGAAGCGGAGCACTGGAAGACCTTCCCGACGGTTGGGCACTACCCAATGGTTGTTGACAGGACCTTTGCGTTGCGCCTTGCTATTGAGCGGACCCGCGAGTACCAGAGCGCCGCACTACAAGAGCAGCTCGACAAGAACATTGGTGCCATCGACGCCAACGTCACGAGCCTCGCGGACCGCCGTCCGGGTGCATACTATGTCACCTTGCACATGGACAGAGTAGAAGGCGGCTTGTTCGGCGACAAGTTCATCAAGCGCCCAGCCATCGACACTCAGGTCAAGGTGATTTTCACTGATGATGATCTGGGGAAAAGCGGCGTCGAGATTACGGGCAAGGTTACGGATGATCTGTTTGGGTACAACGCGGATCTCAACGTTATCGGCTTCAGCAACAGGACGGACATCAAGACCGCCAGCTACAAGTGTAGTCTAGAGCTTCTCAGCGACGGAACCGCAGTCGATCGTCAACTGGCAGCAGTTGTCGAGCTCAACAACAACGGCGGCCGTACCGACGGTGTCGACTTGCCCCATGTCTTACTTGGAGCGCCCAGGTCCATCGACCCGAAGCGGACTGGGTCCATGGCTGCTGAAATCGCCGCCAATCCCGCTGCTCTGAAGGCCTACCGCCAGATCGGAAGGCAATTTGGCTTCAGCTCGGACCAGACGAAGGCAGCGGAGATGGTAGTGGCATCGCAATCAGGATGTGCTACTATCCATGGGCCGCCAGGCACCGGCAAGACATCAAGTATCGCTGCGACTATGATAGCCCAGATCGTAGCAGGAAGGACCAACGGACTCAAGCGCCGCCGTATCATCGCCATGGCACCCTCAAACAGCGCCGTCGATACTCTGACCCGCAAGGTGAACGAGGTGTCAAAGCAGTTGGGCATCAACATCGAGATGTGTCGCTTCAAGGGTAACCATGTGCACAAAGGCCCAACTCGCCCACCTCGCAAGAATGCATTCGTGGAGACTGAGCAGCAGACCACTAATGATAACGGCGACGACCTTACGGCATTGTATGAAGTACTCGACAGAGCTACGGGCAAGTTGAGTCACGACAAGGACCTACAGGAGTTTTACTTCAACAATGCACGAGCCAGGCACATCAAGAACATCGTCGACATGCGCGGAGCAGGCTACTCGGACAAGGTGTACAGCGAGGCTCTTGCATACACGGAGAAGAAACGGGCAGTCTGGAAGGAGAAGAACCTGGGTGAGAGGAAGAAGCTTCGCGAAGAGCTCAAAGAGATGGAAGCGATCTGGGACGAGCGTTATATGGACACCGTCGACCTTCTCCTCTGCACCAACAACTCGGCCGCGCATGAGACTCCTATGGAGTATTACGAGCCGGATATTGCGGTGCTGGATGAGTGTGGGCTCGCAACTTATGGCGACGCCATCACTGAATGTGCTGCGAACAAGAAGTCCGTCAAGCTAGTTATCGCTACCGGCGACCACAAGCAGCAGACAGCGCCAGAGATGTCCAAAGGTGTCAACGAAGCCTACAAGGAGACGGTCGCACCCCTTTTCAACTACCTCATGCGGCCAGAGACGACTGGAGAGGTGATGCAGCTGACAATGCACTATCGCATGAGATCTGCCTTTGCCCCTATGGTTAGCAAGGTCTGCTACGAGAATACGCTTGTCGCCGCACCTCACTTGAGTGTCAAGACCCCGCTCGAAGTGACGCTGGAGAATGCGATGGAGCCTTTGGGAAAGCTCTGGAACGGCCGTCTCCGAGCAGCTATCCCGGTCATCGGTCGCAACAGCCACCATGTCAAAGAGGGAGAGAAGGGCTCGATCTGCAACCATGCGGAAGCGGAGGCAATCGTGAGACACGTCCGTTGGCTCAGCAAATTGCCAGCCCCGCCGGCTAAGCCTGGGCGTAGCATTGGTGGCTGTCGTATACTGCCAAAGAACGTCAAGGTCGTTTCGCCGTACGGAGAACAGGTCAAGTTGATCCGGAAGCTGCTTGGTGAAGCCGGTCTATTGACATGGGGCCGAGACGACGAGGACCCAGGCAGAGTTCAGGTCTGCTCAAGCTTCGATGTACAAGGCAACGAAGGAGACATCATCATCTCCTCTTGGGTCCGCAACACCCCTGGCCGTCCACTAGACCTCGGCTTCACTATGGGCTCGAGGCAGTTATGCGTCAACTTCTCGCGCGTCAAGTTTGCGCATTTCAGCTTCGGAAGCTGGCTACCATGGCTGCAGGCAAACCTCGACAACGAGGACATGTTCAAAGGCAACAGCAAAGGACGCGACTTCGCCAAAGTCATAACGGACTTCCGTGAGCATGGCGACGTCATCTCACAGGAAGCATTCCAGGAGATTTATGCCGGTAGGAAGCCAGACGAGAAGACCATGGACATCAAGAAGGCCATCCGTCCGGCCGGCACTGCGAAGGACTACAGCTACCCTCGTGCTTCGACATCTGCTCTGCACGCCTCGCAAGGCCAGTTTGGCGTGTACAAGGAGGAGGCAGCGCAGGAAGGGAAGCGCAGGAGGCTGAACCCTCAAGACGCGACGATGAAGGATGCTTGATGGGAGATGTGTTTCGCACCCAATTGAGTGTCTGCCCTTCCTTTCGCGCGTTGTTCGATGACTGACCAAACGCTACAGGTATTTTCCTACAGCTCAAGATTCATCAAGGGTGGTTGGGAGGGCAGGGGACAATGGTTGGAGGATGGGTGTGGTGCAGGGCCCGGCGGCGGTGCGTTTGGTAGGAGGCGAGTGCACCCCTGTTCTCTCTTGAAGACTGGCAAAGACTGACCCTTCACAGTGCGCATGAAGAACCTACAAGGGATGGTGTGGGAGATTGGTGGGGCGTTTGCGTTTGTGGGAGTGCGCAAGAAACCCTCGGGAGGGATGGAGAAGGAAGGCTTGGATGAATGTGTTTGGGTTTCATTTCACGTATGTCCTGCGCTGTCCATCCGGCCTCACCATGCTGACTCCTGCTCCAGAACGAATTTTACGACATCTACGATCTACGACATCTACGAAGAGCGGCAAACGCGAATCATCAGAGAAGGGGCTGGCAGCGGAGGCGAAGATCACAAAACAACATCAGCGTCACAGCAACACCGAGCAGCAAGACAGAGCGAGCGGAGGCGCATGCAGCACCACAAACGAAGATCACAAACCAGCCTCATCACCGAAACACGAAGGCACAACACCCGCGCAAATGCATGCCGCACTCACCAGAGACAACGCCGATCGTCAAGAAAGCCAGCTCGCCAGCACAGCTCAGATCACAGCCCAGACTCCACGGCCGCAAGATCACCACCGCCCCTCGACCACAAAACACCGTCGTCGTAGATCGAACATACGCTTCGGCAGATGCAAACCAGGTATGCACTTCGATTGCTTGCACGCACGTGTAAAGTACCTCTACTAACCAATCCTACAACAGCGCAGCAGACACCAACCACACAACTCATCAACTCCCGCAACCTTCACGACATCAGCGACCGGCGACTGCCTTTGGGCTCAACAAGAAAACACATCAAAGAGCCGCACGCCATCTCTTGCGCCGCCTGCCGAAAGAGCTGTCCCGAGTTGACCAGTACAACGTCGAAGATCTGCTCAAGACGCTGAATAGACTTGTCGGAGCGTAGTCCTGAGAGGTTGTCGTCGCCATCTTCGATGGTAGAAGCCATGATGACACTGTGCGTGGGTGTATCGAACAGGGTGCAGTCCTAGGAGGGAGAGGTGCAGGTGCAGTGTTGAGCAACTCGAGTAGCAGTATCGAAGATTTTGAAGTCTTGAGAGGGAGAGGCGCAGGTGCAGGTGCAGTGGTTGAGAAGATTGCGTTGGTGGTGGTGTGAAGTTATATCAGAATTTGAAAAGATTGCTACTCACAAACGACCTCACCTCATTTCATGGACATCGCATATGCAGTACGCCATATGCACACGTTTCCTGCCGTTGCCTCACTGCATGAAACACCACAGTCCATCAAAGACAGAGAAGGCAAATAACCAATGTCCCGAGACAGCAAGACGACATGCCGCTGTCCGCCGCATGCTGGACGGCTAGGTGTTGCTTCTCCGGCCTGCTACTGGAACATTCGCGGTTTGTCTGCAGCCATGTACCACTGACGAGTCTAACCAGCCAGGAAAGCAGACACAGACAGCGTTGCGGCGCCGTGCCAGTGCACCGCCACGCTCCGTGGACGGCGCTATGCGCCCCCGTTCCCATGGAACGGCATGCACACTCCCGCTTGACCACCCTAGCCCTGAACGTGTCAGCTCTAACCGGTCTCTGGAGATGTAGGCAAAGGCTGCTTTACTCTGCCTTACGGTTCACTGCAATGGGCCCCTGCAGGACGCATTGACTCTCCGTCCGTGGTCTTCCATTCAACTCGAGGGCAGTCACCAGGACCCGAACGGAGCCAGTGATTCTGTCAAACGCAGTGGGCTTTGCGGGTTCCGGCTCGTTGATGACCCATTCTTTACTCAAACAGAGGCCCCCAGTGGTTATCAGGGTGGCACCTGCCTACCGTCCCCAAGGCTTCTCACTCTTGATCAACGCCTGCTCTCCAACCAAATTCAACTAAGAAAATTCTGCATAACAAACGCGTTTTGATCAACGCACTTTCTACCTTGTCCCTACTGCGTCTCGTAGTGGGTACGGATGGTAAGCAGCTCCCCGCGTCGCGGAAGGTTTATCAGCCGATGCTCTGCGTTTGCGGGTGAGGACGAAGCTGGTGATAGTGAAAGCGCCCCACCGCACATATCTGGAAGTCTTCTCATAGACCGAACTGCACACCCGAAGGTCACACCACCCTCGTCGATGGGGCTGTCACGGTCTTCGAGAAGATCCTTTGAATCCCCGCGGCTCGCTGTGGCCAAGTGGGCGGCCCTCACTGTCGGCTCTTCGCCATCTGCATGAACGACGGAGGAAGCAGACGGCCGGCTGTCGACATCCTTGCTTACCTGTAGGCACAATGCAGATACGGGCCTGTACCGCCGTCCGATCTGCACGCCTCCGCGCCAGAAGCCATCGAAGGCGCATCGAAAAATGCACCTCTGCATCATCAAAGAACCCTCCTGCATGTTCTCGATTGGGCTCGAAAGGGCGCTCTCGGGGCTCACGTGGCGGACACAGTCCAGATAGCGTGGGGGTCCAAGTGCGGTCTGGCACCGTCTGGATGAAGTGGAGGGTCAAAGTCAAACCAACAAGTCCCTGTTCTCCCCACGGTTCACGAAAGGGCGCGGCCGAAGTGGAGATGAGTTTGCGTTCGCGCTCGGGAGTCCTGCCACCCCAATAGGACAGTGCCAAGCCGGATCACAGGCAGCTTTTGGAGGGAGGCTGGTGGCGTACCTTGCGTGCTCACGAGCGCAAGCGTGCTAAGCGGCCGTGGCTTTCGCGGCGGTTGCTTCTTCAAAGTCGACTTGTCATCTCAAATTTTCAACGATAGATATCAACACATGGCAGCAGCCCGTCTATCATACACCTATCTACACTATGTGGGACGCATGTGTGGAGTCTCTGGAGTGTCGACTATTCCAGCCCGGCCGTGCCGCTGCCATAATACGAGAGGATTCCCTAATCTGCATCGCGCGCCAATCGAGCAAAGCTATTTCTTATACCAAGCATCGGCCAAGACGATACCATCTTCACTGCAGTACCCGACCTTCCTCTTCCAACCTAGGCCTGCCCGGTTGAACCGGTCGTCTTATCTTCTCGGTGCAACCCCAATGCCACCATCCCCGATGTAACCACGCGAGCACTCGAGCCCGCGGCCTCTGTGGCCATCCACGTGCTGCTCCGCGATGTGAATGGCAGCTACGACTCCCCTGCAGGCAGTGATGAACGACGCCCTAGGTTAAGCCGAGGGTCCCCAGGAATCTTACTGATATGAACCGGCGTCAAAGCGCAAGGTAGGTAGCTTACCGCGACTCTCTTATCTTCTTTCCAAGGCGGGACGAAGGTGGACGATCGGGCTCTTATATCAACCCCTCCCTGCCGTGTCCTGTACGCCCTCTTCCTCACCCTCCTCCCCCCAATTCTACCTTTTTCATTCACACGGTCTTCAGACCACACCACCCAATCATGGAACAATTCGGTGGCGCCGCCCAGTTCGGGTCAATGCAGAACGATGAAATGGAGGTTGTCAAGGACACTGAGATGCGCAGAGCCTCTGCGGTCTCGGTCTCAGACGAGAAGCCCGCTGTGATGGAGCGCGTCTGGGGTTACGCAGCTCGAGTTGACCCCACTGTGACCGTCGAGGAATACATGTACTGGGCCAAGATCGAACGTGAGATGGAGGCGGAGGAGACCAAGACCTTGCAGGCCGAGAATGGCAAATATCCATTTCTCAGCTTGATGAAATCCCAGATGTCTGCGGATGGGAGGGCGCAGCACAAGGCCGAGAAGCAAAAGCGTGCCGACATGCTGAGGAGCGCCGTCGAAGCCAGCGCAGATGGCAAGCCTTTCCCAGAGAAGTCGGGCTCCATCTCGGTCGCGACCCCAGAGCACGACCCGTTGAAGGTGTCCGACGCCGAGTGGCGAACTGCTGCCCGCGCCATGCGCACCGCAAGCTGGGGTATGTATCAAATCCATGGGCAAGACCCTACGATATCTGAGACACTCGCTAACCCTTCTGCCCTTCTGCTTGCAGGTCAGATGTTCTTCCTCATCACCACTGACATCCTTGGATGGTCTGGTGCTCCGTAAGTGAAAGCCCGACGGACGAGTTGAGTTCTGCACTGACCATTACCCGTATAGCTTCGTCTTTGCATCTGTCGGTTATGGAGCCGGCGTTGCCCTCTATGTCATCTTCGGTGCTGCGGCCACCTTCAGCGGTTGGGCTATCTGGAAAGTGTACATGGACCTCGACTCATCCCGCTACCCGATGCAAAGCTTCGGAGATCCATTCTTCCGTATGATATCCACCGAGCTCTATTACAGACCCTTCGCCTTGCTAACCTTGCCTGCAGGTCTCTTTGGTGCCAAGGCTCGCCACTTTATTAACGTCGCACAGTCTCTCCAGCAGTTCCTCACTGTTGCGGTCCTGGTTCTCAGCAAATCGAACAACATCTCTCAACTTTCGCACAACAGCATCTGCTATGTTGCGGTCATGCTTATTGTCATGGGCATCGGCATGCTCTCCGGTATCATCCGCAGTTTGCAGAAGATCGGGTGGTTGTCCTACACCGCCGTCTTCATGAACATTGCCAACTTCTTGATCATTATGGTTGCTTCCGCCACCGCCCCGCCAGACTACACGGTCGTCACCAACTCGACACTGATTAAGGGAATCCACCCCATTGTGACCTTTGCCGGCCGACCTCCAGCCGACTACCAACAGCAGGCGGTGAACTTCGCCTCTCAATTTAACGCCGTCAACACCATGGTCTACGCATACGCTGGAGCCCTTCTGTTCGTGGCGTTCCTGGCGGAGATGCGCAACCCAATGGACTTCTGGAAGGCGTTGTTCTGCGCCCAGGCCTTCATCTGCATTGTTTACCTCCTGTTCGGTATTTTCGTGTACTCTAACTACGGACAATACTCACCAAGTACCATTGTCAACGCCATCCAGCCGTTCAGCTTACAATCGGTCGGCAACGTCTTCACCATGTTGACTGGCTTCATAGCAGTTTGTAAGTATTCTTCGAACCCGGAGGCGCTCATTCAGCTGCTAATACTCGATAGTCATGTACTTCAACATTGGCATGAAGACTGTCTACCTTGAGGTCTTCCAGCAAGTTTTCAACTTCCCTCCGATCACCACCAAGAAGGGCCGCATCATGTGGTACATCCTCGGCCCCATCTACTGGATCTTTGCCTTTATCATCGCAGCAGCGGTTCCAAACATCAACGGCATCGTCAGTCTGATCGGCGCCCTCTTCATGATCAACTTCACCTACTCTTTCCCGGGCATGCTGTACCTTGGCAAGACCCTCCAGGCGGCCGCCATCTTGCCCGGCGAGGGTTTCAACCCAGCGAACCGCGTGACCACCAGACACGACACCGGCATGAAGCGATGGACGCGCGCGTTCAAGAAGACCTGGAAGATCAGCGGCCCCCTCGTCATCTACATCCTCGCTGGTCTGGCATGCTGTGGTATTGGTACCTGGGCTGCGGTTGAGGGTTTGATTGAGGTGTTCGGACCTAACGGCACCAAAGCAACATCTTTCGGTTGCGGAGTGCCTCTGTAAATGAAGCATGAGTCGACGGCGAAGAAATTCTTGGGCCACGCAGGGCCATGGCAGAGTGTTGAGGCGGAGGCTGTGATACGTAGTAGCACACAGTCGCTTCAATACTAGATTTTACACGACTCACACCCACTCGTTCATCAAGAGCTGCAGATTTGACTACCACCTCACAATTTTGTAGCTGGACAATTGGTGAGGCTGAGCTGAGACGAAACGAGTGCGAGGAGCGAACCGCAAGTCGGTCGCAATCGCTCGATCCGCATACTCAGCTCTCCAACCTGGCACTCTGCATCTGCGCCTCTCTCGAAGCTTGTATATGGACGCCGTGACTTCTCACCCCTATTCCTTGGCCAACGGCGCTCGCTGTTCCTCCGATGCTGATACCGAAAGTCCGCTACAGAAGGACACCTCATAATGCGAATCTTGCTCGCGGCTGCTACTTTCTGACGACTTCAGTGGACACCCAGGCGTAACTTATATAAGGCCGACTGGTCCTGGTATCGCCGTCTGAAGACATCCCTCATCACGATCGCATAAGGCTCTCTGGAATCCGAAAATGGTGCTCGTCACCAGTATCGTTGCCCTCTCCCAAAAGGTCTCAGACGACAAGAAAAAGCGCAACGAAGCAAAGCAAGGTCAACTCTCCATTGGCGACAGCGACGAAGCCAAAGACGTTTTCTCAGAGGGCTCAGGTCCAGGCCTTGCTCGTACAGGCACCGAGATCAAATTTGAAACTCCAGCAGATGTCTCAGCGGGCACGGAGAGTCCACCAATCTACAGCCAACAGGCACAGGTCGGGGACGCACGACACACTTCACAGATCCAGATGGCGAGTCCTATGGAGTCAGAGAAAGCTACGCCAACCACAGCCTCGCCTAGCATAGGTACACCTGCTACGCCGAACGATCTCAGCTCCCAGCGGCCGCGCAGCAGTACTCTACAAGGTCCTCCCTCTTATTCCTCCGGCCCGGAAGCAGACACAGACACGTTAAAAGTGACCACCACCCGCAACCCAGCTACCTCCCCATCGCGTAAGCGAAGCAGCTTCGACAGCAGATCCCTCTCCACCCGCAGCACCAACTCGCAAGGTACACATGCCATACGGGTCAAGACCAGAGGAGCCGACCTCAAATCCGGCTTCCCCTACCACCCAGCCCTCTTCGACCTCCGCGTGCACCCGGGGAAATGGGAGACCTTCACCACCGACATCGTCTCCGCCACTAAGAGCACTACAGGCGACACCCTCAAAGTCTGGGGCGCCGCCACCGGCCTCGCTTTGGCCGGGGCGTGGGCGACTTCCATCTTCGTCGGGCGCACAATGAGCCGGCAACTGCAGGAACGGCGCGTAAAGGATGGCCTCGCTTCCGGCAGTCTCGGCGACAAGCTCAAGCTCTGGAACGAAGAGTACTTCATTCAACAGAACCTTTTCGTGCACCTGGAGTTGAGCGAGAGCGCGATGAAGAATCAAGGCAAGAGTACTGCTTGGAGGAAACCGACGGCTTTTTATAGTAAAGATGAGGGGGAGCGGAAGAGGGATGAGAGGAAGTTTGTCATCGTGGTGACGAAGTTGGACGACGACGGGCAGCCGAGGGAAGCGCTGCATGAGCTTGGGGTGGAGGAAGGGGCGGTGGAGATTGGGAGTAGTAACGGGGTGATTTCGCGAGCAACGGAATTACCTGGGGATGAGGGTGGGAAGGCGGTGGAGTTGCCGGGTGAGACACCTGTTGAACTTTCTTGCAATGCTGCGGCTGCGGAGAAGGCCAACGATAAACCATACGGATTCGCAGAGATGGATGGCGACAATAGCCATCTGCTGGAGAAGATGCAGCTGGAAAGCGAGTCTGATCAAAGGCCTACTGCTGCAAAGACATGAGCATGTCTACCAATCACTACATGACCACGGAGATCCACGTGCTGCCACCAAAGCCTGTCCAACGCTGCGAACCTCGCATCGTTCAAGACAAATCATGCCAAACCTCGCCCGTCTTGTCCTCTCGTCGAACATCCGCTAGCGGCCGGTTGACTGGGCCAATGGGAAGGGATACACATTGGCTGGCTGTATGGAAGGGATTGAGCTGTGGATTGATGGAGGGGATATCGTTTTGCTAACGTTACCTTACGTTGGACTGGGGGATGGGTTCGAATGGGTTTTGCCCTTCCTTTTGCCCGTGGGCCTCTGTCGACTTGGACTTGAGCTCGTCTATCGTGGCTCATGGCATGCCGGATGTGTAAAAGTACCCAGCGTTACGACCTCCCTTACACTGGCATCTATGGCAAAGACGACTTGAGGTGTATCGGCCCTCGACGACTACGTTGACCAAACCAAAGGGACTGGTGCTGTTAACGAATTGAACTGCTAGAGTACGTTGCAACGTCAAATACTTTCGAGGAGCTCTGGACATGAGATGTACAACTCGTTGCCCTTTCAATATGGTTCTGCTATACCAAACTCCAACGTGAACGCTCGAAACATGCCGTGAGAACGCCCTTCGCTATGCCCCAACTCGCATTCTCCATGATCGTCTTCCGGGGTATCTTGCTATGCGTTTCCTCCTCTCCAAACTCTGCCACGTGCTGGCTGCTATCCTCTCCACATTCCACACCTCACATTCCTCGACACAACATCATTGCCTCCCACCTCCCTCTCTCCCATCACATCCTACACCCACCCCAACCCCCCCAGCAACCCCCTAACCTCCCCCTCCTTCATCCCACTCATCCCAAGCGCCCTAACCTGACTCCCCTTCCGCAACCGCGCCAACCCCACCGCCACCTTCCACGCCTCCGTCTCCTCGAGCACGAAAACATACTTCTTATTTTCCATATCCCTCGTGCTCGCCCGGACCACATGCAGACCCCTGCCATCCCCGCCCTTCGTCATGCCGTCTTCGACGAGTTTGAGCGTCCAGGCTTTGACGTCCCATTCGCGCTGCGGGACGCCGCGCACGTCATCGTCGATGAAGAGGCCGTCGGTGCGGATGTGCAGGATCAAGCCGTCGGTTACCGCGCCCGTGGAGGCGAGGAGCGAGGCGGAGGGTTTGAGCGGGTGGGAGTCCGAGAAGAGGTAGACGGCTTTGAGCATGATTTTGTCGGGGTCCTTCGTGCTGTACGGACCCGAGCGGTGGGAGGGTGGGGGTGTGGTGCGTGCGGTGGTGGCAGAGGGCGCGAAGGAGGACTCGCTCACCCCTGAGACGGAAGAGGCGGATGACTGGTGCGCGGGACGACGGTTCCGGGTTTGGGAGGGCGCGGAGTCGTAGGGGCGGAAGGAGTATTCTTCGTTCTCGACGGAGTGGGCGGTAGGTTTGCGGTAGGCGGAGGCGGAAGCGGAGGGTTTGACTGGAGTGGAGCGTGGTTTGGACGGGGCGGCGGAGGCGGCCTTTTCTCTTGCCTCGCGCTCGCGGGTGTCTTTCTCTCTCGCTTCCTTCTCTCTGGCCATTCGTTCTCGAGCGATGCGTTCGCGTGCTTCGCGTTCTCGTTGTTCCTTCTCTCGAGCCCGCGCTTGCTCCCATTTCTCCTTTTCAGCTTTAGCCTTTGCTGCTCGCTCGGCTTCTTCGCGCATCTTGCGGAACTCTTCGGCTTTCCGTTTGGTCTCTTCTTCCTTCTTGCGAGCTTCCTCCCGCTTACGAGTCTCTTCGCGCGCCTTTTCCCATCCGCTGGCGGTCGCAGGCTTCGGTTTCGGTTCTGGCTTTGGAGGTGGTGGAGGTGGAGGCGGCGGTTGTGGCTCAGGTTCTGGTTGCGGCTGTGGTTCTGGCTGAGGTGGAGGTGCCCACCCATTCGCTTTAGGCGGTGGCTCGTATGAGTGCTGCTGATGAGTTCCTCCTCCGGCGCTGCCCCCAGCGTTACCCGACCCTCCCTGTGTCTCCGTCTGGGTTCTACCCCACGCCCATCCTGCCACGCCTACACCTATCACCAACAACAGCACGCCGACCCCTCCGCTGGCCATCAATGTGTTCATCCATTGCTTCACCGCCGGCATGACGAGCGTATACAGGCCTACCGACAATAGCGTCGCCGCGACTCCAGCGAGGAAGCTGTTCCGTTGGACGGCCAGAGAGGGTAGGTAGAGGAAGCCTGACCCGGCCGAGTGAGGGGGGATGATGAAGATGTCGTAATTTCCGTCTGGCATTGCGCCGGGTGGGCGAGGTTGCTGACCGTGTGGTGGCGGTCTGGGCGGTGGATCCGCCATTGTGTGTGCTCAATCTTCTCGTATGTCGGGAGTGCCGGGTGACGTTCACTGTCTCAGTCGATCGTGGGAGGTATCGATGCTGTCTGGTCTTCTCCTGCGTCGCGAAGGCATATGTACACGCGTGGTCGTCCTTGGGATGATCAACTGTCTTCCTTCAAGGTGAATGAGGCTGGCTTAATCCTGTTGCCTGGTACTGCTTGCGCTCGAGATGCTGGAGTGTAGGAAGAAGTCGCAACAACACGCCCGCAAAACAGAACTCCCCAACGCCGGATGCCAGTCGCGCATGTACTTGAAGTCGTCAAGATGGTATGTGTTGTTGTCCTCGGTCTGCGTAGTGGTCGTCGCACAGTGAACTTGTGGTGGTGAGCATGCGCTCGGATGTTTGTGTAGTCCAAAGTTTTGGTATCCGGGATGCATGAAGGTGGCAGGAAGACTGCACGGGCCGCTTTTTATGCCGATGCTCTCTCCACAGTCATCCCTACCCCGTCGTCGTTACTTTTGCTATGTACAATTGAACAAGACGAACGATCAGGAAATATGAGCAAGGAAGGCCTGTCGTAGGGGGCATTTTAGAGTATTGTCGTGACTGCCAAATCTCAGCGGCTGGTTCACTGTTCAAGCGCAACGAATGGGCTTTCCCGCGGCGACATCCTCCCTCTCAATGGTGGTTCATCAGCGCTACATACGCAGCTATATCGTTGACAGCTGCCTCGATTCGACGTTGCTGTGTCTTCGTGCAGTAGACTATACACACCGCCGTTCATTGCCCGCCACGTCGCTGTGTTGTTCGAGAAAACAGTCGCGTGGCTCCCAGCAACCGGCAGTCGAGCTTCCGTGCAGTAGCGTCGAAGGAAGGCTGGGCGCTTGGACGCGGATGACGTTGCTAGAGATTGGACGTCCTCACTTCACTTGACCTTCTATCCTTAGGTTGAGCGGACGTTCGTTGACATCGCAAGTAGATGCATTGGAGGTCGGAATGATTTCTTATACATGCTAGACACTTGGGGCGTCGTCGATACAGTGCAGTCCACATCACAACAACACGGGCATGATCGGATCGGAGTCCAACCACGCGCGACTTCCGATCTGCATGTATATCCTGCAAGGGTAGCTCAGTGCTCGCCGCACGCCTTGTGTAACAGTAAGTCATTATAGGCACCTACTCCCGTCCTCCATCCGATCTTCTTCTATCCATCCCCACCTTCCCTGGCCAGCAATGTCACAACACACTCCAAAGCTCAGCTCAGGGCCCTTCCTGACCGCTCGCGTCGTGGGCTTGACCAGCGCCGCTTTCCTCTACGGTACCACAGCCCCCCGTAGCGTTTAACGACCTACCTTCATTACTCACTCAAGAACACACAGGCAGGACCTTCACCCAGTCCTTCTCCACAACCCCGGCTTTGCTTCTCGCCCCGCCGCCTCTCCTTGCCAAACAATGGAAGAGGATGTTCGACAGCGACAAAGCCCTCGGCCCCTTGCTGGTCGCGCTGAGCAGCGGCATCTTCAGCTTCCTCGCTTGGAAGCGTATATTCTCCCCAATGCTCCAGTGAAGGACTTTCATTAATCATATCCCAGTACCGCGTAATAGCGGATCGTACCAAGTGGGCTTCCGCTCGGGATACGAACAAAACCTCTCCCCGGCGGCGAAGCTCTACATCGGGGCCGCTGCTCTACTCCTGATGAACGTCCCATACAGTCTCTTTTGCCTCGAGCCGATCAATCAGAAGCTCGAGGCCAAAGCTACCGAGTTCGAGGAAGTCGTGTATTCCAAAGCCGACGAGGCCGAGATGAAGCGCGAGGATACGACGCACTACCTGGTCGACCGATGGGCCGTTGTGAACTTGGGGCGGTCCGTGCTGAGCGGTGCTGCGGCGGTGCTGGCGACTTTGGCCGCCTTCACTCCGCCGACACTGACGGACCGCTATGGGAGGAACTTTAGCACGCTGTAGCGCGTGGGGAGGAGTGGTTGACAGACTGTGGAGGTAGAGATGTAAGGGCAAGATAGGTGCCTCTCAGCTCACTGTACCACATTACGAACTGGTATACTTAAAAAGAAATGTCTGCCCCCAAGCTCCAGCAAGCCGTCTCGAGCAATCCCGACGCTGCCTTCACTGCGGCCACTGCGAACCTGTGTACGTCATTCTTCTCGTACCATCGTAGTATCAATCTAAAACCCCCCCTTCCGGGCCACTGTGAAGGACCGCAACATGGGATGCAGTCGGGCCCATCGGGTTTGAGAGTTATGTACGCGCCGTTCCCAGAGGCCGCTGGACGTGTCTGGGGTGCGTGCGCGTGTTCGGTATCTGTTGCGGGAGAAGAGAAGAGAAGGAGAGAGGAAGATGGAGATGTCTGAAGTCTGTCGTGGGTGAGTCGTTGCGCTTGGACTCCTGGCCTAAGGCCTGGGTAAGGTACACTTCACGTGAAGTCACGGGAATTACTGTCGTTCAAGATCAAATGCGCTTTCGTTCTACACAAACACATCTCTGTTCTGTCTGCTCTCAGTCAAGCAACCCCGTCTCGAGCGATCTGAACGGCGCCTTCCCTCAAGCCACTGCGAACCTCTCTTCTCACGCATTGTTCGTCGTATAAGGTCGCATGTATCAGTCACAACTCCCCCCCACTAAACTTGACACGGTGTAAAGCCAAGTTCGTGCGGTCGGTTGGAGCCTTAAGCAGCGCCGGTCACAAAGGCCGCGGGACGTGTTTGGAGTGCGGCGCTGGACGTGTTTCTTTGGGAGAAGAGAATTCGAGAGGGGAGGGAGAGGATGGTGGGTCTTTGAGGTTGTGGGATGGGTGGAGAGGGTGGTAAGCATATCGTGGTCACCATGTTTTGAGGTGGGTGACTGGGTGTATGGATCCGGAAGCACGTGTTAGACGTGCCTCGTCTCTAGGAGACACACTGTCCTCAAGGTCCCATGGAGAAAATGAAGGTGCTACAACAGCAACCATGCCAATGAAATCGAATTTGTATGTCCGCCATCAGTCCAGCGCACGTCTCGAGCAAACAATCAACGCTGCCTTTCCTCCGCCTCCCAAGTCACGAAGGCATTCCGGAAGTCGTGGGTTCTGCTCTCAACCTTCGTGCTATCCGGGTCGTTGGTACACCCCGCACATTTCACACTTGCGACGTCGACATGGAGTGCAAAGTCGAGCCGGCGGCGCTCCTCTCGGCTGCAAGCCCGACTGTGTTGAGAATCAGAGCGCCTTGGTGGAGTTTTCATGGAACCTAGGATTCTGGCTTGAGTCGTTTCCAAAGGCCGCTGGACGATTTGGAGTACGGTCCTGCAGATATGGGAAGGAGGGAAGAGAAAGGGAAACATGCGTAACAACATCTTGTGATGTGCGGTTGAGTCATGCGCGCTTGGGCCATTTAGTGGGGAATTTCGAAGCATGTGATAGTCGATATCGATCTGCTTGTGCTTGATGAATTGACCAGATATGAAACGAGTTTTTCACCAAGAACAAGACATTTCATTGCGACCCACAACCCTCTGAAACCACCGACATCAATTCACCAACAACCATGACCCCTCCCACACCCCACCCCTCAGCTCTCCAATCCCTCCTCAAAACCCACACGCCCGCCACCCCTGGCCCCCCGGACATCCATCCCTACAAAAACCTCACCCTCCAAATCGCCCACAACCTCCGGCACCAACACGCCTGGACCCGCATCCGCATCCACTGGCCCTCCCCCTCGCCATCCCCGTCACCCAACACCACTTCACCTCCTCGACCACTAATATCCGGCCTCCCGCCGCGACGCCTCTACACGCATCCAGATGAACAGATCGAACTCCTGCAATCGCATAGGAAAGCTGGCTTATCGGGCATCCCGGAGATGAAGGCGGAGCGAGAGTGGGTTCTGCCCTGTTCGGTGCGGGAGAAGTGGACGTTGGGGCGGTTTGGGGAGGTGTTTGATTCGGTGGGGAAGGTGCCGGGGTTTGGGGAGGGGAGTGTGGTTGAGGGTTTGGGTGATGGGGGTGAGAGTGAGGAAGCAGAGGGGGAAGAAGTTGAGGGTGAAGGGAATAGCTGGCGAACGGAGCAGCCAAAACGAATCCTAATGGCGATTCTGGACGACGATAGCACGGTCGTCTACTACATCGTGCACGACGGGCTGGTGAAACCACGGCAGAACTGATCTTGGATCTCCGATCGATTGAAAAAGGTCAAATCGCTGTTTTTCATTCATCCCTCCAAATGTGGTATCAACAACATGTACAAAAAGACAGCTACATCTCGCCCATCCCACCCCCACTTCCCCCACCAGCAGCCTGCTCCTCCCCTACCCCACTACTCCCGCCCAACCCCTCCTGCCCCACCGTCTCAACATCCAACTCCGGCCTCGGCGTCAACCCCGTCCCCTGCACCCCGAAATCTAACCCCCCTCCAAACCCAGACCAGTCAAACCCCCCATTAAACCACCCGCTATCCTCCCCAATGGCCGGCGGATCCATGTTGAAAGGCATGAACCACGCGCTCGACGGGTCGCCCCACATATTCCCGCTCCCGTTCCCGTTCCCATTAGACATGCTGTGGAAGTCAAACGGGTCGAGGGACGGGTCGAGCATGGGATTTGGATTGTTGTTGGCGGCGAGGGTGTTGAAGCCCGGGTGCGTGGCGGACGAGGGCGGGTTGATGCCGGCGTAGGAGTTGAGGACCATTTGGCGGTCGAGCTGGGACATCATTTGCTGCTGGGGCGGGGTAAGGAGGAGCGGGTTGTGGGGCGGTTGGAAGCCCGGTGGGAAGGCCGTGGAGTGTTGTTGTTGTTGCTGGGAGAGGGCGGAGAGGTCGGGTTGTTGGTGGTAGGCTTGCTGGGACATGAGTTCGTCTACGGATGGTCGGCGGTCTTGAGGGAGGTCTTCGGACTGTTGCTGGGGTTGTTGCTGGGAGTGCTGGGTATTGGCGGTGTTCGATTGCTTGCTTTGGGTCTTCGAGTGCCGTCTCTTGGCCATCTTGCGGTGTTGCGGTTGCTTCTCTTGATTGACAGCTGCGCGACTGGGTGGGCTGAGTTTCGAGAAAAACTCTTCTACGCTCTGTAGATCGCTCTTCTGGCCGAGCACAGCATCAGCGCCAGGTTCCTTCTTGATCTCAGCGCTCGGCTCTTCATAGTCTGTCCCGCTGACGCCGTGCGGATATCGATCAAACCAGTCGCCGTATTGGAAGATTGCCTGATCGCCCTCTTTGCTTTTACTTCCTGATCGCGCTGCATCCGCGTGTCGCCGATACAGGTCACGAAGGTTCTCAGTGACGAAGTGGAACATGCCCCAGTACTTTTTCAGCTTCGTCAAGTATTTCACGTTCCAAGCCAGATTCTGCTTGCTCGATGCTTCCAGGCTGGGATTCTTCGAGAAAGCGCCGTAGATGTGTACAGTGCTGGAGAAGAACGCAGAGTAGCCTGCAAACGGCGCCACGACATGATGGTCCATCCCTTCATTCACAAGATTCGAGATCTGGTTCGCAGCCTCATGCGCCGCCCTCGAAGCTTCCGAAATAAAGCTTTCAGGCATGTCCTTGGGAAACGTCGGTCGAGATCCAGGAATTGGCAAAGCGAAGCGGTTCATGAAGAGGAGGACCTGGTTGTATACAATGTGCAAGAAGATGAACTGGTTCGCCGCTTTCTCACTGGCATGGTTCTGCAAGTTCTCCGCGTTGTACTGCATCCCGTCTGGCAAAGCTTCTTTCCACGCTTTCACTGCGCGTTTGATGTCGTGGAAGGTTGACTCCTCTGCCCACATTGGATGCCCGTCTCTGTCTTTGCCGCCGAGATTCAGGTAAGCGACGAGCTTGCCCCAGATGCTCACCAGTCGGATCAGGTAGGCTGTTACTCCCATGTTCTCTTGAGCGTTGGACATTTGACCTGAACCGGGCTCCACCGGGTTCGGAACGTTGCCATCCAGATCCTCTGTCGGTCCAGTAATGTCCATCTGGAAGTAGGAGTCTTTGATGGGAAGCTGAGCACGAATGTACTGTTCGCCAACAAACAGCGGTCGGTCTGTGCCGCTCGAGTTGAATCGATCCATCAAGAAGCACGACCACATCGTCCGCCGCCGGATCTCTCGATCGGTGAATGTAAGCTCGTTCTTCTCGTCAGACTCCTGCGATCGCGGATCGTGGTCGAGGTCCTTGTGCAGTTGCAGTGCGTACGCCATACGCTGCGCCATGCCACCAAACATCCAACTTCTGCCGCCCTGACATGTGCCGAACTCGTGTAGTCCAAGGATGAGATAGACGATCAGAATTGTGATGTTCGGCGTGTCATACCGTCGCAGCGCAATATCTCGCGCAGCGCTCGCCCATACCTCACCTCGCAGAAATGCAGGCTCCGTGCGCACTTCCGGATGATTCGAAAAGCGAGCAGATATAGCGCAGACCGCGAGTGTCAAGACTGGCGGCACCGTTCCATGCGCCAACTTCCGCATGAAACTCGGTTTGTGTAACAAGGGATAGCTCTGGCAGTAGACAGCATCGAAGAAGACCTCCGCCAGATGCTCTTGTATTGCCTTGGGCGGCAGTTTATCCGCACCCTCTTGCAGCAGATTGTGCTCTTCTGACGCCTGCTTCTTCAACGGCTCTTTCTCGCCTTCCTCAACAATCCCATCTTTCGCCTCGACTACAGGAGCTTTCGCATTGGCCCACTCGTCCAGCTCATCACCAAATGCGGCTTCTGCGGCACGCTTCTTGGATCCTCCAGCTGATCTTGGAGGCGGTGGTGGGAGAGGTGGTTTGACGACCGCTCTGCCGGTGCTGCTGACTATGCCTTGCTCTTCCTTCGGTACGATTTTGATGACTCGCTCTTCCATCCTCTTCAGTCGCTTGTCCAACATAGCCATATAGTCTGTTCGAGGCGCGGCTTTTCGTGTCGTGACCTTGTAGACGCAGGGTATCCGCGATCTCAAGCAGTGCTTGCAGGCAGGCTTCTCGCCAGAACATCGAATCTTCTTCCGCCTGCATGCTATGCAAGCGAGAGGTAAACGTTTCCGCTCTTTGCCAGCCTTCGTCTTCAGCTCGCTCCAGGCAGGTGGTGGGTTGTTCGAATTGTCGCCGTTCTTGTTGTTTTCGTCTTTGTCCGCATTCTGCGAGTCTACCGTGTCGTTGCTGTTGTTAGCTCGAGAGTTATCTCCAATGCTCCCATGCCCTCGCTGGCCTCCAGGACTGGTGGTATCCGAGCCACCGAAGCTGTAGTGTCTGTCTTGCGCCGGGAACGGACCATTACTGTTGATGCTGAGTCGGTGTTGATGACCAAGTACAGGTGACGTCCCGTCTTGGAAGCTCGACATTGAGCCTCGATGCTGGTGATGACCGTTCTGCGTCCCTGGTGGGCCAACGAGGGAAGGATCGTAAGCAGCACCAAAAGCCCCTATGCCGCCTGGCGCATTCACAGGCGGTGGTCGACTTGTCGGCATATCACTGCCCTGCATCATGGTGTCGATGCTCATGCTCTGAGGCGTTCCAAAGCCGAAGTCGCTGCCAGACTGACTGCTCGCGTCGAAGCCAACACCTGGAGGCGCCGCGCTCATGTTGAGCATGTGAGAGCTGGGCGAGCTCTGCTGGTAGTCTGTATCCATCTGTCCGTCGACACCGCCGTCAGGAAAGCATGGGTACAAGCTTGCGCATCACTCGCCGGACTGAGGGTGTCGTCGAGGGCCGGCCGGGCTGTTTACATGTCCTGCTATTTTAGTTGCCGTGGCACAGTTCCGAAACCACGTTCAATACAAAGACGTGCGTGGCGATGTTTAGAAATGTGTAGCGATCTGCAGCGACGAGAACGCCCAATACCACAGGGCAGGTCGTCCAGTCGGAGCGTTTAGGGTATTGCGGAGTGATGTGCGGTCGTCCCTCGAAACGTGAGCGTAGTCGGAAGGGCAGCCGAGAGGCGTCTTGCTGGTGTTGGTTCAGAAGGCGGCCATTGACGCAATCGCAGCTCTGTCTTTGGCTCGTACCCTTGGCGTCGGTTAAATGATTTGGTGAGAATCTGAGAATGTACAAGGATGCAGGACAGATGGAAGCAGATTTGGTGGTCCTTCACAAACCCACCCAGCCTCGGCCTCTGTGATGTGGTCAGCAACGGTCACAAGTGTGGAATTTGCTTGATATTCTAGCGTCAACGAACAAGACTCCACCCCACACACGCAAGACAGACTTCCGTCGAGATCGGAGGTGGAGCTCGTCTGTAGGGCGAATCTGTTCTTGCAATGAGGCATTTACCCGCAGGTCCAGTGCAGTCCACCAGCCTGGCGAGCCTGGCCCGCAATGACTCCGCAGCTGAGAGGACCGCAGAGAAGCACTTGCTTCTGGAACTGCTGTCACTGAGTCGTGGTCAGATCGAATGAGACAAGATCTTCGCTCACCCCAGTCGGTGCCAGTGAGAATCGGGATATGTCGGAGCGAGCAAAGACACCATGTCGCAGGGCGAGGCCTCTCCGCAATCTCCACAGTGGCTTGCGGCTGCATGGCGGGTGGTTGTGTTGGTGTCGATCAGACAGGCCTGCAGCTGCACGGCTTCCACGTGAAGATCGCAATAGGAAGAGCGCTTGTTGAGCCTTCTTTTGTCTGCAGGTAGGGTTGCGGTATAGGCCAGCCGGTGTGCGTGAGCTCGAAGCGGAAGGGAATGGTGATGGTCGTGGTGCATGAGGTGAGGTTGAATTTAAGGGGGAGCGCCTTACTCGACGTACAGCTCGTCGCTGCAAGTTTACTCGGGTTTGGCAACGTCCTGTTCGCGCTTGACGTGTTAGTCAAGCATAAGCAGAGAGTCTCAGAACTATACTGTTCTTCTCAACCTTCAGCAGGGCTGACATACAGCCTGCCGCTAACCAAGGTAGGTGGATTGCTACCCTCGATACCAACCTTCTCGAATGGCAGCAAAGTTCCGCTCGATGGAAATGGCACACCGATCTCGTGGCTGGACATCTCGAAAGATGCATGACATGAGGGTGGCAGCCATCCGGCCTATCGACTTTCACCGGAGGCGGCAACACTGCTCGACTTGGTCTACTTGAGGACCGCCATGATGGCCACCCGAACAACACGATACATGGGCCGTCAGAGGTCTGAACATCGAAGGCGCCGTCATGACAGTCACGGACGGACATGAAAGGCTCGCCAAGTCTCTTGAGACACCAGAGTAAAGCCTTTGCTTCGGACCAGCTCAAAGGGGCGGCGTCAAGGTTTTCGTCGTAAAGATCTAATCGATTCTAACAACCACCTTGCCGAAGTGACCACCAGAATACAAATACTCCAAACCTTCCCTCGCCTGCTCAAACCCAACCACCCGATCTACCACCGGCCGGATCCCGCTCTCCGCATAAAACTTCACCATCTCCTCGAACCGCTCCTTAGGTCCATTGAGCAGGCCTTTGAGCGTCACGTTCCGCTTCAGCGCCAGCACATTCGTGTTGACCCTGTCCCCGGGGTCATCCTCTTTACCTGAGAGATATCCGATGCAGTTGATAAGACCGCCGAAGGCAACACAGTCGAACGACTTGCGAAGGGTGCGTGCGCCGCCGTTCTCGAAGATGATGTCAGCACCTTTGCCATCCGTGGCATCGAGGACCGCGCGCTCCCAGTCCTGGTTGGAGCGGTAATTGATCGTTGCATCGGCGCCGAAGTCCTTTTGTGCGCGGACAAGCTTCGCATCGGAAGACGATGTGACGATGGTCTTCAGGCCGGCTGCATGCGCTATTTGAAGACCGGCGATCGCTACGCCGCCAGTGCCTTGGATGAGCACAGTCTCCTTTCCGCCCATATCCCTGGCTGGCTGACCCAGCAATCGAAACCCATTGACCGCCATCCAAGCAGTTACGCAGGCGATGGGGAGACAGCTCGCCTCCTCGTCAGTCAGGTAGTCCGGCACAGCGACAAGAGACGAGGCAGGGAAGCAGCGGTATTGCGTCAGGACTCCTGGAAGCGGTAGTCCGAGGCCGGACGACATGTCCTGCTCCTGGATCTGGCCACTGAGGTGCGTTTGGTTGAAGATGGCGGAGATACGTTGGCCGGCCCTCCAGGTGTTGGCGGAGTCGGGCGTGATGATTGTGCCGCACATGTCAGAGCAGGGGACGAGAGATTGGGATTGGGCAACGGAGGCGTGGTGGCCGTAGAGTCCCATTATCACTAAATTTTGCGTTAGACGTAGGTGTCTCCGGGGGCTCAAAGGGATGCTTACCTTCAGTATCTCTGTAGTTCAGCGATACTGCATTGATCTTGACGAGAACCTCACCCTCCTTCGGCTGAGGCACGTCTGCCTCGACCTGCTGTAGATTTGCGAGGCCGTCTTGGGCGGTTACCCATTGCTTCATCTTCCCTGATGCCATGACAGTTCTAAGAAATTCGCGGGTCGAGAAGATAGATCAAGTCCTTCGAGAACGATAGTAGAGAACCTCAATCCACACGACTAGCACACTTACGAACTTGAGATATCAACGACATCCTCCCGGCGATTACTGCATCTGATTAGCGGTCCTCTGCCCGAGGACAAGAGAATGAAGTCTAACTTGATCCACTTTCGGCCAAACGTCGCCTGCGGTTCGGCGGACGCCGGCATGATGCTAGGGAGCGGTAGCGGACCCAAATAGATGACTACAAGACGAGGCAATTGAGGTCATCCCATCCGTTGTTGCTTGTTAGGCTGGCGACGACGTAGCCATTCGTCTGCTGGTGGGACAGGTGAGGTCGTCCGGGTCGAGATGAAAACGCGCTAGCGCCACGGCTGATCCCGCTGTATAAACACCTCGAATCTTCAGACTTCCCTTGAAAAGACATTGAAACAGCGACAAAACGCTCCCAGAATCGCTTGGGCAGGTTGAATCCCTCTACCGTAACGATGCTTACGAATACCTCCGCGTTAGGGCTCTCCACCAGGCCAATATTCCCTAGCCGCCATGTGGCTGAGCCTGCAGCTACTATGCACTGGCGGCGGCGGAGCTGCGCGCTTGAACTGCAAGGCTATGAGATGGCAGAATGAAATGAAGCAGTGTAAGTATGCCCATGTCGCGCTCGACGGTATCGCCGTAACATGGGCCCTCTCTCTATCTCCGCGTCCGTGGCTGGACTCATCACTCTCACAGATGTGACAATCAGCAGGACATGCAAGTATATTCGGAGTGCTCGAGGCGCGGACAAAGACGCGAAGCGGCTATTGAAAGAGGTCCATACACTCTTGTCGATCCTTCGCGGCCTTGACAGCCTAGGTGCTCAGATTGACAATGCCCAGCTCAGTACACATATCTCGGCCGAGCAGATACAGCATTGCGCTCAGACGCTGGAAAGGATCAAGTCCAAGCTCCACGTCTCCGACCCAGCAGTTGCAGGATCCAAATACCAAAAGTTCAAACGGACATTAGAATGGCCCTTCACATCATCCGAGACGAACGAGATACTGGACGATCTTGGTCGGTACAAGGTGACTTTCGACCTGACGATCTCGATGGACGTGCTGGAGCTATTGCTTCTTAAGTCTTCAGTACACGATGAGACTTCTGCAAGGGTCAAGCAGATCGCGAGTAGCACTCTCGCACTCGAGCGAATCCAGCTGTCGAAAGAACGGAGGAAGGTGCTGCAGTTCTTCACAGCACCGAGTCTCGCTTCTACCCATCTTCGAAATATGAAGATGCGACATCCAGGGACTGGCGAATGGTTCATCCGCAGTCCTGAGTTCGAGGAATGGCTTAATGGACAGAATCACCGCCTCTGGCTGTATGGGATTCCTGGCTCGGGAAAGTCTGCCATGGTAGCATCTGCGATTGACGAAACGATCAAGCGAGCGACGCCTTCTTGTGGTGTGAGGACGGTGTGTTCATCAGCCCAAAGAACCATTCGAAGGTCGTACATTGGCTGCTGGTCGGGCAGCATATGGAGCGACGTTGCTTGCTCGATATTCCAAGGACAGCCGGTGGGACTTGACCGCGAAGAACCACAGAGCATACAGCAGGCGTTTGTTCTCGAGGGGCTGCAGTGAGAGTATGGGGCTTTGCAAAGTCGAAGTCGAAATTGAGGTTGACTTAAAGCTTCGAGATCCCCGTTCGACCGCATTCTTCTTCACACCTTCTACCTTAGACGACGGCAGAACTTGGCCATTATCCTGTCTTCGTCGACGCCTGACTTCTGGAGTCGCTCGGATCTTTCCCACCTTGCTGTGACCAAGCCCGCCGCTGCCCTCCGCTGGAAGTACCCACGCCGAGGACAATGAAGGCTCCTCTCCACCCTCTTTCCCCGCAACCTGGAGGCGTCCGAGGCTCGCTCTGACTTTTGTGTTTGGCGCATGGTGCGTTCGGTTCTGCTCCGCCTTGTATGGCCAATGGCAAGCATGTAACCATATCGTCTACCGCTGCAAGACACAGAGCTCCAGGTTAGCTCCAAACGATACAGCTCCTCTTTCACACAGTATAGGTCAAATCGTATATCTGGCGGGTACCGTAGTCGCTTGCCGCGACCTCAGCAGTGGTAGACGTTAAGCATATATGTAAGACCGTGCTCTCCTTTACTCTGCCTGAACTACTCTCTTGCTATCTTCAAACCCAATCCTTGACTGGGAGAACATCATCTTGCAATACATAATGTCGAACGGAAATTACGGAAGGCCTGGCAGCCGGGAATGGGATGGGCAACGGCGTAAAGCTACAACACATCGAGAGCGAGGAGCAGCTGCAGAATGCCCTGAGCAAGAGTATGACGCTATCACCGGAACCGTACGAGAAGATCTACCTGAACCCGAAGAGGCCCGTTTCTGGAGACCTTCGCCAGACCTTTGCCATCCCAACACCGCTGGGCATCCTGCGCTTCACAGTCGCGCTCCTTCCACTTTCGATTGAGTTGATGGGCTGGCGCGGGTCAGGAGGAACCTTCGGAACTCCTACGACAACGTGCAGTGAGTCGCCCCTCTGCTACTATCTCGAACTCGCAAACTAAAACGATGCAGGCATCTTCTTCGGTGGCCTTCTAATGACGCTTGCGGGCATTGGAGAGTTCATCCTTGGCAATACGCTTTCGTTCGTGATTTTCCTCTCCTACGGAGCGCACTATTTCACATTTGCTGGAACTCACTCGAAGAACCCGGCAATGCGTTCTCTCCAGGCCCAACATTCGCCGCCGAATTCGGCTTCTACCCTCTGACTCTGGCCCTACTCTCCTTCCTCTTCATGATCTGCTCTTTACGCACCAACGCCATCTTCGTCGTCCTTTTCATCTGCGCTACTGCCGGTTTCGCGCTTGCTGCAGGAGGCCTGTTCTACACGGCCACAGGAGCGACGGCGACAGGGACGAACCTGACGATTGCGTGCGGAGCGGCGTTCTTTGCGGCGGATATGTTAGGCTGGTACCTTTTGTTCGCTATCATGATTGCAGTTATTGAGCTGTCAGTGCCTGATCTGCCATTATTCGATCTGAGCTCTGTGATCAAGGCGAGGCCACGGACGAAGCAAGAGTGATGGGGGCCGTGATGCGCAACAGGGGAAGTATGGCCGGCGGACAAAGAAGCTAGTCTGGCAATAGATCGATGAACGTGCTCTTGGACTACTGGTATACGCACGCAGCAATTTCGCGTCGCTCTCCAACGCGAGAATTGCGATGGCAGTCACCTCACCACTTCAGCTCACCTAGAAAGACTCTTCTGAAGGAGGCTTAATGTCGGCTGCGTTGTTGCCTGGTTTCCGCGGCAAGCCCTGGTGATGATCAAAAGGTTAGCAGTGCTTGAAGACTGAGGAAGTGAAGACCGACAGGTTCGCAGACTCTCTCCCACATCTCCATCTGGTCGAACATCCACTTTACGTTAGGTCGAGAGTACTCCGGCTTGTGTTTGAAGACAACTTCGTCCAACGTCAGTTCCATTACTTGCCCAGTAAGGCTGTTATCCTGCACCACTCGATCGATGGCTCTGAGTGCTGTGGACATTGGCGTAGTCTCTGCGGGAACGTGAAACTCTCTAACCATATGTTTCGGCATTAGATTCGTCTCGATCAAGGTAGGACAGAGGCAGTTGACACTGATGTTGTCCTTGGCATAAACCGGCGCCAGCGCTCTCACGAGTCCAACCAGTCCGTGCTTGCTAGCACAGTAGAGTGGCATGGCATAGTTAGGATATATGCCGACGACAGACGAAGAAGCGATGATCTTGCCGCCGGGCTTCTGGTTCTTCTCCGTAAAAATGTGCCTGGCGATATGCATGCCTTGCAAAACAGCGTTCATATTGACGTCCATGCTGCAGAGATTGAGCGGCTTCGGCAATCCAGTCTCGTCGTCTAGGCCGAACATATCCTTGTACATGGAGTCGCTATCTCCTATGCCGGCATTGGCAAAGAAGAGGTCCAGTCGGTTACCGCCCCATTCGAAGGTCTGCTTGAAAGCTCGAGCCTGCTGATTGTAGTCCGTGATATCGACGTGAAGGCCCAAGCACCTTGAGGAGCCCAGAGTCTCGGTCTCTAGCTTGACCCGCTGTTCGTCGATGTCCAAGATGGCAACGCGGTAGCCATGCAGATTGATCAAGTGTTCGGCTACCGCGAGCCCGACTGTGCAGCCGGATGTCAGTCGGCGATGCTGGGCGTTACTACGAATTGCTTACTGCCAGATCCTCCCCCTGTTATCAAAGCCACTGGTGAGTCCATAGCGAGTACCTCTAGAGTCGTTCAGGTGTGAAGGAGTCTTGTCCAATGTCAAGAGGAATGAGAAGGTGTGGGGGCCAAAACCACATCCCGGCTTCGAGAGTTCACCACTGTCTTGAACAGGGTCAGACGCGGTTTCCACTTTGTCTCCTGCCGCTTGCTTCTCTCGATATCACACCAAAGTACGGCACAGTCGTAAAAGTAGATTTTTCCATGAGAAGCGGCCGATATCTCCTTACAATACACGCTCGCTCAGACTTTACCGCAAATGGCTTGGTACAGTTGCAGGAAGGCATACAAATACACGATTACGAGCCGTTCTTCCTTTTATCTCCTGAATTTATCGATTCACTTTTAGTGTGTCTGTGCCAGCCTGCCCTTTGGCCCTCTCAACCACAACTTATCTGATAAAGACCGTAGGGCAACATGTCCGACAACGACAGTCAAGCCCAAGCAGAATGGCAACGCAAGCTCCAGCTATATCCCTCGCTGAAGAAGTTCGAGGAGCAGGGAGATGACTTTGTCGAAGTACTATGAATCAGCCCCGGCCCTAGAGACCCGTCTGACAAACTTCCTAGTCCCACGACGGCCGCGAGGAGAGACTCCTGGCCTTCATCAAAGCCCACCCGAGCTTCTCGAGCATGCAGGGAAACCCGTCCCTCATCCTTAAAGCGATGGACGAGTACGCGTATCAGCAAGACTTCCTCATCAACATTGGAGAGGGCAAGGGGAGGATCCTGAGTGATCTGATTGCCAAGCAGAAGCCAAAAGTCCTTGTTGAGCTGGGCGGTTACGTCGGATATTCTGCTATCCACTTCGCGGGCCAGATGCTCAAAGCAGCGAACAATCCTTCGGAGGTCCATCTCTGGAGTCTGGAGTTCGATGCCAACTTCGCTGCTATTGCTTCTGAGCTGATCGCTCTCGCCGGCTTGAAGGATATCGTGACGGTCGTCGTAGGGTCGGCTGATGAGACCTTGCGTAAGCTGAAGTCCGAGAGGAAGCTCTCGAGCATCGACTTCTTCTTCTTGGACCACGTGGAAGACCTGTATGAGCAGGACTTCAAAGTAGCAATGGACGAACTGAAGCTCCTCGGTCCAGGAGCGGTTGTCGTGGCCGATAACGTCGTGCGACCCGGCGCTCCAAAGTACAGAGAGCATGTCAGAAGCCGCTCGGACGTAAAGAGCGAGGGTGTGAAAGGACTCATCATGCCTGGCGAGCTTGAAGTAGGTCCTGTCATCTCCAGTGGTCGTTCAACGCTGATGTTCGCAGGACGAGCTCGAAGTCACGTATGTCTTGTAAAAGCGCAAGGGTTTTACAGGATCGCTCCGCTGAGAGAGGAGCCCCGATGTGACCAGAACCGAGACCGTATAGCAAAGACTGAATCTGTGGGTATGGCTTAGCAAACGGGTCTCGCGAGGCCTTGTAACACTTCCTTACCTTTATCCCAGCCGCCATCAACTCCCAAACACGTCACATACCCTATACTCTCCCAAACCCACTCCCCGTCCCCCTCCGTCGCTTTCATACCTCAGCCACCAAAAGCAACGCCGCAAAACCCCCAAGAATGCCAAAAGCCACCGCCGCCTGCGCGGACGTAGGCCTGGGTGTCGCGGCTATCGAGACAGCCTTCCAGCTTTCCGGTGCTAGGGCTCGAAACTCAGTTCCACCCTGGGTGTTAACGCCGTCGAGGCCGTGGCATCCGCTGTCGCTGCAGCAGGCCCATAGAGCTTGAGTGGGGAGGTATTGAATGTGCGTGTCTTTGAATTGCGCTGTGAACCTATGGTTAGTCCATCTGCTGCGAGTGCTCATTGTAAGAATGGCTAAGGTGAGTGATGAGACTCACAGCAGTCCCTCCGACAAACCCTATCCGAGAACGCTGCGTCGGTACATCCACCCACGTAGTATTGCTGCAATGTCAAGTTACCCGTTCGACTCTGGCAGAGCGAGTCCTCGCCGCACAGATCACCCCATTCGCAACAGAGTAGTGCTCCGTCGTTGGAGGTTTTGGTGTTCTTGCAGGGATACCATGGCGTGGAGTCGTTGGATGGCTTCACTTTGTCTTCGCGGCGGATATAGCATGTTGATGATGAACCCATGTTGGAATACGACGAAATATGACAGACGAGAAGCAATGTCCCCAAAGAAAAGAAGCATAGCAGAAAGACGTAGGACGGTACACTCATCTCCAAATGTAGAGCACGCCGATACGGCCCACTGGAGCATCAAGTTGAGCAGCCCTGGGTCCGAAGAGCTGTTTGCGTATTGACGGACGGCAGCCGACCGCGGGGGCACTGTGGTGCTTGTAATAGTTTCATTGAACGGCCATTGCCTTATGGCGACAACGTAAGGTCCAGCGCGGCCGCCTTGATCAAGACAATGGGGCCGAGACGGCTGGATGTCCAAAGCCACAGTGTGTAGCAGTAAAAGCGAGCTTCGCTCAACGACTCCCGGTTCAGCCGCACTCGAACAGTCTCAAGAGCCGTTCACGATCAAGACCGTTCAATCCCGCCACACATAAAGCCCCTTTGCGTACAGCCCAGTGATAATGCCCATCCCACTCTTCACATCTCGGACCGCTGTCGTCGACGTCCCGAACTCATCACCAGCATACAACGTCTTCAGTCTTTCCGCCTCGCTCCATTCAGCCACCCAGCTCAGGCCTTTCGATAAACACTTTTCACGCTCAGCTGGATCATTCGACTGACAGAACCGGTTGCCTTTCGAAACCTTCTCCGTCGTAGGAGCATGAGGGTGACCAGCGATCAGTAGCTTCCCATTGCCATCGACACTCAAGTTGTCCGGATGGAAGGGGACGGAAATCGTACGGATCTGCTTGAGCTTCGGAGCAGAGCCGTCGGTACGGTTCATGCTATAGAGGTAGACCGTGTTCATGCTCGAGCTCGCCACTGCGATGACAGAGTCGTTCAGCTGAGTAATGCCGTTCGCAAACGGAATTTGGGTCAGAACTGTGGTTTCGCCGAAGCCGTCGGCGAGCTTGGAGTGGAACTTGACGTGAGTAACGCTGCCGCCACGGAAAGCCATGTATGTTTCCAACAGTGCCAGGACAGGACGGAATCGACGGCGAAACCAGTGGTCGTTTGTGACGAGGAACTCTGTCTCGCTCAGCACGGCGATGGAGTTGGGCGTCGCGAGGTTTTTGGGCTCCTCCAGCGTCGTGATGTGAGTGGCTGCTGCTTCGGATGGGAGGAATTTGAAGAATTCGATTGCTGAGCCTGAGGGTGCGTGATTGACAACGAAGAGCGTGTTGCTTGGCGCGTGGTACTCGATTCCGAGAGGGTGAAACTCGTTGATGCGCAGATTGAAGTCGAGAAGCTGGATCTTCTCCGGTTGAGCGTTCGAGTCTTTGTAGTTCCACATGTATATGCCGGTATCTGGCGAAGACGCTGGGTCGACAAAGGTACCCTAGGGTAGGTCAGTGGTTGCATTCGCAGGAGATGTGAAGCGTCCGACCATGACAGTATTCCAGGTGTCCCTGCTGGGATCACAAGAGAGCAAAACAATACTCTCTTCAGGTACCAGGATTACATCCTCGCAGTTCCGGACAGTGTCGGCAAACTGGACGGACGGCTGGTTGAGGTTGTTCACATGTTCTAGCCTGCTAGGTGCGTTGAGATAAAGTCTGGACAGCGGACCTCCTCTGTTGTATAGGAAGAGAGAGACCAGGACCACAAACGCTGTCGTCTTGAGTGTGTTAGCTTGCAGCTTCGGAGGCGTGGTTGAGGTCTTACATAGGGGCGAGGCCGGAAGGATGGCATGACTGACACCCAGTCTTGAATGGAAGTCTACGATAGATAAAGTTGAACCCTCTGGATTGGCAAAGTGAACGAAGAGATCGAAGTTAGGAATAAGACAAGCACGTGGTTGATACTTAGGGTGAGACGGCGCCGCTTCGCCCAGCCATCCGGTGCATCGCGGGAGGATGGTGGCTTCACAAAAGACGTGAGGTCTGTCGTTTCCAAGCCTTATCTTGAAGCATATTTCCACTTCAAGAGTGATCGCGGCAATATACGGATGAAAGGCAGCAGTCACATGTCAAAAATCGGGTGAAGTGAATGTAGAAGTTAAGTCGGAAAATATGGTGACGTCAGTATAAACATCGCACCACAATGGCGGGGGAAGCCTCACGGCCAAAACCGACCGACAGTAAACAACACCTTCAAGACCCAGCAACACCCGCCCAAAAATGCTGATACCCAACACCAACATGGCGCTCCCCGTCATCACCTCCCTCGCCGACTGCGCCGACTTCTCCAAGACCGTCGAGCCCTACATCCCCCAACTCTACGCCTTCCCCTCGAACTTCGCAAACGCGATCACGAACCCAGAAGCATTGAAACACCTCTACCTCACCACCAACCCGATAATCTCCGGCCTGGCCTTCTCCATCGCCACCTTCCCCATCTTCTTCATCGTCGCGGAGATCAACAAGAATTATAGCCAGGTGGATCGGGTATGGAGTATCCTGCCTACCATATACCACATCCACTATGCGGTCTGGGCGCGGCTCAACGGCATGCCGACGCAGCTGGTCGATAACGTGCTGGCCTTCAGCGTGGTCTGGTCGACCCGTCTGACGTTCAATTACTGGCGACGCGGCGGGTATCAGGTCGGCAGCGAGGACTACCGCTGGAAGATCATCCAGGACAAGATTGGGAGCTTCGCGTTCGTGATCTTGAACGTGCTGTTCATCTCGACCGCGCAGATCGTAAGTCCCGTTCCCTCTACACCCCACCTTACCCTGTTCCCACTAACGAGTTTCCCTGCTAGATCCTCCTCCAAGCAGTCACAACCCCCACCTACCTCCTCCTCCTCACCTCGCGCCTGCACCCCACCCTCTCCACCCCGGACGCCCTCTTCGCCCGCTCCCTCCTGCTCCTCGTCGTGGTCGAATACTTCGCCGACCAACAACAATGGAACTACCACGCTGCCAAGGCCCAATACGCCTCCACTGCCAAGGTCCCGCAAGGCTGGACCCGCGCGCAAATGGATCGCGGCTTCAACACTACAGGGCTGTGGAAGTTCTCTCGCCACCCGAATTTCGCCGCCGAGCAGATGATATGGGTGACGCTGTATGCGTGGGGCGCCTGGAGAACGGGGAGTTATGTGAATTGGACGGCGGCGGGGGTGGTGGGGTATCTTGGGGTGTTTGCGGGGAGTACGCCGATTACGGAGAGGATTTCCAAGGGCAAGTATCCGGAGTATGAGGTTTATCAGAGGAGGGTGGGGAAGTTTTTGCCGTTGGGGTTGGGGTGGACGGAGGAGGCGGAGGAGGAGGGGAAGAGGGTGGGTGAGAAGAGGGGGAAGAAGAAGCAGTGATGGTGGCAGCATGAGGTATAGCCACATGTCACGACGTTATGTCGAAAAGTTTGCCTGCATTTGGAGCGACATACAGTAGATAATCATCGGGTATACTGATGCCACTGACTCGCTCACGCTTCTCACCTCGTCCCACAAACCCCGAGATGATAACAGCGGAGTAGATATACCGCGAACGCCGCTGCTGAACAGCCAAACCGCAAAAGCAGCACCTCGCTTATCAATCCCGCTACTCGACAGAGCGCGGTGTCTCGACCTGGACAACTGCCACCAAGGCCTCATAAAATCCTCGCGCCCTGCTTGCGATGTACTCGGTAACGCGAACATGTCCAACCTCGTAGCAGAAGCGACATCCTTCGTCCACTCCTACGCCGCCCTCTTCGCCTCTCCCGACGCCTCCTCGCCGGACCATGTCGGTGCTCTCTGCGAGAAGATTGGCCGGCATTATAGGCCGGGCATGACCATGTTCACCAACGGGCAGATCTCACGCTTCGACGTATTTTCCTCCCTCCACCACCTTACCTACACCCCGACTGACTCCTCGCCGTTAGACCCAGAGAGATGCAGCGCAGTTGATCGAGAAAGAAATGCGCAACAACATCTCCACCGGCCTTGGAACCAAACTCCTGCTCCGATCCATCGACAAAATCGAACCTTACAGCGAGACGTCGGCTATATGCTGGTTGAAGTGGACGTTTGAGCCGATGGAAGGGAGTGAGTTTGAGGGGAAGGGGTGGACTTTTGTGAATGTGTATGGGTTTAGGAAGGAAAAGGAAGATGAGGGAGAGGGGAAGGGGGGAAGGGGGTGGGAGTGGGTGGTGCGGGATCAGGAGGTTGATGAGGTTAGGAGGGTCACTGGGGGGACTTTTGAGTGATTCGGCATTGCTAAAGTGAGTCGGTGGTTGAGGGGAAGCGAGTACCGTCTTCCCCAAAAGCTCTCCGCAACTGCTGTTGTGGGTTACAGTACATATGCTCTAGTTGCACGTGAAGGTATATGCAGGGTCGATGTTCCTGCTTAGGTGGGACCTACTCGGCGAATGTAACCTCTGCTCGTTGGTGGATTGTTGGTAGCTGCAAGTCGCACATGGCACAATCCGAGATCCGTTGTAGAGTGGACCAAGGGTAGGAGCGGAGTGGTATTGGGTTCGAGTAGAGTTCGACAGCTACCGCGGTTCCTAGAATGCCACATGGGCTGACAAGGTCTGTGAGATCAAACTTACCGCAGTGATGGAATCTCGGAATTGATCTTCCAGATTTGTGCACTGTGGACGGCATCTGGAGGGGCCATTGGAGCTCGATCCGGGAAAACTCAGGTGCAATCGCCGGCGGCTCCTGGGACCACGGATGTTGGAGGTATCGCTGGCAGACATGTGGTAAGTGGTAGAGAACGACCGTTTCCCATCGGCCAGTTGGTCCGCGCATGGCGCCCGTTTCGTCCCTGTAGTTTTCGATTGGCATGGTGTTGCTACAACGCATGAGCATCTCGCCGGGCCTTCGTGCCGCGGGGTGAAAGCATCGCGTGCTTCTCGAAGCGCCACCAAGCCCACTCACCCACCTTCCCGTCTCGGACTTGCCTGAAAGGTGGGAGCAGGTGGGTAAGTGGGTAAGCTCGGGTGAGAAGGCGAGCAGCAGCTCTGGCCCTGCAGGAGCTCTCCGATTGCACGCGCAGGAGACAAACAACTCTCCTTCTTCCACACCTCCTTCTCGCTCAACGTTCGCGGAGTCAATGCGTTGCATGTGATTGTCGAAGGGAAGAAGCACGTGGTCGACGAGCGGAAAGACTTCAGCGGAAGCGAGCGTCTACCCCACCAACCCGCCGATAGCACAGACCGGAACCAACGCGCGATAAGGAGCGGCGGCCGAGGGGCACGTGGTGGACCATTGATGACCGGCTGATCGTCGTCGTCTTCTTCCTCCAAACATACTCCAGACAACACAACAATCAGTCGCTTGTTGTACAGAACCGAAAGAGCTTGTGAGCACTTGATCGGAGCAGCCGAGGTGAGCATGTGAACGCCAGAAGACAAACACAAAGCGCCCACGAGAGCAGGTGACAAGCCCCGCCGAGCATCAGCTCGTCCTTGCCGATCGCTCGACCTCTCACCCGCCTCGTCCGTCACCACCTCTTCCTCTCCACCTACGCTTCATCTCACACTCGCTCCGGCCAGGCCATCCGGGTCTGGTCATTGTACGCCGACCAACACACTCCGCCCTTAGTCCTTCGACCCAGGAACACGTTCCGCGATGGCTTCCTCATCCGCCGAGTCAGTGGTAGCAGAAGAGATGCAGTCGCCGGTCGGCTCTCCCCAAAGCCCATCACGAATGATCCCGCCACCCTTCGAAGAGCAGCTCCAACCACGCCCAAAGCTCAAGGGCCGGCAACGCCTGCTAGCTGGCTTCCAGCGGATCTCGTCCTCGCAGTCAGTGTCACGCATGAGCCAGACACGACCGCGAGGCTATAGCGGCAATGGGAAAGGATCCATTTCGTGCATCTCGCTGTCTTCTACTCCTTCGCTTGGCTCGTCTCTTACAAGGGAATTCTCTGCGGGCTACTCGACAGCACCTACTTCTGCGGTGACGACACCTGGGATCCAGATCCCGCCATTCGACGAGCGCGCGAGGCTGCGGTATCTGTCAAACCTCGAGAGCAAGAGCTCCGTCGGCGTTCCATCCGACGTCAAGGTAGCTGCGAAGCCAACCAACACACCCGGCATCGCAGAGGTAGATGAGGACTACTTCACGCGGCCAGTCTCACAGCATGCCCAGCCAGAGAAAGATTTCAACTTCTGGCGAGACCTTCCTTCAGAGCTCAGAATGGAGATTATGAGCTACCTCGAACCAAAGGAGATCGTACGCTGCTCGACTGTTTCCAAGTCATGGCATCAGATGTGCTTCGATGGTCAGTTGTGGGCTATTTTGGACACCTCTGGGTTCTACCAGACGATCCCTGCAGACGCTCTTGTCAACATCATCACCTCGGCTGGACCGTTTGTGCGAGACCTGAACCTGCGAGGATGTGTGCAGCTCCGCGAGCGATGGCATGCGAAAGGCTTGTCGGATGCTTGTCGGAACTTGGAAAACTTCTGTCTGGAAGGATGTCGCATCGATCGCACGTCAATCAACAACTTCCTCCATCAAAACAGCCGACTGGTGCACATCAACCTGTGTGGATTGGCTGGAGCCACCAACGCTGGGCTGAAGATTGTCGCGGCTAACTGCCCGAAGCTGGAATACTTGAATATCAGCTGGTGCAACAACATCGACACTCGCGGGTTGAAGAAGGTCATTGAGAGCTGTCCGAACCTGAAAGACTTGCGCGCGAGCGAGATCAGGGGCTGGGACGACGTTGACTTTGCGAACCAGGTCTTCCTGCAGAACTCTTTGGAACGCTTGATCTTGACACACTGTGACACTCTGACAGACGAGGCTCTCTCGGTGCTGATCGAAGGCAAGGGTAGCGAGGTTGACTATCTGACTGGCAGGGCGATTGTACCTCCTCGAAACTTGAAGCATCTCGATCTCACACGCTGCAGAGGCATCACCGACCAAGGAGTGAGGACGTTCGTGAACAACCTCCCATACCTGGAAGGTCTCAATCTCTCAAAATGCACCGGCATACTGGACGCTACCCTAACGGAGCTGCTCCCAACCGTGCCCCTCCTCACCCACCTCGACCTCGAAGAGCTCGAAGACCTCACCAACCTCGTCCTCCAAACCCTCGCAGACGCCCCCTGCGCCGACCGCCTCCGCCACCTCAGCATCTCCTACTGCGAAAACCTTGGCGACACCGGTATGCTCCCCGTCCTCAAATCCTGCACCGCCCTCCAATCCCTCGAAATGGACAACACCCGCATCTCCGACCTCGTCCTCACCGAAGCGGCCGCCATGATGCGCGCCCGCTCCGCCCGCGTCGTCTGCCAGGACAAAACCCTCCACAAACCCACCACGGGTCTCCGCCTGGTGGCCTACGACTGCCAGAACGTCACCTGGACTGGCGTGCGCGAGGTCCTGTCCCGCAACGCCGAGATCTTCGTCTCCACGCACGCCACCGAGCTCCCACCCCTCGACCGCACCACTGCCTCTTCCTCTGCCTCTTCGTCGGCGGAAAATCTCCCCACCATCGCCACTCCACCCCGCATCCACATCGTGCGAAGCACCTCCTACCCCGCCGAAGTCATCCAGCTGAAATGCTTCTACACCTACCAACCGACCGTCGAAGAACACACCAAACGCGTTCTGCGGGGTGACTTCCTCTCCGCTCGCAGGCTCGAGCGGAAATGGGCGGAATTCATGATCGCGCAGGAAGAAGCTGGGGCCGCGGGGGCGGGAAGTCGGAGGCGGAGAAGGAGGGCGAGGGAGGCGCAGATGATGCATGCGGATGAGGAGGACGGGGCTGTGGCGGGGACGGGCACTGGAGGGGTTGTGGGTGCGGGGCGGAGGCGGAGGGCGAGGAGTGGGGGGTGTATGGTCATGTGAGAAGGTTATCTATGATTGACGATACGATGCGGGTTTGGGGTGTGCGTTTGATGATACGGAGGCGGTGGGGCATGGGCTTGGGTGACCAGCTGGTTCTTTCTGGCGCGTGGCATCGGTTTTCGGTGTTAGAGAAGGGTCCAGTCCTACGACGATCATAGGTTACGCGTGCTCGATCGGCTTCGGAGAGTGTGAGACGGTTGGATGGACACAGTTTGTTATTCAGAGACACAGCGCCCTCTCACGCGCATTTCAAGGCCTGCGGATTTGTTTGTATGAAATCGCACAACTCGATCTCAAACTCTGCATGTGAAGACATAGCATAAACGACTTGAAGAACTTCCAAAAACATCGACACTCAGAAGCGTCAATTCTTCATCCAACTCTCTACCATGTCTTATCCCGTCAGTCCATGCTAAATCTCCCTCATCGTCCTCCCACCCCCGCTCGAGGAGCCACCGATCTCCCGCTCCACCATCTCAATCCCGCTCAAACTCGGGAACCGCTTACTAAACTCGCCCTCCACATCCTCATCCCCCCTCGCCTCTTCCGCCGCACTCGCGCTTTTGAGGTCCATTAGATCCGGCACGTCTTCCTCCCTGGCCCCCCTCGTCAAGTTCGCGGAACTAGAGTTTTGGCCAGGGTACTCAGGCACCCCCTCCAAATCCTTCGCCAACAGCGCCGCGAGCGCTCCGGACGGCTTGGGCGGCGCAGGCGCAGGCGTCTCCGTCTGTTGCTGTGCTGACGACGACGACGAAGAAGAAGGGGGCGGCCATTGCGGTTTTGCGCCTCCTGTGCGAAGGGCGGAGGATTTAGGCGGTACGCTAGGGCGGGAGACTGCACGTAAAGGCTGAGGCTGCGACGGCGAGATCTGCGTTTGTGTTGGTGGCGCGGAGGCAGGTGGGATAGGCAGAACGGGAGCTGGAGGGTCTGACGCCGGTGGTCGGGTTTTGGGATACAGGTTATTGGAGCCTGCGGTGTTGGGCATGGGTTTCCTGGCGAGAGGCGGAGGAGCGGCTTTCGATGGTGACGTCGAGGCCGGGACGTCTTCGGAGGTGGAGGTGAAGCGGCCGTAGCCTTCTGCGGTGCGTTTCGAGGGGATGGGGCTTTGGCGGCCTTCGTCGAGTAAGCTTTGGACACGTTTCTGGATAGTGCTGGCGCGGGTGGGTACGGCGCCAGGACCTCGCTCGCGGTACTCTGCTGCTGCTTCGGCTACGCGCTTTTCTTCTTGGCTTAGGCGGCGGCGCTCCATTTCTCGTCGCATGTCGGGCGGTAGGTCCTCGGTTTCGTCGAGGGCGTCGGAGTCGACGTCTGAAGGGTACGAGGCTTTGCTTCGAGCATCTTCTGAACCTTGGACAGGCGACAATAATCTCGGCGGGTCATATTCGTCAGGCCGTCGCAGGTCGTTGGCTTGCATCACCTCTTTCTCGGCAGGCTGCTCAGAAGGCGAACCGACATGCTCGAATCGTTTGAATGCGTCGCCAAACTTGCCGGCGAACATGCTCTTCGCGCCGTCTGATATAGAAGCCAGACTGCTACGCTTCTTGTGCCCACCGCCAATCATCTTCCGATGGTTCGAGATCTTCTCCTCTGCTTCGTTACTTCGGAGGTAATCCATGTCGTCAACCACATTCTCCTCCCTCGCGGGAGTGACAGATCCTTGCCTGCTATGCCGCCTCGCTTCCATCGAAGGCCGCTTCTTCGATGATTCTTGGTCCCGCAGGTAGTCCAAGTTAGAACTGACATAGACGCTCGTGGGACGTGGCCGCGACTGCGCAGATCTCGCGCGGGACAGGCCTTCGTCGCCAAGATCCATCTGTGATGGACGATGGCCTTCCAGCGAAGGTCGAGAGGAGGTTGGCGACTTCGATGCGGTCAAGGTAGCTGTCTGCGATTTTGATCGATGCATATCAAGCAGTGCTGGCCGCTGTGTAGGAGGCGCACTTGGCTTCAGCGATGAGGCCGCAGCTTGCGCAGAGTCTGATGCTCGAGGCTGGCTTGATGAACGGTGATGATCTGGCACCTTCCATATAGGCTTGCTGCTGATCTCCGGGAATTGGCGTTGGGTGGCAGAGTTTGGTGGCGAAGAGCCAACACCAGTTGATGTATACTTCGCAGGCTTGATGGGGGTCGGCTGGTGCATGAGTGGTGACTGTTGCGAGGTCTCCCGCACTCGCGTGCTAACGCTCGCAGACTTTTGGGGTAGTGCTTTTGGCTGCAGCTGTGTGGTTGATTGCGACTTGGGCACATCTGCAGGGTTCGGGCTGGTAGAGCTGAAAACTTCGTCGGCCAAAGCGTTGGCAACACGCTCGTTCAGTGCTTGTGTCTTCAGATCTGCGGGTTGTGCAGGTGGCTTCGACGAGAACTGGAACGGACTGCCTTTGTCGTGGGCGATATCAAATTCATCCACTGAAGGGAATCGCTTGGACAGCTCATCCACAGCTCCTGCTCGAACTTCATAATTCTTCGAGTCCAATGCCGCAAATGGATCACCCTTCGCAGGTGATGGACTCGGTTTAGACGCGGCCTTTGCGGCTTGCGTGGCCGGCGCACTCGGCCTGCCTCGTCTCATAGGTGCAATGTCTGGGATGCTCTGCGCCTTGACTTGCGGTGTCTCCTTCTGCAACCCAACAGACATAGGCGGCTCAGGTCCAGGCAAAGTTTCATTCCTACGCGCCTCTGACTGCGTCCGGCCGGCGTAGATGTCCTTGATCGGCACCTCAGTCCCGCGCATGCTGCTCACTTCCTTGATGACCTGGTAGATATTGGGCCTGTTCTTCGGGTCCTCCTTCAACAACAAAGCTATCAGCTTCTTCAGTCTCTCCGAGAAGACAGGCTGTGGAGGGTATTTGTAGCTCGCGTTCAAGATGGCCATCTGTCCCCGGTCCTCGAAAGGCGTCGTGTAGTAGCATAGCTTGTATAGCAAGACCCCCAGCGCCCAGATATCCGACTTCTCGTCGATCGGCTGCTTCCTCCAGACATCAACCATCTCCGGACTTCGGTATTGCATCGTCGTGTGTTTCTGTACATCCTCCTCAATCAGCCGTCCCTCCTCTGGCGTCTTCGCCGCCGGCCGTGGCGGCGCCGTACTCCCAAAGTCGCAAATCTTGTACACCGGCGATCCAGAGCTCGCATGTTTGGCAATAAGCACATTCTCCACCTTCAAATCGCGGTGCAGCAACGGAGGCTTCAAGTAATGCATACAAGCCACCCCCTCAGCACAATCTCCAAATATCTTCAAGATCTCCGGCTCCGTCAACCGATGTTGTAGCCTCGTGTTCATGAAATCAATCAAGCCACCTCCGGCACAATACTCCATGAGCAAGAAGACCTCATACCCCCCTCCCTTCAACTGGCTCGCATGCGAGTCCATATATAAAACCACGTGCTTGTGTCCCTTGACCTTCTTCATCGTTTCAACCTCCGTCCGCATGTTGGCCAAATGCTCCCGGTCCGGGACAGCGACCCGCTTCAGCACGGCGAGTTCATGCTTGTTGCCATCCCGCGGCACTCGCACGACGTAGACATGGGCGAAGCCGCCTTCGGAGAGGTATTTCTCGATTGTGACTCGGTGGCTGCCGACTTGGACTTTCGTTCCGGGGAGGAAAGTACCTTGTGGCGCATTCGAGGTGGGTACGGGGCTTTTAAAGGCTGCGCTGCGGTGTGGGAGGGCGGAGGAGGCGGACGATGGGGGGTAGGCGGAGGCCATGGCGGGCAGCGTGGGGCTTTGGGATCACAGCATCGAGTGGAATCTGGAGTGTCTTATGCTCAAGAACAGGACACGTGGTAGTGGTCAGGCAGATGTTCGTCGAATAGAGATGCCGTGGAAGTATACAAATGATGTCTTCAAGCATGCGGCCAAGCCCCGGCTTCCTGAACGATCACCAATGGGGCTATGCAGCGCAGAGGCATGAGTTACAATATAGTTTGAGGAGTTATGTAGATACAAGATGATTCCACGTCAATACCAGATCGAGGAAGTTGAATTAAATGGAGAGCACAGTGGGGACAGACATCCAAATTATCATTGATCTCCAACACTACGGGTATCCTGACTATGCAACAAGAAAATGGCGATTCAGTACACAAATCGAAGCCTTCAAGCCTCCTACTCTATTGCCCCCAAGACAACCCGAGACGTCTCATTCGTAGTAATCCAGGTATATCCCGCCCTCTACACTTTCCAGGTCCAAGGAAGCATTGCCTCCATCCCGACGGAGGGACATGAAATCCGTCCTGTTCTCGAGGACATGAAGAAAGTCACGGTTGTATATCGTCTCCTGGATGGTATGGGATCTCAAGTGAGCCGTTCCGCCCCAGACATCCGGGAGGGTGTACTGCAACCAGCCACCCTGCATCAAGTGCTGCATGTGGAGGACATTCAGACACTTCTTCGTTTCGGCAGGCGATTCTGCCGCTGATATGGGTTCCCTGGCGTCAGGAAGAAAGATGATGGGTTCCATGAGCCAGACATAGCTTGTTTTATTTCCTGTCGTCTCAGCATTGAACGCGAGGTATGTCTGATTGGAGTATACAGGAACCAGCCGGATGTTCATGTCTCCAGATCCAGTCTTGATTGAAGTGTTAGTGCCCAGTAAGTAGACGCCTTCAACGTCTCCGCTTGTGGACTGTACATCGACGACAAATTCCCTGTTGGGGACCTTCGCCTGGCCTTCACTTCGGATGATCTCGGTCTGTATGTTGCCGCTCTCTGTGCCGAAGGATAGTTTCGCGGTGGGCTGATTGGCCCGAAACCAAGGGAAAGGGTCCTCATCTCTATCTGTAGATCGGTTCTGCGGCGCGACTCCGACTATGATATCGCCGCGTTTGGACTTCAGTGTAAGCTCATCCTTCATAGGCCAAGTTCCAAAAATCGAGCCGTCTTCGCCAGTGGTGACAACCGTGTTTTGTGACTCCCAGCCATGACCTGTGATGTTGCCACGAGAGGAGTGGAAAGTGGTATTCCAAAGATCGCAGCCGCTTGTCCAGTCGTCTGTCCACGGGTCGTACTTTGGCTTGAAGGTTTCCAGTTCCTCGAAGATGATGTCGAAGTGCGTGGTATTCACGATCACAGTATCCAGGTCGAAATACCTGAAAGGTACAGTGATGCGGATCGCGACATCCATACAGCCTTGGGTGGCCTGCATCTTAAAGTGTGGTTGGAGAAGCTCCAATGCTCCGGGGGTCGGGCTTCGGTAGTCGATGTTGGGGACTTTCAAGCCGTGGGTGGTGGCGACATCAACCAATAACTGAGACTCAGACACCTTGAAATCGTCCTTCTCCGTGATTGTGATGCTGCCAGAAAATCGTATGTTTCGAGGCAATTCGGGAATATCCTCAACGAAGGAGAGGTTGAAAGGGTTCCACGTGCCTAGTTCGCCGTCCTTAGTGTACCAAGGGAATTCTGCCGATGTAGACTGGAAGTTAGACCATTTGCAGCCGACGACTCGGGGATGTGGTAGCTGAGGCTCAGTCTGTTCGGATGGCGAGAACGCCGACGGCTCTTCGTCGACAGTTTGCGGTCGCTGCGAAGCTCTTGCAAGCAGCGCCGTCGAAAGGACGGCGCACATGGTGACGACACCCATGATGACAACGCACCAGTGCTGGCGTAGAAGATCTCGAATCTTCCATGGCCGCTCTTCGTTCTGTCGTCCTGTAGGCTTCTCACTGATGAGTGAGGTCGCCTCGCCTCTTTCTCGATCGTAGAGGTCGGAAGATGAAGAGGCAGACTCGTGCGAGTCGCCAGCACTTTCAGCGGCTTCCTGCCGAGTGTCGGATGTGCCGCGCTCGCCCAAGAGGCCATTCCTAACCAGTGGATGCGCACTGTCGAACGCATCCGCTCGGGTCCGAATTAGAAAATCCTCGACGTCGCGATAACCCAGTGCTCGGAGCGCCAGAGCTCGTCGCTCTTCCTCCTCATGATTCGCAGTCGCGGCCGCATAGTCGGGCGGCGGCTTGATGACGGGTCCAGCATCGAGTACAGGAGCAGTGTCTTCAGCCTGAGATGGTTGTATGCTCAAGGGTACGTACGAAGTGGGAGCGCCTGAAGAAACCCTTCGTACTCGCTCCTCGTCTGCTTGCTGAGACTTAGCGTCGCTGGTCGCGCGTTGACGAGGATGCCTTATAAGCACTCGAGAGATGCTGTGTCGCTTGTAGTGTCCTGGAGCCGCTGAGATGGCCTCGTCCTCGAAGTCAGAATCATCGTAGACCGAGTGCACGTCTGCTTCTGAGTCTGACAGGACCGACTCGGCCCCCGCGACGTCTGCCATTGATGTTATCGCATTGCCCTGGGAAGTCCTAGCGTATCGTGTTGGTCTTGATCTCTGATCAGTCCAAGAGAAATGGGCATTCGGTGGCGATGAGTGGTTGTTTCGCAGTCACGAGGTGAAGTCAAACAAGGCGCAGCGCACTGGCCGGCTAGACGGCATGCTCCGCCCAACAGGGGTAGACTGTCTTTAGCGTACAGTCCAGATCGCGAGGGAAGCGGAAGCCGGTAGTACTTAGTGTGGCTCATCTGATGTAATTTGTACCGGATGCTATCTTTTTGGCCAACCAAGCAAACGTAGGTATACCGGTCCAGCCGAACTCTCCAGACTTCAATATCCTTCGCAGCCTACGTAAACTGTGGAGCGATTGGGCGCTAGAAATGAACGAACTTGGCACCGCCAATGCAAGCTGACAAAGACACTGCCGGCCTCACGTTGCTCGCAACACACCCACGGTTAGGGATGCAGCAGAATTCCCTTATTGAGTCCTACTCGCTATATATCGACATCCTTCTGTTTCTCAGTTGGTCAGCAATCATGGTGCATCTGCAAGCCTTCAGATATATCGAGGTATGTTGCTGTGTGTTTGTGCTACTGTGCTTGGCTACATGCATGTGGTTGATCTCTGTCACTTCACCTTTACACCAGATGACCTGCTGCGCCTTCCATATGAGCACGACGAGGACCGACAGTGTCCCGCCCTGCAAGACCGCCGACAGCGAGGCCCCGCGATTTTCGCAATGACTCCCTCTTCAAGCTCTTCCTCCGCAGCAACTGCAGGCAGTTCCATCCCTTCCCCGATTTCCCGCAGCATTGAGGGGGCGCAGTAATCATCGTGCAGCAGACCTGGGCTATGCCATCTGGACAGTAAAAGGGTTGACGAAAATCTCAACCATCGCAGCACGCTGGAAAGAACCAACTACCGCGTTGATCCTCGAGCGCGGAGCTGTGTTCAAAGGCGAGGGACAGAGCAATCCGGCATCTAAGAAGACCGTTGTTGTCAAAGCCTACTGTAGCGGTATCGGGCCAATGGTATCGGCAAGCTCATTTCCCTGCAGTTCTGGCCACGTGCGGACTGCCAGACCCATCGCTTCAAAAGAAACCAGACACCGATCGCGGCTGCAATGACAATCAACATGCCGATGTAGACGTGGGCTTTGGAACCGTCGCTTTCCACCTCTCCGGCTCTTCTCGAGGTCCGGATTGTCTCCTGGTTGGCGTCCAGTGCCGCCACTCTGAAATGCCCATACTTGGAAGACTTGGGAAGGATGAGTGCCGATTCGAACCCTCTCTTCTCGTATATCTCGATGTCATCTTCAACTTCCTTCATCGTAGATTGGTCAACATATACGCCTTGGAGCTTCCAGAACTTCACCTCGGTTGCACCGTTCCAGCTCACATACACCTTGCCGTCCTTTATCTTGGCAGTGGGTGGGTAGTCAGGTTCTCCCTTCCAGTCATACACCTTGAATGTCCTGTAACTCTTTACGCGAGCCCAGTAAAACATCGACGAGGCTGCGAAGTGATACTCACACAGCAGGTCACCTTCAACATTGTACTCTGACCATGCTGCCGCCGGACCCCAGCCCACGAAAACATTGCCATTCGGGAGCACCTCCACCGAGCCTTGCGATCGAGACCTCGTCTTGCCCATTGGAGCATACCAATGCAAAAGCTCGGCGGTCCGATTGGCATGGTCTACCTTGATCATCAGAGCCTTGCTGTATTGGGCAGTTCCACGGAAGCCACCGGCGGCACCGTTGTCCATGAGGGTCAAGATGCCTTCGTCTTCAGACTGCCATCGAGCATGATGCTGCCACTCAAAGCTACTAGCCAGTCCGCCCGAGAGGTCCGTCAGCCCTTTTACGTTCTGTGCTCCCCCCAAAGTCCACAAAACTTCGCCAGTGGTTCCATTCACGTACATGATCTTGTGCAGATGCCGCGAGGAGACCAAAAAGCTCCCTTTGGAGTCTTTCTGAACGCTATTGAGATGGAAGAAGTCGAAAGGGAGGCTTCGAACGTAGCCGGCAAAGGGACTCCAAAAGTACGAATCCTCAGGCCGGAAGTGATCTTGCGATCTCCACTGGAAGACCAGTTCATCCGTCTCGATGTCGATCTCCTGGAATACACTATCCTCAATCCACTGGCCCTCGCGGAAGAACCACCAGCTTGGAAGCCTCGCGTCGACGAAAGTGTCCTCAATGGCCGAAACGAGTGCAGGTCCGTCGTCGGAAATGGCGAATTCATGCAGGTCAGTTCGCAGCTCTTTACCAACCGCACGAATCTGCTTCCAAACATTGTAGCTTGAGCCAAGCATGAAGGCAGTACCTGAGCCTTCTCCACCAGATTTTTCTCCAGCCCAGAAGGTCAGGTAGGTCTTTCCTTTGTACTTCTGAGCGTTGAAGTTCATCACTGTCTCGAAGGATTCGCTCGCCCATACTAGCTCTCCTTTTGCGTCAAAGATGATCGGTCCTGGCCGCTTGACAGAAGCGCCGAATGGAGCGAAGAAGACCAGGCCGTCGTCACACGAGTCGTCCCATTTGACCATGTTTCCATGAGGTACTCGTACGTCCAATGTAACGTACTTGGCTTCACGGTATACGCCGAAAACTGCGAGTTCGTAAAAGAAAGATTCCAGGCTTGGAAGGAACCACACGACCACTGGTAAAACGAGCCGGTGTATGGAGAACATGACCAGGAGGACCGCAGCGATTAGCACTGGCGTAAGGGCCATGATCCGTCGGGAACAATTGCATTGTCGTGTGAAGCACAGCCGTCTCATAGCTGGCGTTGGATAGCATGCCGCCTGCGAGAAAATCGTAGAACACTAAACACAAGCAGAGTCTGACGCAGCTGTAGGACTAATAGTCGTGCTCTCTATCTGCGGGGGGGTCATTCAAGTTTGCCGTGTTCCAAGACGTGGCACTCTAGAGGCGCACAAAGGCCAACACTAGTTTCTCCGCTGGGTGATTGTAGGCGATAGATCCCATAGTACGGTTCAATCCAGTTTCGGGCGGCGCATGCTGCCCGGTTGATAGCAAGACCAGGTGCTTGTTTCATTGGTCAGGAGGCGATCGAGGTGTTGCTTCAAGGCGGAGCGAGGGTGACCTGCCATCTGGATATCGAGAGGGATCGCAGACAGAATGATCAAACCCAAGGAAGGCCGATCTTAGTCCTGCGGCTAGAATCTTGTAAGTGTGTTGTGACGGATCGCGATTTGTGCTACGTGAAGTCTGGTAGAATGTGCCAAGTCCATACGGACTTCAACTTCACATTACCAGACACGCCTTGCGATCATCATCAAACACAACTCTACACCACAACATAGGATGTAGCACAATGACCACTGCTTTTCCATCGAGCCTCTACGCCTGCCCCTGCTCCGATCTCAGCTCTGCGCCCACCCCATCATCGAAGCGAGCATCCATACAACCAAACACCCTCGAATTGAGCGGAGATCAAGCCTTCAACCCACATTCGCCTCGAGCCAACTACGCCCTCTACCCTCTGTCCGATCTGCTATACTGCGAAGAGTGCGACGAGATACGGTGTCCGCGATGCTGGACGGAAGAGATCCTATACTGGTACTGCCCGAACTGCTTGTTCGACGTGCCCAGCTCTACAGTGAAAGGTGACGGGAATAGGTAAGACGGTGAGGATCTGTATAGGATATCTTGCCGGACGGCGGAGACTGATAGTCCAGGTAGGTGTTCTCGCAGCTGTTACAACTGTCCGTCCTGTACCACGCCTCTACAGATCACCCAAGTCAGCCACCGAGATGAAGGGTTATTGAAGCCTACTGATGCTGCCGGCGGTGACGAGACGTACGTACTGCAGTGCCAGTACTGCGACTGGAGCTCGCTCGAGATCGATGTGCGCTTTAGCAAGCCCACCAAGATTACCGAGCAGCTGGCAAAGCAGCGCAAAGCCCGTGTGTCTGGCAAAGAAGACACGGCCCCTTCAGATAAGAAGGTTACGGCTCCTGACGATGTTTTCGCCAGTCTTGTCAGCTTCTACAAAGACCAGCTGGATGAGTCAGGAGACTCTCGAAATCCATACTCTAACAGCCCCTACAACTCGCCTGCAAATCTTGCGCGCATCATGAGCTTGTATGGTGGACTGTCTTACAACGCTTTGAAGAAGACCCGTGAGAAGCCTCAGCCAATGCGTGAAGCCCTTGGGGCACCAGAAGGCCTTTTCTCTTTCGGTACCGATCGTTCTGATACCGAAATCATCAGCCGAATGCAAACATCAGGATGGGATGCTACCCCCACCGCCGAACAGCAGCTCTCGGCTCCTGTCAACCACGACATTAGATTCGCCGACGAGCTCTGGCCTTCCGCTACACAGCTGCGAACACGTCGTGCCAAACGTTGCAAGAATTGCCGTCACATCATTGCTCGTCAGGAACCGAAAGTCGGCAACATGCGCTACAAGATCCGGTTGCTTGCCATGAACTACATACCTCGACTTTCAATCCGGCCTTTGCACCCCACAATGCCTCTCACCAATCCCGCTTTCAATCTTAAGCCGGAAATGCCGCAGCATGAGTTGTTGCAGCCCCACAAAGCTCAGCAATACGTTCTCACTATCAGGAATGCGCTCTTTGAGACCGTCAAGATCTCGCTTGCTACACCAGCGACGACACCTGGGAAGGTGGCGTCGCGGGTGACGATCCTCTGCCCTTCATTCACGGTCGGACCAGCTGGCGATGTCTGGGACGAAGCACTATCGGCATCCGCCGAGCCCAACTCTGACGGCGGTCGTAAGGCAGCCATGGCATCACTCACAGGATCTTCAGAAAGCTCAGACCGCCAGCCGGAAGCCGGTAAGATATGGGAACGGACTCGCAATTCCACCTCTGTAATTGTCGAAGTCGTGCCTGGTGCACTTCAGCAACCCCCGAGCATTGTTCGGAAGACCGACAAGGAGCTCGCGGACGAGGAGCTGGAGGAGGACGATGATGTGCTGGAAGTTCCGGTGTATGTGCGGACTGAGTGGGAGATGGAGGTTAAGCCGGGTGAGAGCGTGCAGGCGAAGAAAGATGCTAATGCGATGCCGGGAGAGAAGGTGGGCAAGGAGCTTGGGTATTGGGTGGTGCTTGCGGTGGGACGTATTGCGGGATGAGGAGAGTATGCCACTGCTTCGTATGATGATTCTGCTGTGCTTATATACCCCATGATCGTACACAGGCAAGGCGTGGTACTGCTTGCTCGCGATCGCACCGCTCCCCTTCCCAAAATTCGCATGCAATCGCAAACACACAATGAAGTGAGCCCTTCCCCCTCCTTCTCCGACCTCACCTCACTAATAATCGCCCAGCAGAACGCCGGAACACCAGTATCAACCCTTATATTTCACCAAGGTATTCCAAGCTTTCACTGAAGAACAAACGACCGTCACTCGTGGCTTGAAATTTGTTCTTCGCCCGCCTGAATCTCACCAAACCTCGTACCTCGGATGAAGTCCATCGAGTGAGTTGATTAGCATTGATGCAGTCCCATCTTGTTTGGCGTAAGTGGCTGTAGAGTTAATCAAGCGGTCCAGCGTTAACATTGTAATTCGACCTCACAAAATGTGAGTGAGGCGAGTGAAGTGGTTGGATTTGCTGGGTCTTCTTTTTGCGCTTTTCCTTAGGAGTTCGAGTCCCTGAAGGTTATACTTTTATTCCTATATCAGCTCAAACTTACCTACCTTCCACACTGAGTCGGAAAAAGCAGCGACGGCTCAAGGGCGTCTTTTTCGTTTCCTTTTGATTCACAGTGAGACAGCGTGGAATATATGAATGAGGACCACGCTGGCGAGGAGGACTGACATTGCATCAGTCTACTTCCTCCACGCAACGAACGTATGCATATCCGCTCGTAGGTACATCCCGCCTTCGGCCTCCCTCTCCATCGCCTCTTTCGCCTCTTCCACCTGCTCCGCCGTCAACGCTCCCTCGGCACCGCTCATCACCTGCTGCCTCAACAACGCGTATTGGGCTCCTATCGCAATCTTCGTCATCCACAAGCGGCCCTCAACGTCTCGATCCGTGCTGCTGACGTATCTGCGGACTTGCGAAAACCCAGCATTCTCGAGGACTGAAGCGAGGTTCGTCACGAACCAGCTTGCATGGGGAGTGGAACTCATAGCTCGTGCGGTGGCTTGCTCCGTAGCTACGGTGGAAGCCTTCGGGTGTGTGCGGAGGACAGTGGCGAGCTGGAGCAAATCTGCTTCAATCTGCCATCATGGTCAGCAAAGAGATTATAAGGGGTTCTTGGACTGTCGGACTATACACACCCATTGGAGGGCACCACCAGGTTTCAGCATTGCCGCTGCTCTCTCCGCCACTTTCGCCCAGTCTTCGGGCACCATAGCAGCATTGATGAATCGGATGCAGACGACATCGTACAGCCCCGTCTCTTCGTTCGTGCCTGGCACTTTGGCATCGCCGACAGTCATTCGCACGTTCTTGGGCAACTGCTCTTCCGGCATAAACGCTGCGTCTGAGTAGTCTATGCCATCCAGCTGCGTGTTCGATGGCAGCTCTTTCGAGAGTGACGCCAGGAATGCCCCGGTGCCAGTGGCCAGATCACAGATACGAGCGGCTGGTGGAAGCCGTGAAAGTATGGTATGGTGCAGGATGTAGCCAACACAATCGATCAGGAAGAGGTTCTGGGCATTAAGGCGCTCTGTCTCGGTGGGCTCACGAGCCAGGGCGTAAATATCTTTTGATGGCATCGCGACAATTGGAGAAAGGTGCTGAGTGACATAGAAGGTTTACAGGACATCAAGAAGTAACGAGATGGCATGGCTTCGATGTAGCGTCTAGACGGTTGTTCGCCCCAGTCTTGCCATGCTTCTATCTTTGCGATTATACGAGTTTCGGAGAAACGAGAACGACCAGGTTCTTAGTTGGCCGACACTGGAAATTGGGGCTGATTCATCGGGGCGGTTCTGTACGTCCACGTCAGGTCAGGCCACTCGCAGCAGACGGTGATGGTCAAAGAGTCTCCGTCAATTCACTAACAAGAAGTATCTGGCCGCCAAAGAATATGCCTCATGATTGGGTATCCTCTACCCGTCCTAAATCGAATTCCCAGACTTGTCCTTCTCCGGGTGAAAAACTCCTCCACTGGGCCATCACCCCAAAAAGCGTGATTGTCTTTCACAGTCCTCGCCTCCCGCCGCTCAACTGCCAACGCCTCTGCAACTCCTGTGCCCTCCGCGCCGCCTCCGCCCTCTGATGCTGCTGCGCCTGCGCCTGACTCTCCGCATATCCCGGCAGCTCATCGTCAAAGTCCAACCCGTCGTCCAAACCCAGATGCTCTATCTGACTCAGATCATCCGCGTCTTCCGGCTCAGCACTGGGAGGCTGTAGCCACATGTCCACGGCTGGGTGGGCAGTCTGCAGTGGCTCGAGGGAGCCATGCGGCATCTGCGCCAGTTGCTGCAGTGCGAAGCGTGTTGTTGGCGTTTCGCTGAGCGGGGAGACGAGGTTTCCCGGGGAGGTCGTGTTGAGTGTTGGAACTCGATCGGACTGCGTTCGACGGGGTGAGATTAGGAGGGGCGAGACCATCTGTGTCGAATCAGGAGATGATGTCGGATCGTATGGTCGGAAAGACAAGTCAGGGCCCAGTCCTGCTGTTGCTTCCACGAACAAGCGGTATTCTGCCTCATCCGCAAAAGCGGCGTCTCCAAGACCGGACGAGCTGTTCATTCGCCCGCGGCCGGCAGGAGGATATGTCGGAGATCGTGGCACGCTTGTGGGTGCCAGAGGGTTGTCGTTAAAGGGCTCAGTGAGATATTCTGGAGCACTTCTCCGGCTGACTGATCTTGCGTGATGTCGATCAGTCGGGTCCTCATACCCGTCATATGAGCTGTGCCGGTTGTTGTTGTGATAAGGGCTCAGTTGGGGGTAAAGCATGGACGGATCCAAATCCATCTGGTGGCTTGGTCTGTCCCTCCTACCGTCCCGCTGAAGGAGGTTTCGAAAGCCGTGAGCCTTTTTTCGCTGTCTCGTCTGGCCTTGTGTTGGAGCGTTGTCCGAAACGGAACGGATGGTCTGCGGCGGTTGATCCTGCGGTGATGGACTGAGCCTTTGGCCACGCTGCCGGAAATGCCGTGCTGGCTCAAGTAGGTCGCGTGGCCGAGCCGGGCTTGGGACTTCTGCCCATTGCGTCTGTGGTAACGGGCTGCTATATGGTTGCTGTCCCCTCCTGGAAGGCGTCTGGATTTGATGAAGAGCCGGACTGCTGTGGCTGCTTTGCAATCTGTGACGATCTTGAAGGTCTGACCGTGGAGCCCGTCTGTACTCCATGCAGACCCGAAGTTCAAGGAGGTCTTTGTCCAGGATCGTCGAGTATATCACAGATAGCGCCGCGGTGTCCGATAGCATAGCTCGGAATCGGCCCCACGAAGCATGTGAATGTCAGGCAAGCCGGGGCTATTAGGTCAAGCAGCGCAGGTCTCGGTAAGTACGTAGCAACCTTCGAACATCTGCATTGATAGCGTCAGGCAAGCTGCTCTCCAGTATACATACTCGTCTCATGCCGCATTGAAAAGTGGCTTGTCCGCAGGTTCTCGCTACAGCCTCCCCACAAAAGGGACTGCAAAGGGCATCATTGTTAGTAGTGCAAGTTGAGTCGAACGGCACAGCTCTGCAATATGAGGTGAGAGGTCAGGTATTCTCGGGGCGGCCAGAGCCAGGGTACGGCCTCGTAGCTTTTAGCGCATCCTCCGACAGTGTTTGTCAATTTTGGGTCCTTGTGGGCGCTCCGCTCATCACGCCGCCGCCGTAAAGGCACAGACGTCTTGTAGGTGAGCGTCGGTCGTATTGAGCGGCGGTGGCGTCCTTGAGAGCCTGCCCTTGATCAAAGCAGCACCCAGGCGTCTGGGAAGCCGAGTCGAGATTGCTGTTGGTGTTGCAAATAGCTCAAGATGAGGCGGAGTATCAGCATTCTTATGTACAGTATAAATGTACAGTACATGTGGCTACTCTGCCTGGTACGGCCGGACAACTGTCCTTTCATTGTTGCTATCTACGCTCTCATTAACCGCGCGCGTTCGCGCAAGAACTGATGATTGTGATATGGTACTGTTCGGTCATTCCGGCATGCATCGAACTCCTCCTGTTACAGTCAGAATCTGGAACATGACATGGATTGCGCTCCGAAACCACCTCGAGTCTGATACGAAGGACCTTCGTTCAGATGGACCTTTCTGACAATGTTAAATCGTTGATAGACTAGATTGAAGATCCGACGGTTGTGGCTGTGTTGGATTTAGAGGATTTAGAGTTGCACGTGCCTTAGCGCATCGATCTTAAAATAGACTGCGTCGCCTTCTCGTTCCTTCTCCTGACTACATCATTCGTGATTACGGAGTGCATGACCATACACCCATAGAATACTCGGACTTTCGTGCACATGAGTCCACATTGCCGCTAAATGAGAATGTCACTCGAGGTGAACATTCCAGAATAACCATTGTACCCAAACCATGTGTCTGTTCAGAGGCTAGCGATCCTGCGACGTCCGAGTCCGTTTGGCACGGGAGCCACTGGGAGGAAGCACGAAAATGCAACCGAGAAGCAAATAACAGAGACTTGCTTCCTTGCCATTGCAACAGGATCTCTGCCGGGTGACCGGATATCGTGATCGTCAATGACACCGGCAGCCATCTCCAGAAAGGATTGCAGCTTTCTGCTGCACCGTGACGCCGTTCTTCCTTCGCGTCCTGGTCCAATGCTGCATCCTTGGTCCGCACCGTTGCTGGAGACCTCAGTATTGTCATTCGTTGCCAAGGTTAAATATCTGTGAATTCCAATGCTTTCAACTACCATAGAGACAAATCCCAACCCTTCGACACTACAATTAATCAGCAGTCAATCGAGGCAGGCGTGATAAGAAACAGAATACTGACCAATCCAGTCTGCTAGGTCCATCTGTTCTGTATCATCGTCCCACACCAGACTACGACTCCACAGCTCTTCAAGGACTGCAGCTGCAAGAGTAGCGTTGGCTCTCCCCTGCTCCGCAGCGATGCGAGCTAACAACCACCGCACCAGAAGCTTATCCTCGGTCTCGATCACTAAACTCCCAATATGGAGGACCGGAAAGAGCAGCATGACGCTCAACTCGGCATCTGGCCTCTCAGTTAAGGCGCGAAGGAGCGCCATCGCAGCGTTCACCGAGCTCCGCAGGCCCGAGTCGTTGTTGCTCAGCTGCAGCACTCCAGAGTAGATTTGAAGAGCAGCAGCATGACCGTACAGCGCGTGCACAACTGGCGCACCACCAAGCCTAGCGGCATCGACGTCGATGATAGATTCGGCGCTTACAATGACTTCAAGACATCGCCCTTTCAACGCCGACCACAGTGGACCCATGTTGCTGCTGTCCGAGTTAGACTCGATAGCCTGCAATGCGATCCTCTCAAGCCGCAGCGCCCGCACATCCTTCATAATCAGGATCAACTCTGGGGACATCCCGCATGCATCGGGAACGAAGTCTTGCTGCATCCGGTCCAGACTGCATGTCGACGAGGAGGGGAGCAAGCTGCGGAGCTGAATCGAGATCGCGAACTTTGTCAACATGCGACGCATCTCCTGCTCAACGGGGGATAGATTCGAGCTGCTCTTTCGCAGGATGGTGGAGGCGCCTTGCAAGTGTAGTCTCCAGGAAAGTGGTCGCTCGCCGTTAGAGATGGCGTCGCGGATGCAGAGCATCAATGCAGTTGCTGCAAATACGTTGTCGGTCATTCCGTCTCTGAATGAGTGCATCAGTGATTAGTTCTTGGTCGATGTCTACCCTACTTCAAGCGGCGATCATGGCTGTACGTACTCCTGTATCCCCGGCCGCCGAAGATGACCAACACTCATATCTCGCCAATAGTCAATCTCCGCCTGGTCGCTCGCTATCCCCAAATTCATCCTATGCGTCGACGCAAGGCTCAAGATCGCCGCCAACAGTGAAAACCCATGGTTCGTGTCAGCGGCCATTGGTACCGTCAACGATCGGATCGCTAGGTGCATTGCCGGATTGTCAGAGAAGATGCGAATCGTGGCATTGGCGAAATGGTCGAACAAGGTTCGGTGGTGCTCTGACAACCACGGAATCCATGCCAGCGGTGAAGGTGTTCCTGATGTTGTTGACCATGTTGACTGACGGGTCGTTTCCTTTGTTGGTGCAGATGGTACGCTTTGCGTCCTCTTCAGGCCGGGTGCCAGCACAGAGCGGTGAGTCGATTTCGAGCTGGAGACCTGGCCGTAGACGAACGACTTGGCTGTGATGAAGTCAGCTCTTCGAAAACAGAGATCAAAGAAGGGAAAACCATCTCACAGGAATCTCGGAACGAAGAGCCCGTCGCGATCTCCCCCACACCTCCCTCCAAAGCAGCCCGAAAGGGGCTCTTGTTGAACGGCCTGCCACCCCACGACAGCGTGCGGTTGTAGCTGCAGCTCTTGCCAGCATCCTTGCAATTCTGGCACTCCGGCTTGCCCTCATCACACCTCCGATGAAGGCGCCTGCACTCATTACATCCGTTCCTGGACCTCTTCGTCTTGGGCGCTACTGGCTCCTCGGAAGCCGGGCTCTGCTGCTGACGTTTCGTCTTCTCCATGGCTTGTCTGGACATGATCAGAAGAGCCTCAAGATCGGCGGAATCACGAGATGTTGTCGAATCGCTCGATCTGGGTATGCGCAGTCTATTCCTTCCTTGTTGGGTTTGGTATGAGGCGGATGGGTACCCTGTCGGTATGGCGCTTCGGTCACAAGTTGTCGAATGGTAGGGGCTGGCGACCACGTCACGCTACTGTGGGTGGGAAGTCACTCCGTCACTTCTTGATGCGCACAAGGCGCGGAGCCTATATAGATCTGCAGAGTGCCACCGGCGGGTCGGTCTTGCCGCAATTTGAATCTGGATGGCGTAGTCAGCGCCGATGATGACCTCCATGGTGGAACGCTCTAGCTGTCCACCACCTGAGGACCAACACTCACCGATTGTTGATCGACTATCGTCGGCCTTGTCCTGTCCTCGCCTCCAGCGCAGAGTGGCTTGCATTATGAGAAAGCTCGCGAGGACGAAGCTCTTTATCTACCCTCGTCTTGCGCATGCCGGCTAACATCCAGGTGACATCGGCATAGCAAGGATGACATATCGGTGTTCTCCTGGCGACACAGGAGCTATGCCTCTTGCTGCGAGATCCTCGCCTTGACCCCAGTCATACCACTCATCCTTGGTTCATTGTACCTGGGCTAACGAGTCTCAACTCGCTCCGTACAGCGAGACCAGGCATACCTGGGTCGCGATGACCGGTGTCGCCGTATCGAAACTGCTTCTTGCGAGCCGGAGGCGCCTTCAATTGGCTTGAGTGATAAATCATCCTTCGTCATGTTCGTCCTTCGGGAGCGAAAACTGTAGCTCCAGCAGGACGATGAAGTTAGGTGGATCCTCGGCAGTCTGTCAGTCGTTGCCTTCATATGGGGAGCTCGCAATGTTAAGTGATCAGAAGTTGCCTTGTCCGGCAAATGTCAGCACACGTGATGCGACTAATCATGAAAGTGGTTGCTTTCGTGGCGTCGGTAGCTGGACTTGGCGTATGCAGAGCAGTAATCGGAAGCGCCACAAGATGTTCTGGGTTTCTGGTAGCGAGAAGCAGAGTATAATAACCTGGACTGTCTGGTGAATCCTCAAGGGAGAGAGAATGGTGCAGCTGAGCGAGGTGGAATTGCGTACAGTAGCGACGAAATACTTCCGACCTGTCTCGGTACCCATGCACTCAATCAAGACTTCTATCTCACTGTATCCGACCACTTCTCAGGAGAGTTCTCAATAAACTTCTTCGAGATGTTGATGCACTCCTCTGTGTTGAGGACAACAACCTCAATGCCATTGTTCCGCAGAACATCTTCGGGACCGGTGTATGTCGTGCTGTCTCCAATCACGACCCTGCCAACCTGGAACCAGACTGAAGCACCAGTACACATCCAGCACGGCGACATTGTGGTGTATAGGGTCGCGCCATGGAACGCAGACGTTGGCAGCCCTCTCTCACTGTCAAATGCTGCCGTCTCCCCCTGCAAGGTACCGACGTTAGCCAAAGCATGACCACAGGCTTCATGCCGGCAGTCCTAAGCCCGCCTCAAGCACATAATTGATTCGCGCACGACTGTCACTTACATGCAAGATCGGGCTGCCGCTCTGCTGTCTGTTGAATGTTAGCTTTCGCCGAGTCGGCAGACTGATGGCGAGAGCACCTCATATTGCGTCCACGCCCGATGACCTTTCCATCCTTACTGACGATACATGCACCCACTGGAAATCCTCCCTCAGCCGCTCCGATCTTCGCCTCCTGGAGGGCAATCTGATAGCCTTCATCTTGTGCAGACATTGTGACAAATGTTTTGCGGGTGATAGCGCGAGTTCACAGACTGACGAACACTTCTCAATGAAGGAAAATGTTGAACAGAACCCGAATTGTAGTAGAACCGTTTGAAAACCACATAAACCTCGTACACGCCCGAGCTCCGAAAATCTTCAAAAACCTCGCCAAGACGCGTATCGACAACGTCACGCCACGGCTCTTGCATGTACGTCTAGATCTGGAAGTCTTTTCGTGCGAGAGCCCGAATCCTGGCGCTTTTTTCTATATGTGTTTTGGCACCTCTAGAAGCTTTTTCTGACTTTTGGGCGTCAGCCTATACGAAAATCTAAGAGAATTCGAGCTCGGGCGTGCACGATGTGTTTTTGGAACGGTCCTACATAAGCAGCACGAGATGAAATATTTTATTCTTACCCGCACGAAGGCTGCCGCCACTTCGTTCTCTACAGTCGTGGGACCCCCAAGATCCACCTCGGCGACTGTTAAGACGACGGGAGCGCTAGGAAGCACTAAAGGTAACGTATGCTCCTCTAGGGCCCCGCATCGCCGACCTCGACAGCGTCATTCAACAAGACACTTGCAGGTGTTCTTCATCACATGAATCTCCTGGCTCGCCGCTCCAGGTGACCGACATATAAGCGGTTTCCATATATTTTATCTGAATACCTTCAGTCTTTCTGCTGCGCGCTAGTGCCCGACCTATGCTTGCTTGAATCGACCGCGACGGCCCCTTGCAGTACAGTTATTGCTGGTCACGACAACCGAGACTTCAACTTCCTCCTGCCCTGTATGGATCCCGCAATGGACGGCGCGTGCGGCGAGAGGAGGCTTAGCCTGGGGACGGGAACGTGTAAGGATCACAACTCGAACTCCCAATCTGTCACCAACCAATCCTGCATAACTTCGGACGCCTCGAAGCTTGAAAAAGGGTGTGCCATCGATGGGCCCGGCAAAGCATCTAAGTACCAGCACGGCTGGCGACGTGTCGTGCCAAACTTCACTCCGTCCTGGTTCGCGGTCAACATGGGCACCGGCATTGTCTCCATTTTGCTGCACAATCTGCCTTATAATGGGCAATGGCTGCAATGCATCTCATATGTTGTGTTTGCTCTAAACGTCCTACTCTTCGTGCTGTTCTTGCTGATTAGCATACTGCGGTACACACTCTATCCGAAGATCTGGACAGCCATGATTCAACATCCTGGGCAGAGTCTTTTCCTTGGGTGCTTTCCCATGGGCCTCGCGACGATCATCAACATGACATGCTTTGTCTGCGTACCTGCTTGGGGAGGCAGTTGGTGGAAAGTTGCTTGGGCGCTATGGTGGATTGATGCTGCGATTGCGACCGCTACATGCCTCTATTTGCCCTTTGTCATGTATGTTATACCAACATCAGCGCAAGCCTATATCACGACGCAATTGGTTGTTTACTGACTCAAGTCTGGACTCAGCATGGCTTATCATGACGCAAAGCTCGAAAATATTACCGCCGCCTGGCTACTACCAATCGTCAGCACCATTGTTGCGGCTGCTACTGGATCCATTGTCGCCGGTATTCTGCCGCACCCTCAATTGCAACTGATTACGATCATAACCTCTTATATCCTCTGGGGCAAAGGGGTGTCGCTTGCGATGGTTGTGTTGGTCTGCTACTTCTTGCGCCTCACTACGCACCAGCTACCGCCAAAGGAGATCATCGTGTCGGTATTTCTACCTCTCGGTCCCTTGGGGCAAGGTGGTTTCGGCATTCAGAATCTTGGAAGCGTGGCGAGACAGGTGTTTCGCGAGACCAACACGCTGCCGCTTAGCATGGTCTACGCAGGCGATGTGTTGTACATCGTAGGCTTCATGATCGCAATGGTGATGTGGGGATTCGGACTTGTCTGGTTCTTCTTTGCACTGGCGACCATCTGGCGCACGCCGAAATTTCCGTTCAATATGGGCTGGTGGGGGTTCACTTTTCCACTCGGTACGTGCTATTTGTTCGACTTAATATGGAGCTTTAAGAACGAAGGAGAACCTGTGCTGATTGTATGCATTGCTCACAGGCGTTTACGCCGTCTGCACGACACAGCTTGCAAAAGAGCTTCCCTCTGCATTTTTCCGTGTGCTCGGGACAGCCTTTAGCGTAGCCGTGACGCTGCTGTGGATCGTTGTCAGCTGTGGCACGCTCAGGAATGCATATACAGGCGAGATGTTCGTCGCGCCTTGTCTGAAGGATCTTGCTGAGAAGGACATGAAGTCGCATATTTTGCAAAGAGGTGGTGCCAAGGACGAAAAGAAGGATGACCTGAAATGAAAGGTGAATGCTACTCTGCTTCAAGAAACGAGATGTGTATAATACTGCCTTATATCGAGTTCACATGCATGGAGGGCAACGCTTGAGTCCCACACTGTTACCAAAAAGTTGGAAGTCACTAGCCATTCTATTGACACGGATTGCCGCAAGCGACGTAAAGCTCACAATGAAGATAGGAGGAAATGGATATCTTTGTATCGAATGCCTCTTCCGCAGTACCGTATCAATGATGCCGGGGCTCTCAGACTCAGAGTAGACATGCACCGAGACGAGATTCGTCGTCCGCCGCATCCGAAGGCAGGGATATTCGGCGACTTGGCAGAAAGATAATGCAGATAACTTGATAGGTATAAGAGACTCTTGAGCAGCTACACGAGTATATTGCAGAGACAGAATTCCAGCAATCACGATCTCAAGAGACTATGACTACAATCCTTGCCCGTTGCATGCCAGCGACTCGCCCAGCTATACGCTATCCACGACATACAACAATCCCACGCCGCACGATATCATGGACTCCGTCTAGGCTTGTAGAGCATGCTGCACCACTACAACCTACTGAGAATGAGCTCGAACATCCACATCCAGTATGCCGCGCTTGCGGTGCGCCCGTCGCTTCCGGCGAAGCTGGACCTAAAACGCCGAGTGGTATCCTGAAGCCGCTCCTAATCCTAGGGTTATCTACAGGCTGGATCGTACCTCTAATGATGTGGTATTTTTCTCCTACCGGATCAACAAGCGGGGGTGCGTATGAGCGAGCGAAGCTGTTAGGTAGGAGCTTGGAGAGCAGTCCTCCTGTGGTATCACAACGCTGACGACGATTGCAGGGGATTGGAAGGGAACGCAGATCAAGGAAGGCGATCTCGAGGAAGAAGAGACCGATACTCAGCGAAAGCAGGAACGAGCATACAAGGAGAGGAATAAGGCTAAATTGAGGAAGGGTAACGTTCCGTAATCTAGTGCAGCACCAGTGCCCGATATTTATGATGTTACTGCCATGGCACGTTTCGAACCGACCTGAATAACTGGAAAGTCTCGGACAGTGCGACAAGGTCGATCTCGTCGGCTTGAAATCCGCTTTGTGTCGTCCCGGCATATGGTTCGAGGTGACGCCCATGTTCTGCTAAGCCATCTATGACGGCAGTCCAATGCCCCGAACGATCTTGGCCGGCAGTCATGTATTCGAATCATTGTGAGAGGTTCAGTCGGGGTTGGAGCGGGAGCCATTCACATAGATGTGCGTGATGCGGCGTCCAGAACTGTCTCAGATACTAAGGCACTGAATGAGCTTGTGCAAGGAGCTTGGACAGCACGATCCACCTCGGCGACTGCTAGATGTTACATTTATTCAGGACGATGGAGACGGTGAGTGTGAGCGTTCTTGTCTGAGACATGGCAGCAAAATGTTCGATGTCAACAATGTTGTCAAAACAAGGACTCCAGCACGTGGCAATGACGCACGGGGCCGCGTTAGCGCACGTTCCACGTGAAGCTTTGGAGCTGGGCTATCTGCTTCCATATCCAGCTCCAACCTTGACCCTATATTGTCGACACGTCGGCAGCAGTGCTAGGTGCATGAGCGTACCGTAACATGGCACCCGCCTTGGAGATCACGATACCAAACACATCAACAGCCACCCCCAGCGACAGCAAACGATACACGCTCTACCACATCGTCCTCCGGTTACCGCTACGAAGACACGAAGTCGAGAAGCGGTACAGCGACTTTGTGAACCTCGACAAGCAGCTAACCTCCCAAGCTGGTCAACCCCCACCGGCGCCCATACCTGGCAAGTCCTGGCTCCGGCGAACAGTCAACAATGCTGCTTTGGCAGAAGAGCGCCGGCAAGCGCTTGAGAAGTACGTCAAGAGCATCGTAGAGTCGGACGATGCTCGATGGAGAAGCAGCAGTGCCTGGAGAGCCTTCTTGAATCTGCCAAGTGGAACAGCCTCGAGCAATCCGAACGGCACGCTCTCGAGCTCGAAGCGGAGGGAGAGCGCCGGGGGCATCAAGGATCCGAACGAGTGGTTGGATGCGCACCGAGACTTGAAGGACCAGATACAGGCTGCGAGACAACTGCTGAAACAACGGGAGGCAGCGACCACTGCACAAGCACAGCACTCGCTGTCTGCCGAGGCGAAGGGAAGCTTGGTGCGAGCGGCAGCATTCATCACTCAGCTAGGCGATGGGCTGAAGAGCATAGCGGATGCGAGTAAGGGCGACGATGCGGGCTGGGGCGGTGGCAAGAGGCTTGGAGATGGAGAGATCAGACGTCGGAGGGATCTACTTGGAGCAGCTAAGAAGGAGGTGGAGGGGTTGGAAGGGTTGCTAAGGAGCATGGCCACGAAGAACAGCAACACGACGAGTGCGGTGCAGACGGGTGCGGTGGCGACAGCTGGTGACAAGGAAGGGCTGTGGAGAGGAACTTCCGCCGCGAAGCCGAGTGGTCGTGTGCTTGGTGGGCCTTTGAAGGAGACAGAGCGAACGCGGGAGCTCGACAACTCGGGAGTTCTGCAGCTTCAATCACAAATCATGGAGGAGCAAGACGAAGATGTGATGGTGCTTGGGAAGACGGTCGCCAAGCTGAAGGATATGGGTATTCTCATCAACGAGGAGCTGACGGTGCAGAATGAGATGCTCGATTTGGTCGATCAGGACACAGATCGTGTGCAAGGCAAGATTGATGTGGCGAAGAAGCGGATCGGCAAGATCAAGTGAGGCTCAAGGATGGTACTCCATCACATCCTTCTTGAGCCTCCTTTGACAACTTTCAGACGGAACTGAAAGTCAGTTTGATATCAGTTTAACGTTCATACATGGCCTGGCAACCTTCAGAGGACTTGCAGCCCATAGACAACTTCTTTCCGACCGTCCTCCCAGAACCAGGCTCCAGGCTCATGCACCACCAGACACCGACTGCGCCTAGAGAGATTTGCGAATGAGCCGCGATACGTTTCGATTCATTCTCAAGAAGCGCTATTGCTTCGCGCCAGCGACCAGCTCCTCGCACAACGCCACATACGCATCCACAAACACCTGTGTCTTCACCTCGAGCAGCGCCGAAACAATCATCCACTCGACAATTTCCCGACGGTCGTCCTCTACGGCCTTCCCATCGGCCTGCGGATCGCTTTCACCCTTCGCCACCAGTGCCAGCCGCTCCTTCTCCGACTGCTCGTCGAGACTCTTCTTTGGCCATAACCTCTCAAAAACCCTCGCGCCCATCCTCTCAGCCGCTCGATCCCTCGCAGCCACCAACTCATCAGCAGTATACCCCTGAAAAACCGTCCGAACCTGACAGCACGTCGGCCTCTCCGGCACGAAACTCACCACCGGCCTCCCATCCCCCGCCTCAAACCCCTTCGTAGCCTCCTTAATCCCCTCAACAACCTCGACCATCTTATCCCACTTCCCCGCAAACGTCCCGACATTCTCATTAAACCCCCTCTCGCAATCCACAACCTCATACACCAACGTAAACGCATTCCCGCCCGCCCGTCGCTGCCACTTCTTCGCCTCCGCCATCACCCCTTCATCATCGCACACCAACGCCGCGCCCGCAACCCCTCTCAACCCTTTGTAAAAACTCACATACACACTATCGAACAACCTGCCCAAGTCTGCGAAAGTCTTGCCAGCGCTGCGTTGATACCACGGCTCGATCTCCCAGATCCTCGCGCCGTCGCAGTGGAGTCTCACGCCCGCTTCTGTGCACGCCGCCGAAATCGCCTCTAGCTCCGGGAAAGAATACGTCTGGCATCCCAAAACCCGGTTCGGAATCTCCAGTACCACGACCGACGGCCTCTGCGCTTCCGGCAACGCAAGAACATCCCTCACCTCCTCAACACTTGGGTTAGCATCTTCCCGGCTCCCGAGCAGAACCCTCTCAAGCCCGTACAAAGCTTGATAAGCCTTTTCCTCCGCCGTCTCCAGATGCGACGTCCCGTGCCACGCGACGCGATTCCTACCCGCAAAATCACAATGCGCTTTCACCCCCGCCAACTGCGCCTGCACGCCCGTGAGGAAGAAGAGGCCATGCTCTTTGCCGAGGAGGGAGGCGATGTGCTGCTGGAAATGCGTCTTGTGGACGCCGGTGCCGTAGATGTCTTTGTCGATTTTGTCGGGTAGGGAGAGGAGGTGTTGACGCTGGGAGAAGGTGGATGGGCCGAGAGTTTTCTCGAGGTAGTGTTTGGGGGAGGCGGCGTAGGAGGCTGTACGCTCAAACTCTTGCTGTGGGGCTAGGGACGAGACGAATTGGGAGAGGCTGAGGGGTTTGGGTTTGTCGGTGGAGTCTTCGACTACGTCGCAGCGGTTTGGTGCGGCTGCTGTGGATTGCGTGGAAGACATATTGAGAGTTGGCGGCGAAGGACGGACGATGGGATGTATTAGATGGGCTGTATGAGTGATAGCTTGGTGCTTGTACGATTCTTGTTTTCTTGGAGCACTTCTTAGCTATATATAAATATATGGAAGAATGAAAGAAGAGTCACACTCTTACAAACGCGCCCCAGGCAGAACCATTGAGGCTGGAAAGAAAGCTTCGACATCCACCTTCCTATTCGGGCACAGGACAGGCACCGTTGCATCCACTGTGGTTTATCATCTCCATCATTCTTCCTCCACCTCCAGGCAGCGTCGTTCGACGATTTGCGATTGCTCTGCTTGTTGATGCCTTGCATAAAACAATATCATGGCAGCCTGCTGCGTGTCGGTGGGCTGAATATCGAGTGAGCGAAGACGATCAGGCTCCAATGGCTCGCGAGCCTTTTGGTCGACGGCTAGGACGCGTGGGAAGACCTTGGCCGGTCAAAGGTGTTGAAGGAGGATTCTTCTATGTTGTATGTAAGTCTCCTTCACCTTTCCTCGTCCAACTGAAATGGATTACAATCAACATTGCCCGCCAACTGCCCAGTGTCGTGTTTTGACGCCAAAGCACACCAAGAACGACGTGATCTGGCCGCAGCAGGACTGCGTGATAGTCCGCCATCGTCATCCGCCGGCGATTGAGTTGTGCCGTTCGCCATCCGGTCCTCGACTCGCCCAATCGCGAAGGCCACTTGCCTCTCGTGGCGAGAGCCTGGACGCCACAGGTCCCGCGATACAGCACTTGGATGATACCAATGCTCGCAGAGCGCCTGATGCTTGCGTATGCCGTGCCACTGCGGCGCTGGAGCCGGTCCAGCGTCCGAGGATGCCATCTTGTCCCAAAGTCTGACCGCTCCATCGTTTGGGCACGCGAGGAAGATGACCGGCCAGAGGCAAGCACAGAGGCCTCGGAGATCCACGCGTTCCAGCCCTATCCACTCGTAGCCACTTCTCTCAAGTTCTCTTCTCCCACTACCCTGTGCGATAATCTTCACTCCACCAGCGGATAATTCTCCTCCCCCTCCCACAACAACATCTCCTCATACGTAATCCCCCTCACCTGCTTCTCCTCAATCTCCTCCCCCGTCCGATTCCGTTTCACCATAACATACGGATCCGGCGCAAAAGAAACCTCACTGTACGTCTGGATCAAGCGTCTCCAGTAGCACGACTCCGCTGCCGGCGAAATATATCTTGCCCGAAAAGTTGCAGCGGCATTGTCCGCGATCCGCTGCGCTTCCTGCGGGTTCTCGAGGTAGTAGTTGATCTTCTCCTCCAAGTCAGAGAACTCGCGGTTCACGGCGATGTAGTTCTGATCCGGTCCGGAGGGCTTCAGGAGGTGGTAGAACTCTGCCGTCCAGTCGAGTTTATGCGCGACGAGTACCGAGTCGCAGTTTAGCAGGAACTTCAGCCGACCGGACCAGCTACGGCCTTCGGTGTGCACGGTGAACATGTATCGGCACATGTCGTCCATTGTCATGGTGTTGTTTGGAGTTTTCCAGTCTACTTCTTCGATGTCTGCCCAGTCTTTGCCTTTGGAGACGTCAAGTAGATGACCGCGCACGTACTCATTTGTCCATTTGGCGCCGCGCCAGATTGCTTTCGGGATCTTGTCCATCACGTAGGCATCATGTACAGCAGATCGGCGCTGCTGCTCGATGAAGGAAGATGCGCGGGGCGGAGCGGCGTAGAAGTTGAAGTCGGGCACGATCCAGAGGCGGTCTTCGGCTTTGGAGGCTTTTCGGCGGGTGAAGGCCCAGATGCTGTGGGTGTCGTTCTTCGCTCCCGGGATGAGGGACATGTCGTCCACCACGACCGAGAACTCGATGTTGGGCATCGTCTCACCGGCTGCTGCTGCACCCAGCAGAGCGCGGTTCAGCTGAGCGAGAACGTAGAGCGCACGTCTCTTGTAGCCTTTCTGCTGCCATGTGTTCTTGGTCCGGATGATACGCAGCTGGTTGTCGTAGGTCATGGCCTGGAATGCCGCATCTTTCCTCCAATCAATCGATATGTCCTTGCGCGAGATAGTATGTTTCTGCTCCCTCCATACTGCAGCCGCGCGATCGATCTCATAGTAGAGGTCCGGGAAGGCCTGATCGCACTGCGCAGACGTCAAACCGATGTTCTGGTGGTCCCGCGCGCTGTCGTACGTCCACTCATCCGGACTGAACTTCTCTTCCTCCTTCACTGGCGCCTTGTGTTTTGGCTTATCATCAGATGGGCGCGAGTGAGTGAAGCTGGGCGCCTTTGGCACTCCAGTCTCGGAGATGATGAGGTAGAACTGCAGCAGCACCACGGCGAACAGGAAGGCGCTCGCCCCCTTCCAAATGTTCATGCCGAACGCCATCGGACGGTGCTATCGTATAAGCGTGGTATGGGGCATGCTGTAGATACACGGAGAAGTATGTACAACAGCAGAGACGTCGTTGAGCCTGCTCAATAGCAAGGAAATGTTGAAGGCCGTCAGGAGTGCCCTGACTTCCCGAGCCGTGAGATTAACTTTTTGTGGCTAGTTCCGAGGCCGACTTGTCGGGCAAGTGCTGCCATCTGCCTTTCATCACCGACCTCGACATCTTCGAATGAGAGAATAGGATGGTGTCCATACTGGGCCAATGTGCGAATTTGGCCGTCATATGGCAAGTTTGCTAGGTTCTAGAGCCATCACACATGCCAGACTATCGTAAGGCCTACCAAAAACCACGATATAGCTCTCGAGCCCCCTTGAACATTCGCCCGTTAGGTCCATCTAATACAAAGTTAGGAAGTCCATCTTCCAACTGAGCCGCAGGGTCATGTCCACAATCTCAGACATACGAAAGCTAATCTGGTGATATCGTGATCGAGGTCACATTCGACCTAGCGTTGTTCGAAGACCTGAACACTTTCTCTATCGAACATCTCACAAACGTTTGCTGCAAGTCTTCCGGGGTGCTTCGTGGGTTTGTGCATCCTCTAGAGATACAAGTTTCGAAGCAAAAAGCAACGGACAGCGTTCTCCGATCAACGCAACACCAAACACTCACTCCGAGGCGCAAGGAATCAATCCTGCTTTGCCCCGACTACCTTACTCCACCAGGTCAGATCAATGCAATGATGAGAAACGCCGCAACTATGATCCCGTGGCTGCCGCCCCCAAAAAAGCAGCCAGATCATGAGGTGTGCCTTGCGCCATCGAAGCATGACTTTCCCCTCACTTGCCACGCTTTTCGTGGCTTGATGAATGATGAAGGGACCACCTTACCCTTGTGCACAGCGAATGCGGTTCACCCGAAAATAAGCTTGGTATGTATAGGGCGATGTTGCAGGCAGGAGTCGTGGGTAAATTCATCCGCCGAGACAAGACATGTGAACAGCACCTCCTCGATCCTTCAAGTGTCGCAGCAGCAGCACAAGAAGCACAGTCCACGAGTTCTTCAATAGAGCAAGAGCATCCAGGAACGGCATGTGCGCTGGCCTGTGGGGGAATTTGTGTCTGCAGCAGCGCCTCTCGTCGTGTCGATCGCGACGATCGATGGTGAGTGAGGGGCTCGCATTTGTCGCTGCAACGTGGCACAGCTATACCACTGCCTCGGGAACCCTCTCGACCCTGTTTCGCTCCGCGACTCCGTATAGGCAGGAGCGAAAAGGTGTACTCAGGTACCGCAGATAGGGGCGCACACCACAGTGCCGATCGTTCTGTCCAGACTGCGGTAGCTGTCTGGCCGGCTACCGGCTAGTACCTAGGCCAAAGATACCAACACCCACGTCCCTCCCGGGCTCGAAGGCTTCGCGGGCACCCCATGGGTCCGATTCTAGCGCCACTAACGACCGCCAACGCGGTTTAGGCTCAGGAACGGCAGGTCGCCCTGCCTCGAGACCCCGAGTCTGTTGGTAATTTCCACCTCATCAGGGTGCTAACGGCCACTCCTCCGACAGTGGATAGCAGAGCGAGAGACGCGGTTGCACGACAGTCGAAATAGAGCAGCGCTGATCCCGCACCGTCGCAAGGCAGTGATTGACAGGATTGACAAGATTGAGCAGATTGCCGGGCCTCGCACGGAAAAAGGCATTGATAGCGCGCGATTGGCGGAGGCACAGCAGAGAGCGATTTCTTGCATGATGGACGGCGGGTTAGCGCGAGGGCAGCAGCAGGCCGTGCGCGCGTTCGCAAGCGATCATCTGGCGCGTGGTCTGTCTGGCTGCCCCACACCTGCCGGACTGGCTGGTGATTCTTGTTTTGTCATTCGCACCATTGTTTCTTTCTGTCCAGCAATAGTTTTTTGTATTTCGAAAGAGTGAACGAACATTGTTATTATCCTGCACCTTCGGAGAGTCGTCCTGCCCTCCGGCCTTCCCTGTCGTTAGCCGCGTGCCCTGTTGTCGATCTGCCGCTGATTGTCCCTGCCCGCTTCTTCCAAGCACTTTCAGTGTTGCACCAGGTGCGGGGCCAGGCCAGACTGCTCCGAGAAGCAGCACACATTTGCCATTCACCAGGACCGGATCTCTTCTCCTCGAGAGAGTATACGCCGGGTCTTCCTCCTCCAGACTGTCCACTGTTCTCTTGTCTCAGACAGTCAGCAAACCTGGGTCAGCCGGAGTGGAAGCATCACGCGGACGAATCCGACCCGAGAGGCTGAGCATTTGAAACAAGAATAACAAAGGGCACATCAACTCTCGACGTTTCCTCCCACTTTATTAATACAACTTCGGGTCTCGATCACGCGTTCGAGGCTCTGAAGTGAAGCGTAGTCGACAATGACAGCGTCAAAGGTTGGGCTTCTCGCCCAAGCTATCTCGTTCAAAAACAACGACTGACTTTAGTAATCAGGACATGTCTCGCCCGTCAAGTCAGCACCGTGTTTCCGTCGGCTCTACTGCTACGAGTCTACCGCATCGAAGTCCCTACAATCGAACGCACTCGTACAATGCATCGGCCGGCTCATTGGCGGGCTCCAACCGCATCAGTCGGAGGAAAAGCTCGACGTTCTCGCCTGCAGCCCATCAGGCTGTGCTGAGCTCTGCAATGGAGCACGCGGTGGCAGAAGGCTCTGTGCCTGGCAACAGGAGGAGTTCGATGTCGAGGACGGCATTGGCGGCGTTGAACGACGGTGGGCATCCGAGCAGTTTGCCTCAGCAGGGTTCAATGCCCGAAAGAGACACGAATAGTGCTGTGACGGACGGACCTTCGTTGTCGTCGTTCCAGGGCGTTGATCGGGCGAAGGCACGGATGCGAAGAGCGAGCGACGGGACGCGTCTGACGAAGAAGGAGAAGGCGGCTACCGGCGATCTCAAGTGCGAGCACTGTGGGAAAGCGTATAAACACGGTAGCTGCCTGACGAAGCATCTGTGGGTGAAGACATGCCATGAAGTGTTGTGGCATGGTGGCTGACAGCACTCTTACAGATGGGAACACACGCCTCAATGGCAGCAAACCTCCAAATTCCTCATATCGAAGCACCAACAGGTGCAAATGCTCGAAGCCGCCTCCGTCCTCGTGGCCATGACCGGCGAAGCTCCCGGCACAACCGACAGCGACAACTCCTCCTCCCCCGCCGCCTCGGGCTCTTCGGAGCGCGACGACGAGCCCAGCTCCGCGGAGACCACGCCCCCGCCGCACGCAGACATGGCAGCGTACCGGGACAGTAAAAGGTACAGCGGGACGAGCAGCGCGTACTCGCGCTCCTACCAATCCGTCTTCTCGGAAAGCGCGCCGAATGAACACGGCTTCGGACACCATCGAGGCTGGAGTTCGTCGAGTAACCGTCCCTTAACGGCCGCGACCTCTATCGCGGAAAGCTACAAGGACGAAGACCCAGCAGATTTGGCAGCGGCAGTGGGCCTGCTGAGTTGCAGCTGGGGCACGCCGAACCAGCGCGCAGCGAACTTGCCAAACGATATCCCGCCTGTCCCGCCTTTGCCGGAGAAATACGCAAATTTCTCCTCGTACAGACGACAAACCGACGTCGAGATGGAGGACGATGATGAGAGCTCGGACGACGAGCCCCCTCAGCGCATGCAGCCGAATGACGAGGATGTGGAGATGTTTGGGAAAATGGACGCGTGACCATACGGGATCTTTTGGGGGTTGCGGGATAGGTTTTTCCTGCAGCTGGCGTTCCCTTTTCTATTGGGATTGGGACTGGGACCGGGACTGGGACGTAACGGACGGCATGAACTTGGACACACCACGCGGAAAGTATCATCATCAGCAACAGCAACAGCAAAAACATTTGAAGAAAACCCATTATGGGAACAACGAAACGAACGAAGATGGCGAATTTGGCTCCGCTATACGTCGACTCGGCACCGATGGGCGGGCCTGCGGTCTGGTCGAAAGACGGATTCTGAGGCTTGCGAGGTTAAAGCCGAGAAGACCTGGTTACGCAAGCGTTGAGCAGCGGGGATATGAGATGCATATTCCCATCATTGCATTTGGAGAGGGGTGTGTCTAATTGGATGCGGCATCCTGTTTCACTCGGTTTTGGATAAGGACGGCAATGGTGGCAGGGAGCTGCCGAATACTTCTCAAGAAGGGACTTGGAGAACAGCGGGAAGGGTGATGGATGATTGACTAGGGTGTGTTGGATGAGCTTAGCAATATCATTAGTCGAGTTGTATGAAGAGCGCTGGGAGGGCGCTGATCTTTATACATTATCATTACTGCTCCTGCGTGTTTGTCTGGGGTATCTTGCTTGCTTGATTAAGTACATCATCCGTCTCTACCCCTCTCTGCCATATGCGCATAGCAAGGCCTCACAGCATCCCCATCCCCACCACCACGCCCACAGCCCAGACAACCACACCCTCGGTTCCTCCTTCAACCCCTCCCCTCACCGCCCCACCAGTCGACGCTCCCATACTACTACTACTGCTCGCCCCCGCCCCCACCCCTTCCGTCATCGTCCCCGTCCCACTCGGCAGCCCATCCCCAACCACCGCTCCACTCGCTTCCACCGGCCTCCCATCCGCATAAAGTGCTGTCCCAGACGCAGCAACCGAATATGTAGTCCCTCGGATTTCGGTGGGATGGCCCGGCGCGACGGGCGTGTTCGCGATGATGTAGGTTTTGATTGCTGTGGGGCGGGGATGGGGGTCGAGGAGCAGGCCGCCTGAGGAGGCTATTGCGCTTGGGGGCTCAGGGGAGGAAGAGGGGTGGGTGGTTGGGCGGCTGAGTGGGTTGGGTAGGGAGCCAGAGTAGTGCGGAGGTTGAGGAGGCCTGGATTCTTCGGGGCCGTGGTGGGAAAGGTGGAAAAGGCGGGAAGGTTGATGCCCGTGTGGTGTAGTTATCTGGCTGTAGAGGATGAGGCTGGATTTGGTGATGATGGTTACGGAGGGGTAACTGGATGGGTCGGGGGTTGCGAGGTCGTTGTTGTATGAGGTTGTGACGGCTGGATGCGTGTCAGAAGTGGAGTGGTGAGAGGTTTGAAGAGGTGTAAACGTACCTTCTGATGTGATGTTGGAGGAGCCCTCTGCGGTGACCACGCTCCAACCCAATGAGGCCGCGAGGAGGAGGGTTTGGAAGAGTCCCATTGTGGTTGTGCTGTGGTGTAGCACTTTCGTCTTGATCAAGGGAACGGCATAGATGGAGTGTGTGCCTTCGGGAGGACAAGATGCATTATAGAAAAAAATGAAAGGACCTCCTTACACTCTTTACATACCTCCGACAGCGTCGATCATACCAGAGTCAGGACGAAACGGATGATCGCCATCTCCAAACACCAAACTCCAAACGCTGACCGGCGCGCTCGTGCCTGTGTCCGGCGTCATACTGTCTCTGTGCTTCATCAAGAGACGTCAGGCGATCTGCAGCTGACTGCGCTGGTCTGCGCTACAGATGGGGATCAACGAGGTTGGAGACGCGCTTGAACAGGACTTGACGTTGAACAGGATGAAGCTCAAGTTGCATGTGATTGGCTTGAGGAAGGCGGGAGCTAACGGATGGCTGCATGTCGCCCTTCAGGCGGCCTCTGGGGCAAGAGCGCTCTTGCGAGGCTGACTTCACGCTTCTTGTACAAACCAACACTTGTATTGCTGGTGATAGCAAGATAGTCAGTATGGTGGTGTTATACCTGGACATCTGCGACAATTACGATGGCCGTTATTAGCTTTGGCCACCACTGGAAGGCCTGGACTGTGACCCTTCTGGTAGGCGCCGCATTGATATTGGCCGTATTTACGACTCAGCAGTTCTACGTGTACACACCCAGCCATGAGCCGGTATATGTACCTGAGGTCGACAGTAGCCAAAGCCCGGAGAAGGTCGACAGTGGCCAAACCCCGGACATCGACTATGCCTCGCCACGAAGGACAGAGCGAGTCTTACCCGACTTCTGCGATGCCTTCGATGTCAGCAAGATTGCCATCTCCATCAAAACCGGAGCAACAGAACCTCGGAACAAGATACCAACTCAGCTGATGACATTTCTTCGATGTATCCCGGATGTCATGCTATTTAGCGATCTCGAGCAATCTATTGGAGCTCACAAGCTGGAAGATGTGCTATCCTCGTTTTCGGAAGCCTCTATGCAAAACAACGTGGACTTCGACCTCTACCGCAAGCAGCAGGAGTATGCTAAGCAAGGCCGTGAGACCGAATTGGGCAATCTCGGGGAGATACCGATCCCTTACGATGACTGGCGGACTTCAGGCAAGAGCGCCGCTTGGGGACTGGACAAGTATAAATTCCTACACATGATCCAGCGGGCTTGGGAGCGTCAGCCGAACAAAGCCTGGTATGTCTTCATCGAGGCCGACACGTATCTATCGATCAGCAACCTGCTGCGCTTCCTGGACACGCAAGACCCGAAGCAGAAGCTTTACTTTGGAAATAATATACGGATGTGGGAGCATCCTACTCCGTTAGACTTTGCGCACGGCGGCTCTGGCTTTATATTATCCGGAGCTACAGTCAAAGCCTTCGCTGCGGCGAAGACCAGCATCGCACGCTCATTCACTCCAGGTCGGATCTCGCAGTGGTGGTACGGCGATTTCGTGGTCGCTGATGCACTGGATGAAGAGCTAGGCGTGAAGGTGACCGGCCTCACACCCATGATCAACTCAGACGAACCTGCCGTGCTCCCTTTCGACCGCAACGTCTGGTGCAAACCCGTCATCACCCTCCACCATATGGACGCACGCCAATTCGACGAGATGTACAAGTTCCAGAAAGCTCGCAATTTCTCCGAGCTGCTCTTCCGGGACGTCTACGCCGCGACGGCGCACAGCAACGGCATACCGCTTATGGGCGAACTATGGGACAACCTCTCCGACGACGAGAGGTACGGTCTGGAAATCCGACCAAACGATCTCAGCCGCATCAAAGGAGACGAAGAGAACGAACGCCTCCGGGACCCCAACGCTTCATACGAAGCTTGCGAAGCTGCTTGCGATCAGAATGGGCATTGTTTCCAATTCTCGCATGTCGTTAAGATGAGGCAGATCGACGAAGGAAGACCGGGCGAGCAAAGGAAGTGTCATCTGAGCAAGGTGTTTCGATTCGGGAAAGAGGTGCTGCCGGCGGAGCACGAGCCCGGGACGCAGTGGACGAGTGGCTGGATGACGGAGAGGATTCGGAGGTTTGTGGATGGGAATCGGGAGTGTCCCGATGTTGTGTGGGATGTTATCTGATCGTGGACATATGTCTGCGTGTGGGGATCGCAGAGAACTACTTGTGAGCACTTGGAGGGCCAGTGGAGGTCGACGATGGTTCTGTTGGAATGGAAAAGCTTCATATCTGCCTTGCCCGATCGTTCGGTCTTGGATGACAAGTACCTGCTCAACCGCTTCAGGCCGGAGTGCTCACGGCGGTTGCATGCAATATCTACAGAACCCGTCCTGCGCGTACCGTCGCTGGTTCGATGGGAGAGGAGCACGACTAGCAAAACGTCGGTCCATCGACTCAGTTCCTCTGCTCGGGATTCCAGAACTGGAGGAAGTCGTTGTACAGCTACATCGTGCGGCATGCCTGACCGCTATCGTTGCGGCAGATACAGCCTCGTTCACGGCCGCGGTGAGATGACCAACCCACGTTGCAGGAACCAACCCCGAGCAGTCCCTCCCAGGTCCGGACATGCCATTTGATACGGTGGTAACACGACTAACCCACGTTGCATACGCAGTCAGACATAGCGACAATCATCGCGCGCTTACTTTGCTTTTTGACTGGTCGAGATCGTGGCACGACTAGCGCAGGGTGCATATGCGGCCTCACTACGGTCGTTCTTGCACCAGAGTTCGTGCTTGAGTTGGAGTCTGGGGTTCTTGCGAGGGTTCGAACGATGCTGGGTGCTGGCTGGTCGAGCGGGGAGGACGACTAGTAGATGTTGCATATGCGGCCTGCAGACGTTCACAGGGTACATGCAGACATGCGGCTCTCCAGTCCACTGGTCGGGAGATGGTAGCACGACCCTGCCGCATCTGTGGGCTGGACCGCTCGTGCACCCGCCGACCTTGAGCTTCTACCCCCGACTGGGCGGCCGGGTAGCACGGCTAGCTGACGTTGCATATGCCGAGCTCATACCTCGTGCTACCACTGGCATCCAGGCCTGCCGTTGGAGTACTTGTCGATCGACTGGATGGATCGGTAGGACGACTAGTGCACGTTGCATATGCATCGCTCGACAGCCGCATGTTACACAATGCTGCGAGGTGACTCACTTCGCGCTTTCGACAAGTGTTTTTAACGCAGACGGACGGTGCAAAGACCGCATCACTCGATCAAAGCAAACAGGAGCAGAACGATACGGGGAAGACGACGCCGACTTTCACTCGCGTGAAAGGTTCAAGGAGCTACCGAGTCTACGCATCAAGCTGGATTCACCAGCCCCATCCCTGTCCAGAATCGCATCGGGGAGTTGCCGACATACTACACCGAGTTCTTCTCCATCCGTGACCTTCATCCGCCTGTCCGCCTCGTCCCAGGGCCCTTCACCGGTCCAGCTGCAAGAACATCGACTAGTGTCCGCAAAACACCCGGTGCCCAGGAATATCCTCACAATACGGCGGCCCACAGTGTTCCTTGATATGCCAGGTGTACATGGAGCTGCATCCGGCTCCCACGCACAGTTTGCAGGTCAGCTATACGAAAGCGCTCAGGTCAGCGGAAGACGATGTGCTTGCTCAAGCCCAAGCTCACTTACCACGAACGCGTGATTCTTGTTGCAAGCATTGCGCTGCGTTAAGCCGATACATGGTCCGCCGACTTTGTACGTTGGTGGAATGGCTGGGCCGGCGTGTCCGCCGACTGCTAGGCAAAGGCTGGTAATGATGACTGCGAGCTTGGGATGCATCGTGCTGCTGGTAGAGAGAGGTGTATGATCTGGGGACGACAGGCTCAAAGATCCGAGGTAGGAGCAGGAAGGTGATATACAATTCTCGATCCTTTGTGAGGAGACGACGAATTGGCAGGACCTTTTCAACTGATTCCGCCCCATTGAACGCCTTTGGCTCGAAGCTTGTGGATTGGGCGTAACGCATGTTCGAAGGATCGTGGCAACTATGCGCAGGGTGAGTCACGCTGACCGCTGGTATATGAACAAAGACCCTCTTGGCCCCATCGCAATCAGCTGACATCCTGTGGTACCAGTAACACGAATCAACACACAAGAAGTATGCCCTTCGACCTAAGCTACGCCGGGGTGCCCGTGTACAGTCTTGGCCCCAATGTCTACTCTCCGCATTGCTCTGACATCCTTCTGCAAACTCGGATCCACTACCACGTTCTGGCTTCACGCAAGCGTTTGACAAGACGCCCCAAGCACCAGATCAAGGTGCATTGGAAAGCTTCGGCGACGCCTTAGCGTTGCTTCGCGAAGATACCTTCCATGGCGCCAGGATAGGTGCACAAAGATATGAGGGTCAAGGTTCTGCCGCCAACAACTTCCAACACCCATCAGACATGCAGTCGTCTCGACCTCCACCGCTTTTGGCCAGGATGGCTTCTTTTTCGACTCGGGCGTTCGTCCTCTTGTCACTGCTTGCTCCCTTCATGAGCACAGTCCATGGCTTTCGGATCAATTTCTGGCTGGGAGAGAGATGCTCTTCCGCCGAGATCAGCACTCGCAAGGAGAACTACACACCTCACGGCAAATGCTACATCATCCCGGTCAACGCCCAATCAGCTACGGTTAACAAGCAATCGGTTGACAGGGCGAGAGATGGTGAGTCTAAATTGCGCTGTACGAGCCCACTCTTCCTCTGGCTTACTCAACCATGAAAGTTGTCGCTTTCTATCAGGGCAAGCACTGCGGGCACAGGCTAGCTTCCACGAACGGTGGTTGTGTCGACTTCACTGGGACCGGGCACAACGCAGGGTCCTTCAGGATCTTTCGCCATGGCAACACGAAGAGGAACGACGATGCAGATGCCGTCGAGCTTCACGAAGCATCCAGCAGTGTGGCCGCCGCCGACGACCCAGATCCTTACGGCCAGTTCGCAGCAGGCTTCGGCCACGGCAACGTCACGGACCTCTGGGGCGAGACCTACAAGTGGTGGCAAGCGGCACCAGGAGTCCACTTCGGCATCCCGCTCGACGAATGGGACGACGACATCCACACCATCAACGCGCAGTCCCTTCAGATGAACGACGAGCCCGAAGACCTCTCCACCGCCATCTCCCTCCCCGAAGGCCGCAGCCTCGACAAACGCCTCAACATCGACTACTGCGTCCGCACGCTCAAAACCTGCGCCCGCGAAACCAACGCCGCCGCCTTCGTCGTCGCGGACTACTGGGGCCGCGCCGCCCACAAAGCCGCGAAAGCGGTCCCCATCGCGCACAAATTCTACGACTGGACCCACAAACACCCCTTCTCCGTCGGCTTCGTCACGGCGGCCGGGACCGGGCTCGCGGGCTTCGGGCTGGGCCAGACGAGCGGCGGGGCGACGGCGCAGGATAACGATCAGTTGCAGCAGTGCTCTACCGCAGGAGCGCCGAAGAAGGAGGTGGATGGGTTGATTGAGTCGGTGGTTAATGCTGGGACGAGCCAGGACGCGAGTTGCTCGGTGGATATCACGTTGAAGGACGGGAATATTCTGCAGGTGCATGCGGCGGTGTATAAGAAGGGGCATGTGCCGGCGCATATTCCTTGCAAGGCTTAATGGGGGTGGGAGTGTTTCCTGTGCAGGCGGGGCAAGGCAGGAGTGCGAGTAAATATTCTCGTTGAGAGTCGGAAGATGAGTCGTTTGCAAGGGGCTGTATTGGGTGCATTCACGTTCTCACAGACGAAAAATCAGACCAGTCCTTACAGCTTTGCAATTGAAACCGGCCCGCACAGCAGAGCCGGCCCAACCATCCCGATCCAGTACGCTCGGGTATGTCTGACGTCTCCTGGCTGCGGTTTAGAATACCTATCCGACAAAAACGTAGCCTCAACCCCTTTCCCAGCATACATCACCCACTAGGCTCAGGTCAGCCATTCAACGTTGCTGCGTCGTCAGTTCCACTCAGATTGCAGCATCGGCTTACCGCAATACTCTGAAGGAATACCTTGTAATTCAGGCTTCTGATAGAGACGCCGTCTGCTGGCAGAGAGGGAAGCAGGAACGAGGGAAGCCGCCACCGCGTTTCATGAGATACGCAGCACCTCCCCTCAGAGCACGGGACGATGTGGGATGCAACAGGAGCTAGTCGTGCCACGAGCACGAGCGCGGGCAAGTACACGTAGTTGGCAAGGAGCCCAGGGATGCCCGCCGTTCACCGAGAGATCCCCCTGTACATACGCTGAAGAGCACTTGACAGCTGGGACGTCGTACCCGTGCTGTGTGTGGGAGTTCAATCTGGTATCAATCTCATTTCTCTCGCCGCCATCCGCTCCTCCAGCGCCGAGAGGGGTATATATAAGGCCAAGGTACACGTATGAACAGCACACAAGCCCGTACCCACAAAAGAACAAACCGCATCCCTTCCGCCGACCCCGTGAGTATGTCAAGAATCCTGGAGTAATGAACAAAGCAAATACAAACAACAGCCCGCTCGAACGCTGTCACAACACAATTCCGCTTGCTCCTGCTCCCGCGCCCGTGCGCGATCTCGAGTGAATGATGAAAAAGTGAAAAAAGAAAAAAGAGGTTGTCTGCCGCCTCCTTGCTGTAGTCCACGTCCAGTGCTGTCGAACCCCTTTCCCTCTTCCTCTCCCAGACTCCACCTGTCCCTCGGCGAGCAAGTTCGGCACGCTCACATAACAACACAACACCCACATCCCCCTTTCTTCTTCTCCCCGCCCGTATCCTCCTCCTTCTCATCGAAATCCGGAATCCTAGGCGTAGGATTATGCGGCTGTGCCTGCGCTCCCTGCGCTTGCCCTTGAGGGGCTGAAGGCGTCCTCTGAATAGCTGGCGGCGTGGTGATGGTGGGCGTGATCTTATACCCGCCGCTCGTCCCGGGCCGCGAGCTCGGGGTCTCGCTTTTGGGCGTCAGGGGCCAGGCGTTCGTGTTGGCGGAGTTGGGGGAGGGAGGAGATTGGGGTTGGAAGCCCGGGCTGAGCGCTGCGCTGGCCTTACTAGGCGAGTTGGAGCGGTCGCTTGGGAGGCGGTTGAGCTGCGGGCTGGTCGGGCTGAGCGGCGTAAGTGGTAAAGCCTTCGCCTTCTGCGGTGGCAGCTCGGTGTCGTTGATGGGGCGGAAGTCGCGGTCGTAGGCTGTGCCGGCTTTGCCTTCTTTCTCCCATTGGTCCTGCATCATGCGTTTGGCGTGGGTGGGCAGCATTTGCTGGTCGGGAGGCAGGCGGGGGTCGGGTTTGTACATGCTGGCGATCCAGGGGGCTTCGCCCTCGGGGGCGTGTTGGCGGCTGGTGGAGGGGCGGGACTGATGGCCTCGGGAGACGGGGCGGGTTTCTCTGCTCACGCTGGTGCGTTGTTTGCTTGTGATAGAGCCGTTGGGCGTGCCGATCTTGCGGGCGCCGGATGTAGGCGTGGCTTTGTTTGGTAGGCGTGACTTCGGGGGTGAGTTGTTCTCACCAGAAGATCCGAGGTTTGAGCTGCCTGGTCGTGGAGGTGTCCGTCTGCCATCGTCGTCGAGGAGGACTTGGCTGCCAATACTATTGCTCCGAGCTCTCCTCGCATACTGCATATCGTCCCATCCTGGGTTCCCACTCCACGCATTGCTATTCCCGCGACTGCGCGGTAGAGGTGAGTCTCTATCCACCACATTCGACGGCACAGGCACAGGGCTCGCTTTCGACACCGGTATCCGCGACGTACTAGGTCGGATCAAATTCGACCTCGAAGAAGGGCCATGCTCAGCAGCCACCTCTTCCGGCGTGCGAAACTCTGTATCCACCGTCGGGTTGAAGTCCTGCTCCTCCTCATCTGCGGCCGGTATCGTAGAGATGCGCTTCCGCTCAAAATCCTCATACCCCGAATACGCATTATACTCCTCCTCCGACCCCTGCTCCGCCGTCTTATCCTTACTCGGCCTCCTCGAGCGCGACTGCGATCTACTAGACCTGGCACTCGCGCCCGGCCCGGCACTAACAGACCGTCGGTACGAGCTCACATCGATCCCCGCTGCCGCCATCTCCTGAATCTCAATCTGCGCCAGCTTGTCCCGGTGTATCCACAACGTATCATCCACCGGCTCTGGCGTCTCCTTCTTCTTCTCTCGCAGAGTATTCCGTGACCGCTTCCGCATGGCCGAGGCATTGGTCGCTTTGACCGATTGTCGCCGGACTTTCAGCTCTTCGGAGTCGGACATGATGTTCCATGCGTCGCTGGGGACGCGGCGGATGCCTTTGCCCTGGCTGTAGTCGTTGGAGTCTTGTCGGCGGGCGGAGGGGTGGAGGTCCTCGTAGGTCTCTGTGGGGGAGGTGTTGCTCCATTGTCCGCTCATCGTTTGCGCCATGCCCGTGACGTCTGTCTGTACCACCTTCTCCTCCCACGATGTGTTGTCGCTGCACCCGCTCGATTCTGTGTCCCCAGAACCCCAGTCGCTTCAATGCACCCTTCGCTTCGCAATCCCGTCCTCTGCCTTCCACCACCGCGGTGAAGCTTCCACCCAATGGAAAGTCGGTCGTCTGCGGTATGAATGATCCAATGCCTGCCGGTGAGATTCGTGAAAGTGAGAGTATTGAAAAGTCACCGCCAATCAACAAAACTCGTCCTCACCACCGGCAGCACTGGCTACATCAGCCTGCATCAGTTAGAGTGCCGCGAGGGGACCGCTGGCGTCGCAGATCGGCCTGGACTGTGGTTTCCGTATGCACAGAAGAAATATGGAGTACCGTAATCAACAATCGCCGTCATGCAGCGACATGACTAGAAGACAAACTGTCAAAAGGCTTGAAAGGAACGGGCAGCCAACGTTCACGAGAACGGCAGGCACATGAGATTGCGCGCGCTCGTGCTCTCGTGTGTAGAGTTTCTATCGACTCCTACCCCGGCAAATTGCCCCCCTGTTCGAGCACTAACGGCCTGTGCCGGGTGGGATTGACGGCGATCATACAGATCGTTAAGAGGAATCAACACATGGGTCTTGCTACAGATCAGTCAACTTGAATGGCATTTCCAAGTGACCAGTTGTCGGGGAGTTATCTCAAACAAACTAAGCTCGTTTGGTACGACTGCAACACCATCCCACGCCTCATCAACGGCGATTAACCGCGAGCCACACCACCCCAATCACCCATCATCCTACTGACTAATCACCCCCCTCCTCCCCCTCCTTCTCCTTCACCGCAAACGTCAACCCCCCACTCTCCCTCCCCCTCGCATCAACCATCTTCGCCTCATACCGTCCCCCCTCCCACAAATCCTTAATCGTCAACTCCCTCGTCCGCCCCAGACTCTCAATATCCCCGATGCGCGTCAACGTCGCCTCCAAAAACTCCTCAAACCCAGGTTGCGCGCAGACTTCGCGGAAGGCGTTCATCATCGGCACGCTGTCCGCTCGCACCATGGCGTTGCTGTCGATGGTGAAGACGTTGATGGCGTCGTAGCTTTGTATAAAGTCCGCGCGGGTCATGACCTGGCGCGCTTTGTGTAAAGGCATCTGCGGTAAGATGTGGCCTTTCTCCGGGTCGTAGGTGGCTTCCATGTCCTTTTCGAGATCGACGAGGGCTTTCGCCAGCACCATGGCGGCCGAGGCGTATTTCTGCTGGTCCATGACGTCGTCGTCCATTTCCATGCCGAGGATCCAGCATTTGTTCAGGAACCACGTCTTCTCCATCTGACAGATATCTTTGGCCGTTTGCAGCATATCGGCCGATTTGGCCACGCGGCCGAGGTAGGAGAGGCGCCCGCCGACGAGGTCGTACACTTGTTCGAGGATCTGTGGGGAGGTCCGCTCGCCGTGGAATTTGAGGCGGTAGTTTGATAGGGCGGAGAGGGCTTTGGGCTTGTTGAGGTCGAGGATGGGGATGACGTTCATGCGGGTGGCGTATTGTTTGAGGCGCTCGTAGATCCAGTAGTCGTCGGAGTTGAAGACGACCGTGGCGAGGTTGCTGGCGGCCCATTGCTCGGCGCGCTGTTGCAGGAGTTCGAGCAGATCGCGGCCTTCGTCGTCGTCGCGGAGCAGGTGCATGGAGTTGACGATGATGATGAGGGGTTTGTTGAGGCGGTCGCGGCGCTTGAGGGCGACTTTCTCGAGTTTGTTGAAGGCGCGCTCGACGTCCAGCAGGGCGGAGGCGTCGCGGGGCCCACGGATGGAGAAGAGGGAGCCGATGTTGTCTTCGTGGAACTCGAAGTCGAGGGCTTTGCCGAGGCGAATGCGGAAGATCTCTGGGTCGGCGTGGGCGTCGAACATGGCGCAGCCTTCGCCGTCTATTTTGGCCATGGCGTCGATGAGCATGCTGGACTTGCCGGTGCCTTTCTCCCCGACGAGGAGGAAGTACTGTCCCTTGGCTTTGCCGGAGACGATTGCGTCGATGAGTGCCTGTTCATCCCGCAGCACCCAGTGCTCCATTTGCTTCCCCTGGTCTGCGGCGTCCTTTGGGTAGTCGGATGGTAACCCTCTTTTTGCGGTTGCTGCCAGGTCGAGGACAGGGTCGCCCGGAGCGAAAGCATTCTCCATCTTTTCGAGAATCATGTACTTGTAGTACCGCGTGTAGCTGTAGCCGACGATTCTGTAGTGGATATGAGCTTGCTGGTTGCGCATGAAGGCGGACTCAACTCACCCTAAAATCGCCACCGATGCCAACGTCGTCAAAGCTGCCTCGGCCATCTTGAAAGTCGTCTCCTTCCAGTTGAACTTCGTCTTTTCATCCTTCTTGGGTGGTTCCTTTCCTGATCCGTCTGCCTCGTCCGGTGGACCCGGATTCTGCGGTCCAACGTCCATTGTGACGAGCTGCCTCCGGCACGCCCATGGTGGTTGAAGAGGTCTTGGTATTTGAGGTCCAACTGGACTGAATGGTTTGTGAATATGTGGCGGAAAGAGCGAAGACTTGTTAAACAGCTGTCGAGCTGGTGTTAATGAGCGGACGGCCATGTTGGCCAATGTCTCCAATCCTAATCGCCCGTCGCGTACTTTTATCCTGATCGCGTCATATCCGCTGGCAGAACGACATTGTCAATTTCTGTTATTACGATCGTATACCAGAAATAAAAGACACTCGAACAACACCAGATCACGCTCAGGAGGGCAGGTCCTGCCTTCTTGGTATTTTGACAAGGATGCGTCGACACGCTACGCGTTCCGGACCGGCTCTACTGTAACTCAATTCTCTCTGCAGCTGTCATGATGCGAAGACATGGATTGAATGCGCATGTGAAGGTGTGAGTTTTCCTGCCAATCCCTCGAACATCTCCATGGAAGGGTTGCAAGATAAAGCAGGAGCACAGGTATGTAGTAGCAGGATCTCCAACTTCCAACGTCATCGTCATCAAACAACGCCCGGGCGAAACCGGCAGCGTCGGTTATGACCTGTGCTTGATCCGAGTCGAGCTAAGAAAATATGCTTTTGGACGTGTGATTTGGTTCTCAGAGACACCTCTTCCATTGCTTGCAGTGTTTGCTTCTGTGTACTATATTCATCGATTCGCCTGCGGGTTCCCTGTAATACTATTGCCCTTGTTCCATCCGACGCTCGCTCAGCACTTGCTTGTGATACCCATTGAAGAGGAGAAGCCGGCAGATTGACCAAGCTCCTGGAGTATGGCCGACAGATCGACTGATGGTGAGTCTACTCATTCATATGCACAACACATCATCCCCATGAACGAAGCCATTGGACAATGCCACGCAATGGCCAGCTAACATCAATCAACAGCAGACGTCGATGCACAGTCCAAACCGCCCTCCGACACCTCATCCAACGAGCACGCGACACCCCCCGAAGCCAATGGCACTCTGACCAACGGCACGTCCACCGAAGAGAAGCAGCAGGATGGCGAGAATGGCGAACAACCACCCCAGACGGACAATGTCTTCCAACTCACCATCGAGCTGCCGCATGCTCCCGGGCAGACGCAGATCATGGTTTCAACCCAAGAGCAGGTTCAGGACATCCGGCAATCGATCATAGACACGCCGCACACCTTCCAGTACTCCTGCTTCCATCTTGAGCACAAGGGCAAGCGTGTCAATGACTTCATCGAGCTGTCTGAGGTCCCGGACATTGTTCAGGAGCCGACATGCAAACTGGTGGAAGACCCTTACACCGAAGCGCAAGCACGCGTGCATGTTGTTCGTGTACGAGAGCTGATCGGTGCAGCGGGAGACCGGACGGACCTGGTCATGGGCATTGATGCCGGCTTGAGCTTATGCGATAGCATAGACCTTCCTAGCAGCAAGAGCGGCGATGAGTCGAATCCAGTCGCGAACTACGACGTCAATGCGCCAGGTTCGGTGTCTACACTACTGGCGAAGTCGCGAGAGGCAGCGCCAAAGACGGTCAAGAACATCTCGCTGTCCGCATGGAACCCACCTCCACCACACCTTCGAATGCGCGGCCATCTGCTCTACCTGCAGGTGACCACGAACGAGGGCGAGCAATACTACATCACTTCCGCAGTCACAGGATTCTACGTCAACAAGTCCACCAATAACAAATTTGACCCGACACCTCGCAGCTCACCCAAGGCTTTCTCCGCACACTCCCTCATCAGCCTACTGGAACAGGTATCACCATCCTTCGATTCCTCTTTCCGTAAGCTCCAGGAACACAATGGCCAGCGAGACCCACTAGCCGCCTACCAGCTCTCGAACAGCATACCCTCCGCGCCATGGCTCGTCTCAGCATCCTCTACGCACCAGCATCAAGCCGACCTCACGCGAACACAGGAAGCCTACCTTCTGGCCGGCGCAGAGAACGCTGAGACCTTGCGCGACTGGAATGAAGAGTTCCAATCGACCCGAGAGCTCCCGAAAGAGACGGTGCAGGACCGAGTGTTCAGAGAGCGACTGACGAGCAAGCTGTTCGCCGAGTACAATGAAGCGGCAGTACGAGGCGCAGCGCTGGTTGCGAGAGGGGAGGTACAGCCTCTCAATCCAACGGAAGCAAGAGATGCGCAGATCTTCGTGTACAACAACGTCTTCTACTCCTTCGGCGCGGACGGTGTCGGCACTTTCGCGACAGACGGCGGGGACGAAGCGGCGCGCATAGCGACCGGCAAGGATGTGCAGGGCGTCAAGGCTGTCAACCAGCTGGACATCAACGGCCTCTTCACACCAGGCACCGTGGTTGTCGACTACTTGGGAAAGAGGGTAGTAGGCCAAAGCATCGTGCCTGGGATCTTCAAGCAGCGGGACCCCGGCGAGCACCAAATCGATTACGGCGGCGTTGAGGGTAGGGACATCATCGCGTCCATGGAAAGCTTTGTGCAGCCCTTTAGCGAGCTGAGCAAAGCGATGCGCGTGAAGCGTCACGCAGTGTGGGACAAGGAGGGCAAGAAGCACGAGCTAGAAGCTAGCGTAGAAACCAAGGGGCTGCTAGGCACGGATGGCCGGAAATATGTGCTGGATTTGTACCGTGTGACGCCGCTGGATATCCACTGGTTGGAGAAGTATTGCGGCAAGGAGCAGGAGGAGGGCAAGCGGTACCCGCATAGGATGACGGTGCTGAGGCCCGAGTTGGTGGATTCTTACAGGATTGTGAAGTTGAGGGAGTATATTGCCAAGGAGGTTGAGAGGAAGAGAGCGGGGCAGGGGCAGGAGGGGGAGAAGGGGGAGTTGACGAATGGAGAGGCGAAGGACGAGCAGAAGCAGACGAATGGCGAGGCGAAGAGTGATGGCGAGGATGCGGACAAGAACGGCGAGACTGCGGTTGAAAAGGCGGATCAAGGCACGAAGGAGCAACGGCCGCAGGAAACAGTGGATGTGTCTGGCTTCTCGTTCACGCTCAACCCGGACGTCTTCTCCGGTCAAAAACCACAGAGCGACGAGGAGAAGGCCGAGTACGAAGCCGACGAGGCAGCTGTCCGCACAGTCTGCACGTACCTCACATCCGAAGTCATCCCCAGACTCGTGCGCGAGATGCAAGAAGGCGAAGCTGGCTTCCCAATGGATGGTCAGAGTCTCGTTCGTGAAATGCACAAGCGCGGCATCAACGTGCGGTACCTAGGCGAGATCTCACGATTGTGTTCAGAGCAGAAAGACGACAAGCGCGTGCAGGCGCTCGGCCAGCTGTGCAGACAGGAGATGGTAAGCAGAGTGTTTAAGCACTTTGCCAATGCTCAGTTGAAGGAGCTACCTGCTTGTTTTGCGCAGTACTGCATCAGCCATCTGCTGAATTGCTTGCTTGGTGCTGGGCTGAACGGCAATCCGCAGTATGAGGTTGATGACGAGTTGAAGGCGATGTATCCGGATACTGAGTTCTCGTTCGGCAAGGTCACGCCTCAGAGCTTGGCTGCTGAGGTGAGAAGGCAGGTTGAGCTTCGCTACCGGATACAGCTAGAGGGTGACTTGGTGCCGGCGGGCAGGGAGTTGCAGATGCTACGGGAGGTGTGCATGAAGCTCGGTCTTCAGCTTGAGGCGAAGGAGTACCGGTTTACAAAGGAGCAGCTTGCACCCCAGCAGCCTAATGGTCTGGCGACAAAGGCATCATCCGACTCGCTTACTGTTCCGCAAACGAACGGCGCTCATCCGCCCTCAGAAGGCGGAAAGAAGAAGAAAAAGAATAAGGCCGATCATTCGCCTAATCGTGCTGCTTCGGCTTCACCAACACTACCGCCTACCACGTTCCACCCGGACAACATCCTCAACATCGTCCCCGTCTTCAAGGATGCCGCCCCTCGGAGTGTGCTCGCCGAAGAAGCCCTCGACGCCGGCCGCATGTCCCTCCAGCAAGACCAGAAAGAACTCGGCCAAGAGCTCCTCCTCGAGTCGCTCAGCCTCCACGAGCAAATCTACGGCATCCTCCACCCCGAAGTCGCGCGCGTCTACTACGCCCTCTCCACCATCTACTACAGCCTCGAGGAGAAGAACGCGGCCGTCGAGCTGGCCAAGAAAGCCGTCATCGTCTCCGAGCGCACCCTCGGCATCGACAACGCCGAGACCATACTGGCATATCTCAACCTCTCCCTCTTCGAGCACGCGACAGGCAACACCAGAGATGCTCTGGCGTACGTGCGTCACGCGCTGGAGCTGTGGAAACTCGTCTACGACGCCCGCCACCCGGACTCCATCACCACGCTCAACAATGCCGCCGTGATGCTGCAGAGCCTGAAGCTCTTCCACGAATCCCGCCTCTGGTTCGAGGTGTCTCTGTCGATCTGCGAAGACCTGAGCGGCAAACACGCCATCGCGACCGCGACGCTGCTCTTCCAGCTCGCGCAGGCTCTTGCATTAGATCAGGATAGCAAGCAGGCGGTGGCGAAGATGCGGGAGAGCTATAGCGTGTTTAAAGCGGAGTTGGGGGCGGAGAACCCGAATACGAAGGAAGCGGAGAACTGGCTCGAGACGCTTACGCATTCGGCGGTTAGTCAGGCGAGGCAGGCGAATGCGCTGCAGAACAGGAGACTGCTTTTCAGCGGTAGGGGAGGGAGTAGGATGCCGAGGGTGGCGATGGGGGGACGGCCGGCGCCGCCTGTTGCTGGCACCGCGGGGAATGAGGTTGTTGGTGGGGTTGGGCAGGTTGGGGGAGGTGTAGGTGGTGGGGTTGGGGGTGAGAGGACGGGTCAAGGGATCGACCAGAGGAATCTGGACGAGTTGTTGCGGTATATTAACGGCGAGGCGGGGCAGGCGAGCAGTACGCCGAAGAAGAAGACGGCGAATCCTAAGAGGAGGCAGGCGAGGGTTGGGGCTTGAGGGGTCTCACCTGAGTGCTGTTGGCTGTCAATGGTGGGGTGGTGGGGTGTCGGTCAGGGATATCAGGACTGGCATTGCGGAATCAAGGAGATGGGGTGGAAAGGGCATGGTTTTGTTGGCTTGAACTTGCATTGCATTGCGTTGCGTTGCGTTGCGTTGGCGTGTGTATATATATGTGACTGCTGTTGGGGGGCTCGACATCACCACTCTAGATGCTGTAGGATTATGTAGCAATACTGTTGTGTATACCTCCTCTCCCCTATACACCTCTCACCGTTACATATATCCTAACCTGAGTGGTGGTGGTGATGTCGTCGGTCTTCTAGCACGTGACTCGACCAAAACCTTCGATTCTGTCTTGGCAGCTCCCGGCAACCCAAACTTTTCACGTCGGCTTTTCGATGCAGGGAGACCCCAACGGCTTGCAGCAGCGAGGTCGGTAAGCTACAAGGTGACCACACTATTCCGGAAACTGCCTTTTGCCTTTTTCTCCTCGTGTGCTTGTGCCGTCTCTCTCTGCTGCTAAATTCAGATGTTCTTCAATCGCAAGTCCAAAAAGACGCCCTCCACCGCCAACACCCCGCCGCCCGCCGAACCTTCATCACCCAAGCGTACACCGACCGCCGACAAGGACAAGGCTGCAAAGGGCAGCAAAGGCTACTTCACCCGCGAGAAAGAGGCCGCCTCGAAGCGACCTTCGCTTTCGTCTTCGACTTCACATCATCGAAGCAGCAGGACTTCGCGCCGCAGATCCTCCGAATCCACCACACATCCGCTGAATTTGCCGCCCGAGGAGATAAGACGGCTGAGCGCGCTGTCCGCTATGAGCAACAGCAGCAGCAGCGGGAGCGCGGGGAGGGAGAATGGGGATGCGATGGAGACGACGCCTGTGCCCGAGGAGGTGCCGGGTGGGTTTCCTAGTGGGGAGACGAATGGGGTGAATGGGGAGAAGGAGGAGAGTGCTGGGGAGGAGGGGCCGGTTCCGCCGCCGCATGGGGAGAACACACCGCCAAAAGCTGAACCGGTAGACGCGGAAGCGTGCAAGGCGCAGGGGAATAAGCTGTATAAGGCTAAGAAATATGCGGAGGCTATTGGGGAGTATTCGAAAGGTGACATACGCCCCAATGACAAGTGAAGAGGATGTGGCTAATTTGTGGTGGTATAGCTGTCGAGGCGGACCCCAAGAGCTCGACATATCTCTCCAACCGAGCAGCGGCGTACATGGCGGCGAATCGATTCCAGGAGGCATTAGAGGACTGCAGGAAAGCGGAAGAGCTGGAGCCGGAGAGTGCGAAGATTCTGCATCGGTTGGCGAAGGTGTATACCGCGCTGGGACGGCCACAGGATGCACTGGATGTTTATGATCGGATACAGCCGCCTGCTACGGCAAAGGACAGGGCGCCGGCACAGAACATGCAACAGCACATCTCACAAGCTCAGGAGACGCTGAGCTCGAGCAACTCTGGTTCGATGGCGATACATGGGATCGAGCTGGCGGAGAAGGGGTTGGGGTATGGAGTACAACCGCCTCGGAAATGGCGGCTGATGCGAGGGGAGGCGTACTTGAAGATGGGCACGGTGAACAGCTTGGGTGACGCACAGAACGTGGCCATGTCGTTACTACGCTCCAACAACTCCGATCCGGAAGCGCTGGTCCTGCGAGGCCGCGCACTCTACGCACAAGGTGAGAATCAGAAAGCCATCCAGCACTTCCAAAAAGCCTCCGAATGCGACCCCGATCTCAAAGACGCTGGCAAATATCTCAAGATCGTCAAGAAGCTCGACCGCATGAAGGAAGAAGGCAACACCCACTTCAAATACGGCCGCTACCCGCAAGCTCTCGACATCTACACCTCTGCCCTCGAAGTCGACCCTCTAAACAAAGGCACCAACTCCAAGATCCTCAACAACCGCGCCATGTGCTACTCCAAGCTCAAAAAGTGGAAAGAAGCCATCGCCGACTGCGACCGCGCCATCCAACTTGACCCCTCCTACACCAAAGCCCGCAAGACCCGCGCCAAAGCCCTCGGCGAGGGAGGCGACTGGGACGAAGCCGTGCGCGCGTACAAGAACATCCAGGAGCAGTCCCCCGAGGAGCCCGGCATCGCCAAGGACATCCGGCACGCGGAGATGGAGCTCAAGAAGAGCAAGCGCAAGGACTACTACAAGATTTTGGGAGTGGACAAGGACGCAGGGGACCACGAGATTAAGCGCGCGTACCGCAAGTTGGCCGTCGTGCACCATCCGGACAAGAACCCGAATGACCCGGACGCGGAGGGGCGGTTCAAGGATATCCAGGAGGCGCACGAGACGTTGAGTGATGCGCAGAAGAGGGAGCGGTATGATAGTGGGGTGGACTTGATGGAGCCGGGCGAGGGGATGGGTGGGTTTGGAGGTGGCGGAGGATTTGGCGGTGGCGGAATGGGTGGAATGGGGGGCGGGGTGCAGATTGATCCCGAGATGCTTTTTAATATGATGAATGGGGGTGGGGGTGGTGGCGGAGGGGGTTTCAGGTTTGCGCAGGGGGGAAGTCCGTTTGGGGGTGGTGGGAGGGGGCAGGGATTTTCGCCTTTTGGGTGAGACGTGCTCCGAACGGACGGAAAGAGAGGGGAAGGCAGGAGGAAGAAGCGGTGGTATGTTGGGAGGAAAGGCATTGCGGAAGAGTTGGGTGGAGCGTTCTCTGCATTTTTCCGAGGCTCTTACCCTCGTGGCGGTCCCACCGACTGCGGCTGGCCAAAGCAAGCAAGCAAGCATTTGGACGGCGCCTCTCATGCCAAACGTGCCCCCCCAAGATAGATGTATACAGCTCATAGATCCAGCCTTTCTGCCCAATGCAGCACAGTTTTCTAACAAGCTTCAACCGCTCTCCTCATCGGCGGGCACAGTTGAACACTAATGGATGTAGAGTGGACGGGGGATGTGCTGCAACATGAACACGACCTAGCGTCCTGGCTACCTACTCTATCCGATGCTTTCGTCCAGGATGTGTCTGTCCCCTGCAGCCTTGCCTTGGACAAGGGGAGTCGACCGGACTGGATTGGATTGGATCATTGGATGTTCTGGGGGTACGGGTAGGGGATGTCGCATGCTCGCATCGCACCCGGACGGCGCGTTGTTCTACCCTGCCTTTCTGGCCTTGCATGGGATGGAGGCATTGATGGTGAGGGGCTCCGTTTGGGGTACGGCTAGTCGATGTTGCAGAGTCTTGTCGTACTGACTGACGCGGTACTGCAAACAGTCCCGTTATTGCGACGGCGGGGCACGGTTTCATAGAGGACGTGGACGGTGGTTGGGGTGGTGCGGCTAGCTGATGATGCTTTTCGAGTGGAACCAGCCGGATGCTGCAGTGTTAGACAGCTGTGCCATGCAGCGACTCGTGGGAAGCGAGAGACGGTAGAGCCGCGCTGTCTCGTCCAGAAGGTGACGGGAGGTTGGTGTCGCACAGCTAGTTGACGTCGCATATCCTGTGCTGCGGGTTCTGTGCGTGTGCCAGGTGAGACGTCCTCTCTAGCAGGATGAGGGTGTGGTTCGTGCTGTACGGCGTACCACTAGCTCGTGTTGCATATGCGGTGGACGAGCTGCATTTGTCGTGTGTCGTGGAGCATGCTGTAGTCGTGTCGAGCTGCTTGAGAATGCCTGGCCGCTGGAGTAGCACGACTACCTCCTGTTGCATATCCGGTAATCGGCTGCGTTGCACTGCATCGCCTGGCGTCGGGAGAAGGGGCACTTTCATCGAGTTTACTTTCCCGCCTCCATCTCCATTCTCAGTTGCATCCCCTCCCAGCCTCTTCGAACCACATCCTCCATCACCGAGCCCTTCAGTTTTCGCCTCGCTTCGGCGATGGGGAGGAGGTAGCTCTTGTACAGCAGCTCCTCTTCATCTACACCGGTTCCGGCGTGCCATACTGGCTCATAGATCTTCTCCTCGCCATCGCTCGTAATACGGTCCTGGGCCAGTCGTTGCGACAAAGTCACATCCCTCGGAAAAGCCGGCGGAGCCCGGTACACACGCCCTTCCCCCTCCCCTCCACCACCCGTACTCCCCCCCTCATACACCCGCTCCACCTCCGGCGGCACAGTCTCCGCCGCATACCAGAACAGCAAATACTGCGACGTGCTCGTCAACGGCAGCAACTGCGTCCACACCGGCTCCGTCACGAACTCCTCGTGGCCTTCATCCGGATCCGGCTGGCGATGCTTCATCGGCAGAGGTAAGAGGCGGTTGCGGTAGCCGGACTCCTCGTAGCCCTCGCGTTCGGCGGCTTGGCCAGTGGGTTCGTTGGCGTTGCGGCGGCCTTTAGGGAGGAAGTAGTATTTGTCGCGGGAGTGGTAGCACTACGTATGGGTCAGGATAGTTCTCGGGAGCTGGTCTTTGATGCTTACGACTACTACTCGCTCGGTGGCGATGTGGAAGATGGCGACTCCGGCTCCTATGGTCAACTTCTCGCTTGGGTAGTTGGCGTAGATGGGTTGTGAGACTTGGGGAGGCATTGTGGCATGCTCTTCATGCTTGGGGACAGGACGACGCTTTTTAAAATGATGTAAAGCACTCATTCAGATGTCACATGTCGGTAGTATTGATGATCGAAGGTCAAGATGTTGGAGAAGAAGGTGTGACAGAGCTTGGCAGGTGTTTCACTGAGCGATTCAGCAGGACCACTCGTTTCACATCGTAGTCTGTGTGTCAGACGAAAGATGGATTTCAGAGAAGACAGAGAATTTGGCTTTGTACCAGCTAAGTCTTAAGATCCTGATCGTCTAATCAATCCCCATCAAGACTCTGGCACAGGCACATCCGTCCCATTCATCAACATACTAACGTGCGAGTAGAACCCAATGTAATGCAGAAGCGCAACAAGACCGTCCTTCCCAAACACAGCAGCCCCTCTATCCCACAACTGCTGAGGCATCGGGCCTGGCGTGGTGCTCAGTCTCAACGCAACATCAAACGCCACGCTGCAACCCTCATTCAAACCATCCGGCTTCTCCCCTTTCTTGATCAGTTCCAGCTGATTCTTCTCCAGATACCCCGGCGCAGACGCCAGTCGCTCGTGGCAATAGACCGCATAAGCGGCTTTATGGTACGCCGTGACGGTGACAATGGCCGTCTCCTTCGCGTCTGGCGGTAGCGGGATCTGGGCCATCGCACCGTTCAATTGCATCGCAGCCATTCCGATCTTCGGATGGTGCAGGAAGAAGGGCATGGGCCCGATTTGCCGTCCGTCGATTCTCCATGTGAAGAGGTCGCCGTATGCTTTCGTTGCGGAATCATCGAACAGGTCGTGGAGTTCTTGCTGCCCTGGGGTGAGCTCCTCGCGGGTCTTTGGTTCGAGGCGTGGCATCTTGGGCAAGGCCAAGCGCGCAAGTGGACACCTGGAAGCGTCGCATGGGTTGTTATATGGTAACCCTAAAGGCTTGAAAGCATCAGGACTCCGATCAGCTTTCAAGATGACCGAATGCAGCAACCCCTGCGATGCGGCTGAGAGCTTGCTGCAGATAGCTTCGAGCTTAACCCAGCTGTGCGAGAGTCCGAAAGCGAAGCAGGCAGGTATTCTTACGGCCGATGCTGGACACTTCATCGCTCTCTCTTCAGCTCCGAGACGTTGGCCGGCAATACATGCGCAAGGGTAGCGACATGCTGTCAGTAAGGAGATGGCCGAATGTGAGACATTCACAACCGCTTCTCATACAAGAAGTCCCGTATCAGCAGCGCAGTCTTCCCAGGATTTTCATACATCGGCCAGTGGCCAACACTCTCCATGATATGTGTCGTCAAATTCGGTAGTAAGCCTGCATCTCGTGGTGATTTGATCAATTCCGGTCGGCACACAACATCTTCATCGCAACCGATGAACAGCGTCGGCACCCTGACAACGACCCTGCCATCCGGCATATGTTTGTCGCTGAGAAGCTGAATGTTCATGGCGCGGGATGTATACCAGCAGAGTGGTCCAGCCAGACCTCCAGCCTGGAACTGCGACATCCAGCGTTGTTTGAGTTCCGGGTCTGCAGCATACGGTTTTGTGCTGATTCGCGGTACGTCCGGATCTGTCAAGTATTGCCTCATGGCTCCAGGAACGCAGTACAGATACTGCTTCTCCGCAAATGTCCCAGCGTGCGCGCAGTCCCATAGACGTTCCAAGTTGCCTTGCATGATCGGAGCGGCGTCTGGAGTTACGAAGAAATTCCAATACTCCAGTATGGGATAGCCGAATAGCTTTGTGGACGTCTCATTAATGGCCGGGATATCGAATTCCTTTTGCCTTTCAGGTGCCTGGTATCCGACATTCAGCAAGATCAGGCCCATCACCCTCTTCGGGGCGTAATTGTAGACGCGCCCAGCGAGACCTGATCCGTGGTCGTGCCCAATAGGGACCACATTACTGATACCCTCAGCGTCGCAAATGTCTAGGAGGTCCTGGACCATCTCACCATACGCATACGCCCAAGGCTCGGTGGGCTTTAAAGTCCCACCAAATCCAAGAAGGTCAGGGATAAGGAGACGATGGGGTACTGTTCGCAGGAAAGGAAGCAGCGGCTCCCAAAGATGCGCTGTCTCCGGGAACCCATGGCAGAAGAGCAGAGCAGGTTTGTCGATGTCGGCTCCTTTCCCGGACCCGGAAATGTAGTAGCGATAGGTGAAGCCTCGTGAGGTGGTCGATGTCTTCTCAGTAAGAGTGTTCATCGTACTAGAAGTCTTTGAATGAAATGATGTTCCCTGGAAAGACTTGTCGGCGGAAGATGCGAGTGCTACTAGATGTCCATATCATGGAGCCGAGCTTTTGCTGCGAAATGTCTGACTGTCTACCATGCAGAGCGATACTCACATGGACCGGCGATTTGACAACGGATGAAGGCCGAAGCCGGAATCGATTCGATAGAAACGACCTGGCATGTGACCATGGACGTAGTGGACAAGGCGTGCAGCTGCTCGCGATGTACGTGTAAGCAACGCCGAAATGTTACCTAACTTTCCGAGACCATGTCCATGTGCGAGTAGTTGCGTTCTCCGCTCACCACAAATCTCAAACAAGTCGTTACGGAGGTACTTTGGTCGAGAAAGGCGGCAGATTTTCTCGAGATGTTGCAGCCCCGCCTCGGAAGAAGAGCGCTTGTTGCAGGGGCTTGGAGAAGTGGAGAGATCTCCACGCGACAATAAATGTACAACGACACTGGTGCAACGGGATTGCGAGAGTCAAATTGCATTAACTGTTGAAGATCGTCGAAGATGGAGAGTGAGACCAAAGTCCAGTTCCCGTTGAAAGACGCCGAAGAGCTCGCCAACTCTGCGCTTCGTAAGCTTGGATACGACTCGCAACAAGCGGAGCGGATTAGCCACCATCTGATTGATAGTGAACTGCGAGGGTTTGGTATCGCAGGGTTAGCCAGAATCCTCAGCATAGCGGACCGCCTCGCTGGCAAAAAACCGGCCACAGCGACGAAGATCACACGAGAGGCGCCTGCAACAGCTCAGCTTGATGGGCAAGACACTCTCGTAAGCTGGCTGATCCCTTCCTCGACGCTTACAGCTGCTAATGTTTCTGCAAGGGTTATCTGGTGGGCTATGAAGCTACTGAGTTGGCGATCAAGAAGTGCAAAGAAGTCGGCGTTTCCGTTGTAGGAGCCAATGGCACGTACTATACCGGCATGCTGTCGTACTATGCAGAAATGGCTGCACGAGAAAACCTGGTCACAGTTATAGCATCGCACTGTACCGCGTGGGTAGCTCCGGAAGGCACTTACAAGCCGCTCGTTGGTGAGTACCTCAACTCTTGAAGTCTGAGGATCAAGACTCAACATCTGGACAAGGTACCAACCCGTTCGCAATTGGCATTCCCACGTCATCGGCACATCCCCCTATCATATACGACATTGGCACCTCAAAGATCATCCATGCTCAATGTATGCTGGCTCGGCGGCTTGGGACCGAGATCCCTCCAGACACCGCCTACAACGCCGAAGGCGAAATGACGACAGATCCTCATCAAGCACTGTCAGGGGCCTTGAAGGTATGGGGTGGTGCAAAGGGCTCGGGCCTTGCTCTGTCCGTTCAGCTGCTGGGAATTGTCGCGGGGGCACCAGCGTTACCACCTAACCTCGAGAACTTCGGCTTTTTCATCATGATGGTCAATCCGGCGATGTTCCAGCCTTTGGAGGAGTTCACGTCGGAGGTGGACAAGATCATTGATGCATGGCACGCGGCGCCTTCAACGAGCGGCAGCCCTATGCGCGTTCCTTTCGAGCGGTCGAACAAGATGAGGGAAGAACAGCGAGCGACCGGATACGTTAATGTAGAGTCTGGTGTTATCGAGAAGCTGAGAGCTCTAGTCGGATCGTAATGAAATGGTATCCGTCAGGAGGTTCTGCTAGTGACCACAGCTTGTGGTTGTCTGCCATGCCGTCGAATTCCCGTCGTTGTCCGAGCGTTTGACAAGGGAGCCAGGTGGGGAGGCCATGTGCACAACAGATCAATGGAATTAGCCCACTACCTAGGTAGAAGGCATATGATACACCTCAATGCAGCTCACGGTTTGTGGGCTGGGGGTACCGGACGATACGGGAGAATAAGGTAGGAGGAGCATTCTTCGAGAAGCCACAACTTTGCGGTAAGCGGACACCATTCCTCTTTTGGCATCTGTCACGGGACCAGCCACGTCTCATTCGTCCCTCGACACTTCACCCTATCCTCTTCGAGCAATCACACACCCTCTGCATGTACATTCTGCCCATTCCACGGCGTTCGTTTCAGTCCCAATGCTCTGGCTCTTGGTATCAACAGCATTTCGATTGCTATTCGGGACGAGTCTCGACCAGCTGTGGACCAGTTGCCTTTTATGCCATGCATCCCCTTCGTTTCTCTCCTCGAGATGGCTTACAGAAAGCAACGCAACTTGTCACTCGCTTCAGTCCGTCGCTATGGGCCTTTTTGGTGCTTTGAATGCCATGGGCAGTCTGAGCGCAACACGGTCTATTCCTGCCACTGCTGCGACAGCACATCTGCCAGCCTACCCACTCGCCGTTAAGAGTCCATACTTGTCAACATGGGTGCCCGGGCGTCAGGTGCTTTCCAATGCTGCTACGTCCCAGCCCATGTTCTGGAACGGAATTCCACTGACGTGGCCGGTTCTGGCTCGAGTCGACGGAGAGACGTACTCGCTTTTCGGTCTTCCAAGCGGAGCAGCCAACATCACTGAAGCAACCACTAATTCAGTATCTTACACATCATCACATACCTATGTTCGACTTACGGCGGGATCTGCGAACGTGGTCCTGGACTTTTTCTCGCCAGTCCTGCCAGGCGCGGACGAATATGCTAAGCAATCGTTGCCCTACTCATACCTGACTGTCTCTGCATCGAGCACCAACCAGAGTCCACCAGATGTCCAAGTCATGAGCGGTATCGACTACAGCTGGACTTCACAGAAGGGCGCTTCAGGGCTGAACTACACGACCACAGATTCCGCTGGGTTCTTCCAGTTCTACAACCCGAACCAGATCCGATTCACGGAGCAGCGGGATATGGCGACATATGGATCGGTGCTTTTCGCAGCAAGCGAAGCTGGAAATATGACACATGGCTGCGGTGCGGCTGCAGATCTGCTTGCTGCCTTCTCCGCAACAGGTGCCTTGGAGAGGAGAGCCCGCAGGCAGTGCAACGCGACAGATCTGGCCAGCTTGACTAAGAACCTTGGTACCATCGGCCACACTGCATCATCAGCGACCTTTGTCGTTGGCTTTGATCGAGTATATGCAATCAACTATCTCAACGAACCACAAACAGGCTTCTATCGGACGAAGTGGCCGACGATCCCAGAGGCGATCGACTATGTGCTCTCAAGCTACCAATCATTCTTGTCAGGATCTCTGTCGTTCGATGCGGCTGTGAAGACCAAGGCGGAGAGGGTCTCTCGCTCGTTTGGGTGCAAGTATGCGGACATTGTCGAAGCCTCTGTCAGGCAAACTTTCGGTGGCATGGAATTGACTGTTCCCCTCCATGACATGTCAGCCTCCGAGCCGGTGGCGTTCCTCAAGGAGATCTCCAGCGATGGCAATGTGAACACGGTCGACTTCATTTTCCAGTCATGGCCGATTTTCATCAGTCTGAACCCGGACTACATCCGAATGCTCTTTGAGCCAATCCTGTCATATCTGGATGCCGGACGCTTTCCGCACTTGTATACGATACACGACATAGGAACACATTATCCCAACGCGACTGGACATGATGACGGGAGAGAGGAGCATATGCCGATGTTCGAAACTTCTTCTCTGTTCATCCTGCTTTATGCGTACCAAAAGCTGAGCGGCGATACAAACTATGCTGCCAGCTATTCGAGTCTTCTGAAGGGCTACGCGGATTGGATGGTCCAACCTCGATCGCTTTACCCCGGACGCCAGCTCATCAGTGTGGACGTCATCAGGCCTTCAGCGAACCAGACTGGCCTCGCCGTGCAAGCAGCTATCGGACTCAAAGCGGCTGCTAAGCTGTTGCACAACAGTACCTACTCCAAAGTTGCCGCTGATAATGTCAACGCTCTCTATCACGGAGGACTTGGTCTGGACGGCTCTTCTCCTGCTGACAGCGAACATTTCACCTACAACTATGAGAGGAACAAGACATGGAATGTGCTTTTTCCATCCTATTCCGATGTAGTGCTCGATTTAAGGACGTTCCCACAAGAAGCTTGGGACATGCAGTCAGACTGGTATTTGAAGAAGATGAAGAGCTCAGGACTTGCATTCGCAGGCCCGAGCGACGACAAACACTACACCCGCAACGGAATTCACTGGGCCCTTTGTGACTGGAGTAAGTCATGACTAATTCTATACTACGTTGGTCGCTGGGCTAATGCGGAGTAGATATCGTCGCGGCGTCCGTGTCGTCCGAAGCCGTGCAAGAAGCCGTCATCAACACCACGCATGCCTTCTTGACCAACGGTCAGAACTCCATCCCATTCGGTACGAAGTATATTGTCGATGGGCCTCGGGAAGGCCTTTGGGTTGGAAACCAGAACCGAGCAAGTGTTGGAAGTCATTTCGCCTTGATGGCGCTGAAAGAGGGAACGTGGTATGGCAAATGAAGAGCATCCCGACCAAACGAGTTCGGGCCGTTGCAGTGTCACATGTATGCTATACGATGCCATACAATCTATCTGCGGCATATTTGATCCACCATTCTTGCTCGTCAACTGACCTCACAGCATAAACCGCCACCTAGGGTCACCGTCGCCTTTCAGTCCGCCGGCACCGTCTACAATGCCTGAGCCCGGATGTTGCTTCTCTCTCTTCCGGTTCTCTCTGTTCAGATACCACCATATAACGCACGTCAAGCATGCGCTGACAATCGTGTACGCCAAAGCAACCGAGTGCCCGACGATGAACCGCGGACTGTCCTCGGCACGGCATATCTGGGTTCTTCAGGAGGCCATGTCAGCTTCGCCCAACCCTGAACAAGTCACGGAAGGCTGTCATACCCAATAACTGCACCACAGTTCCCAATAGATATCTGCAGAGCATTTACCACGGCTCGCTTGGTCTGTCCGCCAACATTGACAGCCGGCCAGCTTAGCACAAGTCCAGTGGTTGGATAGATACCAGCGGCTGCGAAGAATGTCCCCAAGTAGGACACTCCCGGCCGCGCTGTAGGGTTTGTGGTGCCAGCAAGATGCAGTAGCCGATGGAAGCTGTCAAGGCAGAAGCAATGAGGAATGGAGCTCGTCGACCAACACGCTCGCTCACCCAGGCCACGACTGTGGTGAGGATGGTCGCAAGGGCGTATGGAGGGATTGTCAGAAGTTGGGCAGATACTAAAGATTCGAAGGGCAGAAGAGTCAGCAAAGACTCAAATTAGGGGCCACATCATGCATCGAATGACGGATACACGTTCACCTGTCCGCACTTACCTGCACTGTATCCAAGATCCGCAATAATCGTCGGCAAGAACAAACTCAGCGTGTACAGCGGCAACGACATGAAATCGAAGCCGAAACAATAGAGCCAGCACTTTGGATCCGCCAGAGCGGCTCGAACATTGCCCCAGGTGAAGCCTTCGTTCTCCGAGGCATCGCCGTCTGCGGCAAGACGCTTGTGGATGAAGACTCGTTCTTTAGGTTTCAGGAAGGCGGCAGAGTCGGGATAGTTGACGATGAAGCCATATGCGAGGACGCCGACGACGACGGTCAGGATGCCTTCTAGGATAAACTGCGGCATTGTGGTCAGCAGTGGTTCACACAAGAAGATTGGCTATTGGGATTCTCACCATCCATCACCATCCACCAAGCCCACCGACGCCGTCCATATGAGCTATTCCGTATGCGAGGATACCACCGAAAGCACCAGCGAGAGCTGCGGCGGAGAAGAACAAGGCGATTCGGAATTGGCGCTCTTTGCGCTGGTACCTGAAGGGATTGCACGGTCAGAGTTGCCTTCAACATGGACCAGCGCACGGCAGGTCTCGGGGACAAAGCCACAGTCCGCCAGCAAGTTGTGGACTTTCAAAGAGCATTGTACGCACCAGAGGCTGAGGTAAAAAACAACCCCAGGAAACAGACCGGACTCAACAGAACCGAGGAAGAAGCGAGCGGCGTAGAACCCTGCTTGGTGCTGAACGATGCCAAGCAGCGTTGCAACAACGCCCCATATGACTGTCAGAGTGGGTAGCCAGAACCGTGGAGTTGTGCGCTTGAGGATACTGTATCTTGATCAGCATAGTAACAGATGAACTCTGTCGCCTTCTTACATGTTGCACGGAATCTCGAACAGCACGTAGCCCAGGAAGAATAGCGTTAGCCCGGTCAGGTACCCATCGTCTGTCATATTGGTTGCCTCCGCGAGACCTTCGACTTTTGCGTTGGCAACGTTGCTGCGATCTAAAAAGGACAACAGGTACAACACGGTCACTGCTGGTAGGAGCCGGAAATCCAGCTTGCGTATGAGGGCTCTTTCGTTGATGTCGCCGCTTCGCTCCACGTCGCCTGATGTGTCGGAGGTATCGCTCGAGGGCGACTCGTCTGCTCGTTTCTCGTCCATTGGATCGGAAGGGCTGTTCGATATGGCGAAGATAGGATGAGATTGCGTTGTCGAACTCTCAAACAACCGGCAAGAAACAGACGACAGCGATCGGGAAGAAAAAGCATCAAGAAAGAAATGCCCAAAAACATGAGCATCATGACCTACAGCCACGTTCTGCAATGCCGGCAGACAAGACATGGGTTGCGGATGGCAGACCGTCTGACAAGACCACTCGACTTACCGAGAGAGGCTTAGGAATTCTTCGCAAATGCCATTCAGTGGGTGTGTCATGGCGTGATCGCGCCTCACAATGTCCACCGACGACCCACGAATGCATTCGACTAACACGTGATTGAAGTTAGCAGTTGAATACACAATTCCTGCATCGGATGGCGTGCTCGCGTACCTGTCGATCGCATACCCGGTATGCTGCATGTTATTGCAACCATTTCTCCGACTTCGCCGAAGTGTACAGCTTTACGTCAGGTGGGTTAGAGTGTGAGAATAAAAGAGTCATGGAGGAGCCGTCTTTGGTTGATGTTTCGATGCACCAGAAGTTGGAGTGTTGTTGAAGCCGAAGCTCAGATAAAGTCAAAGCTCCTTCCTCATCGAGACGAATCACCAAGATGGCTCCAGGCGTTCTGCTCGACGATACTGGAGATGCTCCGCATACGCTCTCCGCCAAATGACTGAACAACTCGGCACCAAAAGACATCTTCCCAGACGGCATCAAGACATCAGGCCAGCACCCACCGTTGTATGATCAACTCAAAAGCTATGAGCAATTCCCGGAAGAAATCACGGGACCAACAGTATGGAAGCCGGAAGACCACCAGGAATGCCCAGATCGATGGGTACACTGGTTCACGGAGGAAGAAAAGGCAGAGCTGGGCGCCGCAGCGGATGCGTTCATGAGGTCCGGCACGCCAATGACCGGAATGACCAAGGACAACTTCCCTCTCCCGAAGCTGGCGAAGATGATGAGCGAGATTCGCGAAGACGTTCTCAATGGCAAAGGGTTCATCTTGATGAAGGGCTTTCCGACCGAGGAATGGGGCGTCGACAAATCGGCTGTGGCTTATGTTGGTTTGGGGACCTACCTCGGATACTTCGTATCTCAGAACGGCAAGGGCCATATCCTGGGCCATGTGCAAGATCTGTAAGTCAGTCCCTGGCCGGAGGCCCATACCGAGATGTTACCTGTGGCATTTGCTGAAAGAGTCTTCTTGCGTGCAAAAGTGGCGACGATCCGACTCAGATTCATCGTGTCCGGATATACAGGACGAATGCACGCCGATTCTTTCACGCAGATACTTCTGATGTCGTTGGCTTGTTGTGCATCCATCGGGCGCTTGAGGGTGGCGAGTCAGACATCGCTTCAGTCCACCATGTGTATAACACACTTCAGCGGGAACGACCTGATGTTGTCAAGACTTTGACAACGCCGAACTGGTACTTCGATCGGAAGGGTGAAGTCAGTAAGGGCGAGGAGGAGTGAGCATTCGCTACCGCCTAGCCAGGCTCGAGAATTTGCTGATCACCCGGCAGGTGGATTCGGACACAGATCCTGTACATCGAGCCTTCAGGCCAAGGCCGGGTATACTGCAAGTAAGTTGCGCGTGCCGCCTCCTCCCAGTAGCATCTGAGCTGACAAACATCAGGTGGGATCCGTACTTCGTTCGAAGTAAATTTTCGCCATTTTCTCCTAGTAGCATCTGAGCTGACGATCCTCAGGCTTGATACGCTTCTCGGAAGCTGGCAATATCCCGCCGCTTTCGCCGGAGCAGCTCGACGCTCTGCAAGTCCTGGAAGATACCTGCATGCGTCACCGCCTGCACATGGTCCTAGACGTTGGCGACATCCAATGGCTTTCGAACGAGCACGTTCTGCACTCCAGGACGGCGTACAAAGACCATGCTCCGCCGACGCCGCGAAGGCACCTCATGCGGCTGTGGCTGTCGACTCCCGAGTCCGGGGGCGGGTGGCATTTGCCGTTCCCTGATAGCGATGAGGAGAAGAGAGGGGGCGTCCAAGTTGATGATACGCCGCCGAAGTATCCTTTGACTGGGGAGTGATGAAATGCCGTACGACTCAGGAGACGGCAACTCGATAGCAGTTCGCTGTATAGGTGGACATCAGCTGAAGATATCATGGTCATCGCAGCCATGAGGCTCCATGAAAGGTTCTGCTCGCAAATGAATGCATGGTCATTGTTAGTTTCTTCATGTTGTGATGTGTGTACCTAATTGAGGTATGTGCGACTGCAGAGAGGGAGGAGTGGTTTGTTGACGACACGTGACTGCGGGATCAGCCGCGGGCCAGCGCTAGCGCATCTAGACACTTTTGCCCTACGCGCTCTTTGACAGCTTCTCCTCACCACAACCTCCTTCACCTCCGACATCACCCACCATCTCCAGCATGTCGTGGCGAAACCCCGCCGGTCAGACTGGTGCTAACACCATCCCTCTGGGCACGCGCCGCCGCTTCGGCGGTGATGACGGGCCCGAGGAGTCTACCCCTCCTGTTGCAGACGGGAAGCGTGGCCGCAGCCCTGAGCGCAGAGAGCCTGAGTTCAACCCCGACGGCACGAAGAAGCGTCGCAAGCGCAACAGATGGGGCGACACGACAGAGAACAAGGCCGCTGGTCTGATGAATTTGCCTACCGCAATCACAGCGCCCATGACTGCCGAACAGCTAGATGCCTACGTTACCCATCTGCGTGTCGAGGAGATCAGCCAGAAGCTCAGGATCAACGACGTGGTCCCGGCGGATGGTGACAGGTATGAACATGCATGTTCGACTGCTCGAATCACCCACGAAGACTAACACTTTCGCACAGATCTCCTTCGCCCCCACCGCAGTACGACAACTTCGGTCGCCGTGTAAACACCCGCGAGTACCGCTACAAGAAGAGGCTCGAAGAGGAGCGCCACAAGCTCATCGAAAAAGCGATGAAGATCATCCCGAGCTATCACCCACCGTCCGACTACAGACGTCCCACGAAGACGCAGGAGAAGGTCTACGTACCTGTCAATGACTACCCAGAAATCAATTTCAGTATGATAACTAACCCACTAACCCCTTCCTTCCCTTTCTTCATTCATCAAGCATTCTATGCTTTGCACCAGGCGTTCATGGCGATCAAAAGTCATACTAACCCTGCCCTGCTAACCACGCATAATCTTCAACATATCATCAAGAACAAACACTAACACCTAGCTCTCTTCTACTAACAGTCGGCCTTCTCATCGGACCACGCGGCAACACTTTGAAGAACATGGAAAGCAAGTCACAGGCCAAGATCGCAATTCGCGGCAAAGGATCCGTTAAAGAGGGAAAGGGCAAATCGGATGCTGCCCACGCCAGCAACCAAGATGAAGATCTACACTGCCTCATCATGGCCGACACCGAGGAAAAGGTCAACAAGGCCAAAGAACTCATCCACCAAGTCATCGAAACGGTATGTGTATTGCATCATTGGTGTCCGCTGAACCATGCTAATAGTCTTCAGGCTGCCTCCACACCGGAAACACAGAACGAACTCAAGCGCAACCAGCTCCGTGAGCTAGCCGCCCTCAACGGCACCCTTCGCGACGACGAGAACCAAGCCTGCCAGAATTGCGGCGAGATCGGCCACCGCAAGTACGATTGTCCTCAAGCGCGCAACTACACTGCAAACATCATCTGTCGCGTCTGTGGGAATGCCGGGCACATGGCTCGCGACTGCCCAGATCGCGTGCGTGGCGGCAACTTCCGCGACCTCCCACCACGACCGCGTGTCGAGGGTTCGGCAGACGACGAGTACGCCAAGTTGATGAACGAGCTGGGAGGCGCAGATGGACAGGCTCCGCCGAGGCAGATCGGCTGGGACAACGGGCAGAGCAATGCAAACGGCGATGGGCAAGCCAACGTCAGGCCATGGCAGCGTGGCCCGTCCGGTGCACCTGCGCCGTGGAACCAGCCTCGTCAACAGCAGGGAGGTGCAGCACCCTGGGCCAACCAGAACCGTGGAGGGTACGACGGAGGCTACAATAACGCGCCGCCTCCTCCACCTCCTGGTTCCAGCCTACCGCCGTGGCAGCAGAACCGAGGTCAAGGTGGTGGAGCTCCGTGGCAGAATGGTGGTGGCATGGGCGGTGGCTATGGAGGTGGTGCCCCTGGTGCCCCATGGCAGCAACAGCAGCAGTACGAAGCTCCGCCACCACCTCCTCCGTCCGACGTCCCACCACCACCGCCCCCGCCTCCAGCGTAGGCTTGCTCAACAAATGCACTGCGATATTGGCGGCGCACGAGACAGGGGAAGTTGTTACTGTGGGCGGCGTGAGGATGGATATAGGGAGAGGCAGGTGTTGCGTACTCAAAACTTGCATGCGGGGTGGCGGAAAGGCGAGCATGACCAGCCGCTCGTGCCTCCTAGCAGCGGCCGTAGCTCAGCTTCTCAAGTACTGTTATTCAAAATTGATTATCGCGTGGTAGAGGATTTTGCGTAGATACGTGATACTCTACCCTGTTTAGGCTGTGATCCTGTGATCCTTCGAGCTGATCTCCTTCCTCATTCAGCGAGCTTCAGTCGAGCTGAGCAAACTTGCTGGCCAGCAGGCATCAGCAGTATCTCGTAGACCTCATCCACTCTCGCCAGAAACAAATCACCTATCCAGCTGAGGAACTATACAGCTTTGTAGAATCGGAGTCAGAGATTTGACTCAGCATGGAGAAACAAGCGGCGGTCTTGCCGACCGATGACCCTCGCGAACCACGACCGCGCAAGGCGCCCCTGAGATGGAGGTGGCCATTTATCTTTGCCACACTGCTGCTCGCAGTCTGGTCGATCAAACCGAGCCATGGCACCTGGTTTCCTCTCCGTGGTGGTAAGCCATCTTCGACCGGTAAAGATAAACCGTTCGACTGGGCCGACCTGCCAGTGCGAACGTATCTCGACTATCATGACTGCGACAAGTATTGGGGCGAGGACTTCCAGTGCGCACGATTGGAGCTTCCGATGGACTACTGGAATGGCACCACGGACGCCACGGTCAGTATCGCGATTGTGAAGAAGCCGGCTGCTGTGCCGGTTACGCATCCGCGGTATGGTGGTCCTATTCTGTTCAACCCTGGAGGCCCGGGCGGACCAGGCACCGGTCTGGTGCTTGCCGCAGCTGATAGCTTCCGAGACATCATCGAGGACGATAATGCCAAATTCTTCGACTACATCGGTTTCGACCCCCGAGGAGTCGGCGAAAGTCAGCCGTTGATCCAATGCCTTCAAAGCTCCTTTCTCGAGCACATGTGGTCCGTTCGGGTGATGGAGGAGGGTGTTTTCAGTGCATCAGATGCTGCCTTTGGAAGGCTATACTCCATCGCTAAGGCCAGAATGAATTCCTGCTCTTTGCCAAGGGAAGATGGTAAAGCTGATATTAAGCAATATGCGACTACAGCATCCGTAGCAAGGGACATGGTTGAGATCATTGAGCGCCATGGCGAGTGGCGGGAGAAAGAAGCTGAAAGGTTGCTGAATGAGGAGCGTTCGTTCGGTGATCGGCTGTTTAGAAGTGTAGAGGTGCCAGAGGATCTGAAGCATCATGAAGGGCAGGAGAAGATTAACTACTGGGCGAGTCCTGTCAAGCTCTGTAGGCGGGACTGAACGCTGACGAATGCAGGGCTTCTCATACGGTACCTATCTTGGGAATACCTTCGCAGCAATGTTTCCGGATCGCATCAATCGTCTCATCGTTGATGGCGTTGTGGATGCCTACGACTACAAGGAAACTATCTGGATGGACAATCTGAAGGACACGGAGAAAGCACTGGACCTCTTCTACTACCACTGTGCTCGAGTTGGGTACCCGACCTGTGCTCTGGCCAATGCTATGGGCACCACAACAGCAGATGGGGTTAAGGAGAGGACCTTCAACATACTTGAGAGCCTATACCACAACCCGCTCCCGGTGATTGATCGGTACAATCCTGATGTGATCACTTACAGCGCCATGAAGCAGTTTATTTTCGGAACACTATACGGCCCAATCTACGGCTTTCCGTACCTCGCCAAAATCCTTGCCAAAATCGAAAGTGGCAATTTCACTGAGGACGCGATCGCACCAGGACTCTACGATACATTCTCCAACACTGAACGAGCTGCAGACTCACCGTTCATTGGCGGAATGGCCGTGTTGCATATGGATGCCACGGTCGGTATTGCGTGTACCGACGGGTGAGTATTCCTGGGTAAAAGGGTTCTCCAAGGCACGATCACACTGCAAGTGGCGTTCTGAGACCTTTTGAACCCTTCCTCACCATCGAGACACTTGCTGACCCTTTTACCCTTCGCTGCTTCAGGGACCCTCAAGGCTGGCTCACTCGAGACGAGTTCCGCGAGCACGTCGCCAATCTAACAAAACTCTCTCCTGCAGGCGGTGACACGTGGGCCATGCTGAGACTGAATTGCATGCACTACGAAGTCCGGCCATTCTACCGCTTCGAAGGACCGTGGGTGGCTAATACCAGTCACCCATTACTCGAAATTGGCAATACTGCCGACCCGGTCACACCAGGGGCTTATGCGAAGAAGATGGCAAAGGGCTTCACAGGTGCAGTCGCGCTCATCCAGGACTCTCCGGGCCATTGCTCGCTGGCTGCTCCGAGCAAGTGCACGCAGGGCTATGTTAGACAGTATTTCCAGACTGGAGAGCTGCCTCCAGAGGACACGGTCTGCGAAGTAGATGCTATACCGTTCGGGCCTACGCCCGGCGATGAGAGTGCTTTGGATCTTGAGGTGGAAGAGCTGATGGTGTCTTCGTCCAAGATCGCCAGAGCCTTGTATGCATCAGGTGGGGGTGGGTTCATGAACAGCATGTTGAGCAGGAATGGAGGCATGCATGAGGCTTCGTGGAAGTAATCGTCTTGCTCGGAAGGAAACGGTACTTGGATACTTGAGTCGTCGATACAGGCCGTGTTAGGAAAGATGCATAGGCGGAAAGTCGATGCCTGTGCAGGCAACCGTTCAGCTTCTCAGCTCGCCTTAAGCTGCACGCAGTAGCGCGTGAAACCTGCTTCAAGCGCCGTCAATCAGCGCTCGTAAGGCTGCTCGATGTACCTCCTACAGTGTGGCTGAGCCTCTGTACACTAGACCAGCATGTCAACTCCGATAGACTAATCCGAGGAACCCGAGCATTGGGTATTAAGCTCTCCAGGCAGCGCATTCTGTCAAAATAGTTGACTCGACCCTCCACACCGATCCCACACTTGATACTTTTTCCAGAGAAACTAGTAGACAACAATCGACGAGAATGGGCAATACACAGTCAAACCAACGGAACTACGAGAGATTGCGTGAGGTGATGCCCTCTGTGGACGGAGGTTCCTTTTTCGACAAGTCCAATAAACCTTTCCTTTCGGACAAAGACCGCGATCAATTCATCTGTACGTCGAAGCAGAGCACCATTCTTACTCATTACTGACATGGCGGTTAGACGCAACGATCACCGTCCTCACCCAAAACGGCAGACTCCTCAACCTCGAACAACACGACTTCCGCCTCCTCTACTCCCGCCGCGAGAACGATCGTCTTGTTGCTCGTATCGTCGCAGAGCGAGAAGGCATCATCAAAGCCCAGATCGAGCCGCACGAGGACGGCAAAGACCAGGCTGAAGCCTTCAAAGCTTTGCGGAGGCACGTTGAACTGGCGCTGGACAAGTATTTGAAGGACGTTCCCGGAGCGTCGAATTTGCCGGCGACTGGATCACAGACTGCGATTGCTGGGCCGAGTGCGAGGTCACCAACGAGTCGACCGGCGAGGCCACCGTTTTCTGCTGAAGTACAGGAACCAGGTAGAAGTAATATGCCGGCTGATGCGCCACCGGCGTATGGGAGGGCGGTCAAGGAGTGGCGGTCGTCGGGCGATTCGAAGGAGAAGCCTTGATGCGGAGATCAGCGGTACTCGGTACATTGATGAAATGAAAGGCGCAAGGCATTCTAGAGAAGAACAGTGCAATACTAAGATGATGTCGGAACGTTCAAACTGTCGAATAAAGGCCGGAAGAATGGCGATACTGTACCATAGTTGACCCCTTGGCGTTATGGTCAGCATATCAAAGAGACTTTTGATATGTGGCTGTGTCTTCATTGCCGTAGGACGTTCGTCCTCTCGAAAATCAAACCTCACTTATCTTCATCTGAAAACCTTTCTCTTAAAACCAACGTCAGTCTAAACACATCCGCTCACTTACAGGTACGATCTGTGGCGCCGGCGGAGAGCGAGAATCTGTATTGATCATTCTTGCAGGCCCAGCATTCGAGATTCGTCGTGCACATCCTAGTCGGGGTCCTGGTTTCGTGATCATGGGCAGCTCCCAAAGCGTGCTGTATCGCAAGATATCCAAAGCACTTCCACGTCTGGAGAATGAGTACAGCGTTTGGGATGACAAGAAGGAGAAATAGCTTTATTACTGGACAAAGGATCCCTTCTTCACCAGTGCTTCAGACCGAGATGTATTCATAGGTGTGTCAAACTCACATTTGAGAAGGCCTTGGAAGTCCTGGATTACTGACTGCGAAACAGATGGACTTGTTCATATCATCACCAACAATGGCAAGGAAAACTTGGACGACCACAGCTTCAAGGTCATGTACACTCTCCGAGAAGGCAGTGGCACGCGACTTGTCGCTCGGGTGGTCGCTCTCAAGAACGGGATCGCTGCTGCAATGGTTGAGCCTTCAGGCGACGGGGCGAACAACAAGGAGGCGTTCCAGGTGTTGAAGAAGGAGGTCAGCGTCCGGTTTGATCAGAGGTTGCGCAATATGCCGACGACGGACAAGGCCAAAGATGCTTCTGTTGCTTCGGCCGCGGGCAGTGCTCCAGATGCTCCACCGGCGTATAGCGACCCCAAGGATGATGGTGTGGTGGATATGACACCCAACAAGTAGCTTAGGGCGTTTCGGTCGGATCAACCGAAGCAGGGTCTTCCGTGTCACGCCTTCCCTCTACCTCGTCCCCTTCCTCTCCCCCCGCCTCCTCCCTTCTGACCCCAATGCGAGGGCGCCTCCTTGACAACCTTTCCTTCCTCGATCAACACACCCTCCCCGGTGCGGTCCTCCACCCGTTTGAAAAACTGCACGCCCACCATCCCTTCCTCATCCCCCTCACTCAACACAACACCATTCTCACTCGTCCAAAACTTTAACCCTGCATCCATCGCCTTCTTCACGTCCACAAATACAAGGATCGTGGAGGAGTTGCGCATGCCAGATATCACCGGGGCTTGCGTATCGGCTTCCACTCCATCGACGGCATCAGAAGCAGGGAGGGTCGTGAATCTAGCTGGTAGACCGGTGGCGAAGTGGACGTGAGTACGACCCATCGGTTTCAAGCCACCTGAGGCGAGTATTTGAGGCCAAGCGGCGTGAGTAGTGCCATGGACTGCCGTTTCGGGAATGGAGTCGAGCGAGATGGATGTCAGGAGGCCTTCGGCTTCAACTTTGAGGCTGTGGCCTTGGTTGGCGCGGATTTTGTAGTCCTTTGGATCTGTGGAGGCAAGGGGCGTTTGCTTCACTCCATCAGGGCCATCGCTTGTTTGCGCCTTCTCTGGTGCTTGGCCATCGACTTCGTCCGCAGAGTTAGAGACAGGAACCATAGTGAACCGCTGCTTCTCATTTTCGTCCACCACTTGCCGTACTTCGTCGAAGGTGATCTGCAAGGCTTTCAGCTTGCGATTGTTGAGGACATCTGCGAGATTTGCGAAGCCGCCTGGTCCCAGTGGGAGGTTTTCTGATTCAGCGCCGTGGCGAAGGAGCCAGGAGAGCTTTTTTGATATCTGGACGGAGCGAGAAGGCGGTTCTCTGTTGTTGCGACCTCCGCCGCCGCGTCCGCGGCCTCGTGAGGACATTGCTTGTGTCGGCCCAGTTGCTTGGAAGGGTTTGAAAGAGGGTGCATAAGTCGTTCGTGAAGTTGTCCTTGGAAAGAGCAACTGAGGGAGGCGAATGGTTGGCAAGACCGTGGGAAGAGTCTGCTCTTCGATACTTCTAAGTCGTCCCCGCGTGCCCGCTGGTGAGTGCCTCTTGTTACTGATTGGATCTCTGTTGCATATGAGTCAAAACGTATTCATGAACAGCACTCATAATCGCTCATATTCATTCTCGTGTCACCGTCAAGAGTCGTCGTTTGTACATCGACTTCTGACATTGGACAGGGGCCATACTCCGCCACCACAGCCTTTCCAAACTTCTGCTCTCTTTGTCCTCCATCAAACAGACCGCGGCACATTCTTCGTCTCGCGAAAGCCTTGTAATAACATTATTCCGCAATATACCAACGCCAGCGATGGCCGGACACTCGGTATTCCCGAGATGAGAGATCAAAGAACAATTCCTCCGACCATCCTGTGCCCAGCGGCCCATCAGACCGCAAATGGAATGGTCCAAGAGCCAAGTGAATGCTGACCGGACCGCTACATTGCATCACACCACCATGGTGGAGGCTGTGACTGACAGGGCTGAGCTCCACGGTCGATCCGGTGCTCCAAGACTTCATTTCAATTGGGCAATGGTGGTCAAGGCAAGGCTCAGGCGACTATGTCCCCCGATTTGCTATCGGTGATCCTTTGGATTCACAAGACGCGATCAACGTAGGTGGTGTCTTGTATAAAGCTGAACATCATCCCTCGTACAGACGGTAAGAAGCACATTTCCTGTCCGTCAGCAGTCCACAGCAACATCACAGTACGACCATGTATTCCTCGATGAACAGCAAGACAATGGAGCAAGACGTCAAGGCAATCGTAGATGAACAGTCTCTTTACTCAGCCCGCGTATCACTCCCACCATACTCCTCAAGACCCTACGATACGGCCTCAACGACATTAGCCTCCCCGACCCCGGAGCTCATCCAGCAGCCTTGCTATCTCTTAACAGTGCAAGCCCATGGATCCAGCGGCTGCAGCTCCTCACTCGACCACAGCATCCCAATCTTCGCCGGTACCGATGTAACCGCACAGCCCCTCTATATCTCCCGCCGCATACACAAATGGAGGAACAACAGCGTCCTATCTCACGCACACGAGGGCGATATCATCTCGACGACCTATCGATTCGGACCCTACCGTGAGCCTAAGATTCGGTACCTTCAGAGCTCGGAAGCATTCGGTAGCGATGTGAAGAGCGCCGCTGCAGGCACCGATACTGGCGGCGACGACGAAGGGAGCCCACTGGCGCTCAAAATCCACACCAGTCTGGTCTGCCTAAGCACCAGTACCTCGCTCAGCTCTGCGACCGACCCAACCCGGACATACAAGTGGAAGTACACACGCACGAAGACGATTATCGACGGCAAGTTGCGCGTCATGGTGTTGTTCGCCGCAGGAGCAGCGGCTTCGACGAGCAGCGACGGCGAGGCGATAGCGGTTCTAGTCCGCTCCAGCTCGACACGAACGCCAGGGTCGAGCAGATGGGGTCAAGGAAACGGCGGGCAGCTCTATATCAGTCAGAGCGCGGGGCAGTATATGGAGGAGAGCCTGATTGTAGCGAGTTGCATCTTGATGCTGAAGAAAGAGATTGACCGTGGCAATGCGGTGGTTGTTGGGGCAGCGACTTCTTCTGGTGGTGGCGGGTCTTAAGACGCCGCCTCTGCTTTGAATTCCTGCTTCTGGTCTTACAATAGCGCAGATACCTCATGTTAGATACCTCGTATCCTTCATTTAATCCTCCTACCTTCCAGAGCTTCCGTGCTGTCCAGTGTCGAAGCACTACAACACCGCTGGGCCTCCATGTCCGGACATTGGTCGTCAATCCGACATGTGCGACAGCGTGGAAAGAAAGAGTGCATGCCGCCTAATAAGCGCATTCTGATGAAGACTTGAAATTGCACAGCGTCGCTCGTCGCATCCGACCGGAAAAGGCAATAGCAAGTGAATTGGAATTGGACCCTGGCATTACATCATGGTATGGGGTGAGGGGGCAGTGGTGCGGCGATGTGGGTGCTTCAAAAGGCTGAGCTTCACGCCGTCTCCGACAGAGTGTCTGCCTCTCGATCTTTCATTGGGTCATTCTAGCCAAGCTCACCATTTGACCGCGGAAAGAAGACGATTAGACTGTGGTATGGCAGGTTCTGGACCCGGCCGCAACCTCAAGGACAAGGTAGTATAAAGAGGCTATCACGCCCTATCAGACGGAACACACACAACAGTAGGTCGGAGTATACTATTGCATCCCCAAATTTCTTTTCTGCCACCATTTATCTGCCACCTCCTGGAAAAACATACCATCCGCAATGCATCTACGCCACCACAGCACGGAGGAAGATGAGAAGCAAGACTCGAAGAGCCTATCTTCCAACTCCAGCACAGACACGCTCCCACCGCCGTATTCTGGACAGACCAACAGCGCATCCCCCACCGACCTCACCTCTCCAGTCCCGGAACTCCTCCCAAGCCCCGGCAAAATCCTCACCATCCAAGCCAGAGGCATGAAGAACGTGTTCTGCAGCCCTAGCGAACTCATCCTGCCCATCTTCTCCGGCACCGACATTACCGTCGAACCATTGTACACTTCTACGCGCCCCTCGAAACGGAAGAACAACGCCGTGCTCTCCCACTCCCAGCGCGGCGATATCATCTCAACCACCTACCGCTTCGGTCCCGGTCGCGAGCCCAAGGTCCGCTATCTCCAGTCCCAGTCCCAGCAGCAGACCTTCGCCAACGACGTCAAGCGCGCTGAAAGCAGCGATAGCGACGACGATGCAGAAGGCCCCCTGGCGCTGGAAGTTGATAGCGGACACTTATTCAAGCACACCGTGACGCTCACCTCGACTCCAGAGGCGAGTCGTAGGTTCAAGTGGAAGTACACCCGCACGCCTACAGAGCCGGAGGGCAAGAAGAAACGGGTGCTGGCGCTGTACGCCGAGGGCGGGCCGGAGTCGTCTTCCTCTTCTAGGAGTGGCGATGATTGGGAAGCAATCGCCGTACTCGTGCGGACCGAGTCGACGAGGACCGAAGGCACGAGCAAATGGGGCTGGGGCAACGGCGGGCAGCTCTTCTTTAGCCACAACGCTGCTGAGCACATGGAGGAGGGTTTGCTCGTAGCGACGTGCATCATGATGATGAAGAAAGAGGTCGACCGTGGACGAGGTACGCAGGGTGCCATGATCGCAGGCGCTATGGGCGGCGGTTTTGGTGCCATTTGAGGGTAATTTGGAAGGGAGGATAGACGGTGATGCGAATTGAATCTTTATGCTGTTGATTTCTGATTCTACACTAGCACTTTATTGACGACACCTCATCAAACATCTACTCCTCCTTCGCCATCGCCCTTTTCCTCTCCCTCTGCTGCCTCGCCGCACTCTTATTATCCTTCAGAATCTGACTCCTCGCCCCTGCCCAAGTCTTCCGCTTCCCATCATCAAACAGCCTGAAAATCGCCGGACTGCACAAACCCGCCATGCACAAATCCCACAACTGCCTGTCATTCCACCAAAGTCCCCAAGCCTCCTTGGTCGTCCACCGCTCAACAAGTCCAAACCGTTTCTTCAGCCCCACTCCGGCACACTGATCCTCCCAGCGGAAGAAATCCGCCATTGGCACGAAGGCGCTGTAAAAGGTACTCTTTATCCCGTACTTTTTCGCAATCCGCTCGCGCCAGGTCATGTAGTCTCTGTTCCAACGCTCCATCTCCTTGAGAGGCGGGAGAGAGGATTTCCCGCGCCAGACCTGCGACACGGCGATAGCTTGGAACTCGAACATGGCGAAGCCTGGTAACGGCGCTCCGGCTTGACAGAGGAAGGCGATGTTGTTCCGGATCGACGGGTCAGGGTGCAGGGAGAAGATGTTGCGGTACAAGACCGGCGGGGCACCGAGAGAGGGGAAAGGGTTGACGGACGAGGGAGACAGGGGGACGGGGATGAGGGAGTTGTAGCCTGTGCAGAATACTATGGCGTCAATGTCTGTTAACATGCGGCCGGACTTCAACTCTAGAGATCTCGGGCCGGTGATACGTGCGATACCGTCGACGGGCTCGCAGAGGCCAGATTTTAGGTGCGGGTAGAGTTCGTCGGCGACCACTGGGGCAGCGACGGCGAGGGAAGGGGCAGGAGAGAAGTTCCAGGCTTTGGGAATGGAGGGGAAGGCCGCGGCGGAGATCTTGCCGATGAAGGTGTCGAAGATCCACTGGAAGACCGAGGGAAGGAGGTGTTGGAGGTAGAGGAGCGCAATGAAGGTGCCGAGAGGTGGTTGGCGGTCGTAGACGGAGCCGTCGGCGGCGTACCGGGGGATCTGTTGTTCCTGTCAGTATGTAGACGTGGGTTTGAGGAGGACGGACTTACTAGGACCACGCCGGAGCGGTGGGAGAGATAGATTCGAGATGCATAAGGCGCCAGGCCGGTGACTGCGTCTTGGGCTGAGGAGTGCAGTCCCACCACCAGCACATTCTTCCCCTTGTACCGCGAGGGCTCCCGGAAATGCATCGAGTGCACAGCTTCGGCCGCGAACTTCTCAATGCCCGCTATTTCGGGCATCCTGGGCTTGACAAAGGTGCCACACGCAAACACGACCTTGTCAAAGTGCTCGATCCTCGTCTCCGAACCTTCATTACTTCCAACCTCCACCGCCCAGTCATCCCTCTCGCGGCTGACCCCCTTGATAGGACTGCCAAGCTTGATATGCGGCCACAACCCAAAGTGGCCACAGTACCGCTCAAAATACTTCTGCAACTGCGCCGCCGTAGGGAAGTCGTCCATCTCCTCGGTCATCGGGAAGTCAGAAATCGAGGCGCGGTACTTGCTGCTGTTGAAGATAGTCGTCGCAGCGGACGAGATACTCTCGTCGGTAGAGTGTTTCCACAACCCGCCGACCCAGCTTCTGCTCTCGAAGAGCGTGGCGTCAAAGCCGTCTTCGCGGAAGTTCTTCAGGGCCATGAGGCCGTTGGGGCCGCCACCTACGATGGCGACGGTGGTGTTCGTCATCTTGCTGATATAAGAGATTGAGAGAGGGGAAGGGAGAGACGTAGAAGCGAGGGGCAAGAGACCAAGAGGGTAAAGGTGAGCGTGAACGAGAGCGAGAGTATCAACTTATCTAGAGAGACACCGGGAAGAGCCCACGCGAAGCTGAGAACAACATGGCCAGATTCCCAATGCCTCGCTGAGAAGTCCACTAGGGACGTTTCTGCTGACGCGAGAGCGTTGCGGGAATGCGGTATGCTGGCCCCGAGTGAGCTGCATCCTGTGTGGTCGATGTAGGGCTGGCGTCAGCAGGCGATGTTACGCGGCAGAACACAAATGGCGGATCTCGCTGGCTTCGAGTTTCTCGTGTGGAATCAAGTCTGTCAGCTGAAGATTGGCTGCGATGGAAGCGTGGAACTGGGTGCTTACAGGTAGGAGGTAGACATGCCAACTCTGGGATCGCTCGGCCGAGCGAATGGAATCCGAATCTGACTCCGGAGGCTGGCTTTGATAGATAAATGTACGAGTGCAGGGTTTGAGATGCTATGGTCGTCCAAGAGGTGCAACAGAGACGACAAGCCTCCACTGGTTAGAATATCTCTGTCTCGTCTATCTTACAGCCCCACCCGCATCCCTTAACGCTCACATGCATGTACCAAAGCCCACCTATCGCTATGCCCAACAACCCCAACACCCAGCACATGCCCAAGGCCGACCGCCATTCCCGTTGCCACGCTCAGAGAAATGCTCAAGCCTTCATACTCTTCAAGAACCCATCCAAATTAAACTCCTCCTCATACTGCCGCTCATCCCACAACTCGCTCAACTCATCCAAAATTCCCTTCTTCCCCTTCTCCTTCACGTTGCCCTCCGCGTCCACCGCATTGTCCGCATCGACCTTCTCCCCTTCCTTCCCATCCGTAATGGACAGGTTCGGATCCGTCTCGCCAAGATTGAAGAGGTCCAGTATTTGATCTGTCTCCATACTGCCCAACCCGGCGTTCTGTTGATTCACGACCGTAGAGGCGACGTCGATCTTGAACCTCTGCAGGTTGAGGATTTTCTCTTCCAGCGTCCCGCGCGTGATCAGGCGGTAGACGTTGACGACTTTCTTCTGCCCGATGCGGTGCGCGCGGTCCATGGCCTGGAGGTCCTTTTGCGGGTTCCAGTCGTGCTCGACGAAGATGACCGTGTCCGCGCCAGTCAGGTTGAGGCCTAGACCTCCGACACTGGTAGTGAGCAGGAGGCAGTCGATGGAGGGGTCGGAGTTGAAGCGGTTGACGATGTCCTGACGCTTCGATGCCTCCACGGAACCGTCAAGACGGGCAAAGGTGACGGAGGGGAGCAGTTTCTTCAGCACGGTCGACTCGACCATGTCGAGCATCTCCTTCATTTGGCAGAAGATGAGGGCCCGGTGTTGGGACACTGCCTGGTCAGCAGTAGGGACAGCGCCGGTCTCTGTGGTTTCGACACCAATACCGCAATCGACAAGAAGGTCGCGGAGAGCTGTGAGCTTGGGTGCATGCTTCGGATCCTTAATGCTCGAGCCTTCGCGTTTCAAGACCTCTTGAGTAGCAGCGTACTGCTTGTGGCCTTCCTTCATGACGAGAGCTGGGGAGTTGCAGAGCTTGCGCATGTACTGCAGGGCTTGGAAGATGTGCTGCTTGGCTTCCTTGTCCGCGCTGCCGGCCATATCGTGCAAGCCCTTAGCTTCTTTCTTACTGAAGTCATCGAAGAGCTTGCGTTGAAGGTCGCTGAGGTCGCAGTAGTAGTTCTGCAGGATCTTGGGCGGCAGGTCGTTCAGCACCTCTTCCTTGAGTCGGCGAAGCAGGAATGGCAGGACCTGCTTGTGCAACGACTCAATCGCAAGCGCCCCAGCTTCCTGCTCCTTCGATGACGACTTGGCAAACCTGCTCGCAGCAATGGGCTTAGCAAAGCGATCTTGGAACACCTTTTCCGTGCCCAAGAACCCTGGCATCAAGAAGTCGAACAGCGACCACAACTCCAGTACATTGTTCTGAATCGGTGTCCCAGAGAGAATCAGCCGATGGTTGCTGATCAGCCTCTTCACAGCCTGCGTCACCTTCGCCTTTGGATTCTTGATCAGGTGGCCCTCATCCAGCACACAGTAGTTCCAGCTGATCGGCAGCAGTATCTCGACGTCGTTCCTCGAAATGTCGTACGATGTAATAACAATATCCGCCGTCGCAAGCTGCGAACGAACTCGACTTCTCTCAGGAGGCGGTCCAGCATACGCCACAGCAGTCAAGAAAGGAGCATACTGTAGAATCTCCTGCTTCCAATGCCCAGTCAACGTCGGCGGGCAAATGATAAGCGATGGCGCGCGTCGCATGTCCGGAGCTCCTGTCTTCGCGAACTCCTCTGATCGCATATGATGGTCACTGGCGACGATGCAGAGCGTTTGCAGAGTCTTGCCCAGACCCATGTCATCACACAGCACGCCGTGGAGGTTGTACTTGTTCAAGAAGTGCAGCCAATTGACGCCTTCTTGCTGGTAGGAGCGCAGCTCGGCTTTGATGGCGACGGGGATTTCGAAGGGCTCGACTTTCTTCGGGTCCAGCATTTGAGCGATGAACTTGCGCTCGCGCTCGCGGCCTTCGAGGAGACTTTGCGGGAGGCCTGGAGGGTCGGGTATGCCGGATTCGAGCGGTACGAGCTTCACCAACGTAGCGAATGCTGTGGTAGCGATCAGGCGCACACCGCCGTCAGAATCGCTCATGCGGCCGAGCACTGGCACCAGCAGGAAGATGACATATGGCAGTATGCCGTCGCCCATCACCTGGATAAGATGGTAGATGCACTCGATAGCGCCTTGTCGATGCACGACTTCAAGTGAGTTGTTGATAGCCGGTAACACTTTCTCCACGAGCATAGTGAAGCCCTGCACGGTGATAACGCTGCAGACGCTGGCGAAGCTCTTCGCGGCCGTGTACCGCAAGACGGCAAGCTTGCTCTGCAGAGCAGTGGCGACGAAGGGTAGTAGGTCCAGTACCCAGCTATGAAGACCAGGATCCAGCGTGGCAACCAGCGCTCGCAAAGTCGACATGGCATCGACAACCTCTTGCCCAGTCGTCGTCTCTGGATCGGCGATTCCGGTAGGCAGCTCACCAGAAAAGCAATACCGTATTGGCCCTTCAATGACATCCCGCAACTTTGGCACCTTTGTGAATATCTCTGCGCCGAAGTTCTGACACAGCTGCTCCAGCGCATCTTTCGCTCCTCTTGTCGTAATCTTCGCCGCCCTGACTTCCCGCTCATACTTCGCAGCATCCGGCCGGTCTTGGATATCCTCATCTTTTTGCAACGAAAGAATGCCAGCCTCTTTCGTAGCATTTGGATGGAACTCAGGCGTCTCGCCAGTCTCCATGCAGCAGTACTTGACGAGGTTGCCGACCACCTTCTCAACGACCTTGTGCCGTTCTGAGGCAACAAGCTGACTGACCAAGCCGGCAGCCGCGCAAGCAGATCGGTGCTGAAGATCGGTGCTCTCTTCCTCTTTGACGCTGTCCATGAGCGCTTTGATGGCGTACTGTGGCTTCTTGGGGATATCGCGGAAAGCCACCAACGCAGTAGCAGCCGATGATTGAATGCGCAGATCACTGCGCAGCTTCGCACTCTTGGCCTCAGCAATGGCGGTCTGAGCGTCCAGTCTTGCCGTCTCCAGCGCCTCCGCAGCCGCCATGCGCTGTACAGAAGACAGACCTTTCTTGAGCCGCTCAAATTCGACAGTAGCAATCCTTTCAGCATTCTCAATGGAGAAAGCATTCTTGCCAGCTTCCGGCTCGCCCTGACAGACGACAGCCATAACGGGTAGCTTGTTGCCTGAGACATGAGCTTGCTCGGCGAAAGCGTTGAGCAGCTGCTGACACTGCGCTCTAGCGATTTTCAGGTAGTTGTTCTGGTCACTATAGCAGCCAGGACGTTCCTCCTCCACCATGCCTCGCAGTTCTGCGGCGGCATTTGTGGCGAGATCATCCTTTGCTGCCAACGTGGCTGCGTAGCCTTCGAGCGCCATGGCTGCGAAGATTTGGCTCGAGCCGTACATCGATGTGAGATGAGGCATGAGCTTCGGCCCGAAGAAGGACGACCGCTCTTCCATTGGCCAGGCAGAGATGGCATTCCCAAGTGCACGGGTAGCGAAGATGCGCGTCCTGATCATGACGTCTGTGCCAACCAGGTCAACGTCGCCTTGCATGATCGCGGCGTCGATGTTGTGTGATATTGGTCCAGTTGGAATGGCTGTGGATATGCTCTTCTCAGACTTGCGCCTCTTCTTTGCAGGTGGAGATGCACCGTTGACGGGAGAGGCTCGGTGGGCAGTGGCGAGAGGCGCGAAGCTCTGTCCGGAAGGTTTGAGGAAAAGCGTTGCATCCATAGGCTGAGGGTGTCGACTGTTGCCGATGGGGTGAACAGTGAGTGCAACAAGAGGTGCGGCGTGAGGCTCGAACTCTTGTCGGAAGTACTCTGGTCCTTGCCGAGCGAGAGCGTCGACGAGCGCGTTCCAGACTTCCAGCGAAAGCTTCAGCACATCGTCGTCCCTTTCCACAAGCAGATTCTGGTAGACCAGCCGAAGTGCTCTCCCCTTGATCCAGCCCTTCGTATCCACACCCTCGATATTGATAAACGTCAGCAGCGCTCTCAGTACTGCCGACCTGACCGTCCGAATGGTGTGCCTCAAGAACGGGTAAAGCCTAGGAACCAGATCCTCGAAACTTTGCTCCGGATCTACCTCAGCATTCTCTTTCATGGCCTCCAGCACTTCCGGGAAACTGCAGAGCTTCGCCAGCAAATCCATGACCGCACCGGTACTAGCGCTGAGGTCATCGCTTAGGCTGGACAAGCACTCCCAGACAACACTGATAAGGTTCTTGAGTTCGTTCTGTCGGACATTGACGAATTCCTGTGCGACAGGGATGAGAGTGGCGGCGCTCACGGATCGGACATCGTCGTCCTGGTCGCCGAGTCCCTTGATGACGCATTCTAGCACACCGTCCATAAGGGAAGCGTCTTGGAAGAGGAGGTCTTTCCGGACGGCGACAAGGTAGCGCATGCCGATCATACCACCATGGCAAGCGTGCCAGATGCGGCGGGAGACTTTGAGGTCCTTTTGCATGACAAGGCGGTAGAGTATGCGGTTGATGTCGTGGACGGATGATGCGGGGAGATGCTGGAGTACCGCGCCTAGAACCTGGCCGGCCGTCTCCCTGATAGGTGCGACGGCGTTGTCAGAGACGTAGTCAGCGAAGCGGTCGAGCATAAAGACGCAGCATAATCGGCATGCTAGGTCATCGAGCCATGCTTGGTTGAGCCTGTCGTTCTCCGGCCGTGTCTTGCCGCCTTGTCGACCTGCGCCCTCCCCGTGCACACGCACGATCTCACGGAGGCCCATCGCAGCGCCGTGTCGGATCTCCCATGCTGGATCGAAAAGATCGACGGTCAGGAATTCGCAAAGCCGGTCGTAAGGCCACTCGTTGCCCTCTTCTTCTGCTTCTGTGACCAGGCTGGACTTTTCTTGCACCGGCATGCCTTTAAACTCTGACACCACTTTGCTCTCATCGTCCCCACCCTTGCGGTCCAGCGATATGTAGTCCGCGTTGCCGTTCTCAGAAGGTTCCTGCTTGATGTCCGGCTTGACGTCCGCTTCCATAGCAGTAGCTCCGCCGCTGGTACTGCTGCGCCGTTGCGCAAAATCGTACTTGAACTTCTTGTTGTCGCGTTTCAGCTCCTCCTTTCGCCTCCGCTTGAGCATGTTGAGCTGTCGCTTGCTCATCTCTCCTTCAGCTGGAGTAGTCGGAGGCAAATTCTCGGGAGACTTCATAAGCACCTCATCAGCCTGACTGCTCATGTTGGAAACACCGGTATCGAGCTTCGGCAGGCCTGGCGCCGAGAAAGACCCAGATCGTATTGCGATGTCTTTTTCAGTGACAAGATCATCTTCGATGTACTCTCCGCCCAGCCCGAGACGTGAGGTCAGCGTCTTCTTCTGATGCGCGAGACGTTCGGAAGCATTCAGCCCGGCCAGCTTGAAGTCGTACTGCTTCCCAGCACTACCGAGGAGCTCCTTGCCGTAGGTAAGGATGGACTCAACGTCCAGGGTGGATAGCTGGAGTTGATCAGGGCCAGTGAGTGAAGCTCCATTTTCTTCTTTGATGGAGTCATTCCTGCCGTTGGTGTCGGGCTTGACATCTTCAAGAGTCGCGTTAGGATCGTACTTCTCCGCATGCTCGACGATGCCGCCTATAGCCTTTGCAGCGGCCGTTCGCGTATCCCATGATACTGATCTGAGATATGGCACAACGCGAGTCAGGAGGTTGAACAGCTCATCTGGATGATTCTTTTGCACATCCGCAAGTTGTTGGGCAGCGGTATTCCGTATGAGCTGAGTACTGCCCGTCTCTAAAAGCGTCACAAGCCTGTCGAGTCTATTATCACGTAGTGTCAGTACCGTTTCAAGTCAACAACATTTGACATGTGAAACATACCGTGAAGCCGCCATCATCAGATCTTCATCACTTCATCAAAACCCAAAGCACGTGCAGTCATCAGAATGCCCATCACTCATCAAGATGTCTGTTAGTAAAACATTAATTCATCAAAATAGCCATGAAGCAGAGCTCGTGAATGCAGCCGCAGTCGTCGTGAAGGTGGATTCGGCAATCACGTGACTCGGTTGCAGAAGTAAGGTACGGGCATCGGGCGCATCAGCGAGAGAGCAGCGACACTTGCCCAAATATATCCTCCTTCGAGCTTTCCTTAGGAGAAATATGCTTGCGGGCGCTAGGCCTAAGCGGACTGGTGGGGAAGGTACGATTGGCTGCAGAGAATCGCGCAAGTTGTCTTTCAAAATCACTGTGAAATGTCGTGTAGTCATCTTGATAGCCTTGCGGGCGTACATACAGATACAATTTGCTATACACTGAGTCCTTATGAGAATTACGGTGCGATGGCATGCCACGAGGGCAACAGCGATCAGAATGCATAGATGAGGATGCTTTGCGCAGAAATGAACATCGACAGGCAAGCGCGTTCGGTCGTCCCCACTTTTCTGGCACGGACGATATGCCTTGCGAGAACAACCAGATGGACGGGCATTAGGTTGATTCTCCATCTCTGTCGCATGGTTGAGAGTTGGTTGTATTATCATATCGCATCAACAGCCCTTAAATTCATGGCGCGCGGAGAACTGTACCTACAGGTAGCTGTTGTTCGAACGGCAGCACTACCAGGTTTTACGTGCTGATATTACATGTCGAAACGAAGGCGAAAGCTACAGCTACAGTTTCCTGATTGATTATGCCGAAAGAAGCGCGCGAATGTAATGGAGGTCTCAACAGATGGGCATGCACGGCAGGCGGGACGGTATGCCAGCCATGATGGGAAACCTTGAGCCATCATGCTGCTTTTGATGATTTCATTGAAGAACTCTGAGCTCGCACTATGTCTTCAAACTGATAGTGGAGCGCTTCGATATGTCATCGTACGCCTCCTACCACCAGCGTAAGTATCTCCCACAGTGACAGCCCACGCACTCTCGCAGAAGCTTTCTAGTAACCGTACTGCTCCAGCTGCTGCTTGGTCTTGTCGTCGATGTTCGCACTCTTCTTCGAGTCGGCGAGCATCTTGCGCATCGCCTTCTTGCGCTCGTAGTACGCCTGGCCCTTGACCTTTCTCCTCTCCTCGAGCCTGCCAGCATGGTTAGCCTGTATATCCAGAGTGTCACGTCCCTCTCCTTCGGTGTGTCCTCGTACCTAGCAACCACATCCCGGTACTTCCAGCCGAACTCGTGTCCCAGCCTGCCCACCGTGCAGTACTTCCTGCCCGGCTTCAACCGCAACACCCTCAGCGCCTGCGGCACCACCATCCTCTTCTTGTGATCGTATGGCGGTGGCACACCCTCGAATGTCTTGAGGCGCTCCATAGCTGCGGCGCCGCGAGGAGTCTTGTGGGGGATCATGCCGCGGACGGTGCGCCAGAACATCTTGGAGGGGGAGCGGTAGTGCCATGGACCGCCGCGCCAGGCATTGTAACGGGTCTGCTTGCGCATGAAGGCCTGGTACTTGACTGCGGGGAGGATTAGTATACGTGGTTTCGCAGTGCAATCTTGCCGAACGGCTGCAGGTGGAATGAGTGGTGGACGTACGTTTCGCCCTGAAGAACTCGCCGGAGATGTTGAGAGCCTCGCAGCGCACAACGACGATCTTCTGGCCGTTGAGCAACTGCTTCGCAACGATGCTGGCGAGTCTACCGAGGAGGTGTCCCTTGCCGTCGCTGTATTCAATGTTAGTGGGAGTCCGAAGCGCATGTCACTGCACATGTCCCAATGGAAGCCGCGGGAGGGAGACGTACATCACAACCACCGGCTCGAAGGAATCGCCGGCCATCTTGACGGTTTGCGTTTGTCGTCAAGGTGTAGTGAAGGGTGTCGTCGCTGGAGTAGTCGTTCGAAGTTTGGCCCACGCCAAAATTGATGCGTATGTGGGAAGCTGTCTTGGCGGTCTGCGAAATACTCGGGGGAGTGTTCACACCAGACCAGCACTTCCACTCGACGGCAACTGCGGGCATGTTCAGACCCTGCTTCTAGAATTGCGCGCTGACATGCATGTGCAATAGCAGTCTTCGTCATCGGCAGGAAAATATACATAACGTGCCCTCTTGGAGCACAGAATAATAAACAGCAACCGTGGCGTCGTCAAGCTTCCTGCAGGCCATCTCCAGCACCTCCAGGTCCCTCCTCGGTGAGTCCAGAGCGGACAATCTCAGCGCCGCCTTCTCACAAGCTGGAAAGGCGATCGAATCCTTTCTTCTCCCACAGACGACTACTACACAAGAGGCACCAAAGAGTTGGCAGACTCAGACATACGACACGATCAACGACTTCATCGCCAGCAGATCCTCCCTCGAGAACACCTCCCTCCTCCTCGCCCTCTGCACCTTTCTCTTCCTCCTCGTGCGCAACATGTCATGGACCTCCCGTCTTGGCAATCTCGGACGCTTCTCCCCCTTCACTCGCTCCCCAACACAGAGCGGTAGCGCCAAGGTCAGCGACTCCGATTTCAGCTACATCACTGCCGACGACTTAAGAAGACATCAACAGGAATCCATCACCGGCCAGGCGCAGTCGGGAAGTCCACCCGACTATGGCCCACAGCGCGATACGGATGTGTTGGTGTTGAGGAACAAGAAGCGCGATTTCCACATGCACTTTGCCGCTTACAGTATCGCTAAGGGCGAGCTGTCAGTGGGGCAAGTGAGGGATGCGGCGGCTAAGAAGATGAATACGGCGCCTTCGCAGATCAAGCTGCTGTACAGGGGCAAGAACTTGAAGGATGATGCGCGCACGTGCAAGCAGGAAGGTCTGCGGGATGGTGCTGACATCATGTGCACCGTCTCCGAGGGCTTGCAGGATGGCGATGGCAGCAGTAGTGGGGAAGAAGAGGATGATGGTGTAGAAGGACAGGCTAATGGCGACGGCACGAAGAAGAAGCGGAGGAAGCCCAGGAAGAGCAAGAAGAAGATTCGCAGAGAAGAGCGAGAGGCAGGCGCATCTGGCACAGGCACGTCCACGCCTGAACGTCTGGGTGTTCCACCGAGTTCGCAACCCTCGACACGACCGGTTTCGCCGAAACCACCGACTCCTGCGACGCCTGTTGATAAGCTGAATGCGCTTCACAGCACGCTCATGACGTTCGACCAGGATGTACAGAACTTCTTGAAGCACCCACCACCCGAGCAGGCAAAGAAGGAGTACGAGCACAAGCGACTCTCCGAAACGATCCTCACGCAGGTCCTGCTGAAGCTGGATGCGGTCGAGACAGAAGGCGATGCCGATGCGCGCGTAAAACGGAAGGAGTTGGTCAAAGAGACTCAAGGAATATTGACCAGCCTGGATTCCGCGATGAAGCAATAGATTGTTGACGACTGGCATGAGGCATGTTGATGATGCATTGTGCGTTACATGGAGGGGTCATTCTGTTCTGGCGATAGCGATTCGATGTCTGGCGTGGTGTTTGGGATGGTTTTACCTGATCAGCATACTGAATGGGTTTGGATGAGGTGCAATGCTAGCAGCAAGCGTTCTGAATTCCTACTGACCGCCTTATCTCCCAGTCCGTTGTTCTTATCTCCATCCTTCCATGATCGTTGGCGGATGTGGCTGAAACATGGATGGTGTTTGCCACTACCAGTGCGACGCAATACTGGAGCTCGCTCTTTCCAGGTTGGCAGGAGTCGTCTAGGCACAAGCTGCGCAAGCCTAGCTAATCTGGGCTTGTCTGAGCACAAGCACTCGGACCGACGGCTTCGGCCGCCTTAGTGGCTCGTACCGCCTTGGCTCTATCTCAACCGCGTTTCTATTTTATCCACAACTGAAGACATCGTCTGGGCCGCAGAAGTTGTCTGAAACGCGGTCTACAGACATTACGTACCTCAACAATTCAACGATATGGAAGTCGCGCGCTACCATAGACTGCTGAGGATGACAACATCCCACGACAGAGGATCAGGATGAGGAGTCGAGGAGCACTAGCTTATCCTTCCAAGACCTTGCGAGTCCAGAGTGCCGTACGAGAAGGTGGATGACAATGTCGAACGGAAGATGTTAAAACCGGGTCGCGTGCTCTTCTTCGAACCTGCGCATCCCCATTACACATTTCCCGTCGCGCTATTACTACACCATGAAGACCGTCGCCTTGATCGCCGCCGCCATTGGCTTCACGATCACGTCTGCAGAGTTTACGGTCAGCATCACGACCTTCTCTGATCATGACTGTCTAAACCCAATCCACGATTACTATGGAGACGTACCACAGGGCCAATGTCAGTCCGTCCCAGAGGCATGTACATTCCCTGTGGGTTGCACTTACTTCGGACTTCAGCGCTGACAGTCTAAGCAGGGAGCTTATTGCATCCAGACTTACGTGCGTCTGCGCTACACACGAACCACCTCTTGTCTTAATCCTGTAAACGCTAACCGTTTGGCGGCTATGTAGAAGTATGAGAACTCCGTGGAGCGCTGCTACTTCGATCAGTACTTCCAAGAGAACTGCATCGATCCCGTCAAGGCCACGCAAATGCGTATGTTCAGTTCAGAAGGTCTTAGCACTCCGCTAATAGCTGTCAGCTTTCGACGATGGCTATAATCATTATTACCCAGAACAAAGCGGCGGGATCAGGAGCTTTAAATATGTTTGCAGCTCCGTTGGCTATAGATTCAAAGCTTAAGGCCGCGGAGGTCGATGGAGATATTCTGGTGGCTCACGAGCGGCAAGCTGGGGAACGATCGCCATCTCACAGCCGTCGAGACCGTGTATACGCGTACGGAGCGCAACGATAGTTCAGGTAGTTGGTCCATGTATTTGCTGAGGGCTTCAATCACAGTTGGACTGTTTCGCGATAAGCGCGAAGTCTCATCGCAGGCGCGGAATTAGCAAGGACTACAGTGCGGATAAGAAGTCTCTCTATTCTCACGGGCGAAAGCACTCAGCCGCTGTGGAGCGGGCATAACATTGACAGGTTAAAGAGCGTTGTTCGTTCCCTATGATTTAAGCACGACCCCCGTTCACTGTAGTGCTCGCCAGCAAGAAGCGCCTCAGGTGGCTGGCAGATAGGCATGACTGCATGAACATACAACTACCGCCCTCGCTGCCACCGTCATCACAACTTCCTTCACTCGAAGACCCCGGCTCGGGTGCCTTTCACTCGCACATTTGAGGCTGTAGTTGTGGTCTCGTGGATCAGAAGTAGCAGCCTTGCCCCGTGATCAGGTTCGGGCAGGTAGTCGGAGCTTGTCCTAGCCAGTATTGAGCGGTGCGTGCACTTCATCGGCGTGAATTGAGAGTCAGCCAGTGCCTTCCAGCGACTGCAGGGAGTGATGACGAGGACAACCGAATGGAGAGCATCCTCTGCTTAACTTACAGTACAACGTTTTTATTGTTTCGATTAGTGTAATAAGTGACCTGGGCTTGCCAGGCATTGCCATCGACCATCCCCTGAGCCACCTGCCCAGTGAGAATGCTCATAATGGTCGCCTCATCTTGAGAGAATTGCGTGCAATCGATCTCGGCACTCAACTTCACACCAGCGGTCCCACCTGGCCAGTAACTGTCCGTGGTGATAGGACTGAAAGTGGTCAGAACGATTGACGGACTGAAGTAGAGGGCATGGATTGATAAATGAACTTACAACGCTGTTGGGCAGCTTGCTCGCCCCGAGATCTCAAGAAGGTCTCGCTTCCCGGGATTTTGGTCATTGCCTGGGTTGAGGCCTCCGGCGCCAGTGACTTGTCTGGCCACACCAGCAATGTAGGCAATCGACCCAGTACCGTACGCTGCACCCGCCAGAAATGCGAAAACATGGGCGCCAACGGCGGCCGCTCCGCTGACGGCACATTTGACACCGTTGGCGAACGTCTTGTCATTGTTGGCGGCCTCGCATCTATCAACGAAGTTGATAATCTTAGTGTCACCACCCCCAAGGGCAAAGTAGCCTGCGGCAGTGATGGCGCCGTATTTGTAAACGAGGTCGACGTCAGGATGCGGTGTCGCGACGTCTGAGTACAGCGTCTTGACGATGTTGTGTGCATGCGTCTTGTTATTCTCCACCAGCGCACCACTCTCGAGCTCGGTGGTGTCGTCGGTGAGGGACATGGCGTGGAAACCGTGACAAGAAGTGGCCAGGAGGGCAAGGATGGGAATCGGGGAGGAGCGCATCTTGAGAGAGTGGCAAAGGATGTGTGGAAACAGAGAGAATCAGAAAGTGCTTGATGACAGCTGTATCTCTGTCAATACGATGTGAAGCGGAAGTGAAGTGTCCAGTGCAGTGCGGAACCAGAGGTGGGGGACCTGCGCGCCTTTATAGATGGCCGGTCGCTTGCTGGCGGACTTTGATGCAGACTCCCTGACAGGCGTGGACTTGAGTATGTCCACCGTCTCCGCATAGATGGCGGGCGGCCTGAAGAGAACTTGCACTTCCCTCGGCTACACAAGTCCTCAGTCCGATCGAGAAACTTGGTGCATTGGTGCAATGCTGCCGCAGTACGTCACGGACCACATGGAGAGACACTTGCCCTTGCATTCGCCCAAGGATCGCACTATGGGATACTGCGATGGTGGACTTGGACCATTCCGCTGCACGGTCAGACGCTCTCGAGCCTCTTCGCCGCAGGACGGCACGATATCGAGTGGGATTCTTGCGCTTACCACCAATGTTATTTCTGCGGTTAAACAAAGAACATCAGCTGCTCGATCCTTCGGCGACAAGGGATCCTAAACCGGCACATCGTGAAATTAGTGCGAATGGCGGCATGCGCGTGGTATGCCCGGTTGGCGCAGATTACCGTGTTTCCGAGAAGGCTGTCTGCGTGCAGCACGGGTCGGCAGCGTGTACGACGTCAAGGGCGTGGGGCAGAGATAGCAGCGTCTTCGCTACTCATTGCCCGTCATTCAGTTCGACAAGCTCGCCGGGTTCGACGGATCGATCGAAGGACTCGTCAATGGATGTCTCGGAGTTTGAGAGCATGGAACGTGCTGCCCGGCTGCAAAGGCTTTACGTTCGTTCTGTATCTCGACCCATGGCGAAGGCAAGTCCGGGCTTGTGAGACTGCCGAAGGCCAAAGTAGATACCGTCGACTGTTCGAGCATACAGGCAGTGTGATGTCGTCTGTAGATCAACCATCAAACTCCATGCATGAGCTTCACAACGATACTATACCAGCTTTGTTTGGGCGCAAAAAAACCCTACTTACAGGTCGGGCCATCCACCCAGCCGGCTTGGAGGAGCTTTCGTCGTTGCCAAACGATCCTCGTCCCGTGCCACGATCCAATCAGTCGAATGCAGGACCAGGTCCCTTAGGTAGCTGATCGACTAGTGAGTTGTGGAGACGAGCCCGTCTGGACCAAGCTAGAAGCGGAGGTGTGGGAGGCAGGCACCCTGGTACTGGAAGGTAGAAGAAGCAGTACCTAATCTCGCCAGATCGAGGAAGCAAAGCAAAGTATGCTCGATAGCTCTCAAGAGAAAGTGATCGCTCCATAGAGACAAGGAAGGAACACCATGACACGTTCAAGACAGTAGGGATACAACATCATTCAGACAGTCCCGAATGCCAGGAGGTCATGTTACGAAGGGAATGCCACTTCCCCGGTCACGTTGGAGGTAGCGAGGCTTTTGATAAGCTTGGCATAATGCGGCGAAAAATTCCCGACGGCTCGAAGCGAAAACTGAGCCGTGCCGGAAAGCTTAAAAGGTATGAGGTTTCTTCTGTGGAGCCGAATCCTCCGATCTACTCGCCGGAATGTATCGAAGCAACGGGAGAGGAGGGAGATACTGACGGAAGTAACGGGACAAGCAATAACGGAGCTGTGTCTTGGTCTGGCCACAAGCCCGGCCGCTCTACGCTTGGAAACCACAAGCACTCGGACCGACCGCTCAAGCGCCAACGGCTCGTAGCGCCCTGGGGCTATTCTGTCTGCCGTTATGCATCACTGAAGACGCCGTCTGCCGCGGAGGCGTCGATCACACCGTCCACAGATGCTGCATTGCAGTCCAACGCCATCGAAGTCGCAAGCTACGGTAGAGTGCTGCAGATGACGAGATCCTGCCGTGGAAGACTAGGAGTTCTGATGTAAGTGCAGCAGAGCGTACTAGCCACGACGGGCTCGCATCGCCTGGGTAAATTGTTGACGAGCACTAGCTTATCCTTTTACGACCTTGCGAGTCCAGAGTATGCCCGACGGGAAGCTGGAAATTGATGCCGAATGAAACATGTTAAAGAACCAGGTCCTATCCTGTTCCTCAGAACCGCACAACCCTCATTCAGCTACTACACTATGAAGACCGCTGCCTTGATCACTGCTGCCATTGGCTTCTCGGTCACCTCTGCACAGGTGGGCGTTACGTCCTTCTTCGACCCTCTATGTGAGGTTCAAGTTCTCGTGGACTACAAGCGCACGATTCCACAGGACACATGCGTCTCCACGCCAAAGGCATGTGAACCTTTGCATCTTGCGTTGACTATGGACTACAGTGCTGACAGTGTAACAGGGGCCTCAATGCATCCAGACTTACGTACATCTACACTGCATACGAGTAAATCATTGTCCCGATCATTGTCTGACCCTTTTGCGACTATATAGAAGGACACAACGTACACCGAGGTCTGCTACTTCAGGCACTACTTCCAAGACGGCTGCGTCGAACCCTCTGCGACCGAAACCTTGAGTATGTCTCTACCGTTGATGGTTTCTCGGCAGTCCGCTGACGATTCCTAGAGGAGTACTCCGGCTACGCCAAGCATAAGGCACAACAACCCGGCGGAATCAAGAGCTGGAAATGGCATTGCACGTACGTAGGCCATCCTCCGGCTGCAGAGGCTGAAGAGGTCGACAAGGCAAGCGCGTAGTCTGCAGTATTCTGCATTGGGATGACTTGAAGGCTTACAGGCTGTACTCTGGAGGAGCGATTGTCAGATAGTTTTAGGTAGTTGATTTAGCTGTTTGGGAGAAGATTCGCTTTTGACCAATCAGGAGAGCGTAACCGTAGCGGGCAGGCCCACTTCTTGAAAGCTTATCTTCACTTGCATGGCTCACTTGCTCCCTCCTGAACATAACCATCTGTGCGTTGAAAGACGATGACCACTAACACACGGGCTAAGGAACACATCTACGAAGGAATGGGCGAACCGTGAATTCCGATTTGTTGATCTGAACACGGGATGTAAGATCAATGGGGATTTGACGCGAAGCGACAGTGACATCGAGACCACCAGCACGCCGGCGAACTCATAGCAGCGTGCAGCAGTGAGCTGGGATAGAAGCCAGCGCAGCTTGCTTCCAACAGCGGAATAGTTGATCGATGTAAGGTTTTTTGTCCCGGTGAGGGGTGCACGCTGGTAGAGCCTACTTCGCCCCAGTGCACTCGCTCCAGAGCCAGCATGCAGCAAGACACGGCACGGCATCATCTATTGACGTTGGTGGTTGCGATCACAGATGGACTCCTCCGCAAAGAGCGCGGGCTCTCATGGCAGGCACTCAAGCACCAAGAAGACTGCGCTCTCAGGACATTGGAACCGGCGATATTCCTGAGGGAGCAGCAACCGACGAGATGAGGTGTCAGGAGCGGACACGGCACTCCAAGATCCCCCGTGCCTACAGTCTATGCTTCCGGATGCCGGAGCCATACCGCCTTTGCAGATGTCCACGGCATCCAACACTGGCTTCGAACTCGTAGAGCATCGCCTGACAAGAGGTGTAATAACGACAGGGATCGATGACTCCGCTTGAATCCTTCAACAAGCGAAGACATTGAACCGGTGAACTCGGATCCCGGAGTATCCGATGGCACCAAGCGTCACAGCGCTCAGCTCGCGTGAGTGTTATGACGCCGGGCCACATACCATATCTGGAACATGGAGATCACAAGCCGAAGCTAAGAAGCAGAGTCTAGAGCTGCCATCCATCAGGTATTCAGTGGAGAGGATTCAGTGGAGAAAGACATTTACCCGCTGTACCATCTCAATAGCACGAAGAAGTCTGCATGGCCCATCCGCCAGCAATCTTCAGCTCTACGACGCTGCTGCGCCATACACAACGATCAGCCGAAGAGCGAAGACGTCAAAAGGCTCGATGAAGCGCTCATGGCAACGACGGAAACCGCAAGCTTCCATCTCTATCACTTTCCCGAGCCATCTTCTGTCTGGAAACCTGCGTAGCACACACCCGTTGTATCAACCTCCACTACCGAGCGCCATCAGTCATGCCCTCATACTCAATCGTCTGGCTCATGAGCTTGGCCTTTGCTGCCACTGCCTCTGCCGGGCCCTGCGACATATACGCCGACGGAAACACCCCTTGTGTTGCCGCACACAGCACGACCCGTGCTCTGTACAGCTCCTATACTGGCAACCTCTATACGGTAACACGATCTGACGGGAAAACGGTGACGGTCAAACCGTTGTCTGCAGGCGGTGTGGCCAACGTAGGACCGCAAGACTCTCTCTGTGGCCCTGGAACTTTCTGCCAGATCACCACGATATACGATCAGTCTGGCCGTGGCAACCACCTTACTCCAGCACCTCCCGGTGGCGAAGCATCGGGCGCTGGTCCCAACGGATACGATCTTCCTGCACGTGGCGCTACTGCTCCGGTGACTCTCAATGGCCACAAGGCGTACGGCGTGAGAATGGATCCTGGAATGGGTGAGTTTTTATCTTCCGCTCTCCCAAAGAACACAAGCTTATTGGTCGCTGTGCAGGATACCGCAACGATCGCACAAACGGAATAGCGACTGGCGATGCCCCGGAAGGCATGTATGCCGTCTTCGATGGGACCCACTATAACGGCGGCTGCTGCTTCGACTACGGCAACGCTGAACCGAGCGATCTCGACACCGGCGCCGGCCACATGGAAGCACTCTACTTCGGTGATCGCACCGTCTCCGGGTCCGGTGCAGGAAGTAGTCCATGGATCATGGCCGATCTCGAAAACGGCATCTACTCTGGCGCAATCAGAGGCAAGATCAACGCTGACCCAACGATGAATTCTCGCTTCGTGACAGCGGTCTTGAAAGGGGAGCAGAACCGCTGGTCTCTCCGTGGTGGAAACGCTGCGTCGGGCTCCTTATCTACTTTCTACGATGGGGCGAGGCCGAGTGGGTATAACCCCATGCACAAAGAGGGTGCTATTGTTCTCGGGGTGGGGGGTGACAACAGTAATGCCGGACAAGGCACGTTCTATGAGGGTGTCATGACTGCTGGATATCCGAATGATGTAACCGAGCAGAGTGTCCAGGCCAACATTGTCGCTGCTCGGTATGCAGCGTAGTTGTATGCAGCGTCGCTATCATGCCTCACCCTGCTCCAGCATCGAGTGATTGAGCTGTCGAGACTGTACAGATTTCTTGAGCTTCGACGACGGTGTCTGCGGCAATCCCTCGCACGATCTCCTTGTCCGTCTTCTTCTTCCTCGTCTTGGGGGGGGGTGCGGATGAGCCAGCCAATGCCTTGCGAAAGTCCTTGGAGATGCCGTGGCCATGCTTCCCCCATCCTCAGGGTATCCACGGCGGCAGTGCTGTTACAAATTAGTAGAAATTACTAATCACTAAATCAACCACACTATACCTCAATGTTAGTAATTACTAGTTATATGCAGCACTGAATTGTGACGGCGGACTGAAGTCCTCTCCTTCTCGGCCGACATTCGGTATACCAAGACCAACCATCCTCGGCTTGACTTTGGACTCGAGCTTCCACTTCTCCGCGAAAGCCACAACTCACTCCACAGAGCTTCTCTTGATCTCCAGTCAAAGGTAAAGTCAGCTCAGTCATGATTTCAAGGCGTTGGTGAGGCCTTTCTGTAATCTGATCTTCGCCTTTTCTCTCGCTCCGTCTCTCCACACACCACATTACCCCTCCGAAAGGGCGAGAGAGCTCCGTCTTGTATACCTACCTACTCAGCACCTGCCCATACCCCCGAGCACCTTTGAATCCCCTTCTTCCTTACCTATACCACCTCCCTTCACAATGGCCGCCGCCCTCCGCCGCCTCTCCGCCCTCGCCCACCAACTCGCCGGCACCTCTTCCGACACCACGGAATACATCCACCGGCACCACATCCACCAGCTCTCCCCCACCTACTTCCTCCCCCGCGCCGCCGCCATCGAACCAAATGCCACCGCCGTCTACCATACCACCGCCAACGGCGCCATTCTCAAATACACCTACGCTGAAACTGCCCGGCGAGCATCTGGCATCGCGTATTACCTGAAGAAACATGGCTACAAGCGCGTTGGGATCTTGATGACCAACACGCCCGGGTTCCTCGAGACGTTCTACGGGATTGGCGGAGCGGGGGGTGTGAATGTCGCGATTAATTATCGTTTGAAGGCGGAGGATATCGCGTATATTTTTGATCACGCGGATGTGGAGGCCATTGTCGTGGATAAGGAGTTTGAGCACCTACTTGAGGGCTTTAGACGAGACCATCCTCAAGTGCATGTGCTGGTTGACACGGACACGGATCGCGAGGATGGGCCGTATAACCGGGCCATGGAGGAGGGGTGGGCGTATGACGAAGAGCTGGGCGGGAAAGGATGGGAGGGACTGCAGACGGAAGTCCCGGACGAAGAGGGCTTGATCGCGTTGAGCTATACCAGCGGCACGACGGCGAAACCAAAGGGGGTGGAGTACACGCACCGCTCGGCCTATCTAGCAGCAATGGCGAATGTAGTGGAGAGCGGGCTGAACACCCACATTTCGACGGCGGATCGGTGTCATTACCTCTGGACTTTACCGATGTTCCACGCGACGGGATGGACTTTTCCATGGGCGGTGACGGCGGTGCGGGGGACGCATTATATGTTAAGGAAGATTGATTATCCCGAGATTTGGAGGCTGTTGCGGACGGAGGCGATTAGTCATTATTGTGCGGCGCCGACGGTGAATACGCTGTTGTGTGCTGATAGCAATGCTGAGAAGTTGCCTGGTAAGCTTACCCAAACTCTCTAAAGAGCTTCGCAGTGTGAGCTGCTGATCACGAGTGTCGCGTGTAGAACCCGTCCGCGTGACCGTAGCCGCCTCCCCACCAACCGCCTACCTCTTCGAAACCATGGAGAACCTCAACCTCCAACCCGTGCACGTCTACGGCTTAACGGAGACCTACGGCCCCATTACCAAAGGCTACTGGATGCCCGAATGGTCCTCCCTCGAAAGCAAACGGAAATACGCCAAGCAAGCCCGCCAGGGACACGGCCACATCACATCCCTCCCTGCGCGTGTCATAAAAACGAACGAAGACGATGCCGGGAACAAGGACCAGTTCAACGATCGGATTGAGGATGTGAAGAAGGATGGGCAGGAGATTGGGGAGATTGTGCTTTTGGGGAATATTTGCGCCAAGGGGTATTATAAGGACCCCGTCGCGACGAGGAAGTTGTTCGCGGGCGGGGTGCAACATACCGGCGATCTGGCTGTGTGGCATCCGGATGGAGCGATTCAGATTTTGGACAGGGCGAAGGACATTATCATCTCCGGCGGGGAGAATATCTCGAGTCTGTCCGTGGAGAGCATGTTAGTCACGCACCCTGATATTCTGGAAGCGGCCTGTGTAGCGGTGAAAGATGAGAAGTGGGGCGAGACGCCGAAGGCGTATGTTACTGTGCGGGAAGGGAAGACGGTGCAGGGGGAGGAGGTGATTGCGTGGGCGAAGGGCAAGAGTGGGATTAGCAGGTTTATGGTGCCGAGGGAGGTGGAGGTTGTTGCGGAGTTGCCTAAGACGAGTACGGGTAAGGTGAGGAAGAACGTTTTGAGGGATATGGCGAAGGGGGCGCAGTAGGGTGGGGAGGGGATGGTGGATGAATGGGTTTGTCGTTTGTGGAATGGGAATGGATGGAAAGGACTTGTATACCATGACAATACTGCGGATGTAGAGGACATGTGCAGCTTTGACTTACTCATGCTTCTCACCACATGTAGTCTCGTGTCCTGTTGTAGCGTTACGTGTGAGAAAACGCAATCCCAAGCGGAGGAACCTTCACTGCCCGCAGAACACCAGGGAACGGCTCCAGAAGTCTCAATGTCACGACCCAGGCAGATATGGTTTTAGAGCAAACACTGCCTCGTACGGTCAAGAGACTCCCTAGATCTCGTTACCATGCTTCAGCCTGCCATCACAGTCCTCGGAGAAATGTCGTGAAGGATAGACGGACGATCCTCCGTTACCGTTCATTCCGGTTCATGAGGTCGTGGCTGATGCCCGTGCAGTGGATGTCAAGCTTCGCCTCCCTGGGTCATCTGCAAGCCACAGCCGGCTAGATCTCTGGAGATGGAGGATCTATACCACCTCCGGTCAGCGACCGCGTGGACGCACGGTGCCTATCACACTCGGCGGAGCACAGAAGATCAGAAAACGTGGAGCCGGCATGAGGACAGGGCTCAGTCTTGGTAGATCTTGAACGGATTCACTGCTGGCCGGGTGTTTTGAACGGTCTGCGCCTTGTGCGACTCTACCGTCCTTCCTGCTGGAGTTAAGCGGAGACAAGGGCCCCGAAGGTCGGCGCAAGGGTGGCGTCGTTGGGCGTCGGAGGGTGATATGGGAAGCGGGTGCGGCGTAGAGGGGTCGCAGTAGCGGTAGCTTGAATGCATTGCGCTATTGGAAAGTCGATGTCGGCGCCTCGTCAGCTCCAAGCATCTCTTTCTTCTCCTCCTTCTCGTTGCAATCTGTTGGTGTTTTGGTAAAGGAAGGAATTGTGATTGAGTAAAGACCCCGAAAGCCCGACTGTCGCCGTCTCGAGATACCACTACCACCTTGCTTGGCGGACGCTGTGTGGGTCTTGACCTCACTCTTTCTCCCACGTTCCTTTCTCGGTTCTTCGAAGCCTCTTTCGGGAGGCAGCAAATCCGACCAGACAGGGCCTTGCAATCGCTTAGGAACCAAGCCATTGCCCGCAGTCACCCCGGTCTGCAGTCTAGTGCATCTCGTCACTAGGACGTTCTCTTTACCACGGCACTTCGAAGTAACCACATTTCCTTCTGGAGGACTTTCACTGCAGACATCGGCCATCATTCTCTAAAGCAATCCACTGCTCTACGCGATCCTAATGCAGCCATTGGAAGACCAATAACAGCGGGCGTGATCGTGGAGTCTGGCAGGCGAAAGGTTGTACCTAATGTCGAACATGCAGAATGCGGTCCCCGACGAGTATGGCGACCAAGTCGCAAGCGATGGCGAGTCGATCGGGGACGAAATGGAGCTGAAACAAGAGTCGCCCTACGCTTCTCCAAACGGTTCGGTTCTACCAGGCAAAAATGCGCAGCAGATCAAGGCGGCGGCGCATTTGCAGAAACGAAGAAGAGTGACGCGGGCTTGTGACGAGTGTAGGAGGAAGAAGATCAAGTGCGATGGCAAGCAGCCGTGTACTCATTGTCAGGTGTACAGTTATGGTATGCTTGTGTCAGCCATTGGGGTGGCGAAGGCTTACTAACATTAATGCAAGAGTGCTCTTACGACCAACCCTCGAATCGCCGAAGGAACCCAGCGCCGCAGTACGTCGAGAACCTTGAGCATAGAGTGCACCGAGCCGAAACGCTGTTGCACATTCTTATACCCAACCTCGACCTCAACGATCCCGGCATCGATGCAGCTGTAGCTCAAGGCTGGATCCCAGGTGCACCTGGCAAAGGAAACCCTCATACGACTCAGCGACCGCAGAATGCGCAGCCTCCCGCTCAGCGACAACCGGCCCCTTCGCAACCTACAGCAGAACCTCTACCCGACACGAACATTGAATCAATGGTACGAGCAGTAGCACAAATAGACATGGATGAGACGGGTCATTGGGATTACCATGGACATTCCTCCGGGCTCAGCTTTGTGCGCCGGATGAGAGAGCAGTTGGGAGATCTGATGGGGCCGGAGACGGTAGCCACGCCTTTCATCAAGTCTAGACCTATGTCGGTGGTGTTCGATTCGCCAAAGTCTGGCGTGGAGTCTCCGACTGCGGGTGAATTCTCGCCATCAGGGCACGATTTACCAGCGAAAGCACTCGCAATGGAGATCTGCCACTGTGCTGTTGACGACGCCTCTGCGCTGCTCAAGATTGTGCACAAGCCCACCTTTTGGCAGGCATTCGAACATCTCTACAGCACGCCGCCAGACAACTGGACGAACGATGATCAAAGCTTCCTGCCTTTATTCTACAGTGTGCTCGCTCTGGGCCATCTCTTCGCCAAGGACGAGCAGAGTGGTGTGAGTCGCGAAGGCTACGAGACTGGGATCCAGCAAGGTTTCGTCCACTTCAAGACTGCACGCCAGATGATGGATATTGCCGACTGCAGAGATCTCATGGCCATCCAGGCTGTGATGTACATGATCTTGTTCCTGCAGTCATCCGCGAAGTTATCCACGTGCTACGCGTATGTCGGTGTGGCGCTGCGATCCGCCTTGCGCATGGGATTGCATCGCGCCCATACCGGAAACTTTGACCCCATTGAGGCCGAGACGAGGAAGAGAGTGTTCTGGGTGGTACGCAAGATGGACATATACGTTGGCGCCATGCTGGGACTGCCGCAAACCTTAAGCGACGACGACATCGACCAGGAGTTTCCACTCGAGATCGATGATGAATACGTGACAAAGGAGCGCATCCTGCCAATGCCGGAAGGTCGCGTCCCAATCATGATGGCGTTCAACTCTCACACGCGCCTCGTCCAGCTACTGTCGAAGATTGTCCGCTACGTCTACCCGATCAAAGTGAAGGGCACGCAACGCGTGGAGGCGGACAAGTCATACTCGGTGCCTTTCTCGGCCATCCGAGAGCTGGAGAACGATCTTGAAAACTGGAAGAACAGCCTACCCGCGGTGTTTAGTCCGTCACCGGCTGAGGAGCGGTACACCAGGATTCAATACCTCCTCAGGCTGAGCTACGCCCATACGCAGGTGATGCTGTACCGGCCATTCTTGCACTTCGTGGCGATGAATAAGCGGGAGAAGCCTGTGGATCAGCGAGCGTATGCTTGCGCGGCATCATATGTGAATGTCTCGCGGAATATTGTGCACATTACTACGGAGATGAAGAAGAATGGCTTGTTGAATGGCGCGCATTGGTTTACGATGTATACGTCGTTCTTCGCCATTCTGTCTCTGGTCTACTTCGCCGCGGAGAATCCGGACAATCCTACCACGGAGGCAGTCATGAAGGATGCGCTGGAAGGAAAGCAGATTCTCGCTTCACTTGCGCAACGAAGCATGGCTGCAGACAGGTGCACAGCGACGCTCAACTCCGTCTTCCAGCGGCTACCGGACTGGATGAGGAACGGTCAGACCAACCCAACGATCAACCGCAAGCGACCACACGACTCAGGCAAGACTGCGCCGCACGTGCAAATACCACAAGCATCCCGCAGCCATCCCGACGTGTCCACTGTCAACCGCCCAGAACCCACACCAGGCCTGAAGAACCGCGCAAGTACCTTTCCCAAACACGGCCTCGCCCAGCCCCTCAGCATCTCCCCCGCGTCCTACGACGGCTTCTCGCAATCCGGGTCCTCAACAATGGGTCCCCAGACCCCGAATGGCCACGACTTCCCTCCACCGAACAACTACGGCATGTACCAACAACCCTCCTCCAGCGCGTCGAACGCCCTCGCCCAAAGCGGCATGAGCAACCATTACTCTCTGCCTCCAACGTCCTACCCGAACCCGGCGATTTCAGACCTCTCGAACATGATGTTCCCTTCCGCCGCCGACGAGCCGTTTGGATATCCTTCCCAACCCCTCACCACTTTTGAAACATCGCAGCAGTTCTCCAAAAACAACCCGTACCCCGCCTCCAGCGGTGGACAGAACTACACCACGAGTCACATGGACGGCATCACACCCGCTTCCCGCGGCGGGAGGGACGATAACATGGAAGCGCAGTTCTATGCCCTCCCGCCTTTTATGGATCAGCGGCAGCAGCCTCAACCTCAGCAGCAGCAGCAGCAGCAACAACAGCCGGGGATGGGTGCTTTCGGCGTCGGCGGGATAGGAGGGCAGCAGGGTATGGCGCCGGGCGGTGCCTGGCCAGGACAGCAAGGGCAGGGGGACGCGATGGCGAATATTAATATCCAGGATATTTTTGGGGGGAGTGAGTGGTTTGGTCTGAACAATCCGGGGGGGTATCAGTGAGGGATGGGTTGACTGTGCGACTGGGTGTGGTTGTTACTGTGCTTTCTTGCTTGGGGGTTGGGACATTGGGCTGCTGGTCTTGCTGTTGCTATATGATGATACCCAGTGGCGGGAGGCGTTTTCTCGGTTTTTTTATGGATGGGAATAATGTTGATGGCTTGATGATGGGAGTGTCGTATACAGTACAAGCATGGAATGGATACTAGATGGTTGTAGCAATCGAGATCGTACTTCTATAATATCTATCTGCCTTCTTTACATGTCATAGTGGGATCGAATGGTGGTGTGTGATCATTTGCCATCGGTATAGACTTTTAAAGCCCCGCAGTGGGTGTTGCTAGCTGCAGAATCCTGCGAGATTGGCGATGATAACATCGACATACCTAGCTTAGAGCTCTCTCGACCTCGTCTCGACATCGATAATTACGCGAACGCCAAACACTCGCTCCAAGAAGACCGAGGAGCATGGACTGACAGCGAAACGTGCAACAATGGCGCGCACCACCTCCTGGAACCCTCTCGCCTTCGCCCCAGCCCAAGTCACCCTCCTCACATCCGCCCTCTACATCGCCCTCTTCGCCGTCCTCCTCTGGGTTCATAGTACCGTCCCCAGCGCTCCCAGCGACCCTACCCCCATTGGCGGCATCAATTTGACATCCGCATGGTTAGATCTGAGCTACATCTCTGACGGACATCATCCGGTGGACTCGAGGCGGAATGAGGTGGTGAGGGGGTACCTGCTAAAGAGGATTGAGGAGGTGCTGGAGGGGAACGATGTGGATCATCGGGTGGTGTTGGAACGGGCGGGAAGGAAGCCCGGGAATGAGAGTATGGTGCTGAAGCCGGCGTTGAGGGAGGTGACGGTTTTCGATGACCGGAGGAGTAATGTGACGTTCTTGGACGATTTTAGGAGACAGCCGTGGACGTGCTATTCGGAATCTACTAATGTGATGGTGTATATCCGTGGCTCGGAGGATCCGAAGGACGACTGGTGGGAGAACAACGACAAGTATGAAGGACAGGGAGGGGTATTGGTGAATGCTCATTACGATTCTGTGAGCTCTGGGTACGGAGCCACGGATGACGGGGTGGGCGTGGTCACGATACTGCAGCTCTTATCGTACTTCACGACCGAGGGTAATCAGCCGAAGCGAGGCCTTGTGCTGCTTCTGAACAACAACGAGGAAGACGGGTAAGTGAATTCAGAGAGAACGTTAGTCAACGGCACTGCATCCTTCTCCTGGTATGCAGAGAGGAGAGAAAGCTGACGTTTTTCACCATAATTTCTCAGATTATACGGCGCAAAAGAGTACCTACGCCATCCGCTCTCGGAATTCACGCACATGTTCCTCAACCTTGAAGGCGCAGGCGCAGGAGGTCGCGCAATGTTGTTCAGGAGCACAGACGCCGAAGTCACGAAGTTCTATACCAGTCCCAACCCCTTCGGCAACATCGTCAGTGGCGATGGGTTCAAGCGCGGCTTCGTACGTTCGGGGACAGACTACTCTGTCTTCAACGGCGATAATCGCATGCGAGGGATTGATGTCGCGTTCTTTGAGCCCAGGGCGAGGTATCATACTGACCAGGACGATGCGAGGGATACTTCTGTGGACTCGCTGTGGCATATGCTTTCTGCTGCTCTCGAGACGACGGAGGCGATGACTTCGTATGAGGGTGACCAGTTTGATGGGTCTACGAGGCGGAACGGGAAGCTCGATATCAGCTCTGGGAGCGACTCCGCCTATTTCGATCTTCTGGGCAAGGCTTTCGCGGTCATGAGGCTGCAGACGCTGTTCGCGCTGTCTGTTAGTCTGTTGGTTGCGGGCCCGGTTCTCTTGATCGTACTCGAAGTCATCCTCCGGAAGAGCGACAAATGGTATCCCCTCTCGACAAAACATTACCTGCACTCCTCAGATGACGACGAAGCCGTACACTTCAGCGGTATGCGCGGCCTCTTCCGCTTCCCGCTCGCCTTCGTGGTCGCCACAGCAGCAGTTCTGGCGCTCGCATATCTTCTCACCAAGATCAATCCGTTCATCATCTACAACAGCGAGTACGCCGTTTGGGCCATGATGCTCTCGGCGTGGTTCGCAGTGGGATGGTTCTTCCTCGCTGGAGCGGATCGAGTCCGGCCGACCGCGTTGCAACGCATGTTTTCTATCATGTGGCTCTATTCGCTGACTTGGGTTATGCTGGTCGCTGCGACGGTGGGAGAGAACAACTTTGATCTTGGGTCCGGGTATTTCGTCGTCATTTACAACGCTGCGACTTTTGCGGCGCTGCTGGTTTCGTATTTGGAGTTGCTGGCTTTGCCAACGAAAACGTCTTATGTAGAGCATGTTTCCGGCGCTGAGCAGGAGGTCCATGGCCGGTCTGGACGTCCGGGCAGTCGGTCTTCTCGCAGCGTGTTGAGCTCGAGCCGGCGCCAGCCTTCTGGAGCAGACGATGACGATGACGACGAAGCTACAGAGCGCAGCGGTTTGCTCGGGGCCAGCGATCGCCGGAGCGGCAACACTTTCGTCAGTAAGATTGGAAAGCGATCACAGGTTGACGAGGATGCGGACGCAAGCGACGACAAGTATCTCAATCAGGCCTACGGAGACGAGCAACCGTGGTCGAGCAAGCTGCCACGGTGGACATGGGTGATACAGCTGATCCTGCTCGCACCGATCAACATCATCATCATTGGGCAGATTTCCCTGCTATTGACCAGCGCACTCCACATGACGCCTGCCGATGGCAATCCAGTCCTGCCGATCTACCTCTTCATCGCGGTCCTGGCTCTGCTACTTCTCCTACCGCTCACACCCTTCCTACACCGTGTCAGCTACAGGATCGCGACATTCATGTTCCTGGTTTTCGTAGGCTGTCTGATCTACAACCTCCTCGCCTTCCCCTTCTCCTCCGATGCTCGACTAAAGATCTACTTCGTTCAGCGCATCGACTTGAACGCCGGGAGCAACGACGTTATCATCGCAGGGCTCGACGGCTACATACAAGACATCATCGGCGAGCTCCCGAGCGCCGCTGGGCAGGATCTCAAATGCGGCATTGACGGGCCTTCCGGGAAGGCGGACAGACGTAGTGGACTGCAAACCTGTTCGTGGCATGGGCTTGCTCCTAACGTACTTGCGAACGAGCCTCTGGAGACTGCTAGCTTTTCGAAGAACACGACGAACGACTTCGCTTCCTGGCTCGACTACAACGTCACTGCCGCCAATGGCACAGCCAACTTCAGCATCCGCGGTCGCAATACCAAGCAATGCCGTATTGTCTTCGACAACCTCGTCTCAGAAATCCACATCGACGACGCAGCGCTAGATCCCCGATACAAGCCCGTCGCCGAGAAGGGAAGCGAGCAAATCCGACTCTTCAGTCGGGAGTGGGATAAGACTTTCGAGGTCGATGTTTCGTGGCCCAGCGGGAAGACGAAGGGCCAGAAGGGCAAGGTAATGTGTATGTGGAATGATGTGAACGCGCCTGGGGTTATTCCGGCTTATGATGAAGTGAGGAGGTTTCAGCCGGTTTGGAGTGCGGTGACGAAGGCTAGTGATGGGTTGGTGGAGGGGTGGAAGGGGTTTGAGATATGAGAGGAACACCACCGGGAGATGTATATCAGAAACGACACTCTACTTCATCGATTGACGACAAGAAGGCCTCGACTTGGGACATGACGAAACTGGTACGTAATGGCCGCGGGACCTTTTCACCTTGTTGGGACGTACATTGCAAAGACCTTTTGTGACGTGGAGTACAAGATCAAAGACGACCTGCAACTCTCGACGCGAGGCGACCTCCATCGACACCACCATGACCCAACCGGTAGTCATCAGCTCTGACGAAATCGCCCAACAGCCCTCAGAACATTTCCCAGATGTTCGACACGGCTCCGGCCTCAACTGGAAAACCCTGCTCTCCTCTTCAAAGACACCCACCGACACTCTCACAACGGGCATCGCGACCTGCGCCCCTGGCAACAGCCTCCTCTGCACGCATCAGCATACGCACGCGGAGATCTACTACGTTATCCGCGGTTCGGGCGTTGTGGAGATTGAGGGGAAGGAATTTGACGTGAAAGAAGGCAGTGTGGTTTTTATTCCGTCGGACGCAAAGCATGGGGTGAGGAATGCAAGTGGGAGTGAGGAGTTTGTGTGGTTGTACGTTTTTGCGGCCGATGGGTTTGGGGAGGTTGAGTATCGGTTTTTGACGGATGGGAGTTGAGGGACTGTGTATTTGGTGTAACGGTGACGGAGTGCATTGGATTGTTGTACATTTGGGTGGACTGCTCATGGAACGTCGGATCGTTTGATAGATACCAGAGGGCAGGTAATGTCTAGCTCTGTGTGAATGTTCCAATGCCTGAATTTCGTCTAGCCTTCGGGTCAGCGGGCACCTACTGCAGTATCCGCTTTCAGCTCCCAGACCTCGCATTGCGAGAGGTGGGGCGTGGTCTGATACCGAGTCTTACGAAGGTGTTGGATACATGTAAGACGACGGTCTGGATATAGTACGAACCCATACAGACGGGTTTGCTCCGAACGACCGTTCGATCCGGTGAACGTATCTGCACAACAAAATGGGCTCAATGGCAGACACCAAGCGTCTCGTAACAGCAGACGACATCGATCGTCTCCGGCAACTACTCAGCGACACCGATGCTGAAGTTCGCGGTCCTTCTGATACCGGCTACGACAAATCAATCGATCGATGGTCGAAAGCAGCAGAGAAGCCCGCCGGACTAGCTATCGCTCCAGCGTCTGCCCAGGACGTTGCCATTGCTGTCAAGTATGCTGCTGAGAATGGACTGGATCTCGCGGTTAAAGGCGGTGGCCACTCGACTGCAGGTGCTTCTAGTACGGACGGCGGCATCTTGATCGATTTGCAAAGTAAGATGCGCAAGGTCACCGTCGACACTGAGAAGAATCTCCTCCACGTCCAGGGCGGAGCACTCTGGTCCGATGTCGACGAGGCTGCTTGGAACCATGGTCTTGCGACAGTCGGCGGTACTGTTGCGGATACTGGTATTGGCGGTCTCACGCTGGGCGGCGGGTATGGCGTGCTTTCTGGCGCCCACGGGCTGGTTATTGACAATACTGTCTCGTTCGAGACGGTGCTTGCGAACGGCGAGGTTAAGAGGTCTAGTAAAGAAGAGAACGCTGACCTCTTCTGGGCTCTGAACGGAGCTGGACAGAACTTTGGCGTTACGACTGAGTTTGTTTTCCAAGCGCATCCGCAGGATAAGATCTATATGGGGACGATGTTGTTCCCGGCTGAAGCCATCTCGAAGCTTGTCGCCGCTCTGAACGAACTGTACAAGGTCAACGAGACTCCCCAAGGGCCGCAGACGAAGAGTCTTGGACGAGCAATGAGTCTTGTTGGTTTTGCAAAACCTCCTCCCGCTGAAGGGAAGACTATGGTGTTGATGAATGCTGTCTTCGACGGCCCCGAGGAAGAAGGGAAGAAGATGTTCCAGCCGTTCTTTGATATTGGGCCGGCTGTTAACGAAATGAGGATGGTGAGTAGATTTAGCGCGAAAGTTGTGTATTCATACTTATGTTCATTAGGACGCCTACCCCAACGCAAACAAGCTTGTCCCAGCAATGTACGGCATGCGCAGCTCGATGAAAGGCGCCGCACATATGATGCCTTTGCGGGAGCAATTCGTGCACGACATCAAAACCGCTTACGATGGCTTCATCGACACTTGTCCAGATGCGGCCCTCAGTGTCGTCGCGTGGGAGCTATACGATCCAGTCAAAGTAGCAGCCAGCGATGAAGGCAGCTTTGCGAATCGTGGATATCATTTCAACAGCCTTGTGATGCCGATGTGGAGCAAGGCAGAGAACGACGCTCAGTGTAGGCAGTTCGCTCGGGACCTCTCCAACATGTTCAAGAAGGAGATATCGGAGCACGGGGCGAAAGCTAGTGGTGGTATTGAAGGTGGTGCCAGTGTTCGTGGGCGGAAGGGCGCTGTGCTACTTTATGGCAACTATGATGTGAGTATTCTGTACGCATTGTGTATAGGATTGTGCTGACTTGTTCTACAGCAATACGACGAGATATCGAAGGATGTGTACGGCGACAACTACCCACGGCTGCAGAAGATCAAGGCGCAGTATGACCCGAAGAACATGTTCAACAAGCTGTTTGCCATACAGCCGGAGGGTGCGTCAGCGCAGCTATAACCCCTTGGAGATGCGGAGTGAGGTATGGCATTGGCCAGATGGAAAGATGGGAGGATGTCCGTCCTTCGTCTTCCAGTCAAGATAGACTAGTCCCAATCAGGATGTCAAGCGTCATTGCATTCACTTGCCTCTCCCATCTCAACCGACAACATCTCCTGAAGATATTGAGTGCTTCCATTGAGATTATATCGAATCACAAATGCTATCCCCATTCAAACCGCTACTACGACCACTACCACTGTTCGGGCTTTCAGCAGGTTCAGGATTCCTACTCGCCGTGAGCTTCTCCCAGACCCGACCATTCGCCATGTCCGCCAGCGGAAAGGACTGGCCAGTCAAACAATACACCCCTCGATACACCAGCTGGCCATACAACCCTTCCGACTTTACCAGGCAGGACTCTTCACCGGACGATTCGTTTTACAGCGCTCCGAGATTCGTTACACATATCGACGATGCTGCGATCAACACTCTGCGAACGTACTATGACAGCACGCTGCCGAGGAAAGGCAAGATCTTGGATTTCTGCTCCAGCTGGATCTCGCATTACCCCAAATCTGTCGAGGAGGCCTCTTCCAACGGCGAGCTGAAAGTCATCGGCATGGGAATGAACGAAGCCGAGCTCAAGGCGAACAAGGTCTTGAACTCTGGCAAACTTCTGGTAGATCTTAATCAGAATCCCGACATAGCTGGGGCGTTACGAACCGCAGATGCCATTAGCGAAGATGATGCCGAGAAGCTTGACTCTTCTACAAACGTCGTGTCGACGGACTATCTCACCCAGCCAGTTGAAGTGCTCAAGAGCCTCCGCGACGCCACCAAGCCCGGCGGCTCGGTGCATCTCACGATCTCCAATAGGTGCTTCCCGACCAAAGCTATCAGCAGATGGCTACGGGTTGAAGAAGAGGAGAGAGTTCTCATGGTCGGCGATTTCCTGCATTACGCCGGCTGGAAGGACATTGAGATCGTGGAGTTGAGCAACGGCAAAGTCGGGGAGGGTGACCAGTCCTCTCCTCAACAGGGTCTGCGGGGTATCATGAGTTGGATGGGGATGAACTCGAGGGATCCGCTGTGGGTTGTGAGAGCGACGAAATGAGGTAGCAGCGAGGCGGGCGGAAGCTTTTGAACGCGGCTGAGCTCATGGCTTGTGGCACACTGGAAGAACGTTGAAGGATGCTTTCGTATCCCTGCCAAGCTGCTTGTGGATGAGTGGCCCATGACCGTATGATGGCGATGTATGATGGAGGTAAGCCGGGCGCTGCATGTAGGTGCTCGAGATCCGAGTTGCCGTAGAGGCCTGGCTCTGAGACATTGCTGCTCTAGTAGACCTCGACACTATCAGCGCCTCTTGAAAAGCCTAGGTGTACTTAATGGCATGGCTGTGTCATGACTGATCTTGTCTTGTGTCGATGGAGGCTGAAGGTAGATATGTAGAGGGTACAGTTAAGATGGAAGAAGAGGCTTGATACATAGCATTTCTGCCCCTTCAGCTGCCGGACAAGTTTGAAACGTCTCATAAAGCTTACATGCACAATCCACCACATCCTCACGCCCACCCCGACCTCTCCACTCCCCCATCCACTTTCGCCTTCCCCTTCGCATTCGCAATCCCCCTCGCCAAAAAAGCCGCCACATCATCCGCCTTCTTCACCCAAGGCGCGTGACAGGCGTCAATCCATTCGACCATCTTACCCCACTCGTCCTCTTCCTCCTCCGCCATCCTTGCATCGTCCCGCTCCTCCTCTCGCTTCACCAGCCACTCCCACATACCTTCCTGCTTCGACCTCGGGATCGCGTTGTCCTTTGCACATATCAACGTTGATACTCGCGCCTTCTTCCACCGTTCGGAAGTCAGGTGCATGGGTCCCACGTAGTACGTCTCTGCGCAAGCGTCTACGTATGGTTTCGCGGCGCTGAGCGGGAGGTCCGAAAAAAAGAAGTGCCAGGGTGAGGCCATATGAGTCATATTATGGCTGTCGATGCTGAACCCCGGATTTGAAGGGCCGACGAAGTCTTTGGGATCGATGTTCACGCCGGCGGGGATGGTGTAGGCGGCTATGAAGACCACTTTCACCAGACTGCCGAGTGGTTTGTAGGGGATGCCTTCGGGAGGCGCATAGCCAAAGTCCCAGCGGCGGAAGTCTGGCGTTTCGACCACGCCGTCTTTGAGTAAGCAGTTGACTGCTTCTGCGCCTGGGACGCCCGCGTAGCTGTGCAGGACTAGACAGACGTCGCGGCCGGCGAGGAGTTCGGTGGTGACGGCTGTGTAGATTACGGAGACGTCGTCGCTGTAGCAGGGCCGGGGGCCGGGGGGTTTGCGGCCGACAGTGTGGAGTTGCTGGGTCTTGTACGGAAGACCGCGGTCGGAGAGAGCCGTAGTGAGTGGGCGGAGATGCGTGGGTGTGTGCCAGTGACCGGGAACGAGGATGAAGGTGGGAGTCGAGGCCATTGTGCAATCTTCTAGAGGGTTGGCGGGTGATTGACTGGTGGCGTCGGCGCCAATCCGGTGGGTTTTCTTCGATTATAGTGAAAGGAAGAGAGTGGCGACAGAAGGAGACAGTAAAGTATACTATACGGAATGTAAGACCTTGTCACGGACGCTGCTGCAGTCACTGCCGGCCCTTCAGCCTTGCTGCTGTCGCACAACGAAGCTTTCAGCAAGAGCTGTTGGTTGTTCGCGCTTTCGCCGCTACCTTCAATTCCTCAGCTCCGAGGAGAGCGGTGACATGCGCCACTCACCATTCTCGTCTCGCAAGATGTTTCGCGGTGATGGGTTTCTCGCCAATGGTATGATGGAGAATGCGACTGCTGTCCATCTGACTCAGCTGGTTCGGGATGGTATTTGGGGGAGATGAAGTGCTCTCGTAAGGTGGGAGGAACGAGGAAGTGGTTGCACGTCGTCTTGGCATGAAACGACCAGGGTCCAGTCGCTCCAACGTCCAAAACTGGCCGCCTCTAGAGCCAAGACATCAGCAGGAAACAGACGACGGTATACGACAGCAAGGACCAATTGAACAAGCAAAAGAGCAATTGAGAAGTTTAGAGGATGCGCTGATAAGCGCTGTGTGAAGGGCAAGCAAGGAAGAAGGACGGACTGTGGTCCTTGAGGCCGGCGATATGAGCTCCTGTAAGAACACCCAATGTGGAAGGAGCATGGAGATACACATGAAGGACAGGAGGCTGACAACGATGGAACAATGCAGTGAAGCAGTTCATCCGCAATGTCCGCGCTTCCAAGACCATCGCCGACGAGCGCGCGGTGGTGCAGAAGGAGAGCGCGGCCATTCGAGCCAGCTTTCGTGAGGAGACGCACAACTCCGACTTAAGGTATGGTCACAGACACAAAGGGTACGAAGCAGGATGGAGGGCTGATTCAATGTTAGGCGGAATAACGTCGCCAAACTACTGTACCTCTTCACCCTCGGCGAGCGAACACACTTCGGACAGATAGAATGCCTCAAACTGCTGGCTTCACCGCGGTTTGCGGACAAGAGATTGGGATATCTGGGCACGATGCTGTTGTTGGACGAGAATCAGGAGGTTCTGACGCTGGTGACGAACTCGTTGAAGAAGTATACCAACCTGGGCCACATGTAACGGCAGGGCTATGCTGACAGATGGCTGCAGCGACCTCAACCACAACAACCAATACGTCGTCGGACTCGCCCTCTGCACCCTTGGAAACATCGCCAGCATCGAGATGGCGCGAGATCTTTTCCCTGAAGTCGAAACCATAGTAGCCTCCAGCAACCCATACATCCGACGAAAAGCCGCCCTCTGCGCCATGCGGATATGTCGCAAGGTGCCTGACCTGCAAGAGCACTTCTTCGACAAAGCGAAGGCGCTACTGAACGATCGGAATCATGGCGTGCTGCTCAGTGGTTTGACACTAGTAATCAGCATGTGCGAAGCGGACGAAGAGGAGGGCGGCGAGCAGGGCGTGGTTGACATGTTCAAGCCGCTGACTGGGAGTCTGGTCAAAGTCTTGAAAGGTTTGAGTCAGAGCGGCTATGCGCCCGAGCACGACGTTACCGGCATATCGGATCCTTTTGTGCAGGTCAAGATTCTGCATCTACTCCGAGTGCTTGGTCGCGGAGACACGCAGATATCTGAGCAGATCAACGACATCCTCGCTCAAGTCGCGACCAACACCGATTCCTCGAAGAACGTGGGTAACGCCATTCTTTACGAAGCCGTGCTCACCATCCTCGATATTGAAGCTGATTCTGGCCTGCGAGTGCTTGGCGTGAACATTCTTGGAAAGTTCTTAACCAACAAGGACAACAACATCCGCTACGTGGCTCTGAACACTCTCATCAAAGTTGTCGCCATTGAGCCAAACGCGGTGCAGCGCCACCGAAATACCATTTTGGACTGCTTACGAGACCCAGATATCAGCATTCGGAGACGAGCATTGGATCTGAGCTTCACTCTCATCAACGACCAGAATGTACGGACGCTGGTGCGGGAACTGCTGGCTTTCCTTGAAGTCGCCGATGCCGAGTTCAAGCCTATCATGACATCGCAAATTGGCATTGCGGCAGATCGCTTCGCCCCGAACAAGCGGTGGCATGTTGATACTATGCTACGAGTGCTGAAGCTGGCTGGCAACTTCGTCAAGGAACAGATTCTAAGCTCTTTCGTGCGCCTCATCGCCACCACGCCAGATCTGCAGACCTACTGCGCACAGAAGCTGTATGTAGCACTGCGGGAAGACATCAGTCAGGAAGGGCTGAACTTGGCTGGTGCTTGGGTCATCGGCGAGTACGGCGACGCGCTCATCAGAGGCGGCAGCTATGAGGAAGAAGAACTAGCTCAGCCGGTGCATGAGTCCGAGATCGTCGACCTCTTCTCCACCATCCTGAACTCGAGTTACGCTGGTCAGAGCGTGACGGAGTACATCATCACCTCTGCCATGAAGCTCACCACCCGCCTCCAGGATCCGGCGCAGGTGGAGCGGCTGCGGCGGATCTTGATGAACAAACAGACAGATTTGGACGTGGAGGTGCAGCAACGAAGTGTCGAGTACGGCAATCTCTTCGGCTACGATCAAGTGCGAAGAGGTGTCTTGGAGCGCATGCCAGCGCCTGAGATCCGGGAGGAGCAGAGAGTGCTTGGTGAGAGCAACACGGGCAAGAACAAGCGAAAGTCGAATGCGCCAGCAGCGAGGAAGCGACCGACGCAGATTACGGAGCAGGACATGCTGCTTGATCTCATGGGCGGCGATGCGCCAACGTCAGACGGCATGGGCGTCAACGGAGGTCAGCAAGGCGGCAACAACGCCGACTTACTGGCCGACATTCTTGGCGGCGGAAACGAGATGACCAGCCCAACAGCCACCAGTCCCATCTCCAACGGCGCACCCGCCAAGAGCAACACAGCAAGCATAATGGACCTATTCGACTCTGGTCCCTCCCCACAACCACCTCAGCAGCAACAGCAACAATCCCGCTCCGCATCCAACGACCTCTTCGGCACCACGTCCCCACCACCCCAACAACAACAACAGCCGCAGGCCCAAGCCCACGTGGCCTACAACAAAAACGACCTCCTCATCACCTTTGCCCTCTCTCGCACCCCGCAGGCTGTATCAGTACAAGCGCGTTTCCGGAACAACTCGATGTTTGAGAGCTTCGGACAGCTGAACCTGCAGGCCGCGGTGCCGAAGACGCAGAAGTTGCAGCTGCAGGCTTTGGATAAAGGGGAGTTGGGTCCGGGAGAGGAAGCGGGGCAGGGCATGAGGGTTGGGGGGGTCAATGGGGTGAGTACACTGACACTGGGATGTGAGAGTGGGTGAAAGGATGATTGCTGACGGTTTTCTAGCCACCACCGCCGAGACTGAGGCTGAGGTTGCGCATTAGTTATGCGAAGGGAGGGGGTGGGGTGGTGACGGAGCAGGTTGATTGGTCGGAGCCTGCTTGAGGTTGAAAGGGGAGGTTGGGAGATCGGAGGAGGTGTTAGAAAGACGCGTGTGGGTAGAAACGGGGGAGAGGTGGCATGGGGTGGTGATCCAGCATATGTGAGATACCGGATCTAGCGATCGTGATGTTGAAGCGTTGTTGCATGAACAGAAAGCTGCGCGTCCATCTCATCGTTGTCCTCAGCACCCCCGCACAGCCTGATGTCCTACGGATACATGTATAAGTTAAATGCTGTCGCCGTCACCGTCGAGCCTTTGAAACATACTGAGGTGCTTCGGCACAACGGATGCCACACAGCTTAAAGTTTGGCATTGTAAGTGGCGTAGCTAGGTACCACTAGTAAAGAGGTACCCTCCACCATTAATCTTTCCCCCCGTTCCTCTACATATCGCCACGATATCCATCCCATCTACCAGAATGTGGACCCTCATCTCCGCAACCCCCTCCCCCTACGCCCGCAAAATCCGCATCGCCCTTATCGAAAAACGCCTCCCCTTCACCCTCCAGACCGAAGTCCCCTGGGACTCCACCACCGCCACTCCTCAACACAACCCATTGGAAAAACTCCCCGTTTTGCTACTAAACGATGACGTGGGCACAGCGGTCTACGAATCTCACTTTATAATGGAATGGCTGGAAGCGAAGTACCCGGAGCACAGTTTACTGCCGGACGATCTTGAGGGGAAGTTGTTCGCGAAGAAGGTTGAGGTGCTTGCGGATGGGGTTTGTGATGCGCTTGTGCTGGCGTTTTTTGAGAAGATGAGGGGGGAGGGGTTGAGGAGTGAGGCTTGGATGGAGAGGTGAGTTTGTTGTGAGGGTCTGAGGCTGGCGAGGCTGATGGAGTGTGTAGACAGATGCGTAAGGCGGATGGGGGGTTGCGGGCGCTGGCTACGTTTGTCGAGCAGGCGGGGGGAGGGGGTTTTTTGATTGGGGAGAGGTTGACTTTGGCGGATATTGCGGTGGGGAGTGCGCTGGGGTGGTTGAGTTTGCGGTGGCCGGTGAGTTGTTCAAGATCGTATTGGAATCGATGTTGCTGACGTGGGCTCAGGACCATGAGTGGAAGACCAAACATCCGAAATTGAATGAATATTATGAACGGCTGGAGCAGCGCCCGACGTTTGATAGCACTAGGCCGTCTGCGCAGACGATCACGGATAAGGTTGTGTGAAGGGATTGGATTGATACCAGGTTGTCGAGTTAGGAATCTAGGTCAATAGCAGGACGGTCTCTCACGAGCGCTTGACATTGACCTCCCTGGTGTGCTGAATTACCAACGGCCCACTCTGCGCGCTACCAGCACTTGGTGTGTTCGCACTCTTCGACGACGTTGTGGCCCTGTCCTCGAGACGCGATCTTGTTTGCACGCTGACGTTGTATTTGGTCCTGTCTGGTCGTAGGGGGTGTGGTAGGCCATTAGCCGCTTCGGCTTCGTTCGGAGTCGTGTTTCGCGTTGGTGCGGTAGGGTTCGCAGTCGGGCTGGAGAGCGGACTGCCTTCTTCGCGTAGGACACCGCTCAGTCCTGCTTTTGTCCCGTAGTTGGTCATCAAGCCGGTCGACATGAATGCCCAGAGGAAGGAGCGTAGACATGGAATGGAGGCCGAGACTAGTGAGAAGCCCAACAGGACCTCCTGCCAAGCCACAGTTGGTGCGATGGCGGTGGCGTCTCCCTGATGGTGGATGTATTTCAGGTAGGTCACCGTCGAGATAATCGAGAATGTGGCCACCAGCAGCCGGAAGGAGAAGACAAAGACCACGATCATCTTTTTCGACCGCTTGATGTGATTCTTGCTGACGAAGTACATGGGTACGCATATCAGCATGAGTTCGGTGATGACGTCCAGCGTCGTTATGATGGACCATCTCTCGACCTGGACTGGGTAAGCTGGGATCTGGCAGTCTGAGTGGAGCCTACTCACGGCCCCAGGACACATCGCTCCGTCTCCATAGCGCAGCGATCGTCTCGGACGACAGCCCGCAGAGCTCGCGGTCACGGCCACGATACCGTAGATAGCCGTGAGGGTGTACGCAAACGCAAAACACCTCTTCTCGTGGTGGAAGTTGCCGGAGAAGATCCGTCGTGTGAAGATCAGTAGTGATACCTTGGCGGAGCACAGAGCGAAGACAGCGAATAGCCGGGAAATGAAATAGAACTAGATCATCGAGTCAGTGGTTTTCGTAACGTGAAGGCCTCCGCCCGTCCTGCCGTACCTCTGCGGCCTCGGCCAGCTGTTCCTACGAGATGACCGCTTCAGAAGCTCCGAGGCCCAGTGCAATAGCTCGGAAGACGAGACCGGTGTGCGCGATGGCGAAAGCCTGCACAGTCAGATGGGCAGCCCGGTCATTGGGACACGTCGCGAATTAACCTTACGTATGCGATTCCAAGGACAGCATCGTCGAAATACAGTAGCTCCTACTTGACTGTCACTCTCGCCCCGAGCGCCAGGAGGCTGTAGATCAGGCTGAGCAACGAGGCAACCTATCGAGCATCAGACATAGCCTCAACTCTGTTGCTTCGATTGAAAACAGACCCAAAGCCATCCTCTCTTGTCATCGGGAGAGACAGTCTCGAAGCCATGGCTGTCGATCGTCGCCATAGATAGGTCTGAGATGCTGTAGGGGGTCGATGTGTTGGCACGCATTACCAGGTGGAATCTTTACTGCGCCGCGATGTTGGAGGCTTCACTGCTTCTTTCTCGCATTGCCCCCAGTCCGGAGGCTGGGAGCCGTCATGTCGTAGTTCCTTCGCAGCCGGTCCAGTCGCGGTCGAGGCTAGTGCTCGCCTCAGGCTGAGTCCTGGTTGCACCGACAGGAATAGATGGTCGGGCAAGCGCAAGAGCCATGTCGACCAGGATGGTGCCCCGAGCATGTCCGGTGAGGGAGTCGCTGTGATCTGAACCTCAATGCATATGCATGAATGTGACCATCTTATGCTCGTATGATGCGGTGCTGATACATGGTCAGTCATGGATAATGGAGGAGATGGGAGAATGGTTTTGGGTCGAGATGAGACGTTCGTCTTTCGGTCACGTGCGCTCCACAATAGTCTTCCAAAGCGTCAACAAGCGTGTAACCTCATCTCGTCCAACTCCTCATTCTCCTCTCACGATTGCTCCCATACTCCCACGAAGATGGCGCCAGAGACATAGTCCATGCTGGTCCATTAAGTTGGGTCACAGTATCCGGACTGACCCTACAACCCAACCGTGAAGCCTTCCCAGCAACACCTTCCTCGAGTCATCATGGCAACCTCAGGGGTGGCTCCGCCGCCAAAGACCGCGTCCAACATCGCTCCTCACGAGCGGAAGCGCATAACGTCCTGCATTGCCGATGCTTGTGTGCTGTACAACATCTACATCGCGGTGACTGGCTCCCGTTTCCACCATCCGGAGGTATCTCCAAGCCGACGTGGCGTTATGACCTGCTCCCAGCCTGAGATCGTCGGTCTAGGGTACTGCATTTGTTTGCTCGGAGGGCGTACAAGCACGTTTGAGCTGTCATCACTCATGCTGGGCAACGCGACGAGAGAACACTCGCACGCAGGCAATCTTTGAGAGCATTATCAAGTTTTGATCTGACTGTGCCCAGGTTTTGGGGCCTGGACAATTGGCCTGCAACCCTTACATGCCAGCGTTGACAGCTAAACATGTCTTGCGGTCAGATGACACGCTCGTGATTTATGAATGTGCGGCGTCACAAGCGAGCGATTTCCGAAGCCTGCCAATGGGTGCTGCGTGCCAATCTTTGTAGCTCCTCGAAAAGCGAAGATCTACTGGCCGTCCATGCCTCCGGTAGGCGAAGGCGATGCTGGCTGAAGTCCCTGCAGCTTCCTCACGTTCAGCCAGGCCCACAGTACTGGAAGCTGCAAGCCCACCCCGCGAGATCGAGTCAATCGAACGCCATGGCAGTCCCTGCTCGATACCGGTAAGTTGGGTGCAGGCAGGGTACTCGGGTGGCTGCAGCTTGGTATGCAACATACGTCGCTGATGCGGTGCTAACGTGACCTCAATTACCTATAAAAATGCTCTGACCATCTCCTACACGGTCCACACTTGTGCTTTGTTTGTCTGTCCCTCCTTCCCCCATCCTGTTCCCTCATAAGCTCTCTCACAATCTATTTTATCATGTCGGACCTTGAGGCATACCACAAAGACGATGATGCTTCCGTCAAGGACTCCGTCGGACACTCGATCAAGGAGGAAGATTTCTCCGATGGCGAAACGCAGCAAGTCTCTGGGAAAGACTATGATACAACACCAGACAAACGGGATATGCGGCGTTTGGGCAAGAAGCAGGAACTGAAGGTGATTTCACACCTTTGTTGAACGCTGCTGCAGACCCTAACAAGTACAGCGTCGATTTCGCTTCTTCTCGATCGTTGGATATGTCATTGTCCTGGGCCTCACCTGGGAGTTCTCCTTGGTGATGGGAGCGTTCTCCCTCTCGAACGGCGGCGCTGCTGGTGCCATCTGGCTCACGCTGTTCGTCTGCTGCGGCATGGGAATGGTTATGCTTTCGATGGCAGAAATGGCCTCCATGGCACCCACAAGCGGAGGTAGGGACGGGCCGTCTCTCACCAAGACGGGACTTTGTACTGACTCTTCCCAGGACAATATCACTGGGTATCAGAGTTTGCACCCCGACATCTCCAGAAGCCGCTGAGTTTCGCCGTGGGCTGGCTATGCGCTCTGGGATGGCAGGCTGCGATGCCTTCGGTCGCGTAGGTGGCACACCCGCCTCTCCTTGCCCTCGCCGAACGCTGACACCGTCCTCGATATGAACAGATACCTCGGAGCCCAGCAAGTCCTGGCATTGATCTCGATATGCAACCGCGACTACGTCATTCAAGGCTGGCATGCGGCGCTGATCACAATGGCCTTCGTCTGCCTTGCCATCTTTTTCAACACCGCAGCAATCGGAAAGCTGCCCGTTCTCGAGGGTCTTGCCGTGGTATTGCACATCTTCGGGTTCTTCACCTTCATCGTTATCTTCTGGGTCATGTGCGTTACCCAATTCAGGCCCTGTTGCGGGAAGACACGCTGACGAGCCACCAGGGGCCCGCGAGCAGACGCCAAAGAGACTTTCACACACTTCTCAGACGACAACGACTGGGGCAGCCTCGGGCTTGCAACGCTCATTGCAATGGTTGGACCCACGTCAACCTACATCGGCGGCGACAGCGCTGTACACCTCTCTGAGGAGCTCAAAGACGCCAGCTACATCCTGCCCCGAGCCATGATCTCTGCGGCCGTCATCAACTACATCCTTGGCTTTGTTACGACAGTAACGCTCATGTTCTCGCTTGGCAACGTGGCGGAAGACCTGTCCGATCCCAGCGGCCAGCCTTGGGTCGTCATCGTCTACCGAATCACGGGCTCCAAGGAGGCGACTATTGTGCTGCTCGTCATCATGATTATCATGATGTTTTTCTGCGCTGTCAACCAGGTCACGACTTCGTCCCGACAGGTCTTTGCACTGGCTCGTGACAGAGGACTGCCCTTCCACACCTTCCTGGCGAGAGTAAAGCGCGGATCCGGAGTACCTGTGAACGCCGTCTACGTTACCCTTGTCTTCACCTGCTGTAAGTGCTAGAATCCTCTTCGAAACATCAGGAACACCTGCTGACATTCTCATGCAAAAGTGGTCGCCCTAATCCAAATCGGCTCTACTGTCGCCTTCGCCATCGTCCTCAGCGTCTCCGGCACTGGCCTCTTCACCTCCTACATCACCTGTATCACCTGCGTGATGGTCCGCAGGATCCGCGGCGAACCCTTACCTGCTTCGAAGCTCAGCCTAGGCACATGGGGCAACCTCGTCAACGGGCTCGCGATATGTTTCTTGTCGCTAGCATTCGTCTTCCTGTTCTTTCCTGCAGTGCCGAATCCAACTGCTGCGACCATGAACTGGGCGGTGAGTACTCTGTGGAATGCACCGATGGGAAGTACTGTCGCTGACTGAAGTGCAGATCCTGATCTACGGCGCGGCTTTTATCTTTGCCGGTGTGTATTACTTTTTCAAGGGCAGGAAGGAGTATGAGGGGCCGGTGAATTATGTGCGGTGGCAGACGAAGAATGACCTGAATATCTTGTAGAGGATGTGCCTATGAACGCAACTTCAGTGCTTTGCATTCTTGCTACATTGCATGGAGCCTTGATGCGTTACGAGCGTGAATACAGTGTACTGCGACACAAGCATTGCCCAGCAACAAAGTTGAGTCGGCTATTGCGAGGACCATGGAGAAACAAGTGAGGAGAAGACATATGAGCACATCCAAGAACCATCGTGCAATACCTCTGCCCGTGCACAACGTGGAGAGCGGCCATTTTGCTTCCTCAACGTGGCTGCCGCTTAGGCGAGCCAAAGCGCACTAAATAGATAACCGCTTTGCTTCTCCAATATCCCTTCATCCCCAACCTCTCAACCAGAAATCAAAAGAACGAGCAAAGAAGCCCAGAGTTTCCCGTTCTACCTCCATCGTCCTGTATCCTGATAGGATCGCATCTGGGTGCTTGTGTAAGTCTATTAGTCGCAGGCGTACGATTGTGTCCAACGACATGGCCTCCCGGACTGTCCTGGGAGCATGCTTTCTGGTCTTCGTGTGGCTGTGCTACTACTTATTACGACCTACGCCGCTTGATCAGGCACCGTGCATACACTGGTCAGCCAAATACAGCTCGCTCTGGATCCGATGGAAGAGGTACCAGGACCAAGACACCCTCGCCGTACACGAAGCACATCTTCGGCATGGCCCCGTCGTCCGTTTGGGACCTAAGGAAATGTCGATCGTTGATGCGGCCACCGGCATCAAACCTATCTACGAAGGCCGCCTTCCCAAGACAGACTGGTTTCAGATCATAGTGAGCTATGGAAGCGAGCCAATGTTCGCGATGAAGGATAATGAGTCGCACCGCCGCCGGAGGAAGATGGTGACGAAGCCTTATCAGAACAGCTACATCAAGGCGAACCGTGACTGGCAAGAACAGCAGGCGGTGCTCGCACGGGATTTCCACTCGAGTCTTGAGAAGTTGTCCGGCAACACTGGCGAAGTTGCAATATGCGATATGTTCTTCGCCTGGGCGTTGGCGACCGTCAGCACTTATATATTTGGGCATGCGGCCGGTGTGAACGTGCTCGATGATCTGCCAAAGGCTCGTCAAAAACGGCAAGATTACTACAAGGAACGAAACCTTGCTTTCTGGGTTGCTTCGGTACCTTACCCGATTAACAAGCTCCTCCTGAATCTTCGGTACAGCACAGAGATCAGCTTCATCGAGGAGCTGCGGATACAAGCCGATAGACATGCGGCCGAACCGCAGGAGAAATCCAAGGGCACGAATTCTACACCGTACGACTACATGAAAAACGAGTTCTCTTCACCTACCGGTCCGGACAGCAAAGTCGAGCAACCCTCGCCAAAGGCACAAGCAGCTCTCTCCAGCGAGATGCAGGACCATGTGATAGCAGGTCTCGATACTTCGGTAATCGTTCTCACAATCTGTGCTTGGCTACTCAGCCTTGACAGCAACCGCACATGGCAAGACAAATGTCGTGCTGAGGCGAGAGGCTGCCGTGAATCTGACGGAACTCTCAACACAGACGAGACACCCATCATCGATGCAGTTATCAAGGAGACGTTGCGTGTATACCCTCCTGTGTCAGGCATGCAGCCGCGGATTACAGACAAGCCTACAGCCGTCGGACCTGGAGCTCACCAGATCGTCTTGCCTCCCGGTATAACCGTTCACGCCCAGACCTGGACACTGCATCGGAACAACGAGGTGTTTCCAAAGCCAGAGGAATGGCGTCCAGAGCGGTGGATTGAATGCTCTCCAGAGAAGAGAAAGGAGATGGATGCCTGGTCCTGGGCTTTTGGATCCGGACCTCGAAGATGTTTGGGAGAACAACTTGCTCTCAACTCGCTGAAGACAGCACTCGTGGTTCTGTATGGTGGCTTTGAGACTCGGCTGACGGAGAACACGGAATTTAGCATTGAGGTTGGCAACATGCTTATACCGAGCACTCTTCAGCTGCGTGTGGACAAGGCAGAGGCACAGTAAGCTTCGGCGCAGCTGCGACAACTCGCTCATATCGTCATGCAATCATGCGAGCTCAGAAGCATTGCGTTCCACTCCCGTGGGCTATCTCTCACTATGGCTATCATCCACAGACCAACCGAACTCTTGCCTGACATTGATCCCGCCAATGGCACTAGAGCTCTTCACGCTCACACCCGTTGCATCAGTTCCATCTCTTGCCATGATCGAGATGCGATCATCGCCCGCGCGCGGTCGTAGTCGCAACTCATCCTCCGAAACGGTGCGTCTCGGTCTTGAAGCCGAAGCTTGAGCTGTGCGGGAGTGCTTGGAGCCTCCTGCATAGAAGGCTCTCGTGCGACTGGCTTGGGTTCCCCGGATATAGTCGCTTGCAGAGAAGCTGGCTAGACCGCAGGAAGCATAACCCATATCTTGCTGGAGCTTCCGTGCTGTCTCGAAGGCCCTGGTCCATACGGCCACGGCGATCGCGGCTTGATTTGCGTTGACAAAAGGAGCAGAAGATATGCTTGCATCGCGAGCGATCTCGTCGACGTGGCGATGAAGGTAGGCTAAGCCGTAGCCGTTCGGTATGATTGTGCTGACTCCATCAGTCATCTTGAGAAGGCTTGTCAAGTTGACATCCTCAACTCACCATATTCCGGCCCCAAAGACGAGCAGCGCATATATCTTCTTTGACACTGCCATCTGCAATCCTGCAATGAAAGTAAGTGCGCAGGCCGCCATGGCCACATCAATTGCGAGCCCGGAAAGCGATATGGATGCCCACAGAGCGAACTTATCTACTTATCAGCACGGTCTATGACCCGGCGTTCTTTGCTCCCACAGGACACTCACGTTGCAGTCCGCACCGACAGGTCTCCAGAACTCCTCGCCCACAGCACGTCGAACTACAAGCCCAACGATTGATGCGATCGACCAGGCGACGATGGTGAAGGAAATGGTGATGGCGAACTTTGAGCTAGGCGTCGACTGGCATACTCGCCAAAGGGAGATGACCGTAGAGGCTCTTGAACAGCCGTGGATCAGGACAAGAAGGATATTACTCGCGAAGAAGCTCTGCCAACGGTCAGCGTTCAACACACTGGCGTGGGTCAATTTGCGTTCTCTTACGGTTTCTGCTCTGCGAATACTGTCGCTCGGAACGTCGTCCATTGAGCTGTCCCAGCCATGAAAGCATGCCACGACAACACAGGCGCTTTGACAGACCATGAAAACCTAGCGCCAGCATCAGAGAGACCACCACGAGTCAACGTCATCTCGCAGAAACCCACATGAGACGCACACAGCGCGACTGTGCAAGCCAAGACAGGCAACTCGCCTTTCCGCCGTGAAAGTGTATACAGTCTTGCTGCCAACGCTGCCAGATTCGTCGCCGCCAGCACAACGGTCGTCGATGCTAACGAGTAGCTCTGGCCCGTCGATGGCCATGGGTGGTATCGCTCACGATCATCGATCATAGTCACAACAAGGGATGAAGCAACCACGCAGATGCAAACAGAGTCCGTACGAGGTTGGTGAATACATAGGCTGCGGAGCCATTGTCCAGAACAATCTAAGCACTGTTAAAAAGCATGGAGCAGTCTTGTGAGACGTGCCGAGCCCTTCGGAGCAAGATGGTTACGGCGATCTACACCACAGGGCGTTTGGTATATCGTGACTGACAGGGTCGGATTGCACGCAGGCCTCGCCTATCATAGCACTTGTTTGAGATCAAGGAAGACTTGCCGACTTGGGATGAGAGATCGATCGACAAGGAAACGTACTTCGCAATCGCATCTGCAGAGCTGCTCCGAGTCCTGCTTGGGCAAAGCTGAATCCAACGAGTTTATGTATTCCATGAAGCGGTTTTGGATGGGAACGTAGCTTGTCTAGACGTATGCGGAATTCCAGGCAATGCGAGTCGCTCTTGACAAGAGGGCACTGCACCGTGTCAAGACATATCTGCCGTCCGCGGATACCGAGGAACTTCCGATCTGCTTGTGCGTCGGTATGAATATGAACCTGGTCGAAATCTCCGCAACTTCGGCAGACGGCCGAGCAGCTCCATGCGCACCAGACATGGAGCGGAGAGCGTGCCGTGGACGCCAACGGACGGGGCACATCGGCTCGTGAACGCTAGTCAAGGAATCTGGTGGCTTCTCAGTCGACCCCGTTGGGTTGGACCAACCTCAAGCATTTAATGATGAGTTCCTGAACTGATGCATTGTGCTGCTTGCCAAAGAGAACTGTTCTTCATCCACCAGCTGCTATGTGCTATGTGGTCCCCTCGAGGGAGATCTGGAGCCCCGACGAACGTAGGGGAGACCGTGCTCGCACTGTTGGAGGCGTACCAAGTGTTGAGGTCCTTGTCTGCAAGCAGCTCCATCCTCGGCACTACTGCACTCTGCCCCGGCAACCCTACATTGGCGGTGACCCAGCAAGCGATGAGCAATATACCTGTCTCTACTAGGTCGAGAGTGCCTGGCCTGCCCCTGGGATGATGAGGTTTCCAGTTCCTCTGCGTTCTTCCTACTGAACTCCATTTCATACTTGCAAAGACCCTCTAATACTCGCAATGGCCAAGGGCGCTGTCAATGATTCGTCGACCGAGGTCGTCGAGTTGGGCAACCTCAGAAGCTCGCCGGAGCGATCACCTTCCAGCAATGAAGACCCCGTTGTCAAGATCGGACACAAGCCGACGGTACCACGAACGCTCGACAAACTCATCGGTTTAATCGGGGTCAACAGCAGCGTCGTTTGTCCATGGCCTAATTTCTACTTCGTCGCTGCACTCAATCTTGGTAATGGCGGTAGCCTTGGACTTCTGGTAGGCACCATTGCTGCTACAGTTGGTATGGCTCCGGTGTACCTTAGTCTGGCTGAGAAGATGAGGAAGTGAGTGGTATTGCAGAGACCGTATATTTTTCAGGAGTTCCTGTGCTAACATTTTCTTCCAGATATCCTACCGCTGGAGGTATGTCCATGAACCCGAACACCGCCCAAACTCCTTGCTATAATGGTTCAAACAATGAGTCGATGCTACCGTTCCTTCTTTACGAGCTTGCAGGTCTTGACGGCAAACCTTGCGCCGATATTGCCGTCCTTGAACAGGACAATACCACTGGGATGCAGCCCTGGCGCCTCCAAGCATACGAAAGAGTCTGAGCTACATGTGTTGCTGCATCCTTACCTTCACATGGTTGACCTTCTTGGGCGCCGCCGCCTGGCTGTTCGGTCTCGATGTCTCCGCCATCTATCTGCTACACACTGGTGAATACCATACTTGGATCACATTCGTTGCGGCAGTTTGCGTCCAGCTCTTCGCCTTGCTGGTCAATGTGACCTGGGTACGTCACCCTGGGACACAGCTCTGTTCTGTTACTTTGCTGAGAGTATCAAAAGGGAAAACACATGAATCTACCGGAAACGCTGGTACTTGTCGTTCACATTGTAGCGTTCCTGCTGCTCCTGAGTCTTTTAGCTTTCGCGCACTCTACGGGCACGGTCACCTCCGATTTCACGATAACTTCCGCCACGGGCTGGAGTCCAAGTTTCGCTGCGCTGCTTAGCGTGTTGTATGCGACGAATTCACTCGCCGGGTTTGACTGCGCGGCACACATTGGTCCGTGATCCAATACCTCGCCAGAAGACGCTCGGTGCTGACTATCCGATAGCCGAAGACACCGTGGATGCAGGCCGCCGGATCCCAAAGTCTCTGCTCTGGTCTACTTCCGCAAATGCTCTCCTCTGCATCGTTGTCGCTCTTTTGATATGCCTTACGGCAGGAGACGTCAATGCCCTCTTTGCAGGACCGTACGGCGGATCACTTCACCCCATTGGAAGCATTATTCAGTTGGCCGCGAATGCTGCTCGTGGGAACACCGCTCTCGCCAGCGCCCCCTTCGGCCTAATCCTGCCCATCATCATCATGTGCTGCATCAATACTACAGCCGCAGCAAGCCGTATGGTTTTCAGCTTCATTCGAGACGACCGCAACCCCGTGGTGCAGAGATGGATGGCTTCGGTGAATAATGCTTGGGAAGTGTCAGTAAGCTATCTTGCTAATGATTAGCGCAGGACCTCGAGAAAGAACAAGTGCCCCGGATCACGATTGTGCTTACTGCGTTGTCGCCCATGATCTGGCTATGGCTCAACTTTGTGTCTTCGGCAGGCTTTCTCGCGCTCGGCTCGCAAGTCACGCTTTCGTTGGCATCCACCTACATGCTAGCACTCTCTTGCTCTCTGTACTCGCGATTCTACCATCCCGACCTATTGGGGGCTGAGAGCAACGGCATCTTTCAGCTCGGAAAGTTTTGGGGCAGCGTATGCGACACGGTCGGTCTCTGCTTTCTGTCGCTGGTCTGGGTCCTTGCTTGGTAGGTTATACTTCTCAATATGATTAAAGGAAGAGTGCTAATCAAGTATAGGTTTCCTTTCACCACACCGGTCGATGTTGCTGGTATCAACTATGCACCAATCATTGTTGCTGGAGTCGTCTTTCTTGGGATGCTTTATTATGCCACATACAGTCACAAAAACTACCGGAACCCGTCGCCAGATGAGAGCGGCAACTACCACGCATAGTAAATGCGGTGGAATCTCCATTGAATTTGGGCTCCAGGACCAGTGGTGGAGTGGAAAAAGCTGTACGATGCTGTACGGACCATCCTGGGAGCAGCTCCATGAAAACCGCTTCCATAGCAGAGTCAACCATCACGCCGTAACAGATCTCGCAAGCCATTTCGCCGGCCGCACAAGCCTTCCGGACTTACCGATTCAGGAAGGTGTGAGAATGAAAGAAGCCTTTTAGCCTCCGTCATCGGCCCCGGCATGTGCTTGAAACATTGTTCTGTACCTTACGCTTTGACTTTGTTCACTTCGCACTCTACTTGCACTTCTGTAGTTTGTGCACTTTGTTATCCAAGGTAGAAAGCATGTCATCTCCACCAGACTCCTGCGATGTCCTGGTCATCGGCGGTGGCAACGCTGGCTTCTCCGCCGCGGTCTCTGCAGCAGAGGCCGGCGCGAAACGCGTTGTCATCATCGATAAATGCCCGGAGGATTGGGCAGGCGGAAACTCCTACTTCACCGCCGGAGCGATGAGGACAGTACACGGTGGTCTGGACGATCTCCTCCCCATCGTCAACAACGTCGACTCTGAGCTGGCCAAGAATATCGATCTGGATCCTTATACGAAGGAGAACTTCCAAGGCGATATGGAGCGGATATGTCTTGGTAGATCGAATCCACGACTTCGGGATATCTTGATTAATGAGTCCAATGATGCGATCAAGTGGCTTGCAAAAAAGGGCGTGCGGTATCAATTGTCTTTCAATCGCCAGGCCTTCCTGGTTGACGGTCGGTACAAGTTCTGGGGTGGCCTTCATCTGAAGACCGAAGAGGGCGGCAAGGGCTTGATTGAGGACCACAAGAAGATTGCTCGATCGCACAACATTCAAGTCTTCTTCTCGACTGCAGCAACCGCGCTTCACAAAGACTCTAAGACTGGCGGTGTGACTTCTGTCAGCATTGAACAGAACGGCAAGCCGTCGAACATCAAAGCAAAGGCAGTCATCATGGCAGCTGGAGGTTTCGAGTCAAATCCTCGCATGCGATCGCAGTACCTTGGACCTGGTTGGGACCTTGCCTATGTCCGAGGGACGCCCTACAATACTGGAGATCTACTTGAGATGGCCCAGCGAGACGTCTCGGCAAAGCAAGCAGGCCACTGGTCTGGCTGTCACTGCACTTGCTGGGATGCCCATGCTCCTGCGGACACAGGAGACAGATACATCTCGAATGAGTTTACGAAGTCTGGCTATCCACTTGGTGTGATGGTTAACAACGCCGGCGAACGCTTTGTCGATGAAGGCATTGACTTCCGAAACTACACGTATGCCATCTTCGGCCGGGCAATCCTGGGCCAGCCGGGTGGTGTCGCTTTCCAGGTCTGGGATTCAAGGACAATCCCGTGGCTGCGGAGCGAAGAGTATCGGGATGAAGTGGTAAAGAAGATATCTGGAAACACCATCGAAGAGCTTGCTCAAAACTGTGCAAAGGAAGGGTTGCAAAACCAAAAGAAGTTCGTCGACACGCTCAAGACGTTCAACGAGGCGGTATATGCGCAAATGGACGAGCATCCGGACCGCAAGTGGGATCCTGCTGTCCAGGATGGCATGTCGACTCAAGCATCTACCTCGAAGCTGACCCTGGCGAAGTCCAACTGGGCACTGCCTATCGACAAGGCGCCGTTCCTGGCTGTCAAGGTCACTGGTGGTATCACGTTCACGTTCGGCGGCTTGGCAGTGAATCCAGAAAGCACGGCTGTCATCTCATCTATGACGCAGAAAGAGATTCCCGGACTCTTCTGTGTGGGTGAAATGCTTGGTGGATTGTTCTACAGCAACTATCCTGGTGGTAGCGGCTTGACTTCTGGTGCTGTGTTCGGGCGGAGAGCTGGCGCATCAGCGGCGAGGCTTGTTGCTGGGTCTGACACTCAGGCCAAACTGTAAACAGCACTTAGACACCCAGATGCTTCCCATACTTTATGGTCACAACCGCTCAGTGCAGCAGCGTCGGGTCCTCATCGCAGACCTGGTCGAAGTACGGCTGGAACGCAAGCCACATCTTGCTGGCATTCCCGCTCTTCTTGTGAGTGAACTCAGCTTCTTCATCAGGAATCGGAATCGGCTCCCAACCTGGACGACAGGCGGCTGCGTTGATCAACAACTGCGAATGGCAGCACCTGTCCAAAGCTATGAATAGAAATGCCGCTTCATCGACCGTCTGTCCGCAAGTGATCATACCATGGTTCTGCAATATCACCGACCTAGCAGTGGGCCCGAGAGCTTTGGCGATGCGCTGAGCTTCTTCTTGCTTCAGCACAGTTCCGCCATAGCGCGGGTAGATGCTGAGATCCTTGTAGAAGCGCAAGGCGTCCTGATACAACATCTCGATCGGACGACCGAAGGCGGAGAATGCTTTGCCGTAGACCGAGTGGGCGTGGCAGGCGGCATTCAAGTCCGGGCGTGCTTTGTGGATCTCGCTGTGGATCGCGAAAGCTGGGCCGTTGATGGCTGACTGCGCCCCTCCTGGTAGGACATGGCCTTCTTCGTCCACAAGGACGAGGTCGGAGACTTTGATTAGCGCGAAGTGGGTGGAGAGAGGGTTGATCCAGAAATGAGCTTTTGATAGTTGTCAGCACTAATGTTCCTATGCGTCTTTACCGTCAGTCATCTCATACCTGGGTTAACAGAGTCTCTCAGTGATATGTGACCAGCGACGCCTTCGTCAAACCTTTCCTTTGCGAACACTCGGAAGGCCGCAGCCAGATGCTGCTTCCGATAGTCCCGTTCCTCTTCCAACGTCTTGAACTTTGGTGGCGACCGGATCACCACCTTGCCTTCCTTGTCTCCCAAAAAGTGGACGTCTTCGTGGAACTTGTTGTCGTTGGATGTGTCCGGCTGTCCGGCCTTCTCGATGCCGTTGACAGGCAGCGTGATGTCGTGGATGCCGTTCTGCATTGATGCCATAATGCGATAAATTCAAGGCGAAGTGATGTGCAACTGTGGGAAGAGAACACAACCGGTCGAGCAATGACAATAAGAGCATAGTCCGACAACGGACTGTACGCGGCCACGTACCAAAAGGTATCGGGATATGGATGCCGGCGATCGACATAAAACGGTTTGAGTACTTACTCGATGCACCAGAACTCATGGTGAGACTTGTAGCATGTTCTGCTTCTCGTTCACTGGAGTAGCTTGGGTCAATGAAGATATATCGAGCTTGAACGGCAAACCCTTTTCACGTGTTGAGGGTCTGTATCGTCTATACCTCATCATGCCCAGTAGCCCCCGGGAGCATTCGTGAAGCATCTCAACAACTCTTTCGAATGTTTGAAGGCATGGCTGCCCACTGAGACTGCCTCAACTGTTGGATTGGGCTTCGCTGAAGACGTAATCTCAAGCCGCAGTTGGTCCGTCTCACTGAATGTACTTCTTCAGTCCGCGAAGCCTCTCTTTCGCCGTGTCCAGAACTTTGTCGTCCTTACACACGGCAAACCGCAGCCAATCTTCGACCTGGAAACTACGTTAGCATTTCCAGAATACTCGTACATTGCTTTGACCTACCAAGTGCGCATTCTTCTCCGTGAAGAACTCAGTTGGCGGGATCGCAGCAATGCCCATCTCCTTGATCAGGAACCAGCTCAGCTTGAAGTCCCGCGGCCGTGAAGCCACATGCGGTGGGAACTCATAATCCTCTGGAAGCTTCACCTTCGCAAGGTTGGCAAGCACGAAGTAGCCTCCTTCCGGATCCGAGTACGGCAGACCCAGCTCGTCCCAGATCTCGTTAAAGCGCTTGACTTTCGCTTGCATCTCCTTCTTGCTCTGGTCCCAGAAGCCGTGCGCATCTGCTTGCTCGAACGCTACTGCCGTGGCTTCCTGGAGTGGCGATACACTGCTGAAGCAGATCCGAGTGTGTGCAGCAGAGACGTATGTGATGAGGTGTTCGGGGCCGATTAGCCAGCCAACACGCCAGCCCGTTGCATAGAAATTCTTGCCTCCGCTGCCGACGGTCAGTGTAAGCCTGGCAATTTCAGGCGAGAGGTTGCCGATGCGAGTGAACGGGACGTAGTAGAGGCGGTCGTAGACTTCGTCCGAGAGGATGATGATGTTGTGCTTGACGCAGAGGTTGCCAATCGCTTGGAGCTCGTCCTTGGTAAACACCTTGCCAACCGGATTGTGAGGGCTGTTGATGACGATCATGCGTGTTTTGTCGTTAATGGCTGCCTCGAGTTCTCTCATGTTCAGCTTCCAGTCGCCAGCACTCGTAGTCTGGGTAGCACCATTTTCGGGTGGATGCAGCGGCACGTACACCACTTTGCCACCCGGCATTTCAATGTTGCTGATGTACTGATCAAAGAAGGGCTCGAAGACAATGACCTCGTCGCCGGGCTCGATGAAGCCCATGAACGCCGAAAGCATGCCTTCATTGGCGCCTGTCGTGATGGTGACATTCTTGTCTGGATCCAGAGGGTAGTCGAAGAAAGGTTTGTAGGCGTCGGCGATGGCCTTCTTTAATCGAGGCCGGCCCTACAAAAGCGATTAAGATCGAATGGACCTTCCGCTCCCATTGCTGCACCACTGACCTTTGTGGGGGAGTACTGATTGCATTCGACACGACTTAACGCATCCCGAGCAGCATCAAGGACGAAATTTGGAGCTGTGGTAGCAATACCGGGTTAGTGGACGACCTGTGGACGCCGACATCAAATAGTGCATCTTACGATTATAGCCAAAGAAGCCTTGCCCCTGGGAGACCGTAGTTAGTTCTTCCGCTTTGACACCGGATGGTACATTGAGCATACCATGTTCACCATGGGAGTGACCTTTCCTTGTTCAGCGGCTTCATTGACAATCGACCTGGCTCTTCGTCAGCGACTGTACTGTTTCAAGCACATGGCTCACTCACCAGACATCCTTCCGCTGTCCAGCGACTCTCTTCGCCGGCTTGAAGGGATCGTGCCTCATGGTGGACGCTGAGAACGGACGGCTTGCTTGGAAGGGGATGTATCCGTGCTTGCACGCTCCAATGAAATGTTTGGTACGGGCAGTGGACTTGTGTAGTCCTGCTGTATCAAATGCTCGAGTCAATGGCTTCATGCTCGGTTGTCACATGCATCAGGAATGTAAGCAGACTTTCATCTGCAGCCGCTTGTGAAGCACGTCAGAACAAAGCGCCGAGATCGGAAGGAGCGAGAGCCGACTTCACTCTTCGAAAGACCACTCGGCATTGACGAAGCATCTGGAGATGGAGATAGATTGAAGATCATCCGACAGAGGGGTTTGCAGCTCGTTGAATAGGTACTAGTTGTTCATCGTCTACGATCAAGATGGCCAACCTCTCAAGCCTCTGCCTGGACCATGTCATCCTCCTACTCCCTTATGCCATGCTCTCCGACCCACCATCCTGGCTAACCGACAACTTCACCATCAGCCCGGGCGGCCAACACGCCGATGGCAAGACGGAGAATAGGCTCGTGTTGTTTCGGGACGGAACCTACCTGGAGCTCATTGCCTTCATCAACGACGACCCCGAGAAACGCAAAGGCCACTGGTGGGATAAGCCGTACGGAGTAGTTGACTATGCATTCACGACTTCGAATCTGGACTATGATGGCATCACCAGCCGGCTCTCAAAGAGCGGTACAGCCATTTCGTACGAGAAGCCCAGGGCTGGTGGGAGAGTTACGCCGGATGGCAAGGAGTTAAAGTGGGAGGTTACGTTTCCCACCGGAGTCGAGCGAGGGAACATACCGTTCTTCTGTACAGATGTCACACCCAGAGAGCGCCGCGTTGCTGCGACTGAAGAGAACATTACGCATCTTTCTGGCGTCCTAGGTATGGCGGGTATGCTTCTTGAGATCGAGAAGGACGGCCTTGGACCGGTGGCGAAAGTGCTGGCGGCCGTTCTGGATCAGACGCCACCAGCGCAAGATGGCCACCTGGACGTGCTGGCTCCGAATGATGTCGAGAAGCTGAACCGAGCTTCAGTGGTGATGCAAGAGGCTCCAAGTGACAGCGACAAGCCGCTTGCGCTCACGCTGCGACTTCAGACCGCTGAGCATGAGGACAAGAAGGCGATCCAAGAGCCGATTGATGATGGCGTTGTGTCAATCAGCTTCGAGTGACTTCTAGACTGAGACGGGCAGAGGCGTATGGCAGACTATAATGCCGATCCGCCTTTCGGTAGACATGCCGAAGCCACTACGACCTCCGCTTCTCCATAGCCTTGGGTTGCTCCGGTAAGGATGACCGGCAACAAAGTACGTTGACGGCCTTCCGAGATGCGTTGACCGAATCCATGCTCTGCGAAGGAGCACAAGGAAGAAGCGCTGAGATGGCTTCATACCTCACATGACCCAAGTCGCCGAAGCCACGATGAGAGTAGATGGACTCGACTGCCGAAAACAGCCATTGAGGGTGTTGACAGCAGAGCACACAAAAGTCGCATGACACCCGCCTCAGTCGCACCGTCCGTTTTCCCGCCCACCCCGAATGGGACCTGGCAGACGCACGGCGGCATCATCGGGCGCACACAACGCGAAATTGGGTCACGCAAGAAAAAGTTCTGTGCAACCCTGGACCGGAAGGTTGGAAAGAGTGAAAGAAAAGTGGTGGAAGCAGCGCAGTCAACGTAACAAAGCCATATTCCATATCCATCCACCAGACCGAACTAAGGGGTATCTTTATTACAAGAAAAAGAACGCTAAGCAAGGCAATTCCATCGCGCTCCCATTTCCATGCATCCAAGCAGCGCGTCTTGCAGACAGCGCTCGCCAGATACCCAATCGCACACTCTGCAGCGTGCGTGAAAAAGCGAGCGTTCCCATCGTCTTCCGTCCCGCGCCGTGATGCATGCATTGCGATGATATTCCCCAGTGATGCCTTGCCTTTCCTTCCGTGTGAAAAGCAAGCCTGTAACTCCGTAACGAATGCGTGCGCGATGATATTGTACAATGCTGTGTGAAACCCCGAGATGCAGATTGCTCTGCGTATGCCAGTCTATTTTGTGCCGGCGGTCTAACCATGTGTCGCCACCCGAGATCTTTTCCTGAACGCCGAGAATGGTATGTTGTACAGTTGAAGTGAAGGTGGAAGTGGCGGTGGTGGACTGAGGTGGTGGTGGACGGATCGGAGGTCGAGGCGGTGATTAGGGAGGGCTGACCGGAAAGTAGGTGGAGGCCAGAAAACGATCGAAGGGACGAAAAGCAGTCGTCAAAAAAGGCGTGAGCCGGAAGTAATCGCTAAAGCTGCTGGACACATAACGCTGAAGAACGAACGAAGTTAGTGTTGGTGGTGGTGTTGCGGTGTTGTCGGAAAGAAGGCCGAACGTGGAGCTTTGTTGGAGCTCTCCTGCCGATCACTGCGTGGTCGGTTGTCGGTTGTTTCCCGAAGAGGCGTTGACTGCTATACAGTCTCATTGAGGATGTAGCATGTAGTAAAGATGCTATCGCTGCTTCGGTGGCGGAGGCTTTGGCTTGGGTGTGCCCGTCGTATCTGCATGCTCGTCAGCTCACAGCTCCTGTCCTTGAGTGTTGACTTCAACTCACCATATGCGCCGCGACCCATGTTCATTGCGACGTCGCCTTCTCTGGTGATCATAGATGCAGAACCTACGAGATGAAAATCAGCAGGGAGTCCAGCGTATAATTGACATGACGGCGCGGTGGCACGAACGCAGTCACGAAGGCAAGGTTGACTCACTGTCGCTGCCCTTGCAGCGAGGAAGGGATTTGAGTGGGCTGATCAGCCTGGGTCGGACAGGCCAGGCGAATGGGATGCGGTGGCGTTATTGATGAGTCTGCGGGTGATGGGTCCCCGGCGGTGGGTGTTGTGCGACTGTCTTGTCAAAAAGCCGCTGTGGAATGTTCGGCGGAATTGACGTTCACTCTCGCGAGCCAGATATCGATAGGCGGGTAGAGTGGAGGGTCGACTGGTATGTTCTGCTTCTCGAGGAGGATGCAATAAGGAGCGACGAAGGTGAGCAGTGAAGCTGGTGGGTGAGAGTGAAGGATATCAGAGGAGACAGACCAAAATAAAAAAGTTTTGTGAGCCATCATCTCTACAAATACAACGGTCAGCGCTCACCGCGCACCCCTGGCGCGACCATGAATCTCCTTCGGCCTCCTTCGCACTGACGTATGGCTTTGGGCACTGCCAAACGGGGAGGGCTGCCGGACGTGTTTGAAACAAGGTGCACCCCTTTTGAGAGGGAGAAGGTTGCCAGGGACGTGTTTCGATCGCCTGTCCGCGACCTCGGGAGCTGACTAGCGCAGGAACCGATACTAGCGGCCTTCTAGTGCGAGCCAACGGCCAGGATCAGCAGCCCGCACCTTTGTTCGCCTGCATCTGTCGCTTGCTGGTGTGCAGAAAGGCGACGACTCGTCTGGATTTGTTCGTTTGCTCAACTCCGTATCCTCTCATCAGTCGTGGAGTGGCCCCAGACCTGTCAGCTCATTCCCAAGCCTGACACCCTCCCAACCCGACCACCAACCTTGCGTGTTATCACCTGGAAATCTCCGCCGGCTGAATGTTCCTTCTTACCGACCAGGCCATCAAATTTACCTCCCTCTTCCAACAAGGCAAACGCCGACCTTTAGCCAAAGCTAGAACCGCGCCAGAATGATTCTGCCGTTGTCCGGCTGTCGCTCCCCGTCCGACCAAGCTAAGCCCAAACCCATGCCCTCGGGCCTGCCATCCAGAACTTTAGAAGGGAGATTCTTATTTCCTTGACTCAAAACGAAATTCGAACGACACAGAACGTCAAACCTTTTCGGCTTCTTCCACATTTTCGCCTCGCGTACGAGGTGGGAATTGAATTGACTCGGCATCTCTGCTCTAGTGCACTCATCCTGTCACTTCCACCTCGCGTGGGACACGCAGGCCGCTGCAGAGGCGTTGCGTCCGACCCACCTCCCGGCTTCCGGTGGTGTCTGTCGAAGTGTTCTAGAAATAGGGCTGCATGTCGGTAGCTGATTGCCGCGGGAGACACCTTTCCCAATGCGACATGGGTTGGGAGTGATTGCGATCTGTCTTCTTTCATTGTTTTCCCAAGTCGCACGATGGCCGTTGTGTCAGAGCGGTGTCAGGTCACGCGTTCCGCGGTTGAGATATGACGGCGCCGTGTGTCTCGAAGTTCCACGACTCGTTCGATGGTCGCGTGTCCGTCTGCAGAAGTGTTGAGCGACGGATCGTGAGCCGGACGGGACCATGCCTGCTCGCAGTAGTTCGCAGTTCGATTGTCCTGCCGTGCGACCTGTCGGGATGGTACCGGTGTGACCGCGAACCGACAATCAGAGATGCCGGGTGTGACGTGAAACCGATTGCTTTGTTGGATGCGCATTGTTAATCATGTTTCGCAAGAGATATTGGATCTGTCTCTGATCGCACGACGGTGAGTCGACATCCAGGTCGCTGGAGCAAGACTGGCTTGACAAATAGGTCGCATTTGGGTTGCTGGCCGACCATCGCACAAGACGCCTCCACGCTGAACGGGCGCATACCATACTCGTCTTCAGCATGAGACAAAATGGCAAACAGAGCTCCTCTACACCTGGAGGAGCGCATCCCCAATCCTTACCACAAACTGAGACCTCGTATGTGAAGTCACAAACAGTCTGAGCATCTCTACATCTCATTGCAGGATCGCAAACGCTATCGGTTCGGTCGCGCATCTGGTGGAGCCGACGGCGGTCTTGCAAGTGTTGGGCGGCAAAGCAATCAGCATGAGCAACACGGTCTTGTGTGGATGGATCAGTCCATCCCTGGAAGCACCACAAGGGCAGATAAGGTAGGCGGTCGAATACACACTAGGCAGCACGAGGTGAGGTCGCAATAAGCATAAACCGCACCATCGTACCTTCCAACATTCACTACGCCAAGATCAATGAAAAGCGAGACGCGCCTGCCGAATGTGGTCGCAAGCATGGCATACCGTAGCTGCATCTCAACTAACTACGTCTCCTAAGCCACCGCCGGCAGCACAGAGTCGCCGGCAGCACAGAGTCGACCAAGCGAATGGGACCCCATGCCGCCGGTACTGCTGCGACCAAAATGCCTCGTCAATCCAAGCAGTGGAGTGTTCCATCCATCCGTGCATTCACCCACTCATCCAACAGGTCAGTCCATGTACAAGACCTCGCATCTCAAGTGCCTCGTGCCCCATCTTCCAATAACCAGTCAAGGCCTCAGCTAGTCCAAAGTCCAGCTGAGGAGTAGGACGGAGAAGGCAACTCCATCAAGCTCCAGCGTGCAGTGCGCGAGCTCCAGATTGTCATCGTCCCTTCCGTTCCGTCGTGTTGAAGTGAAGTGTGAAGTGATAAAACATAGTCGTAGTAAGGTATGCTTCTGCTGCAGTGCCCTCGTCGCCAGTGGCAATGGCAGCATGTGATAAGATATGTTGTCGTTGTTGTCCCGTGAAAACGCCCACCCAATGTCAATCCAGGTCCTCAAGTGTCAGCGCTTGACAGTCCAAGAGGCTGGTGCCCAGTGATCACGTCTCCGTATCCAGTGGTCCGAAGGGAGTAGAGAATCAAGAATAAGAAAAAGTCGGACGTGCCGTTCGTCCGTCGAAAAAACCAAGTCCGGGGGTATCTGTCGAAGAAAGTGTGGTATCTGTGTCCATGAGAGAAGAGAACGGCTTGTCAATCCAGGTTCTTCCGTCAGCGCTTGACTTGCGAAGACTGGTGCCCGATGCCGTCCGGGTTCATGAACATGAAAAAGTGTGTCCAGGGGTATCCTCCATCCAACGACCTCGCGCGCCGACGAGGTCGTGATCCGTGTAACGCCGTGAGACTAAGCTCACATAGATCCGCCCAAGCTCATGAGTGCAGCGATTGCAGCGCGCTCTTCGGGTGTTGCGAGCGCTGGGCTGAGCGCCGCTGAGCTTCGCCGATTGCTGCTGCTGTAAGGTAGTGAAGAAGGGTGCAGATGACGCTGACTCATTCCTGATGGGCGTCGGCTCAAGCTTCTCGACGGCCTACTAGTTGGAATCGCGATGGCGTTGTAGTTGAACCGCGGAGCGCCGGGAGTGGGCAGTGAAGCCTTCCGCAACGCCTCCGGGCCAACAGCCGCCCAGTCGTCATCGTCGGTGTCGTCGTTCATGCTCGAAGAGTCGTCCGCATCCACAGAGCCGTCGCCGTCCATGGACATCTTGTCCGCCTCGTTTTCAGGGACGTCCATATCCATATCCATCTCGAGCTCATCCTCTTCGCGAAGACTGGAATCCTGCCAGCTTCCTCCTGAACGCTGATCACGATAGCGGGAAGGCAGCCGTGGCCCGCGCATGTTCACACCGGAGTCGCCGTTCGACATGGCATAGCTGCTGCGCTCACTACGCGGTGGCGACATATGGCCATCGTTGAACGATCCGACCCCTGAGTCTCGAGAAGAGCCTTTGATGTGCGCGTCCCATCGTCCCCATCCAGTCTTGCAGAAGGCGACGTTGCCGTCTGGACCTCCGCCATGGCGGCCTTCGAGCGCGGAGACCACCAGGCGGCGGGCCTTGGCAGGTGGGATGCGCGAGAAGCCGGGTACCGACTGCGTGAGCTCGCCCATCACGTAGCGAATCGGCCTTGGACCGTTACCCAGCATGATGCCAGGTAGGTAGTTCTTGGCCAGAAGCGCCGGAGTGATGGCGGCGGAGGCGTCCAACCCGGACAGGGCGCCTTTGCTGAGCGGCGTGGCTGCTGGCGGCGGCTGCTGTTCCTCCTCCTTCGCCGCTTCGAACTCGCCAGGCTCCTGCGCACGTCCCTCCTCCGCGATGTTCATCGGTTCTACCGACTGGTAGCTGCCAGGCATGGTGTCGGCCTGGAGGTTCGGGGAAATGGAGTTGGGCGGAGTCAGCAACGAGGCGAGCTTGCCATCACCGGCGAAGCCAGGTTCGGCAGCAGTAACACCGTGAGCCTTCGGGATGTCGACCGAAGCGGATGGCAAGTCGAGAGCCGCTGCGATCGTTGGGTTGGAGGCCATAGTCGAAGGGGGCGATCGAGTGAGCTTTCCTGTCGGACACGTAATGAGTCAGAGAGCTGCTTCAGAGGCGATGGCACGACGGGGAGGTCGTGGGATATCGCAAAAGTTGGTGGTAGTGATGAGGAGGCGTATGCGACTCACTTGGCAGTGCAAGAAAGCAAGTATTCGATAAGGGCGCGTGGTGGTGAGTCGTGCTGTTGCTGGCCCGGAAGCGGACACGGAGTTGGCAGCGATGGGCGATGGAGCTGTCGACGACTTGTTAGAGGCCCTGATCAACGAAGCTCTTCGTCGAACAAGTCAGAAGAGTGCTTGCGGACGTGTCTGGTACGGCTGGCTGGTATCTGGCTGTTGTGATGTTGTTGGAGGTGGAAGGGAAGCAAAGAGGAAGTGCGGCTTGGTCACTCGCAGTTGCGACACGCCAGCCGAAAGCGGCCTGCTATTGGCCGATCAAGACACCTGCCGCGAAGTTGGTTTCCTGCTCGCCGACACACCCCACGATGTCTCTCGACTGGCTATCAACCTCCTCCGACAACACCCGCTATGCTATGCTCTCCACTTGAACAACTCCTCTCATCATGGCTCCGCGGTCCTGGATGTCGCGGACAAACCCGTGCGACATCGCCTGTCAGCAGCTGACTACATCCCATCAGTCACCGCCGTCTCACAGGCTATCCAGTCACAGCAATCCATACACAACCTACTCATCAGCAGCACATACACCCCCACCCGCTCGCATACTTAGATACCTTCTATATACAAGATAGTCTGGCCCCGCAGATAACCTCCAACCTGCTCGAGCCCCGCCTGAATGATGTGCAGCCCGCAGAAGCAAGCAACACCTTATCCTGCCGAAGCCGGAGAGCCGGGCGAGCTGTGTGAGCTGTTTGTACCGAGGAGCTTATCGGCTGCATGTGAGTGAGTAGGGCCGACTGCCGCTGGTGTGGTGTTAAGGAGATAGCATGCGTTTGAGGATGCAGTGTCACTGAAAGGTGTCTGTGACCTGGCAGGTACGCCAGCGACAGACAATGAAAGCGGCCCACCAGGCAAAGCATGCAGTCTTCTCTCAGATCCAAATGCGTCCGAAAAGGCCACATCGCTCTAGAGCAGGCCTTTCTTGTCTATGAGAAGACCCATCACACGGCTCGCTCTAACCTGGCACGTACGGTGGGCGGCTTCCTCTCCCCTAGTGTATTAGGGCCGACTGCTATGGGTGGTCTTAAGAAGAAAGCAAGAGACGGTTTCAGGGGCCACTCGAGCAGCCTTCTATTCTCCGAGACAAGGTTGCGGTCAAAAAGGCTGCATCGCTCTCGTCAGTGGGCGGTCACTGTCTGTGAGAAGGTTCGTCCCTTACATTGGCCCATTCTGACGTACTAACGAGCCGCTTTCACTATCGACAGCTTGAGAAGATAGCACGGAGTTGGGTATGCAAAGTCAACGGGTTGATTATGTGACATGGCAAGTACGAATTTACATGACGGATTGCAGGCTCAATGCAGCCGTGAATGCAAGAGAATGTCGTATTCCATCCATTCAGCAGCTCGTACATTCCATCAAGCACTCTTCAGGCCTTTCGTCCCCTTGCTATCTACAGGAAGACCTCCACATTCATCTCCAGCGTACTCGTTGGGAACGGCAGCTCAAACATCCTCAACACTTTCGGATGCAGAATGCCAAACGTCCCGATCCTCTGCGCCTTGCCACCGATAGACAGGTAAATCGCCGCAGCATGGCCGGCAAGGTACGTCGAATCTGTCCGTAACATCAGCAACTGCACTTTCAAACCAAGGTGTGAGGGGAATTCTCACCCTCCACCTCCTCAATCCAATACCCCTGCACCCTCTTGTTCTCCAGCCCCTCATCCCGGCTCACAAAAGCCGCCTTCAACATCGTCATCACGCGATCCATCAACCCATGCACCTGCTCGAACCCACTGCTCTTCCCGTACCAACACGCCGCGAAATGCCGCTCGTTCCTGCTCTTCCTCTCCTTCTCCAGATCCTTGTACACCACATCCGCGACCTCGAAGACTTTCATCGGGACGGAGTGATGTTTGTTTTCACGCACGGTTTTGAGAAGACCGGGGATGAGTGAGGTGCGCACAATCTGATACTCAGCAGTCTTGGGGTTCTGCAACCGCACCGCGCGTCCGTCGTCGGGTTTCTGCAGCCAGCCGTAGTTCTCGTCGTGGGAGCAGAGGATGAGGGGCATGACTTCTGCCCATCCGGCCATGGCGGCTTCGAGGCGGACGATGTCTGCGAGTTTGTTGATTGGCAAAGGTGCGGCGACGGAGTGTGCGGTGCCCGGGAAGTGGCGGGGGAGGTTGTTGAAGCCGTAGGCGATGGCGACGTCTTCCATGATGTCCGCTTCGTGCAGGACGTCGGCGCGGGTGATGGGGACGTCGATGTCGAGTTTGTCGGAGTCTGAGGGGGAGGGGCGGGCTTGGTAGCACATCTTTCCTAGTAATTTGGAGAGAGATTCGCGAGATTCGGAAAGGCCACAGACGGAGTTGAGGTATTTGGAGGAGGCTTGAGTGGCGCGTGGCGTGAGGTCGGGAGTCTCGCGGGTTTCGTTGTTGTGAGGCGAGACGATCTTCACGGGCTCAATAGTGAATTCCTCGGCGCAGTATTGAGAGAACATGGCGACGAGAATGTGGTTGACAATTTCCAGCTTCGTCTTGTCGGTGGCGGTGATGTCGATGTAGACGTTGCGGGTGTCGAGGGTGATTTTGGTGTGGTTGCTGTTGATGATAGGGGGCATGGAGAGGACAGTGCGGTTCTTGTCGTAAATTATGGGGTAGACGGGCGAATCACGGATGATGTGGAGGTAGCGGGAGAGGTGCTTGTCCTTTTCATAGAACTCCATCATTTCTTTGCCATTCATCAACTTTTCCTGGTTGAGTGGCACGAAGTTGATCTGTTCGGGTGGGAGGGCTTCGTATGAGAATGGGCCTTCCATTGTATCCAGATCGTGCGTGCCGATGGAGACGAGCGTTCGTTGTCTGGCCAGATTTTGGTGTAGTTTGTCCTGCAAGGCAATGAAGGATTCGTACCGCTCTTTGGTGAACTTGATGTTGCGTAATATCGCGCAGGAGAAGTAAGGCCGTATCTTTGCTGTGTCTGCGCTGACATATGTCGTCTGGAGCTCGCCATTGGGTGGTGCTGAGAGACGGTACTTGGGCATGGGCTGCCGTCCGAGGAAGACGTTGAGATTCATGGCAATACCCTCAAAGCACAGCATGTCGTATCTGTTGGCCGGTATCTCAATCTTGAGCTGAGGTGGCTCTTCCACGCCGTCTGGCCCTATAGGTCGCTTCGACTCGGATGTGTCCTCGTCCAGCTCGAGACCGAACTCGAAGCAGAGCTCGTCGAATTCATCTTTGGTGTATTCTTTCCCTAGTGATTTGTATAGGTCCGCCTTGTTCAATGCTATGGTGGGCATGTTGCTGGTATGCGCCTATGCCGGCGCTCAGGCTGTGTTTTGCAGCCAATGTGAAGTCTTCTTCAGTCCTTAATATATTTTCCAGTCACCGCTTGTCTCGGCCTCTCTCGCTGCTGCTGCTGCTTCAGTCGTAGTTCCTTCGGTCTTTGCGGCTCCAAAGGCTTCCTCAGCGTGGTATGTCGTGCTGTCTGTAGATGTTGTACGTTGGGTGTTGTTCAATGGCGTGCAACAGTTCAAACAATTTCTCGTTTTCTCATGTGCATGTGGTGATGACTCGAGTTGTGGCGGTGCAGAGTGTGGCTGTCGCTGTCTCGAAAAACGTCAAAGCTCAAGGTCGACCAGAGGCTGTTCCCACAACATGAGGACTGCACATGCGCATTGGATGAAGCCATATCAAGCTCGAAACACTTCGCGACCAACGCAACCACCACCCCAATCGCCCTCACACCACTGAGGCGGTCATCCAGGTAAGTCATTGTACCGTACGTGGGGGATGGGACATCATGTGTCAAAGCATGTGCTCGCGATACATGTATGCAGACAATATCTACGTACCTCAGAAACCTTGTCGACACGTGCACAAGACCCAATGCGATATCACAAGTCGCAGATTCGCTGACATCTGGCAGCCGAACACAGCCCACCCACCTTCCTCCCCAACCCCATCCTGCCTCGCACCTTACCGCCATCTCCCCAAGGCTCTACCCGCTCGAAGCCACTCCGCCGCATCCTCGATTCACCTTGAGGCCTGCACTTGGGCCGTCCGCTCTTTACACACGCCAAAAGCAGCCACGATAGAGCCAACATGGACGAACAGAACCAGAACGATGAGCTATACCCCATTGCCGTCCTCATCGACGAATTAAAGGTGCGTCTTTCGTGAAGGAGGCAGGGTGTCGCGAGTGTGCCATAGTGCTAACACGGCCGCACAGCATGACGATGTCCTGCTACGACTCAATGCCATTCGGAGACTGTCCACTATTGCCCTCGCCCTTGGCCCTGAGCGCACGAGGGATGAGCTCATACCCTTTCTTGATGGTGTGCCCAACTCATGCATATGAAGGCCAATGCCATACTGACACCCAGCACAGAATCCATAGAAGACGAGGACGAGGTGCTAACAGCTCTGAGTGATGAGCTCGGTAACTTCGTCGAGTATGTCGGCGGCTCACAATATGGGCACGTGCTTCTCTCACCTTTGGAGAACCTTGCTGGCATCGAGGAGCCACTCGTTCGAGATAAGGCGAGTAGTCTTCTGGACTGCTTTCAATGCCACCGCTGACTCGTTCCAGGCCGTCGAGTCGCTGAACAAGGTCTGCGAACAACTCGAGCAGCAACAAATCGAGCAGCACTTCATCCCTCTCGTGGTGCGCCTCTCAAAAGCAGACTGGTTCACTTCAAAGATCTCGGCCGCTGGACTATACAACACGCCATACCAGCACGCTACACCTCAATCGCAGGAAGGGCTTCGACAGCACTTCTCCGCGCTCGTGCACGATGAGACGCCTATGGTCAGGAGACAAGCCGCGAGCAACTTGGCCAAATTCGTGAAGAGCATGCCGGCGGCGATCGTGATTGACGAGATGATTCCACTCTTCCAGCATTTGGCGGCCGATGACCAGGATAGTGTGAGGCTGCTTACCGTGGAGGTTCTGATCGCGATCGCGGAGGCGGTGCCGAAAGAGCAGCAGAGCAGTCATGGTGTGTTGTTGAACGCGTTGAGGAGTCTGTTCGAGGACAAGAGCTGGAGAGTGCGATACATGGTGGCGGACAGATTTGAAAAGGTCGCAAAGGCGGTAGATGAGGAGGTGGTTGCGAGAGACCTTGTGCCGGCCTTCATCAAGCTGTTGAAGGATGCAGAGGCGGAAGTCAGGAGTGCTGTTGCAGGGCAGATACCAGGTTTGATTTACGATGCTGATGATGGAAGCCTTCTTACTAACTTCTTCCAGGCTTCTGCCAACTTGTCGAGCACCAAACCCTCCTCCGCGACATCATGCCAGCGATTGAAGACCTCGTTACCGACTCCTCCCAGCACGTTCGCGCCGCCTTTGGCAACCAGATCAGCGGACTCGCCCCCATCCTTGGCAAGCAAGAGACGACCGAACACCTCCTTCCAATGTTCCTGCAGATGCTCAAAGACGACTTCCCGGATGTCCGCCTCAACATCATCTCCAAGCTCGAGCAGGTCAACAATGTTATCGGCATCGAGTTGTTGTCGCAGTCTCTCCTCCCGGCGATCGTACAGCTGGCGGAGGATAAGCAGTGGCGTGTGCGGTTGGCCATTATCCAATACGTGCCGCTGCTCGCATCCCAGCTGGGCGTGAAGTTCTTTGACGAGAAGCTCAGCAGTCTGTGCATGTCCTGGCTCGGCGACACCGTCTTCAGCATTCGCGAAGCCAGCACGCAGAATCTGAAGAAGTTGACGGAGGTGTTTGGGGTTGAGTGGGCCAGCAGCGCTATTGTCCCCAAGGTCGCCGCCATGGCCGAACACCCCAACTACCTCTACAGAATGACCACCTGCTTTGCTGTGTCGGTGGGTCAATCCCTATTCCTCTTTGATGATTAAAATGCTAACAAACATGAAATCTAGACCCTCGCCCCCGCCCTCTCCCTCCCCGTCCTCGCGCGCTCCGTCGTCCCGATCCTCCAACAACTCGTCTCCGACCAGATCCCCAACATCCGCTTCAACGTCGCCAAGTCCTACGCCGTGCTGATCGACATCCTCAAGCGCCTGCCCGACTCGCCGAGCGCGACCATCGTGAGCATGGAGAAGGAGGGCGTGACTGACTTCCCCGGGAGTGCGAAGGGCGAGCAGTTGATAAGGGAGGAGGTGATGCCGCAGTTGGAGAAGCTGATGGAGGATGATGATGTGGATGTGCGGTTTTTTGCGACGACAGCAGCGAAGAGGTGGACGGACGGATCAGAAATGGAGACCTGATAAGGGGGGACCTGGTGGGGGTGTTGGGAGAAGGCAGTGCGGAGCTGCTTTAGGATGCTACTGTCTCGCTGCGGTGCGAGGATATGGCTATGTGGAAGGGGTACAGGGGTGTTTTGAGCAAAAGATACCGACGTATGACTTGATTTGTTCGCATCCGCCTCCCGTGTTTAGGAGTCGAAGTGATGGGCCGTTGTGAAATGTGAGTTGGGGATGACTGGAATGGTTCTCGGAGGGAGTATCGAACGCCATGTAGCAGACAGGACGGTTTTCTGCTTGCTCGTCTGTCGGAGACGCTCGCTGACCTCACAGCAGATAAGCTTCACTCTCCCAATCAAGGGCCGGTACTTGATCTGTTCGCATCCGCCTCCCGTGTTCAGGAGTTGAAGCGGTGGGTTTTTGCGACCTGTACCCACGAGCTGGAGACGACTCGAGGTGGTGGAGTGGTTCTCCGAGGCAGCACTGAAGGCCATGGGTTGCTGCGGAAGGTTTTCTGCTTGCTCGTTTGTCGGAGACGCTCGCTGACCTCTTCCCAGATCAGATTCTAGGCTCCCGTTGAGGGCTGGTGGGTTGCTGCCATCGTCGTACCTTTAGGCGTCCTTGTGGCGATCGTTTGGTTCTCTCAGGCAGCATGAGATGCCCTGCGGCGCTTCGAAAGGTTGTGAGCTCACTCGTCACTTGGAGATGCTCACTAAACTGTCGCTAGGAGACTCCGAACAGTCACTCTATCTCTCTGAATTTCAGCTTCGCTCTCGACGCATCTCGACTGCAGTCTGACGCGATAGGCTCGCTCGTTGACGCCATGGCGAGGACTTCGGGTGCACAGAGGCCGTAGGCCCGACCGTGATGGGCAGCGATGGTCAAGGAGGGAGATCAGGCTTCTTAGGCTTCTACAAGTTCCGCGCGCAGCCTGGCCTCTCTTTGTACGACGGCCTGATCCGTGCGGGCTTCCCCTGCTATTGCCCCCACTGTCAGACCCGCATTCACGAGTCCATCTTCAAGTGGGTGCGAATCTTCCTGTAGGACGAAGAGGACATGGAGTTGACCGGCACTGATCTGGACCTGTACGACGGACTCGAGCCGTTGACGCGTGGACCTACGGCGTCGACGGGGACTACCAGCTTTCTAATGGAGCTACGTAAGACGTGTACTTTGAGGTCGACGGTGCCAGGGACCTTGTTGACAGCAGTCGCCGCGCTGCAACATCGGCAACTACCACAAAGACATGCAGCTGATCACTGGCCCACTTCGCGCACTCTACGGCAAGAACATGCGTGAGCAGTTCATGGTCATCACTCCGTACAAAGCACAATTCAAGCTGTACGCCAAAGCATTCCAGACCCTGCAGGGGGTTGCCGCATGACCATGGGCACGAGAGAGAGCAAGCAGCTGCTGAAACGACAATCACAGTTTTTGGCCACTACGAGCGACATCAGTGGAGAGAATGAGAACATTACTGGCCACCTGTATACAGCGTAGGAGCCATTCAACTTTGATCAATGTATCACGTGACGCATGCGCACCGCTGCGGGGCTGACAAGCAACCACCCTTGCCGGACAAGAGAACTGTTCGCACTTCTATTATCGACCCAGCGACTTCAAATTGCCATCTCCAAGCGACCCGCGGGCACAGCTGTCACGCCGAGGACGTCAGCTCGTGTGGTTCAACGTTGGCTACTAATACTACTGCAAGCATCGCCCAACGAACGAGCGTACATACGCTTTGGAGCACCTTCCGATCTACGGCACAGTCGTCCACGTTGCCCGCAAATCTCGTCTTTATTCTGTGAAAGAACTGCCTCGGGCGCCATGGCCAACCTTTGCAGTGGTGAATGCTCCGCTGGCGAGCAAAGCGGTCCTGTATGCCTTGGCGTCCACAAGGCAGATGCCATCTATTACGACCAAAGGGCCTACTTTGCTCGGCCGGAAGCCCCGAATGAGGGAACTACTTGGCAAGGTTGATGGAGACCAGATCCTGACGGATGCTGAAGTCCAAGAGCTGAAGGCTATCCGATTACCCTGGGCGGACGATCCTGATCATGCCGTAGTACCTGCGGACTTCGTCACTGGGAGAGATGCTTATGGCAAGGCCTCCAAATGATCTCAAAGCCTTGTGACTGCTTGAAGCTTTGAGACGGGGAACGAATGGGCCACTCTGCTCACCTTTTGACGACTGGAGAAGAACTGCATTGGGAAGGTAGAAAGCAGGAAAAGTTGATGAACTGTTTTCCTCTCAATTTTGTTTCAACCTCCGGTTTGCTTGCTGAGGCCGCTTGCGCAGACGTCACTTCGCTCAACGCCGTCACGCCACATCCTACCAACCAATAGAAGAAAGTCGTCTTCTCAAGCAGCTGTCAATGCTCCGAGGCAAAACCTTCTTCTCTTACGAACAGCCGCTCTCTCTCCAACCCCATCAGGCCCAACGGAGACCACTGAATGAGTGATGGCTCGAGACTGTCCATCAGGGCCGGAAACTTTCGCCCATGGTAGGTCATTCAGTCCTCCCGGAAGAGTGGCAGCAGAATTGGTCGCTACCGGCTCTGACTGTGACGAAAGAGCAGGAGACACGCCCGAAGTGTCGGAATTGTCATGAAATATCAAGATTCCAGCCTCTGCTCCTAAGGCAAGAACCGCCGCACGCACCTTAGCCATCTTCGGCCTGAGCTTCAAGTTGTACTTCCGGAGATTGCCGTTGTCAAGGAGTGCGTTGATGGACGGGAGCAAATTGTTCTGCCAGTCCCTGAGAACAGTGAGCTGCTTTGGCTGTGACTCCGGTAGTAGCTGGCTCCAGAAACACAAGCAGAAAGCGACATGGACAGGCTCTGGGACTTCCCGCATTCTTGATCAGCAAACACCACCCCATAATTGTCGACCACTGTTTGCACGAGTTGAAGGAGCTCATCGGGCTTGCAGCGCTCGCTGATCTCCTTGTCGAGCTCGTCGGTCATCTCGAGCGCTTCCTGATACTTGCGTTCCAGTTGTTCGATGCCTATGTTCTCCAGTGGAGCTGTTATAGACTTGCAGTGGAAGCCGGATCTTTTGACAAAACCGGCACGCCGGCCGGCGCAAGATTTTCAAGCTTTCCGCCAGGGATGAGCGAAGTGTCAGGTGCAATTTACTACTAGGTTTAGCCCAGAGTACAAGGTCAGTGCCCTTGAGAACCCAACAGCAATCATGTCCCTGACGAATTTGGAGTCTGTCCTTGTTGTCCCAACAAATTGTGCAGCTGCATCAGCGTTGGACGTTACTTTTTCTGGCAGACTACTGAATGCGTACAATACCGAATGAACTTCATCGTTCGCAAGATCTGTTCTGCTTTGTCAACACACTTCCAGAACCCGACCGTCGAGCCCATCGGAACATCACCAGTCCAATGGAAAAAGAACAGTTACTTCGCTTGGCTCTGCTAACATCTCGTCAGTTTCCACCGTAAAAGCAGGAATGACCCGGCTCATACCTTCTCCGCCGCAAGCTTGAACGGCTTAAAGACATTCTGCTGCTTCTCATGCATCCATGTTCCCTCCTTGAAGTCATCCTGGTCAAGGTCCACATACCCGTTCGGAGCTCCCTTCCAGGTTCTTGGCACAATACCGAACGCTCGCCCGTGGATGCTGCCGTCGCTGACCATATGCATCATCCCCAACGCAGCATCCTCAACCTCCGCAAACTCTGCGCCGGAGCCTTCGATGAGGGTGCTCATTTGGGAGGAGAGGATGGGAGTGTTGATGTACCTTGGGACTGATCAGCACAATGAATTCGACGGCCGGATGCGACTTACCACGGAGCGATCAAGTTGACTCTTATGCCATCTTTGCCGCTTGTCCTCCGCAGCGCCCTCATCAAACCCCGTACGGCGAATTTGCTTGCGCCATACGACGGTGCTACCAGGTCAAGGTACCCGGCCAGACTGGCTTGCAAAACCAGGCATCGGTCCTTCTTCTGGTCGCCGGCGTTCTGCTTCTGCAAGTACCACATGGCCAATTTGGTCGTGTAGAACACTCCATTGATGTTGATATCCAGAACGGGGAACGACGGCTCATCTGGTTCGTCCTTGGAGATGTCGTTGGTAAGGATGGCGTCGTCTGTCGAAATGCCAGCGTTCGCCACGACGCAGTCGATGGAGTCATCTGGAGAGAGCTCAATGGCCTTCTTGAAGGCGGCAAGCTGGTCTTTCCACGAGAGAACATCGCACTTGATCGCGGCCGTGGTGTCCGGGAACTCTTGTTGGATCTTTTGAGCAGCGGACTCGTTGATATCCGCAATGACCACGTAGGCTCCAGCCTTTGCCAACGCCCTGACGTACGCAGCTCCGATGCCAGAAGCACCACCTGGAAATGTGTTAGACGGTTTCGTTCTCCAAAAGAGCAAGGCTTCCAAAACCCGTCACGATGGCTGTCCGGCCCTTGCAACTCGAAGTATCAAAGCTGCCACTGCAGTCAACGGGACCACTGTCTTCGTATCCTGTCGCCTCGCTTCTTGCTGCAACATTGTTGTTCGCCATGTTCACGGTGCAGTGCAAGTCTGGCTGCTGTTGGGCTTGATCAGATGGACTGAATCGATCGTTAGTTTAATGTCTCCAGCTTCACCTCCATCAACAAACAGTTCTTTACACAAAGCCGAAGCAAGATTGCGGACAGTACGATTGTTTTCAGCTCTGACTATATCCTTCAGCTGAACGGGTGCTCGGGCCCGTATACTTTCAAGCGGAGCTCGCATTCGAGAGGGGTAAGGCACTCGTTGCCACGCCGTATTCGTACCTTGCTGTACCTCTGGGGTCTTAAGGATCAGATTGATTCCATCTTCGGGCATCGATCCTCCTGGTGAACTTGCGAGGCTTGCCGAATGTATGTTTTAAACCGTGCCAAGGCCTCAAACTCACGAGCCACCCTTACCATGACCATCAGCAGAAGTTGCCGTCCAGCTACCGAATAGTACTACGGTTTTGAAGAATGCCTCTGGCTCTCTGGCACTGAAGACTTGTCTCGATCTGTACAAATGAATTGAGGTAGCGGAGTATACACATAGCTCTATCACGATCGGATCAACCCTCTCCTATGCAACCCAGGCGTCCGGTCGCCTCTAATGCAACCTCCACGCTGTTCGCCCTGACGCCTCGTTCGCCGTCCATGCAATGCTGAAAAAGTGCAGAAGATCTCATGATGCTCACATCCGCCGTACCCTCGACGTCTCGTCTACAGTCTGCGATAGAGCGAAGGGGCTGCCTCCTCAGGACCCCTTCCAATTCCCGGCGGCAGAGCTGGACCACCACCACTCGAATCGCCGGCGCCACCTGCATCACCTACACCCCCTGGGTTCTTGCCACGACCCTCTTCAAGCCCGGGCGACCGCCCACCGCCAAAGTACTTGTCAAACTCGCCCTTCGTTTCCCACGGCCTCTGACCAAGCAACCGTACCATATCATCCCGAGTAAGCATCTCCTTGGTCAATAGCTCCTCAGCAACAAGACCAACTTCATGCTTCTTGTCCGTCAAAAGCTGTCGACACTGCGTGTAAGCTTCCATGACAATCCGCTTCACCTCCTCATCAATCTTCCGCGCAGTGTCTTCAGAGAAAGGCTTGTGCAGCTGCGAGTCCTGGCTCTCACTGGCGTCGGGGTAGTACATGTAGCCAATCTTGTCGCTCATGCCCCATTTGGTCACCATAGCCGTGGCCATCCGGGTCACCTTGTTGAAGTCGTCGCTGGCGCCGGAGGTCACAGTATCGAAATGGATCTCCTCACTGACTCGTCCACCAAGCGTCATGGCCATGCGGTCCATCATCTGGCGCATGTTCATAAGGACTTCGTCGCCTCCGCCGCCGGGCAAGTATTGTGCGTAGCCGAGCACACCCTTGCCGCGAGGAATAATGGAGACCTTGAGTAGAGGGTCAGCCCATTGGAAGAACCAACCGCAGATGGCATGGCCAGCTTCGTGGTAGGCGATTGTCTTCTTCTCCTCGGGAGAGAGCACGAGCGACTTCTTCTCGAGGCCACCGATAACACGCTCAATAGCCTGCTCAAAGTGCTGCATCTTCACGCTCTCCGAGTTGGCGCGGGCAGCCACCAGCGCGGCTTCGTTGACGCAGTTGGCAATGTCGGCACCAGAAAAGCCTGGCGTGAGCGCTGCCAGTCGTCCCTTGATGTGCTCCAGATCCTCGCCTGTCGTTACGACGTTCTTCAAGTGCACATCGAAAATCTGCTTGCGGCCCTCCATCGTTGGGTGGTCAATGTAGATCTGCCTATCGAACCGGCCAGGTCGCATGAGCGCCTTGTCGAGCACATCAGCCCTGTTCGTACCGGCCAACACAACAACCTGCTCTTGAGTGTTGAAGCCATCCATCTCCGTCAGGATCTGGTTGAGTGTGCTCTCCCGCTCGTCGTTACCACCGCCAAAGTTCTGCTTCGACCGAGACTTGCCGATGGCGTCGATTTCGTCAATGAAGATGATGCAAGGGGTATTCTTGCGAGCGTTCGCGAAGAGATCTCGTACTCGGCTGGGACCGACACCAACAAACATCTCTACGAACTCGGATCCAGATACTGAGAAGAATGGCACTCCAGACTCACCCGCAGTCGCTTTGGCCAGGAGTGTCTTACCGGTACCTGGTGGACCAGACAGAACGGCGCCTCGTGGGATCTTGGCACCAAGTTTCTGATAAACGCCAGGCTCCTTCAAGAACGAAACGAACTCCATAATCTCCCCTTTGGCTTCATCCATTCCAGCAACGTCGGCAAACTTGACTTTGATGTCCGTCTCATGGTTGAACTTCTTCGCCCTGCTCTTGCCCATGCCAAATATGCCGCCTTGCCCGCCGCCGCCACCAGAAGCCGCTCTTCGCGAGAGATAGAAGATGGCGCCAATGAAAAGAAGAGTCGGTCCAAACGCGAGGAGAGTATTGAACCAGCTTCCTTCCTGGTGGTAGCTGATGGGTATTCTCTCCGAGCTAGGGATTCCGAGTTCTGATTGAGCTTCGTCCACTCTTCGCTCGAAGGCTTCCACGCTGCCAATGGAGAAGTAGTAGTAGAAGCCAGGTTGTGCCGCAGGTGACTCCGGGTACATGGAAGATACATTCTCGCGGTGTAGATAGACGCGAACCTGGTTGCCGTTGATCACGACCAGCTTCTCCACCAAGCCCTTGTCGAAGAAGGTATTCCGGAATTCTTGCCATGTTATTTCTCTGCTGTTTTCCGTAGGGACAACCAGGCGATAGAGGAGATAGGCGACGAACGCCGAGACGAGGAAGTTTGAAAGGTCGAATTTGATCTCCGTAACATTCGAGAACATCTCGTTCGGCTTTCGCTTTTTGTCGCCACCCTCATCCTTCTTTCCGCTCTCTTTCGGTCCAGGACTCTCGGATGTTTTCTGCTGCGGCGCCTCTTTCTGATCCGCAAGCTTCTCGTTCACAGTCTTCTCAGCGTTCTCGCGCGCAATGTGTGTGGTCAGCCGCCACAGCTTCGCGGCTCGCGCCGGGCTCATGCCCTCAGCTTGCACCTCTTTGATCGTCTCCCGTAGTTCAGAAGGCAGGCCTTCGCGCTTTATCCGTTCCAAAGCGCGATTTATATCATCAGCCATGCTTGAAGGCATGCCCTTCTTCACCAAACCGAAGACATCCTCAAGCGCTTTCTCCTCATCCGGAGACAGCTTGGTGAAGCCTGGCCGTGTCGTGTCCTCGGAAGGCTCTTTGTCGCCACCAGGGGGCTTACCGGGTGACATAGGCGAAGACTTGTTGTAGAGATGTTCCATGCCCTTCGCCGCCTTGCCCTCCTTGGACTTGTCAATGTCCTTGCCATCCTGCCCCGGCTTGGTCGCATACTGTCGGCTGCGAGCGTAGGCGTAGAGCGGCCTGGGTAGTGATGCTGGTCTCCGGGCGAGTGTTTGTGATAATGAGGCCGCCTCAATAACTTGCCGCGATGAACGCGCAATGTTCTGCGGTCGTCGGAGGAGGGACGCCATGGTGGCGTTATGTAGGAGAAGGGGAAGAACAAGGGAAGTGGCTATCGCGTGTTCACTGTCATCGGAGAAGAGAGAGTAATCACTTAAGAGAAGGCGTAGTATGATGGCGACTCGAAGATGACGCTTTGAATAGGTCGGAAGGTCGGCGGTTTTGCGGCTCTCCCGCCGACCGATGCCAAGGCTACAGACCTCACCTTTCGATGTCCTTCCGTCTCTCCTTCGCTCTAAACCACTTCTGCGACATCCTCCAGGTTTTCAAACTCGATCTATATTGGACGTTCAAGACGACAAAATCATCGTTATAGCAATACATGTGCCGCCTGCCTGCCCAGCCTTGAAGTGGATCCCAAAGTCCTTCGGTCGGCATATGCCACTTGACATGCACGCGGGAACCACCGGGCCTGGACGATGAGCCCGAGAGCACACCAAGCCACGAGTTACGCTGTCCTGCATCCCACCGACTCGCGCAACCAGGGTGACTGATCCAGGATATGCTTTATGCTTACTAAGAGCCTGCGAATACCGTAAGAGGCAACTTGAGACTATGTCGAAGACTCGTTGCCTTCTTCGGGAAGACCTGAAGATGTGTACAGTCAGGTTGTGTTGTGTCGCCAGCTGACAGCTCGATACTGGACTCTAGGCGTGTGGCCATGCAGTCCGTCAGACTGCTCGCTCCAAAACAGACAGTAATAGTATAAGTACCTGCGGCGTTTCTTCCTTGTTCTTGATCTACAGCAGGTTCTCTCTCACTGTAACTTCTCCGATCCCATTTCATTGTATTAAAGTCGACGATATGAGTAGCTCTACTCCGCTGAAGAGTATCATCCTGGTTGGAGTAGGTTCCAAAATGCCACCATCTACTCCTAATCTTTGTCTAACACAAAGCACAGCCGGGAGGCTCCCTAGGCTCCGTCCTTCTCGAAGGCCTCCTCTACGTATCCACCTTCTCCGTATCAGTCCTTGTTCGCGAGTCATCCAAGTCAATCGGCTCCCTTCCAGCCGACCGTCTACATAAGATCGTCAAGATCGCAGATTCCTACCCGCAAGATGAAATCATTGCAGCATTCCAAGGCCAAGATGCGGTCGTCAACGCCATCACCAGCACGCTCGTAGAAGAGCAATTACGCTTCATCGATGCGGCTATTGAGGCCGGTGTTAAACGCTACGTCCCCTCCGAGTATGGGATGAACAATCTGCGACCGGAAGCGAGGGCATTGAACTCGGTGTTTGATGGTAAGGGTAAGGTGCAGGAGTACTTGAAGTCGAAGGAGTCGACTGGACTTACCTGGAATGCTATTGGCTGTGGGATGTGGATTGACTGGTGAGAGCTACGACTCGAAATGCATAGCGATGTGGACAGCCGCTAATCTATCCATATCAGGTCGCTGAAGAACAACTTCCTCGGCCTCAACTACGCCACCAAAACCATCACAATGGCAGACGAAGGCAAGGGCAAATTCAGCACTTCAACAATGGAGAACACGTACCTGGCCGTCAACCGCTGCCTCTTGAATCCGGAGATGACGAAGAATACCGTCGTCTACATCTCCGATTTCGTGACGACCCAAGCTGACCTAGTTGCGGCCATTGAACGTATCCGTGGCGAGAAGTGGAATGTCGAGCAGTTCGACTCGTACAAGGCCATCGAGGAGAACAAGAAAAAGGTTGAAGCGGGTGATCATCTCGCGGTTTACAAGCTGATTGAGATCGGATTTGTGACTGGAAGGTATGGCGGGTGGTTGGAGGAGAAGGAGAAGATCTGGAATCAGGACCTCGGGTTGCCGAAGCAGGAGTTTGAGGATGTTGTGAGGAAGGGTTTGGAGAAGATGAAGGCGTGAAGAAGGATTGGTGGCTTGAATCAAGAAAGCAAATTCCAACTTACGTCTCCATTCTTGCGTCTCTATTTCAGTCCGGTCCCAATTCCCTAGGGTATCTTTCCAAACACCAGGCGCCGTCGCTAAATCCAATCGAGCCTTCATTCATTGACATTTTTCACGCGACATTTCCTCCCGAAGCATTCGCAACCCTCCTCACATCATCCTTGATCTCCGGTATCCCCACCATCATCTGCTCAGCCAGAATATCCCGAAAACTCGCAAAAGCCTCCATCCTTCCCTTCTGCTGCTGGTTGTACTTCATAACCAGCTCCACGAACTCGCGCGTGTAGATGTCCGGGTTGCGGGTGCTTTCGACGTATTCGATGAGCTCGATGGGGATGTGGGTGGGTAGGCGGCGGGAGGTTTTGGTTAGGGAGACGAGGTTGTTGATGAGCTCTTTTCTGGGTAATTTGTTAGATTTGCGTTCAGGCCAGAAGATGTTTAGGGAGGTAGCGTACACCTCGGCCGTGAATGCGCGTGGTTGCGACGGTGGTTGATAGTTGTGGGCTTGGACTATGAGGTTGTATAGGTTGCTGATGATGGCGCGGAGGTGTGCTGTTGCCGTGTCAGAACTGGGTTCGCAATGTGGACAGTGCCGACTTACTATCGACATCGTCCAGTGTCGCCGCCGCCATGATCGCTGTATGTGACAGCCCTGGGTGTGAGCAAAAGCGAATTCTTGAAGTCGCTCATATTAAGCATGTGAAGTCGGTGTGGAGGACCTCAGGCCAAATATGCACGGACCAATCTTGTGTAACCTGGGATCCCTCGAACCTTATGTCCTACGACCTCACCTTCCGAATACACCGTCTGCGAGACAGATCTGAGGCCTTTTCGGACGACTGAGCGACATGCGTGCGCGTGTGGTACTCGAACATGGCCCAAGGCGACGGACGGCCCCGGCACCACCGCCAACCGAGCAGGCTCATGAGGTTGATGAGTGCTGAGAAAAACAAGAACACTGTCAAGGAACCATCCTACTCCTCCAACGGTCCGGACCAGGAGACTATCAACTACATCAAACACGTACTCTGTGCCAGTCTTGAACAGCGAGATGGCCGCAGCGAGAAGTCTGTACCGGAAGCCAACAAGAAGCCACTGGAGGAGCTCTTGCCACCATTGACCAGCTCAAATGCCGTGGATGTCCAGCTGTATGCTATCATTGCTGTGATACTGAGCCAATTCGTGCAAGCATGGTACAACCGCATTACACCAGACCAGGCTTTCGTTGCCGAGATTGTGCAGATCACCGCACATTGCACGCGTGGTCTCGAAGGCCGCATTAGGCACGTTGACCTCGAAGAACTGCTGCTTGATGAGCTCCCAGCACTTCTCATGGCTCACGTCAAAAGTACAGTTGCACGACATCGCATTCGTGGGTCAACTACAGCTAATGCGGAGTAGCTTTGAGAATCGCGAAGAGTGCAAACAGCAACAATGGTTCAGCCAATACTGTTCGGACGATCTACCAGACAATGCGGCCCAACAAAGCTTTGACGCCCCTACCGGAGGGCGATGCCGCTGTGTTGGAGCAGGTCGACAACGAGGTCGCATGGTCACAACTACTGGTGTCGCGCATATTGCCATTGGTGTTGCCGCCCGAGGATCTTGCCAACCCCTGTCTACACGTGCTCGTTTCAGAAGTGTTTTCTGAGATGATCGTTCGTAACGCATTGTGTGGCAAAGCCAGTGAGCCTTGGATCATCTGGGAAGGTGTCACAAAGCTCCTCAACTCACTTTCACGAACCCAAGGGCAGGCTGCAGATCTGCAATCATCACCAGCGGGCCGTCTCGAGCAGTTTGGACTGTTGTCAACGAGAAACGCCTCGGCTGGCCGAGATCTGCATGATGCCCAACGACGATGGAGGCTTGACGCCATTTCCCAACTCTTCTGGTCATCGCTACAGGTTGTCGTGATGGGGTGGTTGATGGTTCGCTTCTTCGTGACAGCTCTAATGCACGGGTCATCGATCCCAATAAGACGAGCTCGATCTACAGCAGATGAAGAACCAAAGAGAGTTCGCACAAGCGCCGCTGAGCCCGCAGCCCGTCCGCTCCCGCAGCACAACACTCCGAAAGTTTATGGAGAACGGCCCGTCATCAGCATGAGGGTCTGGCCCTGCATTTCAACGACATGCTGCATCGAGCAACGCATGCCTTGGGTTTTTGGGCTGGCTTCTCTGTCTCAATGGATACTTTTGCTCGGCCCAGGCAGATTATGCGACTTTGACAGTATTCTCGATCGGTGAGTCCAAACAATCTCGTTATCGCTCAAATGGGTGGATCCGACCGATGCATTTCCTTTGCGAAACGCGGGATATCTGTCAATGTCCAACTGACAGTTGCATGCCGTGGATCCGCCGCTTCATTCGCTACACTACCACCCTCCATCGGGAACGCGCATGAGTCTCAAGTCAGATGACTGGACTCTGTCCAATCTTCTGTTACCCACACTTCCACGATGTGGATGGTGTCTAAGTGGGTAATAGCTTGGCCGACTAAGGAATCCCATCCTGGGTCGAGCTTCAGCACACACTCTTCGCTTACTACGTCGCATTCCTCTCCGAACGCCACAGCACACATCCGTGCTGATGTGGTTATGGCCTCTGGGTTGTTTCGAGCGGGGCAATCACCGAAATCGCCAATTCTACACGGCACGGAAGGGATCTGGCAATGCGTGGGCCGTACCGCGCGATTGAAATGCCCGTGCCTGCCGTCACGGCCCTGGCAAAGCCTAACGCCATCAATACCGTCTTTCTAGATGAAGCGTCGCTCGGGCCTCAAAGCTGATGAAAGCATCAACGATCGTCTTCCCCAGCGCCAAGGATGATGTCGCAGCCGGACTGCAAAAACGGGGGCCAGTCAGGTCGCAAAAGAGCTTCTCCAGCTTCTCATTCGCCGCGTCTGGAGAAGCGAGCTCGTCTGGCGCAGGAAATGCATGCGATCCTTGCCGCCGCCGCCATTTTCTGAGCTCTCAATTTCTCTTCTCACGCCTGTCCGTTTCGGCGTGCATATGCACGCAATATACGGGTGCGAAATTGCGATACAGGAAATGCAACGATCGACTGACGAAATCCTTTCTTGTGTGCTGCAGGTTGATGGCATCGCAGATCCACGAGCGTCTGTCCCGTCCCGACCTCCTCCCGTCCGTGCTGCAAGCGATTCGTGCCGCTCTCTTTCCGAACAACGCGCTCGCTGCCGCGCGAGTGCCGCCCACAGCCGCTGAAAGCGCTGCGATGAAGCGCGAGTGTGCTGAGACGATTGTCAATATCATACCTGCTGCTATAAGGCAGCGGTTCTTTGCTACGAAGGACTACGACTTGATGCGGCAGGATGTTGAGGACGATCTGGACCTGTTCGCGGATCCGTACATCAACAAGCACCTGATCATAAGCGCGGTCGAGCTCATCGTTGCGCGCTTGTTCCCCGAGCTGGCAGAAAGTGATATGGAGGAGTAGGAGAGTCGGGTCGCGAACAATGCCGAGAGGGCAATCAATACGAGCCCCGAAGGACCGCATAGAAGAGTCATAATAGCTGTCGTCAAATATACAAGATACCAATGCAATGCCGAAAAACGTCGCGACGCAGTCCCAAAAAGTGCTTCGCAGCATGTCCCTCTTCTGGTCTCCGTGGTCCCCATATCCCATTCCCTGCCCTCGCTGCTGTCGCAGGGGCTTCTCCCTTCACCCAATGCCGTTCTCCCGAGAACCGAAATGTGTAAGAATGCCGAAACAATGTGTCGAGGTATAATATGCAAATGTTGAATGAGAAAGGAAAGTCTGTCGTCTGGTCCTGCGTCCGAGCTGTCGTCAACTTCCCGACCTTGAGCGCTGCTGCTTAAGCTTCGTCATCAATTTCTCGACGTGGATGCTCTGCTGGAAGTCCAAGAATCCGGTGTCCTGCTGCTCGATGTACTGCATTACGACTTCAAGCGATCGCTGCGCTTGCTCCGGGCTGATCGCGCCAGACGCTGAAGGAGAGCCACGTTGCGCGACATGCGCTGGTAATGGAGGTGGTCGCATCGTCTCTGCTGGAGACACGGTCTGAGGCCTGTCGGTTGAGGGGAGCGCGTGGACTGCCTCGTCCATGCTGAAAATTGGGTCGGAGGCTTCTTCCATTGGCGAGTCGAGCATGGCGGCTGAAGGGATGTATTTTGGCGTTTGTAGATCATCGGACGACTGTGGGTCGTAGATTACTGGCATGGTCTGGCTTCGCGGACGCTGGGTGTTCGATGCTGTCGCTAAGGGGAGGATGGGTCGTGCTGTCAGGGGTCCGAAGGGACCTGGTGCTGTTCCGGAGTCGGGTGTGAAGAGTGGTGAAGTGTTGTCGCTGAGCTGTGGTGAGAAGGTTGAAGATGGTGCTGTGTCGGTGAAAGCGCTGTTGAGGGAGTTCGTGCTCTGCGAGTGGAAGGGTGCTCGTCGACCGAACACTCCCAGTGCATCAGGACTCTCGTTCTGCAGACTCTCCTGGCTCTGCGCGCTATGCAGTTCAGGAGAACCAACACCTTCTGGCGAGATCGGAGAAGTGCCGCTTGGAGTATGAGACGAAGAGACGGCGGAAGAGATGCCTTCCGCATCATCGGGCGCAAGTGAGCTCTTTCGAGATCGCGCGCCCATAATGTTGTGATTCAGCTTGAACTTCTCGAGCCACGCTGTAGTCAGTACCTGCTGGTGTTCCGGACTTGCTGTCGTAGCGAAGGCGCGCGCTTGATCGCGAATGCTGTCGTCGGTAAGTTTCCTGCCCTTTCTCTCCTGTTGATGTTTGTTAGCATCCGGTGTGAGCAGATTGTACGGCTCGCGTACCTGATTCTTTGCCCAATTAGCTAGAGTGCGCTCGATGTCCGGTGAGCGTCCTTTCACGCGCTTCGCTGGCGATTGGCTTCCCTCCTCTTTCAAGAGGTACTTCTCCTTCTGCCGCAAGACCTTCGATACAGTACTAATGCAAGTTAGCCAGTATGTCGCCGGAACTCAGTAGACCGTACTCACCTCCTCTCAACGCCAAAGATAGCTTCAGGGCGGTTAGCGACGCTCTCGAGACAAGGCTGACTGAACGTACCTCCAATCTCCGTCTGCTTGCTGTTCGGGTGATCCTCCGCATACTGGCACATTCGCTTTCGATCCGAGTCGGTCAACGTCTTCCGCGGTGTTGTCGCTGAGCGTGCGGATGACGCAGAAACTGGCGTCTGCGACTGTCCCATCGACATTGGCTGGATCGGTTGCAAAGGCTGAGGGAAGACATGCTGGTAATTCGAAGGCGACTGACTGTTCAACATCGACGGCCATTGCGGCATCACCAGAGGCTGCAGCTGTTGAACAGCCGGTCGTTGTTGGATGCCTCCGCCGAACGCGGCAGGCTCCATTGGCATCTGCGGATGGCCGAAGTTGAACCCAGTGAACTCCTGAACGGGCGTGCCATGCGATGAATGCGGATAGATGTGAGGCATTGGTCCCCACTGCGTCGGCGGCGAAGTCTGGTATCCAGGTCGACGGTCGTCGTCGGTTGCCATTGTGTCGAAAGGGTCGACCAGCAGGCCGTCATCGACCGACCGCGCCTAGATTGCGTCCGTCCGAGTGCAATGACTGCGAGTCGTAGAGCAGCGACAAGCGCTGCGTCTATAGGTTGTGGCTTGGTGGATACATGTACGGCAGTAGAGCAGCGGCGCTTGCAGCCTGGTACCTACAGATCCGATATGCAGCATGCAAGTCAGGACGAGTAATGCAGGGCGGGGCGAGGGGCATGCTGGGGTGGAGGATAAAGCGCGTGCAACGATGCCCAACTGAATGATGATGCAGGAAGATGAGGCGGAGGAAGACCGGGTATTAGACCCAGACCTAGTCACTCAAGAGCACTCCAACACCCAGGTGGAGAGCGCGAGCATCTAGGTTGACGGCGGAAACGAAGGGCCGGCCCCAGCGTAGACTATCCGTCCCCTCGATCAGCGACCCCTGCAAGCGTCTGTCGTCTCCAGCCCTCGGAAGGGTGATCAATCGAGTCGACCTTCCAACGTGGGATGGGGCAGTAATTCGGCAGAGGCACAGGGGTCAGCCCCTCCGACCGCGATTGAGAAAATAGAGACAAAGTTGGCCGGCGAGCGATAGGAACGTCGTGGGTGAGACAGGCCGGAGGCCCACACTTTCCACGCTTGCGAGCAAACCGGGGCCGCTGGCGTCGTGGCCAGGGTCGAGAATGGCGTTCTCTTAGCCTCACCGTTCGATCTTTAGTTGTACCAATCCCCTCTCCCAAGTACCAACTCTCCAACTTCATTGACGGAGTATTGGTGTCGCGATCACATACTAGAGGCCATGTGTCCTCAAACCAACAGCCATAGTCAAACAACACGGCGGATATAGTCCGCCGAGCCTCGTGCAGGTAGGATGAAGACCGGCAGTTCGAACGAGACGACAAAGCCACTGAGCCTCGGGCGCCGGAATGGTCGAATGCAACACCACGCCGATCGCTGCACCGTTTCCTCGCCTCTCCAGGTACTCGTAGCCCTGCGAAAACGCCCAAGCGCTCGACGGCGAGAAAGTGGAAAAGAAAAGACGAAATGAGTAGCCCCACCGATTGGCCGTAGGAGCGGTCTTTTCGAAAGTGACACGTCTCATTGGGCGAAGCTTCAGCTCACTAAAAACTGATTGTCGACCGGGGTCTTCTGGTCGATTCGCAGCGAATTCGTCCAGCGCCAACAGCGGGCGTGTAGCTGAAACGGTCCAGCACCAGAGTCTATTTGGACATCTTCACGACAGCTCCGTTCCGAAAGAGATGAGATGAGGATAGATTCGGCAATCTCGGAATATCAACCTTCGCAGCAATGGCAACGTCGAATGGCCTTGTGGATCGCCAATGGCGAGGCGGCATTGCTTTCTGGCCGTATGACTTGACCAGATGTACGACATGTCTATTGATCGATAGCTGAGATAGCAGTCCGGCCATGGCCTATCTTTGCAACAACACGGGCTGGTGACTAACGATTGGGAGTCCTGCTTCAAGCTCAGCTATGTTCTCAATCCTTCCGCTGTTGCTGATACATCTGTGATCCAGTTGTTCTTTTTCTGGCTGGCCGCGCTTTGCGAGCAAGAAAGCACTTCAGCACAGCTATTCGCTGCCTGAAAGCGAGCTTGTCGGGATCCTCATACTTCGTGTATTGTGAGGCTTCCGGAGGTTCCCGATCACCGTGGCCAGTGATGTGCAACCGTTCGAACCGTGAAGCGTCAATGGAAGGGACGAGAGAGGGGAGAAAGGGACCCAAGAATGAGCGTGCTGGGACCCTCGTACTCCCGATGCTGTTCAGCAGTCGCCCGTTCTCCATCATTGCGACCATTAGCACGCCACCGTAGTAAACGTACAACGCCAGTGGTTGAGGCCGATGACAGGATGAGATACCTCAGAAACAAGCAGGCCAGATGCTCCATGGACCGCTCAGTTTCCGCCCCTTCCCCGCCATTCTGACTGCTGACACGCCGCTGTAGGAAGCGAGAGAGGTAGTTGGACGGGACCGCGGAGAGTCCTCCGCTGCCTCAAGAGCGAGCCTGCCTCAATCATTGAGCTCCACGGTTGTGAGTTCTCCGTCGCCATGGTCCTCGATATGCTACCGTAGTAAGCGTGAAAGGCTAATGGACGGATTTCGGAGAGGAACTTGCTGCTTCAGGAGCCACTTGCTGGCGTCCTACAGTCCATGGTTTGCCGGTTCTCCGTCGTTGTTGTCAGTGACACCCCACTGTATGACATGCAAAGGGTCAGTGGATGAGACTAAAGGAGGAGAAGATTGACCGGTCCATACCCAGCGGAACGCCAAAGGGCTTCAACCAGTTCCTGCTTCTCCATCGCTGGAATCGGTGACACCCCAACGCATGAAGTGTGAAAGGTCGATGAGGAGGACTGAAGGGAGGAAAAGATGTACCGAACTGTACCCTGTGGAACGCCCAACGTCTCCAACCATCCCCTATTTCCCGAACACCAGGATCAGTGACCCCCCACTGCACGAAACGGACAAGGTCGATGAACGCTAACGAGGGAGGAGAAGATGCGCCAATCTCCACGCAGCAGAACGCTGGACACCTCAAGGCGATACCTGCTTCTCGAACACCGGGATTAGCGACATCCCGCCGTAGGAAACGAGAAACCCAAAGGGAAGAGTCAGCAGAGAGGAGAAACATTCTTCATTTGCACCCAACGAAAACGCCTAACACCCACAACCCCACCCCCCTTCTCCCACACCGCCCCACCCCTCACCCCACCACAGCGACCGCAAACGCCGCTACCACCTCCCCCAAACTCCGAGAACGAACCAACCATCCCTTTCCATCCCATCCCCCATCAGTCCAACTTGATACTCCCCTCCTTCCCCACCTCCAACCCAAAGAACCGCCTATGCTCCACATCCGCCTTCGCCTGCCTCTTCCTCCACCGTGGCTCAAACTGCCCCACCACAATCGGCCCCATCTCCTGCGGCACACTGGCTCGCTTCTTCTCCGGCGCAGCAACAGGCGCAGCAGGCTCCGCAGCATACTCCGCCATCCCAGTCGCCACGGAGCGGAGCGACGGGCTGCGCGCGTGGATGTTGACGTCCGCGAGCCAGGAGTTCATGCGCTGCTGGCAGACGAGCGGGGAGGGGCCGGTGTAGACGGGCATGCGGCGGAGGACGGGGCGGACGGGGCGGGCGCGGACGAAGGGGCGGGAGAAGTTTATTGAGGCCTTCTTCTCCGGGGCGCGGGGCAGCGGAGAGGGCGAGAACGGGCCGGCTGCTGGCGCGAGGATGGCGCGTTTGGCGGAGAGCTCGAGGCGGAGGCGGATGGAGGTTTCGGATTCGGGGTCAGAGTCGGCTACTGTGCTGGTGCTGGAGAGGGAGGGGGAGCCGATGGGGCCGATGTCGCCCCAGAGTTTGGCGAGGGAGGAGTTGGAGTAGCGGGTGGTGAAGAGTTGGTTGTATTGCTCTGGGTTGTGTTAGTGAGTGCGCCGGCTGTGAGGTAAGTGGATGCTCCTTACCTTGGGAACAGAAACGCCAGACGAACTTCGCGAATGGCTCTGTCTTCTCGTCGACGAGCGCGTAGGTGTACATCCTCTGCTTGTCGCCATTCTGCTTGATGCCTACCGTCTGCATGCTGTTGGCATGTTAGCATACTGCCTTCCAATGGTAAGGGGTATTAATACTCACCCAGCGCCTTCACCATCAGTCTCGCTCCCAAGGCCACCGAATTCCTCAAACGCCTCATAAGCCAGCTCGCACCTCTTCCTGCCCTTCGCGCGAAAGACGTGAATCTGGCACAAGCGTCAGCAAAGCCTCACCCAACCCCAAGCAGAAGTAAGTAAGAAACACATACCTTCATCCCCTCCTGCCACCCACTCACCCAGTCCCTTCCCAGCACCTCAGGCCCAGGAAAAAAGAACCCCCTCTTCTCCACCCTCATGCCACCGTCATCCTCGCCTTCCTTCTCGAAAAAGCCGACAACAGCCTTCCCCTTCCACTCATCTTTGGCTCCAACGCTCCAGCTCAACACACATCTCCCCTTAAGCACCACCTTGAAGTACAGAAACTTCGTCTCCTCGCCAAAAGCCACGGCAGGGTCCGGACAGGCGTACGACAGCCAGAACTGCGCCGAAGGCGTGGCGGGGAGCAGGACGGTGATGCGGTTGCCGCTGGTGTCGTGGTCGGGGACGGAGGAGTAGATGGTGTGTTCGGGGAGGGGGGCGGCGGTGGCGGCGGAGGCGGAGTGGAGGCGGATGGTGAGGGTGGCGTGGGTGGGCATGGTGGTGGTGGTGTTGTGGATGTGTTTTTATAGCTAGGCTTGATCAGCTTTGATTGATTTAATGTGACTGTCACGGAGAAATTGTTGCTGCTTCGGCTGGTCGTGACAATGGTTGTGATTGAGGATTTTTCTTTTCGTTTGCGATTGTACTTGTTGACAGTGACGTTGGAGTTATTGCGGGCACGTGCACGATCTGACAACAGAGATCATTTCCGAATGGGGAAGGAGCGGACATTGCGCTGTCACATGAGACCGAGAATAATTCGCTGACTTGTACAAGAGATATACGTCCGTCTCATTGCCGGCCCTTCTCTCGGCCAGAGGCTCGCCACAACCCACCGCACCGGCTGCGAATTCGTCCACGGCGAGCCCCTGGCCTCGAGAGGCAGCGTGGTGTAGCTGAGATTCAACAGACGTACCTTCCCATTTCCGCCCCTTCTCGCGACAAGGGGCTCACCACACCCCACCACACCCGCAGTCGGACCCTCCACCGCAAGCCCCGGCCCTCGAGAAGCGGCGCTCTTACCATATACCGGGCAACATCCTCGACTTCCCCTCCACAGCCTGCGGACCGAACTTCCTCTCATACCATTCCCTCGTCCCGTCAGCCGTGACACCAAGATTCACCACCACAAACACCAGCGCATTCGCCATTGTTCCGTTGACCAAGCGGCCCGGCGGCGCACTCTGGATCGCCAGTGCGAGGTAGATGACCACCTCGGCCGTGTAGTGCGGGCTTATCAGGGGCTGGAAAGCGGGGTGGGTTGGGAGCTTGTACGTTGTGTCGCATTGGGTATGTACCGCGGGGGTGGAAGAGGATGAAGCTTTGTTTGGGGAGGTGGACGAGCGGGTATTGGCGGATGGTGGCGAGGGATCGACAGCGGGTTGGCGCTTGAGGTAGGCGAGGTAGGAGTGGCAATCATGTTGGAAGCCGGAGGCGAGCATGAATAGGAGGACAGCAAAGATGGTGCGGAAGGTTGGGGCTTGGAAGATGAAATCACCGTAGGTGGGCTTGTGGTTTTCGATGGCCGCTGGATAAAACATCAATACATCGCTATCATCTCTAGTCGGACGCATGCACTCACGTATGCCCTCAATCCAGAACGCCACGCTCGTCGCCATGTAAAAAGCCATGCCCATCACCCAATGCCCGCCCCACATCATACTCATCTTCTTGTCCGTCCCGAATTCCTCCCATTCCACGTATACCAGACTCTCATACAGCCGTCGTCCTCCTTGCACCAGCATCATGATCCATGTAACTTTTACCTGCTCGAAAGTCATGTTGGTAGCCATGGGCCCCGCGCGATCCCGCATAAGCTCATAGAGTGGTCCACGCAGCAGCAGAGCCTCTCCGGCCCAGAAAGCGGAGAGGGTGACGGAGAGGGCGTAGAAGGTCCAGAACCAGTCGTGAGGGACTTGCCATCCTTGAAGTGCGTCAAGGAGGGTGGTCAAGATGTTCTTGCTTGGTGTGTTTTTCTTGGACTCTAGAGATTGGTTTTCACGCTCGGCGGAGGAGACGGGGGTGGTGGAAGAGCGGGCGCCATAGGAGAGGAAGCGGTCGCGGAGGGGAGGGGTGAGATAGGTGAGGAGGACCTACCGTTGCCGATCAGCCTGTGTCTGCGGAGGCCATGGTTTTGTACGAGCGGCGCTTACGGCTGTTGAGGCGCCATGGTAGGAGAGGCGGAGGATGGTGATGGCGTCCATGTTGGAGGGGGTCTACAAGGCCTGCTGTCGCCAATCTCACTTGTGCCTCGAGTGTGACTTTTTACCGAGTAGTCCTGGGGCGGTCCTTGCTCCGAGAACTGCCGCGAGTGTCGGGGTGGTCGGCGGAGGGGTGCTCGAGGATTAGAAAGCTACAGACTCGAGGTGCAGGAGTAGCAGCCAACAGTAATCGCGGAGGATTATCGAAAGCTGCAGACGCGGTCGCCATGACCGCACCTTCCCTGACTGCCCCACAGTGGCCCGTGCGCAGAACCGTGTTAGGAAAGCGCGATGTGAGCTTGTCAACTTGTGAAAGAGGTCACCCTCTCCCTCTCCACCTTCCTACTCCTCCTACTACCATACCACCTTTCGCGCGACACTGCTGGCGTACGGCCGACTCTATATCACACACCACACGTGATGCGACGATAACGCGCCAGGATGTCGCTCAGCCTTTCCTCCCTCCTCAACCCATCTCCGGATGCGGAAACCCAGCAGAACGACTCCTCCTCGCCGCCCCTCCCTCAGAAGGACCCGCTGCCTCCGATGCAGTATGTCCAGTCGCCCACTCAGCAGGGCGCGACTCCATCCAACACCGCGCATCCATCTCACGGCTACTCCCATCCCGCCGCAACCGAAAGCGACGCGGTACAAGCACTGGCGGCATTGTCCTCGAGCGCAGCAGCGCCGCCAACGCAGTCACAGTGGCATAGCCAAGAGCAGACCATGGAAGGGCAGGTGTATGAGAGACGAGGCAGTTCATACGAGCATGCGCGACCTGGGAGTAGTGGCATGCAGCTCCCCAAGCCTCCACCACCTCCCGCAACGGCAGACCGGAAGATGAGTTCGCCTACTCTCGACCAGTATCGCGTGTCTTCGAGGTCGCCAGAGCAGAGACGGTCTTCTCTTATATCGCCGTCACAGAACTCCGGCGTCACGCTACCTCCAATTCAAAGTTTCGGAAATTCACATCAAAATCACTCTGCGATGCCTTCCTCTGATCACGAGCAAATGGAAGTGAGCGCTCATAGTGCTGCGCCTCCTACCTTCACTGAACAATCAACTCATGCGCCAAATGGTCTACCCACAGGTACAGCACACGCTCCGACTTACGCGGCCAACCAACCTTCACTACAAGGAAGACCAACATCACCCTCCAATGTGAAACAGGAAGTGCTCGCGACACCACAACCGTCCTCACCAGCAAATGCACAGAACACCCCACTGAAGCCGGGCGAGAACGAGGTGGACAGTGTCAAGGCCATTGCCTCCCTCAAGAACGAGCACGGCTTGCGAACAGCTTCACCTCTCCGCGAATCCTCCGTACCTGTTCCATCCACCGAACTTTCACCACCCGAGCCTACGGTGTCCAAGAAGCGTCCTGCGCCAGCCAGACCTAAGAAGGGCATGGCGACGACGAAGAAGGCACCGCCGGCTAAGAAGCGCAAAGTCGAAGCGAAGCGATCCGTGACGCCGTCCTCGCGAGCCTCGAAGATGTCTATGCTGAAGACTGCGAGCAGTACAGGTACACCAGCCAACTCCTCGCCGGCACCTTCAACCAGATCGGTATCCGCAACGCCATATTCGGAGGATGAAGATATGGATGAGGGTCCTGCAGGCTCAGACGACGAACTCTACTGCATCTGCCGCAAGCCCGACAATGGTACTTTCATGATTGGGTGCGATGGGACGTGCGATGATTGGTTTCATGGCAAGTGTGTGGAAATCGCAGAACGGGATAAGAACCTCATCGACAAGTACATCTGCCCTAGCTGTACCGAAAAGGGAGTGGGTCGAACAACGTGGAAGCGATATTGCAGGCGTCAGGGGTGTAGGCAGCCCGCGAGGAGCCGGAATGTGAAGAACGGAAAGGAAGGCAGTAAGTACTGCTCGGATGAGTGTGGTGTGCAATGCTTCAGGGACATGGTTGCCAAGACGAGAGGGAAGGAGGAGACCACGAAACACAGAAGCAGTCGACGGAAGCCGAGTATGGTCAACGAGCGCGCCGGGCTGGATGATGACCTTGGCGCGAGAGGCGGCGTCCTCGCAGCAGGCGAACTGAAGAGCTTGGTCAATACCTCGAAAACCGCAGAAGACTTCAAGCGATTTGGCGAAGGCGTGCTGAGTCCGCCAGCCACACCATCCTCATCACCCACTGCAGACAAGAAGCAGCACGGCATCGACTTCACCGACTCCGAGAACCAATCTCTCGAAAACATCACCCACAAGAAAGACGAAGCGCGCCGCAAACACAACGTCCTCAAAGACCGATTGAAGTTCGTCAATCTCGCCAAACAGGCCGCCTCCCGCACCGCCACTGAGCGCGAACTCAAGCCCAAAGAGTACTGCGGCTACGACTCCCGCATTGAATGGACCGAAGACCAATTCGCCGCTTGGCGCGAGAGCGCCGCCGGCAAACAAGCCTTTGACCTCAACACCCTAGCCACCGAAGCCGATGGCAAGACGAACGGCTCCGCGGACGCTATGGACACGGACACCACCGTCGCGCCTGCTCTGGCAATGTTCGATGCAGAGGCCATGCAAGACTTCGAAGTCTGCGACCGTAAGAAGTGCGCGCGACATCTCGAGTGGCCGAAGTTGGCGGTGGATGATTTGCGGTTCGAGATGGGGGATAATGGGGACAGGATGAGGGGTTTGGATCGGGAGGAGAAGGAGTTGAAGGAGAGGGCGGCGTTGAGGGCGAAGGGAGGGGTTGTGGGGGGTGAGGGGAGGGTTGAGGTGCATGGGCTTGGTATGGAGGGGGTGGAGGTGGGGTGAGGTTCTGGTGGTGTCAGGTTAGATGATGATGGGGTGGGGAGGATTGTATTGGAAGCGTGGCGTAGGGAGCGGGATGGGGATATGGGGTGGATGTAAAAGCTTGGGATGACTTCAAAGGCCGAGTGTCTTTGCTTGCTTGGCTTGCGGGCTTCCACGACACGGCTGTGCTCTCATCTGGCTCAGCGCAGCCAACAAAGGGGCGGTCACCTCATGATCGTACTGAAAGAAGAAGACTAATCTCTCATCCACGGCTGGCTTGACTCAGTTTATCGATAGCTCTATACCCATCCATCTATTACTTCACCACAGCCCATATTCCCCAACGGTCCCAACATCACCACCCAAACCGTTCCTCCCACCACCAAACTTCCCTCCCCCGTCCCACCACCCAATTCCCCACTTCCCTGCGTAAGTCCCGACTCAAACTCTTAGGCCCACAAACCATCACCGCCACGCGCTCGGTAGAAGAGTGCGAAAACGTCTCGTGGACTATTGTGGGAAGGTCTGGACGGCCGGCGCGGTAGTGGAACTGGTCTCCGCTGGAGGGCTCGGTTCGGGAGGTCAGGAGCGTGCTGCGTTCTTGCAGCTCGATAGCTTCGACGTCCTCGCTTGTTCGTGGGGATACTGGTGCGCCATTCGCGCCTTGCAGGTCAGTGCCGCCGCCGCCGGCGGTGACGTACATCTCCATTCGCTCGACGAAGCCTTGCCGTTCCTTCTCGCCTGATGGTAAGGCCCACGTAGTTTCTTCTGCGCTCCGCACAGCCCAGACGAACTTCACTTTGCTGCGCCTATGGCTTCCAGCGCTCGGACTCAGATCTTCCAGCAGCTGTCTGTACAACGGCACGATGAACGCTGCTCCCACGCCGCCGGCTACGAAGAGCACCCTATCGTATCCGAGCAAGGTATCAGGGTGCGTAGATGTGCCGTAGGGTCCTTCGAGCGTGAGGTCCAGTTGTCCTCCTGATGAGGAAGTGGTGGAAGCGAGTAGAGCGGCGGTGTTTCCGGCGTAGATCCGTACTAAGAAGCGTAGATGCCCGTCGGAGTGGGGGAGGGAGGCGAGGGTGAAGGGGTTGCTGTTCAAGTTGCGGGAGAGCGGGTGGTGGGGGAGGGAGAGGTAGGTGTGTTGTGCCGTTTTATAAGATTGCAGGGGTGGGGAGGTGGGGATGGTTATTTCGAGGAGGTCGGTCGAGGAGGAGGTGGTTGGGATGTGCCGGAGGGTTGCTGTGACAATCTTCAAAGCTCTGTAGCGGAGGAAGGCGTGGACGGCGTAGATGAGGCCGGCTTCGTAGAGGTAGACTCGGAGGTGGGAGACGTGGAAGAAGAGGAGGGGGAGGAGGAGGCTTGAGATGAGGATGTGCGTGAGGTACCAGAACCGGTATTTTCTGTGTTTGAACGGCGGGATGGTGACGATTTTGAAGGCCACGACGCCGATGATGCCGCAGAGGACGTAGAGTTCCTGGATTTTGGAGATGAGGAGGCTCTTTTGGACGTAGAAATTGAGGTAGAGGACTGCGTGGATGTAGAGCAGGAAGGCGATGGCCTTTCCGAGGAACTGGTGGTAGACGTTGAGCGTTTCATGGCTTTTCCTGGTCAAGAGTTGGAGTGGCGAGTAGGGTGACTTGAGGGCCAGGAGATAGTGGAAGGGGAGTTGGGAGGATGCGATTATGCCGAAGCGTTTCGTGACGTGGAGATAGTCTGAGTTTTTCAGCATGATGTTGTACTTGTGGTGCATGATGTTGAGCTTACCGTCTCCTGTCTCCGCGAAGCAGAGCCAGAAAAGCCACACCATCCAGCTCAAGGCAAATATGACCTGTCCTCTGGTACCCACGATGTCACCGAGCCGCTGCTCTTCGCCGAGCCACCACCGTACCTTTCGTAAAAGGACTCTGGCATGATCAAGACCTCTTGGAGAGCGTGCCGAAACGTCCTTCCGATACGGCGAGCTGGGCAGATCCAAGTCGTTGTGGTTTTGCCATGTTTTTCTCAGCCACGAGAAGCCCGACCAAAGCTGGATGACAAGCAGTGGGACGATGGCCGAGAATTGTGCTATGTTGGCATGTTTGTCGAGTAGCTCTCGCCGTTGATGCTTTTGAGCGTCCGTGAGGTCGATGAAGTGGTATGGCCAGCGCATCTTGGGCGGTCTTCAAGCTTCCAAGTCTGTGGAATGGCTCATGTTGGCATCTTTGCCATGGAGAAGAAAAGGGCCCAAATAAGTGCGCGGAGTCCCTCAATCTTCTCGGGCGGATATCATTGGCATCCGTCTGTCTTCCAAAATCTGCTCACACCGGACAGTCCGTCCCTGGTACATCAATGAGGTCGGAGATTGAAGACGGCTCCGGAAAAGCTGATGCACGTGGATGGGGCGCTCGTGCTTGTGATCGACTTCAAAGACCGATCATTTCGATCTTTCTTCCTTCGATCTCATGCTCTTCCTCACCATCACCAGCAAGTGAGATTGATAGGCCATCACCGCGCTCGCGAGGCTTGTGAGAAGTGAGTCTCCGACCTGCGGCTCAGGCAGCGTTCCAATTTGGTGACTCCGTTTGAGCTCCTGGTGAGGCTAAGGCTGTGACTCCATCCATCCCGGTCGGCCACGATATGCGGCGTGGTAAGTACTTGTCTTTCATTATATGCGAACATCGATGAAGTGAAGTCAAAAGAAAGTCGGGAGATCAAACACCTTCACGTGAACAGGCGACAAGGCAATCGCGACACTGCCACACGCGCACCTTCACTTGCCCCTCGTCTGCCTCCCACTTCCATGAACCACACTTCGACCTTGTACCACGACGTGGCCCGACGATGCCACAAGTGGACGGCCTTCATTAGTACCGCCACCACTCGCTGCACCACCAGGATCATGGCCACGCTCAAACGCTCCGATTCCAAGACGTTGAAAGAGGATCCGCCACCCAGGGCTTGCATCATATGCACAGAAAAGGACATACCACTGGTCAAACCATGTCGATCGTGCAATACCGACTACTGCGAAGAGTGCCTCGAAGGCATGTTTGTCGCAGCCGTCGAGGACCAGACCCGGATGCCGCCACGCTGCTGCCATTTCCTCCAGATCCACACCGTCATCCGCCGCCTCGACTCGGATGACGCGAAAGCCTACAGAGCCAAGTTCGAGGAATGGATGGCACCTGTCAAGCTCTACTGTCCGTCACCCAAGTGCTCAGCCTTCATCCCGGCGCGGAAACTGCCCGCCCTTGAACCAGCACTACCGCAGAAGAATGCGGCTCAATCGTTGTCCGCCGTCCTTAGAGAGGTGGTGGAGGCAGTGGTTAGAAGCCCATCGTCGCGCTTCTTCCGTGATGAAATGCCCAGTAGTCAGCTGCCGGGCTACACGAAGAAGATCAAGAGGCCAATGTGAGTATGAGGATTCGTTTGAGATTCCCTGGAGGTCATGACCTCAAACGCACACTCACTTGCGAGTTTGAGGAGGCGAATAATGGTATACTGACCACATCGTGACTGCAGGCATCTATCCATGATCCAGATCAATGTCCTCGGCGATGTCTACGGGTCGACCAGCGAGCTGACGGCTGATATGAAGCTCATCGTCAAGAACGCAAAAGAATACAATGGCGCCGGCCACCCGGTGACAAACGCTGCAGATGCTCTGTTCGAACAATATCTTTCGCGACTTGCCACATTGACAGACCGACTTGCGCAGACGCCACCAGTCGCCCTGCCTCCGAAGTTCTTTCCTTGCCCAGAGTGTCACGTTGCAATTTGCACAGACTGCAGGCAGATCGAGCATTCGGGATCACCTTGCGATACTTCGAACGCGGACCACGAAATGGCAATGCTCTCGCAGTTCGGATACGTAAGTCCATGCGCAGCTGCTTCTTTCAGATTTGACATTCGGAGTCGTATCAACAACGTACTCTTGCTAACAGCTCTACAGAAACAATGTCCCCGATGTAAAGCCGGAGTGAAGAAGATGTACGGTTGCTCTCACATGGCGTGCATATGTGGCGCCCACTGGTGCTACTATTGCCAGCGCTCGATCGATCTGTGTGATGGGGGGTGCGGCGAAGGACCACCGGGCGACTACGATGACGACGAAGAGGACGATAACGAAAGCGACTATGACGAGGATGGCGATCTCCTGCCCCCAGCGATCTTTGCCGAACGAGACAGGCTGCGCGCTTTCGCCTGGGTCGTTGCTCAAAGACGGATTGAAGAGGACACAGCGACGCCCGAAGTGAGAGCGATGGTACAAGAAAGGGCTCCCATGGCGTTGGTACCTAACGGAGCTCGCCTCACCCTAGTACGCGACCACGGTGTCAACGTTGCCCAAATCCAGACTCAAGCAGCCGCGGCCGCAACAGTCGCAGATGCCAGGGGTGGTGCTCCTGATGCTACTCAACCAGACACCATCTTGCGCGACCCAGGCACTCCATTTGTACCACCAAATCGGAGTACTTCCACTGCTTCTTCGACAGCTCCGCCTGTCGCCAACCCGCAACCAGCCGCACCTTCAACCGCTACCCCAACCGCGCCTCTTTCAGCTCACGATAGAATCGTCAACCTGGACGCTGGCGGCGGAAGACGCTGGGCTCAGCGTGACCTCGACTTCGGCGATGAGCCTGAGGACGATGGCGTTGCTCAGGTGTGGTCATGTCGCCACGACTTCGAACCCTACAAGTCTCCACCGGAAGACGGTTTCAACTGTGGCGATCTCACGCGGATGGAATGCAATCGCTGCTTCGAGCGAGTGGAGCTGAGGAAGGAGCCGCCAAAGAAAGGTCCCAACAACATGAAGAAGCGGAAGGTGTTGGCGATTCGACCCGGACGTCTTGAAGCTGTGCCAGAAGGCAGGAGTGAGTCTCAGGAGGATGCGGTGGATGCTCCGGGGTTAGAGAACGAGGCGCACGAGTGCAAGAGGTGTCGAGTGGTGGTTTGCGTGGGCTGCAGGGTGAAGTATATCGAGGAGCGAGACGATGATTGAGCGCGCATGATGAAGGAGCGGATGAACATGATGGAACGCATTTTGCATTTGCTGCATCCCTGATCTGCAGGCGTGAGCCACTCTCTAGCTTCTAGTTGCATGATACCCCATATAGCGTAACGATCTTGCAATGCATCTGATTCATTCCGATCATGCTTGGTTCGTAACGTATCTCCGGACAGACTGGTGAAGCGGTCAGCGAAATCCTCAGCGTCAAGCATCATGCCAGATCTTACGTCTTTCAGCACCTGCATCCGCTGCTGCGTGCGCATGTATACTTCCCGATACTGCTCAATAGTCTCCTGCGTGACTTCGTGGCGAGTCTTGCGGCCTTCGCAGATGGCTTTCATCTTCAGCTCCATCTATCGTATTGTCAGCTTTATGCTCACATCATCAGAACTAGGTCAACATACCTCCTTCCGCAAAAACGGCTTAGCAAGGCTAATCTCAAAACCCATATTATCGTACCCTTCAATGAGTGCCACACCCAGCGTCGTGGGTATGAACTCTTGCACCCCCGAAGTGCCAGAGTTGCGACCATTGGCGGCTGCGCTTCCTCGTCCAGCTGCGCCGCGACCTCTCCCGCGTCCTCGTCCTCGACCTCGAGCTGGTTCTGCTTCGTGCTCGGCGGGCGCCTCATAATCTGAGGCCTCATCATCATTGTCATCCTGCCGTGGCCGTCTACCCCGTGGTCGAGTGTCGACGTACTTGCGCTCTTTGATCTTGTTGATATGCTCGGCCATTGTGGCATCCGTGCCGATTCCATTCGCATCCATCAACGCAATCAGCTCAGGCTCGGTAAGGTAGCCAGGCGGACTCGTCTTGCCGTCCTGTATGCGCGCTTCAGTTGGCTCGAATTCCTCGCCTGCTCGAAATTGCGGGAGCTCTTGGCTACTTGTCCATCTGTCATAGGGGTAGACATCGAGGTAGTTCCGTTCGAGGACTGTCAAGCCGGAAGCATTGAACGTCTCTGGGCCGTACGAGATCCCGATTTCTGTCTTGGAGCCTTTGGCGTCTTGACTGCAACAAGCTAGGAAGCGGCGAGCGACGAACTCGTAGACCTTGGCTTCTTCCGCGCTAAGAGCAGTCTGTTCGACAAAATTTACGGGGTGGATGGGCGGATGAGCTTTGTCGTTGTTGCGGCCATCTCGTGGTTGTGCGAAGCCGCCGTTCATCAGTCCTTGCGCGAACTGTCCCCAGGTTCGGCTTTGTGTCTGTTTCTGGACCAGAGCTTGAAGGTTCATGCCTCGATCGAACTGGTCGGTCTCTGTACGAGGGTAGCTGATCCAGCCTTTGGTGTAGAGCGATTCGGCGACCTGCATCACGCGGTGACTGTCCATGCGCAAGAATCGACTACCGCACTTCTGTAGCTCGACAGTGGTGAGTGGCAGCGGCTTCCACTTACTTGTTGGCTTGGTCTGGACCTTGTCTACTTTCGCCTTTTTGGCCGCCAGACAGCGCTCGAAGAGTACCACCACGACCATGCGATCGAAGAGGTGGTTTCGAGCCCATCGAAAGTTGACCTTGATGCCGTTCTTTTCATGCATGACCTTGATGCTCCAGAACTGCTCCGGCACGAAGTTCCTGACTCGAAAGTAGCGCTCAACCACAAATCCCAGCGTCGGGAACTGGCAGCTGCCGTAGCTGATGACCTGACTTTTCTGGCCGTCCCCTTGTTGCGGTAACATGCCTTGCAGACTCATAGTCAAGTTTCGAGTGAAGCTCGCACCAGTCCGCAGGTCCAGCTCAATTCTTGAAGACACGGCATTTGCCTGCGCTTCATCCAGCGGCACCGGACTTCGAGCAGCATTGATGATGTGCGCTCGCTCAATGTTGGAGAATCTCGCCCGAACCGTCTTGCCACGCTCCCCCAACCGCGGATTCGACCTGACCGCAACATCACGAATCTCTGCACCAATGTGCTCGCCTTCGCGATCGCAGTCGGTCCAGATGTAGAGGATCGAGCTGTAGCGAGCTTGTGTCTCGATGTTCTTGGCGACAGGCTTGTTGGATTCGTCAACGGAGGTTTCGATCCTGGCTTCGAACAGCTGGGAAGGATCGCAGGACTTCCAGTACCGATATTGATCAGCGAAGTCGTGGCTCTGGAGGTGGCCGAAGACGGAGGTCATGTTGACATCGCAAGGGCCCCATGTCGGGAAGTTGTAGTGGAAGCAGTAGTTTTTGAGATATTGGTTGCCTGTTACGTTTCGCTGTATCGATGTTAGTGGGGCATGTCGTATACTCCGAGACCATATTATCTGCTTACAACCGTCACCTGGCCCCCAGCAAGGTGGTTCGCCACGGCCTTTGCGATGGACGGCTTTTCAGCCACACAGAGGACCTTTGTCACCATCTCGACAAGCGACTTCACGCCCCCTCCGCATCTTCTGCGCCTTGCTGGATTTCATGTACGTTCGTATCATGGGGATGGTTGGTGTAGAAAGTTATAGTACGCGTGATCACAGAGAAGACGCGCTGAAGTGCACTTCACTAGCGCCAAATTTTACGTGATGCCTGAGGTGAACGAATTTGAGAGCACATGTCAACGAGCACGGAATTCAATGCCGGGAGCTACGGAAAGCAATCAGAACAGTCGCGAAGACCTCAGAAACTGGTTCACAGAGCGTTCACCGAACGCCATCGCTAAACCGAAAAGACCAAGCCCATGGAATGCACAGAAAGATCAAGCCTTCACTCCAAACTGCGAGTAGAAATGACACTGCGATACGTGGCTCTTCTTGCCAGTGGACTCGTCGAAGATGTGACAGCCGTGTTTGGCGGCGTTCGGTGGCTGTCGAAATTGATCAGTATTTCTGCCGTCTTTGCTGGTGACACCTAACTTACTGTGTAGAGATGCAGACTGACAGCGAATTCGTCGCTGCTCGGGTTTTGGATACGATGCAGGCCCAGCCGGTCGCTCATGTAGGTAACTCCGTTTGCGTCGTACGTAGTACTGCGCTTGATGTTCAGAGCCGCTGGTTCAAAGCTGCCACTGGGGTCCGGTCAGCGATGGTCTTGCATTATCCAAGCTGAAGTGTCAGCCTTTTGGAATGTGGTTATTTACCTGAACGAGCAGCTGTGCTCGGTGCTGGGACAAGAAGACTCGGAAGACGCAGGACAACCGCCAGAGCTCTCGAGGCTCTCGCATGGCCAGGCGTAGAGTGTCTCTGTTAGAGACCCTTTCAAGATCTTCATCACGCAATGAGCATTGGCATGATCATGGATGGGCGAGCCTTTGCTTGGTGTCCAGACAAGGATGAGCTGGACGGCTAGTCAGTTAAGTCATTCGCTGTAACTCCAATGGTGGAATGAGGCTGAACCTGCTAAAGGAACGGTATCGAGTACTCACCAAATTGCTCTTGCCGTTGCAGTTATCCACGAGGTTCCTGGTATACGCCCGCGAGCTGTCCGCGAGAGCATATCTACTCCATTCCTCCTCGCAAGAGTTGTAGTAGGCCAGGACATGCTTGAGCTCTTCCACGTCAACTCCAGCACTGTCGATGCCATTGCTCGGGCCAAGGATTGTGTTGATATCCTTCACGAGGTCCTGGAAGCCATCGAATGGTTCTGGTGACCCACGAGCAGAGTCGTGCAACGAGGCCGGCTTGCCGCTGGGCGGTAAGACGGACAAGTTCTCCGTGGACATGGTATCAACGACACTGATGCTCTTTATACAGGGAGAGGAGGTGATTGCAAAGCAGGTCTTTCTGATCAACACGCAAGTAGGATGGTAATTTGAGTACAAGGTGAGAGATAAACGAAAACACGCCTTCCCCTACCATTGACGGGTACACACGGCTCCTTGAGCACCCTCCACCATTCACCGTATCGCTTTATCGACGAGACTGAGGCTCAAGTCGCCGACCTGATAACGCAGCCCGAGACGTCGCCGTCTCGCTCAGGCGAGTCAGGTCCGGTGCTCATCTGGCTCTGTATCACGCGTCGTCTGTCGCTATCTTGTGAGGTATTGGCGTGATCTCAGCCCTTACTGGCGGTCTGCGGCTCAGATGATAGCAGATGGATCGTGTTGATGGAAATGTCGTGATGCTCGAGCTTCTGACATCTGGAGCAGGAGATAGTGCGGGCGCTATGGAACGGACCGCTGCACTGAAGTCACTTCATGTTCAATTTGAGCCTGAGATCCCCATTTCTACTGCTCTCGTAAACACACAACATGGCGACCAAACGGCCAGCACCTCAGGTGCACTCATCGCGACAAGCACAAGTACCGGGCGAACCGAAGCGCAAGCGACAAAAGCCTGATAATGCGGGCCCAAAGTCGTTCAAGAAGGCGCATCCAGTCAACGAGCTCAAATCGCAAATACGATCACTCAAACGCCTGCTCGAGCGCGACGAGAAGCTACCAGGCACTGTCCGGATGGAGAAGGAGCGGCAATTGCAGACTGCGGAACGCGAGCTGGTCGATACGCAAAGGGCAAAGCAGAAGAGCGACATGATCAGCCGTTATCACAAGATCAGGTTCTTCGACAGGCAGAAAGCTACGAAGCGGCTGAAGAGAGTACGGAAGGAGCTGAGAGCGCATGAAGCTGATGATGAAGCTCGTGCGCAGCTTGTGAGGAGGGTTGACGATGGGGAGGTGGACGTGAATTATGCTCAATATTTCCCTCTGGACCAGCATTATGTGTCTCTCTTTCCCCGCAAAGGTGTGGATCAAGAAGATGGAGCGGAGGACGATGAGGGTGGTGAGAAGGATGGCGTAGATGGGCGCAAGGGCGACGAAGAGATGTGGCAGCTCGTCAAGCAGTGTATGACGCATGGGCGGCTAGACGATCTGAGGCATGGCAGGCTGTCGCAAGGCGACCCGGAGTCTTTGACAGGCAATGACATGGAGAAGCAGAGGAAAGCTGGTGCAAAGGCAAACAGTAAGCCATCGGAATTCCAGCGAGGCCGTGATGAAGAGGGCCGGGGTGATTCAGAGGATGAGACCGGCGGAGGCTTCTTCGAGTGAAAGGGGGGTCCAACCTGTTCAAACCGGCTTGTTGCTTCCTAATGATGTGAGTCGCTGCAATGTACGAGACCAAAGATCAGGCTCACAGTTCCTTGCCAATGCCCATTTCACAATCAAAGTGCAACCGCCATGGAAGCTACACCACGGCTCCAACTCACGCCCACGTGCGCCTCAATCGACACAATGTCTTACACGTTCACGCCACTCAATTGGGTCTTCGCAGTCCTCCTGTGGCTGACACACGACACATCAACCATAGATGAAGTGACTTCGCACCCGGCCCGCGCGGCGCAACCCTCTTCAGCCACTGCCTCACCGGCGCCGTCTCGGACTTCCGAAGCAGCACATATATACATTTCCCAAAATGATGACTGTGTCGACAAGCCAATCGCTGATCACGTTGGCCCGGCGGATAACTTCGGCGGATATTGCCCCTCGAGGGAAGTTTCAATCGAATACTACTGGATTTAAACTACTTCCTCGAGGGACGTTACTGGACTTCTACCTGGATTTATAGTTTAAATTTGAGGATCTGAAAGTCTTGTCTGGGATGGAGGATTCAGGGAAAGCTCTTGTGCGGTTGTCACGTTACCAAGGTCGATGCTCCAGCGCCGGCGTGCGTTTAAAAGAGCAGCAGAGGTAGTCCGTCCGGGGGTGAACTGTTTTGACCCTTTCGTGGTTCATCTTTTTGCTTTGAAATGTGAGGTTGTTCTTGTTTTGTAGGCTTCGACGTCTTGAAAGCTATGATGGTCTAAGTCTAGAACACTCCTTTTCTACCTTCAAGCACTGTAATCTGTTGAGCATGCGCTCGAAGTTTTCTTTAGTTCATCGTGGCTCAAGCATTGTCTTCGCTACTACGTTGGTCTTGCTCGTACGGAGTCATGACTGCACCTACGATTGCAGACTACTAGCGACTGCGTCCCTACCCCGGGTGTTCATCCACTGGACAAGCAGGCGTCTCGGGTGTGTGATGGACGCCATAACGCTACAGCGCGCCCCATATCGCTTGATTGCATCTTGGAAACCCCTTTCACATTGCAGTAGATGAGCTTGAATAACGCGAGAGCTGACTGAAGAAATGGTGCAAAGGGCGCGGCCGTGCGGTCCAACTTCGAAGCTCAGCATCTGCTTTATCGTTGTCCATGTTATCTTTCTTTGATTGCATACTACCACTGGCTGCCTCATCTGCTCTCCAAAATACCTAGGATACCAAGCCATCTCCCCAGCACACTCAGGAAGTGCTTACGAACAAATCATACGCATCCCATCGTCATCTGCCTTTCCGACCCTTACCGCGGACGCTCTACCTCCCGATAGCAGTCGTCTTGCCCACCAACCCATTCGTTCCCACGCCCAGCTTCAACTTCTTCCGGCAATCAGGACAATACCACTTCGACCGCCTCGCCGGCAGATCATCGAGCCCGACGCACGACAAGTGGAACCACTCGTTCTCACACTCTTTGTTATCACAAGCAATCATCGCGCCCCAGCTGACATCACCGCAGATGCAATACCGCGGCTCGTCGGGGTCGATATACTCCTCCGGATACGCCTCCGCTGGAGCTGTCTCCACCGCGGTGGTGGCCTTGTTGCCTTTCTTGCGCGGCGCAGCCTTGCGCTTCGATACGCCAACTTTAGCACTCTCATCGTCGTCACCAGTGGTGAGGATGCCAGGCGCTGGCCTGCGGCTACGACGTCCGCCACTTGGCTTCGTGGTGGAAGTAGTGCCGCCGACAGGCGAGACCAGATTCCCGTTGGGCAGGCTGGCGTTGCTGTTCCGTCGTAGGCTGGCCCGGCGGTTAGGCGGTTCTTCCGAGACGGCTTTGCTGGCTTTGAGTGTGATCGTAGGCTTGCGAGCTGGAGGAGTTGCTGCTCTGCGACTGCGATTGGAGGTTTTGGGTGAGGCGCCAGCGGGCGCAAGTGGCACTTTGGTGCTGGGTGCGGTGATCTTGAGTCTTTTTGGCGCTGGACCGGCTTTGGACAGCGGGTCAGGCGTGTCAAGAATGCTTCCGGAGAGGAGAGAAGTGTTCGACGGTGTGGCCTCTCGCTTTCGCTTCTTGTTGTCCTTCGAGTCGGTCACGCGACTCTCTCCCGCCGGCGCTTCCAGCCCTTGCTCGCGGGCAAGCTGGTCTTGCAAAGCCTGTTCTTCAAGCATCCGCTTCCGCTTGAGCTTCTTGGCTTCGTTCAAGCGCATACCACGATTGATTAGTTCCTGATCTGCGTCCTCGCCACCATCATCTGTATAGATCTGCTCGTTGCCAAGGATAGCATTGATTTGTGCCGTTTCCTCGCCACTGATGAATACTTTAGTTGGGTCGGCTTCGTTGTTCTCATCCACGAACGGGTCGCCACCCGCTTCTGCACGGACTCTAGCTTCTTCCTTGCCGCTTGAGCCACGTCCAAGGCTTTTCAGCTCTCTACGGACCATGGTCTGCGACGGCACCCAGATGGCGTTTTTCTTCATTCGCTTGCGAAGCTTGGCCATTTCCCATTCCGTCAACTTCATCCATGGCAACCACTTACTGCCTTTTGGTGCATCCTCTGGCGGATGCGTAAGAGCAAGAAGCGCATTCGATGTGCTGATTCCTGCAACGGCTGAGTGCGCATTTGTGCCAGGCCGACCGGGTTGACGTGGTGCCCGAGGCTTAATGTTTTTCTTGTCCCTGTCCTTGTCTTTCTCCTTGTCCTTCTCCACCTTGGGTGGTTTTGGTGTTCGCGAGCGGGGCCGAGGCGAAGCCTTCTTGTCCGCTGCAGGAGGCTCTTCCAAAGGTGGCGAAACACGTGGCGACGTCCAGTCTGAGATGCTCTCAACTGGCGCATTCGGATCTGGCGGAGGAAGCACCTCGCCGGGAACCATAATCTTCCTTCCACGGAGCTTAGTCGCTGCCTTGTCTGTCAACCGTCGTGAGCCTTTCTCTGGCTTTTGCTCGTCTCCACGCATGCTCATCCTCCGCTCTCGCTTCAAGTTCGGAGACGTCAGTGCCTGCTGCTCCGGAGTTGGATCTCGCGATGGCGGCGTGGGCTGCGACTTCAACTTCTCCACTACGATGTCCAGTCGCTTGGCCTCCCTCTCACACATTTCGTCCAGCCTCGCTGCCTCCTCCACCGACATGCGCGCCGCCGCTTCTGCTTCCTCAAGCGCATAGCTGATCGACTTCCTGAGCTGGACCGGGTCTGATCGGCCTGCTTTCAGCGAAGGCAGGAGGCTGTAGGTGGTCGCATCCTCGTGCAAGCTCTTGATCCGCTCCTCTGCGCGCAGGCGTTGTCCTTCAATCAATGCAAGCGCGCGCGTGAGGTGCGCTGGGAAGTGCTCGGTGTAGGTCAGGTAGTCGGACAATGTAGCCTGGATATCGGGGTCTGTGGGTGGTTGGCGGCTCAGCGAGCGGAAGCTGGGCGCGAACGATGTCGCCATGCTGCTGGAGGTGTCGATGTCTGGGGTATGAGACCTTCACGATCGCCAGGAGTGGAGGGTGGCCTTCAACTGTTCATTGTGCATGAGACTGGCTGTGGTGTGGTGTCACATGAAGAGATGGGGCAAACGCGTTGGAGTGGAGGTGGAGGTGGAGGCAATGCGCGAGTCACGCTTGGCTTGGCGCTATTCACTTCTATCTTAACGGCACTCCACCTCACCTTCTCTTCTTTTCTCCTGACTCCACTCTACCTGACAGCAGTATACTTATGCTATGATAACGGTTGTATACCAGCAACTGCCATGATGCACCGCCTGGAACTCTAGTCCACGGGCCTACACCCGTTTACTTGGACCGAGAACTGCTACTTTACCTTGCCGTTCTTCTAGCAAGATGAATCAACCAGTCGTGGCCAATGTCTTTGGTACTCTGGGAGCAGTCTGTTGGTCGGTTCAGCTCCTACCACAGATCGTACTCAACTATCGGCGCCATTCTGCTTCAGGCCTTTCGTCCGGATTCATGCTGTTCTGGGCCTGGGCGGGAATACCTCTAGGAGTATACAACATCGTCTCTGCCTTCAACTTCCCACTCTGGATACAGCCGCAGATACTCACTGCCTTGAGCTTGGTGACGTGCGGTCAATGCTACTACTACGAGCGCAAGTGGACTGCCCCGCGAGTATCAGCTGTAGTCGTGGTGGCGGCATGTATCATGGGCGGCATCGAAGCAGCGCTTATACTCGCTTCGAGAGTCGGCCTTGAACGAGGCGTTCAGTGGCCGTTGACTCTCATGGCCGTTCTCGCCGCCGTACTGCTTGCCCTTGGAGTCCTGGAGCAGTATCTGGCCATCTGGAGAAACAAGAGCGTGCAAGGTATATCCTTTGTGTTTTGTGGTATAGATGCACTGGGAGACCTGACTTCCATCATCTCAATCATGTTCGAGCGGCATCTTGAGGTCATGGGTCTAGTCTTGTATTCTGTGGAGCTGTTGCTTTGGTGTGGCATCTTTGGTTGTGGCTTTTATTTCCGACTCCTCCCTCGACTGCTCTCAATATCTGCTAAACGCCCAAGCAGCGACGGTACAAGCAACGCACCCCGAGCTGAAGGCCTGACTCCGTACATACTGCAAGACTTGCCGTCATCGACGTCTGTCTTTCACACGGCCTCTCAGGAAGACGTTCGGATACGTCAACGGCGAGGTATCGACGAGCTAGGGTGACTGATCTAACCTACCACATGCCAGAGCTTTCTCTGCTGTAGTAGCTCTTTTCAGTAGCGCCACACTCGCATAGAAGATTCAATTTCACCCAAAGCCTATAAGAGAGTCCGGCGCCTTTTTTCTACTCCGGATAAAACTGAACAGCATACCGACACCCTGCCTTTGTCCGGACTCGAGCGCGCAAAAAGACAAGACTGGTTCCTGGAACTGGCCTTGGCGGGAACCTCTACTGACATTGCACACCTTCATTCACCTCCCCACCGGATAGCCTTGGTGAGCGCACTTGTCGGCAGCTACTGTACGCGCCTGATCAGACCGCCACTCAAGTCGGCTTCAGAATCGCAGCGCTTTCAAAGCAACGCATGCCTTTGCGCGTGCAAGCCGAAATGGCAGACGAAAGCAACGATACCGAATCGTTCACCTGCTCGGTCTGTCTCGAGGACTACGCGGGCGCGCCGCGAGATCTGAAAGGCGACATCTTGTGCACAGACTGCCTTGCGCCCTCAGTCAGAGTGAAGTTTGAACTCGCGCTCGAACGTGTGAGACCTGGCGACTACCCACCGCAGTGGGGGCCGGGCATAGCCAACAGACTGAACATCAACGACTATCGCGATATTCTGGACGCCGACTTCGTGATAAGGTACAGAAACATCCAGAGGGAGTATGAGGCGAAGGGTCTGAAAGTGTATTGCAAGCACATGCTGTTGAAGTCAACAGCACCACTGAGGGCATCGCTTATGCGTGGGTTGAACAACAACCACTATGACTTCAAATGTGTGCTAACAGTAACACTCATGTGTGCCAGACTGTCAGCAAAGGAAATCGAGTATGCCGGTGACGAAGTCGCAACGACTGAGTGCAAGCACTTTGTGGGAATCAAGACCACGAGCATCGGAAACGCAGCCAAATGCTATCACTGCGCCGGGAAGGTCTGTCTTACGTGCGAACTCGCTGTACGCAAAGAGAGACATGACTGTCTACCTGGCAATGGTCCTGACAGAGAAGAAGCCCTCAAGGGTCTCGCACAGGGACGCGACTTCCAGTCCTGCCCGCGAGAAGGACGTTTGGAAGTCATAGCGCTCGATGACGGCTGCAACCATGTCACTTGGTTGTGCGGAACTCAAGTCTGTTTCATCTGTGGCGAGGAGTGCCATCACGACTCGGATCATTGGCAAGAGGTGAGTGCATCATGACCGAACCACCATTTCTGATGTGCGCTCTTTTGTTGCACGGATAACGGATCACCCATGTTATGCCTTCCTGCTTTGTCTATCTGACAATCAGCTGACGAACCCATCTAAACACAGGGCAAGCCGTGCTCCAGGTGGAATCAGCCCAATACGGGCAATGCCCATCATGATCTTGAGCCACCTTTGGATCTACAGCTCGTGGAGATGGTGGTGCAGCGCGGGAACGAACGCCTGGAAGCCGGTGGAGTGATTGACGAGGCATTCTTCGAAGACATTGGCGAAGGACAGGGACTTCTTGGTGGAACGATACACATCCCGCTAAAAGACGAACTGATCAACGACGATGGCAACCCGGACGATGTGCACCAAAGGCGCTGGCGATCTTACCAGGATGTACATCAGCTCCTGCTGGACGGCGACCACTTCACCGCAATCCACCTTCAGATCTTGCGGACTCTCGTAAGGGCAGACGCCGGCGAAGATGGAGAACTTCAGTGGGAGTTGCTCCAGGCTACCCGGCAGATGATCGGGATGTGCTCTTACCTCGACTCCATGGCGGCTGGCGACCCTTTTGATGATGCACAGAAATCTTCAGTGGTTGAAACATTTGTCGAAGCAACGAATTTGCTCCATAGAAGCATCCTCCATAAAGGAGGCATCGCGACCCCCTTCTTGGACTTCACCGTCATGCCTCTGTACCAGGAACTAGGCGAGGAGTTCGACGGCAGAATCCCACCGGAATGGTTAGCACACGGAGCACATTGGCGATCCTCTTTGCTCATCGGCGAATCGGCGCTCGACTTTGGATGGGAAAAGGATGAGAAGAACGACTGGCTTGCGATCGAGAGGGAGTTAGATGCCCAGCGCGCGGCAGAGAGGGAACGAATTGCACAGGGAGGAGAAAGGGACGATGATGTATAGTATTGAAAAGATCGTTTCTTCAAGTACGCATGCTGTCTTATTGACGCTCCTTACATCGCAGTCGACCTTTCCGAAACACAGTATCTGGTCCAGACGACAGTCCGGGAGCTATCATGCCCAGAGTGAGGTCCGGTATCTTTGTCCACTTCCGGTTGCAGACACAACTCACGACTCCGTAATGCTCTTGGCTTTGTTCGGCTTGGTGCTTACACAAAAAGAAAAGGCTGGAAGCGAATGTTTGGGGGACATCAACTCGGTATGCATACCTTCGACGGCATACTCTCCACCGACGCTCACTCGAGCAAGCTGAAATGGCGGATGAGGAACCAACCTTCCAATGTTCGGTCTGCTTGGGCGACGAACGCCCACCTCCCCGGCACATCAAAGGTGATTTGCTCTGTCAAGACTGGTAAGCAAATCCGTGGACAACGCCGTGACATGCTAGGACGTTCGCTGATGCTTTTGCTCTCTTGCTTACAGCTACACGGAGTCGATCACGAGGGAGTTCAATAGGGCTTTCGAGAGTGTAGCAGGCTTCCCGCCGAAATGGGGCAATATTGACACGACTATACTTCAAGCAAACGACTTTGTTGATGTACTTGGTGCCGACTTCGTGACTCGGTTCAACAGGATTGCTGAGGACTACAGAAACGAAAACATGGTCAAGGTTTACTGCACACACGTGATGCAAAAAGCACATGAACCGCTGAAGGGCGGCTCGCCGCCGGACGGCGTAGTGCTGGCATTGTCTCCGGAAGCACTCGCATCTCTTGATGAGGATACTCCGACCATCGAGTGCAGGGGTATGGTGGGCGAGAGGACCGAGCAACTTGGCAATGTTCAGGAGTGTTACCACGGAAAAGTTTGTGAGTAGAACACCGGCACAAAGAAAGACCACATAGGCGCTCTCAGATCCTTCTATCCTAATATGTGATTCGAGAGTCTTGCTGACCGGTTCTTTCATCCCTCTAGGTGTCACCTGCGAAGTGGCTTTGCACGCAGACGAGCACGAATGTCTCCCTACCACACCCACCACCATTGGACAAATCTGGAGGACAGGGCGCGCTGGAGTTGACTGGTAAGTAAATAGAATGTCGCTGCTATTTCGTAGACCTGAATGTCTCCGAAAGCCTGCCGGCTCAATTGACCTTTAAAAGGCGTTTCGCCTAAAGCCTTCCGACTGGTCTAACAGATAGCAGCCGGCAGCCCACCCTCCTCTCCTAATATACATAAGGATATCAAGCTGGCATCTTTGTTGGCAGAAGTGTCCTAGGGAAGGTTGTCCCCAGGTGAGTAATGACCAGTTCGAAACCTTTGCACTTTTCCCAGGTCCACACTGAGCACGTTTGGTTGTGTATTACGGGCTTGGGGCCTCGAATGAGCTTGCAACGCGATGCGGTGCCGGGGGTGCGGAATGCAGTTCTGTTTCATCTGTGGCGTGGAATGTCACCGTGATAGCGATCACTGGTAAGCACTACCCCGTATCTATGCTGCTCTGCTGTAAAGTGTTGACCCGCGCTCAGGAAGGTTGGGAACCCATGTCCTAAGTGGAATCCGCCGAATGCCACCAACGCCCATACTGATCCACCACCAGATATTGAACTGGTTGACCTGATCATCGCGCGGGGTAACGCTCATCTAGATGCAGGCGGTACGATCGATGTTCCTTTCTACCAAGATGTTGTCGACGAAATACTCGATCTTGGAGCAGACATACATATGCCACCAATACGACCAAGAGACGAAGCTGGTGCGCCAATGACTGGGTAAGTAGTGACTCCGGCCTTGCCCCAGAGACCATTGAGTTGCACTGTGATCTCTATATATCTGCTGACACTGGTCTGTGTTGTAGGGTCACGAGATGGTGGCGCTGCGTCCACATTGTTCATGCAGCCCTGCATCGTGATGATCAACTCATGTTCATTCGTTTGCAGATTGCTAACTTCCTCGAGAAAACTAATCTGCCTAGAAATGGTCACAGGTATCAGCGGATGATATGGCTTGCTTCGACGATGCTCAACGTCCGCAATACTCTTATGCCACTCAACGATACTGATACTATTCCTACGGGGCATCACAGGGCTCAGATCGTTGCATTATTCGTATACACCAGCGATATGCTACGGAGGACCATTACAGAGGTGAACCTTCACCCCTTTGAAAGGCCATTGCTTCACTCGCTCTGGCAACTGCGGGATCAGCTCAGTTATCAGGCACGAGATTGGGTGATAGAGGAGTGTGGCCCCATCCTGTTGAGTTCCCTCCTGCCAGATCTTGAATCGCAGATTCAAGAATGGATCGAAGACAATGGCATCAACAAGGACGGCCCCGTCCACCGGAACATTCTTACGACCGCCCATCAGCTGCGGAAAGTCCGGAAAATGTGGGTGTGGCTCAAGACACCGGGTATGACTCCCGACGCTGCATCATTGGCCAACATGAAAGAAGATTGGCTCAGTGCGAGAGACTGGCTCGAAACGATGCTCGCCGATGTTCCCGAACCGAGGATTCATGAGATCCACCTCTTGGCCGTGCTGGTGAGACGTTTCCGCACCGTCCCAGTGGGCTGGCTGATGAATTCGATGGGCCTTATTTCACGCCAAGCGGTCGTTGACGAGGCCTGGATCGATACCGACGCAGCAACCATCGCGTCGGAGATTGCACCCCAGTTCTTGGACTGGATGAACGCAAACTACGTCGGCGACAACCGCCCTGCCTATTCACACATGCTCTCGGCCATTGAAGCGATGCACATTGTCACACGCAATTGGGACTATCTTGAGTCTGACACAGTCGATCCTTCCGAAGAACTGCTAGCGGATGTACACGCGGATTTTCTCTTCGCACGACGTCTTCTAGCCCAATTCCAGGCAGATTTTCCTGACGAAAACCTTGAGATAATTTCAATAAGGCTTGGTGAGATCTACCAGAGATTTGATAATGGCCCTGCAGGTTGGATCCGGTTGCGGTCGGGGGCTCTCAGGCGTCGAAAGGAAGACGAGATGGATGTCGAAAATGACGTACTGCTGGAGTGAAAGGTGGTCCCGGTCAGAAGTGCAGGGTTTTCCACTGTGTTGAGTGCTGTTATTCATTATTGCTTTCGCTGTATCACAGTTTTTGCTACCAAGTTTACAATCATTTCGCTCCCAAATGATATATGTGCGCCGCAGCTCACACTTGCAGCAGTGAGCTGGATGGTGCCGACCATTCTCCGTCTGTACCGCTTTGGCTCATTCCAACAGCACTACGTCGGATGTTCTAGCTCTTGATGACCTGCAACTCCCTACGACCCATTCGACGAATGTCCCGATCTGATCAAAGAAGTCTTGCTGGCTCACTGTGAACAATCTTGCACAATGGTTTGAAGGTTGTCATTGTCCGCTGATGCCCAATTGTCTTTGTCCCAGCGGCGCTACAACAACCAAAATTCATCGTCTTGGTCCACTAGGTCCACAACAGTCTTTATCTGATAGCATACAATGCCCGCACACAATGCTTATTGTGCAGGCAGCCTGCCTCAACATGGCAGGATAAATATACGGCTCTTGATACATCGAAAACTTGATCATCATCGTCGCATCAACAAGCAACCACACCGCAAAGAACTCCAGGTAAGTCTTCCAAACCCCTTCACTCACCTCGTAAAAGCACACACATCTTCGACCAACCCAAACCACATCCACCCGAGAACATGCCGCGTCATGCCGAAAATCCGTTGAGGGACGAAAGCTTTTATCCCGGGCGTCGGTCTGTTGACTTCGACTCCCCATCGTCGAGGAGAAGGTCATCACGCTACGACCCATCAGACTCCTCCAGTCGGTTGCAGCGCGATTCCAACGCCTCCCGATACAACGACCTCGATTCGGGCTACACCCGCTCAAAGTTCCGCGACACCGACGGATTCACCAAGAGCCGCCGCACACCCCATCGCGACATCGGGTCCGCCAGACACGAGGAAGAACAACCCCGTGCCCGCGAGCCCACCAAGAGCCGTCGACGCGAGCGTGCCGATTCCGTGTTCGCGGAGAGGAGGGAGAGGGCCCGTTCGCCGCCGCCCGTCTCTTCCCGCCGTGCCGCAGTCGGTTCGCTGTTCGACGGCGACTTCAGCACCCAGCGCCAGTACTACAACCCGCGCAGCCGCAGCCCAGCCTACGAGTCTCGCCAGTCTGAGCGTAGGGAGTCCAGGTATCGTGGCAGCGATGCTCCATCACCTGAGCCCAGGCGAGCATCGACGTTCCGCCGCAGCGACGCACCTTCACCTGAGCCCAGGCGGGCATCCACCTTCCGCCGCAGTGACGCACCTTCACCGGAGCGCAGGCGGGTGTCGACCTTCCGCCGCAGTGATGTTCCCTCTCCAGAGCGCCGCCGAAGTGTCTTTGGCGGACGTCGCCGTTCAAGCATAGGTCGTGGCTTCGACTACCTCATCTGAGGACATCAAACGGTAGGTCGGTCCGTCCAGTGTACGGCGTAGTTCTTTCTGCTGAGTTGTTTTGATGATCATGCTTTTAATCGAATGTACTTGTTTTCACCCATACTGTTATTTTCTTACCGTCTGATCTTACCCATTGATCGTATGTATATCACTCCCCGCGCACGTTCGAGAGTAGTTGTCCCAATGCACCAAACGTTGCACCTACTGAGGATCCCAGTCAATGGTTGTGTTCCAGCCATTGCAGCAGTGAAAAGTATTATGTTGTTCGGACGAAAGGTCATTGATTCGGCGGGGCGGTGAATTTAACCTTCTAGCAGCACTTTAGCGTCCAGTCCGGCAAAGGCTGTTTTGGAGGATGTAAGAAGACCGCCGGACACCGTGAGAGGCTGTCTTTACATCGTACGGCCTGCATCAATTCACTCTAGGCGCTCAAGAGTCTTTGGATAATCCTCGGAGGACCTGATTTACCATCACATTCAGCCAATCCAAACAAGCAGACTCGCGAGCAGCGTCAAGCGTCAACCGGGGCAGCGAGTGAGTCTGTAGGCCCTCCAATCTTCGCCCAATCGAATATTTCTTGCATCAACTGTATCATGCCTGGTGCTTTCGGCAAATTCGTGGGTGAGAAAGACCTCTCAATTCGCCTAAGCTCATCAGACTTGCTGACCAAACTATGGGCAGATTCCATATTGACCTCAAAGTACAACAAGCCTTTTCCGGTCACCCTGATCCCGTCTGCAATCGGCTACTACCTGGGAATGAAGCAGGGCGAGCGGCAAGCCCAGGTGCTGAACGAGATCCGAGCGCTTGGCAAAGGCGACATCAAGGCGGTAGAGCATATCGCAGACCATCCGTCGTAGGGTACAATTGACGGTACTGGCTGCTTCCAGGTGGTCGAAGGAAAGCAGTGGGCGTCATGGCGGGCTTTGCTTGCCGTTGGGGAGATCTGTGCCTAAATAGTGTCGGAAGCTGCCTCTTCGATAGACCGATCCTTCAGTATTAATTCAAAATCATGTCGTCTGGAGTGGAATATTGCAGGTATGCAAGGCCGTCGAACTAGGAGACCCGTCGAGAGGCAATCGCCGAACCTTCGAAGACGCCGTCAAACGTGCCAGTAGCCCTGTCAGGATAACACGTTGTATAGAGGAAGTAAATGAGTTGAAGACGAGCATTAACAGGGAAAGGTGTTCCAAGCATTGATCGCACGCACGTGACCAGCTTCTCGCAGTCAGTTCCGTCTCCAGCGCCAGACCTCGCTCTTGTCCTTGTAGGCAGCATTTCTACACCTTGGATCTGGAACCATTTGACGCAGTGATCTTGATCGCATAAATGGCAGCAGGTTGCTGCTTGAACGTTACCAGCATCCTCCCAGTCCGCCGACGACAACAACAACGACCTCAAACATGGCCGACGTCTCCATAGGATCCGACATCTTCGCCGTCGTTGCGCTTCTCGCGATCTCCCTCTTAGTCCTCCTCTTGATCAGATACTACCTCCCCCTCCGCTCCACCCCCGGCTACCTCCTATTTCCGGTCTTCTTGGGCTTGGCCCTGCCCTGCTCCATCATCCTACTGGTCCCCATCGATCTCGCCTCTGCGGAGGGTGGCTCATCCAGGGGCATATGGCTACCTGAGCGCGCAGTCTTAGTCGCGTGGCGGGTGACATATTGGCTTACGTTCCTGCTCACATGGTGGCTGCTCCCGCTGGTGGGAGAGTACGTCGACTCAGGCTTCCGGGATACCCGGAGCAGGATACTGTACTCGCTCCGAAGCAATGCGCGGTATCAGCTGATCGTGCTGGGAACGGGCGTTGCAGGCTTGGTGTACTACATCCTGCAGAATGGTTTCAACATCTCCAGTATCAAGGGCATGGTCATGGCTCTGGCCTATGCTTGGGGCTTGATTCTGGCTATTGGGTTAATGGGACATGGTCTGGTTGCACTTCCGAGGCGGCTTTACCGTACAGCGAGCGTCAGCGGCAAGTTGCGCATGCTGCAGACGCAGGCGCCCAAGACGAAGGACAAATTGGATGAGGCAGTGGAGAAGCTGGAAGAACTCGAGAACACCGTAACACAGCTCAAACAGCGAAAGAGCGGCACAGGGAGGGACTTGCAAGAGTGGATCGATGAGCTCGCAGATACCACAGCACCACCGGCACCTCGACCTGGTACGGCGGCTGCTGTTGGAGCTGCAGGCGCAAAGATACCGGCTGTGATTACGGAGGCATATCTGGCAGAGTTGACACGGAAGCTGAAACGGGCAAGGCACAAAGAAGCACGTTTCGTGAACGAGTGGAACAACATCTGCCAGCAAGCTCAAGATGCTCAGACAATTCTGGACTCGGTTTCATCTAAGAGCCTTGATTTTGGCATCGAACAGGACACCTTAATGAGCCGCTTGACGTTCATCACGCCGGGCATGCGCTACCAATTATACGCGAAGGCCATGCCCGGACTTCGACTTGCTCTTTCAGTATGCTTTGGTCTGGCCTCAGTTATGGTTATTTGGAGTGAAATTGTGCGATCTTTCGCTCCCAAGATCTCATTCATCAATCTCACCGTGGTCCACCATCCCAACTCAGATGACGGCAAGATCGGGCTCGCCGGACAAGTGATTGCAGCAGCCTGGCTGCTCTATATGGACGCCTGCGCCCTGTACGCCATGACTGACGTCAAGGTCTGGGGCAACCGCGCGCTTGTCAAGAGACAAACATACGCCGAGAGCGCGTGCTGGTATAGTCTCCAAGTCGCAAAGCTCACCGTACCTCTGTCGTACAACTTCATCACGATGTTGCGGGCGGATGTCTACAAGGAGACCTCTTTCTACAAGTTCCTTGGCCAGCTGATCAATTTAACACCTCTTGGGAAAGGATTTAGCGCATTCTTCCCATGCTTCTTGCTACTGCCCGTCTTGGCCACGCTCTTCAATCTGTACGGCAGGACTAAAAACGTCTTCGGCTTCGGCATATTGGAAGATGAGACTGATGGCAACCCTTCCGGTTTTGGAACCGGTGGCTGGCGCGAAGGTCGTGCACTGATCGAGCGCGAATTACAATCCCGCAGCGAAGGGGGCGCCAGGGTTGGACTTGCAGCGAGAGGGGACTCACTCGACATCGAGCGTCAGGCGGGGACAAGAAGCGGTACTTCTACTCCACCGCAACGAGCAAGGGCACAGCGCGAGGCGCTTCTACCACCGCGAGTCCAGGAAGCGAATCGGCAATTCAACTCTATCACGAATCAGGAAGAAGAGGACGACAGTGTGCGACACTTTTACCAAGACTTCACTGAGCGGGTGAGGAATACTTTTGACACTGTCGACCGGCCGGATTGGATGCGCAACTTGGGCAGTGGTGTCACTGTACCGAAGTGGATGCAGAGCGACGAGAGAGATAATTCCAGCGGGCCAGCGTCGACAATATCGCGGTGGTTCGGTGGTAGAGCGGAGGATGGGCGAGTGAGGCTGTGATCACAAGGAGTATGGGTCTTTGACTCTTAGCGATGGCGCTGCGGAGTCCTGGTGCTTTGTGAGAGGATAGGAACATGTAGATACCGCTGCACAACAAGCACATTCAACGGAATAGTCGGCTCGCGATAAGATGAGACTCGCGATGATGTGAGGCTCGCGCTGAGGTGATGCTCGCGATGGGGTGAGGTTGATGTGGTCGGCAGCATCATCAGCGCAACTGCCGACAACCACAGCATCCCGCGTTCTGCTCCACAACCTCTCCAAACCACCAGCGCCGCTATTCAACTGCCGCACCTCACTTCTACGGCCGGCTCACAGCACCCTTTTGCCGAGAGCATGTAGACCTCGATCGCTTCACGTAATGCGTCGCTGACTGCCGGGACTTTGACACGGATCTGTTGCCACCAAATAAGTATCTAGGTAAGCCTTCTGCTCGCGGCATACCATCTCCTCACCCATCTTCAACCAAGACTTTGATCATCGCTGGCGATTCAACATGCTGGTAGACGAGCTGTTCTCACTGCTCTTGGTCTATTGGCCCATCGTCGTAGTAAGCGCCTTGGGCTTCTACCTCGTCCGGAACTATACCTTCAATGGACTACAGAAGTACCCTGGACCTCCTGGAGCGGCATGGACCAACTGGTACCGCTATGCTGAGAACCTCACGCGGAAGACACAGGAGCGACACATCAAGTGGCACCGCAAATATGGCGACGTCATCCGCCTGGGGCCCAACGTGCTCTCGTTCGCGGACCCTCGAGCCATCAAGACAATCTATGGCTTGAACAAGGGCATGACCAAGTCAGACTTCTACCCCGTCCAGCAAGCAGTAGCGAAAGGCGTGCGACTGCAATCCCTCTTCAGCACCAAAGACGAAGCATACCATGCTCGCTACCGCCGCTGCGTCAACAACGCTTTCTCCATGAGTAGTCTAGTCGGCTACGAACCGCTCGTCGACAGCACCACGGACGCCTTCATCGAGCAGACGCAGAAACGCTACTGCGACACAGGCAAACCTTGCAACTTCAGCAGATGGCTGCAGTTCTTCGCCTTTGATGTCATCGGCGAGATCACCTGGAGTAGGCGAATTGGGTTCGTCGAGCGCGATCATGATGTTGATGGGATCGTGAAGTTCATTGGCGATTTTCTGAGCTATGCTGCGCCGGTTGGGCAGATGCCATTTTTGGACTTGATCTGGTCGAAGAACCCGCTTCTCTTGCGGTTGCAGAAATGGGGTGTCAACAACTCGGTGTTCCCAGTTACGAAGTTTGCGCTGGATCAGAATAAAGGGCGGGCGGCAGAGATGGAGAAGATTAAGCAGGATGGAAAGTTGGATGAGGAATCTGGGAAGGGTGTTGATTTGCTTATGAAGTTTACTCAAGCTCGTGAGTATTACTCTGTCATGAATCCCGGACCATCAGCTAACGTGACATGCAGAACACGACCACCCCGAGTTCATGACCGACAGCCAAGTCCTTGCCTCGTGCACCAGCATGATCTTCGCCGGCTCCGAAACCACGGCCATCAGCTTGAGCGCAGTATTCCACAACTTACTGGAGTACCCACGAGTCTATAAGAAACTCATGGACGAGCTCGACCAAGCCACTCAAGACGGCACCATCGCCGACAAGACGAACAACAAAGTCAGCTGGTCCGAAGCACAGAAGCTGCCGTATCTCGACGCCGTCATTCAGGAATCTTTGCGAGTTCATCCCGCGGCTGGCTTGATTTTAGAGCGTGTGGTGCCGCCGCAAGGTATTCAGATCTGTGATGTCTTCGTCCCGGGCGGAACGATTGTTGGTTGCAACGCGTGGGTCCTGCATCGCCGGCCAGAAGTGTTCGGGCAGGACGTCGACACTTTCAGACCAGAACGATGGATCGAAGCCAAGCCGGATCAACTGAAGGAGATGAAGGCCACGATGCTGACGTTCGGCGCTGGGGCGAGGACTTGCTTGGGCAAGAATGTAAGTGGTGCTTATGACGCTGGGATATATCCAAGCTGACAACGTCTAGATTTCCTTGCTCGAGCTGTACAAGCTGGTGCCGACCTTTTTGCGAAACTTCGAGATCGAGCTGAGAGACGAGAGCCTCTACAAGCATTACGGGGCCTGGTTCGTCCGCCATCTGAACTTCAATACCGTTTTCAAGCGGAGGCAGGGCATGGCATGAGAAGATCACGAAGATCACGAAGATCGTTTAGCATAAGCTTGTGCGGAAGTTCAATAGCATTACAGCGAGAAAACAAAAAAACAGATGTTGACCGAAAACGCCCAGCCCTCAAGCATGCTCTTCCCGAACTGCGACAATCAATGCAACGTCCGGAAGCCTTTGCTCAACGCAATGAACGCTTGCAAAAAGGCTCGAGAGGAGCCGCGTGTACAAGTCTGAACAGTACTGCTCCTCCTGTCCAACTTCAAATCGCCCTCGAATCCTTGATCTGCTATTTCGTGGGCGAGCTCCGGCTCCGGCTCGAGCTTGTCCGTCCACCCGACTTCTTCGCCTCGCACTTGTATGCGTGCCGGAAGTAGCTGGTTCGTGCTCTGCTGCCTGACCCTAAGATTAACCACTCATCGCAGGTTGCGCATTGGACTTTTACGCTATTAGATTTGTCGTTCCATTGGGTGGCTTTGGGAGGTTGAAAGGGTTGGCCCGTGGCATAAGAGATACCTGTTTAAGTTCGGTAAGCCGCAAGGCGAGCCCCTAGACAACTGAGGATCATACCATGGGAGTAATGCATATGATACCAGTAAGCGGAGTCCTTCATCTTGTGCCACGTTGAGCAGAACCCACACCAGCCGGCTCGATCTGTACCCTGGCCTCTCGTCCATGCGGCGGTGTACTGGTCCCCGTCGAATCTTGCTCTCTGCTGCTGGATACGCTCGTCGTTCACAGCGAAGCGCGGATCAACTTTAGGTCCCACAGGCGTGCTGAACAAGGTGTTCAGGTTTGCGGTCTCGTCTGCTGGGCTTGATCCGGCCTGTGGAACGCTGTCGTGACGGGCTTCTGTATGCTGAGACCAGCCCTGTTGTCCTGAATCCCAAAATGTATCTTGCGTGACTGGGTACCGAGACGGGCCCGTGTACTGGGCATTGTTGGTCTCGCCGCAGGTTAAATCCAGGGTGTCAATGTCGTCGAACGTGCCGCCGACGGCACTCCAGTCACACCATCCGGGGTCTAGCCATTCTTCTCCGTAGTCGTAAATCGGGGGGCTCCCATATGGCGAGTTCATCAAAAATGCACCAAACAACTCAAAATGCTTCAAAAGGTGCTCGAGACTGTCTTCTAGAAAGAAGCTGCTTCCATTCCATGGTAAATATACCTCTTCGTTTACTGTCTTCGAGATGGTTCATGCAACCTCGCCAAGTGAGATGGACTATCAAGCCAATAATTCGTATTTTAAGGAACCCATGGCGGCTCGTTGATTGGACAAAGAAGGTTCGATGTGTGTGTTATACAGATTCAGTTGCCTGCAGCGGCGAGCCCGAGGCATCGCCTTCTGTATTGCCTCCCGTAAAGCAGAAGTCTCCAGATCTGGCCGTGCAACCGGCCCAGCTGACTTGATAGTGTTGCATGCACGCGAGTGTGGGGCCATATCCTGATGCAAGGGATGCTTTGACAGACGCCCAGTGCTGTGGCCCTGCTGAATGATTGGACCGAAGATACGACCAGAATAGATGCCAGAAGCACCCTTTGCGAACACTGCGCGCGAGCACAGAGACCCAGTGTTAAAAGATGTTTCGTGTCGGCCGTTCGAAGTTTCTGACACATCCCAAAGGCCATAAGGTCGTGTGTGAGGCCTCGCGAATCTGGCATGCCGAATCAGTGTGTGAGCATGATCTGCATGATACCGTGACACCTCGCCGGTCATCAGTCCAGATTGGGTCTACCAATCACTGGCATCTCGAGCAATCTCGTGTTTTGCTGGCGGAGACTGATGCTTCACCGACGTGCAGCTTGAACAGTCCAGCTCGATCCTACCCGACTGGCATAGTCACACACTCAGACAGCCAAGATGCATGCTTTAATGTTTGAAAAGTCAGCTGCGGCATGCAAACGCGGCGCGCTCGTCTTCGCATTGACGAGAAGCAAATCTTAAGGCAATGGAATCTTGCAGTGCACCCAGGACGAGGCGTGGCCAACCATGGCCGCGAGGCCTGGCTTTGTGCACGTCTGGGCTTGACGACCCACCATCGCTTGTCTGCTACAGGGGCATGAGAGCGTAGGAGTTGTTCAGGTGCCGTGGGAGTATGTATTCACCTCCCGTGAACGTGCCCGCGGATCCTCCCGAGTCTAGAATGTCGTCTGCATTTGCTCAGGTCAGAATCTCTGCTTTTAACTTGCCTTCGAATAGAACATCATGCAGGGTTCGCATATCAGTGTAGGAACACCTTCGATACTCATGAAGGTCATGCTGACGACCTTAGAGCCATGATCTCAGTAGGCCTATCACACAACTTCTGCTGGTGCTGCTCTGGCCAAGGATGTACCCGCGGCCAAGGTGTATGACATGACATAGACGGCGTGCAAATCGCCTGAATGTTAGCCTTGACTATACTCATCCTACGCACCTCTCCCAATAATTAAGGCCCTGCAGATGTCGATTTATAGACTGCAAGATCCCGCGGAGACTACCATGGTACCGGGTCTGTCATCTGGCGATGGTGTCGGTGCTAACACGACGCCACAACAGCTTGCCAGACCATCTGCAGGCTCTCACAAACGCGGCATGGACGAGATTGCTCAACAATTAGCCATGCAGGTTAGCGAACAGTTACCTGCTGTTTTAGAAGCAATACTTCGTGCTGGCCATGACCCAGCCAGTCAGCCCCTCCACCTTGAATGCAGCCTTACCACGCCCGGTCAAGGATCGGGGCTCATTGACAACCGTCTACCTGTTGCAGCTGTCAATATCAGCAACGCCATCGTGCCATTCAACCCTTCACCGTTAACAGAATCATCAGGCGCCACACCGTCAGTGGGTAGCATCGGCCTCCCGCATGTGCAATGGCAAGGCAAGAACAGCACAACACCAGCAACATCCCAGGCGAAAGACCCGGACCTTTATGGCTCGGAGAGACCAACTAAGCGGGCACGGCAACGGTACGACATCGCTTCAGATGCGGTTCCGACTTCTGCAGTCCAGCGAAATGGCAATGTAGAGCCGGCTCGCAAGAAACGCATCCCTACCAACCCGGCTCTACAACCTTCGACGTTCGACAAATTTATCACTGGGATCTGGGACTCCATTTACTCGTCCATCCGGATGGATCCAGCAGAGGTGATCGAGCAGTGGCAGGCCATCGAGTCTAGCGGCCAACCGAAGCTCCTCACAGAAGACCAGCACGAAGTCACGACCCGCAACAGCCTTGGCAACTTTGGCCGCATGAACATACTGACGAGGAAGATTAGTCAGACAGGCAAGACCTTTCGCTCGCTGGAGATCATTGTTCAGGCTCATTGGGTGCAGTGCTTCGATGATCGGGTAGCGGAGCTTGCCACCGAGATGCCTCGAGAGAAAGCGAAGAGGGCCGCAATGTCTGAAGCATGTGGAGACTTTGGCTGGACCGACAAAGAACTGAGAAATAAGACTGCGATCTGGCGAGGCTACTCTGACATCAAGGACGCTGCCGGTTGGGTGGCGCTTGTGTTTGCTTCGACCGGGCTCTATCGTTTCTCAAAGTACTCGCTCACGAACGAAACGTTCGACAAGCTCCGAGCTCTACGACATCGCTTCGAACTTGCCGCCGACACTTGCCACCCAAAGTGGAGAGTGCTTCTCGGCATCATCGGCGCTCCAACAGAACGGAAGTACATCGGACACCCGCATGACTGGGTCGTGGAGGCTGGAGACGAAGCCATTCCGCTCGCTCCAACGTACTACCAGTGGGATCCAAACTTCTCCTACAAGCACCTCGACGGCTCGGTAGTAGATGAAGAGGCATGGGGCGGTTACGACCCTCGCACGGTCATGGCAGATACCGATCCTGCCATGGCCACATGCCAGTCTTGCGGCGAACACCAATCCGACGACCCGAGACAAAACGTCTGCAGCTGCTACGCCAACCTGTACGGCTGCAGTAAGCCGAATCTAGTACCGCTACAAATCTTCCGGACGCCAAACGGGAAGAATAACGGTCTCCTCGCCTGCTGCCCGATTGAGAAGGGTTTAGCAGTCGGCGAGTTCGTAGGAGAAATCACATCAGGACTCGCAGGACTGGACGTCATGATTGGAGAGACCGACCAAGCCACCTATCAGATCTGGCAAGGGCGGCAAGGCAACCATACCAAGTTCGTCAATCATTCTTGTGCGCCGAACTCGCATTTCGAACGCTTCGTCTGGCTGGGCAAGCAAAGAATCGTGCTGGCTTCTTTGGGAATTGAGGCCGGGGGTGAGGTTACGGTAGACTATGGTGAGACGTACTGGCACAACTTGGACAAGGAGTGTAAATGCGGGCAGCCATGTTGCAGATACAAGGACCGACGAAGGCAAGTGGACGCTTCGCCTGAAAGAAGGCAGCTGCTCGGTGGCGCCAAAGTGGATGGCGAAGATAGCGATGAGGAAGGGAACAGGTAGAGCTGCATACTCTCGACACTGTCTTCTGTCCGGTACAGCTTCTCGGAACAATGTCGACAAAAGAGCCTATCATCGCTCCTGCTGCTGACTTGCAGGCGTTGCTCCCAACACCCATCCAAGCCCACTAGCCAATCCGCCAGAGACGGTGTTCGCAATCATGTCCCTCCTCCTGACCCGCTGCTGAGCATCCGCTTCAGTCTCGCTGCCCAAGCTCACCACGCTCTCCTCCATACTAGCATTTCCCGTCGACGAAGCCGCCGCTCCTCGCAGTGGGAAAGCATTCTTACTGAAAGCCTGCGCAGCGCTGCGCGTGAGATCAAACATGCTCACCGGCGCCTCGCCTTCGCCAGTCTTGCCAGTCATCCTGCCCATTTCTCTCCGTTTCTGGTTCAGGACCATGCCTTCGTCTTCGTCCTGTACCGTGAAGTTGCCTGGCAGAGCGCTTGCGTTTTGCCGCTTGTGGGCGCGGTTGTCGAAGTCTTCTTCTGCTTCTTGTTGTGCGCGCTGGAGCGAGGTCATCTCTTCTTCGCATCGTCGCCACGCCGCGAGTATCTCGGTGAGCTGATGGACGGGCGCGAGCAGCAGGGCAAGCGAAAGTAGCTCCGTGCGCTGTTCGAGCCGGCGAAGGGACGGAGGCGAAGCAGAAGCCGGACGATAGCGTCCAGCCAGGAAAGCCGCTCGCCACGATACATCATCGTCGGATGCGGCGGCTTTCGATCGTGCGGATTCTTTCGAAGACATCCGAAAATGGTGCTTTCCAGACGGACGACGCTCAACTTTGGGTGCTTCGATGTCCGCGCTAGAAGGCGAAAGCCGGTTCATGATGTAAGAGTATGCAGTCTCGAAGTCGTCCTCCCGTAAAGCGGCTTCAATAGCCATAAAAGCGACTCTTCTCTCGGCGTCCTTCCGTCTTATTTCAAGATCCGCTTGGCCATTCACACCATCGCCATCGCTGTCCGACTCTGCGCCAACCAGGCCAGCAGTTACGAGGTTTCGACTGATGCTAACAAGATCATCGACCTTTGTGTAGCTTCTTGGATTCTGCTCCAGCACCTTGCTGATAAGGCCGATCGGATCCTTGCTCACGCGGATGCTGACAGGCTGAAATGGTACCCCATGCTGCAAAGTTAGCGAGTAGAACGAAAGAGCATGTGTCGCTGCTATCAAAGCTATGGCCTCTTGGAAGCGTGGGCTTTCCGAAAAGTATGGTCGGAAGGCGGAGATGCTGCCGCGAGTTAGCATGTGCCGCTTCTAGAGCAGATAGAGAGATGTACATATCGTTCGCCTTCTTGACTCCACCCCTCGTCTTGTTGCCATTGCTGGCGCCGTCATATGCCTCCATCGCTTCTTCCAGCACGACTTCTTCGATGCGCTGAGCCGGAAGGTAGTTCTGAGCCGACACCAGGTACAAATTGATAGCCAACTGGTATGCTACACGTCCAAGCACAGGTCAGCAGAAGCTCAATTAGGCTGATAACCAGAACGTTCGGTTTCTGGTGTCACAAGGGGCCAAGTGAGATCTTTCTCCTCAAGCCCGCCTAAAGTATCTGTGTTCTGCACGGGGTCTACATCTTCCACTGAAAGCGATAAGCTTCGCTTTCCTGGAGGCCATGAAAGTGAATCTACTCACCACTAGTTTCAGTGAAGCATCGGAGCATTTCCTCTTCGAAGCTCTGCCGAGGGATCTTGCCTAATACACCAGCGCCTTCGGTAGCAGAGTCGTCGTCAGAGTCAATACCCCAGTTCCATAGCCACATCAGCTTTGCGCGATCGGCAGTCCGTTGCGCATCATCTTTTCGAGCACCACCGTTCCCGAGGCCATGCAGAATCTTCTTCAGCGTCGCAAGCTGCTCCTCTGGAGCCGCATAGAAATGGAGTTTCGCGGCATTAACGAGCGAGATGGGGTAGCCCAGACCATTGAACTGGTAAGCACTATACACCATCATCTGCAGGAGCATGTACGTCTCAAATCGAGGCGTGGTGAGAGGGTGTTCGGATGAAAGCAGGGCATTGGGCTCGAGATCTGCTGTGGTATTGGAGTTTTCAAGTCGAGCTGCATGTCGTTCGAGTTTGGGTAGAGATTCGACACTCGTGGCCAGGTCAGGAGGAGGGATAAAGTCAAGTAAGGCAGCCAATCGCGCAAGTACACCATGGGCGCCTTGGACTGTGTCTTCCGTATCTGCTTCGACCGCATAGCAGGAGGCGAACACAGCCTGCGCATACTGTGATTCAAGCTTACTCTGAGTGTCTTCGTCAAGATAAGTGCCAGCGTTTCCGGGACTGAAGCCTCCGAGGTCAACATCTCCAGGGCCGTCCCAGTCCTCAATGGCTTGCGTGATACTGCGAAAGTCCTCTCGAGCTTGAGTGACCATCCATGGAAATACATGCTCCCAGTCATGGCCTGTCTTGTGTTCCGAAGATATTCCGTTGAGGCTGATCCTTCTCATGTCTCTAGTGAGGCCCTCCGCGGTTCCGTCATCTCGACTCCGGTACAGTTTTCGCCTCTTGCGCTCAGTATGGCCATACATCCAGGGGCCAACCAAGCCCTTCAGGTCTCTTGCAACCTCGCTTTCTACACCACTCCCTCCACTTTGGTTGTTCTGTTGGGGCCCGGTCACGTGTCGAAGTAGGACATCCATGCCTTCCTTTCCCTCCATCTTCTCGAAATTACTCAAGCTCGGAGCCTCAACATCATCATCGGGATAGTATTCGAGCTGCAGTCTTGTGAGGGGCAAGACCACACTGATATACCAAGTCCGGATGTAATCGTTCTGCTTGAGGAAGGGCTCGATAAGTTGGGGCACCAGGTTCAGTAGTCCGGTCTCGCTATCGATCCGGTACGAACGATGACACAAGAACCTGGTGAGAAGGTCGGGTGGTGCGTCCGGAGGGAAACTCGGCGGTTGTATGTCAAGCAAGTTCAACTTCTTGACCCGCTTCTTCGCCTGCTCTTCGTCGATGTCGTTGACAGGCGACAGGTCGACGTGAATGTCCTCTCTCTCGACATCGAGGTACAGCCTGGAAGCGACCTCGCTGACATATGTCGTGTACTCTGAAGGATCGAGACTTTCGGGTAAATATGTCAACAGGATCTCCAAGACCAGCTTGGGAGATAGAGCGTCGAGTCGTGTGGGCGTGAAGGAGTGCAGCGCTTTAATGTTGCCCTCGGACGCATAGTGGATGGTCAAGAGGATACACTTCGCCGGAGAGAGGTCCTTGGCCATTGTCGTGCTGCATGCGAGCTGTGGTATTGTCGATCTGGTGAAGGGGATCATGGATCTGCGACTGGGGTGACGAGGTGACGTTGAGGGGCAATCAAATATTACTTAGAAGCTTGACTAAGCACTAATCAAAAAGCCAAAATTGGTCTCAACAAACGGACTACCATGTCTCCTCCGATGGTCCACATCGTGTACATCTACAGTCTCACAATAACGGGGAGAGGAGAAACCGTGAGGACTGTCGCCTTCACAAACTACTGCCACCGCGAGCTAGCCCACGATATCCTCCTCAGCGAAGCGACTCATCCCTTGTAATGGCCAAAAACGTCAACGACCATAACTGCACAATGTCACTCTCCGTCGGCGTCAGCGAACCAAAGTCGACAAAGTCGAAGCCACCGTCGCGATACTGCCAGCTCCAGACCTCCAAGCTCAAGTGCTCCCGGTTCGCATCAATGAGGTCCCACAGATGGTTGTACGCCGCCAGCACGTTCGTGTATACCGAGTCGTCGCTGCAGAAATCTGGATGAGCAGATGACGAGCACCGCTGGAGCTGGCGTTGCAGACCTGCTCCCAGCATAGCCAGAGGCCAGCCCCATACTACGGTGCCATGGTAGGCGTCATTTGTCCAGTTGGCTGCGTAGACTTGTTGGCCGCCGTAGGCTGGGTTGGCTACCAGCACTCCCACAGGGGTCGAGAGACCTGCTGGGAACGGCGTCCGGATGTTTGTCGCTGACTGGTTTAGGAAGCTCGTGAGCTGTTCCTGGTTGGTGGTGTTGAGCATGAACAGCCTGAAGCTGTCGTCTGAGTTCATCACTTTGACGACTTCCTGACCGTTGTTCCCATTCAATGCCAGGCCATGGTAGACGACATCTGAGGTGATCTCGTCGGCTTGCGACGGAAAGCCGTAGCCGGCATCGGAAGCGTAGCTCTGAACGAGCGACTTGGCCTCCGCTTGAGGTACAGTCTGTTCGAAGAAGTGAAGAGAGTTATCCTCCCAGACTTCAGCATACTCAGCTGCTGTCGTCGCCCAGTCCGGATGCTCAGGGAAGAATCCTGCCTCAGACAGTGCCGCGATCGACCGGAGAGCTGCAGGCACGAGGGCAGTGTTAACATCGTACGGGATGCGGCCACCTAGATAAACCGTCAGCAAAACCCCAGAGATTTGGAAGGTCGTATTGTTACCAACCTCCTATGCCAAACTCTGAATCTCGCCACTCGCCAACAACCTGGTCGGGCTCTAGGTGAACAAGATTCTGCTTCGTCTGGCCTCCCTCTGCAGCGAATGCAGCAGCTGACCGCACCACTTCTTCGGCATTACGCAACGCCAGCTCCTCGTATGACAGTCCTTGATTGCCAAAGTCTAGGGTTGACTCTTGAGCGAAGAAAGCCTCCTTTCGATTCCTGCCGGTAGCTGTCTTTAGGAAGTAGTTCTCCATGACGATTGGGAGGTAGTAGTTGCTGTCAATCATGATGTACGAGCATATGGGGTCCGTACTACTAATGTTCATCTGAAGGTTTTGATATGTTGCGTAATCGCCAATGGTTTCTGGGCAGGTGTCAGCTCTTTTCTGAAGCCGTATGGAAGTGCGTTCCGTACCTTCGTGGCACACCGTACCCTCCGTCTTATTGATCCGTTCGAGAACAGCCCCGATCACAGCTTCTACCGCACCGCCTTCACCTTGTGACAGGACGGGCTGCATGAGGAGTAGAGTGATCATGCTGTCGCGGCCAAAGTACGTCAAGAACCGCCAGGCCCCCGCCAGCAGCTTATCTGTGTACGACAAGAATGAAAGTGATTTCGTCTGATCGGTGTTTGTGATTATGAGATCTTGAGACTCTGAATCCAGCACCTCAGACGCACTCAGCTGTCCAAGCTGCGGATAGTCAAAGGTTGCCGTAAACTCGTATGTGCCAGCTTCGAGATCCACTGTCCTGTTTCCCACTTTGGCAGAAGCACCACCGGAGCGTGGCCTGAACGTCATTTCCGTAGTGGTCTGGTTGTCAAGCCATCGGCGTGATAGACGTGCGCCATTGTCTTGCGTTGACGCGAACCTGATCGGATCCTGGATCTCGGGATACAGTAGGCTTGGTCCTTCGACAAAGTCGCGCATCATCCTTATGCTTCCGAGAATCGGGACAGTCAAGACCGCGGATGAGTTGAAATGGACGAGCGTGCTAATGCCAACCACCGGATTGCCGCTGGAGGATCCATTGGATGGTTGCTCATATACGCCCGACAATGGCTCGTCCGACGTATCATTCAACACCTCGATGCTCAGAGATCCATTGACGCCGTTCTTAGGCGCAAAGAAGGCAAGGAGACCCGAGTCACCAGCAGCCCATGCGACCAACAAACGTGGTACAATGATCTCGAGGTCGCTTTCCGGCTGTGGGCTCGTCACCACCAACTGGCTTGCGCTATGGCAGTCGGAATAGAAGTAGTTCTCGTAGGGCGATGAGGAGAGATGTAGAGTCGTTGGCTTCTCCGAACAGCCAGAAACTGCTAAAACCGCTGAGGATGAGGATGATGAAGGAGCTGACGATCCGGACGCTGTTGGCGGGTATACCAGTTGATCGTTGGAGCAACTGTACATTGATGGCATGTAGCATGCATCTCCGCATTGCAGCAATGGTACACCGTCCTCGACCGGGCATAGGAAACGATCGTAGCATGTGTACTCAGACGGACGATAGTAGGCATCGCCGCAGGATTGGAGCTCTTCGCCAACGATCTGAGGTAGGGCAGATACCCATGGCGTTAAGGCCAACAAGGCCAACGACCTGATTGACACCACCATCGTGATTGCTGATGAACACCAAAGAGCCGTAGTGGAAGTTCATCACAAACCGCTTATGGGCGGCGACATCAGTCCTTCTTCGTCCCGACGTCATCTCGGTCGTCCAGATCAATTATCGGCTCCACGCCATGTGCTGTGCCTGTCTCAATTTTGCCATCGCAAGCGAAAGCGTGCGGGGTCGGGGAGAGATGGAGGAGAGGTTGGATTCTTTCAGGAACAGGAAGTCGGAACGCACTGATCGCCGATGTTTCCGGGTAGTTGGGCGGGAATAAATATTTCACTTCGTACAAGATACCGCATTTAATCCGTCCTCAGTTCGTGCAGGTAGATGGAATGGAGTTTCGCTCGAGACTCCATCTCCATGTCCAGTCAGTGCATTTCCGCTTTGAACAAAAGACTTGCGTTATGCCCATTTGATGAAATATGAAGGGCCCTAGCATACACGCACCGGTCACCGCAAACGCCAGGCAGGCACTTCAGCCGACATCTCCACAGGCGACCGTTCATTCAAAGCCTTCTCTTGAGCCAGCTTGCGTCCTTCTCCCAGCTCAAACGTAGGATCAACTCCCAGCTCGTGTCTTCGCACCTCGTCAGGAGCCAGCTCGGCAAGAGGTGCATTTGCTGGGACTCCCGCCAGAGGAGTAGGCAGTTGCTTCATCTCTGCATCGTATGCTGGAGGGGTGTCCTCGCCGCTGCTTCTCAACTTTGACAGCTTGGCTTTCTTGCTTCTTCTCCAGAACCACCACCCTGCACCAGCGACGATGCCCAGTCCTGCCACCACCCCAACTACGATGCCGGCGATAGCTCCTCCAGTCAATCCATCGTCTTCGGAACCAATAGGTGTGGGTGCTGCAGGTGCGGGAACGGTGTCGCTGCCCGGCTGCACGTCGTCCGCGCGAAGACACGCCATCACTGAGTTGGCCGTGGTGATGGTTTGAGTGGCTAGGACATTGGCCACAGGAAGCCATGTGATCATCATGGGGAACACGACGTAGTTGAATGCGATGTAGTTCAGTCGCGTTGCGGAGCCGGAGATAGTAAGGATGTGATCGAAGGTTCTGTTCGTGCTGTCATCGACAATTGGACAAGGATCACCAGTGGACACCGAGCTGCCGTAGCTGGACAAAGGACTCCCGGATACCATGGCTGAGCCGTTGTAGAAGACGTTGCATTCGTCTGGGAAGTTGTTCTGTATTGTGTTCCCAATCTCGTAGCATACGCGGCTCAGGCTCCCTTCTGTCAAGTTGGAGTTTGGTGGAGGCGTCGCGTTACTGATGAGGCCCAGTGCCAGAGAATTGGCCATATTGGTCAAGGCTGCATTGCATTCTGCATTCAGTGTGCTGGAGCAGTCTCCAGGGTCGGACTGGAGTTGTCAGCGCATTATTGGGCGCCGTATAGATGCGCTCTTCTCACCTGTCCGCGAAGGTACGTGTTCTCATCTGGCGTGTTGGTGACGAAAACACAACTATCATTGACTCAGCCAACATCTTCAAGCGCGTGAAGCCTCCTTACACATCGTAGCCCAGATCGTCGTCATTGGAGTAGTTGGCGCCCTATGCGACCATGAGTCGATGTCGTCTTGACAATATTGATAGCAACCGGACGGCCTTACGCCTGTATTGTACCATAGTGACCATTGTACGCTGTCGGTCGACTCGACTACAGTAGCGCCCACGTGGATGTCTCTAGCAAATCCGCTGCTCGAACTGAACTCGGGCACGCCAGGGCTGTATGAGCTGATGCTGGTCTTGAGCTGGTCAGTTGAGAGCGGTCTGTGTAGGTGCAACTTCGCGACTCACCACGTTCGCATCAGAGAAGGTCTCGTTGCAGAGCAAAGAACCAGTCGCGGACAAGGTCAGATCAGACCCCAGGTCTTGTGAAAATGCAACGGCTGAAAACGAGGCCAGCAAGAGGATGAAGTTGGAGAACGCCATGAGGACCGCGCAGCAAGTAGTAGGAGCAAGAGAAGAAGTGGACAGGACATAGCAGGTCCATCATTTACCTATACGATGTTATATGAGCCTTGGCGACAGCGCGACGTTTAGCCCTCTTGAGTTACGGCGTTTTGCGCGCGGTTCAGCTGCCCAGTCTTGCGATGCCACCTGCAGTCTGTGAGGCGCCTTGATGAGACGCCCGCTCGAGTCGAGGATACACAGTGACCCGTGATCTTACCTCACTATGCTCGGAGTATCCATTTCTGGTGGTTTCAGTACTTGGCAATTGGTGATCATGCGCACAAGGACGTACATCTGGTCTCGTCCTAAACAAAGTCTTCCCGGCAGGGCTCAAGCAATTCTTCTCCTCTGACCGCTGGCCTCTGCTGGCGATCCGATGGACTGTTGCCTTCTTCCGTTGCTGAAAAGCAGTTGGTGGCTCCTCACAATCACGTCAGCTCGAGAACTGTGGTCGAGGTCGGGTTAGAACGGAGGAAGGACTCAGGAGTCGTCAAAAGTGGCTTCATACTCAGCTTGACAAAAGAATTGCCGTAGCACCGCACATTCTGTCCCAATCCCTCGAATCATCCCAGCCGCAGTAGATGCTCCTGCGAGTGTCCTACCACACCATCTACAAGGATGCAATGTTTACTGCCACAGGTGTCCTTCTTCGTCGAACAGCACGGGTAGAGCATGCCCCTAGATGAAGACGATGGCGTGGAACTTGAGCCCCTTCATCGACCCGAGATTATGGAGGAAAGGGAAGCTGATGCCGGTCTTCTACGACGGTCCTTGAACGACGATGCATCCAACGACGAAGACTTGTCGGCATCTCAAAGCGGCCAGCATGGGCGAGTCCATCAAGCGCTGGATCGAAGCACGAAGCGGAAGCTGGACTGCATCTTGCTGCCATTTCTGGCCCTACTCTTCCTGCTGAATAGCCTCGACAAGTCTAACGTTGGGAACGCGGAGACTGCTGGCTTCACTCGCGATGCTGGCCTCCAACCGGACGATCTAAACACATCCATGGGCTACTTCTTTGCTTTCTTCGTTGCTCTCCAGCCTGTGGGTGCAGCTTTAGGTCGCAAATTTGGCATGAGACGATGGGTGCCCGGCTGCATGACTCTTTGGGGAATGTGCACTCTGCTGCATATCTGGATTCGGAGGAAGTGGCAGCTAATCTGTCTAAGAATACTGATTGCGGCGTTGGAGGCAGGCTTCTATCCGACTACTGTGAATTATTTGAGGTATGTCTCAATGATATTAATCGCCGTTGCGACGGCATGAGAGGGACCACTTGAACCACAACGACTGACTATACGCTTCTCTATATCTAGCTTGTTCTACACCAGATATGAGTTCGCCGTGAGGCTTGGCTTCTTTTATGGCCAAACGGCAGTGGCAGGCGTTCTCGGTGGCATCTTGAGCTGGGGTGTGTTCAGTCGCTTCGAGAAAGGTCCCTCTCGCCCAGACATACCTCCTCCGGTCACTCAGGCCATCGACGGGGAGTGGAGGAGCTGGGAGGTGCTCTTCTTGATCGAAGGTTGCACGACCATGTTTGTTGCTCTCATTGGGTTCTTCTGGCTCCCGCACAGTGCAGACTCAGCATGGTTCTTTACGGCTCAAGAGAGACGCTGGGCTGAGCAACGTATCCGTCTCGATCAGCTGAGCGCTACAAACATTTCCTCGAGATCAATCAGCGTTTCCGCCGTTGACGAAGTGCTCGATGAAGCACCTGCTGAGGAAGACCTTGACAGCGAAGCCCACCACGGCCTTCTTCACACCTCCAAGGCCGCTCATCGTCGGATGTCAACGGCTACTGGTGCTTCTGTGACGGAGGACTCTGGTCTCAGCAGGCACGATGTACTGTCCGCCTTCCTCAACTACAAGATCTGGCACATCCTGGCCGTCAATATCTTATCTGCGATTCCGGCGACTGCCTTTGGCGTATTCTTACCTCTGGTCATCAAGCAGCTTTCTCCCTCATTGAATCTGTCGCCTTCAGCTTCGAATCTCTTATCAGCGCCGCCCTTCGCATGTGGAGCAGTGGCACTATTTGTCTTCACAAGATGGTCGGACCACTCGAAACAGCGCCTTGTGCCCATCTTCTGGGGCCTTGGTCTCTTGCTCCTCGGACTTCTACTTACGCTCCTTATCCCAAAAGAGCGTTACGGCTTCCGCTACTTCGCACTATGCATCCTACTAAGTGGCAGCTTCATCGCTTCACCTCTCACGGTGGCCTGGATTACCAATAATACCCCCGAGCAAGGCAAGCGAGCCATCCTACTCGGCATCAACGGCTGGGGCAATCTGGCCGGTATCTTTCTGGCGTTACTGTTCACGCCTGAAGATAGGAAGAACGGCTACATCCGACCCTTCATCATCACGCTTGTGTGCGTGATGGCGAGCTTTGTGGGCTATATTGCCTTTTGGGTCATGTTGGTGCGGGAGAACAAGCGGCGAGCGGATATTGTCGCAGGTTGGGACGAGAATCTGACGGAACGTGAGGAGGTGTTGGGAGATGTTCCTGTCCCCACAACGGGTCTTGCGAGAGTCTGGAAAGCAACAGGTTTTGAGGCCGTTGCTCGTAGACTTGGCCTCGAAGACGTACGAAAGGGCGACGGGAAGATGACATTCAGGTACGGCTTGTAGCCAGGAAGCAATACCTTCGAGCTCATCATGCTACACTCCTCTCGCCTGACCTTCTCTCATCAGCCGCGCGGTATGCAGCTTCGGCCCACTCGCCGAATGGATGCCGATCCCCGTTGCCGAAGTCGCCTCGCTGCGAGTTCGCCCGACCCCATCCTTAATCCTTCCCCATTTCCACCAGATCGGCACACCTGCGGTATTCTCTCAACCAAGACCCAATGGTTGCAGTAGCGCGTGGACTTCTTTACCCGCGCGCGCAAGAATATGCCCCACGGGGACTAGAATGGCTCTAGCAAGTCTAATGCCGTTGCGGGTATCCCGGTATGCATCGTGATCAATTTCTTTGGGGGTCTTTCGAACTTCTTATCTTCCTGCTGCTTCCTCCAGGTCTCGAACTGTCGTGTTCGTCTCAAGGCAGGTGATACCACATGGCGCGCAAGTATCTAGGTGGTAGTGGTGAGCGCCTGACGGTATGGATTTCGATCGCAGCATCTACTGTGCTCATCTTCTACGGTGTAAGTCTCTCTTCCCCTACACGAACAACCTTTCTAATAAGGCTACAGTACGACCAAGGCGTCTTCGGCAATGTCATCATCAATGAGAACTTCCTGGAAACCTTCGGGCATCCATCAGCAGACACCCAGGGCACCATGACTTCGATCTACAACATCGGCTGTTTTATTGGAGCTATGAGCACTATCGTGACCGGCGATATGCTGGGTAGACCACGACAGATCCTGCTCGGGTCGACTGTGATCGCTGTTGGTGCTGTTATCCAGACTGCTTCGTATGGTGTATCGCAGATGTATGTTGGTAGAATAGTGGTAAGTAACGACGGAAGCAAGCCTTGGACCTCATTAGGACGCCGCTGACTGTCCTACTCCTGGTACAAAGGCTGGCTTGGCACCGGCATGAATACTGCTACTGCTGGCGTTTGGCAATCTGAGACCTCGAAGATGCGCTCTCGTGGCAAGCTTGTCATCATACAGATGGCGAACTGCATCACTGGCTTCTCGATCAGCAATTGGTTGACGCTGGGTTTTGCATTTGCGCCAAAAGATGTTGCTTGGAGGTTCCCGCTCGCGTGAGTCCATTGGACATCATCCTATGCCTTGCACACAGACATGCTGACTTCCAGCCGTTTCCAGATCTTCTTCACGGCCTGCATCTGGTGCCTCTGCCCCTTCCTTCCCGACTTTCCACGTCTCCTCATCCGCAAAGGCAAGCATGAAGAGGCGTTGGATGTCATCGCCGCCCTCGAAGGCCACGGTGCAACTCCAGACTCGCCCTCCGTCAAGACCCAGTACGCGATTATCAAGGATGTCCTCGACCGAGAGCATCTCAACAGCTTCAGCTGGTGGCAGCTCATCACCGGTCGTGGCCCAGCTGGAGTCTTGCGCCGGATGATTTTGGGTGCCTGGATGCAAATTATGAACCAGGTAAGTCTTACTTATCCCAGCGGTGAGCGCCATCGACTTACCCCAACTGTCCCCAGATTTCTGGCATAAACGTCACATCCTACTACATGTCCTACATCTTCATCAACGCCCTCGGCATCAGCGAGATTCTCTCCCGCGTCCTCGCCGCCTGCGGCTCGGTTGACTACCTCATATTCGCCTGTCTGGCCTACTTCGTCATTGAGCGCTACGGTCGACGTAAAGTCATGATGTGCTCGGCTGCCGCATGTGCAATCTGCTGGTGAGTCAATCTCTACAGATGGGTTGAAGGGTTGTCGGAGACAAACCCAAGGCCCAAGGACTGCGCGACCTCTGAGACCTCTCCGCCTTGGTTTCGACGGTCGAGACATCTGCTGACCCTCCTACCTACTACTTTAGGTACTGCATCGCTATCGCCACAGGACTGAGCGAACACGGGGGAAACTCATATGTTCTTGGAAGTGTCGCTGTGGCGTTCTTCTTCGCCTTCTTCGCTAGCTTCGGGATGGGTGTGCTCGGTGTACCTTGGCTCTATCCGACTGAGGTCAATGCTCTGGAGGTTCGAGCAAAGGGTGCTAGGTATGCTCATGTGCTTCTTGAGTTCGAATACTAATTACTAACGAGAACAACAGCCTGGCCATGACCTCCAATTGGATCTGCAACTACGCCGTCGTCCAAGCCACCCTGCCTGGCGTCAAGAACCTGGGCTATAAATTCTGGATTGTTTGGGGGTGAGCCGTCCTTGAATACTATATGTTTATCTTGGGTTCCATCACTAACGACCACTCCAGCGTCATCTGCACGGCCTTCATCCCTATCACATACCTCTTCTACCCGGAAACGGCGAATCGTACGCTCGAAGACATCGACAGATACTTCGACGCCAACCGCGAGATTATCGTTTGCCGGAACAAGCTTGCCACTCAACTATCGCGGCCGCAGATCTATATCGAAGAGGACGAGCGCATCGCGCACGTTGATGAGAAAGCAGGTGATTTGGAGGCTGGCGAGAAGGACCGGGCTACTGTGGAGGAGGTTGCTTGATAGTTAGTCTTGCCGTTGTCGCAGGGGTGGAGTGGTCGAAATGAGCAATGAGCGAGAATTTCCTGAAGCCGGTACTTGACCTCTCCAGCAGAACAGAATAAACGAAGGTTGGCAAAATAATGGGTAGAATGTGCAACGTAATATTAGAGCGGAGCCTTGCGACTGCCCAGCCATCTATACTCCTGGCATGCCCAGGACCTGCCTCAATGCCGGTACTGCTCGCGGGAGGAAGTACACCGTGTATATCGTCCCGAACGCCACCACCAGTCCCGTGAACTTCTCGAACCAAGTGTGGAAGTACGCCGCGGTCATCAATAGCATCCACCAGCTCAAACCGAGTACAGCCAGCGTTCCCTGAACTCCAACTGAAATCCCTTTCGGCTCACTCCTACCCTCTGCCTCCCCATCTGCCTCGATTGACGCACTCCTGATCAAGCCATCGCTTGTCATGATACGCCTCGCTTCCCTCAGCCCTTCCATCCTCAACACCGCCGGCAGCAGTTCAAGCCAGAGCATCGCACTCCCCAAGATCAGCAGAAACACATGCCCACTGATATCATGCCCGCCCTTCCACTGTCCTCCGATCCCCTTGCAAGCCGCATGCGTCAGCACCTCCCTCACATCCCCCATCTCCGCCCTCTTCAGCGCCGCTCCAGGACTATCACTATAAATCATCTGACACTGCCCGCCCGTCCACTTAAAACTCCGATCAATAATCGGCGGTCCAAAAAACCACTGCGTCACCGCCACCCACACTGCCGTAATACACGCATACCGTATCCCCGCCTGCACCCTTCTCTTCGTCAGTCGCAAACCCAACGGCGGTCCCAGCGACGGGTGCGAAAACACCAGCAAGACAAAGGCGAGGGTCGTCCAGAACCAGCCGAACTTGACGAAGTAGACGTTGAAGATGTTGCTCTTTTTGGCGAAATAGCTGGGTGCGGAGCTGGGGTCGTAGGACTGCGCGTCGGCGAGGTAGAGGGCGTTGCGGGACGAGGGATGGAGGCTGCTGAAGAGGGAGCCGAGGAGGAGGGTGCCGGGGTAGAGGGCGAGGAGGACGGCTTCGAGGGGGGTGGGGAGGAAGGGGGAGCCGGCTAGGGGTGGGGAGTCCACTTTGGTTGTTTTGTTGCGGGTAGTCGTGCCGTTGGAGGTTTCGGGAACGGGAATTTCGACCTTGGTGGCGATGCGGCGGGTGGTCATGGTGGTGATGGTGTGTGGTAATGTATGCACAGACGTACCACCATGTATTGCGGAAGAAGAGACCAGATACGTTGTCTTGTAGAGGAATGAAGATGGTATGCGAACAGAGTCGCAAAGTCGAGGTGGATGTTTACTTCAGTGCCACTTATGACGTACGAAAACGTGGCCGTAGACATGACTCGCGCTGGAAGGTGCCAGTCCAGAACATCTTCTGATGCAGACTTGATTATACAATTCTAAGACACATGTATATACGTAGCCTACCCTCACCCCTTCTCCAACACCTTGTCAAAGAACTCCTCCGTCGCCACCGAAGTATTAGACGCCGAATTCGCCTCCAGCGACTCTTCACTCTTGTTGACCACCAATGGTGTGGGAGGCAGCGGCTTGTACAACGACGACTTCCTGATCCTGCCCATCCGCTCGGATCTAGGCCTGATGATACCTTCGAGTAGCTTGAGCGTATGTTCCAGCTCGCTCTGCCTGTGGGCGTTTTCTTGGGCTGCCTCGTCTGGAGCCATGTTTTGAGCCCGAGCCTCGATGTTGCGTCCAGGGTACGTTGCGGCTGCCTGTTGGAGGAGAACGTTGCAACCTCGTTGTCGTTTGTTCAGCATGACTCTCAGCTTGGATTCTTCAGGCACGTAGACGGACGGTTGGAGAGTCGTTAACGCTTCGTCCGGCGACGTCGGCGTGGTGTCAGGAGATGATGAAATGCTTGTTGAGGAACCATCCGTGAGTTGGTGATCCAGTATCCGGATGTTATTCTTACCAGGTGCAGTAGCCTTGACCTCTTCATGTCCGTTCTGTAAGACTTTCTCTCGCCTCAGGTTCTCCACCAAGAACACGTCAAGCTCCAGTGGCGTCGTGGCCGCACAACCTCTCGCCAGAGCTAACGTGCTCAGGAATCCAGCTAGATCCTCCGTATGTTCGTGCTCTCCCCTAGGGTCTCGGGCAGTCATGTTATGCAGTCCATTTGGTCCCGCTGTCCGGATGAAGCGGGCTGATGCGCGGGTTGACTCGGGGGCTCCACGAGCATCTCGAGCAACATACGGAGTATGAGGGCGCTTGTGCCATGTTCTCCGGCGGTGAGGGGTCCTAGAGTTAGCTGTGGTGATCGCCGAGCATGCTTTTGCTGCGGACGCGGATTTGGCAGGCACTGATGGTATGGATCTTGGCAAGATTGCCGACGGTGATCGTGTCATGGCCAGCTGAGGGGATCGTGTACCCCAGCACCATTCACTCCACGAGGGCCGGTCTGTCCGACTATGAGCTCTCACGCAACCCTTGATCGGTCCGTGCGGTATTCTCCGAGTCCGTGAGCCCAAGCTCGAATTTCTTTCAACCGCAGCAGCTGCGCGAAGCCTCGGCGGTGCTTCGAAAATGCAGTTCGCGGGCACGGCGTTCATCGTCGCAATGTTGCTTCTAGTGACTTGAGCTCGGAATCGCGCCTCGCGAACAGCGCGTAGGTTGGCATGCACCGTCTCCTGATCCAGGTTGAAGTTCATGCCCAGGTAGTTGTAGTCAATAGCACCTAGCCGGAGCTCGTCGTAAGCGATTTCGAAGCAGGCGTCCGCTTTTACATGATCCCCGAGCTCGTAGCTGACCAGTCCGACCAGGAAAGTGGTCAGCAGAAGGCCATATCCTGCTGCATCTGCGGCGATGAGTGTGGACAGGGCGGTGGCGAAGTCTCCGAGTCGGGCTTGAATCATGGCGGCATTCACCAGACAGTGGGTAGCAGATAGCGGATCGCAGACCTTATATGCCAAGATATTAAACATGTCGGCTGCTGCCTGCCATTCGTAGCCATGGTATAGCAATGCTGCGTGCTCCCAGATATCGAGGAGGTGTGGTGGAAGCTGGGAGTGTTCTCCTGCATCGACAGCTAAGGCCTGTGGTCGTACTCTGCCCAATGGCATATTGGTCGCTCTATGGAAGTCTGTGAGCAGTGTAGGTTACAGTGGAACCGGTATTCCTTCCAGCATTTTGTTATCGGCAAGCCGGCACTGTCGGCATAGGTGTAGGTGCAGTTTGCAATCAAGCGAGCTGTATTCATTAGCATGACTGCAAGGGCAGAGTCGGCAACTTGATGATTTATACATCAGTGAATGGGTACGCTCCCGTGAGAACTGAGAGTCACCTTTCAGGGTCAGTCAACATGTTTGCCGTCGTTCTCCGGTAGGCGAGCGATAACGAGCAGCTCATACTCGGCTGTACCTGGCCTTTCAACGCGCTGGATCTGGACAGAAGAAGCAAGCAATATCTCCTCCGCTTCTGGCCAGTCGCTGCGATGACCCAGCCAGATAATCTGCTCCAAAGCCGTACCCTTTGCCGCACCAAGATACATTGCAATGATCTTTGCTTGCCTGGGATACACGAATATCAGGGTCGATGCGAGCATGGCATCATCGTAGATGGAGAAGGTGTTTGGCACTCTTGCTACACAGTCCTCCGGCAGATGAGTAACAGCACAGTCAGGCACCTCGACGGCGCACAGGTTGAGCTGCTTGCCGTGGTCCTCTTCAGCAGCATGAAGCAGGATCGCCTCCAGGATGCCGCTGCCACAGCCTATGGACAATGTCAACGCTGGAGCGGGAGGCAACCAGTCTACAAGCGTCGCCACCAAAGGCCTGGAAATGGCCGGGCAGAGGTCTGCATAATGCTTTGTTGTCTGGTCCAGTGCATCATACAGTTCGCCCACGGAAGCTGCCATTTCGAAACATTCCTCCAGTGACTCACAGAACTCGCATATGCAGTCGACGTTGTTCATGCAAGTCTGAAACGCTGTCGTCAGCGGCCAGCAGGTAGTCTCGAGGCAGTCGTCTCCGCGTTGGTGAGGTTCAAGCAGGATGGCTGTCGTCGGCGCGAGAATTCCAGGCAGTACGATGACACCAGACTCCAACTCAGCGGCTATCAGCGGATGTTGTCGATGACCAGGAATATAATCAGGAATCTCGAAGGAAGAGGTGTCGTGACCATGTCTTGGCTGGAGCCGCGGCTCTTTCTCGCCGGCTCAGCTTCGACTTTCCTGCAGAGCGCAGACCACCACGCATCCACCCCAGCGCTGCGGGACTCTAACGCGGATCGACGCATGGTTTCTTGGTCCTGACGGCACTGCGAGAGATGCTCCACGAAGCTCACGCACGAGAGGCTCAAAACACACGCCCGCAGGCGCGCGGAAACCGACTGACCACAAGCGCTTGAGCTACCACCGATTTTCATGCTCTGCGTCGCACGAGGCTGGCCGCAGAAAAGGCCGCGCTAAGGACGAGGATGGAATCTGCATGGAAGACAAGATCGGAAGCTTCGCCTGTTCCTCGTGCTGCTGTGGAATGGCGAGAGAGGGGCAAATGCTGTCATTCAATACTCTTCCCTGGACACTGCGTCCAGCGCTCGGATACTGGAATCAGTCTTACGTTGTGGAAGTTGCACGCTCCGGCGTCCTCGATGCTTCCGTAAGGCTGTGGGAGAAGGACTGACCGAGCGGATCATCGCTGCAGCCACACAGCACCGCCTCGTGGCGACCCCGGTCCTGCCGACTTGCGCGAGATGCGCGAGATGCGGCACAGGACGTCACGTCTTCGCTATTGACCTCTTCTGCAATATTCCAGCACCATGTTTCGACCTTGCTTCGAAGCGTGAGAGTAGGCGCTCGTGCTACTTGTAGGAGCAGCCCGAGACGGATCACATGCTTGAGACTTCGAACATTTACAAAAGCCATCCCGGCTACCGCATGCAATTGGTCGTACAGCGTGGGCCTAGCGGCTCGCTTACTGCACTTAGCCCGAGCCTTAGCGGAATACAGTCGGCGACCGCGGTGTTCCACAGCCTATCGATGCTGTATTTCGAGAAACACGATCGCGAGGGCTCTTGTCTGTACTTTTCTGTTGGGCTGACTAGAGACAACGTGGGGACACATCCGGATGCCAAAGAACCGTGCTGATCAGGTACCCCTGGCCCAGCCCGCTGGATAGTGACCCGGCAGTGTTCGAGAAACGTTGTAGGACGGCGTGGGACTGACCTAATCGGTGTTAACGATGCTCTACCTTTGACGGTACTTCCGCAAGTGTCTCAGATGGTATGGAGATCAGGGTCCGCGCTGTTGCAACGGCGAGGTTCACGGCGAAAGCCAGAACCGATAACAGCGGGCATGCCATTCCTCCAGTAACGTCGCTGAGCGAGACGCCTCTTGGAAGGCTATAGCAGCGCCATGATCACGATCCGGGAGACGAGGAATATCGTCCGCGTGTCGCAATCTCAGCATGCAGGACGACTATAGCGGAAGGCAAAACCCAGCGTACGAGAGCGCAATGGCAGGTGAGCACCGAAAGCTGTGTTCGACACTAATCCTGCAGGCTATCGGGACTACACCTACTTGCATATGCACCACTGAGAAAAGAGGCGCAGTGCGCATGCAGTCAGCTAGTGCTGCCGGCTTCGAGGGCAAAAGTCGTCCGAGTGATATAAGCGTCGCTCCCCGCAGTCACACTCTTCTCGATCACCCTCCCACCCAACCCTTGCGCCACTCTTATTCGCCCGCCATCCCATCCTCCTCTACTCCTCTCCTCGTTCATACAAAAGGCGCCCATTTAATTTTCCATCGTTCACACAAGCCGGTCTGAGACATATTACGTCGTTTCCTTCCTTTCATCCATCTTATTCTCAAGACAACGCCGTCTATACATCGCACAGCTTACTCATCATCCTGGTCCGGAACCACATTACTCTATCGCATACCTGGTCGACATGGTCCTCCAACTACTACCTGCCTCCGCGCAGGCCTTCGCTCCTCGGTCCGCGCCGACAATCGTCCTCAACTCCAAAGTCGAGCCTTGGTTAACACAGACGCTGAAACGCATCAACCGAATCAAGCGCCCGCTCAACAGTGTTCCACAGCATTTCCGATGTCTGACGGAGACTCTGGGCGGCGCGTCTGCCATCTGGACCCTCACCTCGCTCATGCTACCCAAGGCCCCCGATTCGGAGCTGCGCAAGGATTCCGACCCTCTGGTCGAAGCGCTGTTCAACTACCAGCTTCTTCACATCGAGGCGTACGTCGTGCATGTCGACATGGTGTCGCAGCATGAGGTCGCGTTCAAGTTAACGCCGGAGTCTATCGAGGCGCTTGTCGAGTACCACAAGGACATCTATTCCAAGGACGTCTCCGACAACACCTACAGCTGGCCCGAGAAGGAAGCACAGTTGAAGAAGCTTCAGGAGGAGTTCGAGCAGGCGGTCAACAGGTTCGTCTTTCGGACTGGTGTCCGCGCGCTCGAGGGTCTCGAGGAGGACGGTGCTGGCGAGCTTCTGGAAGGTCGATCAAAGGACGTCCAGACTGCCATCACGAACCTCTTCCAGACACTCCTCCCGCCGCCGCCAAGGATCGTCGATGTCATCCACCCAGCGCCTCTCATGCCTAACACCACCATGGCTGGCGGTTGGTGGGCACCAGCGCCTACGCTTGCGTCACACCCAGCACCGGTGGACAACTGGAGAGTACTGCCGTCGACACCATCGCCGACTGCGACAAGCTGCAGCGACAATCAGTCCGCCTCGATCTGGCCGGACCTCAGCATGCACCAATTCCAGCTTCCGTCGCCAACGCCGTCGTTCAGCCAGCCCGTGTTCACATCAGCACCATCCCAGTATTACAGCTCGCCGCAATGCATGGCACCCATGCCGGCGATGCCGAGCCAGCTGCCCCAGCACTGCGGACACGACATGGGTATGGGCGGCTTCAACGACTTCGGTTGGAGCCAGAGCAGCTTCTCACCAATGTTCGCAACTGCCGTATGAGCATAAGCGCAACACGGTGACTGCGCTCCCTCCACCCGTCGTTGACCGACGACTCCACCCAGCCAATGTCGGTGTTCTGGCCAAACCCGACGGCGCCTCGACTCCAGCACGCACCTGAATGCGCACAGGTAGCTGCAAACCACCTCCGGACCCCTCTCTCACGCGACCCACGATGCAGTAATGTTATGCGATGCGAAAAAAAGATACCCGATGTTGATCATCACCCCCACCAACAACCACAGCATCAACAACTATCCACTAGCGGGCATCTTTTCGACGGCGTTCTTCCTTCCTTTTGTCTTTTTTGAGCGGGATTGGGCAGCAAGCGAGCATGTTTTACGGAATGCAACGGATACGGGAGGCATGCACTGCAAGACAGGACAAGACCTCGCGGTCAAACTCGGCGGCATTTGCAAGTTTATGGGTTTCCAGGCAATGCGATCTCGACTTGCGATGCCTTTCTTTTCTGGATTTTAAGGGATGGGGACACACTGGCTGTGTTCGTGCATCTCTTGGAGGATTTGGGACTGCACGTGTGATGGATGGGAAGCACTTGTTTGCTTGTGCGGAGGGTTGGATGAAGTACCACGCCATACACTCCGGTCACGCTTCGTCTGCGTATGCGGGCGACGGACAGCGGATATGGCTTCTTCATCCTTCCCACCACACTTCTGACGAGTGCTGACTATCGTCACACGCGGACTGCGACGGTACTGGCGATCGATTGCGGGACATTGCAGACTCAACCTCCGCGAGCCTGGTATCTGGAATACTGGCTCGACCTAATATGACAACCTCCACACCTCAACACCACCTCTGGACACTACGACAGCTCGAATGCACGGATCTGGATCAGGCTGAAACGCCCAGGGCGCTGGCAGACAGACATCCGCGATGTTCTCTACCACGCCTCCAGATCCGCCTTCCTCCCGCCAGCCGGGGCGAAGGCCCATCCGAACTTGTCGTCCACAAGACTCTTGAGGAACGCAAACACGGTCGCCTTGACTGGCTCGACCCTTGTCTGCGCGTGGAACGGTTTTTGTCAGAACCATAGTAATCATCCGACTATGCTCTACCCGCCGGCCCAGGTATGTGAGGAGCCCGCGCACACGAAAATGTAGGGGCTTGATGCTCTGATATATGCGGGTAACAGGATGCTGGAAACACTTGTACGGTCCCTTTTGACCTGTCTGGCACTGGTGGTCGGGGGCGGGATCTGCTTTAGTTAATGCAGTTAGTAAATTGCGATATCATCAGCCAATTGAAGAATTCTTGTGCTGTGATGGTTGTTCTCAGTTCCTTTGTCTTTGTCTTGAATTGGTCGTTTCTGCTCCCAATCACTTGTAGGCACGTGCCGTAGACGATTCTTGAGGATCCTTTGCAGTTGTCGTTCGAGAGTTTGGCGGTAAACGTCGGCAACGCCATCTCTACTCGGCGAAAAGGCGTCCTTGACACGTGAAAGCGCCGAGCGGGAGCTCCAAATCGTCATCGTAGCCTGACTCGGGCCCGGGTGAAGGTGGGCGGCGGTTATGGCACAAAACATCCTTTGTTCTCACCTTCGCCCTGACAACACCTGCTGCTCTATTCACTCCGCATCCCGATGCTATAGTGTATACTCTAGAGCACCATACCATGAAACAGCGATAACATTCACCCGCCATGCCGCCAGTCAACAGCCCCGCCAGGACCTCGCCCTCCGCAGTAAGCATTCCAGCCCTCAACTCCAGACGAACTGACCCGGCAGGAGCGACACCCGCTAACACTCTACCCAGACCTCGCGCCCTCAAACCCGTCCTCTAACTCCACTATCATATCTATCCTCACCCGCACCAGATCTCGCCTCGACGCTGTATACATCTCATGCCGCCGAGCAGGCCGACGAAGCGAACGTGAGCTTTCTGCGGGACTCGCTGGACTCGCTGGATAATCTGGACGACTTGCAGGCCCGGAGAGGAGCGCGTGTAGATGCTCAGCGCGACCCGAGAAGGCCTGAGTATCACCATCGTGCGGGCAGGATGTCTTCGGAAGGACAGCAGCAGACGCCAGAGGAACTGTCGAGGAGGGAGAGGTTACAGCAGGTGCTTGCGAGGCTTAACAGGCAGCACGCGGCTGCTACGAGCTCGGCGACTGCGTATAGTAATCGCACGCCCTCGCCGAACCGGCAGAGTTTGTACGACTGGGCGCCGGGAAATGAGGAACGGGAGCAGCAGGAGGGCAATGAGCTGGATGGGATAGTAGGGGAGTTGAGGATGCAGCAGCCAGATACGCATCCGGATGTTTTGAGAGTGTTGGGGCAGAGTCAGTTGGATGTGCATCGGCAGCGGGAAAGGAACAGTGCAGGTGGGACGGACAATAGCAATCAGGCGGATGCTGAACAGCGGAGAGGTCTGATACGGGAGCGAGAGAGGAGACGGAGGGAGCCAGGTTGGGAGAGTTTACGGAGTAGAGCGGTGATGCAGAGGGCGAGGCAGGAGGGTGGCGCCTCTCCAAGTTCTACGGAGAGGATGTTGAGGGGTCTGATGGAGCGCGAGCGGAGCGGTATGAGTGAAGAGGAGGAGCGAGCAAGAGGGACGGGGTGGTTCAGGCCGACACCGAATCGTGGTGGGCTTCCGGCGGTGGAGCATAACAGCTCAACGTCAAGCGCGGACAGGTGGCGGCTACCCCCTACCAGCGACCTCCGAGAACGTGATCAACAGGAGAGACTGGAAGCTTATAGGAGAGGCTACTTGGCGGAGAACGTGCCGCCGAGACTGCCACGCATATCGACACCACCTGTACCTCCGATCAATCCGCCTTCGAGACGACCGACTTTTCTGGAGAACGCGCTCAAGTACATGAGCGACCTTCGCCTGTCTGTGTCCTACGAAGACTCCCTTTCGTCGGCCATTGACCACGGCCTGGCCACCAAGGAGTTCTTCGCAGACAAGCACGACGATTTTGTTATGGACTTGGACGAACTGCCTGGTGTACAGTATTCTTCATTTCTGCAGAAAAGCGCAGTCTTCGAGGGCCATCAGCATGCCACTACTGTTGTCTCAAATGTGACACACCAAGGCCCTCAGTCGCGAGTGGAGCAGATCAACCCCAACTATCGAGCATCAAACGGTCCCACTCTTGGTTTCGACCACCCACCAGGCTCGACACAAGTCACTCCCTTCGACCCGTCAAGACCATGGCTCTCATACCATCAACCACAACATCTCCTCTCCCCCAAAGAACCACACGACCACTGGCCCGTCCGCGTGACCATCCACACCGTTGACGAGGCAAAGATGACACTCCAAGGCACAATGGAAGCCTACGACGTCCCTCAACCCCCTCCCAACCTCAGCGCGCTACACGCCAACCCACCTCCAAAGAAAGGCAAGAAGAATGCCCCCATCACCACCTACCTCGAAGGCCACATCATCGACCTACGCACGCACACCTTCCTCACCCCCGACGACCGCGACGCCAAACGCCGCAAAACCGGGCCTCACGAGACCAGCGCCGAGAACCGCACCCCCTACACCACCCTCAACCCCGACGTCCGCTTCCCCTCCGCCACCCCCGCCCTCGACGCGCAAAACTGGCTCAAACTGCCCCCCTTCTCCGACATCGCCGCCTCCCCACCCACACCCTCCAGCCCCGCTTCCTCAGCAGAAGACAAACTCGCCCGCCTCCTGCTCTCGAAATCTCAGTGCTCCGAGCTCATGAACGAGTACATCTTCATGCGCTGGAAGGAACTCTGCTTCGTGCACACGAAGAGCGACCCGTGTCCTGTTTCCGAGGGGGAGAGGTGCACGGATCCGGATCGCGGGCATGGGTTGACGATAAGTGGGTTTTATTATGTTAGTTTGCGGAGGGCGGATGGGAGGTGTGAGGGTTTGTACTTTGATCCGTGTAGTACGCCGCATCAGGGGTTGAGGTTGCAGGGGCGAGGGGGTGGGGTGGGGAGTTGGGAGTTTAGGTGAGGAGGCTGTGAAAAAGACATTGCTGGTGTTGTTACGTCGCTGCATGGGTTGGCTTGGGCATATTCATGCTGTTGGTGGTGGCTATTGTAGAACAACTCGCTGACGCTCTTGAGCTTCGAGACGGTGGCTGTATGATAACGACTCTCTCTCCAACCTTCAACCTTTCCCTTCTGTTACTTCTGAAGCGAGTGCTTGGACGAAACGGGCATGACAGCACGTGAGAGAGTAGGAGACAGCTGACATGAGGAGGCGCAAGGTTTCTATACGACGATGCAGCAGCTAGCCGCGCCAGCAACGTGTGAAGCTCAACCTGCTATTGTACACCACTCAAATGCATCCAGCCCATCCCCGCTCGACAGACTAGCAGCCTGCGCAAGCTCTGCGCAACCCGCCCAGATAGACGTATGCTCGAATAGTGCTGAACCATGTCGAAGTGAAGCTCCCGCTGATCCTTTTCTCTATCCATGCTCCCGGAAAGACAGCCTCTACTGCTCGGTCTGGAAGTAGTTGAGTAGGATCGAGCGCTCTTGTGACTCCTCACCCCAGTCCTTGACGACGACGCACGAGCAGTTGACGACTTTGCGGGCGTTGCCTTCGCGGTCGATTTGGCCTGTAGGTCGTGAAGCGTTAGTACTCGATCGTATACCCGTAGTACCTCTTCTCTGAAAGGCCGAAATATCACTCACACAACCCAGCCCACTCGCCCAGTTGCTTCCCGTCCGGCACCTTGATGAGCGGAATCTTGTGCTCTCCACACAGCGCCACGACCAGCTTCTTGTATGCCTCCTCCTCACAGGCCTCGTTGAGCACGCACATGTGAGCCTGGCGACGATCGAGTGCTTTGCTTGCTTCGCGGAGACCTCGGGCCAGACCGTCGTGGATGAGGGCGATTTTGAGGACGCCCTTCAGTGCATCGAGCACGCTCATGCCGCCTGCTTTGCCGGAGCTGTCGGCCGCGACCTCAACCTCCTCAGCTGCGGGGACCTCCTCCTCGGGGACCGTGGGCTCTTCTCCGTCCGACTAGGTGATGTTGTTAGTATAGGTCGTACTCGGCGAGCCATTGGAGTGGTCTTGTGCGCATTTTTCGCGGGTGGTTGCGGCTGTCTCGATTGGAGATTTGGAAGGGCAGGACTCACCATCTTGAATGCTGTGATTGACTTGTAATTCAGTTGTCGATGACCTCCTCAAAGAGCCGATGGGTTTTCGCGTTGGGTGATTTTGTGGGAGGCCGAGTCTCGAAAATGAAGCTGGAGAGATCCCGTCGTGGGCGCCAAGTCGGAGCGGGTTTATCCGGCGCTAAAGCCACTCGACTTCACAACATTGACCTTGAGCTTCTTGACGCGTCTGCTTCTGCACCTTGACGCGCACCGCAATTGAAGGTGGCAGACCGACGCTGTATAACAGCGCGCCAACACGGCACATCGCATCAAAGGTACGTTCAATTCTTTAATGTTGGACATCGTCGGGGCATAGGCATAGGAGGGCAGACGGCATAAGCGGGCAGACGGCGCAGGGAGGCAATTGGCATAGGAGGACAGACAGCACAGCAAAGAGGTGGACATTCTACCACTGATCACCGCAGCATCCTGTTGGTAAAGTATCCGACGGACGACCACTCACTTCGCTCTTGCAAGAAGCGAACCTTCGGGTAGGTCAACATTACTAAAAGGATATCTTCAACGACATCATTTTGGACAGCGTCAGCGAGAGACCAAATCACGATGGGCGGGCCACAGAGCTTGGTCCGGCTTCCCGTCGAACTTCAGAAAGAGATTGTCGATTTCTTGAGGTCCCACAAAGACCTCCGGGCCGTGTCCCTAGTCTGCAAAGCCTTCTAGTATGTTGCTACACCAAAGCTGTACCGCGAGATCTACCTGCCCGTGGCAAGCATCAACGCACGTTTGCGGAGCTGCTTCAATCTGGCCAACACAAACCTCAAGTACACGCGGTTCCTTTTTGTCGCTGAGGTCTGCTCCGAATCTTATGATCACCAGAAGCAGGGGCGTCACATGTTTGACCTTGTTCATGCATTCCCAAACGATGCGCTTGAAGAGCTGCATATTGGCACCCTTGCAAATGTTCCAATTGACTTCACGATTCAACTCTTCTACAGTCAGAAGAAATTGCGCAACTACTGGATGCACCCCCAGTCTTCCTACACGGTCGAACCTGGGGTCACCCAATGTTTGCTCCAGTCGCCGGAGGAATTTACTCGAATTGTGAAGCTGGACCTCATGAGCGGCAGCATGAGCGACTGCCATCAAAGCAGCCATGTACTAGGAGCCACACCTGCCCTGCAAGAACTCACAATCGTGTTCAAAAACTCATTGCGCCAGACCTCGGCCAGCGCTTTGAATGCCATCTTCGAACGATGGACTCGAGTTGATGACATCGATGGTCCGAGATGCAGACTCGCGCTGAATAAGCTACGGTTGGCGTTCGTACACTGCTCAGCCGTCGGACCGTTGCTTTCTCGCGTTATCGACATCTCAAAGTTGGCTGCACTTCAACTACACTCTTGCCGTGATACTTCCAATCTGCTGCTCGAATTCGACCAGAAAGGAATGGACTTGAGCAGATTTGTGCAGAAATCCCACGAGCATATCACCAGCACACTGGAGCCTGTCATGACGAGACAAACAAGCCTCACAGAGTTGTTCATTCACAAGTGGGCGCCACGAACTACCAACCTCGACTGTTACGCGGAAACCATCGAGAGGTGCGGCAAGAGTCTGCAGATACTGTATCTCGAAGACGAACCCACCTCGTACCAGACCCGAAAGCAGCAAGCGGACGGCGAACCCTGCTCGAAGGCGCTCCATGACCTCTGTGCCAACTGCCCGAATGTGGAGCAGCTCGCTTTTCAGCCTTCCTCGAACCCTGCAAGATCAGACGTCCTAAACACGAACAATCTCAGCGCAATGGTCAGCTCTCTGAAGCAGCTTAAGCAACTCGTCTCCTTGCGACTTTTCCTCTACCCGTCAATGTCTTTCCTGGAGGGAAGAGAGTGCATTCTCGGCTCTCGCCACACGTTCTTCTGTCCGAAATGCAGCGTGCGGCAGATCTCATCTTCTCGCGCCTACGCAAGAGCTGCCCCCGATTCGTGGCGCTGCACATGGATGTTCTCAGGAGGGACGAATGCACGTCCACCTACGGCCACGAGGAATTCTCATACATTCGGCACATCCGCACCGATTCCGCCGGTAACGTCGACGCAGGTGGTCGTCGGATCTCGACTTGGCAGTTGCACCTCGAGGAGCCACAAAACGACATCTTCTAAGGTTGCTAGTGTGGAAAGGAGAAGGGTGTTGATGTTAGGTAAGGTAGGTGTTTCACTCGTGTTTCTTTGTCGTTTGCTGGGAGGATGGGGCAGGCATGGTAGGCATGGCAGGCATGGCAGGCGGCGGTTCTCCGAGCAGACGGCGAGATGATCCATCCATGAGGTGCGGCATCAGGCATTGAGGTGAGTTGTGCTCTTCGAGAATGTCGCGGAAGTATCTGAGAAGCAGGACTGACACGCTTGAGACAGGGAGGTGGGACTGGTGGCGAGCATGGTGGTTCTCCGTCCGAGATCGTGGCTCTCCTGGGTACCTCTGGGTGTGTAAGGGCTTGAGACTCATTGCGCTGTTGGAGAAGCTGGGATGATGGGAATGATTGTACAAGCACGTGCAAGTGGCTTGCATATGACAATGTTGTGAGGAGAACTTGAAGGAAACGATCAGCGTCTGGGGACTGAGGGGAAGAAATGACGCCACCAAGGCGGCCATAGCTCCTCACGATATCGCTCGAGCAACCAACTTCCAAACCACATTGACTTTTTCCATACCGCCCCTCCAACCTCCAACCCACGTGCAGTGCACGTAGTGAATGCCGCTTTTGTACATATTAATACCGTCCAACTTTTTCCTGGCCCGGCCTACGACCAATTGGTAGCCGGCGGATTATGCTGACGACTCCAACCGCCATGATTCGGAGCTTATAACCCACGGTTGAAGAACTCGACATATTGAGCGCTTTCTTTCTTTCCACACTGCTGCTGGAAGTGAAGAAACGTCGCCATGGCGGCAGGCGAAGATGTTTACTGCACACTGTGCATGTCAGACAGCTATCTGCCCGGAGCTGCCGTACTGGCCAAGTCGTTACGAGACAGCGGCACCACGAAGAAGTTGGCAGTCCTTATAGACCAGGACCGCTTGCGGCAGAGTACTGTGCTGGAGCTGCAGGCAAGCCATCAGAACATCACCACACTTCCACTTTCGCCAACTAACGTCCTGCCAGTCTTTGTACAACTACACCATCTCCGTCGAACGCATCGGCACGCCCAACCCCGCCAACCTCTACCTCATGAACCGCCCCGACCTCCTCTATACCTTCTCGAAGCTCAACCTCTTCCGCCTCACCCAGTTCCGCAAAATCGTCTACCTAGACGCCGACGTCGTTGCCCTCCGCGCACCCGACGAGCTCTTCGCCCTAGAAGACTCGTTTGCTGCCGCACCAGATGTGGGATGGCCCGACGCCTTCAATACTGGTGTGATGGTGATCGCACCGCACGAAGGAGATTATCACGCCTTAAGAACACTAGCATCCGCGGGCGACAGCTTCGACGGCGCAGATCAAGGCTTGCTGAACCAGTACTTCGAACACAAGCCATGGAAGCGGCTAAGCTTCGCGTACAACTGCACGCCGAGTGCAAACTACCAGTACGAGCCGGCCTATCGATACTACAAGCAGAACATCAGCATGGTGCACTTCATCGGTAGTGATAAGCCGTGGCAGCAGAGCAGGAGTGTGAGAGGCGCATCGACTGCGTATCAAGAGCTGCTGAGTAGATGGTGGGCAGTGTATGATCGACACTTTACTGTTTCGACGCATGGGTATATTGCCGGACAACGAGGGAGCAGGGCGGTGCAGAATGAGGTGGGGAGGTATCAGCAGCCGGTTGAGGGGAGCTATGCTGCGACTGGATATCCGATGGAGAGCAAAATGGCAAATTCGGCCTCACCGCCTGAGGCGCAGGCCACGACGACGGAGATGCCGTTCACGGAGCCTGGTGAGGACGCGGAGAACATCGCTCAAGGCCGCATTGAACCGCCGCAGACTGCAGATATGAGGAGGTTCTCGGCGCCGCACATGGAGTGGGATGCTACCAGAGCTGCGCCACCACCAGAGTCAAGACCAGAAGCTGCCAACTTCCCTACGACCACGTACGAGTTTAACATGGACGCCAAGCCCTTCGTCCCGCCTACAAAGTACCCTGAGCCTCCGAAAGACCTGTGGTACGAGGTACCCATCGCAAAAGAAGAGAAACTCGCTCCCCTCTTCCCATGGGAAGAGCGCGATGTTCCTACACCCACCCGCCGCTTCGCCGACGATGAGCCTTCCCCCAAGCCCTCTCCACCCTCCGAAGAGGAATCCTTCCCAGGCGCCGACGAGTTCTCCGTCCAAAGCGATGCTGACCGCTCCGTCGAACCGAAGACGCCTACTATCCTCGTCAACGACCACCAGTCACCCTGGTCCACCTTCGGCAATTCCAGCACTAAGAATGCATGGGATGACGTCACGGGCATTGACGACTACGTGCGCCAGTTGACCGCTTTCCAGAAGAACCGCGGGAAAGTGCAAGTTTTGCAGCAAAACTCGCGCAGCCCGATCTCCTCGCCTCCCGAACAGACGCAGCAGCAGCAGCGGAACCAGATGCCAGGACAGATGCATGTCCTGAGCCCGGCCAACGAACCGAACGCCGACGACCTGATCGCCGCAGTCGCGAAGCGAAGGGAAAGCCTCATCCTCACTGACTTCCCCACCGCGAGCGAGCGGCCGAGTCTTCCTGTCACGCCCGCTCCACGAAGAAGAAACGTGCTTTGGGGTCAAGAGAGGGGAGAAGAAGGCTTGGTCGAGGCGGAGGGCGTTCCGCAGCAGGGGGATTGGGATCCTAACGTCCAGTTAGAGGAGTTGAGGCGGAATAGCTTGTTGGAGTTGAAGATACCGGTGGGAAGGAAGAAGGTGCCGGATCGGGAGATGGTGGGTAGTTCGCTGAAGGTTGTAACAGAGGGGGTTAGTGGGGGGAGTAGTCCGCCTGGGCCTGTTGGCGGTGGTAAGCAGCCGCTGACTGGTATTTTGAAGAAGCCGACGTTTGTTGAGCCGGACTTTGGTGGGAAGAGGAATGGACAGGGAGGGGAGGAGGTTGTCGCGCCTACTGAGGAGGCTTCTTGAAGCAGACTTTGGCAGCGAAGCGAAGGTTCAAAATCACGAGGTTGATGAGGGAAGGATCATGGACATGGAAAGGTGGGAAGCATGTGGATGATCAGAACGAGTGATTTGGGTGATGAACATTCGGCATGAAAGCAGGCAACATAGGTGTGGCATAGTTGGCGGATTACTTTGATATTCTGACGGCGTTTTGAGCGTTTCAGCGTTCAGCGGAGCAGTTTGAGCGGATTGGTGATGTTGATAGTTGAGTGTGTATGTTACAAGATACCAATGAATGCTGCAACAAATTTGATCACGGTGTCAAAGCATAATGGGAGGGGACGGGTGTGCCTCCTCTATCAACGTCCAGTATCGATCGAAAACGCTTCCGAGTGCGTGGGCCGCGACAGCGCCCATCGAATACCGTCCACAATCACCTGATCCCATCGAGCGGATTCCGGTAATCTGTCTCCAAACCGTCGAAACCCGTGTGGCACGCCTGCGAAGACGTGGACGTTGGTCGGGATACTGCAGCCTCCATGAGTTTGTGCATCAAACACACATATGAACATACATGTATTGAACGTACCCAGCCTCATGAAGCAATTTAGCATACAACAGTCCTTCGTCTCTCAGAAAGTCCAGCCCAGCGATGCCGAAGACTGTCGGGGGAAGGTGCTTGACATCCTCCACCTCGGCGTTGCCAGGATTGAGACGCAGATCGCTCTCCTGCGGGTCTCGCACCTCTAGCAGGTCGGAGAACAATCGCATCCGTGACTCGGGAAGGATAGGCGCGTCGCGGTTCTGGACGTAGGAGGATGCACCGGGGTCCTTGAGTCTCGCGAGCTGCGGACCGATGCACTCGTGAAACACGAGGCAGGGGATCATCAGAACTTGCCCGACGATGCGGAGTGCGCCGGGGTACGACGCGCGTGTGAGCAGAGTGGAGGCAGTGAGCCATGCGCCAGCGGACGTGCCGCCTACGACGACGCGCTGGGGGTCTATGCCCAGGACGTCGAGGTTCGCTTCGACCCACTGCAGGGCGTCCGCAACGTCGTTCCAGGCGGTGGGGTAGCGGTGCTCGGGCGTGTGGCGGTAGCAGACATTCAGGACTGTGACTTGTGCGTCGAGAGCGACATGCGCGCAGGCCGCGTCTTCGGAGGACAGGGTGCCGAAGAGGAAGCCGCCGCCGTGGAGGTGGAGGTAGAGGGGGGAGGTGGTGGAGCTGGGGAGGGATGGGGACTTGTATGTGCGGGCTTGCAGGAGTTTGTTGTCGCGGGTGGGGATGGAGTGGTTTTGGGTGGATACTAAGGGTCCGAGTTGCTGCATGAGTGTCGCCGCCGCCTGCTCGCGTGTGGTGTTGGTGGCATCGCGGAGGGCGAGGATGTCCTCGAGGTTGGAAGGGTTGGGAACGGTGGCAGGGAGGGTGTCTTGTATTGCGAGCCACTCTTTGCTTGAGCCTTGGAGGTGGTGGAAGTCGCTCATTGTTCAGGCTTATGGGAGTTTATGCCATCTGGACACCGGAAAGTTTGCTCGCAGGAAGGGAGACCTGATTTGGCAATGATAGAATAGACAGACCAACCTTTGTGTTTCTCCAACCTTGGTAGCGACCTGGAGAGACAACAGCTCCTCGCTGCCATAGCCGAAGCGTCAGACTGTATCTCCACTTTGCCTCGTCCGATCAGGTGGGGCATCGTTTTCCTCTTCGTCGCCTTCTTCTCATCGCAGCGGCGAACCATTCTAAAGACGCAGAAGGTGTGGCGGATTGAGGAGGCCGTGGTTCGACTTTGTGATGATAGTTCTGTTGGTGCCCGCCACTGCCGACAAGGATCCATCTCTGTCTAGCTTTGCGCTGGGCGCCAGCAGATGACCTACCCAGATACCATCCATCTAACTGGAATTGCGACAGAAAGCCTGTATGTTCTGGATCGAGAATGGATGACAATGCGATGAGCAGCTGACATGTGCACGCTCGCACCGTCACAGGCTTGCCAGACCAAGGCTGCCTGCCCTATGCGGCCGCTTGCGCCTCCACGGACGTTGCAAAGGATGGATGCACGCTGACACCGCGTTTGTGCAAAGCCCGATCAACGCGATCTTGCCAGCTAAATACCATATGCCCTGTCCACCTCGATCTGCGCTGAACAACTTCAACATTGATCGCAGCGCACGAGGAAAGTAGAGTCTTGAAAGCCTTATACAACCCTCCAATGGCCAACGACACCCCATCCACAATGTTCGCTTGGCGGAAACACAAAGGCGTCCCCGAACCGATATGGGAAGAAATTCCCGTACCCCAACCTTCGAGAACAGAGGTGCTTGTCAAGATGCTCGCGTCTGGAGGTATCTACCGTACCCTCCGCAGGAGACGCAAGACTGGAGGTTGACCTTGACCAGTCTGTCGAAGCGATATCTCGCTCCTCGCCAACGATAAGCAGTCCAGTTGGTTTCGGGAGGAGTACACGCTTGTACGGACGTCCATCTGCTCGATCGAGATTAATAAGCAGCACTAATCTCACCACCGTGGGAGATAGGGACACGAAGTTTGCGGGCAGATTACACAGCTCGGCGAGGGCGTGGGAGAGACGATGTTGAAGGAGGTTCGTTCTTAACTCTTGCGCCACTCGATGTCTCCAATTCTTGCTGCAACAACGCCTGAACGCTGTGTAGGGAGACATTGTAGCCCTCTATCCTGTGCCTGGCTGCCGACGACAGGACTGTCCCGAATGCTCGCGGGATCTCCATCAGACCTGCGAGAGTGGGCATCACTCCGGGATCGGGCAGGACGGCTTTTATGCGCCGTATGCGGTTGTCGATGCTAGAGCTGTTGTTCTAGTCCCTTCAGGTATGAGGAGGCCATCTCTATCATGGTAGAAGTGATCTGATTCACTCTCCAGGCGTGTCACCTGCAGTGGCTGCGGTAGCCACCGACGCAGTAACAACAGCCTACCACGGCATCGTTCGCCGCGCCGAAGTCAAGAAGGACGAGACGGTCTTGCTCTTCGGCCTCGGTGGGTTGGGGATTAACGCCCTCCAGATCATCCTGAACGTCGGCGCTCGCGTCATCGTCTCTGATCCACGGGAAGCTTGTCAGACGACAGCAAGATCTCTGGGAGTGCCGGCGGAGGATATCGTGCCGACGAACGTCCCGCTGCAGGAGTTTGTCCGTGAGAACGGGCTGGAGAATAGAATCGACACGGTGCTGGATTTTGTCGGAAGGCATCAGACGTTTGAGGATGGGCAGCAGATTGGTAGGTTCATGGGTTGACTCCTTTGGAAACGTGCTGATGCTGTTTATTAGTACGACGTGGTGGAAAGATCCTGTGCATCGGCACTCTGGACTACGACAATACGGTGCATATGAAGGTGGGGACCAGGAAGCAATTGAGCTTCATTTTCTCGTACGGCGGGCAGGTCGAAGAGCTGGAAGAGGTCCTGCAGATGATCGCAAAGGGAGCTATCAGGCCAGTGGTGGAGGAGCGACCGATGAGCGCCTTGCCTGAGGTCTTGAAGGGGTTGGAGGCGGGTACGGTGGATAGTAGGGTGGCTCTTACTCACGAGTGACCACTACAACGTGTTCTGCAAGTTTATCCATTCACGCTCGCAGCTTTAGTCATCCCAATGCCTACAGCAGCAGTCGTGCCAGCATCAACAGGCAGCACGGCACCAGTGATCCACCGCGCATGAGCGCTTGCAAGGAACACCACAGCCGCAGCACAATCCCATCCGTTGCCTTCAGTTCCGAGCAGACTCCTTGCCTTTCTTGCAGCGCGCGCCTCCTCCGTCATTCCCTTCGCAGACATCATGGGCGTATAGAGCATCTATTTACCATTAGCATGACCTGCACATCTGTTATAAATTGTGGTTTGATACCCCAGGACAAACACAATTCACCCGTATCCCAGCCTCCGCATGATGCGCAGCCATCGCGCGCGTCATGTTCACCACCGCGCCTTTACTCGTAGGGTAGAGCAAATGCGGCGTACCCCCTTTCAATCCGGCTACACTACCCATGTTAACGATACAGCCCTTGACCTCGCCATCGTTGCGCGCCATGACTGGCACCGCGTGCTTGGCCATGGTGACCATGCTGGTGACGTTGATGTCCAGGCCGGTGGTCCACTGTTCGAGGTCGACGTCTACTGCGGTCCCTGAAGCTCCGGCGATGCCGACGTTGTTGATTAGAATATCCAACTGCCCGAATGTATCAAGAGCGAGCTGGACCGCTGCCGCGCAGTCTGAGGACGAAGTCACGTCGCCTTGCGTAGGGACTGCTTCTCCGCGCCCTGGTTTCGAATTTGCGATCTCTGCTGTTCGAGTGGCCCAAGTCAGGTCTCGATCGAGGCAGACCACGTTGCAGCCTTCGTCGGCCAGCATGATGGAGATTGCTCGTCCGTTGCCCAGGCCGTCTCCGGCGCAGCCAGCGCCTGTGACCAGGGCGACTTTGCCACGTAGAGAGCGCGATGGAGGCTCCAAGGGGATTTCTGCAGCCATTGGAAGTCAATTCTTGAATGCTGACTGCTGTGGCTGTTAAGAGTAGGGGCTGGTTTTCACTCTTCTAGCCCCGTTATCACCCAAGGACAATCGGTGATGCTGTAAAAGGATTGCCGTGGCTTCTTGTCCTCTAGACGTGGGTCCGCATCGAAGCAGAGATGGTGATGAGAATCAGACCTACGTGTACCACATTCTCTCGTGATGACGGAGGCTCATCGCGCGTCAGTAGAATTGACGGCGGAAGGTGGACCGCCTGCAACGCTCTTCTTGCATGATGCAGGTAATTAGAGGCAGAACAGAACCGCGCCTTGCGGTACGTAGCGGGTGCTTTCGAGCACAGATTCCACGGCGCGATCGATGTATATCTTGAGCCATGGTTCAGGTTTGTGTTAAGCATTCGATGAGTGGAACACCACTCGTCTGAATGGAGAAATCTTGCCAACTGCAGAGTGTTGATTCGTAAATAGAAAGACGTCAGCGAACGTCGGTCTTGGCGAAGGGTCTTTTTGGCTTTGGCGTCTCTGCGCGTTCTTCGAGTTGCCTCGATCTCCTACATTCACCTCCCATCCTCGTCATCGGACAGTGCAGGAGCATACACAGTCGCATCTGTAGCGCGAGAGGGCATCTTGCAAAGCATCGACATTCCACTCGGTCAGAGCAGAGTGAGAAGCCGCGATTCGCCTCTGCCACATGACGCGGAAGGAACCGTTGGCGTAAACAGACATCTCCAGGCCATTACCAGCAGTGGAGCACAAACTCTTCCGCCCGTCAACAACTGTACATTACTCGCCCATCCGCCTTTCGCTTTCCGCATGCTCGATACAACAGCGCACACCAAATTACACGACTCGCCGCACCGCCCGAATTCCAGTGTGAGACGCGCGACGCCGCTTCCCTTAAGGCCGCTTGCCTCCTGCAGCGACTGTCAGCAACGACTACTCCTACGTTCACACCATATTCACGACACACAAAACCGCAACTATGCCGCCGTCCGGACGCAAGGGCAAGACCCGCGCACGACGAGCGCCGGCCGCCGAAGTCCACGAGCCGTCCGATGCAGAGACCCCCGAAGCCATCGCGACCCCGTCACGCTCGTCGAGAAAGCGAGCCAGAGGCGGCAACGAAGCAGCTGCGCCGGCTTCTAGGAACACTCGGCGCAAGACCAAGGACACGAGAGCTGTAGATCGAGAGGACACAGAGGGCACGGAGCCGCAAGAGCAGAGCGATGCAGAAACGGAGGCAGCACTGCCGGGAGAGGCGGAAATTATCGCGCATTTGAAAGTGGCCGACAGACAGGTCAACGCGACAGAAGACTACGCAAACGAGCTACTCGAGGGGCAGGAGAGCGTGCCAGGATATGGCAAGATTGCAGGTCGCGACTGGGCGTTCATCATCCGCAAAGTCGAGATCAACATTGGGCGGCCAGAGGCTTCGGAACGCTTGCCCGTCGATGACGGTACAGGACAGCCGTCAGGCCCAGGTGCCAGGACAGTAATAGACATTGATCTGGGCCCGGATCGGCAGGTCTCGCGCTCTCATGCAATCATCTCCTACGACGGGGAGCTCCAGCGTTGGTACATAGTAGTCAACGGGCGGAATGGCTTGCATGTGGACAACAACCTCATGAAGCGTGGATCAAAGACATACCTCCGGAACGGAAGCGTGATTGAGATCGCAAAGACTCAGATGGCCTTCATAACCACACCCACCGAAGAGGGCGAACAGCCGGTCTTCGATGCTTCGATCGTTAGGCAGGCTCAGAAGTCATCGGAGGAGGACGACGATGGAGAGGATGATCCTCGTTCGGCCAACTACCGTCAGCCCGGCCATCCCACTGCGCGCAGCCAGCTGTCCAACTCCGCTATGTACGGAGATGACCAGAGTGGTCAGCAGCGCCGTCCGCATCCTCACAGCGGCCAGACCCAGTTTGGCGCTCCCGGTACGCCAATGCGCGCTCAGCAGGCTATCATGAAGTCTTCTCCAGCGGCCAACTACGCGCGTGGTATCACGATGGAGTCTACTGAAACGATCGACTATTCTGCAGATGGTGCGAAAGATCTTAAGCCACCACACTCGTACGCACAGCTCATCGGCATGGCCATCCTCAGCACGCCCGAGCAGCAGATGACGCTCAACAACATCTACAAATACATCATGGCCAACTACGCCTTCTACCGCTTCAACACGGGCGGCTGGCAGAACAGCATCCGCCACAACCTCAGCTTGAACAAAGCCTTCACCAAGATCGCTCGCCGTACTGACGAACCAGGTAAAGGCATGAAATGGATGATCGAACCCAGCGAATACGACACCTTTATTCAGCAAGGCATGAAAGGCTGTCGTCGCCCGAACCCCATTCCAGGCACTCAGAGCACGCTCGGCTCGCCTCATAGCCCGATGCAGTTCGCGCGTGCCGGTGCCAATGGTGGGATCAAGCGTGACGACGATGTCACGCCGCCCATGAACGCCTACCGCCAGCCTTACCCTACAGCCACCGAGGCGTATACTCCCGACCGCGGATCGTCGCGCGTCATGGCTGAGCCGTCAAGCGTCGGTCTCGGTATCAACGGCCATGTCGACGGCGCGGGAGGACCAGAGTACGACTACATGGGCAGCCTTACGCGCTCGACCCCGCGCCGTAACGGCTTGACCGCCATCGCGCACGCCGCTGGCTCGCCCCCAGCTCTCTTCGTCAGTGAAGAAGGCCGCGTGGGTGGCGGTCTGGATACGCCCTTCCCGCTCCGTCCGACGCAAAGGCTCGCGCCGCCTAGTACTTTGCGCCGGCCGAGCGATTTCATTCAGTTCAGTAGTCCTGCTCCTTTCTGGAAGATGGAAGGGTTGGTGGGGAGTACGCCGTTCAAGCCTTTCGATCTGAGTCCGGTGAAGAGTCCGTTTGGGCAGTTGGTTAAGAAAGGGGAAGCGAAGAAAGAAGAGGAAGGGGAGGCGAAAGAGGAGAACGGAGAGGAGCATGAAGATGGTGACGAGGATGAAGATGAGAAGGACGAAGAGCAGGACGGTAAGGTCAGCGCAGAGCCAGAGGGCAAGCAGAGTCCAGTGGTGCCTTCAAGTAGTCCTCCCAGGCTCATGGGCGGTGAAGATGTTGAGGGTCCGGACAGCCCTACGCTCAGCCGTCCTGCGACTGCGGTGGCGAAGACGCTCAGCCAGCTTGCTTCCAGTGGAAAGGAGCCTGCCAGACAGAATGGCCTATCCACTAATGGCAACGTCAATGGCAGCGCACAGAACAGTTTCGCCTCCGCCACCCCAGCTGCTTCAGCAAGCAGAGAGGCAAGCGCAGCCCCCGCGCACCGCAACGGTACACCAGACATGCAAACCAACCACTACACCCCCAGTACCCTAGCCAACAGCAGCGGTGCATACAACTACACCCACGCCCCTGGCCCCGGCCCTGCGCATCATCATCACCACCATTATCAGCCACCTCCACAGCAACAGCAGGAGACGAACGGCTACCACCCCGACGCAGGTCCGACGTCCGCAGCAGCTGGGGGGGAGGAAGACGGGATTGATCTGGCGAAGTAAGTATCATCTCCACCACCACCCCACCACAAACCCCTCTTCCTTTTGCGAAGATGGCTAGCGCTGACAGGGCAAGCAGGGGCTTTCAATCCATCGGCTCCTTCCACCAACGCAACCACCTGGCGATGAGTATGGGCATGGGACCTGGGGCGGCTGCGGGGGGTCCTGCCGCAGCAGCAGGGTATGGACGGTAGTATCTTGCTTGTCGCGCTGTTTATGGGCCAAGAAGCTTTTGTTGCGGCAAGGGCTTTGGAGTGAAGCGTTCGCTTTAGTAGCGAGAGTGTTAGACGGGTGCATCAGGGGGGATATCGCAGGGGCTTGCATGGAGGATTTGGAGACACGCTTTTGCTTGTATGACGAAGACGCTTTGTACATGAGTTTTCGATGATGCCTCAATGGAGGGGGCTTCTTATAGCGTTCGTTGCTTGCTTGCATGTGGAATACGAGGACTATGGCTCGCCAGACCTTTGGTTCAACCGTAAATATCAGACTCGGATGTCTTGTTTCAACCTGCTGTCCGCTATTTCTACACCGTTTGTCGCGCCATGGAGCGAGTGAGAGCAACACGTCAACTCAACAGAATGGATTCAAACAGTGCATCTCATGAGAACAAAAGCTAATGCCCACGCTACATGCACCAACAACAACTAACCCGAGCCAGTTTTAATGGCCACGCAAGCAAGCCAATACCAAGAAGCCTCGCGCAAGCCCAAGCCCAAGCCCAACCCAGCGAGTCGCGCCTGGTGCCCAATCCCCCAGTCTCCCAAGACGCCCCAAAACCCGGCTGGTAGAAATACAGAAAGTACTAGTTACGTTCTTCGTCTCCCTTTCCCTTCAGCAAAAATGATCGCTCGAACCGTAACACAGTAACGCCCATGCAGAACGATCGTCCAGTAGTGAACGAAAGGTAGGGTCAACCGAGCCCTCCCATCTCCACGTCCCCATCCGCGTCTAAATACGCCTCCACCTCCATATCCATTCTCCTCTCCTCCTCTATCCCCCACTGCCTCAATTCCTCCCAGTCCATGCCCGTCCGCTGCATCAGCAGCTCGTGGTGCTCCCAGAAGAAGCGTCCCTCTAACCACCGATACGCAGTCCCCAGCGCCTCTGCATCCGGATCCGGCGCCGCAGAATCAAGCAGCTGATAAAAGAGCCCTTGTCCGTGCTACGATATCCGCTCTAGCAGCTGCTGCTGATACTGCTCCCTCTGTAGCCGGACCCTCTCGTCGCGGAGGCGGGTGGATTCCCAGGGATCCCGCCACTCGATGGCGTTGCTGTTGTCCGTGCTGCGCAGCAGGTCCACGCCCTCGATCGGCTGGCCGTCGTCGGGGGTGCGGCATTTCTTGAGGCCAAAGTCGATGATCAGGATGCGGCCGTCTTGGGAGGTGGCGACGATGCGGCGGTAGTCGGATTTCGCGGCGAGCATCCACGAGGTGGTCCATTCGTCGGCGCGCCAGATCTCGGCGCCGGTGGTGAAGTCGTAGACGCGGATGTCGAGGTCGTAGGAACCCGAGACGACGCGGTTGTTGGCGCTGTCGAGCCAGAGGGAGCGGACGAGCTGGGAGTGGCCAGTGAATTGCTTGACTTCCTTGCCGCTATCGGTTTCGAATTTGTAGGTGATGGTGTCGTTGCCGCCGGCGAGCACGTATTTCATGTCCTCGCTGAACTCAACAGCCGCGAGACCGCGCTCCTTGGCGGAGAACTCTTTGACGAGCTTCATGGTGTCCAGGTCCCACAAACGTGCGATGCCGTCGCCGCTGGCGCTAACAAGGTACTTGCCGCGCATCTGCACAGCGTTCACTGGACCTCTATGTCCACTGAGCTCGCCCTTGGCTTCGTACGTCTCCCGGTCCCAGACGATAATACGGGAGTCCTTTGAGCAGGAGACGATGTGCTTGGCGTCGAGGGCGACATCCAGAACGCCGCCGGTGTGCTTCCTAAGACGCTTGATCGGTTCGTATGTCTTGATATCCCAGACGATGAGGTCGGAGTCCGAGGAGCCAGTGACGAGAATTTTCTCGTCATACTGCAGGCAAAGAATGGAGGCATCGTGCCATTGGCTGGGCACGTGGTAGATGGTGTGGCCGTATGCTGTGCCGTTGACGCTGGCAGTGGCAAGGTGAAAGTCAGGGTAGTCGACCGTGCGGAGGACCTTCGGGCCAGGAATAGGCTTGACGTTAGGACCCCCAATGACCCGCTGACATGTGAAGTTGTTGATGTCCCAGACACGGATGGTGCGGTCGCGCGAGCCTGTGATGATCTTCTCCTCGTCAAACTGCACGCAGTAGACGCTGTCGGTGTGGCCGGAGAGATATACGGCTTTGCCCGCACCCGCCGGTCCCTGTGTCCAGTTCTTGTCCAGCAGTGTCCTTGCCTTGTACATTCTCTTCCATTGCTGATTCGGCTTGTTCGGTCTTCCTGCGCCGGCCCCTCCAACTTGAATTGGTGGTGGGTCGGTGTAGACCTGTCGCTCGTATTTGCGGAGGAAGGCTGAGCGCCAGACCGACGTCTCAGAAACGAGTGCCTTCCAGGTAGGGCTGGTGAGCTCGCAGTTGACGAGGTCTTTGGCGTCCAGATACTCGAAGATCTGGAGGCTGATCTCGCTGGGTAGTATGGTAACGAGTGGATCCCGAAGGCGTTCGTCAATGGTGGTGTCCATAGCAATATCGCCGTCTATGTCTTTGGCCGACGCATCCGAGCCTGCGTATGATGATAGGTCTGCACCGCTATCTGCTGCACTGCTAAGAGAACCGAGACGACTCCGCCGGGCGTTGAGGTCGTCTTGTCCAGCCCAGGTGTTCTCGCCGCAGTGTGGGAAGTTCTTGGAGGCGGCAGCTGCCTGCCTCGCACGTTCTCCACCAGTCACCGACATTGCAATTGCGGAAGCTGTAGAGCGCGACGCCGGTCGTACAAGCCCACCAAATGCAGCAGCCGGGGCAGGCGTGTCCTTGCGGTCGGTTTGCTTGAAGAAATGGCGATTGAGTTTGGCAGGTCGGTCACCCTCGTGGATGCCATTGCCGTTGCGCTTGGAGGGTGACGTGGGCGGCACAGGCACGCCCGATCCCTTGGGCACATGCTTGCACGTATCCACACCCTGAGGTGTGCTGGCTCTCCGTGCCTTGCCGGACCATGGCATGCTCTGTCTGACATCGTTCACGCGCTCTCTGGCTGTCCTCGAAAATCTCCGCCCAAGCGAGTGGCTCTTGACGGTTGTGACTCCTTCGGGTACGGCAGGGATATTCTCCAGCTTGAATGCGGACGTTCGCAGTGCCCGCTCTGCCCTTATCTTGTCCGCCTCGGCCGCCACGTCCGCCGACATGGGAAGCCCATGCTCGCCTATCCTCACTGGCTGACTTTCAGAGGGGTGCAGGTGCGCGCCATTGTTTGCTCGAGACGGTGCTTCTGATCGTATCATCCACTCGGATATGTTGGTGGTGGTGTCGTCACGGGACAACCTCCTGTCCGCCGCTTCTGGCAGCACTCCAAGGCCTTGCCATGACCCTCGCGGCGTTCGATTTTGGTCGATATTCTGCTGGGCGGTGAAGGTTGGCGAGGAGAGCGCGTGGACGGAGTGTGGTCTCGAGTCGGGGCTGACACGGGGTCGCTGGAGCGGCAGCGAGTACTGCTGGCCCCACGGGTTTTGCTGCATTGTTGCGAATATGGCAGGAGCCTGGCGAGTTGAATGGGAAAGAGCGATGGAGGTTGAGAAGATGGCAAGTTCTTCAACGAACGACAAGGGTGCCGAAGGTAATTCTAGGGATGCGGTCGGGCGGATCCTCACTTCACGTGGATGAGATGCGGATGAGGTAAGGTGAACGCCGGCGTTCCAAGGCTGACGCAGCAATGCAGATTATATTAAGACGCTGGAAGGAGCGTGGGAAGTTGGAAAAGAAGGGAGCGGTGTGCTGGTGTCGTGGTGGTGTTGTGGTGTTGTTGTGGTGTGGTGGCGGCGAGGAGGGATGGTAGCTGAGGCCAGCTCTTGGTTGGCAAAGGACTGTGGACAGGATGTGACGCTTCTGCGGCGACGGCGGAAATGAATGTCTGAAAGCCTTGACTCGATTCCCCTTGGGCTGTTTCGTCGCTTTCCCGCAGTGCTGGCGAGGGGAGGGTCTGGTGCTATTTATCAACGAGTCTGGCAGTCCTCGAGGCGGTGGATGCGGTGGATGATGACAGTCTTCATGCGAGGAAATGGCGCAGGTGCAGCGTGCAGAATATTGGCAGACTTTGAGCGCGGTGAAGCTGTTCCAAGGTTCGAGGGCCAGTTGCGCCTTTCATTGGCCCGGTGTCAGCGTGAGCCGAACTCGTCCCGTGGAGCTACTGTAGAACTATTCACGGCGCCCGCCGAACTGGCACGCAACCACCCTTGCCTTCCCCAATATTATCGACGACACCCGGTGTTTGGTAGGCTGTTGAAGCTACCAGAACAACGAATGCACCATCTTCGATTCAATCTGGCCTACGGTTCATGATAAGATCATCACCTCAAGCCACCCAACAACTTGTTCCAAACAATCTCGAACAACAATCACATGCTCCCGCCCCCCGTGCCAACACATCCGCGTCACCAACAGTCATCACCAGCCGCGAGCTATATGCACAACAACACCTGATCGCAGCATACTCCGGCATCTTCCACCTCAACTTCTGGACTCAGCATACTGCGGCACCTTCCAAACCTTTTCAACCTCTGGACTTCTCACGGGGTACCCCCGGCCACAGACATCCCGCCGCATTCGCCACAATCCGGCCAGACCGAAACCTCGATCAGGACGACACCACCAAACCATGGCACCTCGCACCACCACCACGACTGCGCCGGCCATCCCCCTCCCCTACCAGCTCTTCTTCCTCTACATCGAACCCGTCGCCACCGCCATCGGAGCCTACTACGCCCACTTCTCCCAACCGGCCTACACCACCATGACCTCCTCGCTGCTCCCCTCCGCCCTCGCAACCCCTGCCCTCACACCCGTCTCCACCACCTCCAGCATAATCCTCACACAGCTCGCAAACCTCTACCTCGTCTTCGCGCTCAACGAAGCCCTCGTCCTCCGCTCCACCTCGGACGTCCGCGTCTGGAAAGCCTTTCTTTTTGGACTGCTGGTAGCGGATCTCGGGCACTTGTTTAGTGTAAGACAAGCGGGGCTGGAGGTGTATTGGGAGGTGTGGAGGTGGAATGCTATGTACTGGGGGAACCTTGGGTTCGTGTATGTGGGGGCGACGATGAGGACGCTGTTTTTGGCGGGTGTGGGGTTGGAGGGGCCGAGAGGGGGGAAGGTCAAGGGGAGATGAGTGTGGTAGTGATGGTATAGATTGAAGGCTACCAGAGACGTTTTACCACGACCGCTGGTTCCGTGCGCCGCGTCGTTATTGTTTCTCTTCTCCGCAAAGCTAGCTTCCAGCTCTACCAGTGTATCGGTAGGTGTCCGCTGTCGTCCGTTTCCTTGGGTCTGTGACCATAAAACATCAAGTTCTCGGACTCCGACGGCCTGGGATATCTGGGGAGAAGGCGGGGTCGTCCACTTTTGCTGGTTTCCAACCTCATGCCCTTGAGCGATGGCATGGCGTCTCCCGCACTCTTGGAGATGTCCCCCAGAGTCTCGAACATGTCGACTTCGATTCGCAGTCCCATCTGGTCTTTGATGACTCAGTCCTGAGATCGAGCCACTGTTGGCAGATGGCGTGCTTCTCTGGCCCAGTTGAGACTGCTGTATCGATGATCCCATTGACTGGCCTTTTTGTATGGGCTCTTCTCGCCCGTGATCAGCGCAGTGCGTAGCTTGCTGCTCAGCCTTCTAGTCCTCCCAAGGCATGATGAATCTTCCATTGCAACATCGTGCTTCCTCATCCATCCTTGTGTCGTATCTTCTTCGCCGCTGCCTCGCTCCCTTCACGGCCGATCATCATAAAAAGTCCTAGGTTGCGAAAAGTTGTTCCTCCCCCGACTGCTCTTAACCCTCTCAAACGCCGGCTCATGCACCTCCCTCTCCTCCACACCCCCATCCTCACTCTCCACCCCCTTCCACAATCGCACCTCACTAGGCGCCGAAGCACTCGCACTCCTCTCCCCCTCACTCCCCTCTACCGCCGTAACAACCGTGCTCGACCTTCCGTGCTTCATGTCCCAATCGTCCGCCATCGGATCACCACCCGGACTCCGAGTCATCTCAATCTCCATCCGCGAAGACTTCCTGCTGCTCAGGCCGCGACTCGTGAACGGTTCGGCGAGGACTTTGCGCAGGAAGACGCGGAGGGCGGGGAGGGAGGCGCAGATGATGGAGAGTTGGAGCTCGAGCTGGGCCCAGATGTAGGCGTCGAAGATCATCCAGCTGACGTCGGAGTCTATGCCGACTTCTGTGAGGACTATTAGTGACGGACATGGTAAGGTAGATGGGAGGGGAAGGCGTACGCCAGAGATAGTAGGTTCGAACGCCGCTTGCGCCTACAACGAGCAGACCCAGGCAGAAGATCAGGTTAAGTGCTATCTTCTGCCGTCGTGGGAGGTCGAAGTGTCTTGTCATGAGGCACGGCAGTGCCACGGCGTATAGATCGCTCAGAGCGGCGAAGATGCCAGCCAGTAGATTGACAACCGTGGTATTGACGCACTTGTACTCCTCAGTCCACAAGAGATCGAAGGACTTCCAGTATGCTCTCGTCGGATTGCAGTTGAAGATCAACATAAAGATGAACGTCAAAGTCCAGGCAGCCGTAAAGATGATCGCAGCAATGACCGCCCACTTCCACCGTCGACTGTAGGTTCCAGCGACTAACCGGCGGTAGAAGCACAGCACGGAGATCTTCGTCAAGGCCCCGGTAACCAGGGAAGAGAACTGCGCGAGCCAGGCCATGAGGGCGATGTATTCGAAGTTCTCGAGCGGGATATCCCAGGCGTGTCGGCCAGTGTTGTAGGCAGCAGTGCAGACGATAAGGACAGTTGTGAACATGCTAGATCCGAACCATGCTGCTGCTAGAAGGCCGTCGTCGAGCCCGAGGCCGCCGGCTTGTTTGAGGACTCGGAGCCATAGTCGTAGGGCGATCAGCAGTGTGCTCACGCCGTAGAGAACGCCTGCATAGACTGGCATCCATCTTCGTTCGACTGGGTCAACGTAGTTTGGCCTGGTGGAAGAGGTTAGTGAGTGGTCGAGATGTGTATTGCAATGTGTGTGTTTACTCCGGCCATGAAGCTATCGTCGCCGGTGTGATGTTTGCGATATTGCCAGGCATTGCGTCGGTTCGAGCCGCAATGGTACGATGTTGACTCGAGAGTCAAGGTGTGAACATTCACAAGACGTCGACTGTTTCTCCGTCGTTTCAGACCATTGCTCCAGATGCGCGACCCATCCGTTCGAGGAAGAAACAAGCCCGCCCACAACGATTGCGAAAGTCGATCATTTTGATGACCCAGCTTCTGCAGAGCCCCAGAACTGGGTGGTCGGGCCATATGTCTCGCTTGATTCAGAAATGCACGTAAAAGGCTCTAGGACTAGTAGACGGAAGTGTGCCCATTCGTCCATTCGGGTCTGAAATGGGGCTGCTGACACCTATTTCGTGTTTGACCTCCTTAAAGTCGCGTTTTAGGGCAGCTGCCGAGCGCATTGGTCGCCTTGCTTCGGGCAAGGTTGGATTTGCGTGGAGGAAGATCGACAGCTACCAACACTCTGTTGAGTCAGTCTCTGTCAGCTGGAAGGAAGCATTTCGATGGCTTGTGACGGTGCTGCTAACGATGCAAAGACACATGCGCACAGGGATAGTGCCCCAACAGAAAAACTGCACAAATGTGTTTTGAAATCATTCCCGTCGCCTCCGGAGGCGAGGACGAGACTCCCGGTCCAAAACACGGAGAAGAAGCTGGCTGCAAGCTATGGGCGCCGCAGAAGAACCTTAAATTGTTCCCTGAGCTTCGAGACATGCAATGTTACGTTCAACAAGCGTATGCCGAACGCCTCAGCTCGTAATCGCCGGGAGAACCTGACAGGTTCTTCACCAAGTTTTGCTGATACATCTTGGTGCGCATCGCTCGGCAACACGTCCTAGCCAAGCGTGAATGCCTTGCTGATGACCAGCAACAATGCTGCAATGGACTGTATCCGCTCGATTACCGGTGTGACGGGCGCTCAGCTTGACAGAGGCCGCGCCAGCTTCTCGCAAGCTCGCTGTGCTCGTTCACAGTTAAACCCTGGTCAACGGTAGACCGCGATGGTGATCCTGGCAGAGATTGGAAGCGAGGCGTTACGCTGACATGGGGGCGACGGGCAAGAGGCGAGAGGTCCGGACGGTAACAGCCGCCACCTCTTTCGCTCTTTGGAAAAAAGCTGATGTGCAAGAAGAAGCATCAGAAGCTGAAGGACGCAGAGAAGACCAGACGGGCCCGCTGAACTGCCTGCACAGGATGCCCGACCTAGCGATTTGTGTGCAAGGGCTTCCAGAGTGGCCTTCGGATGACAACGTGTCGCTACCTTTGTGTTTATCTCTAGATTTAGTGCCCAATAGATATCGCGTCTGCGATCATTGCGATGGCGCCGACGACACTCAAGCCCGACGGAGAGTCTGGGTGAAGATGTGGTTTGTCGAGAACAAAAACGGAAAGGAACTCGAAAGGTCGAGGCTCCCCATTTAAGCTCAAGCTATTTGCGGCATCCGCGGGCCAGCCCGGCCCCTGCGTCTAGCCTTCGATCTGGAACTCGAGGAAAGTTGTCGTTCATCCGACGATCAGCATCCCCTTGAACGAGGCTCGACACCGACAAGAACATCGCACCCAAACCACGATAGACCGACAGAGCGACGTCGAAAGCGCCCGCGATCGTTCTGAAGGGGACCTGGCCCGCGCGAGACGCGCCCAACCTCCACCACCATGAACCTCCTATACTGGAGCCTCGGCTTCTTCCTCTCCATCTCCTCCACCACGTATGCCGCTGCGCCCAAGGAGACAGCAACCCCCGAGCCATGTACAATACGATCACCCCACACCGGCTCCTTCTTCGACCTCAATCCGCTACACATACCCGACCCGAGGACAGTAAAGTCCAAGAATGCGCGGGACTATAGTTGGAACGCCACGGGATGGGACATGGGATATAACTTCACCATGAACTTTTGCGGAGGCGTGGTGGAGCGGCTAGAGGATTTTGGAGGTGTGGAAGGGGTGGATAAAGATTTGTGGAGGAATGTCAGCGCATACTACAGGCAAGGGGGGAAGGTGTACAGTATAGGGTGAGTGAGAGTGCTAGGAGATACGGTATGAGGAGGACGCGGTGCTGATGATGATGATACAGACAGCAGAACACGTCTCCTGTCATCCGAGGCCGAAAGATGGTGATGAACTACACGAACGGCTCGCCCTGCCCTGAGCCACGGAAACGAGCATACCTGGGAGACGAACTCGACACTCGAGAAATCGTCGGCGATGACAAGGACGACGACGAAAGCGACCGGCCAAAGGTGCCCGGCCGAACCAAAACAACGATCATCAGCATGCTCTGCGACCGAGACCCACTGATGCCCCAACTCACCCTCTCCTTCATCGCAAGTCCGGACGAGTGCACATACTTCTTCGAAGCACGATCGTCAGCAGCTTGCGCCGGGATCCAGCAATCAACCCAAACACTCAGCCCATCAGGAGTCTTCGGCGTGATCATGATGATTGCGATCATCGTGTACGTCGTCGGTGGTTGCGTCTACAGCCGCATGGTGCTTAACCAGCGCGGATGGAGACAGCTCCCGAACTACAGCCTGTGGGCCGGCATATTTGGGTTCTTCAAGGTACGTGATACCTCGAGCTATTCGTGCGTTGCCACATACATTCACGGAGGGTGATGAGATGTATACTGACTTTGTCAATGCAGGACATTGTGATCATTGCAACTTCTTCGTGTGCTCGCTTCATGCCTTCGAGAAGAGGGTATAGCCGCGTGAATGGCGACATAGGGGGTATGGGCTCCGGCAGGTCGGGCAGGGACAGCGAGTCTGCGAATAGATTGATAGATGAGCTGAATGAGGATTGGGATGATGAGTTTTGATGTCTTCTTGGATGTCGTCGATATAGCTTGCTTAGCGATGTTTGAACACAACCTTCAGTACTCCATCCATCAGACTATTCTTTCTCATCTTCGTCAAATGTTTCTTAGGGCCTTGAGTGGTAAGAAGCAGGTCGTAGGTCTGTTCATCAGACCATTGACTTGGGACGAGTCAAACACGAAGTAGCCCATTGTCAATTGGTGGGACTTCGACGTGGCTTCTAGAGTATCGCGAAATATCCTTCAGGTTTCGGGCTTGTGGTTGAAGCCCCGTTTCTTTGCCTCTCCACTAGCGCCAACGGACACGGTGTGTCCTCCGTGCTGGGGACTCTTGCTTTCATAAATCTGCAAGGCCATGCTTGGCAGACACGCAGACACCATTCGAGACAATATTGCCATAAGGTGTCGGAGATCTGGCTGCCAGGCGAGACAAGGCCGGCGACTCTGGCCAACTGCAACAAGTCTCCATCGACAATCGAAGCCCGTCTCAGCCAGCAAACACCTACCCAAGCGATGAAGTCCGCATTCAGGGCAGAGAGCCTCACCAGCAAGGCTCACGATCACCCGCCTGGACCACATATGCCCTGCCATCCGCCGTCGAAGCGACGAACTCTGTCCCGCCAAGCTGCAACACCACGTAGTCCAAAGTATAATTTTTGCCAACGCAGCAAATGAGATGGTTTTTGAATCAGCAAACGATTCCGACGGTATGGATCTGATGCGCAACATGCCTCTCACGTGCGCTTTAGCCGGTTCGCTTGCGGCCGCAGCGGCCAACGGAGGACTCTGGTGGCGTCAGGCTCCGTGGTTTCGGGGCCGCGTCAGGCCGCGTGCCGGAACGGGTGTGAATTTGTGAAAGCTTGGTGTAGCTGCTGGATTTCTTTCGGACCGACGACACTTGCTCTGGTTTGCTGATGATCCTGATGCTGGTGTTGGACTGGCCAGAAGCGGCAGGCTGTCTCATCGATGGTATGAAGCTCCATGCGCCTGAAAACTTCTCGGACAGTCCCTAGAACAGCCTCCAAGAAGGGAGACGACGCGGGACCTTCCTCGCTTGGACTGCATTGCAGGTTTGTCGTAGAGTCGTCTGGACAGATGGAGCCAGGACAAGATCGGTCGGCGCCTCGGAGAAGGACTGCAAGGACTGATATACCGTTCGCTGATCTCGAATGCTGGGAAGATGTCATTGAAGGCCTGGGCTCGACTGTAAGTTGGAGCCGCTCCATCGAATACAGTTTGCGCTGCCGCGGAGCGTGGCACCCATCCAATGCTCACTCGTCGAGCGGCATGGATGGGCATCCAGAACAGATTCTCAGGTGTCGGAGCTTGGCCGTGGCAGACAGCTCTCGTATTGTCTTAGGAGGTACAACAACTCCGAGACGACTTCAACTTGTGCGGGAACGTTGGCCAGTCTTGTGAATGGATGGGCAATACGACGAGCGCCAGCGACCTAGAGCAGACGGGGTTTATCAGACAGTCAAGGTTCTCGTGTGGTCCAGGCTTCAAGGGTGCAGGCTGTACGACTGATTGACTGTATGGAGCTCATGTCCAGGAGGAATAATCAGATGATTGCTGTTCGATCCTAGTCTGCCAGAAGAGCTTGCAGGTCGATGCTTGAACCTATCTGATGGAGGGGCTGGCCAGCCGCTGCTTGACGCATTGCATTGCATGATCCTAGACGCCACACACGCAGAGCAGGATACGCTCCGTTTGTCTGACTTACATGCCACTTCAATGACGCGATAATCTCCTCCAGGAGTCGGACTGGCTCGTAGAGAGGTCTTGCTCAAGTGTTGAGAAGGTATGGGAAGAGGTGAGGTGAAGGATAGAGTTTCAGCGCCTTGGGCTCTTTCCGCACCGTCCAACCTCCTGGTCCGCGGAGCCAGCACACTGGGTATGTAGCCGAAGCTTTGGACAACGCACTCATTGCATCCGCTTCGAAAGCGTTTGTTGGCTTCTGTACTGTTCCAAGAGGTCCCCATGGGTCGCTCACCTCCCTCATAGCACCTTGAGTAAGAACAAGCTATCTCAGCGCCACGATGGCCCCCTGGAAAGAGCCGTAGGAGAGCATCAATACCGGATTGAGGGCAGGGTGTGCCTACGACAGACAGGTCTATCTGTCACGCGTGTCGCGGCCAGACTAATACTGGTAAGAGACGGTTAGTGTTTGCAGTGTAGCAGAAACATCAAGCCATGGCTCCAATATATTGGTGTCAGCGAGCTGCCCTCCGTTCGTTCTACGCAGCATTCGCTGCTTCATTCACAGCCCATGCCTGCCTATAAGTAATGCTCATCGTACCATACTCATCTCCTTTCTTCACCCTCGCCCCCAAGACCAGTCCCGCCAACCCACAGTCTTCTCTCCCTCCACGCCACCAACGTTCCAATCCAGCAACCACCAACATGTACGTCTCAACCATCCTCGCCCTTCTCGCCAGCGGCCTTACCCCCACTCTCGCCGCCCCAACCCATCACAACGGCGGCAAGAACACACCACACGGCAACACCTGCGGCAACCACCACAAGAAGGCCTGCTGCAACGGCATGGAAGGCGTGGCGGTCATTGGGGCCAAGTGAAGCTTGCTCAATTCTTGTAAGCCTTTACATTTCCCCTTTCGGTGGAGACATGAGGGAGGAGCATAACGGCTGACAACAGGACAGTGGGCGGAATCTGGAACGATGGGAATGTGCAGTGCTGTAGTGTCGATGAGACGGTTAGTACCACCCGCGGGCTCTGTACAAAGGAGCGGCGCTGACTAGGGTGTAGGGTGCGCTGAGCTTGTTGAACTTGTGTGTGCCGGTGCAGGTACTTTAGGCTGGTTGTTGAGGCGGTCGTGGAGCTGCGAGAGCGGATGGATGTACAAGTACTGCGGTGGGGGTCATGGCCCATCGTGGTGGAGAGCGGCGCTTCAGGAGAAAGTGTTAGCTTTGGAGGTGCCGGTTGGAAGCCCGCAGTCACTCATTTGGTCAGTCTAGTAATGGAAGATGTTTCTAGAGCATGCGCAGTCGTTCATCGTCCGAGAGCACCATTTTTCTTCCTGCTCGTGGTCCTTCAGGTATGCATTTGACCGGGTCTTGAGCATTGCATACGCTCGTCATGTGAGCTGGTGGACGTCACCCTCGATGAGGCACAGTTCCTGCTCCTGCCGTATTGAGAAGCCAGCGTCGTTATGGCGACCACGCTCATATGATTGTATAGTTAAGCGGTTAAGCGTTTAAACCGCACAACAAAACAACAACAACACATTGATTCAAGAGTATAGCATCACATACCATTGACAACATTACAAGTTGCATTCAAGTTATCAAAAACATACCTTAGCTGAGGAGCTCAACCCACAATGTTGGCCCCTTTCCGTGGGGTCAGCCACACCAACAAGAGAACCCGTCCTCCTCTCCCACCAACTACATACCGTGTACTTGGTATCGAAAGCTACAATAAGACCCACACGGCTTGCGCCTGCAACGACTTCCATTGCTTCCACCTAGCAGCCAACATTGCGCCTCGTCCACGCATCTCCCCAATTTACAAGCAATCCACCGAGCCATTGACCCAAGATGAAGAAGGCGCTTCTACGGCGCAACCGAACAATACCTCCTCAGACAATCTCCCAGCGATCGACTCCGAGCAAGAGACCGACCTGCGCTTCCAGGAAATCGAAGACTGGCTCCGTGAGCATGGTGCCGTCTTCCGCAACCATGCCGGCCAAGGCGTAACGCTGGACGACCTGGACTGGGACATTCGTGCCGGGGTAGTTGAGTTCTTCACGCGGCATCTGGCGAGCCAGGCGGAGGGGTGTGGGCTCCATACTGTGAAGCTGAAGTGGGTCCAGGGAGTACTGGGGCCTTTTGAAGCTCGATTCCACAGCGAGTTCCAGAGCGAGAGGAGAGACTCGGTGGTCGAAGCGGAGTCTGAAAATGAGGAGGTCCAGAAAGCGAGAAAGAGGACGGAGAAAGGAGATGATCTGCTAGTCTTACCTACCGTTGGTTTTGGAGAAGATGCAAACCAACTAGAAGGCGAGACAGCTCCGGAAGGAGAAACCGAAGCAAGACCAGCAAACCCGATCTCCACACTGGAGCAAGCGACATCCGCCATGCCAGAGCAACCGGAGAGCTTACAAGTCTTCGGAATCGAGCGTGTGCTCGTCCGCACGCTGCCGGGAATCGAGAAGTTCCTGCACCCCTCGAAGCTTCGAACCAAGACGCTCTCAGCGCTGCGCTACAAGGAGGCCTTGCGGAGCAGAACCCGGCCAACCCGCCAGAATCGAGAGTTCACGCCTGTGGGCCATGTGAGGATGTACAACTCTGCACACTATCCCCTCGAGATCTGGGTAGAGGACCGGCTGGTGGGATCAGGGAGCAAGGTCGGCGCGGCGGTGAGAAGGCGATCGGCGGCGAGCGAGGTTGTATGGGATCCAGAGGGCGTGATGTGGAAACCGAGGAGGCAATCCGACGCCGGTATGTATATGGAGTTGTGGTAGGCGGGAAACGCCGGACGGTGTCTGATGGAGCCAATGGTGGCACAAGATATACACATTGGGCAGCCTTGTCTTGGAAAGACGGCAATGGGAGATCAAGGGAAGTGTTTGGGGGCCAGATGGCGTGAATTCCATGATGTGACACCAGAGATGAATGCTGGATAGCTTCTCGTCTATCACACATTCAAAATTATATGCAAGTAATCGTTTTCTGAGAGTCTGTGACACTCAGGCCAAGTGAAACAGACGCTGAGTGAGGTGTTTATCACAGGGACTGGAGGTGCCGTGCAGCGCGCTTAGGCGGTGGATGGCGGCGCGGATGTTCCGACGTTAAGGTTGGGCGGGTGCGCGGCCAACAGCCAGCCTTACAATTCACGTCACCCTATTCAATCCAATTCCATTCCACCAAAAAGCACTCTCATATCGCTGCAACGACTTCACTACAAATTCGACCTCATCACCAGAACGCCAGAGAGAGAAGCCAAGACGAGCCATTCACGGACAGCCCACCCATCCCACCCATCGCTGCTTCTGTCGCGGGGCAGGCCGCTCGTCACTTGGCCCTCCACCTGCCGCGCAGTCCACGACTTCACCAGCAACAAACACCCACCGCACATTGCTGCTAGACAGCAGAGAATACCGCACCCACCATGTCGCGCTCACGCCCAATGCAGCGCACGTCGAGCGCCTCCAACTCTTCATCCTCATCCACCTCTCCAGAGCGCGGCGCCGACGATGACAACGACTCTTTCATGCTGCAAGCAAACGATTCACAGTCCTCCCTTGGCATGGACATGTCCCCCGATATGAGCGACGAGTACGCAAGGAGGGAATACGAAGAGCGGTGCCGTGTGTCGCCAGTCCATCGCCTGCCCGCCGAGCTGTTGATCAGCATCTTCTCGCGCCTCACAGCAAACAGCGACCTGCAGTCGTGCTTGTTGGTCTCAAAAGAGTGGGCGCGGAACAGTGTGGGCCTACTATGGCATAGACCCGCTATGAGCAGGTGGGAGTCCATACACAATGTCGTGCAATCCATACGAAAGGCGGACAAATTCTTCGCTTATCAGGATCTGGTCAAGAGGCTCAACATGTCTACGCTGGCGAACTCAGTTAGCGACGGGACCCTGGTGGGCATGACAGCGTGCAAGCGCGTCGAACGCCTCACCCTGACCAACTGCACCAAGCTTACGGACCTGGCTCTACAACCGCTGGTGGATGGCAATCGCAGTTTGCTCGCGCTGGATGTGACCGGGCTGGATCAGCTTACAGACCGGACGATGATGACTGTGGCGGATCACTGTCTTCGACTGCAAGGGCTGAATGTCACAGGCTGCAAGAAGCTCACAGACGCCTCCATTGCTGCGGTAGCAAAGAACTGCCGGCATCTAAAGAGGCTAAAGTTTAACAACTGCATACAGCTGACGGATGCGTCGATCCTCACGGTGGCAGACCACAGCACGCATCTCCTCGAAATCGATCTCTACGGGCTGCAGAATCTGGAAAGCCCGGCCATCACCGCCCTCCTGACCTCCTGCACCCACCTCCGCGAGATGAGATTAGCACATTGCTCTCGCATCAACGATTCCGCCTTCACCGACATCCCAAGCTCTCCCGGCCACCAGAAGATGTTCGAATCTCTCCGCATCCTCGATCTGACGGACTGCAACGAGCTTGGCGATCGCGGCGTGGAGAAAATCATCCAGACTTGCCCAAGGCTACGCAACCTCATCCTGGCCAAGTGCAGACAGATCACCGACCGCGCCGTCTTTGCTATCACCAAGCTCGGCAAGAACCTGCACTACATCCATCTCGGCCACTGTGCGCGGATCACGGACCTTTCGGTCGAAGCGCTGGCGAAGGCATGCAACCGCATACGATACATTGACTTGGCATGCTGCGTCAATCTCACCGATAACAGCGTGACGAAGCTCGCAGGCCTGCCGAAGCTCAAGCGTATCGGGCTGGTGAAGTGCTCCACCATTACTGATCGTAGCATCTATGCTTTGGCCATGGGTGAAGTCAAGAATGGGCGCAGGATCAATGGTGTCAGCGTGCTTGAGCGTGTGCATCTCAGCTATTGCACCCTCTTGACTCTCGATGTAAGTCTTCTTCAACTCTGCGATGCTTTCCCAAAGCTAACATGTGTACCAGGGCATCCACGTTCTCCTCAACAACTGCCCAAAACTCACCCACCTCTCCCTCACCGGTGTGCAAGCCTTCCTCCGCGATGAACTGCTCGCCTTCTGCCGCGAGGCCCCGCCGGAGTTTAACGACCACCAGCGCGACGTCTTCTGCGTCTTCTCCGGCACCGGCGTCGGCCGCTTACGCGAGTTCCTCAACCAGCAGAAAGCGCACGCCGCCGCCGCTGCCGCTGAGCGGGAGGCGGAAGGTGAGGGAAGCTTGGGCGGGAACTCAGAAACTGGGAGCGAGATGGGAGACGCTGAGGACGGAGACGCGGTGCATGTGAATGTCCACGGCAATCACGCAGCAGGCGCCACACCCGTCGTCTTCGCGCCAGGCTGGCAACACCATGGCGGCCATCACGGTCATCAGCACCACAATTCTTTCGACAACGCGGCGGGCGCGGCAGTTGCAGGGTCATCGGTTCTTAGTCAGAGCGCCCCGGCTTCGACGCCTATGTTCTGGAGCAACGCGCCTGCGGGCCTGGGACTTGCAGGATTCGCTGGACTGGCGGGCTTCGGCAGCGCTGCTGGCTCGCCTGCTGGTGGAGGTGGAGGTGGAGGCGGTGCACAGCAGGTTACCGGTATGATGGGCGCGGCTGTGCTCGATGATGTGGATGAGGGGGACGAGGCGTTTGGAGAGGGGAGCGAGATTATGGGGGATGGGGATTGAGGTGTACGGGTGAACGGCAAGAGAGGCTGTACGAGGACGCGCGATGCGCTTGGCGATTGTAGTGGGCATCGCAGTGCTTGGTCTGGGCTGGATGGATTTTCTTGGGAGCGATATTGGGCATGGGCATTGTTATCAGCGAGCAGTCTTTTCGTGTCGCGTTTAGAGATTCCCACCAACGGCCAAAAACGGGGTATGCGGATGGGAAAATGGGGAGAGGTCGGTTGATAGCGATTCAACACTCACTGCTGAACAATTTTGACACTGTCCAGCATCCTACAGGTCTTCAAAGACCATGTTCCGCTCAGAAGGCTGTGTTGGTGCCGATGATCACGTGCATGCTTTCGGACCCTCCGGTGCACTTCACGTCCTACCATTGCTGCTTCCCTCCTCAACTTCCACTCCCCCCACACGACAACGTATCAACACTCTCATCTCCACCACACCACTCACGCGGCTCTCTCGCACAACAATGTCGCCGGCAGTACCATTTGCCGATAATTGCTTGTGCCGGCGCGTGGATTCTCAAGCTGTGCCTCATACCGGCGTCGAGAAGTCCTCAAGCGTAGGCACGATCACATCTTGATCACGACCTTATCTATTCAAAACTATACCTGGGCCGACGGACTTTGGACCGACGGACTTTAGACAGGCTTCATCTCTGGTATACCTCGGTCGCGTCTGGGAAGGTAGGACTGTGGTAGCCGCCGGCTACAGGCCTTGGCTTCCACGCCGCAATTGAGGGCTGCGTGAGCGGGATAGCATGTTTCATGGACGACTGGGCAGAGCGTCCTGGGATGCTCATGGCCACTCATCGCTGGCGAAGGCTTATGGTGACGCCGCAAATGATCCACTGCTTCTTGATGACCGACAGCTGGTCGGCCACTGCGCCTACCCAGAGGATGGCACTCCGGCGCAAAGGCTGTCGACAATCTCTTAGATTGCATCCTATGCCCAGTGTTTTAGGGATTGAAGACCACTGTTAGCCGCTGTCGACAGGCCTCAGGTTCCACGCCGCAATCGAGGGCTATATGGGCAGCACAGCATGTTTCATGGACGACCGGGAAGGGAGTCGTTGGACGAAGACATCTACTGATTGCTAGTGGTGTGCTACAGCGACGCCGCAGAGGAGGATCTCCTGCATGTCTGGAAGCCAGGAGGCTCGACACTGGCACTACCGATGAGTGTGGGTGCCGTACCGCACTTTGGTAGCAATTATCCTCCCGGGTCCACGTAGGTTGCTGTCGAGTTCGCAAGGCTCCCGGGCTACACCATATTATGTCCTCAAGGGTCAGGAACTCGGTGGACAGCTCTCATGGCTACGATAACTACGACGGGTGCTTGAGGACTATCTATTCCTCAGGAAGAAGATGCGTCCACTCCATCCGTTGGCAGCGTTCTGCGTGCCATGCATCCTCCATACAAGTTGGCCTGCTACCATATTCTCCATGCCGCAGTCATGGTTCTCTCCAGTGGAAGCGCCTTGAGCGGCATGGCAAACCTGCATCCTCCGGGCACAGCGTCGCTTCCAGCACTGCCAACAACATACGCCGCCGGCGGTCGGTCAAAATGTTGGACTCCTTCGAACTGACGGGGGTCTATTTGCCTCGCCGTGGTTCTCGACAAGCGGCGTGGACGAGCACATGGGTCCCTTCGAAAGGCACAGTATCCACGGTAAGATACATAAACAGGTGAGAGGAACGCTGGTAGGTCCTTTCCTGCTGCATATTCCATCTCAGTTGCCCTCACTTGGTTGCTGCTGCTATTGTACAATTGTTACATCCTTCTCCCACCCCAGAGCATGGCTCGTCTTCGCCAAATCTTCTTCTTAGTCGCAGCTTGTGGAGCGTCAGCAAAGCCAGTCCAGCCCCGAGCAGCCTCTTCAGCACCACTTTCGGACTTCTGCAATGCGAGTGTATCCGGACAATCAGTGGTGGCCTTCTGCAATCCTACCACCGCCGGCTCGACAGGACCCACCAACGCCGGCTCTACTACGGCTGGATCGCCCACTGCTACCTCTGACATCTCCAACACGATCGAGCCCTCCGATACCGAAGACGGTAGCCAGACGGTCGTGTCTACTTCAGCAACCACAGGTCTCACCACCGATGCTTCGACCGTCATCACTACAACGCTCTCGAATGGTGTAACGACGACTCTCACTTCTCTCGTGGTCGCCAAGTCACGCAAGACCGCTGGCAGTACTGTCATCTCCAACACTCATGGCGCGATTACGTTGCCAACCGGAAGCACGAACCCGTTTGCGATAACTTTTCCTAATGGAACCACAACTATCGTGACTCCAAGCGCTCTCGAAGTGGGCCCTTCCACATCGACTGGTCTGTCCGAAGCAACAGGCATAACGAGTGGTTCAACAAGCCTCATCACCTCCCCACCGTCTTCTTCCGGGACAGTAGGAGGCTTCCTGATTCCCGTCACAACACCTGTGCCCTCCCCAAAACCTGTTCCTGGCGGAGTCATCGTTCCATGCGACTACTTCTGGTTCTTCAATCTGTGTCCTTCCTTTGCAGAGTTCCACATTACTGGTTGGAGTATACCAGCACCTCCAGGCATCCATCCTCCGTAAGCGTACGTGTCCATCGTTCAAAGCACATGAGCTGACAGCAACTTGCTCCCTTAGCGGCCCGCCTCCGCCATTTAAGCTACCTCCGTCCATCTCGATCTCGATCCCTGCACCGCTTCCTGCATGGCCCAAGTGGACGTGAGTAGGCAGAGCGCCGCCTTGGACTTCGAAAATTGCTGACTCAAGACTTTATCAGACTTCCCCCGAATGGCATCCCAACCGTTTCACTCAAGCCGGACGAATGCAAGACCGAGACCGGGGATGTTTGCATCTACAAGACGGCTGTCAGCACCATTACCTCCGACCAGGCGACGACTACCGCAAGCAGCGTTCAGTCAACGTGTACGACAGTAGCTGGATGTGATGCAACAGGCACGTCGACATCCACTACAACGACAGCTAGCGCCACTCCGTGGGCTCTAAATTATGCGGTCTATCCACGTCACGGTAATGACTCGGATGAAGTCGCTGCCGTGGAGAGCGCACTGAAGGATCTTGTCACCGATCCGTCGCTCGTTCAAGCTTCAGAAACGAAGACTTCGGCATCAACTACTGGTCGGTGTTGATGACTGGGGACGCAGCGAAGAAGGCGGAAGTGATTCCTAATGTGAATCCGAAGTCTGACGTCTCGAGTACGCCTGTACATTTGATTCTCACCACATCGCGAATAGGTTACAATGGTGTGGCTAGATTGTCGAGACCCATGCCCAGGACATGAAGAATGCGTTAAAGAGTTCTGCTACGATCCCACGACGGCTTTGGTGTACGACGATCTCAGCTGGGCAAACTACAATGACTTTGAGTCGATGTTCTATAAACCAGAAGAGGATATCCAGAAGGTAAAGGACCAGATGACTTACCTGTCATGGCCAGATGTCCAGCGTCAAGCCCCGGAGTCCTTCATCTTCGATGATAGTGCCGGCGAAGGCGTGACAGTCTACATACTCGATACGGGCGCTAATCTCCAGAAGCCGGTAAGTGGTTGAACATCGTTTTGCAATGCGACTTGCTTACTCACCGGCGCAGGAATTTGATCATGTCCGCGAGCGAGTTCGTTGGCTCCCCGCAGACACGGTGCAAAACGATGGGAGGAGCGCGAAGCTCAAATACCATGGAACGGCTATGTTGAGTCTCATCGCAGGCAAGACGTTGGATATTGCTAAGAAGGTCAACCCGGTCATTGTACGGCTGCCAAAACCCGCAAAAGCGACGGGGTCATTCTCTCCACAAGATTTCATCGACTATCTCGGCAAGATCAACGACGACCTGGGCCCGGGATCGCACTCGCAAACGGTGAACCGGCACCGTACGGGTATGATAATGTTGGTGGAGTCCCTCATGTGCATGCACCGGTAAGTCCCACAGTCGCAGGCTGAACCGACCGCCATGATCGACATACCTGACACGAAGCGTGCGGGTACAGGGCTACAACATCCTTGTTGCGGACGGCTCTCCTGAGAACGAAAACGACTATGCCGGTGGTGGAGGAACTTCCGATGGTCAGTAATGAATGCAGCCTCGCAGAGGACCGTCATGCTGACCTTCATTCGTTTCGTTACAGCTGCAGCATATACAGCTGGACTGGCTGCATATTTCATACGATTGGCGCAGAAGGGGCAGCTCAAAAAAGCAGATGGCAGTCCCGTGCCAAACACACCACTAGACATAAAGAACTTTGTCGTCAATAGTGCGTGGTCCAGGAGGATTGCCGGCGACGACACTCGGCCAGGAATCTTCAATGGCATTGACATTGACGCCCCACGATGCCCATGGGTACCCAGTGACTCGCTTCTCAAACCACGCGCTGCTGGGACTTGCACATCTGGATCCCCGGTTCCGTCTCCAACTCAAACGACCACAGCGAAGTCGTCGACTGCAACGCACCAGCCAGCTCCAAGCGCCAGTTCCATAGTACCCCTGGTACCGCTGCCAGTCCAATGCCACAAAGCATCGAACTTCCCCGGCCACGGCGACATCTCAGGTTCGGCTGTGTCGTTCGACGCTGAAGTAACTTGCGAATCCTGGTATTTGGACACACTATCACCCGGCGATCCGCCGCTCAAGAAAACGGTAACGACGTCTGGCATCAACTACGACTTCAAGATCGCCTGGTTCGATGATTGCGACCTGCCGATTTCCAACATGACGGTGTGGAATGCAAGAGGCCTTGGTGGTGACTCGAGCACCAAATGCGCTAGTCTCTTCTATGACTGCTGGAATGATTGTAAGAGGGACGCCCTACAGGCATCGACTTGCCTTGTCATTTGCTAACCCTGCTCCTAGGTGACAACACTGGTGTAGGCGGCCACATTGATATCGGCTGCTTCCGCTATACATTCACGGGCGGTGCAGGAGACTCGTGAAGTGGCACAAGCACGACTAGCCCTGATGGGCCTTTACATTTGCTCTGATGCCGGAACTGCTCTTGTGGCCACAAACCCCCGATTGCGATTTCGCCGGGTCAACTCTAACGCAACATAGGGATTGCTTGATGTGAGAGTGGATTCGGATTTCTTTTTTGACTTTATGCAGCTGTACCAAGTTTGCTTTGATTGTCTGCGGAGCCATCGACATGCGACGTTACTGCAGTTTCACACACACCTTCACTCTCCGAACGTCGATCGATGCCAGCTTCTCGCGTAGAGACCTGAGATCCTGCTTCAATATCGGTACAGAAAGTTTGGATTTCCGCGTGCCCGACGCCGAAGCGGAGGCAACTGCGTCTGTTCCTCGACCGACGACTTTTTGCTCTCGGACTCAAGGCTTCCATCTGTCGGCTGGCGACTTGCTCTGGCAAACCATGTACACAGCCGCCCAGTTTGAGCCGTAGTAAATTGTGCAGCAGGTTCCTTAGTATGCGAAGCCACTATGGCTTCGAGCATGGTCCCATATTGCACACGTCTCCAAAGCACATGATAGGCCATTTCCGAAAGGGCCTCTGTCCCACTGCCTTCTCCAGTCTTTGCTGACATTGGCATAAAGATGGCGCCGATGGAGGCACAGAATCCCTGTCCTTCCTCTATTGACGTCTTCCACTCCGGTTTCGGAAGATCAACCTTGTTGGCAATAACGAAGAACAGTCCACGGAATGGAGGCCGAGGAGGACATGCCCGATCGTAGCAGCCTTTGCAGCCACCGACGTCTCTTTCCAGCCTCCTCTCGAGAAGAAAGTTGTCGTGGTATACGCGCAAGGCTTCGGAGCTCTTTCTGTCGGCTACATCATAAGTCATGATCCAAACTTCGCAGTGCCGGGCTTTTCGTAGGTGACAATTCCTGCCCACCGAGCAATTCTCCAGGGTGTGTTCAATACTTGGGCGCTCTGTCCAGCCATTGAAACATACACGGACGCCCTCAATTTTTGTGAGCAAGTTGACAGACTGATCTTGAAAAGGATCGTAGCCAGTCCACCAGGCGTCTTGATTCAACTGGTTAAAAGTGAACTCGTCAGTCCTCGTGGCGAAACACAATCTAGTGGTAACGCACCCTCACGTGAAGACAATCCTGTCCAACGCCCGACAACCCAAGCATGGTGGTGTCGATGTCAATGTAGCGTCCTGGAGGAAAACCATATTGTCCGACATGGTCGCGAACGGCTGCCTTCTGGTTTGCGGAAAGTATCACGTTAGGCGGTGTGAAAGTCCCAGGGTTACAACTCTCGTCGTCGTATTGTTGTGCTCGCTCTCTGGTCCGGAGTCTCTTGACTTCGGTTGCAGTCAGCTCCTCGTTGTCATCAGCCGGCACGTTCCTCCTATGGTCAACCATCTCCAGTGCTGACTGCGGGCGTCTTCGGACCCCTACACTTCCTCAAAATCTGGGAGAGCGATTTGGTTCTGAAACAATTACAAACAATGTTCGACTGGATTTTCTTGAGTAAGTTTGCTGCTGTGGGAATGTCGTGGTTCAAGACCGCCATGGTTGTGGAAAGCTAGGGGAGGGATGAGCAATGTGGCACAGCATTGAAGCTTTGAAGATTGGCGGAGTTATTCACGTCGATCACAAACCCACCAAACGACAACATGATACTCGGACGATGATAGGGGCGTGTGAAGCATAGCTTGCTGCGGAAATACAACCCCTGATGAGCGACTGCTAATCCTACGGCACACGCGACAACACCGGTGTTGGTGGGCATATTGACATAGGCCGCTTGCGCTACACCTTCACAGGCGGTGCAGGGGACGACCTTGGTCGGGCTATAAGTGAGATGGGTGGTATTATGGCCTCCAAACAGTACGTATGATGTCGAGTAGCTAAGCTGAGGGCGAGAGGGAGGGATGGGATTGGCGTTGGCGCCGGTCGCAGTCTTTCGCACTCCGGTTTCGCTATAGAGAAGATCTGCTAAAGCAGCATGCTGTACTCCATCGATTCTTTCATTGGGCGCGCATTAGTAGGCATAGAGGCCGTTCGCGTCTCCTAGCTCCTGCCTATTTGTGGGTGCCTTTGAAACCTTTTCGTCATCTTGTGCTGGCTTCTTTTCGGGTTGCACAGTGTGGGATGCAGAAGCCTTCCGTCCACCCAATAACCTAGACCACCATTGTGGCGTCCTCTCCTCGGTACATTCTTTGCCCTCCGGCTCAGGTGGGATGCCCAAAGCAGCCATACGGCTCTCAAGAAAAGCCCCGTTCTCGATTCGTCTGTACAAAATGCGGTAAGTCATCGCCAGCACCGCCATCCACCCGCTACCCTCTCCCGTCTTCGCTGACGTTGGCATGAAGATAGCATCGATTGTCGCACAAAATTTCTCTCCATCTTGGAGTGGAACGTCCCATTCACGTGGGTCTTTATCGATCTTGTTGGCGATGATGAAGACCATACCGCGAAACGCCGGCCTGGGTGGACACTCATGAGGGCACCATTGGCATCTGTTTCTTTCCTGCGCTCTCTCGCGACAGGTGTTGCGGTAGTTCTCGCACATTACCTCAAAGCTCGCTCTGCTCGTGACGTCGTAGACCAGAGCGACGGCTTCGATGTGTCGAGCCCACCCATACTGGAAGTGAAACCACTCGTCTGATATGTCGGGCTGTGGCAGGCTTGTAGGCGTTTTAGTTCCCGTCAAACGTATACGCTGCCCGTCAATATCTGTCGTCAAACTGAAACAATCTTCCATGGTGGGATCGTAACCCTCTAACCAGCCATCGTTGCCCAGCTCCAACATGATGTTAGCTTGCATGTAAAGTTTTTGGAAACAGAGTACAGCGGATGCCACTCACCCTGACTATCAGTTTCTCCAACCCTGTACCGGCCTCACAAATCAGCCAAATCTCAATGACTGGGTGGAACATGCTTGGAGCAGGATCGAACGTTTTGACATATTTCGAGACCGCCGCTTCCTGCTCTGGCGACAGATACAATGCGTTCACGCGCGGTGAAGATGATCTCGCCGCCTTCCTTGCATGGTTTAGATATTCTTCTCTAGTCAGACGCTGTCGTTTCGGTCGTCTAGTCATGCTGTACCAATGTCGTGGTTCAAAGCCGCCATGATCGTGGAAAGTTAGGAGACTGAGGAGCGAGAGGTTCATGTGGCACAGCAAGCTTTGAAGATTGGCGGAGTTGAAGTCGTCACCCTCCAAACCACCAAGCAACAACATGATATTCGCACTTGCAATTGAATGATAATTGATGCGTGTAGAGCATAGCTTGCAGGTGGTTTGTTCGGCCAAAAAGCATAGTGCTACATTTTCCCGTACAACTTGTTTGCATCTAATGTATTGGCAAGCGAACACCGATAGGTTTTGAGCTGGTAATGGTACACATTGCCTTCATACGGGCACCGTACGCTGAGACTCAGTACAGATATGACGTATTGGCGGCTCTCCGTTCATCTGCAGTCATTGGTTTGCGAGGTACCTGTATAGGTGTGTCTTCAATCTCAGGGTCAGTCGTGGCCTTCCCTCGCCGCAACGACTTCAAGATCGACCACGATCGAGTTCGCTGTTCGTCTTCAAGATTGGGATCAACCGTTCCTGAGGCTTCTTTTGTCTTACCTTCTTGTAGGGCGCCATTCTCGATCCTTCGGAAGAGAGTACGATAAGCTATCGCAAGAACAGCCTTAGGCCCCATGCCTTCTCTAGTGTCTGTAGACATAGGCATGAATACCGCCCCGATTTGCGAGCAAAACCCCACCCCTTCTTTGCGAGAGACCGCCCATGAAGCTTCATCAACGTCTATCTTCGTTGCAAAGACAAAGAAGAGGCCTCGAAATGCTGGCCGCGGAGGACAGTCGTGGTAACAGTACCCGGGCGAAAGTAACTGCCGTCTCGTAATGCTCCGCTCAAAGAGGAAGTTGTCATAAATTGAACGCATCGTCTCGAAGCTTTCTCGGCTTGTTATGTCGTAGACCAGAACACACGACTCGACATGGCGTACGCGACTATACGCTGGCGACCGGCCAATAGGCCAGCCGCTCTGCTCCAGGGTGGGAGTCTCTGTTGGCGCTTCAATGTGTACCCTTACGCCGTCGAGGTACGTCTCGAGGTGATACAGTCCGTTGAATGGTGTATCGTGCGCGATAACAGGGCCATCGTGGAGGAGCTGTACCAATGAATCAGCAAATGAAACAGAGATCGCTCACACAGCAGAAGTCGTACCCTGAGCATGACCTTACTCATGTCGACACCCTCAGGGGCCAGCGGTACTGTTTCGATACGAGTGACGAACTTGGCGTAGCCTTTGTCGAATTTGCTGATGTAGTTGCAGACCATTTCTTCTTGTTTCGGGGATAGGTAGAGAAACTCTGTGCTTCCCGGAGTTTGGGCAGCGTTGCTCGCATCGTTCAGGTACCTTTGTCTCTGTTGCATTGGATGATTCCATGGTTTGGGCTTCGAGTCCGCAACGCTGGTTTCGGCAGATGCAGAATTTGCGGCATTTGTGTGCTCAGCCATGGGCGTTGCTGACATACTCAGGTTTCAGAGCGTTGAAGGCGTCGGTGTCCCGGAGCCGTGGTTAGGCAGAGGCTATGTAGCCGTCTTGATGGACAATCTCTAGTGCCCTCAAATACGAGAGGACGTTCGCGCTTCCACGATGCAGTAGTCATTAGTGTTGCAGAGTGATCCATGTCTTTGCGAGTTGTTGGTGGGACACAGCAGCAGTGAGCAAGCTGGCCAGATGAGGTCGCAAGCGCAAGGGCGCTAGCGCGGAACTGAGTGATGAGGCCCGAACTTCCGACAGAGATCAAATGGAAATCAAGTCTGGTAGCCATATGAGCATCTTCATCATTCGGTGGCATGCAATACTGACAGAACATCGTACAATGTGTAACAACCCCTCGTACATTTCACCCACCAATCTCGTCCATGGCAATGCATCCTTCGCCCATTATTGTCCTGCTGAATCCCTGTTGCATCCCTGAGCTTCTACTCCATTCCAGTCATGCTTCTAGCCACGAAATGCATCACCAGGACCCCATCGCCATTCTTTCACCATCTCTGTACATATGTGGGAACGTGAAGATCTGGTTTCGGGGCTCCTCAGACTTCAATAGGTGTGAAGCTATCCGTCGGCCAGTCATCAAACTTAGGCCATCTGCATTAGTAGATGTCTCTCGGAGATACGTGTACTTTCGCATGATACACGGCCCATCTTCGTAGTAGTTCTTTGTGGGATCCGTTCCGAGAGCGTCCATCTCCAATGCAATGAAGCGAGGACAGCTGTCTTAAAGCCTCCAGAACACCAAGCTGGCGAGTTCCTGCATCTGATCTTCTAGTGTCAAGCTCACGGACGCTTCGTCACGGTAATCTGAATTTTCGGGAGAAGACTCCCAAGGATAGAGACGGACTCGTAACGAAGTGAGCGCGTGGAGATGCTTCAGAAGTTCCACAAAATACGTACTCTCTTCGATGTGGTCCCCATGGAACATCTCCGGATTGGGACAGGCTGTGATGGCAAGCTGCTCCAAGCTCGTACAGCTGGCAAAGAGTGTGTCCAGAGCATCGCAGTGCTCATGATCTTCATAGTAAGGACTTCCGAAGGATACATTCATGGTGTCGAGGCAGAGAATACGAAGGACCGGCCCGATCGTAGTAATCGCGAGCCAGTAACGAGCATCATGATAGCACCAGCAAGGAACAGCTCTTCGAGCTTGCTTTGCGTCCTTGAAAGCGTTTCGAGCATGCGAAACGAACCGTCGGACATCTCTTCCAAGGTCACGTATGGGGCCGAATAGTTGTGTGTGTGCACGAACTTTTTTAAGCTCATGTCCGCTTGGCTGAAGAGGTCCAGCAGCTTGTTAGGACCGGCATACCCGTCCAACTCCAGTGTTGCTAAGGCGGAAACCTCGAGCGCGTGGACTAAGAACGGCGCTAGTCCGTCGCAGTGCGAAATCGCGGGCGATGAGCGAAGGTGTAACCGATGGAGCGCAAGTCGTGGCCTTGCCAATGCCGGAGCTTTCCAGTCCGCAAAGATGGTGCCGAATGCTTCTTCGTGATTCCCAATGAGATCGCCAAGAATGGTGATTGAGAGGTCCTTGAAGCTTCGGACCCGAGCTAGCATTTGGCGACCTATATCACACTCCTCGATGTGCTCAAACACCAAGGCTATGACGGAGATGTTCTGAAGTTGATTCACAGAACATGAAGGCTGTGTTCCCAGACCAGACATGTCGAGTAGCGTGTGCTGACGGTGGTTGGTGAGTTTACTGTGCGTCTCATGCAGAAAGACCGATAGCTCCAGCGGGACGTTCGAAGTCGTGTTCAGATCGAACACCGTAAGTCCGTCTTTCGGGAAGGCTTGGATGAGGCGGACAAGATGACGACCTTGCGTCTTATGGTTGTACGCACATTGATTCGGAACGCCATAGATCTCCAAATGACGCGTCTGATGGAGATTGCTGTTGGCTGTGTTCAAGCAATCCAAGAGGGCTTGGTTCAGTTTCGATGCCGGTAGGGTGATCTCGCGGTACAGAACAGGCGCTGCGACTTCATGGAGCTCTTTACTGACGAGACACAGTGCTTTCAGATCTTCGTAGGACTTGATGTAGTCCATGATCTCCTTCTTGATGTCGAGTGGTAGCGTTTCTAGCGTCGTTGGCGCCATGATGCTTATTCCTTCTCGCGATCGGCGGCAAGTCGCGTGAGTGATTTGACGAAGACGACTTACTGAGCTGAGTCTTGCATGCGAAGTGGGCGTCTTGAACAGTGTTGAATCGTTCAAATGCTCACTGGAAGCCGGAGGCTCACTGGTGAGGCGGCGATGTTGTTCACTCACCCTCGGACGAACATGTGAGTTCCACACGAGCTACACGTTAGTTGTCGCAACGACTCACGCTCTCGACCGATCGCATATCACCACTGACGTTGCGCGCGTAGTATTGAAGAAAAAGAGGAAACGCGAAGCTCGTGTTGTGAAGTCGTTATATTCGGGATGCTCCGGCTTGGCGTTACGCGAGAACACGTGACACATCAAAATATTAAAGGATAAGGTATCCAGCACTACAAACCTTGCTCCAACTTCATAGCCTCAGCAATACCCTCCTTGATCTTCTTCTTATCATCTTCGCTGATCCTCTGCAGCGGACGTCGTGGGTATCCACCATAGCCAAACTCCATCTCGATCGCCGCCTTCGTGCCCGCAATCGACGACTTTGTGAGAACCCAGTCACATCGGCCCAGCACCTTTTGCAGCTCTTGAGCCTTGTCGTACTGTCCGGAAGCCCAGAGGTTCCAGACTTTCACACACAGCTTTGGTCTAGGCGGACAGGTCAGCATACGTCGCTGGCGTCGCGCATGATGGGATTGATGAGACTTACGCAACGTTGGCTGTTCCCACGATCATGCCTGATCCCTCCGAAACAGCAGTCTGGATAGTAAAGTCGGCAATACCACCGAAAGCCATCCAGCCACTTCCCTCGCCCTTCACCGAGCAGGCCTTAGTTGCAGTAGCCACTCTGTGAAGCTTGCCAGTCGAGCCGCAAGTGAACTTTGCTCCGCAGACTTTGCCATTGGTAGCTTCGACGAGACGAATCATGAAGTCGGAGTCCATGTCTACACCTGAGACTGCGCCTGGGTAGTTGTAGAGGATGATAGGTAGCGGGCTTTGCGATGCAACGTTCGTGAAGTAGTCAAACAACATAGCTTCGTTGACCAGCGCGCGGTAGTACCTGGTCTCCTTTATCAGCACTCTGGCCGCCAATGGGATTGTGCAGGACTCACGAAGGAGGCAAGAGAAGACAATATTCGGCGCCAGCAGCAGCCGCCTCTTTACACAGCTCGACCGTCAATCTCACGCTGGACTCGGAGCAGCCAGCGATGACAGGGACATTGTGAAAGCCAGCCTCGTTTAGTGCCTCGCGAGTAGCCCGTGTCACGAGCGTTTTCTCCTCTCGAGACATATGGACTGCCTCGCCATTCGAGCCCATGGTGACAAGACCGACAAGTCCAGCCTCTGCCAGGCGCACGGCATGCTTCTTGACGGTAGCGACATCCACATCCTCGGTCTCCTGGTTGAAGAAGGTCATCGTCGGCGCGTAGATACCATGGCGAAGAGGCGTCCTCGACGTGCTGCCGTTGGAGTTCCCGTTGGTTGCCATTGTGATTGAGTCGACGGAAAGGTGATTTGAGTCTTCTTGCAGGATACAGAAGGAGAGTGAGAAAACGGGTAAATACTTCACAGCTTCCTTACGACGGCAGATCTCCCTAGATATCTTTACACCTCAACAGCGAGCTCGGCCAGCTGTTCCGCTTGGGTCGGAATCGAGACGTGTCGTCGGAAAATGGTGGAGGACGCTTGCTACTGGTGGAAAGAGGCAGGCTTGGCGGGTCCAGCAACACCTTCGGCAACGACGTGCTTGGACGTGTCGCTTTTGAGCTCTTTGTACCTGCATGAGCTCTCATCGGCGTTTGACAAGGTGCCTCCTGCCGGTATAGCTTCGACCCGAAGATGGAGGTAGGTCTGGATGTGCCCGTGATGTAAAGCACTCTCCGCTCTCCCAATTTCTGCAGCTTCCGTCTCGTCTTCCCTTAGTCACCGAGCAAGAGCTGGAAGAATAGCAAGACACAATGGCGCCTCTCAATGTCTGCATGGTGGGGACAGGGGAGTACACGACCGGCTTCGTCGGCGGAGGAGCATCTGGCAGCGACAAGAAGGTAGGAGTAGTTGGCCTCACCCTCTTCGACCTCAGACGACGGGGCAAAGTAGGCAACCTGTCCATGGTCGGCACCAGCGGCAACAAATTCCCAGCCATCCGGGAGCACTTGCAAAAAAACATCACAGAAGCCTACAACGGCCTCGACACCGCCTTCGAGTCCTACCCCGGCCACGAGCAGCGCGACCCAGAAGCCTACAAGAAAGCCATCGACGCTCTCAGCCCCGGCGATGCCATCACCATCTTCACCCCGGACCCCACTCACTACCCCATCGCTCTCTACGCCATCCAGCGCAAGATCCACGTCATGATCACCAAGCCCGCCGTCAAGCTGCTCTCCGAGCATCAACACCTCATCGCCGAAGCCCGCAAGTACAACGTCTTCGTCTACGTCGAGCACCACAAGCGCTTCGACCCCGCCTACGCCGACGCCCGGAACCGTGCCATCAATGGCGCTCTGGGCCACTTCAACTACTTCTACAGCTACATGTCGCAGCCCAAGTCCCAGCTCGAGACGTTCAAGGCCTGGGCCGGCAAGGACAGCGATATCTCGTACTACCTCAACAGCCACCACATTGATATCTGTGAGTCCATGGTGCCGGAGTTCCGACCAACGAAGGTTATGGCGAGTGCGTCGACAGGCGTAGCGACGGATTTGGGGTGTGTGGACGGAACGGAGGATACGATCTCGCTGCTGGTGGACTGGGTGAAGAAGGATGGGAGTGGGAGGAGAGCGACGGGGGTTTACACAGCGAGTTGGACGGCGCCACAGAAAGCGGGTGTGCACTCGAATCAATACTTCCATTGGATGGGGAGCAAGGGTGAGGTCAGAATAAATCAAGCGAAGAGAGGGTACGATGTCGCCGGGGATGAGGGAGGGTTGACTTGGTACAATCCTTTCTACATGAAGGTGAGACGGTCAACTCCTAGTTGGATCGCATCCGCTGACAACTTTTCAGTACGCCCCAGACGAGGAAGGCAACTTTGCTGGCCAAGGAGGGTATGGCTATGTCAGCTTCGAGAAGTTCGTCGATGCCTGCCAAGCATTGAGAGATGGCCGTGTATCGTTGGACGACCTCGACAAGAGAGGCCTGCCGACGCTCGTAAACACCATCGCCACTGGAGCCATTCTGGAAGCCGGACGGATCAGCCTCGACGAGAAGCGGCCGGTCGAGGTCGTGGAGAAGGATGGCCAGTGGAGCCTGAAGTAGATCATCCCGCATCAAAAGCTACAGTATCTTGAAGCCATCCGGCACTGTGCCCTCTTCAACCCACTGTGTCACCGTTTGAGCGTACAGCTCCGGAGCTTGCAGGTTCCAGGGATGCCGCATCTCCGGATGTGTATACGCGACAGTAGCCTCGTTCGCTTTCCTACCTATATCCCTCAAGCGCCTCGCATCGTGAGGATGATCTGCAGTAGGCAATAAACCAGACTTCCCAGCAGCAATGATCAGCGTAGTCGCCGGCCATGGCTGTGGCCATCCATCCTCGCCGGGACACATGACACTCGCCACTGCTTTGCACGAGGCAAGGCTAGGGGCAGTTGTCGAGGCGGGTAGATCAGTATCGTCCGTAAGCCATCGGATCAGGGCTTTGGGGGCAATGCTCGCAACGCTGTCCTGTATGTACAGGCCGTAGGCCAACGTCTGCGCTGATCCAAAGACTTCGTAGCCACTGACGAAGACTTTATCTACGACCTCTGGGTACTTTGATGCCAACTCGACAGCTACGTGAGCGCCTAGGCTGTGTCCAACCACGTGGGCTCTGCCGTTCGTTCCTTCATCGTGGATCAGGTCGGCCAGGCGGCGGGCTGTGTCTTCTTTCGAGAAGGGCTCAGTATTTTGGTTGTCACCTTGTTCCGTTGGATCCCGAAGCATAAGTACATTGTAGTTGGTCTCCAAGTGTGGTATGACCTTAAGCCATTCACGACCAGATAGCGAGGCTCCAGGTATCAGCAGGACCGATGCTTTGCTGCTGTCGGTGCCGCGTTGGCCAGAGTGACCCAGTTGGTCGTCCTCCGGGACATCACGGCTGTCGTCGCCCATGAGCCCGCTCAAGACTGCATTAGGACAGGTGGAAGTGGTAAAGAGAGCGAGGATGAATAAGATCTCGGAAATTTACGAAGTCCCTTCCCGAGCCGCTCGCGCTCACATGTTCAAGTTCTTGCCGAGTCCGCCGAATCCTGAACGTGTTTGTGACGCGAAGCTGATCGCAGGAGCGTGAAGCCTGCTTCTTGAGTAGAAATGACCCCTAACACACCTATGAAGTGAATGTTGGACTCGGATCAAGCAGTCTGAGTCAGATGGCGACACAGTAGATGCTATCGCTCCTTCGCTACGTAGGCGACACGTTTCTTACTCTCCTCCAACCGATCTGAAACGGACCTAGATAAGGAACTCCTCTGGTCTCTCAACAGACAGAGACACCGACTATGGCGAGCAACGGGAACGACATCCAACAACCGCGTCCGCGGAAGGCAGTTAATCCGCAGGTCGAGCGAGCATACAAGCAAGAGTTGAATGCGCCCTCACTCACCATACCCGAGCGAACACCAGCAGGGACGCCAGCACCGCCCGACGATGCACCGCCTTCAGTTATAGCTACGAGCGCGGCTCGAAGAGAGCTGCGCAAGAAGACGAAGGGCAGGATGTTTCCTACAGTCGAGTACCAGCATCGAGTCTCCTACTTCGACCCGCGCAGCGACTATTCGAATTTTCGAGGCTTCTTCGTGCTGTTCTGGATTGGCCTAGGAATAATGGCGACCACTTCTATACTGCGGAATCTGAAAGAGGCGGGAACGATCTTGAGCTTCCGGCAGTGGCCATTGTTTATCGAGAACATATGGGAGTTGGCAATCAGCGATTTGCTCATGGCAGCGAGCACGGGGGTTGACCTACCGTTGAACAAGCTGTACAAGAATAGCAAGGGCTGGCTGAGATGGGAGAAGGGAGGAATGTTTGTGCAATGCTTTGTGCAGGCGATATGGCTGTATGTGTGGATCGCATGGCCGTTTGCAAGGGACTGGACTTGGACAGCGCAGGTCTTCTTCACTCTACATACGCTGGCACTGTTCATGAAGATGCACAGTTATGGCTTCTATTGCGGCCACCTCGCCACAACACTCCAGCGGCTCAAGCAGCTTGACCTTCCCATCAACCCCAAAACGCCAACCACAGCTGCGGTCCGCTACCCACGGACCTTTCCGTTCCCAGAGACAACACCCACAGACGGCACAGCCGACGAACACCATCGCGAGGACAACTCCGACGACGACGAAAACATCTCCCCTATTATTCAACTCCGCAACGACCTTGCCAAAGAGCTCACCTCCCCACTCGGCAACACCACCTACCCCCACAACCTCACCGTCTCCAACTTCCTCGACTACCTCCTCTGTCCAACCCTCTGCTACGAACTCGAATACCCGCGCAACCCCAGCCGCAACTACCTCGAGCTCTTCTACAAAACCCTCGCCGTCTTCGGCTGTATCTTCCTCATGACAATCACGTCAGAAGAATTCATCATCCCGGTGCTGGACGAATCACACCTACGCCTGCAAACCGCGCCTACTCTCATCGACGCCGCGCTCATCTTCGCCGAAACAGTCAGCTCGCTGCTCTTCCCGTTCATGGTCACCTTCCTGCTCGTATTCCTGGTGATCTTCGAGTACGTCCTGGGAGCATTTGCAGAGATAACGCGCTTCGCCGACCGCCAATTCTACTCCGACTGGTGGAACTCTCTCGACTGGCTGGAGTTCAGCCGCGAATGGAATATTCCCGTGCACAACTTCTTCCGACGGCACGTCTACTCTGCTTCTAGAGGGGTCAAACTCAGCAGACCCGTAGCGACAGGCATCACATTCTTCATCTCGGCCGTGGCGCACGAGCTGGTGATGGGATGTATCACGCGGAAATTCCGGGGTTACGGGTTCATCTTGATGATGCTGCAGATGCCGTTTGTGATGGTGCAGCGGCTGCCGTGGGTGAGGAGGCGGACTTTGTTGAACAACGTGTTATTCTGGATCTGCATGATCATGGGGTTGAGTTTGCTTTGTGCGTTGTATGTGCTTGTGTAGAACTAGATACCTTACTTAGGATTCGAACATACAACCATTTCCAACATCCCTTCCATCCATCATGCTACCTAATCCTGCTTCCGTTTTGCCGTGCTCCTCTAACAGCCAGTGATCCTCACCTCGCATGTCTCGCAGGCAGGGCTGGACTGCGCCGTGAAACTGTATTCTGCGTCAGAACATCGTGCGTGAGCACCGGATTGAGAAGGCTGGACTTACCATTCGCCGGTCTCGAGCGAAACACAGCCGTTCCAGCAGTCGTCCCAAAGTCTCTGGCAGACGTCGACATCGCAGCGCTCCTGACGGGCTTGGATGCTAGCGTCGTCGTTCTCTGTTGGGAAAGAGATGGTGATGTGGTTGTTCGGGCTGGTGGCGGGGGCCGGTATGGCGAAGGCGGAGGTGAGGAGGGTCGCGATGATGGTTGGGATATGCATTGTGTCGTCTGGTGGGTGTCAGTGGCTGGTCAAACTCGTCGTGGGAGAAAGGCAGACCGTAAGGTTGGAAATTTAGGCTGCTCTGAAGGTATTTCGGTAGCGGTAATGCTTGAATTCTGAGTTGGCGAGAGATACGATGATTTCTAGGTCTTTTTAAGTTAAGATGAGATGTTGTTTGCCTTCTTGAAACCGCAGAAAGCGCTGGCAAGTACAACTCTGCAAGTTTTGGAAGCGTGATCGAGACAAAGAGAAGGAACACGGCCACCTGCGATACCTACCTACGCTTCTTGTACCCATATAGGCGCTTACAAGACGCAAATTTTTGTTGCTATAGCATCACTTTCATGATGCGAATGGTTGTCGCCAAGACGATTGCAGGACGCAAGGAGGTCATGCATATGTACCCAGTGCGACATAGACTCCCAGTCCTGGCCAGCAACCACGTGCTGTGCGACTTGTGCACATGGCTTGGCTACGACGAAGCTGACGCAGGAAGACACACCGTACCTGAGAACGGACCCGACTGGGACGTAGATTCCTGTGTTGTGGTATCAATGTCGTGTGCTTCCAGCACCTGGTCCGGCTGTTTGCAATACAGGTGTACTTCAAGAGATGCCCGCAGTGCAGTTGTCCTGACACGCACTTCCATATTGGTCTGTTTGCCACTTGTAGTCCTCACTCCAGTGTCTTCTTGACAATCTGTTGGTCCCGAGGTCGACCATGTCTCCTGACCCCATGGGGTCTGCATAGGATGGCGCTCGAACATGCTGACCCGCGATGTTGGCATTCATTCTTCGAATGAAGTCGCACTCCCCTCCGACTAACATGCCGTAGGCGACATCCGATGCCATTGACTTGGCGTGCACTCCGAGGAGATCTCGAATGCGGGGAGAACCAGGCGGCAGGTGCTAACAGCGAAACAGGCAGCTGCATCCTCCGATTTTCGCTTTCTCATCTTTTCCTCCAATAACGACGGCTCTCCAAGAGAAAGATCGTCCAAGATCCTGGCACCGCGTGGTTTCTGCTCCGGCATTGGATGCAACCTCAAGACCACCTTCCGAAGAGCGCTGTCTTGTCGGAGTTGAGCCAGAATGCTGTGAGTCTTCCTCAGATGGTGGAGCAGAAGACGTGCTGGTGGAGAAGAAAAGCGGAAGTACGAGGTGGGCATCGAAGATTGAGCACGAACTGGTACGACAAAACTCTCAGCAATAAAGCACCACGAACGTTGCATCAAAACGAAACTCGACTTGGCTGGAGAGGAAGAACTTTTCTGGTCCGACCTCGCCCTCGTCTCCAAGGGTGCCAGAAGAAGAGCAGCTGACCGCGGTCCGGGGCATTGCCTGACGTGTTCCTATTACCAACGTCTTACCTCAAATTTTCGCCCGTCTGCCTTTTCTTTCGCTCATGCTGCGAGCTTATCATCTTCTGTGCTGATACCATTATCAATCTCTATCCTCTGCGACACCGACAGCCCGGTTGCGCTGCCGTCCGTCTGGAGAACTAGCGCCTTCTTCAATCAATTCTAACTGTCTTTGGGCAGAAAGGCAACGCTTGTGGGCGGGTTCCTGCAGATGGAAGATAAAGGCACTGCGGAAGACGATATGGCTACCGATAGCAAGGTTGAGCCTCCACGGGATGGCACGCCTAGCTCGTTGGAGTCGACTCCAGAGCAGGAGGACCAGCTGGAGCAGTCGCAGGAGCCTGCGCAGCCAGTGAAACGCAAGGGTGGGCGGAAACCGGTATGTACTGCTGACTCGTGCCTATCAATGTCCCGTATGCTGACCTTTCCCAGATCTACGCCACTTCTGAAGAGCGCAAACAACGCAATCGACAAGCACAAGCAGCCTTTCGAGAACGACGGACCGAGTACATCAAGCAGCTGGAAGCAACCATCAAGCAGAATGAGGATACACTCTCCAGCCTCCAGCAGAGTCATCGATCGGCAGCCGACGAATGTCTTATGTTGCGTTACAAGAACTCGCTGCTGGAGCGCATCCTGCTTGAGAAAGGTATGGCTTACTGTGTTCATACCTCAGACCATCTTGCTGACGTTCATAGGCATCAACGTCCAAGCAGAGCTACAGATGAAGACTGGCAGTCCGACACTCTCCTTTCAGCACCCGGCGGCGAATATGCCTCCCATGCCTGCGCCACAACCACCGCTACAACGGACTGCCATGCAAAGACACCACGCTCGACGATCTGGCCAGAACTTCCTGCCAAAGCTTGCTCCTGGACAGTCGAACCAAGATCCGAACTTCCAAAACTCTCCGCAAGGCCACCCTACACCCTCCTCACACAGCTCCTCACCAACAAACGTGTCGACAAGGTCGCCAATGGTATCGCAGCAAGGTGGGAACACTCCACCGAATACTGCCATACTCGCTCAGCCCCAGCAACAGCACTTTCAAACATTCCCTCGTACGTCGCAGCCGCCGCCTAATCCAGCGTTCTACCAACGCCAGCAAATTTCTCCGAATGTACAACGGCAGGGAGCACCGCAGCCCTATCAGAGCAATGCCAGCGCCGTCTCCAGCCATTCCACCGGCAGCCGCAAGAGCCTAGGACCATCCATGAGCTCAGGTGCCAACCCTGGGTCCGTGGGAGCCAGCTCCGCATCGCAATACTACCCCAGCCCGTTCCAGAAGCACATTGATCAGCTCGGCAAGTTCCTCCCCTTCCCACTGATAGAACTTTGTTCGTCCTAGAATTGATTCGTGAGTACAGAGCAAGAATACGATACGCAACAGTCCCGATCCATGCTCGACCAGCCCGATCCCGACGACAACTCCGACCCATCGCCCGACCAGCTGCACGGCACCTACCCGCCGCAGTTCGAGCAGATGCATCCGCCGCCAACGAGCGACTTCTATCAAGCGCCGCTCAACGGGCCGCCGCAGATGCAGCCGCCGCAGCAAGTTCCTGCGGAAGGGCAATTCGGGCTTGAGATGATTGATCCGAATGATGCGATGCTGGATGCTGATCCGTTTGGGTTGAGTGCGAGCATGCATTATCCTACTTCTTACTCGTTTGATAAGCCGGTGCAGAGAGGGTGATGGAGGGGCAAGAGCTTCGTCTTTTAGCGCATGGTGTTGGGAACAGAAGGAAAAACAATTTCGGCTGGTCAGGGAGCCTGCAATACCTTTACTACGCATTCATGAGCGAGAAGTGTTATGAACAGCGGTCAGCGAGGGTGTTTGGGGACAGGAGATTTGGGTCCAGTTCAATGGATGAGATAGTAAATGTAGTTGTATGACTCTAGTCTGTCGTCAATCGACGTACATCGCCATGCTTTCCGCGCTGGAGACGCCCTTGGCCGCGACATGTGATGAATGTGTCTCTTTTTTGCAAATTTGAGCGTCTCCCGTCCTCTTCAGATGGCTTGATGTCGTCAAGATGCCGCCAAGACGCCAAGCGAAATTCCCACTTGCGCTTTCGTTTGACATTGAACCTCGCTCGCTCTTCACCCACAACAAACCCACGACGAGGAGCAGGATGGGTCGATACAGCTCGTGACAACCGCGAACATGAGCAGTAACATCGCCTCGAAGGTAAGCAATTTCGCCGCCGTCATCACCAGACGCAATGGGAAGCTGCAATGGCACCAATTGAGCTTACAACGAAAATTTACTAACAATGCCTCCAATCAGAACACCTACGAGCTCCTGGGTCAGTAGACCGCACCGCAAGGTAGACCAGAAGCAGCAATTGACACTATCCACAGGCAACGACCCGGAGCTCGACCCGGACAGGGAGCCGGAGCCACCGACCAAAGTCATCGACAAGCCAGTCGCGCGTACCGGGAAGCGCAACGCCGGCGCCGAGGGGCCTTCAGGCGACGCACCGAGACCTGCTGCCGGCGGGCGTGGAGGCCGACATGCTCAGTTCGCTAGGGGCGACCAAGGTACGTGAAGAGGCGGTGAAGGGCGGATACATATCAGCAGCTTCGCTGGGGTTGCACGGCACGCGATGAGCTTAAAGGGGGTGGTGCCACGTGGGAAACCTTTGTTAACGTGTTTTTGGGACAGCTGGTTCGCTGAACAACCGCGCCGAGCAGGCCGACGATGGCGTGCGTCAGGACCGTCATGCTAACCGCACGAGGGGTATGTTTGCCCACACTATTTGACACGGACGCGACTGACATTCACTAGAACCGCGCCAGCATCGTGGAGGTACGGACCGCGGCGGACGTGGGACTCATCGGGGCGGACGTGGGTATGGTGATAGATACATGCGCACCAACAGGGATGACCGTCAGAACCACTCTGGACAAGGGTATGTCTCGATCCCCACAACCACCCCATTCTTGTACTAACACGAGACAGCGACCACGAGAAGCAAGCAGCGCACGGATGGGGTGGCGAAGACGGCAACTCTGAGTGGAAGGATGAGGTGGCCGGTGAAGCGATCGCAAAGGCCGAGGCGAACGACGATGCCGGTTTCACTCCAGACACTGGCGCCGGCGACCCAGCTTTCACGAACGGACCTGGAGCGGGAGGCGAGGAGCTCGGCGAGAACGCTGCACCTGAGCCTGAGGAGGAGAAGACCAAATCTTACGATGAGTACCTCGCCGAGCAAGCCCAGAAGCGCCTCGCTCTCGGCAACGAGTCGCTGCAAGTGCGCAAGGCCAACGAAGGCTCCAAGCAGAAGTTCCCAGAAGGCACTGCCGTGACCCGCAACACCGAAGAGGAGAGCTTCATCGCTGGCAGCGGCGGCAAGGCCCGGCGCGAGAAGTCGAACCAGCAGAAGAAGGAGCAGCTCACGCTCGACGGCCAGTACTACACCGCAGCCGACAGCGGCGATTCGCGCGGCGGCAGAGGCGGGCGCGGTCGTGGTGGTCGCGGACGGGGTGACGGTGAAGGTGGCCGTGGGCGTGGAGAGTTCCGTGGAGGTCGCGGAGGTGGACGTGGTCGAGGCGAGGGATTCCGTGGTGATCGAGGTGCTGGCTTTAGGGGAGGCCCGCGCGGAGGTCCTCGCGGCGACTTCAACGCCACCGACTCGAGCGCCTTCCCAGCTCTCGGCGGGTCGTAAGCGCTTGCGCCCTCTGTCAACATACGGCTCGACTGTCTGGCGAGTGTCCACTTGTCAGCGACCGATGGCCTTGACACCACAACAAAAAATGGACGATGTTCTTAGCTGCTAGGATGTGGCAAGAAATGAAAAGCAGGACGAGCCGGCTGTGCGTTTGACTGAAAAGTAGTCTACAAAGATGTGCACAACTCCTCCTCCAACCTCGGTCGTTCTCACTATCCG